AATGACAATACTCCATCGATCTCGATGTGGTTTTTTTCCCACTTTCCACGGTTCGGCCAAAAATACAATAACTGATTCAATAATACCCCTCGCAACCTGGAAAACTGACTCCTACCCTCCACTTGCCCCCGATCGGCGCTTTTACACGAGAGGGAAAGCTGGGCCTTAGAGTTTGGGGATTTATTTTCCAATCCCTATTCCGTAAATTTGGTGTTTGGGAGGACTTGACCGTTGAAGATAATAGTGATCTGACCGCAAATTGAGCCTAACCTGGATGTTGACTTTAGGGCATGGAGATTTTTCGGTAAGCATTTCTTACTCCGATAGTGGGACTCGATTTTTGGATTAGGAATCCGATTTCGATTCAATTCAATTTCATCCATGGTGGCTTGCCCACTTTATTTTCTGATGATGTTGGGTCGGCGGCGGGTTGAAGCGACGGCTAGTATTACCAAGATCTTTCTAAGTTCTGGCCTACGAGAACTTATACAAACCTACGGAGTACAGTACTTACTCCGACTTTCAAGCCCAGGGAGGGTCAGAGATGTTTTCCATTTGTCTTGCTATCATCTAATAGTCTACAATCTACAATCTACCGGATTATTGATCCACACGTAGAAGAAGTTTTTTTTTTTTTTTCTCTAGGGGCTTACGGTTGTAATTGTTTCAAGAAAATGCATGTGTGACGCGCGTTTACACATCAGGATGTCTTCAGTTAACTCCGGACACACCTAAAACGCGGTGACTGCAACGCTAAGGATTCGGTAATAGCGGCCTCAAGAGCTATATTAATATACCGATAATTTATACTCCCGCTTGGTCCATCTATTTTGACAGCTTCTTGAGCTCTGAGCCTCAGGTATTTGGGGGCCGATCAGGTCTCCTCGGGCAATCAGCCTCCTCAAGGTTTACAGTTGCCATGACAGGGCTGACGCCCACATATTGGCCCCAAATAAGCTACTAACCCTTCTGGGTAAGCAAGGTGCATCTAGTTATTGTATTTTATCAGCACTGAGAATCCCTAGGAGGTGTGTTTCAAGGCTACGGTGACTCGTTGGGGCGTTATACAAAAAGTGTACAGGAGTATCCTATCGAGCATTGATAATAATGGATTAACACGCTCCATCTACTCAGCTTTTTCCAATTAATCTTGGAAGCCAGCTACAAATTTCTTTTGCAAAAATATTGGAAACCATTTCAACTGTAAAAGCTTGTACAGTATTCGAATATAACAGCTAGAATAGATTCCCCCAACCCACGTGGCTTGCAGCAGGGAAACATGCACAGTAATCGATAGATCTCACTTCTGAGGTGTCATATGTGAAAGAGCCCTGATCTATGTGGAATCCGGATAGAAAGACGGTCGATCAAGTGGGATCGGCCCCCTCCCGGTTCATATATCCAACCAGTGACTGGTATACGGCAGATTAAACTTCCACACACCCCGCGAATGTACGTAAACTGGTGCTCAAGCGCACACTTGGACCCCCGGTTTTTATAGAATAGGGCCCCCGGGAGGAGGGGTACAGGTTCATCCATGTTTAGTCAACAGCCCTTGCCGGCTCCTGGCGGATGAGCTCGCACTGACGCTGATTCGCGTGATTACGGTTGACCCTTATCTAGAATGTACTGCGCCCAGCTCTGTCATCTCGCACAAACCACCCTTTGAGGATGCCGCTGACGTGTCCGACGCCGGCGGATTGGCATGGGAATAGCCTGGAGAGAATTTGTGTTACTGGTTCCTTGGATTTTTCCGAGCTTCCTTGGATTCCTTGGGGCCGATCGTCTAAGGTGGAGTTTCCTGACGCGGTTCAAGACGGGATAAAACGAGAGAGCGGTCAACGGCAATGCGCATACTGCATTCGGTGAAGTGAAAAAAAAATCATTCACGAAAGAACATGACCGGATTGAGGCTCAATTGACGGCCTAGCGCGGTGATTTGGAAGCACCGAAAAGCGCCGACCCTGAGTGAGCGGTTTACACGGCCATCGGCAATCCCGCAAATTCAAACAGTAGCCCGTATTCTGTGGAGCTTGGAACATACAATGGACTTGTACTCCGTAGGTTGTGTTCCGTATGCCATACAGGCTCCTTCTCGCTCAGATCACCGATAGCCTAGCTAACCGAGTTGTTGATACTTGGCATCACAAGGATTGGGGCACAAATTGACAGCGTCGTTCCTTTGGGATATCTGAAAGTCTGTGCGTCTATAAAAGTTGTACTATTTCTGGTCAAGGATCAAGACGAGCCAAGGCGCCACAATCCTTTAAACGCGCCCGAGGGGCTAGGTTTTAGGAAGGAGGGCAAAACACGAGGGCGGGCGTTAAGAGGCTCTCTTGAAACAAACGGTTTGTCGTTTGGCGCTTTCCCCTTGTTTATTTTCTTCCTTTTTCTTCCTTTTTCTTTTTCTTGGCCTGAGCGCCAGGAACCGCGCCCGAGCCGGGGAGGGGCTAAACAGAACGACTCCACCCGTGTCCCCAAGACCAATCATTAGCGACGGAGGAACCGACCCAGAACCAAAGTGGGTGAGAAGAAGCGAGGCTCTCTCCGCTCTCACGAGTTTTTGTGTTTGGTGTACTCCGTACATTGGTTGTGCTCAGATAACAAATTTCTCCACGTGTGTCCACGTGGACCACATGGGCCCTCGCGCGAAGGCGCCTGGAAAGGCCGTGGAAGGAATTGCTCCGCCACGCGGGCCAAACCCACGTTGTTTCGAACTCCTTCAAAAAACTGGTCCGGAAAGAAACGTTTGGGCGGGAAATCAAAATTGATATCGTACACAGTGAACACCGTGGCGCTAGGCTCCACCTTTAGAGCAAATGCTCCGATCCGATACTGTTGTTCCGTAGGATGAAACATGTGATGTGCGCCCGCCCCTCCCCTCTATCCTCTCTGTGACTCAACCTGTCATTGGTATCAAAAGATAGGTGACAGATTCGCATTCTATTGCCGAGGAGATAGAACGAGAGGTTCAAAAATTGAGAATTTTCCGACAATGTTCCGATTGGGGGGGATGCTTAACCGAGAAAAAAAAAAATGAAGATCGATCGAATATGTTTTGATGATGACGATGTTTTCATTTTGCCCTCTTCGCCACACCGATAAGGTTCCTGGCAGTAACCATGGAGGGGCGTAGGCATTCTTACCACGTGGGCTCAAGCTTCTGTGAGTTGGCAAAATCGCATCATTGCCTGATCAGTCCAGGGGGCCGAGAGAGCCCACTTGGAAGTGAGTTGGGGGTCAGCCAAAACCCAGCCAAGATAACTTACAGATACATGAGTAAGAGGCAGAGGAGTAAGAAATGGGAGTGAACAAGGAAAGACGCCATCGGTAACCAATGAGAAACCAGAAAGGCTGAAGAGTTGGATCACTGACTTAATATTTCAATAGGGGGCACTTGCTACATCAGGCAACGCTAATGCCTAATCTGGTAAGATTCACACGGTAGCGTAGGGGGATTTCCTTGCTTTACACCTTTACCGCCTGTGGAAATACAATGTATAGATACAATACACAGAGAGAGAAGGAAAGAGCAAACGTTAAATATGTTAAACATAAAAGGTGGGGGGAGAGAGTATGGTAAGTCTGTAATACTAATACACAGCTGTGGGGCGGTACCAGGATCACCGGTCGGATCTGTTCGGGCCCTTTCACAGTTTCTATGGTTCATGGCTGGGCCTATGAAGTGGAGAGAGAAACAGAAGTGAAATCATTGACTGAAATTTTTGAACCAGAAAATCCCCCAAAAAATATGATCTCCATAGTATTTATCATTTGGAATTCTAGAAGGAAACTATCTAAAAGACTATTCCCCGAGCACGGAGCATATTCCATTCCATTGTGCAAGGGACAACTCCACAAGTAATCAAGGACTGTGACAATATTTTAAATATTTAGCCCTGGGGGAAAGACAAGAGGTGTGGGCATATAGTAGTGAACATTTGAATGATGGTGTTATTGTCATACAACCCTGGAGTACTCCAAGGCGTGTATGAAATACAGTAAATACAGTAAATACCAGAAATACCAGAAATACCAAGACCCTGCACAAAAACAAGGAACCCACCGATCTTCATCTTGAGGCAATCCCTTCCCTTGTGGCCCACGTTGTTTGGATGCAGCACACCATACTCTTTCCGGGCTCACGCGTGGGTGGTGGGTCAAGGATGACAGGCCGAATGGCCATGATTTCTTCAGAGAGGAACTTTTCTGGAATTGTTTTTTTCTTTTTTTTTTTTTTTGTATGAATTCGTTTCTTTCATGCTCTCTTTATATTCTCCTATTATTCTTAATTTTCAATTATTTTCTTACTCTACATAATCATCCATATCCCCATCTCTCATGATAAGCTTGTTTTTTGTTAATTTCTTACCAGCATTCCACTCAAGGGGGAACGATATAAAAAACCCGGTCTTGTAATCCCCGTAATAAATGAATTCCTCCAGCTTTAGAGTTCGCACAGTATAGGTTCAACCTGTATTATATCCATCGATATAAGTTCCTATCTCCGCTTCTATGGTAATCACTTTTTCTATCTTAATTTTTTTTTCTGATTTTTTTTCGGAATATCTTTTCGGCTCGTTTATTCTGGTTTGAGTTTTTTTTTTATTTTGTGGAGAGGAATTTCAATTCTTTTTTTTGGGGGAATTTTTTTTTTTTCCCATTTGGAATGGATTATTTGATTATTTGATTATTGAATTTTTACATTTTTTTTTTAATATTTCTACATTTAATAAATCCATAATTAAATATGGAAATTTATGATTTTATTCTAAATATTTCTAAATAATCTTTTTTTGGTATTTTTTCTTTTACCCATGGTTTTTTAGGATTATTACATTTTTCTACTACACTACTTTCGCCCATTTCCTCCCCCCCCCCTTTTAGGCCTTGTTAGTGTACAAGATCGTGGGTATCACTTGTTTGACTTATACCCACTTTTCACACTCTTCCCGAAGTCTGGTTCACCCAAATTCCCTTTTCCCCCAAAAACCCATTCAATGCCAACCCTATCCGTGAACCATTACCGAGACTATTCTCTTCCTGCAGTTCGTGATTCTGTCATAACTACAACTCCCTCACGCGCTATTTCCCCTGTGCCTCCCCCAACGACTGATCCGCCTACCCTGCATACTACCTTTACGGGGTCAGTCGTCGGTTCTATTTCTCGCCGCAATCGTCGCTCCTTTGCGGCCTTAGCCTCCAAGACTTCCAGCGCCTTTGCCAGTCTGTCAACCATCAATCAAGCTACCCCATTGCGATCTTCACCCTCCGCCACCAGTCTTTCAAGATTATCCAAATTCCCGAGCGCGACCGCCAACCCCTTGACCCCGCCATTGTTAGCAGGAGAATCCAACCCACTGGAATTTGCGCGCTCAGAATCTCCGGCATTGGCCGACTTGAACCACTCTCATAGACGCCGCTTAACCTTGCAGCGCATTCCGACTCCCCCAGAGATCCGCCCTGCTCTCTCGGCCACCGTGCCTTTTGCACCATCCAAGATGCACCAAACTTCATCCCGGTTGTTGCGCATGACCGAAGATGAGCGCCCTTTCACCAAGGTAGGTTGGAGAGAGAGAGAGACAGAGAGAAGAGAAAGATATCCGAACGATCTTGTTGGATCCAAGCAAGAGCCGAGGCGGAAAACCACAAAACTGGAGATATTTAAAGAAGCTAACCGTGTCGATTACCCAATCTATAGGATTTCATGGACTTGTTCTCCACCTTGATGGTCAGTCTGAAGCTGGACTCCCACCGAGTTCGTTTCACCCGATATGATCACACCTTCACCTCAGAAGAGGCCATCAACAATTTGGGTTCGCTCAAGTTCTCCCAATCGAACCGCATGCCCGACCCCAAGGACCCCTCCCGTATCGTCACCACCACAACTACCACCACTTTCTCCATGGCCAAGGAAATGGCCCGTTCCGTTTGCCAGCGATTCGTCGACGCCCGCTTTATTGAGCCCGTAGACGGCAAGGCTTTGCCAATCTTCCCTCTCAAGGGAGCGTTGTTCCAGCTTACACCCAAGGGTATTAACATCCTGCAGCGCTTCTGCCAGCGGAACGGAATCACCGCCCGTCACGTGATGGATGTGTTGGAGTCGCCGCGCAACACCATGCAATTGGTGAACCTGGAGCGAGACACCGAATCGGATAAATTATCGCATGACCGCGCCACCATCGAAGTCATCTTTCGCCGATTCGCCGGTCAGGATGGCCCCAACATCAAGAGCAGCATTTCCACCTCCGATTCTGATTCATTAAGCGACTACACCAATGGCTTGGTCGGAGTGAAGATGGCCCGGGAGCGGAAACTGCAGGACAACAAGATTTACAACAACACATTTACTGGCAAGGGAGCTGTCGATTGGTTGATGGATTGCTCTACCACCATTGAGCGTCGGGAGACCTGCTTGATTGCCGAATTGTTCCTCAAGTACGGTTTGATCACCATGATTCAGGACGACAAGGCTTTCCCCGACTCCAACGCCGTATTCCAACCGTCCAAGTACTCAATTTACTGCATTACCGAGCGGGGCCAGCGTGTATGTGGATGGATTGCTCGCGACAAGAACCGCGATAACAACGCCAACACTACCTACGATAACCGTGGAATGCCCCGCGACTCTAACAACGCCCGCCTTACTCACATCCTAGGGGACCCTGCCCTTCGTCTTTTGTTCCGCGAGTTCTTGCGCTACTCCTTGTGTGAAGAGAACCTTTCATTCTACCTCGATGTGTCCGAATTCACTGCCAACTATCACAAGGCCGAAAAAGCCGGTGTATTCAACAAGGTGGACTCGGTCCGGGAAACTTTGGCTGCTGCCTATGGTGAGTATCATTCACTCCCCCAAGAAAACTCTGGTTTCATTTGTGTCTTGGCTCTAATAACCTTATAGGCTTGTACAACGCGTTCCTGGCTCCTGGATCCCCTTGCGAGTTGAACATTGACCACGCCCTTCGCAACAGCTTGGCCAGTCGTATGACCAAGGCTGTGGGTGACGATGAATCCATGTTCAAGAGTCTCCAAGAGGTGGTTCACCTGTTTGAGCTTGCACAGACCTCTGTGTTCAAGTTGATGTCAAGTGTAAGTTGGCAACATTTTTTATCTTTTTTTTTTTTTTATATGCCGTCGAAATTCAGTACTAATTTCAAAATAGGACTCGGTTCCCAAATTCCTCCGTGACCCCAAGTACTCCGTTGTTCTGCAGGAGCACGATGTTGACATCTTCGGTGGATCTCGTTCGTACTCACCGACCCCTGGTGGCCCCGAACGCACAATGAGCCGTTCTGCGCGGACATGACAATTACCGAGAGGCAGTGTGGATGTTTCCTGCAAGCCAGCCAGTCGTGACCGGCCGCATCGTGATTCAATCGCCCAACCCACTACCGTTGGCTTATGATCGCCAAGCTTTGACACCCTTTAATGGTCTCGAACCCTGGCCTTCGCTAGGTGCCATACTCGACCAATCGAGTTGGTTCCGTTCCCGTCAACCTGTGCGACTGCAACGCGGGGATCACACCCGCGACGAGGGTCGTCTTTCTGGGAAAAGGGAAAAGCCAAAGAAAGGGCAGGAGGAGGAGGGGTACTTTTTTTTCGTACCTCTCTCTCTCTCTCCGCCTTTCTGCGATGTCACCAATTTCGTTATGATCGCCTCCGACCTCACGAGACCCAGTCCTTCTGCATTGCCCTCATGCCATGTAGCCATGGGCCGTTGTGTCTCAACCTTTCTCCTTTGGCAGAGGCCCGTTGTTTATTCCCCTGTTTTAATTTCCTCCGCCACGAGGCTTCCTTTTTTGCCCCCTCTCTTCCTCTTTTTTTTTTTATTTCCTTTTTCTCTCCCTGGTTCCCTCAACACCCAGATGAAAGACGTTATGATCGATGCCTCATGTCATAGAGAAGGCCAGAAAATGGGCGCCACTTGTAATATTTGGATGACATTTCTATTTTCTTGGAACCTTCATGGATTGTTCCTTTGCATTTCATGCATTCAACTCAACACCTTTACTCTCTACCCGATTACCAAGTCGACAAAGAATGAGACGACAAAAAGACTAAAAACCCCACAAAAAAAATATCGACCTCAGAAAGACGGGTGGTTGATTCCTGCAAGGCTTGTGTTTTTGTTGAGCATCAGACCCGGCGTTTTTCTTGCATGATTTCCTACATATTCCATTCCCATATTTTTCTTTTCTCTTTTCTCTTTTCTCTTTTCTCTTTTCTCTTTTCTCTTTTCTCTTTTCTCTTTTCTCTTTTCTCTTTTCTCTTTTCTCTTTTCTCTTTTCTCTCTTCATCTCTATTTCTTTCTCTCTTACTTTATTGCATGATCTCTTTCATATTGATGTGAGCATATGTTTTGATCCCCTTTCCTCTGAATATCCCGTTTCCTTTTTTATTTTATTTTATTCCTGTCGGCTGCATTTCATTTGGGCACAGCGTGTGAGTTCTGGTCAATTAGTATATGTCATATAGTATCGATTCCCACGGGAATTGCAATGGACATGACGATCTCATCTAACAGTGTGCCACCTTCCTATTCTATTGCCTCGAGTAAATCTTTCCATCCAGTAGAATGTATGGCTTCAAATGTCCCAGATATCAGCACACGCACATGTATATGAGTTGGGGTCATGATGAGTCTAGATTTCCCATTTCCCCAATGTTCCTGGCCTAGATCTCCACGCTCGTACACTTAACGTTTCAAGATCCACGGGTGACTTCCGAGGTTGGCTTCCAAGCTTGCCACATGGGGCCGGATTCTAATCCCCCAAATCCAAGTATTGGAGGAGATTCCTGTTAAATAGTCTAGTCTAGGCCCTGCAGGACCCATTTACTCAACTTATGGTCTTGGCTCGTTTTGACAGTATCTTGTATGGATCGACGAGACTATGGCTCTACGGGCCGGTCCCAGAATCCAGATCATACTAGTAGCATGTGTCTGGCCAAATGAAGACCAGTTTCCCGAGCTTTGCCTGGGCCTAAGATGATAAGATTTATCTCGGTTGTAAGCGTGAGTTTCTGTCATATTGGCTCCTTTCCAAGGTTCCTTTGGTTTATCTGATGCTCGGCCTACCGTGGAGTTAAGCTTAATACGTTCTATGTATTCCGGCCTGTTCTTTCGTACACCCAATCTAGAAATAATGCAAGTCATGCACATGTGTATCATGAACCGTACCTTTCACTGGAGAACGAGAGCAACCGATCAGAAACACCACTGAAATTAACCACTGGCTGCCTTATCAAGACAGGTACCAGCCAAGTAGTAGAGGGGGGGGGATTTAGAAATGCAGTCTTTTCAAGGGTTTACAAGGGTTTAATCTTGGACTGTATTGCTATGCTGAAAGGTAAATGTTTGAATATTGAACTTTGAAGTCATGAAAGTTCGGGGTAGACAGAGGAGATTGTTCTCATGGTGCAGTCCCCACCTGGTACTTACATCGAATTGTAACAAGGGAAGCTTTGAAAAGTATGTATGTAATAATAGAGACCAAAGGCAAAGTAATCAAGGCTTCAACTCACACCTAACAACGCCGAAGAACCGCGTACCCTATGATCGTGCCGTCAAATTCCGTTTTTTTTTAAAAAAAGAAGACAAGGCAAGGGTAAGTAAAACAGGGATATCAAAGACTGGCATCACAGGAACAGAAAAAAGAAGTAGAAGAAGCTACAAGGGAATAGTAGATTATCATTTCGACCCCCAGCCACGAAGTCTCATACCCTCCTCAATGGCCGTCCAGATTCCCTCTACAACTTCCCGATCCCTCCATCGTCCACCACCGTGAATACCACCTTTCTCATCCCATCGCTCGACGGAGAAGCTGTTTACACCACGTCCCCAGCCCTTAACTGTGGATGGTGCTTCCTCGCCCCTCCATCCAACATAAACACCAGTAGCATGCTTGAAAAGGTCGGGAGGAGAAGACCACTTATACGACTTAAATTGCCAAGTTTGTCCAGTAGTGAAAACAGCCACAAGCCGTGACCAGTACTCCGGCTTGAAGTTTGTAGTTCCATCCACAAGAATGAACTTGGTGGGCTTGGGGGCTTTGTGAGCGGGGTTTGCTGCAGCATTCGGATTGGAGGGATCCGATTTGAGGCGCAGTGGCCGCTTGAGTTCCATGAAGTTGGCCTCGGTAGACATGGACAGTGTGGGGTGGTCTGGTGGGACGAAGATACCGTCTTGCAGGAAGGATTTGATGTTGGACATGCGGATGAGAGAGGAAGCGGAGGGGGAAAGGAGAATGATGGGATCAGGCCGGGAGTTGGACTTGCGGGAGGAGGAGGACGAAGGCATCGAGAGGCCTGCAGAGGGGGCGGGAATCATGCTCTTGCTGCCTGGCTTTGTGGGTTGACCGGGGCGAGAGCGGTTACGGTCGAGGAAGACCTCGGCGCTCTTGCGGACATGAGAAAAGTCCTGTCAACCGTGTTAGTTGGTACTTAAGACACTCCGGGGGGGGGGACTTACGGTAGCTTTGATTCCTCTCAGCACAGTGTTCCGATCTCCAGTCTTGCGTTCCCCATTGTAAATCTCCTGTAGTCGAGGATCAATCGGCTTCTGCGCACGAGTACCCTGAGCTCCGGCCTGGACAGGTGCCCCAGGAGCACCACTAGGCACAGTAGAAACACCACCCTTCACACCGGACGCAATACCAGCTGAAGCTTCCGCCTGAGCAGCACCAGCAGCGGCGGCTGCTGCAGCCGCCGCCGCCGCCGCAGCGCCTTCCAAAGGCTTAATGTACTCGCTCTCATCGGACGCACCCTCGAGCCAGGTAATGAGATCCAAACGTTCGACGAAAGGAAGATTCTGGACTTCCTCCACTGTGCCGGATTCTGCTGGTCCCTTCAATTTTAGTGCCTCGTTCAGCTCCTGTGCGGAGGCAATGTATTCTGGGATAGCGACATCTTTCTTCTGCCACGCGAAGAAGATGCTGCGCAGGTCGACGGCGGATTCGACTGTTCCGGATACGATACGTGTAAAGCGGGTTGGTGCATTGAGGGGAATTGATTGTGGGGTTGGTTGCGAGAAGAAAAGATGTGTTGCCTGGGCTAGGTCTTCTGTCGCATGTTCGTTTGAGAGCTCGGACGAGGTTGTCGGGGCTGGGGGGCTATCCGAGGCAATGGCACGGCGCAGCGAGAGGAGCGGGTCCTGTAGAGATGCATCGGCTGTTGCCATTGTGATATTTAAGGGTGCAAGGCCCTAGGAGAAGCTGGGATGGGATCGGAGGTGAGGGATTGAGGCTGGTTGGATTTCGCGGTGGCAGCTCTGGACATGGCACGTGATTTCTAGAAACTCGCCAGTTCGCTCAAAGATCAGCGATAACAAAGTTGAACCTATCAAGTAGTATACCTATAGATCTACTACGAACGAACTTGAAAATTCGATTTCAGGTACATGTCACTGTGAGAAAAAGTCCTTTTCATTTTTTTATGGCTAATATTTCCACCATGATTGACGAATTAGAAATCTTGTCATAGTCGTCAACTCCGACATTCGCCATTCGATTTGTATTCCCAGTTTCCGTCGAACTCGAGGTTCAAGAAACTACCGGGGACTAAATGACACTCTGAATGGATGTACAACCCATACTGGTCTAAAACTTGATTTTTCTGCTCACCGAACATTGATTCAAACCAGGCAGCGCACTGCAGGACTCATATATCGCCACATCCAGCCCCAGGCGCCGAAGAAGGCAGTAATGCCAGTGAAAAGAATCAAAGTTCCATACTCGGTATCATACCCCGTAGCACCATCATGACCTAGGGATCCCTGTCGAATCAACACCGAACTAAGAGGTCCACTAATAACATTCCCAATACCTCTACCGCCAGCTAAAAGACCGAACACCAATCCGGTCTCCAATGACGGCGAAGACTCATCTTTAATCTGTGTGATGATGCCCGACCAAGTCGAGCTGAATCCACCCGCGAAAAAGCCATAGGAAATGGCGAAAACCGTCAGCAGAGCCACACCAGGCTCGGAGGAACCTGAATCCGTAGAAGAGGCCATGCCCCAAAAGAGAAGTACAGAGAGTGCAGATCCCACAGAGGATATGAGTACAACATTTGTCACGTTGCATTGGTCACATAGCATCCCCAATGCAATACCGCCGAAGATAGAGGTTGCGTTGAAAAGGGATACGAGAAGTGTTCCCATGGACTCGGGCAAACCGACAGTCCCTGTCGAGTATGACGGCAGATATGTTGACGGCAAGAAGTATCCAAAGCTTTGGATAACATTTCCTGCTTGTAGCACCCAAAATGTGACCGACTTGAGGAAGCTGAGGTCAAGAGGACGGGCAGATGCAGATGAAGACACTGGAATTCGGGGTTTCATGTAAGGAAGTGATAGTGAGGTTGTGATCAGCTAGAAAAAACTTGAATTAGCATAGTTCATTGAAGGCTGTGTTTGATAAGGATATGATGCTGGGAAAGTGCCAATCAATGTCTTTCATCATACCGTCACTACAGTCCATGCTCTCAAAGTTGTCCTGGAGCCGAATTCATTCAAACAGGCACTTGCAACAAAAGGCAGAGCAACGCCTGTGATGCTTTTTGCAGCCCACATTATCCCAAGAGCGAGTCCTTTTCTTCGTATAAACCATTGGTCGAGATACAAAGAAGACCGACTAAAAAGCAGCGCATTACCGATGGCACATATCACACCCTGGGTTGCAATGAGTTGCCATATTATCTCAGAGAACGAAGAAAGCAGGGAGCCGATCACGGTGATGACTAGCCCTGTTGGAGCACACCAGTGTTGCATACGTGGATATCGAGTCAACAGGGTAAAGGTGACTGGTGATAGAAGATATAGAAGCCCCTAGTATATCATTATATCATTAGTCAGATTTGGGAAACAAACGCAAATACCCGACATGCACTCTATTTAATACCGTTGATGTGGTCCCCACAGTCGCCAAGTCTCCTTTGTTACCCTGCAATACGTCATTCGAGGAGTAGTACTCCTGGAAAACACCAAACACACTCGAGAATCCTGAATGTATATGGGGTTAGTTCAACGTTCAATTTCAAGGTCTTTGCACTTAAGGCACACCCCAGACTGGGAGTTGAATGAGACAACAAGATGCTAGCATCAACCAAGCAGCTTTGCCTCCGTCGGGGAGAGCCAGCGTAGGCTGCTCGATCTCATGCGCAGATGAAGCATGATCATCAGAGGAGTGAGATAGAATCCGCTCCAATGGGAGACTCTCGTTGTTTGTGTTGTTCATTGCGTGAAACCTTGGAAGCATCTAAAGACGAAAAGAAGGCAACATTTGAAGTGCAAGAAAGAAGAATGAGGGGAAGAAGTAGTAGGTACTAGGTACGGAACGAGAGGAGCGATCGCCCCGACACGGGTCAGCCTTTTGAGTCATACCAAACATTAGAAAGACTAAACAATAGTAGGCACCTTTGAGCATCCTGTCTATTTCAAGGAGCAGTGGACATCAGGTTGGATATATGTTACAACTAGCTAATATTTTTATTAGCAGACTTGGTGTGGAAATCAATGATTGACAAAGCAGAAGCACAGGTTGAGAATAGTGGGATTTCCATAATATTTCGAAAACAGTTCTGCGAAAGCAAAATAACATCCTTTCTAGGTCATGAATCATGATACTTGAACTGACAGGGGCCCTAACTGACAAGCGCTCAGCCCATAATGGGCGAGCGCCATGAACTGGTTAGGATTAGCTCTCACTTGGTCAAGCCAGCCATAGCCATGAGAATCGAAGTTGGGGTTGCCCCACCACAATCACCCACATAGCCAAGCTTTCCCTTGCCAAACTTTGTCATAGCCACCGAAAATGAGAAAGGGTTCACATGTCCTGCTTCGACAACCTCGAGGGGTGTAATATCCTCTTCAGTGGGGCGATACCACACGTCCTTGTTCTCAACATTTCTAAGGAAAATGGTTTCGGCACTGTACGACTTGGGCAGGGTCTCCATTAGATGAGGTGGGAGAGAAAGGTATTCCCGATTCAGATAGACATCAGCGCGGTGCTTCTCATCGAACTTCCATAACAGTCGAGCATCCGCAAAGGGCTTCCGGACTGGTTTTCGCGGAGGAACGGTCGTGCTGATTTCACTGAAGTCTCCGATGCAGATGGCTGTTCCACCACGCCGGACATAACCAAGCACGGCCTCCCAGACTTCTTTATTCTGGGGATTGATCAATACCTGGCTGTTGACAAACACGACATGGAAGGGCCTTTCGAGTTGTTGGATGGCCGTGGAGATTGAATCGAGGGGCTGAATGAGAACTGCCTTTTCCTTGATCTTTCCAATGAGGTCTGCATACACCTCCCGGTGATTGGCCTGCGCTCCCACGGCCAGAAAGAGAACATGGCTATCAAAACTAGAGGTTGACATGGTTGAAAATGCATCAAGGGATTTCCAACGAAAGGGATATCAAGTCAGTATTGTGTGATGAGGGCTGGAAATTTCAGAAAGTGTTCACGGGAATTGAGGTCCTCACGTTGTAGCAGTGCCCAGGTGTTGATGAGGAATTGGTGGAAGCGAAGCAGGAAGAAGGCTTGGGGGAATGTAACAGCTTCCAAAATTCGCGCATGAAGAGGTAAACAGAGGGAGAAAACACCAAGGGAAGGCACGACCTTGGTTTCCTCACGTTCTCTCACTTCCTGTCAACATTGAACGCTGAACGCGAGATATAATCCCAATAAGGAAGGAACGCGTTGCAGTCTCCAGGCATCTGGACAGCTTCCAAGGTTGTTACCACTGGTTACTTCCAAGACAACAGTATTGCTTTTACTCATATCAAGTAGGTTTCAATCCTCTGATTCTTCTCCTTGTTGTCTTTGATATCGCTTTTCAAAAGAGACAGGCAGACGTCTTTTGGGACACTGAATGGGTAAGCCCTCTCAAGTACTGGGCATGAAGCTCGGAAGAGTATACTAGTACCTTACATACTATTATACCTAGTACTATGTAGTACTACATAGTACTTGTTAAGGATAGATGTGGTTCGTATCTGGATGATAGATACATACAGCTCCAAGATTCCAACGGTCAAGATTTGGACATTCCAACCATTGGTCTCGAGTTGAGATTTCCTTGACAGAAGGTTTATGCATAGATGTCTCGTTATGCGCTTTTCGTTTTTTTCTGGTGACAACTTCGTAGTACCTTCTCCTGAGAACCAGCCTTCGTACACCTCCAAAATAAGTGGGTACACTCGGAGGCTTGAAAGATGGAGAAACGAGAAACACAGACAAAGCAAAAGAAAAAGGAAATAGCGTCTGGACAAACCGCTATGGTAGGCGGAGGGAAGTGAGGTGGGCAGGATATAGGCACTGCAATTGTCCCGGATCAACCATCAGTTATAACGACTCGAGAACCTTGCATGTGCCCAGAAGATATCAATCCACTTGATAGTGGGTGGCTACTAGTACTTCTGATATCCACCGGTTATGCGCGCACGTATAAACTGCGCCAGATATGATCATAAACATTGGAAAATGGTGATAATTGGAATAACTTAATAATAATATTGTTCATACAAGCTATCCTATGCCATGGAAGAATAAAACTCCATGTCGAAGGAGAGAAGAAATCCGGTAGATAATCTCACAGATCATGAGAAATTAAGCGGCCGTGCTGCTCGAAGGCAAGTCACACCGAAGGTCCATAACCCACCCGAATCCTGGTATTTCCGTAACCGACCTTCCCATTTCCTTGGACACGCCATGTACGCCGTTCGGAAAGAAAAATAAAAGAAAACCGTCACACAGACACGCAGTCCGAACGCCGTTGCCACCCTGGTAAGGGTTGAAAGAAGTCACACGAGAGAAAGATTTTTGAAGTCGTAAGAAACGTAATTCCGAAGAGGTTTCATCAACCGACCACACCATTATTACCACACGCAGTAAGAATGACAAGAGGGATACAAAATATAGCGAGTAAAAAGGATATCACGAAGAGATAGAGGGGGCGTGAGGATGGGTCGAGTCGGAGGTGTCTTTCATCACAGCATCAAGGGGCTGTAAGGTCTCAGCCTTGTTGTCCAGTGAAGGCTTGCTGCCGGGAGACTGCACATCATCTGCACTCGCCAAATGCCCTTGTCCCGAAGGAACAAGCGGGTCCTGCGCAAGAGGGGTCGGAGCAGGAACAGAGGCCTGAGGCTGAGACCTATCCGAGGTAGGAGTTGTCATACCTCGGCGGCTTAGATAATCGCCAAGACTGAGTTTCTTCTTAGCTGGCGTTGGGGTAGGTGCAGCAGGCGGGTGTGCAGAGTGAGGAGAAGATGCATCGAGCGTTGAAGGGGAAGCAAGACTAGCAGTAGATGCAGATCCAGGGCTAACTGCGAGAGGAATGGAGGGGATACTGGGCGGGGGCATAGAGACGCGAAGATTGCCGTGCACCACAGGAGTAGTCGACCCTGGAAGCCTGGTGTTGTGGGCAACAGTGGATGGCCACGGATGAGGGATAGCGGTTTTGTTTGTGTCATGGCCTGCATGCTTGATATCATACTCGGACTTGCCAGCAACATCCTGCATGTCCACATCCCTAGCCGATGGTGTGCCGGCAGTAGAAGTATCCACATCCACATCCATCATAGCAACGTTTGGTTTGCCAACCCGTCCAAGAGTAGGGGATTGAGTCATGGGAGACACTGAGCCCCCAGGGCCCACACTGTCAGAACCAGCTGATGACAACTGTTGCCGGGCAACCTCTTCGGCTCGCATACGATCCATGCTGTATCGCTTCAGCAGACGAATCTTGGATGGGATGAACTGGATACGTGGACGGGGAGAGGAATTCAAGATTGATGGTTCATCGGCGTCGTCGAGATTGACCTGAACTGCAGCATCCACATACGCCGGTCGACTGAAGGAGGGGCGAGTGAATGGCGTATTCGATCCGGATGCCTTGCTGGGACTTGCATGCCGACCAGCAGGCAAAGAGCCTGGAGACAAACCTGTAGTAGGAGATTGGGATGCATCCGCAGCGGTATCAATGTGAAGCATTTTCCCAGATCCACGCTGTGATCCAAAGTACCCAGTCTGCGTCGATGTAGAGTTTCCGACTGCAGATGGGGATTGGGCCGATGGAGCACTTGTGCGCTTTTTCCTCTTTTGGGCCGTGGTCCGTTGATCGTTTTCCAGTGCCTGAAATTGCTTTTCGGCATCGGCAATCTTGCGACGCTCGCGGATGGACATGCCAAGTGTCACGGGGCCCAGGTTGGAAGCAGTCGGACTCAAGTCCCGGCTGAGAGATTTTCGCCGCACAGAACCTGATGTTGATCGACTGTCAACAGCCGCGTCGTCATCTTCAAGATGCTTCGTGGTTTCACTTCCAGCGCGGCTGGTCGAAGCACGGCTAGTTGAACCACGGCGCGTATCCAGCGGAGATGTGCCAGACTTAGTTTTAGCCTTCTTCCGCTTGCCATTGGTCTGTTTGGGGGTGTCAAGCAACTTCGGAGGCCGCCGGCGGTCAATGTTGGCAAGCAAGCAGTTTTGTGGGTGTTCACATGCACACCCGCCGAAGTTTGCGAGAGTGTTGCTGATGCAAACAGCGGCAGCATCCGTTGCGCTGTCCCCAGATTCTTGCTTGACCACGCCATTGGATGACTCAGATAGCTGCGCATCTAAATACCACATGATGGTAATCTCCGAACCTGCGGGGATGTCTTCCTTGGCAACAAAGCAGAAATGGTACTCAACATCGTTTGTGATGAAGATTCGCATGGTAACGTTTGGCCGACAAGACCGTCGAGTGTAACGGAGCATACTACCTTCATGTCGGCTGTCGATGTAAAGTGGTAGGTGAGAACTGAAGAAAACAAAAGGCTCTGGGTGGCGCAATTCAGACCACCTGTTGTTGGGATCAAGGCAATAGTCGTCAAAAATTCCAACCGTGCCAGTGATTTCTCCAACAACTTCATCTTTGCGCACGGCATCCTGAGTCTTCACGATTTTCCATGTGGGGTTGCGGCCGCTTGTTTCAAGATTTGAGTCGGTGATGGTGTCTGTAGTGAGGGCAGGCCAGTGAGAGCGATCTAGAGCAGCGTCGGACCACATGAAGGTGTCCTCAGATCGGCGGCCATTGGTGACTCGAGCCAAGGAATCTGGGTTCTTGACCCAAGAGGCCGACTCGGCCAACAGATTCACGGTCTTGAATAGGTTACTGTCCCTATCAACACGACTTTCATCATTATCGTAGAGTTGTAGGAATTCCTTGGAGTAGAGAGGGATGGAGGGACCCGAGGGCTTGGTGGGGGAGGGCGCAGTAGAGACAGAAGAGCGGCGTTTACGAGACTGAGTTGGGAGGTGAGGAGCGCCAGAGAGAGCACTGACGGAGGCCGAGGACCGGTGGGAGGTTTTCGTCTTCTTCGATGGCGGTTGATCACGAGCGGTAGAGTCGCTGCGTTGATGACCCAATCCATCTACATCGCCATCCTTGGGTTTTTTCTTGGGTGCCTTCGCACTGGATCGTTTTCTTCGGTCACCGTCCTCACTCTGTTCTCGAATCCGTCGTTGGCGTTGTCGGTCAGTAGCGCGACGGCTGTCCAACTGACGTGGCTCACATTCAATGCAGTTGTGCACATCCGGTACTCGCACGCCTGGATAGTAGCAGACAATGTGCTGCCACGTCTCACAGCGTTCGCAGAATACTGTGCTACCGTCATCTTCATTGAACTGACAGATACATTTAATGGTGTATGGCTCTTCTTCATCGGGCGCGCCCGAATCAGAGATAGCACCATTTGCTGGAGAGTCTGGAGGAGCGGGGACCGGGGACGGATCCGTGGTGGCGTGCGTGATGGCGAGGGAGGAGGTATCTGTCATAGTCCGACAGATTACCCCCTCTCAGGTCAGAAAATATGGGGAAAGATGAGGAGAGCGATGGCGTGGCCGACCCGTCACTATTCAACGAGCATATCAACGACCACCTGAAAGGGTGAATCTTTGCAGTGTCCTGTCTGAACAATGCTGGACGCGTTTCGCCAGGATAGTTCTCCGACACAGACAGAGCTTCAGCCTATTGTGAGCCTGAAAACCCCGTCTAGGTTCAACAAAACACTTCCCAGGAGGGTTCACGTCTTGATTTCGATGATGCAGAGGCCGGTTGGGCGAGAAAGAAAATCCTGGCCGAATGCGACTGACCCGTGTCCTGAAGGGTGGAAGGCAGGAGGTGGGCGATATCGAAAGGGCGAGTAGGGAACAGGGTGTAAAACGGCCAGGCGATTCCAGATGAACGGTTGAGCCGGGTGCGATATGCGTAGGGAGGCTACCGGAATTCGTTTCGAGGGGGGAAGTTGAAGGCGTAAAGGGTTCAGGGCGACGGGATCGCGTGGAGAAAAAGAGAAGTGGAAGAAGAGACGAGGATCGAGAAAGAGCGGAGGGAACACGGACAAAAGAGATGGAGAAATAAGATTCGAGGGAAGGGAAGAAAGAGGACGCGCCGGGAAAATAGGAGAGAAAAAGAGGGTGAGTCTGAGTGAACTTGGATGGAAGGAGGAGAAGATGAGCGGGCCTAAGGCAGCGAAAGGCCCCGAACCAGGAGCCCAGCGAAAGGGGATTAGCGTGGGTTGAGTCGCGCTGCGTTGACTCTCGAAAGCCCGAAAACGAACAGAGAAAACCGGATGGAAGAGGGGGGAAACGGTTAGGAAACAAGAGGGAAGCCAACCTGGACACTGGCTGCGGCGTAAACCCTGTAAGAAACGAAGGGAATTGTGTCACAAGGCTGTCAGCATCCTGTATCTCGGTGTATTGGAGTGGGTGAGCTCGGTAATATACGCTAGTCCACATTGGGACTAGCGACGGGAAGAACTGAATGCAGTGGGGAGGGAAATCACGGGACTAAAACCGGCAGAAAACCATGGAAGGGAGAAAGAGGGACAGGACAAGGGTTGGTTAGCATCTAGATTCACGTTAATAGTTCTCAATGAACATATTGGAGACATAAAGTTCAGGTAGTGCTGTTGTCATGGATGACAGGAAAGAGACTGGCCCACAAAGCTAAAAAAAAAGTTTGTCCGATGCACATCTCGGATTTCCATGCATATGGAAGTACATAGCTGGGCGGCATTTTTGATAGGTAGCCCGATCTAGAGCGCCTGATGACGCATCAGATCAAAGGAGTGGAAGGATAAGATTCTCATGGCCTGTCAAATGGAATCTGTAAGTGTAGAAAGGAAGAGGAAGAAGAAATTAGTAGGGTATAAAGAGGTTAATGGTGAACATGATGTTCTTGACCAAAGATAGGTCAAAGAAATCATGATGAAGTAAGGAGAAATGAGGTGGAGGGAAGAATGAAAATGAAATAGGAGTGGGAAAGGGTTAGAGAACCTGGAATAGATGGGAAAGGTTGAAATAGTGAAAAGAAAAGGCACAAGTGCAAGAATAGGATGAATGATTAAGCAGTAAGTAAGGTGTGGAAGCTAGAAGGAAGAGTGCGTATTTGTGAAGTAGAAGTAGAGCAAGTTGCAGAGGGAGCGTGGATATGGGGGAAATTTTGGCCTTGGGACGAAGGATGATCACCCGAAAAGATGGGGCAGCAGCGTGGCGCCGAGCATCGGGAGGGGAAAGTCATCTGGTCCCTTTTTAGGTTATTTGGGAGAATGTGGGGTGGGAAAAAGAGCAGCCGCGAGAGGGAAAAGCGGATAACAAGTTGATAGGTTGATAGACGATGTGTCTGAGAAAAATATGGACTCTTGTGGGTGGAAGGAGAAAGGAAGATCGCTAGAGAGGAAAAAAGGGCAAAGTTGCCGTCTTTGGTAAAAAAGGGGGGGGGGAGACAGAATGATCTAGCAGCCCGATATTAGTATTCCAGCCCGGTGATTTGGCAGCGTTTTTTTTTTCGCCACTATAGAACGTCGCAAGTGCGCAAGGAACAGGGCTAATCAGACCAAACGGTTAGTGAATCACAAGCTGTAAATCGTATTAAAACTTACTTGTTACGGCCCGCCCAGGGCCCTGCACACTTGCGGGAACCTGTTCCCTAGCGACCACACCGCTGGGCAAATCCCTGCGTTTGGGCTCCTGCTTAGGTATGATGGAAAATTGTCCGTTTCAATAAGATGAGATCGTGCGTTGGGGAAACAGTATACCGGTAAATGCAAAGGTAAACGTAAATGTAAACGTAAATGTAAACGACTCTGGAGGTTTGCAGGAATCGTGGAGGCACAGCTGTGGCGCTGTGGATCCTGGAGTATCTCAATAAAATATGCAAAAAATTCTTGGAATGAGTGAATAGAACAGGAAGAGAGAACAACCGAACCTTGAAAATATTGAAGTTTCCAAGGTTAGATTTTTCAGAATCAAGAGAAACAAATGACGGTTAGGGCAAGGTAAAGTGGGAGAAAGAAATCAAGTGAAGCTACTAGTACTAGACTTCAAGGTTCTGGAGAAGCACATGACAACCAGAAGGCAGCTGGGCGCACCAAACAACTCGATTAGGTCAACGAAATGAACACTTGGAAGAAAAAACATGGTCATAAAATTTGGGAATCAAAATTTGACCTCATGGTCTTTGTAATTGCTGTAATCATGAAGATCTACAAGCTTCAAACTTGAAAGCGACAGCTAAAAATTGCAGGAAAGACACCTTAGGTTTCGAAAAATGTGTGACACCAGCACGCTGCACACCTCTTATTTATTGATAGGTTGTTTACAACCAAGGAAAATACACTTTTCGAAGAAATAATGATAGCAGGTTGCAAGAAAGAGAGAGAAAAAAAAACCATGAGCAAAAAAATGGAAACAAAGAGCTGTACAAACCAAGCCACCTCCGCTGCTGTCGTTGACAAGCTACCAACACCTTCGGTCGCGTCTTTCTCCATTCCTTAACATAGCTTACACCTCCCTGGCCATTGCCCAGACCTGATCCAGCTCAAGAGTTGTGGGTGGTTGAAGCGATCGCCCATATGGTATCCGTGTACGTGGGCAGTGGTTGGTTTCTGGTGCTCGAGGTGGCTCTTTGACATTGCATTCCTCAGCAGGAATTCCACGTGGAACCGTGTCTCCAAATCGATGAATGACATATAAAAGACCAAATAGAGGTATGCTAATATATGCCATTACTACCCTCGCGCCTCGTGGCCCATTGTGATTTGCCGGAACGGCAGAGATTAGTCCGTTGGATAGCAGTAAAACAATGCTGAAACCAAAGCCCATGGCTGTACCCACCGGCTGGAAAGCATGACGATAAGCAGTGGTGATCCTATTTGCGTGCAAGCGCACTCGGAAGCGACGATATACAACACTTGAAAGGATCCAGGAAAGGTAGCCGGAACTGTTCACAAAGAGGATAAAGTATGTCGTTATGGTCGAGCTGGACGTGGCGACGGACAACAAGGCGAGAGACGTGAAAGTTGCTGTGAAGACAACAGCCACCCAGGGAACACCCCAGTTATTTCGATTTTTGAACATCGTGGGTGCATGACCAGCGTCTGCCAGGGCGCTTAGTGAGCGAGAGGCGAGGTACAGGAACGACTGGGCTGAGGTAACAGAAGAGAGGAGAATTGCAAGAGTCGCGGTGACAGGAAGGATTCGAATCCTTGCTGTGTTGATACCGATGACGAAGGGGGACAAGCCAGCTCCAGCTCCACCGTTGGTGAGGAGAGGATTGTTGTAGGGAGCCATGGTGCCCATTGCCAAGGATGTCAGGATGTACGGAACAACAGTCTGGCAGATGTCTCCGGAAACTCGTCTCGGTATGTTGGAGTTTGCCGCTGGCTGTACGCTTTCGGATATCTCGGGCTTCTCATCAACTTCCCGCTGCTCGGCTCGTTGCACAATCAACTCAGGTGCGAAGGTAAACGCGGCGGTGCTGAGATGAACAGATTGTAATAACCCCAGAAATTTACCCACTGATCCATGAGCGAGGTACTCGTGCATAGCCCCGGGCTTTTTCCAGTATTGAAATCCCCAATGGTCATGGCCAGTGGCACCCCCAAGAGCGATGGATAGAGAAAGGGCAAGAAGACAAGCCAATGTGCCGATTTTGATCCGATAGAAGACAGTTTCGGCTCTTTTAAACAGTCGATCGGGGAGAAAGTTTAAACCGACGATGATGCCAGTGCACAATATAAGCCAGACGGCAATGTTGGAGCCAGGGTTCCACAGCCCAAGATTGACCATCGCTGTCGTGATCTCGTATGGGACGAACATGGCCATGGTATACCAGCGTAGACAGGCGGTGGCGAACCCCAAGCTGTTGTTCATGTACTGGAAGCCATGCATGACGACCGTGCCATGGCGAGAGGGTTTGTAGGTAGCAACTTCTGCGACACTGGTGGCCATGAAATAAACCAGAAGCGATAAGAATATGTAAGAAACGAGTAGTGAGGCCGGCCCGCCAACAGCCAACGCTTGGCCGCCGGCGAGAAACAAGCCAGTGCCAAGGGTCGGTCCAATGGCCATTCCGGGTATCAGGAAATAAAGATAGGGCTAGAATGAAGGCGGGCCATGGATTCAGAGAGACCCAGGTATTCGAAATGACATGAAGTTGTAACTATTCATTTGTGCATTCCGATGAAAAAAAATTCCAAGTCGCACCTGCCTGGCGGAGGTCATTTGCATTTTTCAATTAACAGTTTACATAGTCGTACCTGCCCTAAGATCATACATTTTCTTAGCACACACGCGAAAACGATCATGTGGTATAAGGTCAACTGGTCGATGTGGAAGCTTCAAATAGAATTGGAATTGGAACGAACAACAAACATTCATGTTATTAAGACAAGTGCAAGGGTATCATTAGTTATCTCAAAGGGATTGGATCTTTGCTCATCCAGCATATAGAGCTGAAGAGCCAGTTCACTGGGAAGCCAGATCGGTCTCGGCATATTCAAGCCACTCTCCGGCCAACGATTTCTTCCAAAACCTGACCGCACCGTCGTCCCCAGAAGAAATCAGCGAATCGCCTGAGCAGTGCGTTAGAATGTACAACATTTTCAGAAAAATTAAAAACTTACCAGCGAAGGAAAATTCAACCTGCCACACATCTAGATGCCTGCTTTCTATGCATGCGACTTGCTTGAATGAATGCTTAAACAGAGAGTCTCCACTGGCTTGGCGATTTGACACTGATTCAGGATCATGATTTGCCAGGGCATTCCCAATTCCAGATTGCGATGTAGCACGCACAGATGGCGATTGCTGATGCCGCCGTTCGGCCTTCCGAGAACTGGAGTTTTGGGAAGTTTGATTGATGGGTGTCGTATAGACTTCAAAAATGCGCACCAGGCCATCTTTGCATCCACTGGCAATGAGATCGTATCCCCGTACGGACCCATTTGCCCAAGAGATATCCCTGACCAGGCTGGCGTGTCCATTCAATTCAATAGCGTGGTAGAAACGTCGGTTTGCATCCGTGCGATAGACCTTCACAGAGTCCATTGCTGCAACGACTAGTGATAAACTCTTCCGATCTGAGTCCGATTGGATTGAGTGGGTGATATCGGTGGGATCGTGGTGAAATTGCACTTTGAAACTTGTTTCCTCTCCGCGTTCAGGTGCTGAGCAAACCCGAAACTGGTCGATCGGTTGCCAGTCCGCCAGGCTATCCGGACTGACGGGTTCCATTACCATCAAGTAACCGTCGCGGGTGATCACAGCCATCCATGACTCCAAGTCAATATTCCGAAAATCCAGTGACACAAATGGATGGCGTTGGGGCGCTGTCATGCGGAAAATAGACCTAAAGCGCCGGCCAGAATTGGGTGACTGTGTTACGTCTTCCTGCCAGACTTTGAGTTTCATGTCTTCTCCGACACTTGCAATATGTTGGCCCGTGAATGGACCGTTCCAGGTCGCCTGAGATGGTATATTAGAGCGCGTTTCTACGCGACACAAGCAGATGTGTTGTGGTTTTCGGGTCTTACATCACGAATCTCCGCGTCATGGGCCCGCCAGGTGTCCAACAGTTGCCACTGACCATCCTTCAAATCCCAAACTTTCATGCGGTGATCCGAAGAGGCTGTGACAATCCGATTGCCATAGAAGTTGAACTTGGTGACAGTTACCAGATCCCGGTGGCCAGCATCGAAATCGGCAAATCCACCGGCCATCTCCGGGCGTTCCATTGCCCCCATTGGGACCAGCTATTCGACCTCTATTGATTCAAGGCACACAAAATGAACAATGGGCCAATGATGCACTTCACTTACACATATGCATGTCGTGACATGAAACAAAGGTGTCTCGGGTTTCCTTACTTGGCCGCGATCAGCAGTTCTCTGCCGCCTCAAGGCGGTCAGATATGGCGGGCAGATTCGATAAGCTTATCGCGGCAGTTTCCGCATTGATGCCACATTGCGTAAGCCGTGCTCCATAGGAAAGGTGTTCACTTCTTTTTGAGCACGTTTTTCTATTTCTTTTTTTTCGGCTTGGATTGGATCATAATCAATTGATACGGGTATCAATTGTCCATGATGCAGAATCCAAGTACCCTTTCTAGGGCGGAAACGTGGCGCCTGTTGCTTCTGGTAGGAGCTGGCCTCGGAGTGTTAGTCAACACGTTCCAGGGTGATGGTGCACCCTTGATAGCCTCGATTGCACTAGCTTGCATATCATTTGCTGTGGCATATAGCATGATTAGATGGCTTGGGCCAGTCTTCATCAAGGCTGGTTTGAAGGGAAAAGATATGGCCAAGCCAAGAAAACCCGAAATGTAAGTATACACTCCACTAACGATTTGTGGCGTGATCATCAGAGTCTGACCCCACGGCTTAGACCAGAAACAATGGGAGCCGTATGCGCTGTGGTTTACTTGATCGCTCTCATAGTGTTCATTCCATTTGCATTTTACAAAGACATCGTCGCAGCAACCTCAGGCGGAGGAAATCGCGACGTGGTTATTGAAGACCAACACATTGAGACGGGTCGTTATCTTCATAGATTCCCTCATGGAAAGGTTTGTTTAGCCAAAAGATTTCTTGTTGGTTTTTTTTTTTAAAAAAAAACAAACAAAAAATACGCAACGCGCTGACGTTTTGGCCCAATAGCTGGCATCATACCTATCGGGTCTGCTTTCTTTGCAATCTATCGTCATTCTTGGAATCGGCGATGACCTACTTGATATCCGCTGGCGACACAAGGTCTTGATTCCTGCATTTGCAGCGATTCCCATGCTCATTGTTTACTTTGTCGATTTCGGTGTCACTCATGTCGTTGTGCCAGTCCAACTTCAGACATATCTCGGAGATTCCATTGACCTCGGATGGCTGTACTACATGTACATGGCAGCTGTGGCGATCTTCTGTCCGAATGCAATCAACATGCTTGCAGGTATCAATGGCATTGAAGTTGCCCAGTCACTAGTTATTGCGGTTCTACTCCTATTCAATGATGCCATGTACCTGGCACCAATCACGCCATACCCAAACCCGGCTACCGACTCGCACCTTTTCTCCATCTACTTCCTACTACCATTTATCGGCGTCTCGGCTGCGCTTCTGTGTCATAATTGGTATCCATCCAAAGTGTTCGTGGGTGATACCTACTGTTACTTTGCCGGTATGGTGTTCGCTGTTGTGGGCATACTTGGGCATTTCAGCAAGACCTTGCTCTTGCTGTTCGTTCCCCAAATCTTCAACTTTGTGTATTCAATTCCGCAACTGTTCCACATCATTCCCTGTCCTCGCCACCGGCTCCCAAAATTCAACGCCGCGACGGGGCTTTTGGATACTTCTGTCACTGAGTGGACGGTTCCTCCATCGACGTTAATCGCGATGGCGTTGGACATTCTTCACAAACTGCGGCTTGTACGCATCGTCAAAAACGAGGAAGGGCATATTGTGGAGTCGACAAACTTGACTATTTTGAATCTCTGGCTTGTTTGGATGGGGCCCATGAGGGAAGACACCCTGGCATGGCATATGGTGGGGGTTCAGACAGTTTGTGGGTTGTTTGGGTTATTCGTGCGACATCGCTTGGCTTTGCTCGTGTTTAACACGGATAATCTATCATTCCAGTCTATAGCGTAATCTCGCGTCTTGTTTTTCTCGTGTAATATGCTCAAATACCACATAGTAGCTTCGTTTTGCCATCATTATTCCACTGTTAGAGATTGTATTTTCTTCATGTATATTATTGACACTAATTATGTATGAATTTCATAACAGAGAGCCAGCCTCAAAGATACCAGCTGTTTTTTATCGGCTTTGGTCAACGTGGTCGGTGTGAGCCTTCTTTGAAAGGCTATTACATGTATGTATTCACCCCTGGAAACGCCGCGAAACAAAAACCAGGGAATGACAAAATTCAAACCCTTGCCTGTATAAGGCTGGGCGACATTAAAGTCCTTTTGAAGGCTGACTACTACTCAGTGTCAGATGGCTCTCGCAGAGCTCGAGCCTCTCTTTCAAGTTTCTTATCTCCAAAAAGCGTTCCAACCTCTTTCACGAGGAGCCACGCCGGCAGGATAGCAATTGCCCACAGGACAAAGTTGAGGTAAACACTTCCCACGGCGGCCATGATCGTCACACTGCTGAGACCATACTGAAAGTTGAGAAGAGATGTTAATATTCGAAGAAAGCGGCGCACGGGGCACGTTTGAGAAGAATTCAAGAAGAAGCACTTACACTGACAGCTTGTGCAGCAGACTCAGTTCCACGTAACAAACCGGCAATTCGGACAACTTCCTCATCATCATCCGCCAAGTTGCCGACCAAGAAGAATCTGTCTTCACATTAGCACTGCCCATGTGGGTTTGAACGATTTTTGATTTCGGATGTTGTTGGAACTCACAGATACATATAGTTGAGTTGGAACCCAGCAACCCAGAATAGGAAAAGCGCGAATGCTCTTCCAAAACCAGGATCAACCCAGTCGTACACTGGGTTTGTCTTGTTGAACTCGGTGGTGTTGATCGTGGCCCATATCCAGCAGATTCCTTGCCAGCCAACGACAAAGAAAAAGGCAGCTCTAGTCCGTGTTTTGAGCGAAATGGACTTGTTGTCGAGGAATGCCCCCAGAACATTTCCTGCTATCAGCGCAACAATTCCACTGAGAAAGGAGCCGAGAGCTCGTGATCGCACGGTGAGCCACAGGTCCTCATACGAGAACATCACGGCTTCAGTATAGACAGCCTGACAGATAAATGGAATGATCAACAGGAACTTGCGACTCAAGAACAACTTGGTCATCTGCTTGAGCTCAAACCCGACACTGTTGTTCACTTTCAGTCGCACAGGAACCCCATCCTTTCGCTGCACCTGGGACGGTGTATTCAGAAGCAATCCAGCAAATGGACCCAAAGCCTGAAGCACAATGAAGATGATATACACGGTATATGACACACTTCCCGCAGTCGAACGATTCGCATTGATGCCCAAGCTGATCGCGCCACCCAAGATCTGCCCTCCAACACGGAAACTTAACCAGAATCCCAAAAAGCGACCTTGATTATATGGCTCAGGATAAGAAAGCGCGATCGCGGCTTCGGCCATCCAGAAAATACCCGCCGAGATACCGCAAAGCGCCGCACCCAGAATCACGAGCCACGAATCCCCGAAGCGATTGTTTGTGTATAGTCCCGCGGCGTACGGCGCATAACCCATTGTTCCAATTATCAAGGTCCACTTGATGCCGATAAATCGAACGACAACACTGCCCAGGAAGCAAGATACAACCATGAGACAGAATGTTAGGGCGTTTGCTGCGTTGACGAGGTAGGGCTTTTCTTCGCCTCCTCCACCCAGGGAGTTCATCGCTCCCCAGATACCGGGAGCTAGGAGGTTGCAAAGCCCCAGAACGAGGGCATTGTAGAACGTCGAGCGATACCATTTTACTATTTAATCCACCGGTTAGGTCAAATTTCATCATTGAAAAAAGAAAAAACTATGAATTTACCTGGATGCGATTCCCCAGACTGGGACTCATATGTATCGCTGACCTCCTCATCTTTCGGCGGCGCACCTTTATCCACGCTTGTCATGGTGGGCGAAGAGATATCTCGACTGGATTAAAGAAGGAACTGCATACAGACCTGTGTGGAGGCCAGACCCTGAGCTTTTATTGTTTTAAAGACCATCCCGTCTTAACTGCCGATCTATGTCTGGCTGTCAAAAATTCTCCACTTGAAACATGATATCTGTTGCGGCGACATGGCAACATCGGGGAACTTCCATTTCCGATCTCATTCCCCGCGTCAACATGAAAGAAATTGAACTGATACGCATTAAGGGTCCGGGGATGTTGTTGTTTTTGGCCAAGATTACGTGCTCGCACGAACTTCAGACTTGCGGCACACGTCATATTAGGAGCGGGCGAGAAATTGGCGACAATCTTAATTACCATGTGCTTATTTAGCCGTTCCTCTGGAAATAAAGCCTTCATTATGTTTGATTCTTTACGGCCGAGAGAACATGGACGCTTTAATTCCGAAGTTCTGTTTCGTCAACATACTATGATAGGTAGGCAGGTTTTCATTTGGATGCAGCCACACGATACACTTGACATCAGAATTCATGCATAATAGAAATCTGGATATACGAAGGTCATGAGTTCTCATGTGTCCTTGAATAAAAGATTGGCACGCAGCTATGAAGGTACTTTGCATCGATTTACCCCAACTTGAAGATATTCTGGGGAAAGCCTAGGTATATGATCCAAGATGGCTCAGGCTAATTCTGACGTAGAGTAGATAAGTGAGAAGTCATTACTTGCTGTGCCTTAAAGAGTCTGTTGATCCTTGGAATAGCTAAGAAATCTTTGGCCATTGAAGGAGTTCAAATGTTTGAGAGCCCCGTTGTCCCAAGGCTGTTGCTCCGTATCTTTTGTCTGCCAATGACTACCACCTAACATTAAAATTATTGTATAGATGTTTTTTTGAACTTGAAAGAATTCTTCCCTACTTTGATTATTGATTAGCAATCTTCATCTGATAATCTAGAACGCACTGGTGAAAAGAATCCGGGAGTTCGGATGCACCCCTGAAAGTCCAGCCAAACAGACTCAATCTTTCGTCATCGCAACCCCGGATCACATCAACTCGAGTCCGAAAAACACCTTCACTGTCGTGCTCGATCGGAGTTCGTGCACTGGATCACAATTTAATGAATGCTTATCTCTCCAAAATAATATACCAAGTCAGATCCATGTAGTTCAACTTGTATGTTTCTTGACGAGTTCGAGTTTCTTACTTCCACTTTTGTATAGTTGCCCTAACATTCCCGAGATCCTCAAGATCCGCTCATGCTTAAAAAGAGGTCCTCGTTTCAGAACGGAATCTTGATTAAATTATGGAGAATTACACGGGAGATTCACAAAGCCAACCGAGATAAATAAATAAATTCAATGTTTGATCTACTCCGCACGATTCCCCTCCTAGACGGCCAACGAGAAGTCGTCATCACGCCATCCAGGCCCCGCCATGAGCAATGCACAGCATCCCTAACACTTCTTACGACAATAGGATAGGCTGAAAGCGCAGATATGTAAGCAATTACGCTTTGATCCTACGCTCTTTTCGTCAAAGACCTTGGTTCCAATGTTCGGCGGAGACGCTCCGACCAAATGTGCGTGCTTTTGGTAAGTATTGATATCAATGCTCCCCGCTCCTATAAGTGGCGAGCGCGCGTTGCCTAGATCTCTCGCCCGAGAAATGATTCCTATTGGTAATCCAACTGGAATATAGATAGAGGTTGCTTTGGAATCCACGTCTGCTCGTGGAATCTTCGTTCTAAATTATGGCCTTGGTAGCACCCAGCATCATGTCAACCACCACCTGCCTCCAGCTCGAAGAGCTGCATGATAAGCCGTCAACCTTTCATCGCTATATCTTTTCAGAGACTCGGTCTCGGCCACTGCTTTCTAATAAAGAGAAGATCGAGGAACGGATATCAACACTCAATACACCTTTGGAAGCAAAACAGAGAGTTTTGCTTCTCAAGGCAGCCCGAGAACAATATACTCTGGTAGATGACCACCACGTTCCTTCTATCCTTCATCCAGGAGAGGTTCTTGTTAAGGTATGATTCTGTTTGGCGGGTTTAGGTCCATTTGTACAGGCCCTCAGATGGAGTACTGACCATCCACCGGCAGGTTTTGGCGATCGGCCTGAATCCGATCGACTGGAAAGGACCGTATGTGGAGAACCTCTCTTGAGAATCAATGCAACACTAGCTGACAATTATGCAGAGCATACAACTTTGGAATCCCCAGTCTTCCATGGATCAACGGACGGGACTTAGCAGGACTTGTGTTGCAAGTTCCCAACGAGTCTTCCCGCCTTCGTGTAGGCGATATCGTTCTCGTGCCATCTACAGATTACCGTGACATTCGAAAAGCAGCATTCCAAGAATATGCCATCGCTACCGATTTTAACGCTGCACGAATTCCATCCACCACCTCCATACACGCATCAGCATCCCTTGGTGTCGCTTTTGTTGCTGCTGTATTAGCCCTGGGCGTTTCGTTTGGACTAGACTTCTCCCGTCTTACTAAATCACCGGGGCCCAATCTGGTCAACGTCGTCAACGAACTTAATAAGAAAGATATCCCTGCCGATATCCTTGATGAAGTTTTCGCTACTTCTGATGAATCGGAGAGGCCCCAGCGAGGTGATTGGATTGTTATCTGGGGAGGTAAGGCAATACCCTCAAAATCGTCTTAAATAGTCATCTATGGACAAGACAGCTAATGGTTCTTCTTCAGCATCTACAACCACCGGACTAGTGACTCTTAATTTAGCAAAGCTAGCAGGCCTGCGCGTGATCTGCGTAGCAGATATTGCACGACACGGCGCCAAGCTCGTGGAATCCGGGGCCGATCTGCTAGTTGATCGACACGACACAGATCGGGCTGTGGAAATTATTCGTGGAGTCACTGGTGGTAAGCTACGATATGCTATTGATATAGTTGGCACAGAGACAGCCACAATACTCGAGAAGACTCTGGATCCTTCGGGAGGGGCCCACCTGTTGGGACTTACTGGTCTACCCAAGGAGCGAAACCCTGCGATCAAATACCATACCGTGCCCATCAAGCTTTTCCACACTGCACCAGCTGTGGGTGAGAGCATGGTCACCTGGCTAGAGAGCTTACTGCAGACGGGCACCTTGACTTTGCCGGATATCATTCGGGCAGAGGGTGGATTGGAAGGTATCAATGCTGCACTAGACGTTCTCCGAAGTGGATCTGCTTCTGGAAAGCGCATTGTTGTTGATCTGGGCTCCAAGGAATCTCACCCCTGATGGATCCCTGAACATGAATGTGATTATGTTGTTATGGGTTAGGAATTGACATGACAGGTGTTTTGGGGGGATAATTAGACATGCCCACGGGTCGTTTTAGATACCGAGACTTCAATGTCAGGATAGGCACGTACTTGAACTCACGTGCTTCTTGTACGTGGAATGCTTCGAGGAAAGATATATATGACAAAAAATTAGCTGGAATCAATTCAACAATGTTTGAACATTGAAAGATCACACCTTGGAATTAAGGCTTGAACAATGTTGAAACCATATGTATGCGTAATGCATTAATGACTTGAGTCTTTCTACCTATATATTGGTACATGCAATTTTTTTTGTCTTAATATAAACATTGAATCAATATAGCCAAAAATATACCACGTGCATTAGTGAACCCCCCAGTCCGTTGCCGAGACTCCCCCCCACTTCTGCACTTCGAGTCATAAAAATTTAGGCGGGGGCCGATCGGACCCCGGCGGATTAAACCAATCACTTTCAGACGATTACTTGGTCACCCCCGGAATCGGTCGTCTACGTCATGTACTACATTGTACTATCAGTCGGTGAAAGGAGTGCATCTGATGCAAGTCCAAAGGCTCAAGCAAGGAGACGAAAATAAGATCACAGAATCAATCATAGAAGCCAACAATCTCGACGAAATTTGAATTCTATGGTATATTTTGTTCTTTTGATCTATGAAAAAAAAGAATCTAAGATGGGGGGGGCTCGATCAGCCGCCCGGAAGCGCCGCTAGCCGCCGGTGCAGTTTTCAATAGGCCGATGTCGGGCCCCCCTTTATTCGCCACTTCAACCAATCAAATTGTGAATATTGGCCGCTGACCGTCCGAGGTCGGCGTTGCCCCTCGAGCTATTCCCCAGCGACATCGCGGGCGCTGCAAAATATAAGTCTGCAACCATTGCTATCCGATCTGGCCAGTGATATCCATACCATAATTCAAAATGCCTTCCGTCGAGACAAAACCGAGGACCTTGTACGACAAGGTCTTCGCTGACCACATTGTCAACGAGCAAGAAGATGGCACTTGCCTCCTCTACATTGGTGTGTGCAGCTGTGTTTTTTCTTCCTTTGCTTGCCATTGGATGTTGTGACCATGTTGGCTAATTTTTGATTGCTGAATAGATCGTCACCTTGTTCACGAGGTGACCTCCCCCCAAGCCTTCGAGGGCCTTAAGAATGCCAGCCGCCCTGTCCGTCGACCAGACTGCACCTTGGTGACTGTCGACCACGTATGTAGAAAGCACATTCACCCTTCCTTCAACAAGGCGATCAGTTTCTAATCACTTTGCTTCGACACGATAGAATATCCCCACATCCTCCCGCAAAGACTTCAAGAGCGCCGAGACTTTCATCGCCGAGACTGATTCTCGCCTGCAATGCACTACCCTCGAGGAGAACGTGAAGGACTTCGGCCTCACCTACTTCGGTATGAGCGACAAGCGCCAGGGTATCGTTCACGTTATCGGCCCCGAGCAAGGATTCACCCTCCCTGGCACCACCGTCGTCTGTGGTGACTCCCACACCTCCACCCACGGTGCTTTCGGCTCCCTGGCTTTCGGTATCGGAACCAGTGAGGTTGAGCACGTCCTCGCGACCCAGACTCTTCTGACCCGCCGAAGCAAGAACATGCGCGTCCAGGTTGACGGCGAGCTTCCCGCTGGTGTTACCAGCAAGGATGTTGTACTCCACATTATTGGTGTTATCGGAACTGCTGGTGGTACCGGTGCTGTCATTGAGTTCTGTGGATCTGTCATTCGCGGTCTCAGCATGGAGGCTCGTATGTCTGTCTGCAACATGTCCATTGAGGGTGGTGCTCGTGCTGGTATGATTGCGCCCGATGAGATTACCTACGAGTACCTCAAGGGCCGTCCTCTTGCCCCCAAGTACGGTAGCTCTGAGTGGAACCGCGCGGTCGCCTACTGGTCTACCCTCAGCTCCGACCCCGATGCCAAGTACGATATTGATGTCTTCCTGGATGGAAAGGACATCATCCCTACCATCTCCTGGGGTACTTCGCCTCAGGATGTCGTTCCCATCACAGGTGTCGTCCCCAGCCCCGATGACTTCGAGGACCCGGCTCGCAAGCTTGCTTGCACCCGTGCTCTGGAGTACATGGGTCTCACCTCTGGTGTCCCCATGACCGATATCACCGTCGACAAAGTTTTCATCGGATCTTGCACCAACTCTCGTATCGAGGATCTGCGCGCCGCCGCTAAGATTGTCCGTGGCAAGCACATTGCTGCCAACATTAAGCGTGCTATGATTGTCCCCGGTTCCGGTCTCGTCAAGCAGCAGGCTGAGAGTGAGGGTCTTGATAAGATCTTCACCGATGCTGGATTCGAGTGGCGCGAGGCTGGTTGCTCCATGTGCCTGGGTATGAACCCCGATATTCTTGCTCCCCAGGAGCGCTGTGCCAGTACCTCCAACCGTAACTTCGAGGGTCGCCAGGGTGCCAAGGGTCGCACTCACTTGATGTCGCCCGCTATGGCCGCCGTGGCCGCTATCGTCGGTAAACTTGCCGATGTCCGTGAGCACGTGGTCTCCAGCCCCGTTGCCGCTAAGGTTCAACCCGTTGTTGATGTTGAGGCCGAGTCTTACGATTCCCCCATCACCGAGGATGAGCTTGAGCGTGTCCTCGACCTCCCCGCTGACAACGAGCCCCACACCAACTCCTCCGCTGGCGGTGGCAAGAGTGCTGGTCTCCCCAAGTTCACCACTCTCAAGGGTATCGCGGCTCCCCTCGACCGCTCCAACGTCGACACCGACGCTATTATCCCCAAGCAGTTCCTTAAGACCATCAAGCGTACCGGTCTTGGCTCCGCCGCTTTCTACGAGCTCCGTTACAACGCCGATGGCACTGAGAACCCCGACTTCGTCCTGAACCAGGGTATCTACCGCAATGCCAAGATCCTTGTTGTGACTGGCCCCAACTTCGGTTGTGGTAGTTCGCGTGAGCACGCCCCTTGGGCTCTGCTCGACTTTGGTATCAAGTGCATTATCGCGCCCTCATTTGCCGATATCTTCTACAACAACACCTTCAAGAACGGCATGCTTCCCGTCGTCGTTTCCGACCAAGCTGCTCTTGATAAGATTGCTGCCGAGGCCAGCGCTGGCCGCGAAGTTGAGGTCGATCTCGTCAACCAGGAGATTAAGGATTCCGAGGGTAACAAGATTGTTGCCTTTGAAGTCGACTCTTTCCGCAGACACTGTCTCACCAACGGTCTTGATGACATTGGTCTGACTCTCCAGATGGAGAGCAAGATTCGCACCTTCGAGACTAAGCGTACCCTTGAGACCCCCTGGTTGGATGGATCTGCCTACCTCAAGCGTGGCAACCGTGGAGGTGCCACTCGCATCGATGCTGCGCCCGTCCCCAAGACCAACAAGGGCGAGGTGAAGGGTCCACTCGACTGGTAAGCTTATATTTATACTGTTAAGTTAGGCGCTGTGGATGATCGCATTGGGTATGGATACGGTAATGGTATGAGCTTCAGGCTCTCCTGGCATTTGGATTTTTTTTCTTTCAAAAACAAAACAATATTCCCCCCTTTAAATTTGTCTGCCTGCATTTCATGTCTCGGGGCTTAGTTAGTTTTGGACTACTCGCATCTTCTACTGGCTGTCTACGAATCTCAATGAGAACGAATTATGAATTCCAAACCAACTATCCCTCGATAAAGTAGCTGGACGTGTATTTGAGCTCCAGATTAATCTGTTGTGAAGCAATAACATTAAGTACTGGGTTTGCGAAGACCAAATATCCGGATAGAAAACAAAAATCGACACCTGGTCATTGATTAAATATCTGTGTAAAAGAAGAAGAATGACAGATCATAACCCACCAATAATTAAACCATATTAATTTTGTCCTCTGAGGGCATTTGCAAACAAAATAAATGAGGTAATTGTGTTTCAAAAGCCGAACCTCAAGGCTTTGAAAGTTGTTCACGACGGAAGAACATAAGGAATCCAGCACTGATGGAGGCGAGTCAGTTAGCAATGAAGCCCCTAAATTCCGACCAACTCAGCAACAAAAAAAATATATCAAGAACGACTCACCAAATCGAAAGCTGGCAGGTAAGCGCAATCCAAAACCACGCATTCGCCAACGCATCCGCCCCGGCGGTTATATCGGGAGAGATAGGCCCAGGTCCAATCTTATTAGGTGCAAAGGATCTCGCACATATAGTCGCGATGGAACCCAGAACTTGCGAAACAAGCAATGTAAAACAAATGTGCATCCGCGTCAGAGTCTGTAGGAGAATCATTCCAAACCCGAGACCCTGAAGTGCATCGAGGACACCGAGCCACAGCCACAAACTTCGAGATACCAGTGCGCCGGATGTATAACTGCCTGCCCATGGTAGATACAGACCGATCCCCGACGTTCCCCACCATATTTGGGCCCAGCGCGGTGCTCCGAGACCACAAGCTACAATGGGCAATATCCAGCTGTGTGATCGGGAGACCCAGGCCAGACCGAACAGGATTGCTATCCAGGCGAAACCGAAAAATGCCACGCAGAGGAGGAGGATCTGCCATGGTTTGGCGTGGTCGGATATCCAAAGGACTGCAACTTTGTTAATTTTGGCGTTGGGATTGATAGAGCATTGAGACTTACAGTTCCAATTTCGACCGTAGGGGGCACTAAGGAAGAAGTTTTGGAGGATGACTACAACCCAGTTCCAGAGCACAATCTTCCTTCTGAATACTGATTTGTAGAATGATGGCACTTTCCCGGGTGTCTGGCGGTAGTAATTTGGCAATCCAAAGTATACTATCAGCCCGACGCCCCATAGGAAGACAGTGATGGGAGCACAGACAGCACTATTGCAATGAATTAGTAGAATGAACAAGTTGTCTATAGTTTTTTGTCAGTTGGCTGGAAGTAAACGTACGTCATTCTCCATGTGTTTGTGATATTGCCTTGAATATTGGCAACGCCGGCGTTCGATGCTTTTGTGAGTGTCGACCCCCAGTACCAAAGAGCAATGACATAGACTTGTTGTGTGCCTTGGATAAGACAAGCACGGAAAACCCATTTCTTAACCGGAGCACCGCTTTCATCACCAAAGTTCAACGCGAAGAAAATAGAGCCACTCGAAGATGCAGCGGCATATATTCCACTTCCCACATTCTGTAGCCAGCCCCGGGCGTACGAATTTGGCTCGAAATGAGCCAGTCCAATGATGAGAAATGCGGTACCGTACAGGAACCAGGGCACAGTCAGAACAAGAACTGACTTTTGAAAACGGAAGAAAAGCCACCACAGGATGGATGTCACAAGGTAGACTGTCGCGATTCCGTAAAGCTTCTCGGCTGTCTGACCGACTTCACCTGTGAGCAAAGTGATCTGATAGGAATTGGCTGCGATAATTTGACCGAGACCTAGGAACAGGGAATAAACGGGCCAGTCTCCAATTCGCATTTGCATCCATTTTTTAAGGCCAGTTGGTGGAACATAGTCTTCACCAAGGAAGAACTCGTCTCCTGTGGCTACTTTCCTTTCTGGGACTCCACTGTCATGGGATGTGTTATCATCCATATTGATAGACCCAGATGGCGAGTTCTTATTCAGTTGTACAGAGGCCGCTGGAGATTGGTTCCGTCCGAGACGAGCATCTCGGAATCGGTCGAACCATTTCTTTTCGCTTTTCTCCAGATATTGCTCAATACACAGCTGGGAATCGGAGTTCGTACCATTGAGATCTTCAAGTTTCTTTTCAAATGCGCGATAGAACTCACCGCTGCTGTCCGTGAAGGTTGGGTCCACCTTTTGAAGCTTGTAGTCCTTTTTGTCGCCGACGACCGAGTCAAACGATAACTGAGATGCATTACTCAGACGATTCCCTGCATCAGCCCAAGGTCGTGCTGGCGGAAGAAGAGTGTCATCAGTTCCTGTTGTGCTGGGTGCTGCCGAACTGGATGGCGTGCCAATCGAACGACCTGACTGTTGACTTGCATGTCGGGCCGCAAGATCTTCGCGAATCATAGGGATTCCAGTATGTTGGGGGCCTGGTGGAGGTGTATCTATCCGGCGTCCGGGGTCGGCCGCTTCAGGCCCGATGGTATAATCGTCCTCTCCGTAGCAAGTAGCCATGATCTCATCATCACTATCATCCTCGGCACCTGGAGATGGAGTACTGGAACCTTCTCCGTTCTCATCCACATCCTCAATGCCGCTCTTGTTAGGATCTCGCCGCCCCCGAATTTCCAAGGGAGCAGATACGGGCCGAACTCCGAAGCCCACCTGCCGACTGAGACCTGATCTCGGTCTACTTTCAACACCGGGACTAGGATCACGGCTATAGACGACGGAATTTCTCTGCATTGAGCCCATCGTTCCAGGTCGACTGGGCTGTAGAGGTGGAGTAAGAGTTCCACTGGATGCGTTAGACCTCATCGATACCGCCACCTGAGGGGTCATCATCCCGTAAATTGCATTGTATGCTGATGCTGCAGTTGTTGATTGAGACTGAGACTTGGCTTGTTCCTTATTATGGATTCGTATAGCGGTTGACTGTAAAATCTCCAGATCTTCAATCCACTGTGCGACCGGGAACCGTTGTTTAGCTGACCTCGCGCGCATCATGGCTCTTGTTTCCTGCTTGGAGTTCAAAGCACCATCAATTGCAAGTTTGAATTGCTTGATCAAGTGGCTTGTTGTTGTGGATTCAACAGTATACCACCAACCCGGCATCTGTCCAAGTCCTCCAACCCGAGCGCCGATACCAAGAGCCCCCTTACGGCCGAATTCCACGGCTACCAGACCGAACGGCTCATCTCTTGAGGGAATCAAAGCAAACTCTGCCCCTGAGAAGATGAATGGCGGAAGAACTGTAAATTGTGGCTTCGAGCATACACGTCCTGGGTATAGCTTCATCAATCTGTCCAGTTTGAGCGCCGCAAATTTACCATAGAGATCAATGACCGGGCCCACGCATATCAGTTGAACATTCGGTCGCGCGTCAAGAACACCCGGCATAACGTCGGCAATGAGATCGATTCCTTTTTGCATGGACCATCTTCCCACAAAGACGAGAAGATCAGCATTCGGAATTTGGTGTAAACCAGCCCATTCCTGTGCCTGACGCTTGGTTTCGGCTCTTCCAAGTTCAAATTCGCTATCCACACTGATCTCGCTTTCTTTAGGCAGTTCCTTTTTCCATTCCCCGGTATCGGATGGATCAGGGTTTGGCAGATTCCCAACTTTGCGTAGACCCCAGAAGATTGGGTACCTTGCATACGAGCGCTTTCCATACTTCTTCGATACGCCAACTGCTCCAAAGCCCTGTTGGTGGAGACGTAGATAACTCGCACCGGCGTGCAGTAGATTGAAGATTTCGCCAAATTGAACGTAGCGAGTAACAACATCTATATCGAGGTTGAATACGGAGCACACTTCGATCTTTTCTTTCTGTGTTCGCATTGGCCACAAACCCTGGAATTCGGCATTATGCAAGGAGAGGCAAATTGGGATCGTCTCCGGAAGCTGGTAAAGCGGTGCAATTGCACCGTGGTAGTCATTGACGTGATATAGATCGATGGGGAATCGCTTAAGAGCTTGCGCAATGCATTGGTTCCATGCAGAGTAATAAATCGCGCTATCCATATCGTCCATGCGTGCGGGATAGGGTTCTCCGGCTGTTTGTTGACGGAAGACGGGGGCATCCAGGAGGACATAGGTTATATTCCTCAAATAGTGATACTGAATTTTGACTTCGTAAGAGTTCCCAAGAATCATGACGAACATTGATTCGGCCGGCTTATCAATGGGATAATCAATCCCTCCGACACAAGGAATGACCCAGATGAGATCTTCGTGTCCGAGTTGCTTGCCCATCAATTGTGCCATCACACCCAGCCCACCAATCTTGATCTTGATGGCCCAATCATCAATATCATACTCCATTGTCGCAACCAAGACTTTGCGTCGCTGAGATGTTCGATTGCCGAAGGCCGAGTTGCTTTGCAAGAACCTGGACTTGTTTGCAAGTCGCATGAGGAAGCTTCGAGATCCACCAGCCTCCGACTTATCAGTTCTAAATATGTTGAATGAATCCAGTGAAATCAACGTCTTCTTCTCACTCACGCCGACTTGGTTGAACTTGATCCGGTAGAATGTCTTCATGAACACGGTCGCGCATGCCACGGCACTTAAAACAGGAATGATCCAAAGCATGAAAAAGAGAGCCATCTGAACGTATTTTGAGCCCGCAGGCACGAGCCTGAACTTTAATGTCGCATCGTCAAGTTCAATTCTCCACGCCAGGTGTGGACTAGGTGGTGGATGTGTGATATTTATCGCTGTGGTTTTCAGCGACGAAGGGGGAAGTCGATCCAAGACGGAATCTCCGTCCGAGTCCCCAAATATATAGCTTTGATCTGGTTGCCCGTTTGGATTAATTCCCCAGACGTTCAGCTGACCCTGCGCAGGCCATTCGGCCATGAAACGGAATTTCCATAACCGATCTGCGGCTTGTTTCACAGCATTTGGCAACCCAGCATCGTACCCGTATTCGTTGAAAGGCCCGTTGAAGAAGAGGTGAGGGAAACGTCTTGGCATTCCAGCATCCCAGTCGGGAGCATCACCCTGCTGAACGTAATCGCTGCTTCCTGTAAAACGATTCCAGTATTCGACACGCACATGCTCTCCTTCCCACTCTTGAGCCTTTGTACCCGACCAATGCTGCTTTTTGATCGTGTGGTTACCGCCCTGGTAGGGAAGCCATTTCGAAAATGTGCTGCCCCAATTGGTCGAGTACCTGTACTTATCCGCTCCTGCTGCATGTTGCCGAATGAAAAGTGTGCCATTTTCATGTCTATGCAACAAGCTGCTGGAGTAGTTGGCCGAGGTGAAGGTTATAGGATTGTCGTGCTGTCCTATGCGAATCAAGAAGTGGTCTTTGGCATGGGTTTTTCTCCCATCGCTGCCAGTCACATTATTAACCGTCAGTCGGTGCACTCCATTATATACCCCGGTCAAGGTCGCTGTCCAAACCCAGGCACTGGGTATGTGACCTGTGAGAGGCGAATCTTCCGGATCAACAGCGCTGCAACTGATAGTTTTCTGGTCAATTGAAGGAATTTCCCCAGTCTCGGTCGTTGATTCAAGGGAAATGCCTTGGGTGACCTTGCTGCAATTCATTTCGGTGGAAAAGTATAGTCCAATTTGAAGATTTTCACTTTCTCCTGGCTGTGCTTTGGACAGCACGGGAACATCATGTCCTGGGGTGAACTTGGTGATCATAGGGCGTGGGGGGTGAAATTTGGTTTTTGGAACATAGGCTCTGAATTCATAAGGGCGAAGGGTCAGATTGCTCAGACAACCATTCCACTTTGACGAGCCATTGAGATAAAGCTTTGTTGGACCTTTCTCCAAGGTCAACTCATCATGTGGATAAAACAGATTTTTGACAGTTATGTTCGTAGCGAATGGAGCAACAAGCGCGTGGTTGGGGTCGGAACAATCGAAGTCGTATGTGACTGTTTGATTGTCGTTCTGGTAGACGAACCAAATAGTCTGATTTCCTGATTTGCCAAGATTTTGCTTTTGGTAGTAAGGACTGCGTAGGACAGACCACATGCCCGTTTCAGTGGCGATTCCATTTGAGCCAGGGTAGTAGACATCATGGGTGTGATTAGATAGCAGTTGAATCCACCAGCCATCGTTCATTGCGGGATAATCCTGTCTCATCTGATACATATGTTTGATAGTATTTCTGATGGGATGTGATGGATCTCGATGATCGTATGTGATGGCTTCATCATGGCAGCCATCCCGGCCTGACTTTATCGGCCAGTCAAAATACTGGGTTGAGTTTAGATGGAAACAGCCATGGGTTTTCCAAGCCGTTGCGGGAGACATGGCTTGACGGCCATAGATGTAGTTAGAAGCCAAGGCATCTAAGGTGTAAAACGCTTGTTCTTCACCCCATAACAGCAAGGGAATACCGGGCATGTGCAACGTCGTAATGAAAAGGGCAAGTAGCTGCCGCTCAAGTCCATATTCCACAGTCGGCCAGCGGAAGACGTCTTGATTTGTGGCCCCGTACATGTGGCGTGGATCAAACTTGCCAGTGTTCGCGTTGACAAGATCATTGGTGAGCACCATTTCATACCAGGCTTCTGTCCAATTCACTGGAACATCGTAGCCAGCAGCCAGGTTACCATCCATGCCAAGGAAACGAGTGAGAGAGCGATAAACGGAGTAATGGAAGGCAGCTCCGTCGATAGCCTGTTGATTTTCATCTCGCAAGAAGTATAACGTATCAGAAGAGTTTGTGAGATGAAATGCCTGATCAAGGGTTTTAGGGGTCATATCCGGTTGCCTGCCACGGCCAAGAAAGACGGAACCCAGTGTGTTACCGCTGGTAATTTCTCCAGGAAGAAAAAAGTTCTTTTTGCCAACTTTTCGAGCACAGTCACGATAAGCGCCAGAGATGTCTCCCAAAGCATCTACCGTAGCCTGTGTGGCCTTGTCATATCGGAAACCGTCAATGTCGAGCGAGGATATAATTGTGCACGAGTGTCTAATGATCCGCTCTCTGACAGTTGGTACCCACTCACGCAAACGGTCCTGCACAGATGCAAATTTGGCAAGTTCACGCTGCCAGTCAGGATAAACACCAAAGGCTTCGATGTCACCATATTGGTCGAAATCACTGTCGTAGCAACCTTTCAACTCATCACGAACAAACTGATCAACTAAAAAACCAGTCTCATTCCAGAAACGGGGATATTCGCAGGTCTGGTTGTAGGAGTTGCCGAAGTGGTAGTCCACATAGCGACGGTCTGACTTCCATTGTGCTTTGTGCTCATTGACTGTGAATGGTGTCGTTGTATTTAGGTATCCATCAAACCCAATCAGATCGCCCATACTAAGATATATTAGAAAAACAAGGACCGCAACTCAAGATTAAATTATTAGAATCACTTACGTCGCCACTGTGTTGTCAAAAATCACATACATGCCACGATGGTGAATTTCTGTAATTGCAGATCTCCATGCTTCAATGGTGCCGAAGTGTTGATCTAGCAAGGTGGTGTCCATTGCGGAATAGCCGTCTGCGCCCCACGGTTGATTCATCAAGACAAGTCCAGCCAGATATATGCCCTGAAAGATAGATTAAAAACGGCAGTGTGATATAAGAATTTGAGGATGGGTCTTACCTTAATACCCATACCTTGCAAATAATCCAATGTGTCAACCAGCCCAGCCACATCTCCACCATGGCGCATTTGATTCGAGTCCAGATCGTGTTCGAAGAGCGTTCCGTTGATATTATCATTGGTTGGATCGCCGTTCACGAAACGGTCGAGAAAAAGAGTATATATGGGGAAACGCCAGTTCTCTGGTGATGGGTGGTAGGTGTGGTTGGGCCATTCTCCCCAGTACTCGGCTGGATTGGTAGCCGTCTGATTCTCATTGAGGTTATACTCGACGAGTGCCTTGTCATATGGCCAGGATGATACAAAAGTTGCAAGGTGAACAAGAAAAAAACCGATACGTTTCAAATACATGATAACGAGCGCCAGGGGAAAAAAAGACTCAGAAATGCCGAAGTCGAAGCATGTGTTTCTTCTTTCACTAGCCGAAGGGTAAAGGAAGTTTCAAATTGTTGGTAGGCAGTAAACGAGTGTAAGTTGACAAGTTCCTATTTTCCGTTCGTTAGTTCATTGCATATCATTCGAAGCAACACAGGTGACAAGTTGGTTGAAAAGAGAGATAAATACAAGTCAAGATCCTCCATATAGGTATCACAAGATCGATGAGCAATCAGATAAAAGTGCAAACTTAAAATCAGACGAGCCACATCTGGATGTGACGATGGAGGCCAAGGACGAGTGCCACTGGGTGGGTTGGAGTGACAGAGGTGAGAATGAGCTCTATGATACCTGAAGTATATTCACTTAAAATCCTTGGAGCGACTTTCAGCTTTTTGCAATTGTTAGACCCCTCTGGAAAATCCACAGAGAAAGCAAACACGGAGGAACCTTGCGGGGAGTTTTGTAGAAATAGGTGGAATTGTGGCAAACCAAGAGCAAAAGAAAAGACAGCCAGATCTATCTCTGACTGCATGCCTGGAATGGAATCTTAAGTCACTTGTCTTCTCACCGCAAGGTACATGATTCGATAATATCAGCTCATAGAAAGGCCCCATAGATACCGGAGACGTTCTTGATGCCGGAACGAACGGTGGAGGTCTAAAGGGGTGCTGATAGGAGTCAGACAGCTCAGGGTACATCTGGAACTACCGGGGCTTTGATGGGAACTCTGTTGACGAATGCCATGTCGAGAGAGTTGAGCTCAGATAACAAAGCTCAAGATTGTCTCACGACGCGACACTTTTGCTTGGAAGCTCCCAGCAACATCCATAGCTCTGTGCATTACCGACGGCAGACCTGGAAAAGATGTGGCTCGATAAGACCCAGCATGCAAGACATGCAGTGTCTGTATGACAGGGCATGGTGGTACACTCCCAAGGATGATAAGGGACCATGCGAGTAGGGACAAAGATGAGCAAAGCAAAACATGCAGCGCATTCGATGATCAGTCCAATTTCAACACTGACTATTATGGAGCCTAAAATATCTTTTTCAAAGTCTTCAACCCTGGAGTGATATGAACCATCGTGAAGTTGAGAATATTTTTCCTCTGGTTCGAATGTTAGATCTCCTTGCAATCAATCTCGAGCGCATGTTACTTTGGATTTTGTATTGTTTCTCTGACCTGCGAATCCAGGGGTAAACATTTAGTCTGTTGACCCTGGAAACATTGAACAGATCCTTGAATCTTGATTTCTTGAAGATTAGTCTTTCTCGTATGTTACATTGGGGATCTAGATTTGTATTCAGACCGCTGTAACATGGCCGGTGAGATCGGGAATTATCATAGGTGTTTTTGATTTATCCCTACCTCCACATCAAATGTTCCAGCGGCTGAACATGTGCCTTTTCCTAGTATGAATCTCACATTGAACCTCGGATCAGTTGAGCGGTTCAAATCATTTTTCGAGTTGCTGATAGTACTAATGGATGGCATTATATGGCATTCGAAGGTTCTCAAACTTGTCACCATAGCTCCAAACAATAAAGAGCGAAAGTTCCAATTAAACATGCCTTGAAATTGAAACCAGGTCGTCATATTATTCCAATATTTGATCTTCAAACTACTAGTAGCCATATTCAACGCCAGACCCGTGGATATTCGTTCAAATGTTCGAAGAAATCCCCCAAGTACTCGCCAAAAATCTACACCTTAGTTTCATCTTTGAATAGTTTCCACAGTTGCCCTGTAACTGAAAACTCAGGAGTTGGAATACTCTAGTAAGATGCTTGAGATATTATGGTTTTTATCATTTGAACTCTTAGCTAACTTCCACATGCAAATTTGAAGCTCAGTAATAGAAGTAGGTATGCGATGAGTTTGTTCCCAAGGTTGGTTGATGCGTATATAGAAAAATCGTATTCAATCGACTTCTGATGGGATGACTCGTGGCATGCATGGTGGCAGTACAGGTCTAGGACTCTGGACATGGGTGTCCAAGTTTTTATCATGCTAATGCCCGACAGAGCCGTGCAAGGCATCTCGAGTTTAAGTCCAATTGAGCTTGATACAAGGTGATCAACTTTCAAGGCGCCTAAACATTCAAATGTTTCAAAACTTCAGTGAACCCCGTGCCTAGGTACCCAACCTTGGAAGTGCTCTTTGGCAAGGGATGTTGTACGAACAAGGAGTTGTGGTCACCGTCCGTGCTTAGCTTAGAGCTCTTGAATTATAGAGGTATTATCGGGTTCACATGTACATCAATAGTACCAACATTGAATGATGTGCTCTCCAGATTGGTTCTGTAATAGGCCTAAACTTACAATTATACTTAGAAGCCCGAGTTAAAGATGAAAAACAATGTGTCAGATGTTAGGTAGCATCGAGTTTCCCCTCAAAGGTGGCTATTTCTTGACAAGCACGAGCGGCTTATGCATCTCTCCGAGCCAATGAGTGTATAAGTGGCGGTCCACAGGTGTGAATTAATCGGGGTTATGTTTGCACATCAGTACCTAATAAAGACTTGCGGGTAAGTATTACCAGTTGACTATATTTGGAGCAACTGAGGTACAGCCAATTGCACCTGCATATTGATGTACAGATCTAGATGGATGTACCAGTAGTAGGTCATTCACAACTTGAATATCTACTAACATCCACTTTTGGCTACTTCATAGATACTACCTATATTGCCGTAACTTTGCCAAAAGTCAAGATGCATCGTTCTATGTTGGCTTTGACCGCTACTTTTGAAAATGGTCATAAAAGATCTGTTTGATTACGCATCTAGTCACCGATCAACCGCTATTCAAAATCTGGCGTGTATACTACATTCGATCTTTGTGACACACAAACCCCGATTTTCTATAAACGGAAGGTTCCAAAATTAGGCTTAGGATAATCTAATGTATCAAGATAAAAATTGTCACGGATCAAGTGTCCGAGGAGACTCCAGATGTCCGAGGTCAAGGCCCGGATGAAGAATCCGGAACCTGCCACTGGAATATCATGAACGCCCGATATCAACTGTGGACATTGCCAATATTGAATAAACTTGAACGTCAATTAATTTGCACACACGGATGGATTTCTTTAGATCGATAAGTTATGCATGTTCAAATCAATTCTGAGTACATCCATCGAAATCCCGAACTGCGGCTTATTGTCTGAGCGCTAGCTCAGCATAGCTTAGATGACAGGTATCCGGTTCCAGGTGCTCTTCCCTCATCAAAGATGGAATGAACGGCCCGAAGCATCAACCCTGCTGTACTGTGTGCGACTGTTCAACTTCCACACGCCCGGTGTACCCGGCAATTCTTTACTTGGACGCCGCTCTCTCAGAGTGGGCTCGATGTCCCAATTCCTTGAATATCTGAGACATCGCGGTTGAATTCGGGGGTTGCGCTTGTCTTGTACAACCGTCCAGACAGGGGTGAGAGTATGCATGCGCTTAGACTTGGCGGTCATATTAGAGGCTGTCGTCGGTGTCCTTGTGGGAACATCGACTGCCATTATGCTTCTCTCCAAATTGAAGGCAAGTTGACGATGGAAACCAATATTTTGGAATTCCTAATTCCCCGATTGGAGCAAAGACAATTTTGAGAGTCTTATAGACTGTGTTACCGGTTCATGAAGTTGATGTGTTAAGTACTCCTCGTCCAATGTAGATGGAGAGGGAAAATGTGAATAATGGGATTCGAGAAAACTCCGGACTATCCTGGTATCATAACCTCTTCTTCTTTTTTATGGGTCTCTAACATCATTTCTCAATGCATCATATATGAAAAGGGTCCAGCCGCGCGGGGGCCAAAATAAATCTCTCCCTTACTCAGCGCCGTAGCGGGCACGGTACTCCTTCAGGCGCTCAATGTCGGAAGCACCAATCTTATCGCTCAGTTGCTCAATGATATCGTGGAGTCCAATGACAGCGCGGATGGGGATGTTGCCACCGAGGTCGCGCTGGGCAACGCCAATGGCGCTCTTGGACTCGGTATCGCTGACACGCTCCTCGCGGTCAAGGAGGACAACCACACCAGCCACGATACCTCCTTCCTTCTCAATGATGCCAACAGCCTCGCGGAGAGCAGTACCAGCGGTAATGACATCGTCAACGATGACGATGCGCTTGCCCTTCAGAGAAGCACCGACAATGTTACCTCCCTCACCGTGGGACTTGGCCTCCTTGCGGTTGAATGAGTAGCTGACGTTGTCCCAGGTTCCCTTGGGCTCGGCAGCGATGGCATCTTGCACGGCCAACTCATTAGTGACGGCGGCACAGATCGGAATGCCCTTGTATGCGGGGCCGAAGATAATGTCGAAATTGGGCTTGGGAGTGCCGTCAGCTGCGATGGACACGAACGGCTCGGAGGACAGGACACTGGCGTAGGCAGCAGAGGAGGCGCGCAGCAAGGGAGCAGTGTGCATAAGGGAGGAGGTGAAAAAGTAAGGAGATTCGCGACCGGACTTGAGGACGTAGGTTCCGAACGAGAGGACGTTGTTGTTAATCAACAGAGGGAGCAGGGTGCTCTTGTAGTCTTGAGAGGCGGACATGGTGGGTAATTTTTGGCGATGAGGGTTGCAAAGGGGAAAGCAAAGATTTATTATGGACAGCGTGGGGAGGTAGAAGAATCTTTGTAGAGGAGGTCCAAGAAGAAAAAAAGTGGTGATAGGGCCGGCGAATAAAATTCCACCCCGCGGTACGGTGGCCGAGAAGAGTCATTTTCCTGACCGTTCCTTACGTCAGCTAACATTCTGGTACATATATTACCACCACATATGTGCAGCGGGTGATGTAAAAGGGTGAAAAGTGATAAATGTACGCCAATTCCTGTAATATTCTCGTTAATTTCACGGCAAAATTACAAAGTTGGTGTTCATGCTATATACATTATACAAAACGGCCACTCATCTCGTACGTTCAACATTGAATTTGGTCATCTAAATAATCCAGCATGCAGTGAGGATAGGGAAGTAGTAGTAGTCTTAGGTCCTTTGGCAACCATGGGAGTACGACCTAGTACCACCACTACTTGAAAAAAGCATACCGGGCCTTCTGGGCCACTACCCCCGCCTAGAAATTTGGTTAGCTAATTCACTCTAACTTTTTAAGTAATAGAGGGGCAGATCATAGAGGGGCAGATCTTCAGGGCTATATAAGCTGGCCCCAACAGCATGAAATTCCCGCCGAATTGACTCCGAGGGATCATTCGGAAATAAGGGAATCAAAATTACGAGTGAAAAGTCACCAACCAATTCTTTCCTCTAAATATCAATTTAAGGTGAGATTTAGTTCCCTCGACCATTGAAACAGCCTTTAACTGCCCTTGAGCCCTTGAGGTTCAATGTTCAAATCCACCAGTTGACCGGAGCACGTGCTTTGTTAGCTCCGATCTCCGGCCTTCCCCGCCGAATCCCAATTCGTTCCAATTCCCAAGATTCCACTTTCTCCTTCTTACGGAGATCCCTTTTTTTCCCCAACTTCTCCTTTCACCTTTTTTTTTTTTTCGTCCTGTCTGATTTTTTTTCTTTCTTCCTCATTTCAACTGGGTTCTCCTTGTTGAATCCTCACGTGAGTGTTACCAAGCAAATAGGTCGGGAAATCCTGGTGATTCTGCGAGACCCTGTTGTGAGAACTGCGGAATAGCCTCAAGGTGTTACAAGTTGCAAAATAAATTCAGTCCTCAATTTCTCGGTAAGAAATTTATGTCTCGTTGAAGGAAAATCAAAGTGGAATTACCTTGCCCCTCGAAATGGCATGCCAAACTTCCAATTCCACCAGATGACTGATCACAATACTCCCCGTAGGTTCAAGTTAGCACGAAACCATGCATATCCGGGAAAAGCTTGCGGAGCGGGAGGCCGCCGGGCAGCCTGGCATCTCCTTTGAGTTCTTTCCTCCCAAAACCGCCCAGGGTGTACAGAATCTCTATGACCGCATGGACCGCATGCACGGGCTAGGTCCCTCTTTCATCGACATCACATGGGGCGCTGGTGGCCGTCTGTCGGAGTTGACTTGCGAGATGGTGGGCGTTGCCCAGTCGGTTTATGGTCTCGAGACCTGCATGCATTTGACTTGTACCGACATGCCCCAGGAAAAGATTGACCAGGCCCTTCAGACCGCGTACAAGGCCGGCTGCACCAATATCCTTGCTCTGCGAGGTGACCCACCGCGTGAAAAGGAAGCTTGGGAAGCAGCTGATGGAGGATTCCGCTACGCCAAGGACTTGGTCAAATATATCCGGGAGAAATACGGAAACCATTTCGATATTGGTGTAGGTGGCTACCCCGAGGGTGCTGATGACAACGCCGATGTGGATCAATTGATCGATCACTTGAAGGAGAAGGTGGATGCTGGTAGCACTTTCATTATTACTCAGATGTTTTATGATGTGGAAAACTTCAAGACATGGGTCAACAAATGTCGTGCAAAAGGCATCAATGTCCCAATCATTCCAGGCATTATGCCTATTCAAACCTACGCATCATTCATGCGTCGTTCTACCTGGACTAAGGCCCATGTTCCCCCACAGTGGATGGAAGCCCTCGATCCCGTCAAGAATGACGATTCTGCAGTCCGGGACATTGGCAAGCGTCTGATCGCCGAAATGTGCAGAGAGCTCCTTGCATTTGGCATCAACCATCTCCATTTCTATACCATGAACCTGGCGCAAGCAACGAAGCTGGTTCTAGAGGAGCTGGGACTGGTTCCGTCTGAGGAGTCTCCTATTCAACGTTCACTGCCGTGGCGGCCATCTCTGGCTCTGGGTCGGAGAGGGGAGGACGTCCGCCCAGTTTTCTGGCGCAACCGCAATTCGTCATATGTCGCTCGCACACAAACATGGGATGAGTTCCCCAACGGTCGCTGGACTGATTCTCGTTCGCCTGCCTTCGGTGAACTTGACGCATACGGAGTCGGTCTGAAGGGCTCCAACGAGCAGAACATCAAGATGTGGGGAGAGCCAAAGACATTGAAGGAAATTTCCGATATCTTCGTCAACTTTTTAGATGGCAAATTGGAACGCTTGCCCTGGAGTGATAGTCCAATCAGCATTGAGGCCAATGACATTAAAGAGTCCTTGCTGGACTTGAACAATCGCGGTTTCCTGACCATCAACTCACAACCCGCTGTCAATGGCATCAAGTCCTCCCACCCTGTATACGGCTGGGGTCCCAAGAATGGTTTCGTTTACCAGAAGGCCTACTTAGAACTTCTTGTACCCTCGTATCTGATCGACGAGCTGATCTCCCGTATCGAGCTAAATGAGGATATGACATATCACGCTGTTTCCAAGGACGGCGAATTGAGGACCAACACACGCGACAGCCCGAACGCCTTGACCTGGGGTATTTTCGCTGGCCGAGAAATTATCCAACCTACTATCACCGAGACCATTAGTTTCTTGGCGTGGAAGGATGAGGCTTACCGTTTGGGTGAAGACTGGTCCAAGTGCCACGACGCTGCCAGTCCCAGTCGGAAGCTGATCCAACACGTCATGGACGACCGGTACCTTGTCAACATTGGTAACATAACTCATTCTTCTTTTCTCAATTGACAACTTGACTAACTTCCCTATAGTTGACAACGACTTCCACCGATCCAACGCCGTCTTTGATTTATTCAAAGACCTGATTGTCAAGGATCTTGACGTCGAGGTGACCGGAAAACCAGTAGAGACCAATGGAGCTACTGAGCCAAATGGCACTGCGACTCAGAACTAAGACATCATCCCCCTCAACCGGGAATCCAGGCTACGCTGCATACAATTGACGACCGTCCCTACCGCTGGGGCCCACACTCGAATCACTGTCAACATTACCTTTTACAACCTCTTTAATTCAACATCACCTATCTCAACGATACTCAACGAATACCAGCCCCGAGATGACTCATCCAACACCAATCTCCGGCTCTCATGCAATGTCTTATGGCGTAACGATTGAAGACCTCTCAACGATTTCTTCCTGAGCGTTCATCTTTTCTATTTCAACATCCAACATTCCTACTGTACCGATACCCCGTCCCTTTTAACAACGACGCTCTTCAGAGTACTTCTTTTTCCTTTTCCTCTCCCAAAGCCTGGTGCTTTTGCTCTGGTTCCACTTCCTTACACTCTCTTCGATTGATATGGACGGTCCAGGTGAAGTGGGGGAGGATACCAAAGAAAGAAGAACAAAATTCAACATCATAATATATGCCCAATTTGGGTCTCTTTTCTCTTCTTCTCATCGTCGTTTCTGGTTTCCTTTTTTCCTTTTCTCCCTATTGGATTTTAGGCATAGATATTGCGACGAGCTGCTCATCTCTTCTCGTCTACGATTAAATTCTTCTTTTTACACGCAAGCAGCAGAGTTCCGTTCCACTTATACTGTGCTTCATTCTCGGGTCTTTTTCAAAGGGGGGTTGGCTCTTGCGGTCTGGTTGTTTGACAGCCCACTTATACTTCGGATCCTTACATTTAGCAATCATTCTTACCCTGGGGCAGGGATGTATTTTTCTGTCTCCAGATACAAGATTGATTTAAACAAATACAAAAGCTTGGCAATTTCCCACATTCAACACTGGGGCATTTGGCATGCTGACGTATACATACTGTATCGGAGCTGTCGAACCTCAAGTGCTTGGAATCTTCTTGACATTCATAGGACTAGATGCTGCGAGCTTTCTCCAAGGTTCCAACCTCAAGTTGGAAAGTTGCAAAGTAGATAAAATACATGTAGATTCGTTACCAGGTGTAGTAGCTTATCCTCCATCCGCGTGAAAAATGCCAAAACAGTCAATAGAGAAAAAAAAACATTTGAACGCTGGCCACCAAGCAAGCATATTACAAGCCACCAAAAAACGTCAAGGCGTGTTGCAACTGTCAAAGCAAAAATAAATTTATAAAAAAACCCGAATAATAATACTTCAGTCATCATGTAATAAGGGCATGAGTAACACACTGAAAAGCCCAGGCAAATGGCCTGGCAAACCAGATAACCCATGTACCCACGAGAACAATATACCCCGCGGCACGACCAGCGATGAGGGCACTAAAACCAAGAATGAACAAGTAGACTAGAGCTTGAAGAAGCTCAACCAAGAACCGGCTTATAGCCTGATCATTCTTGGCCTTGGGCCATGAGCCAGTGTTTTGGTAGATGGATATCGTGCTGTAGATTGTGCTGGCGACATGGAAACAGTGTCTGGTCATGTTCAAGATGTTCGTAATAACGAACTTGATATATGGATTGTCGGTAGTTTGGAGTGCGAATCTGTGCATGTTGGTTATGGCCAAGAACACAATTTCGAATATCAGGGAGAGGGCGATGGTGTTGGTGAATTCTTGGGAGGGGTCATCGTCTTTGTCTCCCGTAGACAAATTTTGTAAATCATCGTGGACATCTGTGATATTCGCTTGAAGGCTTTCTTTGGCTGTGGGCACCTGTAGTCCGTCCAATTCTGCGATCTCAACGACTTTGGTTGCCCTCCGGAGCCGAGCCTGTTCTTTGAATTTTTCCAATCGCTCTGCCCGAGAAGGTCCTTCGGGGTGAGGTGGTTCTTCCCCCTTTCCCTCCTTCTTAGGAATCTTATTCTGTGGTGGAGGGGTGGCTTTCTTCGCTGGGGGCTCAGGCACAGGCTCTGGTTCTGGTTCTGGTTCTGACTCCACTGTTGGGGCCGTCGAGCGGGTAGTGGGTTTGTCGAGCGAGACCCTAGCAACTCGAGGCTCCTTTTTTACAGGCGATGGCTTGGTGGAAGATGGAGGAGTCTCCTTTGCTGATCTAAAAGACCTTGTAGATCTCGAAGATTCCGAATTGTCTCGCGACGGTGGTGAGATTTGGGAAACAGGCGAGCTCGAGCTTTTACGGCTGACGAGAGAGCCTGATCCATTGCGCAGAGATTCCGCGCGATTCCGTAATGACTCGGTTCCATTGCGGAGTATTGTGGCAAGGGTCTCAGTTGGTGATCTGACGAGTCCCGTGGACCTTGCTAGTCCAGAGGTACGGATGAAACCACGAATTGAACTGGTAGGTTTCTCGCTCTTGTCTTTCTCTTTCCCACTGGGAGAGTCTTTTAACCTCTGGTCGTTGTCTTTCGATTCTTTCTCCTTCCTAGGCTTTTCTTTTGATGGGGGAGTGGCGTTCATAGGAGTCGCTTTGGAGGGTGTGAGGGATGGGGCAGTCTTCGAAGACGTCAGCGAGGGGAGCGCCGATTTGACCTGTGCGAGTCCTGATACATGCCGCAATCCACCAGGCGTGGAGATGACGTGGGCCTTTGCCCGAACAGCCTTCACTGCTTCTCCGGTTCCTGATTGACCAGTTCCACCAGGACGGCGTAGCCCTTGAGCCTTCAAAACAGCGATCTTCTTCTCCACCTTCACCTTTTTTTTTGGAGTCGGGGTTGGAAGCATTGTACGTGTGACAGTAGGTGTAATGATGAACACATCATCGTCGCCACCGGTTCCTCCCATTCTTCCTGGAGAGTTTTCGATGCTTGGTCTGGGTCGCGCATTCTCTTTGATCGAGCTCTGGGAGTCGGGGGTCGATACCTCCGGCTCCCGGCAAATTCGATCCTGACATAGAGTCACCGATGACTGCTTAGCCTTGGAATTTCGAGAAACTTGCGACCACTCTTCTTGCACCACGGTCTTCTCTGTTGACTTGCGTGCTGCGGCCTTGGCTTCCTTTTCTTTCTGTCTCTTCTTAGCGCGGACCGCAAGTGGTCGGGGTTGCAGTACTGTCGAGTCCTCACCGGAAGAGAAGAGAAGAATTTCGTCCGGGTTTTTCTTGGGAGGTCCGTTGATTTCCTTGCATCCCAAAAAGGAACCATCTGCCGTGTGGGAACTTCTCTTCTCTCTCGTCTTTGTTGGAGACTCTTCCCATATTGTGCTGATGCGGTTTTTGCCAATCTCATCTGGGCTGTAATAGTGGGTTTCTACTTGGGACCCGTGTGGCTTGGGAGCTGGAGCATTCTTCTTATCTGGCTCTTGTCGAGGTTTTAGCAACTGATTAGTCTCTGGCTCTGGAGTGTCGTAGGTCTTGGATTGATCCGATTTTCTACGTGTCTCTTGAGATGTCGAGGAGTCACGTCGAGCTCTATGAGGGGAGCTTCGTGGACTTGGTCGATTGGGATCAAGCATTCGCTTTCCATCTCGGTGGACTATTTCAATGCTTTTTTGGTAGTCGGCAATCTGATCTTCAGTCATGGTCGGTGGGTTGGGATCTTTGGCAGATGGCATATGGACAACAAATCTGTCCTCCCAGTCACAGTCTGTCATTGAATCTTCTGCGGAAACCGGGGAGATTGAAGGATTTGACCGCGGACTGGAATCGGCGGTAGTGTCTGTTGCTTCTGATCTCTGTGGTGTATTTTCGCGAGATTCTCGGTTGACCCATTGATCCCCCTCCTTTCGCCACTTTTGTTGTGGCTCGGAATTGATGGGAAAATCATTTCGCGGGTTAGATATCACTTTCTTAATATTGGCGCTGGTGTTGGGGATGCCTGTCCGATGATTGCTGGCACGATAGGAGGGTTGAACTTCTGGGGCAGTTCTGGCCGAATACTTTTCTTGTTGCCACGAACTGGTGCTTCCTTCAGACCTAACTCTATCACTTTCCCTTGATCGGATATAAGAGCCTCTTTGTGACAGAGGCGATTCCTTGTCGAGCCTTCCACGAATCTTTCTCATGTAGAGCTCTCGATCCCGATCCCCAGACGGACCAACAGATCCTGCGGATGAGTATCCGAATGATGAGGCTTTAGGAATCCCGGTGGGGCTAGGGGTCTGGTTTCGTTCCTCCCTGGTTCTCTCAGTGAATGATTTGGGCATTGGAAGCTTGGTTGTTCTGTCTTTTTGAAACATGGTTTCTGTGGAGGTTCGGCGGTCTTCAAGTTCAGAAGGTGGCACACGATGAGAGTTTCGTGCAGGTGGAGTGGCTGATAGTTCGGTAGGTGTGTAGTGAGCTCTGTATGCTTGGTATTGGGTTTGTCGTTGGGGTCGTGGAGAGAGGTTAACAAGGTGTCCGTCAGGTAGTTCGACACAGCTTTCGGCGTCCATCTTGTGCTGGGGCTGATTCGGCTAATATTTCTGACTCTTAAGCCAGAATTGACAGTTGTCCTGGCCCATGCCGTCAAACCCAGCGTTTCGTAGGTTGATTCTGGCGGCGATGCTGTAAGTTAGGGCTGCGTGTCGAAAGTGTAGGTCGGACGGCTTTGCGAGGTGTTCGTTGGGACAGTGCAAATTAACAGCATGAGGAATGTGTGTAATCATCAGAATTGCACAAATTTTGCGCGGGTCAAACACGTAATAATGGTGTGGTCAGGTTGGGTGGAATGGCATGTGGCCGGGGGATGAAGAATGCCAGCCCCCGCGCTGGAATGCATCGCGATGTGGACCGGCCTCCATTGAGTATGACGATGATTGATTAATTTTATGCTTTTGGATGTTGATTTATTCAGAAACGAGGGTTGATATGATCAAAAAGTGGCCGTCGATGGAGAATTATCTGCGTCAAAAGCTGGCAAGAATTGCAACATACCAATTACTGAATAGTGTCAATTGACTACAAGAAATCATAGACAGTTCAATTCCACACATCCAAATTGGCAATCAGGTGATTTAAAGATAAGGGATTCATCCCACATTCTTGAGCGTGGCAAGGCCCGGGGAATTTCAAGACGTCAAGATGATGCCGCATTTGACTGACAGGGCTCCTGTGCACAATCGGACGACCAACTAACATCTCTATGCTTGTTGACCTTCGCCGGATGTGGTAGTAATTTACCCAACAGCATGTTCCTTCGCAGAGAGCTATGTCCCTTGTTAACTGCCTGATGGTGATGAGTAGTATGCACCTTGTGAGGGGATTCGATTCGAAGTCAGTTGACGACCCAGATTCCGAGTGCATTGGACAAAGGGGGAAGCTCTGTCAGAGCTTGGATTGGGAAAATTTCGATTGTTAAGCCTTTGAAACTACCTTGGCAATGTTTATCATATTGTGAACTTCGTCAGCAAACACCCACGGGGTAATTAGCTGACGGGTTTTCTCCTTTGAGGCACAGGGTGAATGCACTACAGCCATTTGGCGGAATTCGAAACTTATTGGACACTGTTCGTTGAAGATGGCATGCTTTATTCGAATCGCTGTATAGCCTGATAGTAATAATATGGTAGCTGAAAAACAAATTAATTCGTGAGTGCATCTTAAAATGTCCTCGTTTATCGACGTGGGTGAAGGCTGCCTGGTCTATGGACTCCAGCTCCTGGTGCTGGATTCATGGGAGCCGCCAAGCTTTGCTTGAGTGGGCTTGATTGCTTCTTTACGGGACTTGTCCCGCGCGGCGTATAGACGAAATCACCGCTGCTTTGAACTCGGCGCTCGAACGCCGTTGATGCTGACTTCCTCAATGGGGAGTTGGCATGCGAATAAACTCCAAGGCTACCTCCGTCACCTGTACCGGTCGAGGTTTGTCGAAATTGTGGTTGCCGCATGGAATTTCCTGCGGTACGCACCAACGGCGAGCCGTCGCCTGACACTGTGGGGGTACGGAGGGAGGGTTGATGTTGGAATAATGAGGTTGAGTTAGGAGTCGCGGTAGGACGACGAGGAGTGAATCCTTCTGGGTCAACATGGCTGACATAGTTGGGATTTGGGCTCGTTTTGAAGCCGCGGTTGATGATGAAAGTTGGTGTATGGACTTCGACTTTGTTATCAGCATCAGAGCCTGACTTATTAGGGACAGTGTCCGAAAATTGAGTGCCCACGTCTCTCATCAATGGCCGAGTCCTGGGGTGGACGAATTTGGTATCATATTCCTTCATGACCTCCTTATGCACAAGCATAGAGTCCTTCGCTTGCTGTGTGTAGGACGAGGACATCCAAGACATCTGTACTGAGAGAATAAATGTGAGGAAGATCGTTGTGACGATTGTGATGCTCGGGCGGGGATCGGATAGATGTGTTGGCAGGAAAACCCAGTAGATCAAAACGTGCCCGGGGCTGAACAAGCACAAAAGTCGAACACTGATGGAGTGGGGATCCCATAGAGCAATCTCCCATACATCCCGTTCGGCATCTGGGTGGGCGCGAGACTGGGCGGATTCTCCGGCTAAGGCATTCGCAAGGTATCGAAGAGGGGACGCGCCCATCGGGCTTGATTCGACTCGCACGCGGTGGGCAGAGGGAGTTGCGGGGACTTGGTCGATGGGCGTTTCGAACATGCGATAACGCTTCTTGCGAGCGAAGGCCCACAGGGCATTTGCGAAAGAGAGGCCAAGAAGCAGAAATGTCACAGTCGTCGCCTATACATCATAACAGTCCTAGTTAGTTTTGCGAAGCGGGGGAGCTATAATAGGCAAATAACATCACGTACCAGCCAGCTAAGCCAAGGCACGCCTTCGTCTTCCCCAAACACATCGTCAAAAGCTTTGCCACCACTCGATCGACTGTTTGCGCGTGTGATAAGAAATATCAGATTGAGAGTAACACCAATGGGCAGACCCCAGTCCTTCTCCATTTGGTCCCAGTCATTTCCATCAATCTCTTCGGAAACCCAGAGTAAAAAGTCCCACGGGTTCAAGTAGGCTTGAATGCGCTCTAGGAGCGGGCGTCGGCGCACGAGACGAGGCATTTTGCCAGAGGTGGGAGCGAGAGAGGAGCAAGAAGATAAAATTTGTCCCTCTCCAGCTTCTTATTTAGCTGTTTCGGTAAAACAAAGGCATGCGGAGCAAAGCAAAGCCCACTGTCATGCGGACATTGAACCATGAGCGCAGTGAATGTAAACAAAATTGCATCGGCTTATGTCATCATTTCTCTCCGCTCTCCACGATAACCACAATCAGTGGACAACGTCAACTCTTGAGACCGCATCACAACCTACTATTGAGTGGTAGTTTGTTTACGGGACGGGCTCTCTCACTGCTCTCTTAACTACTCACACTTCTCTCAGCCTGTCACCATGGCGGCTGGTGCCGCTTCATACAAGGTAAATTGGAAACTTGGAACCTGCTACCACCCCTCCAATAGCATTGCTAATTCTTTTTCACGATAGGATCGCCAATTACTTGCAGTGATTGGCGATGAAGAGTAAAAATCCCCTCGGTTATCACCAGCTTTGTCATTCAATAACTCTAGCTAACCTCGACCACCGGTTGCAGCTCCGTAACTGGTCTTCTGCTCGCGGGTATCGGAGTATGTATCTCCCTGTTCAACTCAAAACGCCATCAGCCCATTTTGGGCTCTCTATTAATATGACGCTTACCCAAAAATCGTTATTTTTTAGCATGTTACCGACGGCCCTGACTCACAGCGCAACTTTCTAGTTGTCGACGCTAAGACCGAGACCTCGGAAATTGAGCGCGCTTTCCAAAGCTTCACACAAGAGAGAAAGGACGTCGCTGTTCTTCTCATAAATCAACATGTTAGCTCCAGGATACTCCGTCATTCTTTCTTGAGGATACGCTAACATGCACTCAAAGGTTGCAGAGCGCATTCGCAATAGCGTAGACGCCTTCACTGACCCCTTCCCCGCCGTTCTCGAAATCCCCAGCAAAGACCACCCATACGACCCGGAGAAGGATAGCGTCCTTAAGCGTGTGCGCCGCCTGTTTGGCGAATAGATATTTTGGGAAGATTCTTTTGGTTTTGGGCGTCATCAGCTCGGGTGCCTCGTTGTGTCGCATGTTTACATATTTGATTCTTGCTAAATTATTCCGGTGTACCGTCCACCGTCTCGGGATTGTCCTTGTTTTGATCAGCTTATTCCAAGAAGTTTGGTGTGGTTAGGTGATCAACTTTGGAGGAAAGATACCCAACACGTCTGAAAATGCATATACAACCTCAATAGATCCGGATTGCAAGCTGGAACGTCGCCTTTGCACCCATCCTACCCGCTATCCATATTCATTAATCCTCTTTAAAGTATTTTAAACCAGCACAATATTTCTTATACTGGTAGGAACTCAAGTTCTCTTTCGATCCCGAAAAATAATAATCCTATAATTGAAAAACAATCGGCAGATATATTAGCGACCACGGGAGCGACGCTCTGGTCTAGTACATATTGACAATCACACTGATGCAAAACAATCACTGGAACAGCGAGACAAAACTGTACCACGGAAGACTGAAGCTTAGAGTGGCAAACATATCAAATCAAAAAGCGAGGGCAAGTTCGTAACAAGACGTGGGAAGAGGCGTTTCTGGCATAGAAAATTCAAGGCAAGCGATGATCAATATGGGCATTCAAATCGAGAGGAGCCACCTGGTAGTTGTATGCAAGGCGGTTATGCAAGCCGGGAAAGGACGCTCAGGAGAGAAGCTGCAATTACAGGTTGAACTTGATGTTGTGTGCCTCAAGGCAAGTAACTTGCTTTCCATCTTGGTTGTAGACGTCAGCGAAGACAGAGTATTGGCCCTGAATTAAAATGTCAGCTTTCTAGATGGACGTCTGGGGTTTAATGATATGAAGATCCTACCGGAGGGATTTGGCTGGGCAAGTCAACGGTCTTGGTCAAATCCAGTTTGCCATCTAGAGGACATGACAAGTCCACATTGCCAAGCTGCTCGCAGAGATCAGCGGTCTGCGTGATCAGGGTGATGATGCCGTATTTAACGACAAGGTTGACATAGGCGCCCTTCTCGATCTTCTGTCCAAGGGTACCGCTGGCCTTGATAACAAGCTGTTGGCCACTGCTCCAATAATGATATGTCAGATACAATGAACACTTAGAGGGACGATTGAAATCGGGAAAACATACGCCTTGGGGGGGTTGGGCGACAAGTTGACGGAATCGATCTTAAGAGAGTAGGAGGCTGGGTCTTTGCAGAAAACCAGCGGATTATCACCGGGGACTGAAGTTTGGTCTTGAACCTCAGTCCGGAGCGGAATCTGCCATGGATCAAGAAGGCTTGGGACAGAGGCAGCCGAGGCGAGGAGGGGAGCCGCGAGGAGAAGAGTGGTGGCCGATAAGAACTTCATTGTTGCCACTGTCGCCGATTGTCGGCGAGTCGAGCGTGGGCGGTGATAGTTGGAAGCTGAAAGTTCGGAGATTTCAAGACTCTGAGGAACAGGCGGGAGGATGTTTGATGGGGTGGACAGATGATAGCAGAAGCAAGCTAGAACTTGGAAAGGTAATGAGATGTCACAGGTGACTCGGGGTCACTTGATGACGACTTGCACGTGATTTGTTGGGGATGTCCGCTTTAGGTTTAGATCGTCTTACGTCTCCTCACTAAGGCTCACTTGCCTTATCTTGAGTTGGTTCCTGCAGCTGAATTTCCATTTTCTTTTCGCCTTTTCCTCTTCGCTGGCTCGCACCGTTGCGCTTAAAACTTAGTACTAGTCATACTTCAAATCTTTCATGAGAATTCAACAATTCCTTCATTACTATTCTTCTACACTACCACTGTGGACATCTCACATCTCAAGGGCCACATATTTGTGGATCTCCAGCCCCACTTGCTTATCGCCGGCTCCGATAAGTAGGGTTGTACATAGTGGGATCTGTACGGAGTTCATCTGGAAACATGTGCACGGGTAGTATCTACTTGTGGTTTTACGACCTACTGCTCATTGAATATCCTCATCTTTGGAACTTTCTTCTATTACAGACCTCCTCGACACCAAGGCATGCTTAGAAGCTTTACAAACTAGTGAAGGTCAAGGCATATATTTACACCACCATTCCATACTGCACAATTTGTACTTATCAATGACTAACATTGAAGTGGACAGGGTGACTTCAGCTCCGAAAACAAGATTTATGAAATGTAGAGATTTGCAACATGGAATCCATTGATAGATGAATAATAAATGCCGCAACAGGGCTTCGTTCTTATCTCCATACTCCCGACATAGTTTCGATCACAAATGCAAAGAATTCTGCGGGCTTGGAACCCAAAGACGCATGATCGGCTATGCGTTTGTCGCTTTGCGCTGCTGGAGTGCCATGTAATTCAAGAAGGACCTGAAGACAGTGGGCATAAGATCATCTCTTGTATGGTCGAATTGCGGATTAAGCTGTTCCCATAAGTAGCAATCGGGATTATTACGTACTGCCACCATGAAATGGCCATATTGGATGATGCGTCCAAAGCGATATTCCTTGTCGGCAGCAAAGAGTCTGTTGAGAGCAGCACGCCATGCTACCACAAACTCGACTGGATCGCTACCTTGGCGGAATTCCATTGTAGCGAACGTCTGGAAGACTCGGTTGAACTCATTCTGATTTAGCTGTCCGTAGCGTGCTTTAAGGATCTCCAAAGCTTCAGCCGCAGAGCGAGTGCCGGCGATAAACATCTTAGTGTCCGCAGTACAGGAATGAGAGATGATGCTGTATGCATCGGCATTATTAATCTTCCATTGCTTTAGACGATCGTTTGGTCGTTCAAAGTGATATTCGAGGTAGCGTGCAATTTCTGCTTCGGAGATAGACTCGGGTAGTATCCGTTTAGTGGCTGCAACCAACTCTGTCTTCGGATCGACGGCCTTGATTGATTTGCGATCCGCAATGATCTTGCAGACGTCTGCTTCAGAGGGTGGAACGAGATAGAGACCGTCATTTGGTTCCGTTATCTCTCCCTGCATGATCTCGAGGAGATCATTACCGAGAGGTTCGACAACAGTTCGCAGTTCCTCCAGCCACTCATGCCAGTTTTCTGTTCCCTTCAGTTTCGGCAGAATTTCACGGGATTTCCCAGCATTGCTGGTCTGATAGAGCCGCGACATGCTGGAGATGTGTTCAGCGAGTGGGCGAAATAAGGTTACGGGAGGTGGATTTATGTGGAAATCCGAGTGGTGATTGGCTGATGTATGGAGATGCGGCAGCGGGATTCGAGGGATCCTGACGAATAAGCTGCGTAGAATCGTGCTGAACAGAGGATTAGTTGAATTAGTCCGACGCCTTCCAAAGCTAACAGAATCAGAAGAAATAAGCACTTATGAAAAGGACTGCTGAAACAAGATTTTCCGGACTGATATGACGAACAGTCCAAAACGCGTCGAATTTGACAAGTTTGGTATTTGGAGGATGCCAGGGGATTAGAACAAATTGGGGGTTAATTCAAAATCAGAGAAGAAGGGCTCATAACCTCTGAAGAGAAGATATGAACAAGAGGACGCGAGCAAAGGCGTATGATTGGCTATGGAGGAGAGAGAAAGGGAAAAGCTGACGAAGAGAGAAGAAGTGGGATAAGCCCATGCGGAGTGACGTGACCCCACGAACACCACGAAAATTGATCTTTAGTATATACTACATACTAGTAGCTAATGGATACATCCATCCTAAGTAGGGCCAGAGAGAAAAGAAGTCGTGTGAATGAATGGAGAGAAAGGTCGCGCTACAAACAAGGCATGTATAGAGGGTACATCGCCCGCCTTCATGTGGGAAGTATGATGCGCATCCCGGCGACATTAGCCAAAATCTCACAAGGCTCTATCTACATACTAGCCCGATGCATTACCTACAAACGACCATTCATTCGTTTTGGAAATTTCGATGCGACGGATAAATCTTCTCCCTCGGGTTCAACTTCTCGCCTACTCTCAACCCGAGAAGCTCTGGAATTGGACAATATTTCGTTGATCGCCGAGAATGCTTCTGCCATATTAAGAGTAATTTTTCCCGAGTGGTTGGCCCACTACTGTCAAAGAGTGTTGGCTGATGGGGTGGGGAAGCTTTTCGCTTGAAATCTTGATCCCAGATTCCCTGCCCTGCGGTCTTGATTTCCAATTATGGCTAACTTGCTTCACTAGTCCAGGGTTCCCCACCCCCACGCTAAGGGCCATCTCCGCATTTCGGTACATCATGAAAATTCTTGGAGTACTCTGACTTGCTCTAGATGAATGTCTCCTTTTTCTTTATGAAGCTCGGACAACATTCCTTGTAATCCGAATGGATTCTAAATATCTCGGGATAAGAGTGGGTACGATCAGACCACGCCACTGACGATGCTATATTCCCCCGCCTTTTTGTTGAGGCCCTTTATTTGTGAGGTGGATATAAAATCAGAGGAGATTCGTGTCTATTCAACATAATTCATTTAGAAACTGTGACTTCGCGAGGGAATTGGTGATTACTATCTACCCTTGCAATATGAAGGGTCCAAGCTTTGGTCTTCTTGGATTGGCATCTTTGGCCTCGGCCTACGCCGATCAACCTTACTATGCCAATTTGACATGGGAGGCTCCTCGAACATTGTCAAACTGGTCCAATCTTACCGTTGAAACTGATACGGGAACCTTCATCGGAATGTTGAATGATACCTACCCAAACGTCCGGCAATTTCTTCGAGTTCCATATGCTAAGGTTAGTGATGGCCAACACGATCCGATTGGCATATTCGTTAAACCTACCTCGAATTTTATAGCCACCTATTGCGGATCTTCGTTGGATGCCTCCTCAAAAACTCGAAAAGTCGAAGAAAAGGATCGACTCGACGTTTTACGGCCCCGGTATGTATATCCGCAATGAGAATCGAAATTGAATCTATACAAAAGTTTCCTAGCTAACAAAATCTGATTTCGCACACATAGCTTGCCCCCAATACGTGACTTCTCCCTGGAGCTTTTGGAATGAATATGAACCACCAAACCTTCTCGTCAACATTGGCGAAACGTTGGATCAGGGCTCAACTGCCTGGTCTTCGGCTGAAGATTGTCTATCAATGGCAGTTTGGACTCCTGCATATGCCAATAAAACATCGAAACTCCCCGTCTCTTTGTTCGTCACTGGTGGAGGTGGCATCACAGGAGGAATTCAGATTCCTTCTCAGCTACCGGCTAATTGGGTATCGCGATCTCAAGAACATATTACCATTACCATCAATTATCGGTCGAATATTTTTGGAAGTAAGACACCCATGCATATCCCCAAATTGACGATCAAAAAACATCACTGACCCATTCGTTAGACCCCAAATCCAGAGCACTGAATGAAACATCTCTCACTCTTTTAGATGTGAGGGCTGCAGTCGAGTGGGCTTATGACCACATCGAAGCATTCGGAGGTGACAAAGATAATATCATGGTGAGTAATATTCATCCAAATGAAAAAGAGTGTTAAGTTAAGTTGGCAAAATAGCTTTGGGGTCAATCGCAAGGAGGAATCCTCACGCATCTGTATACACTTGCTTGGCCCGAGAACCCCCTTGCTGCCAAGTTCGGCGTTATATCACAAGGGGCTTCGGCCACATTGAACCTCTCGACTGTGGATGATGTTTATCAAGATTTTGATATTGTCGCCAAGGGTCTCGGTTGCAACTATGGTGATGATGCAGAGGCTGAGCTCGAGTGCATGCGACAAATTTCGTGGGTTCAGATTGAAGAGTTCATTAACCGCTATAATTCTACCCCGGCAATCGCTTTCACAAACTATATGCGTAAGTCCCCTCAGTGCTCTACTAGTCGAGCTCGGCTTACCCAAAACCCAACTCTTCTTTAGCGGATGAAAGATACATATTCTCAGACGAAACGGCTCGGTATGCCAAAGGAAAGGTGGCACGGGGCCCAGTAATCCGATCCGACACTGCTAGAGAGTTCCCTAGCACCAATACCACCGAAGTCAACGAAGAAGAAGGGGTGGCAGACTGTTTGGCTCTGTCGGATTCGAATCTGCGCCAATCCATTGGCCTTCAAACCCATCGATACTACTGGGCCGGTACGTGGATTTTTACTACCTAAGCTTCAAATGTCTCAAAGATACGTGTAATTGACGACACATAGGGAACTTCACCAACATTAGTCCGGTGCCGTGGCTTGGGGCCTTCCACTGGACGGATTTGTTCATGATCTTCGGTACTTACATGTTGGATGTCGGCAAAGTTAGCAAATTGGAAGTTGACACTTCCAAGACGATGCAAGATCTTTTCCTCAAATTCTTGAAAAACTCCTCGTCATTCAGTGAAACTGCCCACTGGCCTGCTTTCAATTCCAGCGCACTCAACGGGGGCGCTGTCCTTGAATTCGGAAACGGGACAACTAGAAAGACAGTGACCGGCGATTGGCTTGACGCTGGTTGCTACAACTCTTCAAGTCAATTCAGAATCTGGGGATGATTGGTGCATCGTATTAGATTATGTATGTATGCTCTCCGTACGGAGTCCGTGGGATACGGAGTACATATCTGCAATGGGCTGCGCCACTAGATCTACAAACCCCCCTAAACGTTTGAACGTCCAATGAAACCCAAGCTAAAGAATTTTGAATTGTCTCTAAAAATGTTCCTGGGTTCCATATTCTCCACTTTGGCCCTTTCAAGCGAATCGGAGCTGCCGTTTCGACTTTCAGGGAAAGTGAAGTGGATCTCGGGCTCTCAACCCAAAAAACCAGCTTCGACACTAACCCCGACAAAGTAATGATTTCTGAAACCTCGCCGTTCTGGCTCCACGATTTTCGACACTAGTTTCAGTCGAGTGGCTCTCTTGAGGAATTTAATGGGAGAGCTTGAGTTGAAATTTTGTAGTCAAGCCTTTTTCTTCCTCTTTCAAACCGGGGTCTTCTTGGCCTGGATCTAATGGAAAGAATCGGGTGCAGTTATTGAAGTTTCACCACGATGAATCATTTTAAAGAAGAATATAGGCTGTCGTATGTTCCAGTACACGATGAGCCTGAGAACGTGACAGGGAAGAGAAAAACGCGACCCCTATCATCTGCCGAACAGGTGTTCCTACAATCTCAGACACAAGCATTCTGGGGGGCCAGCTGGACCTTGGAAATCCTGGGGTGTTTCATATCGATTCTGTTTTTCATAGCTATTATTGTGGTCCTCTGGTACTATGATGGAAAACCAATGCCCGAGTGGCCTTACGGCATCACGCTTAACGCACTAGTCTCCGTTCTAAGCACCGTTATGAAAGCTTCCATGGCGTTTGTTGTCGCGGAGGGCTTGGCCCAACTTAAATGGTCCTGGTTTCGTGGGGGGAACAAGCTGAGTGATCTGGCACTTCTCGACGCTGGAAGTCGTGGAGCTATGGGATCCCTTCTTGTTCTTCTGAAGACTGTACCTCGGTAAGCTGGGGAGAATCTTGCTTTTGGGACTCAGGCACTGATTTTCTTCCTCTAGGCATCTCATCACATTCGGATGTTTAGTTTTAGTTTTGTCAACGGCTACGGATCCATTTGTCCAACAGGTCATGTCTGTCAAAGAGCGACCGGTTCATTCCAAGGGAGTCTCTTCCGTCCAAGTCTGCAACACCAGTACCTATACAGACTATGGCGAGGGTGCAGGTCCTGGAGAGAACCAAGTTCCTCTCGCAACTCTGGGAGCTATTTACTCTGGTATCTTCCAAACGTCAAGCCCGAACCGCAAAAGCATCATGATGGACTGCCCGACCGGAAACTGCACATTTACGCCTTATCAATCTTTGGGATTCTGCAGTCGCTGCGCGAACATTACAGATTCTCTTACTCTTTCCAAAACTGCAATTGTCCCTAGTGAGCCGACCTACCACTACAAACTCCCCAATGGATTCACATTTACCACCGCCATCACGAACCTGTACATGATGAATTCCACATCATACCGGAATCTTATCAAGGTAGACGTGGCGAACAAAGCCTCCATTCTCAACTTTACTGCAATCACCTCATCTGGCTACGGGGTGCCACCTCAAGTGAGTGCGACAGAATGTGCACTTTTCTTCTGCGTCGATACATATCATGCAAACGTTCAGGGAGGTACATTCTCTGAAAACCGTACCTCATTCTCCACCACATCAAATACCTCTTCGGTCGTTGAAAACTTCTCATTGACACCAGAGACATGTTATACCAACGGAACTCAACTTGAGAAACCATATAAAAGCACTGATGACTGCTCATTCAATGTCAACTGGCTGAGCCGACTGGCAATGTCGAATTCGATCTCACCCCTTCTCCACGGCTACGGCTCACTTTTTATAAGCAACCGGCCAAGTTGGTCCTCCAATGTTATCGAGGCTCTGTATGGTGTCGAGGGAAACTACACCGACATTAATTCAGTCTTTCAGTCATTGGCTTCTTCACTTACTATCAACGCCCGGTCCCAAGTGTGTAAAGAGAAGGTCGACGGAATCCCGTGGACTGTCCAGTCATTTGTCCGCGTGAGTTGGAAATGGATGATTCTTCCTGGCGCGCTGGTTCTTCTAAGTATGATTTTTATGATCATCACAATCATGCATACTAGAAACCAGTATATTTGGAAATCATCGCCTTTGGCCCTTCTCTTCTCGGAGTTACTGGTTGATGAACCACTTCCGCTTCGGTCGGATCCGACTTTGAAGGGAATGGAAATTACATCGAGGAATATGGAGGTTTGGCTAGAGACGACATCGGAAGGAGTTCGATTAAAAGCCATTCCGACTTCGCGATAATAATGCTTTCAAGCTTCCTAAGGTCGGCTTTGGAATGTTCTCAAGTATTTTTGCTAAAGCGACATACATCATGATACATGTATTTTATGATATAATACTACACAACCTTGTACATTATTCATCACGATACCTGCCAAGGTTATTACTTCACATCGGGCTGTACGTGTAGAGAGGCAAGAGTCGCAAGACTAGCAGACCCTAGAATATTCATTTCTAAGGTTTATTAGAAAGAAACATTCAAGCCGGAGATAGGCTTCTGCAGGTTTGAATTTTACCTCCGTGATGATGATGAAATAGCCCGGACAACATTTGAAATTCCAAGGTTACGGAGTCATCGGGCTTTTGCTGACGAAATGAAATGCGTGTTGGTCAGCATTTTCAGAAAGACCGAAGGCGACTCCCGCACTAACAACATTGAAAGTGGGTTCCACCTAAACCAATCAAAGTCAGCTGTAAGCTCTCCCTGTCCCCGCCTCTTACGCTTATATTCAAGCTTCCCTCGCAGCTTTCCATCTCCAGATCAACAACATTTTCAACATCCCTTTTCTACTACGCTCTATCACAGTCTTGATACTATCTATCTCATCCGCCATGGCTCACACCCTTACTCAAGTTCGCACGTGGAATGCCGCCTTGAAGACTACACGTCCGGACCTGGTGGCTCTCTTTGTAGGAGCTACTAGCGGAATCGGAAGAAACACGGCTGTCAGATTAGCTGCTTCTGTTGATCGTCCAACTATATTTACTATCGGCCGTAATGAGGCTGCAGGTGCCGAGGTTCTGGAAGAGTTGAAGGCCGCAAACAAGAATGGCACCTATAAATTCTTCCCGGTGGACGTATCTCACCTTCGCAATGTCGATGAAGTTTGCCACAAGTTAAAGCCAGAGATTCAGGAACTGGATCTTCTGTTTCTTTCATCTGGAGCCCCATCTTTCGGCAAAAAGGGTCAGACATTACTCTTTCAACGATAAGGATGATTACACATCTGCAGTGATATACCAAATACTAACTCATATATATAGAGGGCGATGATAACATCGATGTCAACCATATCATTCGGTACTACAGTCGCTTGCGATTTGTTCACAACCTACTTCCGTCACTTGAACTTTCCAAATCTCCACGCGTTGTCAGCGTCCTCGCAGGCGGCCAGGAAATGATGATCGAGGAGGACAACCTCGATTTGAAGAAAAGCTTCTCCTTTTCCGCCGGAAATGGCTACCCGACGACCATGACTACTCTCGCTTTCGAACATCTGGCATCAACACATCCTTCGGTCAGCTTCATCCATGACTTCCCGGGTATCGTGGCGACACCACTGTTTAAGAAGGTCGCGGGACCTATTCTTGGTTCAATCTTGGGCTTCTTGAGCAAAGTCGTCTCGATTCCGGCTTCGGAGAGTGGGGAGTGGCACACATACCTGGCTACTGCACCTGAATATAAGTCTAAGAATGTCGCTGATGAGCCATCTGGAGGCTCATATATTCTCAATCACGATGGAAAGGATGTTACCAACCAAAAGTTGATGGAGCAGTTCCGGGAGAAGAACTTCCCTTCCATTGTTTGGAAGCATACGCTCGATACATTTGAAAAACTCTCTGCTTAAGGGTGGTTTCTGTGTTTTTCTCTCTCCTTTTATGGCAATAATGGGATAATAATCATGTGGGAACCAACATTTAGTTGGGGCAAGGGCTTATAGTTAATTATAATGACGCATGTTTTGTTTAACATTTAATAAATGAACGCTTACGAGAACCTTTGGGAAATAACCATTGTCGATTTGATCATGAATGCCGTGCCAGCACGCGGCCCGTCAACATTGAAGTCAGAGTTCAACCCTTACCCTGGATATCACTCAAGCTTCTGACATCTGGAGCCGACCAATCTATTTCACACTAGCTTTTGTTTGAAGGGGTGAAACGATATTCCTAAAACGGCCAGATACGAGTTTAGTGCCTTTTTCTACATAAGGTCCCAATGGGGTATGACATTCCTCAAGTGAAGTCCATTATTTTCAGCCACTGACCTCGGGGTTGCCCGACGATATAGTACATGAAAGATCTGAGATAAACATGATCCAACCAAAAGATGCACGTTTATCTGCATGCGGAAAGAAATCAGAACCGAACCGCTCGTACTAAACCGATTATTAGCCTAAGCTCACCTGGGCACCAGGTGCATTTGCGTCTTAAAGTTACTACCTTGTGAATAACCTCAATATCATGACACTAGTAGAGTCGATCCACCGCCAAGATAACGTTCTATCCTTTGGTGCATCGCTCATTGAATACACTGAAGTGAGATGATCAATTTTATTTTAGATTTCAGTGTGTTCAAGCATGGAACGTGAATACCGTGAACAAAAAAAAAAAAAAATTAAATAAAAAAAAAAACTTCGGGCCCTACAATACCCTTTCACGTGCTACTATCTGTGATGATCCTCCAGGGCTGGACAGACCCTGGTTAAGCGACACCGCTCTGTTCAGCTCCCGGGGACCCGGACTGTTAGATCCCTTATTGGTGGGAGCTCTCCAGGGCTGGCGCACGATCATGCGGGCGTCTACTCCGTACTGTTAATTATGGTGATCTTATCTTGATTTACGAATAAAGTTCACTGACACTTCTAGCTTCGCTGGTAAAGTCCCTGAGTTTGTGTATCTCTTTATTAAATTGTGGAGTCATTGAACCCTCCAAATAGCGCCAAAACGCTACAATCTAACAATTCCACAGTATGCAGTAAAGTGGTCAATTAGTATTGTGTCTTTGGTAGCCTTCAATTCGAACCAGAATGGATTGAAAATTTGAAAATTTCTTTACCTATCCCATGTCCACGGGTTACATGTAGTAGATCCCAGATCTACTTCGTACTCGCATACATGATGGTTGACATCTGGAACTCCTTCTAGGCAATTACCTAAAAGGATCAATTTGTTTACCAAGTGGCGTCCAATTTACTATTTACCCCTCGCCAATATATTCCGTTCCACCAATAAAGGACACGGTCCCTGTCCGCTGACGCGTTCACATGCAAGATGGCGTTCTCCTGAAGGACCCGGTTCTCACTAGCTCGTGTGGGGCCAAAATCACCATAAATTAAGGCCCATCGTGAAGGAAACTGCCCCTCGACCCTGACAGCCCTAGCCAATAGCGCACGTGTCTCGATACTGCGTCATAGAAGCACCGGTGGGCAGTTATGACACAGCGAATTTGTATCAAACCATCACGCTAATACTCAAAGTCTTCAAGAATTACCCGGCGGAAGATCTCCCCACACCAAGCTACCCGGGCGTCCGTCGGCGCCATCCCGCGTGCAGAACTTCATAACTCGGTCTAGAGGTCAAGGTGCATGTTTGCGCAGAAATACATAGCCGCTTCGACTCGGTTACAGGACAACATGATGGGTTTTGCGCTTTATCCACCCGCTAATCTGTTTATCGAGCGTATCAGATGGCTTCCCGTATCTGTGTGTTGATCTTCTGTTGATGATTGGCATTCTGGAGTTTGAGGTCGCTGCATGTCGTGCATGAGGATTCAAGTTCTTGCTTCAATGTTCTTCCATTGAGTCTGCTTCATGGATCGCGGTCGACGTATAAATATTCATGCTTTCACCCACATCATCAAAAAGAACATTCAGAGCAGACCGTTCAATTCAATTGACTACATTCCAAAATTATCAATATGCTCTCTTACACCCCACGAGGCCTGTTGGCTTTGGCCGCCTTCGACATTCTCATGGAAGCCCAGGCTGGCCTCACCGGCTGCACCGCCAGCACCGAGGTTCTGAGCTGCCACAACACCACCGCAGTCTCCGATCTCTGCTGCTTCAACTACCCCGGCGGCTCCCTCGCTCAGGTCCAGTTCTGGGATACCGATCCCTCTACCGGTCCTACTGATTCGTGGACAATCCACGGTCTCTGGTAAAAAAAATCCCGCATCGGATTTACTTTTCATAAAAGCCTCTGGCAGACTCGAGATGCTAACATGGGATTCTGCATTATTTAGGCCTGACTACTGCAACGGCGACTACGGCGAGGATTGCGATACTTCCCGTGAAACCTCGGAAGTCGAGACCATTCTCACTTCCCAGGGCCGCACTGAGCTCCTGACTTACATGGAGACTTACTGGGTCAGCGACGATGAGACTGCCAATGAGTTCTGGTCTCACGAGTGGAACACACACGGAACGTGTATCAACACTATTGACCCCAGCTGTTATACTGATTACACCTCCGACGAGGAAGTTGGTGACTTCTTCCAACAAGTTGTTGATCTGTTCAAGACTTTGGATACCTACACCGTATGTCCTTCTCGTCATGATTTGTTTTTTATTTTCTATGTGGTTTTTAATTGGTATCCAAAATAGGCTCTCTCCGCTGCTGGCATCACCCCTACCAACTCCAAGACCTACACTCTTGCTGCGATCCAGGCCGCCCTTGCTGATATCCACGGCGGATACGATGTTACTCTGCTTTGCGATGATGATAGCCTTTACGAGGTGTACTATTACTTCAACGTCTACGGCAGTGCTGTCAATGGAACCTACGAACCATCTACCGCTCGTGAGTTCACGTCCCCTTCTTTCCCCTCCGGATACTGGACGGATATTTTTTAAGCTTGGAAGCTAATTGATTGCCTACTTCGCTCTAGTCGAGAGCTCGAGTTGCCCCACCACCGGAATCAAGTATGTTCCCAAGAGCACCTCTAGTTCCAAGAAGGTCAAGCGGGCTGGAACTAGCTCGCGCGGTGGCCGCAAGGCTTAGATTTGGGCGGGTATTCGTGTTCTGACTTCAACGGAGTCGGGTTGAGTACTACTATAAAAGGGGACACTGCTCAGGCTGGAATGTTGAAGCTTGTGTTGCAGCTGAAGATTCACTGTTTTGGTCGAAGCTATGAGATCATCTGAAATTGAACTGTGAACGTGGTTGACGTTTTGGTATGCGGGACGTTTTTGAGTTGGACATTCTTTGGCGGGATTGGTTGTGGTAATGATCGGCTCGTGTCAAATGATGGCTGCTCAACTCTAATGTAACCTTAACGTTTAAAGAAGGTTCAAATGCTAAGTTGTAACCTTGGAACTTATCCGTAATTTCCACTTGAAATCTAAGCCATCAATTGTTGAAGAACAAAGGCATTGTATGTCCACGTGAACATTGCGGCCCCGGGGGGTCTTCCAAGTTTAGGATGTAAACATTGACTCATATTTCAAAGTACATAAATAAAAACAAAGGTTGTTATAAGGAAAGATAAGATTTGCATGTGTGGAATTTGAAAACATTGCTTACAAGTTTTCAAGATAGTAAAAGGAATAACGCCAACACCAGAAGCAGCCACTTTTTGGACAGAAAAGCCGAAGTCAACATTGAAAGTTCAAATAAATTCTAAGATATACATTGCGAACGAGAGTAAGAATCGAATTATCCCAAAGATACCCTGGTAATCGTAACCCCAAAAAGAAAAGACTCCGGCAAAGATCTAGAAACTAATAAGTCCTAGTCTATCACTTAATACACTCAAAATTCAAACCCCTTAGACAGCGAAGGCAAGGGCGGCAGCGGCGACGATGGCACCGAAGATGGAGCCAGCGGGGCGGGAAGCAGCGCCAGTGTAGGCAGTGGAGGAGGCAGAGGCGGAGCTACCGGTGGTGGAGCCGGAGCTGGAGGAGCCGGAGCCGGAAGAGCTGGAGCCGGAGCCGGAGCTGGAGCTGGAGGAACCGGAGCTGGAGCCAGCAGAGGCGGTAGCCAGGGGAGTGGAAGAAGCGGAGGAAGCGAAGCCAGAGACAGCGGCGGTGCCGTTGTTACCGTGGCGACCGACAGAGAAACCAGAGACGGTGGCGCCGGAGCCGGAGGAAGACTTGGTGGTAGCGGTGCTGCTGCTGGAGGTGCTAGTGCTGGTGGAGGTGGTGTTGCAGGTCAGGTCGAACAGGGGGGTGGTGCTCAGGGTCTCACCGACGAGACCGAAGCTGGGGCTGGCACCGTAATCCTGCATGATGTACCACCAGGTGTTGGTGACATCGAAGAGAGCGCAACCAACCTGGTCCCAGTACTTCTTAGCGTTGGCGAGCGAAGCAACACCCTCACCCTCGGAGGGACCGCTGACGGGCCAACCGGTCTCGGTGACCCAGATCTCCTTGCCGTTAGCGACAGCCTTGGTCTTGGCGACAGCCTCGTTGAAGAGGTTGGCGGCGTTGTCGATAGCGTTCTCATCGGTGGTCTGGTAGTAGGGGTAGGTATCGAAGCCGAGCCAGTCGATCTTGCTGATAACCTCGGAGTTGGAGGTGTTGGTCCAGGCGTCCCAGGTGTCGACGTGACCGATGGTGGCACTGCTGAGGGAGGTGCCGGAGATGGCGGACTGAACGGACTCGATGCAAGTGATCAGGTCATCGGGGTTCATACCGACGCCAGCATCGGACTCAACACCAGTGACGGAGTTACGGTAAAGATCCTCGCTACCGACGGAGATACCGACAACCAGCTTGGTGAAGGAGGTACCGTAGGTCTCGATGGCGGACTTGAGGGCAGCGATCTCGTTGTCGATGTTACCACCGGAGGTCCAGAGACCCAGGAGCAAGGAAGTCTCCTCCTCAATAGCAGCCTCGATGGCCTCAATGGGAGTGTTGGTAGTACCCTCCTGGATCATAGTGTAGAGACGAGCGCTGGTGAAGCCGGAAGTGCCAATGAGGTTCTTAGCGTTCTTGAACTGGGCGACGAAGTCGGCCTTGTAGCGGGTGCTGCCATCCTCGTTGGTAGAACCGTAGTTGAAACCCTTGTAGGCGGCCTCAGCGGTCGCGATGGACACAGCCAGGGCGAGAATCTGCTTCATCTGCATGATGGAGGTTTTGGGTAAAAAAGAATGTGTGAGGGGGTTTTATGTGAAACAAAGAATGACTTGTAGTGTTGAGTAGAGGTGTGATAAACGAATGTCACAAGGAAATAAACGAAAGATTTGTGTTGTAAAGAAAGAGAGAGATGAAAGGAGAAAAGGGAATGAGATGAATAAGTATGGGGAAATAGAAAAAAAAGCCCAAGACGTGTAAATCGCATTTGGGTCTAGACTAACGCCACTGTGGTAGACGATGGAACCTGAAGTGGGGCGCGACACGTTTGCTTGTCTCTTGTGCATCGCTCGCTTATTGGTCTATTGATTTCCAAAAATACCTGAACATCCAATGATCGACTACAAGGTGGACTGTCTTGTCCCTGGCAGAACCTGGGAACGGCTTTCCCATTGTGTCATTTATGTATTCCATTTGGTACTACCGTACTGGTACAGCCCAAGTTGCCAAGTTCGCCCCCGGCTATATTATTTCGCAGTTGCTTGCGTCTCCTATTAAACTTTGGTTTTATTTGCAAACGGGGACTAAATTTGGGTACAGTCCCTTTGTTCATTCCTCGATCCACCTCCAGAATCCCCAATTCATCCATGGATGTGGGTGTTCGAAATTTTTGCTAGAAGGATTCAGAACAAACTCCTATTCGGTCTACCACCGGAAGCCTCGGCACCAAGATGAAAAACCCTCCCTAACAACTTTCAATCAATCTTACAGTGTGAAATATTACCTTAGTAAACTCCGTAATGATCAGCCACATGTTTCAAGTACCTGAACGAAGCCACATGAGAGCAGCAAATCAGAGGTGGATTTGGCATTTGTGATCGGGATGATCCTTATGATTCTGCATGCACGCTATTCCGCTTTCGGGTCTATCGGTGTTGTTCGATTTGATGGCCTGATATAACAGGCGTAAGTCAGGCATGAACCAGGCACGAACTTCCCGATATGGCGGTGAGATCTGAAAATTCTGCCGATTACGTATGCTCGGGTTCCCAACTTGCCAGTGGTGGATGATATCAAATCAAAATATGCAACGATTCTAGACTCTTATCCATCAAATCGAGGCTGTACACCCAAATTGCAATCTTAATCTTAATCACTCATTGATGGGTCCATACTATTTTTAAATGCTCTTTTTCCCAATGTTTTCTTTTCTTCCCTTTTTTTTTAAAAAAAAAAAAAAAAAAAAAAAGAGAAACCCTTCCCCTAACTCCTATTATCCATGCTTAAATTCCAATCTAGTATCATGATTCATCCATCCCAAATTTAGATTTTTAGATTCCCCAAATTCCCAATGGATCCGCCCCAGAATTCCCTCTAGTGCCCTGTAAAGTCTTAACTCTTCGAACAAGGGTCCCTACACAAATAGGCCCAACCAATGTACAAATCGTGATCGCCCAGATGACCGCTAAATAAATCTCCGATGTCCCCTTACTTGATCCTGCAGATGTGAAAATTCCCTGGCTTTGTGCAACAGATGCAATCAGGTAACCAACTTCTCCTCGCGCGACCATGGCCAGACCCAAGATGGACGCCGGATACAATGATTTCGGCTTAGGGGTGAGTACACCTGTCGGTGTCGATTCAATAGTCTGAGTGGGTACTTCATGTCCCTCATTTAGGGCTTCCGTACGGATACTATCGAACGGAGCGGTGTCTTCACCCCTATTGTGGGCCGTTGGCCTAGCGTTGCTCGGGCTCGGGGTCGGGCCCGACCCTGGGGTGGATCTTGTTAATTGGACCTCCTTAGACATGTCTCGTGGGGGGCATTGTTTTTGAGGGGTTCGAGAGCAAACATAGTGAATGTAACTGAACGGTTTTCGAATCGCCTTCAGCACATTTGATATGCCACTTGCACTCGTCGAGAACCGCACGAGCCATATGCCTGTGAGCATCTTCCCAAATGTCATCAGAAGAGCATAGATGACCCCCCGCCAAACTATACTCCCCTGGAACATCTCTGTGATGGGAATTGCGAACCCAATCGACGCCTGTGAAAAGATATTAGCTTGTTTCAAATATACCCACAACAGAGCATTTACTGACGAAGAATAGGGGAGTCAGAATTCGGCCCACGGGCTCCTTATAGTACTTCTCATACACATTCATGCCCGTCGGCACTTCTTTGACTTGCAAATCCTGCAGATGTGTTTCCACCGAGTGAGATGCATCCGCCACAACTGCATCATTTGACCCCGCAGCTAAACCATCAAACCAAGATACAATGACACCCGCAAGATAGGCAGCAAAGAGACTCGAGGTCCCCGCGAAGGAAGCCCCCGCAACGATCCCGACCAAAAGCCCCGTGTGCCAAAGGAACCCAAATTGCATCGTTGTCACAAATTCTGGTATCTTGTTCTTTGCCGTCAAGATCTTCTTGATGGTTGGCCCAAGACAAAAAGCACACACAAGGAAAGTACCGAGCGCAAATCCAATAGACACAAATACCGGTCGGATAACGGTGATGGGATTGAATGAGGTTGCACCTGTGTCACCAAGGTTGGAGATTACCTGGATCATCACCAGTCCGACAACATCATCCAGCATTGCAGCAGTCGTAGTGACCGTTCCAAGACGCGTAGTGATGAGATTCGTGCTAGACAAAATGGTGAAAGTAGTTCCCAGGCTTGTAGAGCTGAGAGCTGCACCTGCGGCAAATGCCTGGACAGAGCTTGCCGACACCAAATCCCTCAAAATGAATGATAAGCCGATGGGTGCACCGATTCCCGTGACTGCAACACATATTGAAAGGAGAAGATTGGCCTTGACAGATTTTATTGAGGTTGAAAGACCACCTGCAACCTTAGTATAAGCGAAGGATTTCATACAAATAGAACAGGCGCAAATGGATCTAATTCTTGCCTTCATATACCAAAAGTATCAGACCTAGGTATCCCACTTGCTGGATGGCTGTTTCTGTCTCGGTATCCAACCATTTGGCGCCCGGTGTACCCCACAGAATACCGATAAATAATTGGCCGATTAAACCACAGTATATGATTTTATCTAGAGCAAAGTTGATCAAGTTCAGGGACAGCAGGAGTCCTGTCCAACTAAGTAAAGTTGTGGTCGTTGGCTCTGCATACGCGAATGCAGCGTTCGCAGTCATGTCATTGATTATGCCACGGTTTTCACCAGTTCAAATTGAGATCATGAAGTTAATGCCACTGAGTTGTCACAGCATCCAATAATATGAGCATGAGTATGTGGCTATCACCAGCAAATGATTTATGTGATTGGGAATGAACGTGGCCCGTGGGAAGGAAGTGGCATTCGATGACTAAGTGAGGTCTTGGCTAACTAACTATAACCTTCGCAGAAGGAACCATTCAATGTTGGAAACTCAACAGAACCTTATGTAATTTAGAGCTTACTATGTAGTAGGTATTCCATATAGATCGTGGTCTTGAAATTGGTATTTGCAGGCTATGTATGTACAGGAATAAGTAACAGGTTTTATGTGATGGTCGGCAGAAATTAATGCTCTGAAACGAAGATACCGGCCATACCCATGCCCTATCTCCAGTTAGTATATACTGACGAAATATGTTGAGGATGTCACTTACGGTTCCGACACACATGGAGGTTACAGCTACGCGCTTATCTTGGCGGCGCAGCTCGGACAGTGCGGTAACAACCTGGCGTGCGCCAGTAGCACCCAATGGGTGGCCAAATGCACTAGAGCATGTTAGTCATTGAGGTCATTTTGAGAGGTAATAAAACCACTTACATAGCACCACCACGCGGGTTCACCTTGGCCTCATCGAGTCCCAGCTTGCCAACACAATAGACACCCTAGGAGAATATTAGTAAGGAGATTCGAGTAAAGAACTGCATGGGAGTCTCACCATAGAAGCAAATGCCTCGTTAATCTCGAAGATATCAACATCATCCTTGGACAAGCTGAATTTGCCCAAGATCTTGGGAATAGCGAGCGATGGGCCAATACCCATAATTCTAGGCTCCAATCCAGTCACAGTGGCACCAACGAACTTGGCAACAATAGGCTGTCCCAATTCCAAAGCACGGGAGCGCTTCATCAGGACCAAAGCCGCAGCGCCATCAGTAATTTGGCTAGCGTTGCCACCAGTGGTAGCACTTGGCGTCCACTGAGGGAATGCAGAGCGAATCTTGCCCAATGACTCGGCGGTAGTACCATACCGAATACCATCATCACGGTCCACGATAATATCCTTGACCTCACCAGTCTTGGGATCCTTGATCTGAGTCTTAACAGGAACGATCTCATCCTCGAACCATCCAGCCTTCTGCGCACGCTCAGCCTTCTGGTAGCTGGCCGCAGCGAACTTATCGTGCTGCTCGCGTGAGATACCGAACTGCGACGCCACGTTCTCGGATGTCTGGCCCATAGGCTGTGAGTTCTGTGAAGCGATAGGATGCGAGGTAATGCGGTCCGTCATTTCGGGGGCACCGCCATCAGCGTTGGTGCTCATGCTCTCAGCTCCGACGGCGATACCGACCTCGATCGAGCCCGCGATGATCTGGTTGGCAATGTTCTGGATGGACAGGAGACCTGAAGAACAGAATCGGTTGCAGACCGAGGCGGCGGTTGTGACGGGGAATCCGGCTGCGAGCACGGCGGAGCGGGCGACGTAGGCGGCACCCGGAGCGAGGCAGTTACCAACGCTGACATCTTCGACGAGGTTGGGGTCAATCTTGGAGTTCTCGCGCACGGTCTGTGGAATGTCAGTGGTAAATTTGGGTCGAGGCTGTTCGGAATGGCACTCACGGTGAGCAGCGAGACTAGGAGGTTGTCGATGCCGGTATCCTTCAATCCACCTTTGCGGGCCTTGGTGAGGGGTGTACGTGCGAGGTAGGTGATGACCTATTTATTAAGAAGGAAGATTTGTTAATTGACCGATTGCCAGTGTCCAATCCACGGGGTAGAGTACTTACCACATCGTCGGCGTTCTTCGCGAGGATACGCTGCTTGGGTGAAGGCAGGGCCAATTGGTTGGCGACCGAAGATAACCGCTGCTGGGGAGACGACATGATTTCTGGGGGATAATGATAATCTGCAGAGTTAAAAGGAGAAAGGACGGGTCTTGCGGACGGGACGCGGTCTTTTTATTATTTAGTGTCCGGGGTTACAGTAACGTGGGGGGATAAGAATGGACCGCGGCTCCTGTGATGAAGACCGAGTGACCCGAAAGCCGAGCTCGGATTGTAAGCCGAAGGAAATGCCGTTGCTATTACGGAGATCCGTGTATGATACAGGTATTTGGATGTCCTCGGCTGAGCCGAGGAATCTCTGATTGGTCGAGAAACGTATATTACATGGGTGCCGGTTTTTAGTCATCGTTTTTAGGTTCTGACACAAGAAAACATTGGTATTATATTACCGCGTCTTTCAACCTGCCATTGAAGCTTGGGAGAACTACTCCGTACGTGTTCTAGTCTGAATGAAGAGCTCGATTTATGACTCGTCCAGTCAATACCGGGGTATACCCCGCACCAAGATAGTAAAACCATAACTCGTATGTGCTGATTTCCCGTAAAAACCAATCCGCCCTTGTTAGCTCTGTCACAAACGGCAGATCCTCTCAAGCCAGCTTCCGTCGGAGTGTGGGGGGTGGGTCTCTTTTATAACTTCTCAACAATTTCCCCGGACTTCACGTTCGCAACAATCGTGTGAAGCTTGTCCTCTGAACCATTACAACAGCTAAATTAACATTCAATTCAGTGATTAAACGCTCATCTGCACTGAATTGGACGCAATGGACCTGTTCTCCGAAGCTAGTGTGCCCGCCGTGGCAATGGCGTCGGCCCTTTCTGTCGCCGCAGGAGCGTACCTCAATGCAAAGCTGTCTATTTCCACTGACCTGTCTGCCCATTTCAATGACAAGGCTTTTGGCAAGCGACTTGGCGAGCGCATTGGCCAGCTAGGCGCTTCGGCTACCATTTATAAGATGCTCGAGAGGGTGGTTGACGTTGAGGGACAGGGAGGGGCAGATGCCCTTTGGTTTGAGCACAAAACCTGGTCCTACACCGAATTGAAAGACTGTGAGTATAACTTTCAGCTCTTCTGTGCCTAGTCTGCAGCTGACACGGAATTTTTCAAGTGGTTGACCGGTTTGCTGCGGCTTTGCACGAACGGGAAGTCAAGGCCGGCGATTTCATCGGTGTTTTCACAACCAATTCTCCTGAAATGGTGGTGGCTCTGTATGCGCTATCAAAACTGGGCGCCGTGGCCGCTATGATCAACACAAACTTGCGAGGTAAGTCTATCCCTCTTGATTCGTGACACTTGGAGAATCATGGCTAATGATTTAACCGAAGACGACACCTTCGTGCATTGTCTAAATGTCTCTGGTTCCAAGTCAATTATTTCAACACCTGATCTGGCGCAATACGTCTGCGTGGATCTACCGCATGTCTCATTCAATCTCTCCTCCTTCGAGGGTATCTCCACTGGCCCTGTGGACCTCATCACAGCAACAGATCTCCAGAGCTTCTCTCCGTCGGGATTGCAGGCGGCCAAGCGCACGCTCAAGGACTTGACAGCACTCATCTATACTTCAGGTACAACAGGAAAGCCCAAAGCCTGCGCAGTACGAAACATGCTGGCAGTAGTCACCTCCACAACCCTGTCAATCGACGCCAATAACAGATCCAAGTACATGCCCTTGCGCACATATTCATCCCTGCCTCTTTTCCACGGCACAGCATTTTTCACCGGAGTTTGTTACTCAGTAGGAAACGCCGGAACACTCTGTCTTCGTCGCAAGTTCTCTGCCTCACAATTCTGGAAAGACGTGCAAGATTCCGGTACAACACGCATTCTATACATTGGTGAACTCTGTCGTTACCTTCTCTCTACCCCCCCTTCGCCTTATGATGCCAAGCACAACTGTATCGTTGCCTCGGGTAATGGACTCCGTGGCGAGATCTGGGAGCGATTCAAGTCGCGATTCAACGTTCCTGAGATCCGCGAATTCTACCGCTCCACCGAGGGAGTTGCCAAGTTTGATAATCACGGAGAGGGCGTCTGGGGTGCCGGAAAGGTGGGCTTCTCAGGCCCTATTCGCCGGTCTTTGGAGGATGACAACTTCATTGTCAAGTATGATACCGATACCGAGATGCCGTGGCGGGACCCTAAGACTGGATTCTGTGTTCGCGCGAATCTGGACGAGGAAGGCGAGGCAATTGGACGTGTGCGTGATCGTGGCCTTTTGATCGAGTATTTGGGCAATGAGGAGGCGACCGAGAGCAAGTTGCTCCGTGATGTCTTCCAGAAGGGTGACCTGTTCCAGCGCACTGGTGATCTTGTTGTTCAGGATCGGTCTGGTTGGATCAGATTCCAAGATCGTGTTGGTGATACCTTCCGCTGGAAGGGCGAGAACGTCAGTGCGGGTGAGATCCGTGATCACATCTGTCGCATTGAAGGCGTGCACGATGCCGTGGTCTATGGTGTCAAACTTACCGGGTATGTTGAAACAGTGAAGGAATATGAGAAGAAATTTTACTAACAACTTCCAGATATGATGGCCAAGCTGGTGCTGCTGGAATCACGCTGGAGGACCACTCACCCGCTTTCCAAGATGGCTTCGCGGCCAAGCTTTACCCAGAGTTGAAGAAGAAGGGTGTGCCCTCCTATGCCTTCCCTCGACTAGTCCGCTTTATTGAAAAGTAAGTCGTTTTCCTTAGCTGAAAAACACACAAACACAGTGGCTAATATCACACTTCAGGGTCGCGACTGGTGTCACATTCAAGCAAGCCAAGGGTGATTTGACAAAGAAGGGCTGGGATCCCCGCAAAGACTCAGCAGACAGCCTGTACTGGTTGAATGGAACCAAGTACGAGAAGCTCAATGATTCAGGCTGGTCTGAGATTGAGACAGGCAGGGCTAAACTGTGAACAACTACTCAAGCGGCTCAGTATGTTCAATGTTCGATTTAAAGATACCACAATTTGTGTATATAGATGAGAGTAGTTAGGGCATTACATGTATCAAAAGGTTCCAAGGTTCCTATCCTTACAAATCGTCAACATTCAGTTACTTCGACCAAGCGAGGTCAACATTGAACTCAGCTATCAATTCGACGGGCTGAACACCCGACTACCCACCAGGTAAGAGAATATGGTAAAAGGGAGAATTTATCTCGATATGGCGGCACTTGGCGCTACATAGTATCGTTGTCTAGCTATTACTACTAGACATTACGAAATATGTACGCCCTTCCAAGTTGTGACATCTGTCATATACTGTACTATGGCTACTGGAGGACATTGAAATGCTTGGCAGAAACGCGAGTAATCGCATCACGCGGCAGAAACCAGTTAACAAATCACGTATTTCCTTTCTCTTCCACGCGATCTGTATTAATACCACGCGGGCGGTCAAAGTTGCCTCAAAAGTTTGTAAGGATATGCGCAACTTTTCAACAAAAAAAGGGGGTGCGAGGTTTGTCCGTGCTAATAAGCCCTTGAATTTACGTGCTATTAATTATTCCACCACTAAGCAATCTACTAGAAATATTTTTTCTTTCACACCTCTAGCTTGAATCCCCTATACCTAGAGATACGTTTTTGGCCGTATTTTAGGATGCCGTCTGCGAATTAAGATTCATTTTAAATTACAGGTTGAGCGATGTCACTTCCGAATTTGCTCCAGGACCAGGACTATCATCCTTTCTGGTGGAAAAAGCGAATTGATGGAAGTTTGAGTTAACCAAGTCCGAGGAGATTCGTGGCAAAGAGATGAGCGTCACGACATCTGGATGGAATCTAGATGTTTTCACACATAAGAATAGCCTACTATATGTACGCTAATAGAATACGGGACTTACATTGAGATGGTCATCAACAGAATTTCAGAGATTTTCACCAACAATCGAATCCAGCCAAAAAGGCGTGCATGCCCTCGGGCCTCAACGACTGGCGTATCCGGGCCCGGGTACAGGTAGTGCGGGTGGGGGAAAGTATCTGCCCGTGGCCGAGCGAATAGCAACATCCGTGTGGTGTTGGGAATGAGCATCCAAGTAATGAACGTAGGCACCCAAATAAAGCTTATACGCAACCACATCGACAACGGCGATCGCAAACATAAGCAAGGATACGATAGTGAAGCAAAAATAAAAGTCCACCATGATGATGTTAAGATTTTCACGTCAGGGATTTCGTAGGAACAATGGTAAAAATAGTCACAGAAGTGATTATATCGATTGATTCAGCAAAGGGAAAGCTCCAAGCACTTGAACAAAACCTTCAAATGTTGGACATCTGGAACATTCCAGACCCAAGTTTGCCCATGCGCTCTCACACATGCACTTGGGAGTCCACGGTATGGAAGCTACACTGCAGGCACCTGAGCAGGTAATACGCACGACGCCATAAATTGAATAAAGGAAAATATGATATAGTGAACGATAAGCTATCTCTCGTAAGAGAGTATATATACAATTTCGAAATGCAACTGACGGCTCGACTTGATATTAACAGTCATGCAACAAATTTGTCCCGCCACGTACGCCACGCAACAATCGCAGCGCAATCTCGACCCCAAAAATTAGATACAAACACATGGTCAGAGCTCATCCACATATACAAGTTATAGATAAGCTCTCCTTTTGATGACCGTGTTGGTCATACTATTCAAATACCAAGGATAAGTCCCGGTCTTCCGTGATTCACGCAATAGAGCCAGAGATATCTCAAACTCTGGTGACATCGTCTTCCTTCTTGGAGATATGAAGGCGACGCTTCCACTTCATGCGACTCTTCCTCATGGCACGCTCCGTACGCTCCCATGGGTAGTTGACCGGAGACTCTCCACCGGTGAAAATGAAGAAGTCGTAGAGGAAGGCACCGCCAAAGGCACCACTGATGGCACCAACCCAGGGTCCGTAGAACCAATACGCGTTGAGGAACATCTCGCGAGGGTATCCCAAAGCCAGGAGAGCAAGACGAGGACCAAAGTCACGACTGGGGTTGAAGGCGGCGCCAGTCTGGTAGGCAAAGACCATACATAGACAGCTGATGACGAGTCCAATAATGAGCGAGTTCATACCAGCACCGGGCGGGGCGTTTTGATCATCACCAAGCGCCAGAATAGTACATGCAAGGAATGCTGTTCCTAGGAACTCATTTCCAAAGGCAGTTCCAGCACCAATCCAGGTTTCACGTTGGCTAGTCACGAAACTATTCATGATGTCAGATTCCGCATTACTCGCAAGCCAATATTGGATCGACTCGTAGTATAGACCGTAGGCTGCAAGAGCAGCACAGAAGGCACCAAGGAACTGTGCAGCAAAGTACTCGGGCATCTTGCTCTTTGGGAAACCGCGGTAAAACCAAAGCATGAGAGTGACGGCAGGGTTAAGATGAGCACCGGAAACACCACCAGAAATGTAGATACCGATCATGGTAGCGAATCCCCATGACCACGCAGTGGTGTTGGGGTTGCCGGCATCTGCGACAGTAACAGAAAGATCGGCACAGAAACCAATTGTGAGCTGAACAAAGACCGCCAGGGCCTCGGCTAGAGCCTCGCGGTGATGGGTGCGGATAACAGACCAAGTGGTGTGGTTGTTGTGGATTTCATCTTCCACCAAATCCTGGATCAATGGGTGCAAATCTTCGGGATGAGTTGACTCATCCAGAATAGGGATTTCAAACTTATCATCCGCCAGTGCCTCGTCCAGCGGCGTGTCTTGCTGTTCAGGAATATCGGCTAATGGATCATCACCAAAGTACCCTGGGCGTGTCTGGCCCTGAGTTTCTTCCGATGTTCGCGAGTCTCCCTCCGCTACCGCTGACAACGCATCCTGATCGTTGTTGTTCCAGCGAGATGGACGTCTCCGGCGAGTGGAGGAAGTGCGAGACATGCGCGAGCCTTGTCTCGTAGACTGGGTGTCACCACTCAGGATCTTGTTCATGAAGGCTTGCTCGCGCTGGAGACGAGCATCTTCAACCTGCGCCGCCATTTTCCGGGGGTCCGAGGTTTTTTCGATTCGCCCTTCTTCGAGGTCATTGGGGTCGACGTCCAGCCCATACCGCTGGGAGTTTTCCATCGGTAACTGAGCATTGGCACGTTGTTGAATCAGCTCATCTCTGGTCGGCACCATGCCCGGTCGCACGACACGGGGCAGGGGCTTCGCCAAAGACCAGACTGGCTTCGCGTTGGCCGGCTGTTCGTATGACGGGTTGAGATCTCCGTATCCAGGCTGGACGAAAGGCTCCTGGGCCATTCGCAGTTGCGTTGTCTCCTCCGGGCCGGCCATTGTGAATTTTCCTTGGGTTCTAGCAGCCAGTGTGGTTCTCGGGGCTAGACTGGGGATTCCACCGCTACGTCTAGCTGAGCTACGGCGTCGCAAGCCATCCTCGTCGTTAGATGCCGAGGTTCTTCCTCTAGGGGAAATCGCATCCTCTCTCATTCGAGAGCTTCCAGTTGGAGAGGCTGGTCCCTTATTTCACAAGTCAGATGGAAATGCAAGATATCAACTCCGAATCCAATACAACTCACCCTGGGGCTTCTCAGATCTCCTTCTTCGGCGTCCATTGTTGCGAATGATATGAACTTCTCCTATTTTTCTTTTCCTTTTTTTCCCCTTATCGATATATGTAGGGTTCGAGATTAAGAACGCCAAGGCCAGCGGGGAATCAGCACCCTTTCTGATGATATCTCCCGGTCGGAAGTCAAGTCGATTGGAACATGCGACAAGGCAGTTGAAAGAGAGAGAAAATTCCTAGCCAGAGAGTGGAGGGAGAGCCGGGGAGATATGGGCCTCCTTAGTTCATTGGGTCCCCTGTTAAGCGATGGATGTGGACTGGAGAACTGACGCAATGGTCCTTAGATCACCCAAGATCTCCCTATTGGCGTACTCAAGCTTTGCAGCAGGATGGTCAATAGGGAAGTGGCGCAAGCCACTCAGGTTCCTGTCCTGACCCACCGTGGAGCCGATATGTACCATTGATTGAACGATGGCTTTGCGCCGTCTCAATCCACCGGCGCCAATTGGCTCTGCGCAAGGTGGTTCAACGACATTCTTGAATCCTCAGTGGGTCCTTAATCTCCACCAGGTTCCTTTTTTCTTTATCCGTCCTATCCGACACGATGCGTTGCGAAGTGCGAAGTGCGAAGTTTTCCCGGGGAGGGTAAAAGTGTGTACTGAGAAGAAAAGTTGAGCGGTCGGTAACAAATGTTTGGTTCCTTTGGTTTTTCGCTTTCCCCAACTTTGACTGAATTTTTAGGAAAATTACGCAAACACCAAAAATTCAATGCTTGACAGGGGCTTCTTTCTCCACTTCAACGCGCTATGGCGAATTGGTGATTCAATCCCTGCCGTCTGCCCCGTCCATTTGACTCCATTTTGCTGCGTTAGCTTTGTACATGTGGGGGGATTGTCAATTACTGTGAGTTTTCTTTTGGCTTTGCTCCGTTGATGTACATCCGTGCTTAAAAATTCACTGAATATAGGGGTAGTCTATATCTGGAGTCTTAAGCTTGGAATCATTTGAGATGTTCACCAACAAGGAAGTCAAGTTTCACTGCAAGTTCAAGGGAAGAAGTTCTTGATTTACTCTTGATTTATTCTTGATTGCCCCCAATGGGTCCCGCTTGATTTATATCAAGCCACCAATCAAGCCACCAAGCCACCGATCTCACTAACAAATGGGAGCTTTTGTTGGAACTCGAACCCTGCAACATGTTCAAGGCACAACCTTGGCAGTATATAAACCGTTGCATACTGTTGCATAAATTGATGCATACATACAGCAGCCCACGGGCCACCATGCCCGTGCGATCGTCAAATCTGCACTGGATTCGCCAAAGTTTCCAAAGTGCATAACCATGACATATATGTCATGACTCCCGTGCGGGGTTACGGGTATCTTACCTCTGGAGATCCTTGAAAAGAACCCGTTGATGCTGTTTCTTCTGAAGGTTTGATCGCGGGGTACTGATGTGATGTAATTGCACACATCTTCAATGTTCATGTCTCCCAAATGTTTTGCCTGGATTTGCCACTTTGGAATGACGCTAATGCACCATTCCCAAAATGAGCTTGACGTGACAATGCTCGCCTCCTTTCTGAGCAGGAACTACAGCAGTCTGGGATACTATTTGTCGATGGAAGGAACAAGCAATATCCCCGGTCTATCTTAAGTTTCCAAGTAGCTTTTTATCCCGCGAGATAAAAATATGAAAAGTTCCAATGTTGTTTCCAATGTTTGCACATGCACGGACCAATCGGGTGACTTTCCAATTAACATTGAAGTAAGCGAGGATCAGTGTCATTCCAGGGGGTTTCAACCTCGGCCTCAGTATCAATTTCCAGGTTGTTTCCGTATTATGGAACGAATGATTCAATGTTGACATTTATATGCTTTAAATATAGCTGTTTCCAGATGTCGTCATCACGCAGCTTCCAGATGTCCAACAATTTCCAAGGTTAAACAGCACCATTCAACTTCTAGCCTGTGCGCTTAGCGAAGATCCGTCCTGCCGCCAGGTCAACAACAGCTGCAATTGTGGCCCCTCCAAGCATGTCAAAGACTGCAATGTCCACGTTGAGTTCCTTTGAAAACCAATTCCGAAGCTCCACTGCAACAAGAGAATCAATCCCATAGCTATGCATTGGTTGCTTGCCTGAAATATCATCTTTCTTGATGCCTAGGGCGCTTGAGAGCTTAGTTGATAGCAAATCCATGACCACCACCCCCGTTGCTTCCACCGAATCAGCGGATGAGAGACTACCCCCAACTCCACTAGAACCATGCTGAGATTGGTCACTCCCTTGCCCGGTGTGGTCAGTGGCCAAGATCTGCCGGAAGGCAGGCTTCTGAAGCCAGTATGCTGCATCGGGGTTGCGCTTATACATTTCCTGACAAGTCGTCAACCCAAGTATGACTTGACAATCTCCTTTAACCGGCCTACCAGTCGATGGATCACAGTATATGGAAAGTAGAGCATGCAGCTCCGACTCGGTCACGGGAACAAAGGGGAGCTTGGATGCAAAATCCTCTCTTAAAGAGGATGACTCGGCAACGGCACCGGCCGAGAGAAACACGCCCATGTTGAGTGATGTTCCACGCTCCCCTCGGGCCGTTCGGTAATGCGCGAGCGAGTCCATGAAGCTGTTGGCTGCGGCATAGTTTGCTTGGCCTCGATTGCCCATGACACTCGAGATGGAGGAAATCATGATAAAGAAATCCAAACCGGAAGGGAGTAGTTGATGAAGATTCCAGGTGCCAGAAATCTTAGGAGCGGTAGCTTTCACCCATTGAGAGTGCCTCATTGATTCGAACATAGCATCCTGATTATTTTGAGTGAGCTAGATATCATCGATGGAGAGAATTTATTGACATACCCGAAGAACCATTGTGGCCTGTATGCAGCCCTTGACAGGAGGCATTGTCGAAGAGATATCCCCAAGGACAGCTTCAAGCATCGAACGATTCGTAATATCGCATGCGGGTGCTAGCACTTGAACCTGCTGAGCGGAAAGCTCACGAATGAAATTCACCAAACATACATTGGGTTGTTCCTATCCTTGCCGGTGTTCCCTTTGGATATGGCTCTATCACATGTGCATGCTTTTCCTCCCTTGCTTCAATTACCTGGTAGACTCGTATACCATCTATGCTGCCTCAGTCCTCGCAGCAAACTCTGCAATGCGCTCAATTTTTGGTGCAGTATTTCCTCTGTTCACAAGCTTGATGTATGAGAACCTCGGGCTTCATTGGACAGCATCTGTTCCTGCTTTTCTTACGTTGGCTTGTGTTCCATTGCCGTATTTGTTCTTCATCTACGGTGCTAGGATCCGCAGGAGATGCCATTATGCCGCCGAAGCAGATGACTTCATGAACCGACTCTTAGGAATACCCTCTCTTGAATCCTACTCTGAAAACATTATGGAGGACTCCAAAATTTCGGAAAAGTGTTGAGTGTTTGTCTTGAAATATAATCCAAGGTTATAAGACAGAAACAAATGTACCTGGTGATAAATTCCCAAGTTTCGAAGATTCTAGGAAATGTGTGTGTGCACAGTGCAGGAACGAGGGTAGGTGTCTTCAAATTTGAAACATTTGAATCGTGCGTCATTTCAACCTGGTTGTTTTTCTTAGAATATACATGTAGACTGTAGTCAACAATTTGACGAAAAATTTGAATGAAGGCTTCACCCATAGACATCTGGAGCGTTCAAATGTTGCCCAGACAAATCAATGCGAATATTCCGACTTCGGGGTCAATTCTCCTCTAGGGTTGAGAACGACCACATGCAGGTGTCGATCACCTTGACGTTTAATTACGGGCGGAACATAGTAATACATGTAACCGCGTGTGCATGCGTTTGTATCGTGTTTGAAGTGGGGTAACTGAGTATTGGGATGCGGTAATATATGTCTTCCCGAGCGGTAAGGCTAAACCAGAGTTGGAAGCATACATGCATCAATGTGTAGTAACCACGTTGATGCATCTCAAATTCCCATTCCTGTCAACATTTGTTGTTCTTCTGAGTCTGGCCCCACTGGCCTTGGCCAATAGAATCCATCAATTCATTCGCTGAACCTGTTTTGTCCCGACGACCAACGCAACCTGCAAGCATGGATTCAGGAAGCTAGGAGGGGCCGAAGATCGCAAACACCGGTGACCGATCACCTCTGTGAATGTGTCATGTTTCGCGTCTTCCAAATGCCGACTCACGAGACCATGTGGATGAATTGGTCTTCTCAGAGGGGTTCTTCCCAAGACATGCCGACCTCGACAGCACGGAAGTAGCACAAAACACTGGGCAAACTTACCATTTTCCCATTTTTCCTATTTCCCCATTATCCGACCAAGCAATCATGGAGACCGTTCTAGTCATCGGAGCCACAGGAAATATCGGCGTGTCAGCCGTCACCGCTGCCTTGCGCTCCAACCGTAACGTCTTGGCCGTTGTCCGCAATCAAAACTCAGCAGACAAACTCGTCAAACATATTGGGTCGTTAGAGGGTATTACTTTCGTCGAAGCCAATGTTCTCTCAGACTCGGGAGTGAAGGGTGTCGTTGATCAAGTCCAAGCCGGCAAGCTCCCGCCTTTCCAGCATGTGTTCTCCAGCGGTTGGTTCACAATTCTTTCCCCAGCCAAGATTCACTACTGACAGTTTGAAGTTGGCGGCGAGTACGCCACCACTCCCCTCCCAGAGATCACTACCGAGGAGCTCCGGAGGAACTTTAACAGCTCCTTTGAAGCCAATTTCTGTACGTTCTTTTAACTCTAATTACTTCATGTATTGCTAACAAACCTTGTAGTCGCCTATCGGGATACCATTACATATCTGCTCGAAAAGAAAAACCCCATCAGCACATGGACCATTTGTACAGGAGCCCAGGGCGATATGGCGACCCGCCCAGTGCCGGCCATGACACAAGGCGCCTTATTCCCCATGACCAAGGCCGCCGCCCGTGACAACGAGTCGACAAACGTCCGTTTCAACGAAATCTACCTTGGCTTCCGCGTTGAAGTGGATACAGACGCGGTGCAACATGGCGTTACGAAAGCGTCAGACTTTGGAAATGTGTACGAGATGATTCTGACAAATCCCGAAGTCCGCAGTTCGCGCGTCCGCGTTGACGATGTTGATGATCTCAAGACGTTGAAGTACGAGAAGAAGTTCTAGTCCTGCTTCTCGCTGACATGCACGGGATTCATAAATAGAATCCGCAGCTGAAATATTTTTACTTTTAAATTGAAAGCTCCATCCCGAAATATTGTCTCTTTAAAGAAGTAACTTCAGCCCCATGGACTGACATGCACATCTGGACCACTTTTGCATGTACAAGCCGCTTCGAGTGTATCTCTCTACGTAAAATGTAGAATTCAGTATTTAATGGTACAGTGGGAGTAAATCTTTGAAGCTATCAATTGGTGATAATTAATACAGGAATCAGCCTCGAAATGACAGCAATAGCGCAAAGCACTATTCCAAGCTACCCCCCCCGAAGGACGCCCCATCAGGAGAGACGGGCCAAATATGGCGCGCATTTCGTACGTGACAGGCATCACGGTGTGACTTTCTATATCCGCTGCAACTTCAAAATCGAGCAAAGTCACTACTCCGGTTTCACGGTCATAGAAAATGTTGTCCATACTCGCGTCATCGAGACGAAACAAGACACGCCGAATAGCGTTAATCCCCACAAGACATTGCGACTGGACGTTAAGTCTCTCGGATGAAGAGAGCTCGTGCCAGATGTCATGAAGTTTCGAGCCGCGGCGATATTCGAGAATCAGGGCAAAGCCCGACTGAAATAAGCTCGAGCATATGATCTCTCCTCGACGATACCATCTGGCAAAAAGCCGTGGCCTTGTTGGATCTGCATCCCAAAAGTGTATGTACACTTCCCCTTCTGTCTCATACCTAATGATAAGATATTAGTAAGTATATACAGATGTGTCTAGGTGTATAGACTTACATCCCAACATGATCGCGATCCCAGCACTTTACTATTACAGTGCTTTCGTTGATTGTCGCCTTGTAAGTGGCTTTATAGCTCACCGTGGGATCCGATAGTCGCTCAATGCAGTTTAAGACGTCCAGTGTTCCTCCACCAGTATTGACAATGATGCTCTCCGGTGTGATGGATTGGGGGCTCACGTTCGGAAGAGGGGGCGAGTGGGAAGGATCCCGGATGAGACAGTCGGAGGAACGAGTTACAGGAGGACCTCGCAACTTGTGTCAAGATGTCAGCAGCTTATCATCCCTCACGATGTATATCTAGAAGAGTCAGTACTTACCACTCTAGGCTCAAAAGACTCGCTTTCTGAGTACTCCGGATTTGCAAGAGCCATCATACAGAACCCGGCTACTAGTTCACGGAGAGATGGCCTGACAGTGTCGTATCTGAAAGGCGCTGACAGGAGGGGACTTGAGTAGGGACTTGAGTAGGGACTTGATTAGGGACTTGAGCAGGGACTTGAAGACCTGCAGATTGATCATTGACTTCGTCATCTGGCATCTCCAGCCAGTTCTGTTCACCCCATCCTTGTCAAATTATGAACGATATGTTGTAGGAATTGGCGGTGTTTGTGGTGTTGGCGATATTCGGTTTCCTTGTGTTGATATCCGGTGTTTCCGGTGTCCTCTTGTCGTTGTCCGATGGTGCCAATTGTTGTTCAACGTCGGCGACGTTCTTGTTTGTTTGTTGTCGATTTGTAGTGTCGACTCCGACGCCGTAATCGAGTTCTTGTTGATGAATCACAGCGTCAATGACGTTGTAATGTTGTAGTTCTTATTGTGCTGCAGTGTCGGCGGCCTCGGCGGCCCTTGTAGTAGGACGGGTTCGTCTCGGTGATGATCGTCCAGTCATCCGAGTTTGTCGATGAATTCAAATGAAAAGGAAAAGAAAAAGGATGCTCTATCAGAGCGAGCCGGGGCTCATAACCTAGCAGATCCTGACTGTAAGTCTACACGGACTACAGTTGATCTGGGAAAGACGAAGGAATGAGGATGGAGAAGGAAAACATGCTCTGTGACTGGTTGAAGACTGAGGTTCTGAAAAAGCCGCGAGTCGAATATTCTGTCAATGGGATTTTCATTATGTACATCATTTATCGTTGCAGACTTGCTAGCTGAAAGACAGCTTAGCACTTGAGGCCTGTGTGTCTCCAACTAAAGTTGAAACAATTCAACTCAACGTTTCAAGACTTTTGGATCGAAGATTCCACCTAAACTTTCCTTCCATTGTTAATTTAAAAGTTACCTTGCTTAACTCAAGAGCTCTTTCAACGACATCATTCATGTACTTAAATCTTGAGTGACAAGAATTCTGACTCCCTCATTCTTTTCTTTGGGAAATCCAATCAGATACTCCCTGTATATGGCAACGTCTTCAATGGTCGTCTTATACAAGTCCATTTCAAATTTCTGCACCAACGTGGCAACAACAAGATAAATCTCTGCCAAAGCGAGACTAAGTTTGGTCCGCCGATTAGCATCATAAAATGACCAAATGTGGGAAAAGGGTGGAGAAAGGCCTCGGGCATCACTCACTTCATACCAAGGCATTGCCTCGGCCCTTTCGAAAAAGTAGCAAGCATGCTTTCCAATCGCTCCCCATTTTCTTGTGCCCGAATCCACCGGTCGGGGTCGAAGGTGTGTGGGTTGGGGAACAACTCGGGGTCTCTATGCACGAACCAGGAGGATTGGCTCATCATGACCTATATAAAGCCCATAGATTAGTTCCCATGACGCAGAATCAAGTTTGAACAAGGAAGTGCATACTCTTGGTGGAATCAGCCAGTCTTTATATCTCAGTGTCTCGGTTGGTGAGCACCGGGCCAGTCGATTGATAGCACCCGAAAGCCTAAGGCCCTCGTTAATAACTCCTCTCTAAATAAGAATAAGAATTAGCTGATGCCTAGGTGTATATTGTTGTGAGTGACGCGGTTTACCAAGTAGGGCAATTTCTCTAGATCGACAAGTGAGGCATTGGGGGAATCTTTCAGTTCATCGCGGAGATGAAGGAGGTTAGTCTTGTTTTGAAGTAGATTAAAGAAAATAATCTTCAATACTGATGCGGTAGTCTCCGTTCCGGCATTGAGTAAAGCGAAAGCCTCGTCACGCATACGGATGGGTGATCTTTCATTGGAGGGAAGACTGGGATCATGGAGTGACTGGAAGATGGTGTCTCGAGCCGAGCCTTTCGCTTTACCGCCGTTTTCCAATGCGATGTTTGCCTGCTCGAGAATGAAATCTTGCACATGCAAGACATTTGCCGCTTCTGGCGAAAGCTTTCGAAGTATGCCTCTTGGTAATGCCTTTGCGAGTGGCAAGATGAAGGGGAACATGCCCATCAAATGGGAGAGAGACATGGTGCCCACCATCGACTGCATAATATCATTGCGGAAATTTTCACCGTCGAGATAGTCAAAACAAAATGGGTATGCATACTCGGAGATAATATCGGCCGTGGCCGCTGAAAAGGCGTGATCAAGGCAGATGACAGTGCCGGTTTGGCTAGCTTTGCTCATCCTCTGGGCAAGCTTGTCGACTTTTGCCTGGACCATGGACTCTAGGCCCAAGATGGACTTTTTGGAGAAAAAGTTGTGAAGAATGGCACGGCGAGAAGCATGAAGCTTATGATCTATGGTCATGAGCATGGATGTCTCCAGACCTCCAATTCTCGTGAATCTCGGGTCTTTGTCACGTTGCTTTGGTGCGTATATTTCCGAGTAAAAATGGGGATCAGCAATGTGAAGCTCGTGAGGGTCAACGCGAACGATTGGGCCTTTATTTGAATTCTCTCTTGTTAGTTTGAAACCGATCTTTCTCCGTGAATCGGCCTCATCCATACCGTATTTCGCGTGCATCTTCTCTATTTCCCAGATATAGCGTCCTCCCTTTATAGCGTTGAAGTAAAATGCATAGAGACTGGTAATTGCAGCTAGCTTGGGTCCAGGGAACTTGCTGATGGGGTGAAAATATAGGCGGTATATGATCAACAGAAAAGCGTAAAGCAGAGGCGCGCATAGTAGAAGCAACATGTTGGTGGACCTTGGTGCTTTTGAGCAACCAACTTTGCGAGATCTCACAACAGACAAATGTGTCAGAGACCAGAGAGATTTCTTTCCTTTAGTTTCAGTCCACGGGTCCACCATGCCTAGATATATGCCAATTTTATTGGGGGCACAATTTGAGGACAAATAATTTGGGCGAAATTTCTGTTTTTCTTGAAAGATCAAACACTGAAAATCATAGAAACGGCACAGGGCTTCTCCACTATGGAGTACAGCCCCTGCGTACTAGGTAACAACAGGAGAGCGAAAATCAATAACTCCATATCACAAATGGGTCCTGGAGGAGGACTTGAGGTAAGAGCACGGTCCACAGTGGGGAAAAGGCCGGATCGGCGATGGAGAGCAGCCCAGATCTCGGGCAGAATAGACGATCGATCATCATTTTGATCGGATCCGAATCTCTCTTCCAATATTCCACTGGGGCTGAGTGTGATTGTACCGAGCCCCAGTCGCCATCGAGTATGGAAGCTGGAGCTAACTTGTTTCCTTTTGGTAAACACGCCGTTTTTGCCAAGTACATGCATGCACTGACTCGCGTGCACATCAAATACAGATTTCGGGGCTCAAAAGATCGATAGATCGATAGATTTGAGGGGTAATGCAGTCGCCACCGATGGAGAAACTACAAGTACGGCTGGACTACCAGCGAAATGGTCTAAATGGCGGTCAGTGCCATGGAGTGGTAGTACTTCGTACTTGAATCCATACTGGCCCATACTGGAATTTCCATCAAATTGGAACTCAGTGCCTTTCGCAAGCGTGATGAACGATGCCCCCGCTAGGTATACTACGGATGCTATTACTAAATGATTATGGGTTAACGCCAGATAATACTTTCCGGGTAATTTACAGAGTACAGGTGTTTTCATTCCAAATGGAAGGTAAACGTAGCTGTATTTCTCCTAAATTTACCGTATCGGACTGTACTCTATTACGGCTAAAATAGCGCGTGTTCTTGAGCTGCTTACGCGTGCTGCGTGCATAGCACTAGCTCGCCTGAGGACGGTGATCAACTCCTGGAACATTGAATGTTCCATGTTGCTTACATTTACCCCAGTCAACAAAGTACCGTGCAGATGCCTGATTTTTTAACAATTCGCCCATAGCCGCAAAGTTTCCAAGTTCTAAGAACTACAAGAACCACCTGGGCGCACAATTTCCAGCACTTGAGTGATTACTTTTTACTCATTTGCTTTTTGTTGGGTTGACAATTCGGGGGTTTGGCCCCCAGCTGGAGCCCGATAAGCGCCGTGGCCCGCATGTTTAGCCCTGGATCGTTATCCACCCATCGCGACTAGTACCCACTGTGATATGTGCTGTGTCACAATTTCACAATATTCCCTGCGCCTAGAATGAAGTAGATACCCACACCTGTTTGACAAATTTTGCTAGATCGTCTGAACCCGAGCTCTGAGCATTTGAAAGATGGACCTTAGGCCGTCATATCTCGCCATCGAAGAGGCAAACCTTGGTTCAGTAATAAAGCTACATAAGAGGTCAAGAAATGAACTATGTAGGAATTTCCAATTGATTGGATAAGCTGTTTGCTGTAATAGCTTATTGTCCTGTCCTGTATAGCTACTTAAATTGAACATTGAATGACCACAGAACTTTTCAATATGCCCCAAGATACTGTATGTAATTCTCTTGGGATGTGCTCCTGCAGGTAGCAAGGACTAGCCGCCCAGATGTTTGGATTCCCACCTTCTTAGTATCACCGGAAGCTCTACAGCCATCGCGTGTGATTATTCTTCACATTTTTGCCCAGGGTTAAAGTGATAATGCAATACATTTCAATCGTATACTAGTTGTTATTCAACACATCAAGCATGCGTGTTGAATTTGTGTTGCCTTTGGGCGCTTTTCTGAGGAGACGGGTCGTCTTTGAAATCTGCATCCATGGACAAATAAACCCCCAAATTCATCACAAACCACCTGGGCTCTTTTTTCTGAGCGCATTTTCTAGTGACCAACCATAGCCTGCGCAGCAGCAGAATATCTGTGGCCATGAAGCTTTACGGAATCGATAATGGACCGCATTTCCTGCTTGTCTTGTTCAGTCAGATCAACATCCCTCGATGCCCAATTCTCCTCCAAGCGAGCCGCTTTAGTGGTACCCGCAATAGGGATGAGCCCCTGAGACGCTACCCAAGCAAGCGCGACCTGGCTAATCTTGCAACCCTTGCGACTCGCAATTTTCTTAATTTCCTCCACAATGGCCTTGTTCTTGTAGAAGTTCTCGCCTTGGAACTTGGGAACGCTCCGACGGAAGTCAGTGGGCGCGAAATCGTCTGGGGAGTTGAAGTTGAAGTCGTCGACAAGCCAACCGTGTCCTAGTGGGCTGTAGGCAACATAGGCGATTTCGAGTTCTTTGGCGGTGTCAATTAGGCCGTCTGATTCGTGTAGTGTCTCGAAGGCTGAATATTCGGCTTGGACGGCGTCTATCTTGGCAACTGTTTACTTTGTTAGTGAGTTTTTTTAAGGCGCGGTTGTCAGAAAGACGTGGAGAAAGGGGGAAAACGGACTGGAGTTGGCTGTGCGTAGGGTTGCTGCGGAGCATTCCGATAAGCCAATGTACTTCGTCTTGCCGGCTTTGCGAATTTCATCGAGAGCGGGGATTGACTCTGTGAGGGGTGTGTCTGGGGAATGTTAGTACTGGACGTGTATTTTTGAAGTTTCAAGGCTGTAAAGAAGATTGATACGCACTCGGGTCAATTCGGTGGAGATAATACAAATCAGGTGCGAAGCCAAGTCGCTCAATTGTACCCTCAATATATTCTTTGATGTGTGACGCAGAGTTGGTGACCGATCCATCTCCTCCCATGACTTGGAAACCACACTTTGAGGCGACTGTTTATAGTAGTTTGTCAGTAGGAGGAATCGACGTTATTAGAGTACCCTGGGTATATAGTGACTCACTAAACACTTTATCGCGAACGTTGTGCTTTCGGATAAAGTCTCCCAGAAGCTTCTCATTCACGCCCGCTTGGTATACCACCTGCAATCCAAGTCAGTCTCTCTTCCATAGTTCTTTCATCCTTAATCCATCTTTCACGTACAGCAGTATCCCAGAAGGTGCATCCGAGCTCGATTGCCTTGAGCAGAACTGGCTCCGCTTCCTCAAGGGTCAGGAAAGTGCCCAGACCAAAGCTCAAGCCCATAGCGCCAAAGCCAGGGATTGGGACTTGGAGATCTCCGAAGGGGAGTGTCTTGACCATATTTGCGGTTGATTGGATAACTTTTCTAGTAGACGTGGTGAATTGGGCTGTGAAAACAAGCTGTGTTGAGAATCATTGTCAATTTATAGATGCCCGGAGTTAAGGTGCTGATTTGTGGATCTACGATCTGCATGTCAGCATGATTCTCAAAGCCGTCGATGCTCAGAAGCTCCGGTGGATAGTATGCAGCTTTGAGCGACCAGGCTGACGTGATCATTGAAGTTGGATTATTTAACTCCATGAATTTTGACGGGGATAGTGATGCGATTTGATGCTTAAGACTCTTAACATTATGGATTGCTGACGGCCCACTTCGGAAATAAGCCAAAGTCCGCTTTGACCCGGGGAACTTGAAGCCTTGGAATGGCTGTGAAGTTCAACTGTCGTTGTGCATCCTCCCCTAGATTGATACTATTCCAACTTTTACACACATACTAGTATTCATCCCCTAAATTTACACTGTCGATTCTATCGCCCTGCTAATAAATGCTGCTTTTCGGTGGGGCTTAACTCTTGACTTTGGGGGCTGGAATAGGATTGGCGGGTGGCAGGCGCCCCTAAATCTTCAACTAATGCAACTGGCTTTTAGATCGTGAATCTGTCAAGTAACAAGTTATCCTCACGTCAGTTACTGCAACTACATCCATGCATTCCCAATGACAAGAGCCTCTTCAATGTTGGTCACCAAGATTGACCTAATTGCGAGATAACCCGAGATAAAGGCGTCATGTGCTACAGTTCACACAAGTCCAGAATCGGGGCATCACTATCATTCTCTGGCCATTGTTAAATTTTTACTTGATACGGGTAAAACTTACGGACTCGATCTTCCAATCCCGTGCCAAGGGGTTTCGGCATTTTTATCATCTCGGATTCTCGGCATCCACTCAAAAGCTTTGGGACTTTTAATGGGACCAATGGCGACCGTCGCTTGAACATTCCTGCACGTTTTGATCAGCATTGGTTATGATAGGGCACTTCCGCGTACACAACAGTCACTAAGCAATCGCTAAACCCAACCAAGCCATGAAAAGCCATGAAGTGGAGACTGGTCCAGATTGTTTTCGTGCGATCGGCAATGTCGTTTTCAGGCGATTGGTCTCCGCTTCTATCAGGGTTTTTGGCACGCGGGGCGGCGGGTCAGTGGGTAATTGGAAAATGGGTTGAATGTCCGTGATGGTTATCGATAGAGATTGTTTTCGTGCCCCCTCTTTTCTCCCAATTCCGGTTTTTTTGGTGTTTTTTTTTTCTTGCTTCTATCTCTCTCTCTCTCTTCCACACACTGTCCCTATGAGCATGCACTGCCAGTTCAGGAGCTATGGATCAACTCAAGGACAACACGTTCGCGATCGTTGAGGAGGACCCACAGGCCACACCCCAGATCGAACAGCTAATCGACGCGGAGAATGTGGCCCCAGATCAATTCGATGAGAAATATCGCACCACACGATCGGAGATTTGGGCTTATTACTCGTGCGTTGTGTGCAGGTGTCCAAGGACTGAAAGAAAACTAAACGCTCCGGTTTTCTAGCTACTATATCGGCAACAATGGACTTTCTCTGTTCAGTAAGCTGACATCTCAAAGTTAATCTTGGGAAAATAGCTGATCATATGTCTCCTAGACTTTGCGCCTACCGCTTTCCAGAACTTGATGTACCAAGCAGCTCCACCGAGTGGCATGCTCGACTTTGCCGGCCGATCACGAACAATCAACAGTATCGTTTTGCTGTGCAACGGCATCTCCTTCGCAATTCAAATCGTCGTGTTCCTTGCGATCGGCAGCTTTGCGGATTTCGGTTATTGGCGACCCAACATATTGATCGCGCTATCGGTGATCGCCTGGGCAATCGGCTTTGCATGGCTGGGGGCTCATACCTGGGACAAATGGCACGTCGGTGTTGGGCTTTACATTGTCGGTCTCATCGCTTACCAAACGACATTGACCTTCTGGACCGCCGCATTTCCAGGACTTGCCCGGAATACGATCGAAATGAAGGAGAAGGCCGACGAGTATGCCTCTGGGAAGATTACGCGTGAAGAATACAACTACGCCGATACCATGATGCGAAGCCGTCTGTCCAATGTTGCCTTCTATATCCAGTCTGTGGCAGAGATCTTTATCCTGGCTATCATTGTTGGTATTATGTTTGGGTTAGATGTCAACGCTAGCGATGCCAACAATAACTGGGGTTTGAGTGTCCTCATTGCTTTTGCCTCGGGCGTGTGGCTCCTGGTATCCTTGCCGTGGTTCTACCTTGAGAAGCGCCGCCCGGGTCAAGATCCCGGTAACCGATCTATATTAGTTGCAGGACTGTGGCAGCTTTGGCATGCAATGAAGCAGATCTGGCACTTGAAGCAAAGCCTGCTCTATCTGATTGGTGAGGAAATGAACATGCTCTACGGCCTTTTATCAGCGGCTAACTCGAATTCTAGGGTATTTCTTATTGGGAGACTCCTTGAATACCACAGTCACCGTGATTGGGACTTTGCAAAATGAGATTGTTGCCTACAATACTTTGCAATTGACATACCTTCTAATTGTGGGAATTGCAGCCCAAGTAAGCCTATCCAGGACATGTATGCTCTGCGAGACATGAAAGCTAATGTCATATAGGCGGTTGGTATTTATTCATTCTGGTTCATTCAACAGCGCTATCAGCTGGGAACCAAAACCATGTTCAACGTTGTTGCATTTTCCATCATTCTACTAGATGGCTGGGGAATGATCGGAATCTGGACCGATGGCTTTGGATTCCACAACGTATGGGAAGTTTGGGTATGTTATTTGATAACTTTGATGTGGAAAAATAAAATTCAACTGACATGTCCATGCAGGTATATCAAGCTTTTTACGGTCTCTTCGTGTGCCCCTGGTATAGCTACTCGCAAATTATGATATCTGAAGTGACACCCCGTGGCCATGAATTCCTGTTTTTCAGCCTTTTCAGTATCATTGGCAAGACTTCATCGTTTATCGGCCCAATCGTCTCAAGCGCTATTATCGATGCGAGCCCGACTTCCAACACGTCCACTCCATTTTACTTCCTTTTCGCTTTGAGCTTCGTTAGCTTCCTTCTCTTGGTATTTTGTGTGGATCTGAAAAAGAGCCAGGTGGAGCAGGAGCAGTTTTTGTTGGACAAGGTCCAGCGCTTGAAGAATACTAAGTCTCAAAGCTCAGGCGAGAGTGTCTAATGGTTTATATGATGGAAAGATTTGATAGAAGTTATTGATATGTTATATGTATAATGGCGAACACGAATACATTGAATTTTATATTTATGCTTATCATTTTTCTAGTAATAATTATCAGTTTAGAAACTTAATGCCGCGCAGATGTGATTAAAAAAAGAGGCCAAATCAACATTTGAAACTCCAAATATCAATACTACTGTTTGAGAATACGCACCCAAGAGTGAGGTGTGGCATTGTTGAGTGGCTGGAAAGAAAGCCACCGCCAATTCGGTAGGGGAGAGTGGAATCCCGGGAGACTGCAAATCTCAAGTGCTAAATAACCCAAGCGATCCATACATAAACAAAGAGATACATTTCAAAAAGGCTTATGTATGGATGTCAAACTCCTGTTTCCGTCACACATGCAGGCTCTCTGACCATCAAGGCGAACTTCTGACTTCCCTCTCCACCACGGTCCGTGTAATCCAGCTGTATTTCCTCGACGACCTTCCACCCGTACTTCAAATACACCGGCACTCCTTCCACCGTAGCTTCCAGAAATATACGAGCGTTACTGGCGTCTGCTTTCTCGATACCCCATCTAAGAAACGCACTTCCTATTCCAATCCCTTGGTATTCTGGTAAGACGCATAGTAGTTCAAGGACTAGCAGTGTTTAAGCAGTCAATATCGTACAATCATCATGTAGAGTGGCAAAATGGGTTGACGAACCAATATCAGTTTCCTTGAGATGTGTGTTCCTACTACTCTTTATCATTTCCTCGTAGAGTGTGTAGGTACCCTTGTTCAAATTTGGGGCATACGCCCACTTATTCTGCATTTGCCATTGCGCATCGTTGCTCAAACTTGTGTCCACGGCTCTTTCGAGCTCGTAAATAGCTGGTATCTTCCAGCGGCTGTATGCAATAATATCACCGGACTCGGAGTTGACACCCGCTAGAATATGGCAGTCGGATCTAGCAAAATACTCAATGGAAGAGACAGTTTTGAATGTGTGAACTGCCGATGGATCACATCCCTTATATGTGCTACGCATATAATTGGATGCGTGAAAACAGCGAATTTCAACGCTCACGAGTGCACTCAGGTCAGTTGCCTTGGCGTACCTTATTTCAAAAGGCATAGATAAAACTCGCGCCATTTTCGATTGCAACTGCCGCGAGTATGAAGGTTTAATTCCTGCAATAATTTGAAATTTGAAAGTGGTACATTGAATGAGTCATTCATCAATTATATGGCACATTAAGGGATGTATGATGACGATGACTGATGGAGCGGTGAAACTTCAATAGAACAGCCTTGGATTTTTTTTCTCCCTCGGAATCGAGTAGTAAGAGTCTTTGAGGTATCACCAACGGTTTATCCCACCAGCCCAGCCAATCAGAAGGCCTTAGCCAAGGCGTAGGTGCAGTTATCATATAGGTCAGACGGAGAAATCAGGCTCACCCCTACTGAAAGTTCACCGTAAGTTACCCCTTATAACATCTCTGGGCCAGAGATTAGCTCACTACACGGTGACGCCCCCTGGAAAAGTTCACTTACTAACCCTTAATAAATAAAGGTCACATGATTTTTCCATGTACTATTGTTGGTAGCAGCAGTTTATACCTGATATTTCAGGCCTGAATCTTACTCTCGGCGCCGAGAGATCAATCCATTCGGCGCCGAGGAATCATCCCCGATCCTTATATTATGGTTGACTTGCTCGTATTTACCAGAATATTTTATTTTACTCATTCAACATTACACATTCAGTAATCAAGTGTTTTACTCTGATGCCTCATAATACTCCTGAACATGTTATCGTGGTTGGCGCCAGCCTAGTCGGGCTTTCCGCAGCCCTATGCTTGGCCTCGCATCATGTTCCAACCATCGTTCTCGAGAAGCACGCCAGCATCTCCAAACATCCGCGTGCAATTGGATTCACTCCCCGAACCATGGAGATATATCACAAGCTTGGCATTGAAAACAATGATCCAGCACCAGATGATTTTGTCCTCGAGCGAGCCCATGTTGAGAGCGTGGCCGGGAAATGGCACGACAGCTCATCCTGGTCTGATACAGAAAGAAAACTGAAGAGCGAAGGCCATCCGGCTGAAAGTTCCGCACCAAAAAAGGAGTACTCAGCTGCTCGCGGATATGCAAAAGCCCAAGACAAACTGGAGTCCATTCTTGAAGCTCGGGCTCTTGAGCTTGGCGCAGATATTCGCCGTCAGCATAAACTCTTGAACGTGGAGCAAGACCACACTGGAGTAATTGCTACCGTTGAAGATGCAAAGGGAGAAACACGCAAGATCCGAGGATCATACCTCATCGCTGCAGACGGCAACCGCAGTACCGTGCGCGAACTCCTTCAAATCCCACGCCAAGGCCGCGGGTTCATGCAGACAATCCAAAGTGTACTTTTTCAAGCAGATCTGCAAGAATGGACAAAAGAAATTGTCCAATTCGATATTGAACAACCAGACTTGAAAGCCTTTCTTGCCTCTTACAGCGACGGCCGTTGGGCCCTGATGTTCAAAGACCAAATCAAGCGCGACGACGAAGCTCTCCGTGCTGCAATCTACCAAGCCATTGGGCAAAACGAATTTCCCTTGGAAATAATCACAACAGCCAGTTGGGATCTCACAGCTCTAGTCGCCGACAAATTCCAGTCTGGGCGAGTTTTTCTAGCCGGTGACGCTGCACACACGCTCCCGCCTAATCGGGGCGGCTATGGTGCGAACACTGGCATCCACGACGTGCATAACCTTGCGTGGAAGCTAGCCGCTGTCATCTCGGGAAAGTCATCCCCTGAGTTGTTGAAGACATATGACTCAGAGCGGAGACCCGTTGCTCTACTACGGCACGATCAGATCTTTGTTCGTGCGGACTATAAGGTGCATCTAGATGCTGCTGTGCCAGCAGGAGAAAAGATCGATGACGATGCGATGGAATTTGGACAGATATATCTTTCAAATGGTATAATCGGCGCAGATCATAGTTTGCCAAGGGCCATGAAGCCTGACGACTGGAAGGGGCAGCCAGGCACTCATTTGCCTCATTTTTGGGTCAAACGTGACGGTGAAAGAGTCCCTATTCTTGACATTGTTGATTCGGACTGGGTTTTGATTTCGGCTTCGCCGGGGTGGGATTTTGTTGCATCTGGGATCAATAAGACATCGTCTATTGAAATCAGATGTGTTCAAGTGGGACTTGATGTTCTGCTTGATGAGAAGGTCGATCTTCGGGGATTGCTTGGCATTTCCGAAAATGGGGCAGTGCTCGTTAGACCTGATGGATATATTGCTTGGAGGTCAACTGAGCTGCAGGTTGATTCTGGCAAATTGTTGTCATCTGCCGTGTCCCAGGTTATGTTCCGACCTCGAAGTTAGGCAGTATTTGAAGATCCCGATAAGACTGGTCAACAACCAAATGCCATCGATTCTCAAAAACTTCACTTTGCATAAACTTGCTCATATTTCCAAAGGTAAATTGTCAAGAAATGTAGGATATCCCATGCCCGACATAATAGAGATCTCAGACTCCCAGTCTAACAGATGACTTGGAAAGCTGTAACCAGATTCTGAAAACGCATCAACACTCACCGAAATTGAATTCAAAGACCCTGATTGAACTGTTTTATATTGACGAGCATTTTCGGATGGGGTGTCTTCCAAGGCCTTTCGACCCTCGGCTTGCTTCCGAGCCATTGGGTATGTACCCAACGGGTTCAGTATATATTCAAGAGGCAGTTGACTAGGATATCTTGCATTTTCATTGGTCATTAAACCCTCAATTGATGACCTTCGACCATGTCTTGTAGGATCTGGAGAGAAGACCTCTCTGAAACGTTTTAGAGCTTGTGTGGCAGACTCGCGGTACATGTCCGCTTTGATGTAGCGTTGTAGATACTGCAACATTGTAACATTGCTCTGCAGCGTTTTTTCATATTCGTCATACCCCACTTCTGGGAGCAATGGACCATGCCCACTCCACGATGACAGGGTTGTCACGATAACACTACTGCAAACTTGTATATGCATGGCATATGGCGTATCAACAATGCTGGTCTTTTGACAAGTCCATACATCTTTTAGAAGGGAAGCAATATACACCGCTTTCCTGGCACACATGCGATGACACCGTTGTATGAATTCTGCGGGGGCGTTATCACGGATCCATTGGGTGGCTGTATTTGGAAAGACCAAATGCGAGACTCCAACACGATACAGATCATGGAAGTTTTGAGATATCAAGATATGCAACCCAAAAAACAAGCTGAGGCGACCTGACGCCTTGAACAAATACATGTTCTCGGTTGACATTTTCAGGCATTCCGGGATGGAAGCTTCCATTTCTTCGAGCTCTTGATCGAGCTTTGAAAATTGGGAAGGCTGGCCAGTTTCCCATGGAACTTCATTCTCCAAATGCTTCACAAATTTAAGAAGCCGAGATCGAATGGCCATAGCACGGATGTAAAACGATCGCATGTCGAGATAGATTGAAGAATCAGCTCCAAGCGTCGGCTTGATGAAAGGAAGTAGATTTCCCCCAAGTGTTTCTGTAATGCAAGGCGTGGCTCTCACAAAAAGGTCTTCCAAGCACGGCAACTGGACATGGATATCCTCAGGTACAATCAGTCGCAGTTGGTCAATTCCACATTCAATTAAGGCGTCAAGAAGATAACAAGCCCAGACAAGCCTTCTTCTAGTCTCTTTGGAGGCACATGACGCAGTCGATTTGCGACACAGGACATCAGAATCAGTCTCGATGTTTAGTTGCAGGACTTGCAAATGTCGGGCAATTTGTCCAGATATCATGAATCCCTTGGCGTAGTCACCGATTCGTAGATAGTGTTCGTGTAGTAAAACTTCCGTCATGAGGTATTCAACGCCTGGTTGGCCAAAATTTGAAAATAAATGTTGTCTTGCAGTCTCTGCCCAGCCTTGCCCAGCCTCAAAGAAATTTGTGTCATTCAAATAATCCTCTTTTTCTAAGCCGAGCACTTCTGCGCAGTAGAATGGTGCAGCTAGGGCACACATCGCATATACCAGACCCGATTGCTCTGAATATATACCATCGGAGTTCTTCAAACGTTCCATGAAAGTTGGAATATGTATGAAACCCATGCATCGAACTGTATGAATTTGAAGAAAATATATGTCAATAAGCTTTCGAAGCTGGCCTATAGGTGGCAGAGCTTTGGCCGATAGCCAGGTAGGAATGTTTTGACATGGGCATGTTGGCCTCGGCAATGGCTCTTCGGGAAAGATTTGGCCCGCATCATCGTAAGAGCACTCAAGACCTTTTCTTGCACATTGCTCACATGTAGTATCACCAGAACACTTTGATTTCGATTTTTTGCAGTAAATACAGGAGCGTAATACTCGTCGACGTTTCAGGCCGGCTTGTGTGGTCGCATCCCCTAAAGTTGTGTGATTGGAGCCAAGTGTGGGCCCTGGGCCATACACACATTCTTCGCCAAACCGACGGCATCTATTGCACCCTTCCAGAGCGCGGTCGCATTTGACCTAGTCCAAGTTGGCAAAAAGTCATGGCAACAAAGTGGAGTTCTTACTTTGCGTTTCCTGCAAACGTGACAGCTTACGGCTGCCAGCTCAGCCCTCTGAGCAAAGACCTGCGAAGCCATGAATAAACTTTGAGAAGACTGTAAGCGATGTGGATTCTCAAGCGAGATGCGCGAAATTAAAGAAAACGGATGTCGCTGGTTCTTGGTGTAGAAGGAGGCGCGTGACGCCAGAGAGGAGATGGATGATGTTATCGACGCCAACGCTAAACTGCGGGAGACCGAGATCCGGCTATCGGAGAGCCCTCGTCTGTTGAACCCATACGAGAGAACCAAGTGCAATGATCTTTAAATGAAGAATAGAACGATCGAGAGCTGTCTGTTAATTCAAACACCTGCAAATCTCAATTTTTGTTATACATTGCAATTTCCTCCTATTCTCTTCCTCTCAGTGATATCGAAACTATGTCAAAAATTACTCAACTCCTCGCCATATCTACAGTGATCGGCTCGAGCATTGCTTCGACTTTCCGTGTATTCGATAATACAGCATATACCAATACTTCAATTGGATATGGCAGTACGAACATTAATTGGATTCCCGCCTACGTCTGCAATCCCTTGACAACCGGAGGTGTTCTTCCATCAGCCGATGTGTGGAAGAGCGTCGTTCAAGAGTGGAACGTCTATCCATCCTACCCCCTTGTTCTGGACTGTGAAGATCTTTACTTTACCTCTGCATCTACCGCAGCCCTATACCTTGAAATTATGTCTACTTTGCAAACCTGGGCCGCGGACGTGATTCCCGAGGGTCAGATCATTGGCTGGTATGGTCTGTCGGGGAACACGATATCTTCCTTGTACGACAATTATCGCAGCTTGATTGCCAACTACAGCAACCATGCATTCTTTCCTTCCGCATACACCTATAGCGATAGTCTCTCTACGTGGAGTAGCTCGCTCAGCTCTGTCATTGAAGTAATCAATACCATCAACGACTCTTTGCCGATCTGGCCATATACTTGGCCTCAGTATCACGGCAACTACTCGTTCATCCCGGAAGATCTCTGGCAAAGTGAGCTGGAAAGCCTCGCAGAAAACGCAAATTTGGATGGATTTGTGATTTGGGGTGGAAAGAACCACGCAGTATGTGACGATGCTTGCCAGGCAATTGCTGGTGATGAACCATGGCTTAATGTCACCCGAACTTTCCTGGCGAATCTTTATGGAGTCTTTGGCAGTGAGGCTCAGAAAACGGGGGCCCAATTATTTAACTGAGTAATTGGCTTTTCACGGAGATAATTCATTGAAATGTTAGGTTCAAAGTCATAATTTGCAATCCACCTTTTCACTAGTAGATACATATATCGGTGAATCCGAATATTTAAACCTGTCCAGAAGCAACTTTGAAACATTGAATTGATTTATTTACATTTTTGGTATTTTTTCCTGCCTAGCCAGAAACTGCGCTGCGCAAGAAGAAGCATTGTCAATAACAACAATCTTTTTGAATGGGGCAACCTTTTGGTATAAAAGCTCATCCAAGACCAGACATTTGAAGTCAGGTATATTCATCAAAGCCCCAGATAGAACAAGAGAACTAAGATTGGGACTGCAAAATTGTTCCTTGACTAGCGGCAGGATGAGCTGAACCACCGATCTGGCTGCGGACTTGAGAATATCCAGGGCTTGTTGATCGGGATTATTTTGTCGAAATCCCAACTTCGTAACCACCTTTGCCAAATTCCCAATACGGTGCTTTGGCTGTATAGTGGAGTAAAGTATGTGTAAAAGGACATCGTTTTTGTCATGGCCGACGGCTGCTAGGATTTCCGTTTCCAATTCCGTGAGACAAGGTGAACCAGATCCCTGACTTAGTTCAATGCTACTTAGCAGCGATTGCAGAGCTTTTTTGCCAATGTCGAAGGCACTGCCTTGATCACCCACAAGAGGGCCCCAGCCCCCAGTCCTTCCAATCTGAACGACTTCACCCGTTGGGTCCCTTTTGAATGCTGTTGCAACTGTACCCGTACCCGCAATCAAAGAGATACCTGATTCAACAGACTCGTCGATGCCTATGCAGGAGCCAAGGAGTGCACTGTCGCTGGTCAGACGAAATTTTCCCGTTTCTCTCGAAACTCCAAATAAATTTTCAAGGCATTGGATTAGAGTTTCCTGTCGATTGGCATGTTGTATTCCAGCTATACCTGCCCACACTGCGGCAAATCTGGGCATATCGGTGAAAGATTGACGATATCGTCGCGGGATGCGAGAAATTGCTTCCATCGTGGCAGTTTTTACCTGTTTCATTAGATCCTCAAGTGGAACACTATGAAAATTGCAAGCGCCTGAATGCGCTTGTGCCACGATCAGGGTCCTTGTAGCAATCGAGACAGCACACTTGGTCCCTCCGCCATCGATTGAGATAAAGAATTCATCGCCCGTAGTGATAAACTTCTGATCAACATCAATACCACAGATTGGCTTATAGAACTTATCAAGAAACACTTGAAAGTCCCCACCAGCTAGCTCGAGAAGTTGCCTGGCTTGGTTTGGCTCGAGGCCAGACACGGCAACAGCACATGCTATTTTGACATTCCCTGCACACAAATCAATCAATGAATTCAAAGAATAATCTCTTTGGACAAGATTGTTATTAGGGAGGGTATGGCCTTTCTCAATCAAAATTTTGCACACTTGACGTATGATTCGGCGACCGCGAGCTTGAAGTTTGTGGTTTTTCGCACGAACATCAATCATCAAGCCCATATAGGTTTTACCCATCTTGACCATCGAGCAAGTACTGATCATGTTCAAGACCTGTTTTGCTGCGCTGCCGGCCTTGAGTCTGGTACTACCCGTTATGAATTCAGGGCCGACCAAAATAGCAATAGTGTGGTCAACACCCAACATCTCAAGAAGTGAAGGAGAGGTGTTTGTGATGACGGCCGTCAAAGCACCAAATTTTAGAGCGGTTTTCAGGGCTCCAATGACGAAAGGTGTGCGTCCAGATGCTGATATTCCGACGATAGTGTCCTGGGCCATGATATTTAGAGATTCAAGTTGGGTTGAGCCATCTTCTTCACAGTCCTCGGCACTTTCTTTGGCGCTGAGGATAGCCTGGTCTCCCCCGGCGACGAGAGTGATAAATTGGTCTGTATCGGTCGAAAATGTGACAGGCAATTCACTGCAATCCATAAACCCCACTCGGCCACTATTGCCAGCGCCAACGTAAACAAGTCTTCCACCCATGCGGAGACGCGGTACGAGATCCTCAATGAATGATGCAATAGACGGTAAACAGCACGCAATTGCGGGAGAAACTTTCGATTCTTCTCGGTTGAATGCCTCGCAGAGGCCAAGAGTGTTCAGCGTGTCAATAGCTAGGGCATTGGGGGCTTCTGTTTGGAGGCTTCCCAGAGCATCCGGATCGAGAAATGGCGTCATGGTACTAGTGGTAAGTGGCTGTCAAAGATTCATCGTGATTGTGCGAAATTTGTTCCATAAGATGCGTTTATGAATGTTGGTAGGTTTTAGGGCGTGATTGGACTTCGGAACTCGGTGTTGCGGATCTCGCTGCAGCGACATCCCTTCCTTCCCGTCTGGAGCGGAGGCCACACGACCCACGGATTCACGACCTGGCAACTGAGGCCAGGGTACACTTAAATGTGGATATTTATACAGAATGAATCGCCCTAGCTGAGCCTACTGCTCTCAAGTGCGGATAACAGTCAACAACACTATTTGACCTCCTTATGGCTACAAGCAAATCACCACAGGAAGACGTTTCTTCCCCCGTGGATCTCGACAATGTCGCTCTACCTGTGCCACGGAAAGAAAATATCCTCTTCAAATTACGCCATGATCCTTGGTTTCAAATTGTGCTCGTTTCTTTCATTTCCTTCTGCAACCCAGGAATGTACAATGCGTTGGCGGGAATGGGAGGCTCAGGCCAAGTCAACAGCACAGTCTCAGCAAACGCCACAGTCGCGACGCACGCGTGCACAGCTGGTGCCGCGCTTTTCGTGGTCGGTGCTTTCTACAAGTACACGGGACCTCGTCTACTGCTTCTCCTCGGCGGCTGGACCTATGCCTTGTACGCTGGCGCACTACTCAGCTCAGACCGAACCACGAATGGCGGTCCATTTGTGATTGCCTCCGGAGCACTGCTAGGTCTGGGTGCGGCTTTCTTCTGGGTAGCCCAAGGGACTATTATGGTCACTTACAGCACGGACCAGACAAGAGGCAGAGCCATCGGTCTTTTTTGGGTCATTTTCAATCTGGGCGGGACCATCGGTTCGCTGGCCAGCTTTGGACTTAACTACCATTCCAAATCTGGCACCGTCACAGATTCGACATACATCGCATTCATTGTCATTATGCTTTTTGGCTGGGCGTGCTCCATGTTTGTGTGCTCAACCGAAACACTGTCTGACAGATATAGCGGTGCTCGTATTGCCCGCGAGTCAAAGGCTCTGAGCTGGCAGAGTCTGAAAGCTACAGCGATGCAGACCCTGCGGATTATTCTCAACTGGAAACATATATGTCTTTACCCCATGTTCTTCAACGCCAATATTTTCTACTCCTATCAACAAAACGATGTTAATGGCATGACCTTCAACTTGCGCACCCGCTCGCTCAACAGCGCCCTTTATTGGATTGCCCAGATGTTTGGAGGTCTTCTAATGGGGGTGTTGCTAGATCTTCCCAGATTAAACCGCCGAACACGAGCTCAAATTGGTTGGGGAGTTTTGTTTATATCCGGTATGGCCATCTGGGGTGGCGGATACAAATTCCAGATTTGGGATGACCAACGTCTTCGGCTGGGTTTGAAACAAGACATCGACTACAAGGACGGCAGCAAATTCCTAGGTCCTATGTTTCTCTACTTCTTCTACGGCGCATACGATGCATTTTGGCAAGGCTTCTGCTACTGGATTATGGGAGCCCAATCACACGACCCAGTCGTCACCGCGGTTATTGTGGGTTCATACTCGGCACTTAAGCCAGCCGGAGGCGCAATGGCCTGGAGAATTAATGCTGAAGGGATTAGTCCCATGATTCAGTTTGCTATGAATTGGGGGCTGACTATCGGCAGTTTGCTGGTAGCCATTCCGACGGTCATGACAATTCAGAAGACCAACTATGCATCTGATGAGATAACCCATGATATGAAAGAACCCGAGGAGACTGATGTATAAAGAAAATCTTCAGAATCACTGATGATCTATTTTGATGCTGTAAAAAATGGGAAGTTGGGCTGCTCCCTAGGTGTTGGTGCTATTAGTGTACTACCTAGTAGTGTTTAGTAGTAATGCTCAAATAGTGGCATGTTAGACTCTATCAAATATCCACATGCAATCTACTAGTAAGACCGCATGTGATTATCTGACATACGACCTAGTACACTCACCTCCAAGTCACTCCTTTCAACGGTAAGACCTTGTCCTCAAGGTCCTCTGGAAATTTCTAGCGTCTTATAGGCTGTTACCTTCCCCATGCAACTTTAACAGTTACGTGCATATTAATCATCCCTGTTAGTCAGGTGTCTTGTACACCAGCAAGTTTCATGCACGCTGTATGCTGGTACGACGTGTTTTCTTCAGCCAGATGGCTGTTTCTGCGGGTGGCCGTGGTAATACTCGAAAATGGCGGCCGGTCTTCAAGTGGTCTCAATTTTTAATCCCATGCCATGGTTCTACATGGCAGAGCAGTCTAGCTAGAATTTCAGGAATTAGTATGGTCTTTGGTCAATGAAGTTCTTGCTCGGGTTCCACCAACAAATCTTCCCAGTCTTCCATGATAGATTCTGTCGTACAATAATTTTACACTATGATAGGGTTGGTAAGGAGTTGGCCTCTTTCCAAATCATAAATGCTATAACTGGTAAGCAGCTTATCTGGGCTACAACGTTCTAGTATTCACTTCCAGGGGCGAGCATCTAAAGCTCATTGAACATAACTCTTTCCTATACTCAAGTGCTCAAGTTGATCTCAGATTTCAGAACTCTGTTGATTCTTGCCGGACCCATTTCTTGTAACTCCAATGCTATTTGTCTTGTTGATGATAAGAAGTAATATAGTACATTAGCCTCGTCTGACGATATTCATTTTGACGTGGTAGTTTCGGAATCATGTGTGTCACCGTTGCCTTGCTAGTAATGTTATTGTATCGCTGACTGACGGTAGCACCTTCCTGGGGGGGTTCTTTCCTTTCCTTTCCTATCAAACTTGCAAGCGCGTTTTCTTTTCCCTTCTCTCTCTCCCAATCAACCTTTTCTCTTACTTTATTTTCCCATCACCCGCCAACCTTTCAGCTCATCCTCAGTGTTCTTCTTTCTCTTCCTCAAAAACAGTCTCTCTCTAACTGTCAAGTCTTCTCTTATTACCTGGCATTCGAAAACATGGCGACCACAAGTGCCATTGTGGGAACGGCTAACCTCGATCTCATCGAGGCTCCCGTTACTCTGCGTGCCTATCTGATTTGTGGATTTGCCAGCTTTGGAGGTGAGACAATCTCACAGCACATGACAGTATCTCCATTCTAATAATTTGATACAGGTATTCTCTACGGTTATGATTCCGGCTACATCTCCGGTGTCCTCGGTATGGATTTTGTGAAGAAACACTTCGGAAGCCCCCGTATTCCCACCAAGGAAGATCCATCTGAGTGGATCATTCCCAGCTCCCGAAAGTCCCTCATTACCTCCATTCTCTCAGCTGGTACCTTTTTTGGGGCTCTGATTGGAGGTTCGGCCGCTGAGCATTTCGGTCGTCGTCTCACTATTATGATGTCTTGCCTGCTCTTCTCCATCGGAGTAGCTGTTCAGGTTGGATCTTCCAACGTCGCTGGTCTTGTTGCGGGCCGTCTGGTTGCTGGTCTCGGTGTTGGAGGTGTTTCCGCTATTGTGGTTCTCTACGTCTCTGAAATTGCTCCTCGCAAAGTCCGTGGTCTACTCGTGGCCTCTTATCAATGGGCCATCACCATTGGTCTGCTCGTCGCTTCTGGCGTTGGACAGGGTTGTAAGAACATCAACAATCGCTCTTCTTATCGCATTCCTATTGGAATACAGTTTATTTGGGCTGCCATTCTGGCAGCTGGGATGTTCCTCCTCCCCGAATCCCCTCGATACTACGTGAAACGTGGACGCATAGAGGATGCCTTGCGCTCGCTTGAGCGTGTCCGTGGGCAGCCTCGAAGCAACCCCGCCATTCAAGCCGAACTTGCTGAGATCAAGGCGAACTTTGAATACGAAAGCCAAATCACCAGCACAACCTGGCTTGACTGCTTTAAGGGTGGTTGCTCTTCCCGTGGTAATCTTCGCCGAGTCATCATCGGCACCGGTGTACAGATGTTTCAGCAATGGACCGGGATTAACTTCATCTGTAAGTGATTCAAATACTTCCAATGGAAAACAGCGTATATTTTACTTGCATGCTAACCCCCATAGTCTATTATGGAACCACATTCTTCCAGGAAGTCGGTCTTAAGAATCCATTCCTTATATCCACCATTTTGAACGTCGTCAACGTTGTCGCAACTCCAGCATCTTTCGTGTTGGTGGAAAAGGTGGGCCGGCGGACGCTGCTTATCTATGGCGCCGCCATCATGATGATCTGCGAGTTTCTCGTTGCCATCGTCGGAGTTACCAAAGAAGGGACCCATGCTGCGTAGGTTGAATAATATTGTTTTTCTCCAACTTACAATGCTAACCAATCGCCTGCGATTTAGGGATGTCTGCCTCATCGTCTTCACATGTTTCTACGTCGCAGCTTTTGCCATAACCTGGGGCATAGGTGCTTGGGTAATTAGCGGCGAGATCTATCCGCTGCCTATCCGAGCTAAAGGAGTAGCTATGGCAACTGCCTCAAACTGGCTCTGGAACTGTGTTATTGCCGTCATCACTCCTTACATGGTTGATGAAAATGAAGCTAATCTGAAGGTCAAAGTCTTTTTCGTTTGGGGCAGTGCGCTTTTCCTTTGTCTGTTGTTCGCCATTTTCGTCGTTCCCGAGACCAAGGGTCTGAGCTTGGAGCAGGTTGACAAGATGCTTGAGGAGACTACTCCCATGACTAGTGCCAAGTGGAAGCCCCACGAGACCTTCGCGCATGAAATGGACATGGTCGACAAGGCCGAGCCTACCATCGGCCACCATGAGCACAAGGCCACTGTTGCGACGGAGCATGACGGTGCTATCTAGGCCATCTGCAGTTTCCACGGTCCTGTGCCCCTGTCACCTCCCGGCGTAATATTCCTTATAATTCTCGGCACCGGGAGAGTCATGCACTGTGAACTTGGTTCGATGGTGAGAGGAGTTCGGGGCATGTTGCCAATGGATTGGATCGGATTGGTTTTTTCAGGTTTAACTCATATTTCTTCGCTTTTACAACTTACCACTAGCACAAGTTTCACGTAGGAATTCAATTCACTTGTTCGATGTTGTTAATATAGTATACCTAGTCGTAAGGGTAGATCAAAATTTGGTATTGGTCATTTTACAGTACAAAGCTCCCCCATGAAGGATGCTGTCACAAGAAGAGAAAAAAGACAGAGATCAAAACGCCAGACCCATGCTCTGCCATAAAGCGCCAAAGTCCGAAAACACTGAACCCAGAAGACATTTTTATTCCTCGTCGGAGGAGACATGCTTGGACTTGCTCTTCTTCTTCTTCTTCTTCTCCTCCTTGTGATCGGCATCTTCTCCATCGACCTCGGCCTCGCGCTTCCGCTTTTCCTTCTTCTCCTTCTTCTCCTTCTTCTTCTTCTTCTCTGCGTCGAGATCGGCCGGCGCCGACTCTTCGGGGGCAATGAAATCCTTCTCGCGCTCGCGCATCTTTTCCTCGCGTTTCACGCGCTGCCGCTCGACCACCTCCTCCTTCTGCGCACGATCCTTCGCCTCCTTCGAAAGGAAGTATTCTCCAGACTCGATCTGGAGATCGACCTTGCTCTTCTCGGGTGCGGGCGGGAATGGCGTGTAAACCTTCTTGGTCTTGTCGGTAACATTGTGAGGAACACGACGCTTGGAAAGCGTGCGCTTCTTGAAGTTGGGCAGGAATCGGTCCCACGACTCGTTCGCCAGTGTCGGGTCCTTTGCCAGCTCGCGCTTGATCATCAACTCCTTGATGTGGTAAATCGGGTGGATGTTCGCCATGCAGTCGTCGATAATTCGTCGAATCTCCTTCAATCCCTTGAACGGCCCCATGCACGCCACTGTGTTACCTTGCACCAGAATGTAGGTGCTTGTCAACAGTTCGAGGGCTTTGATGGTAGAACCGTTGGGGCCGAGAATACGCTGTCGGCGCTTCACGAATCGCTCCTTGTTGCGCACTTGGTTGCGGATCTTGATGATGTCGCATGCCACGCCGTCTTCGAGGATCTTCATCGCCTGGGCGACCGGAACACTACGGGAGAGTAGCTTGATAAGGTCACGCGCCTTCAAAATAGCGGCCGGGTCGTAGGTCTTGCGGGTTGTTTTCACGGTCATGCTACCCTCTACCAAATCCAGAGTGCAAGCAATGCCCTGCTTCTCCAGTGCCCTAGTAATAACGGGCCATGCTTCCTTTAGGTATACTTCACGGTATTTGGGGAAGAGGGTCATGAAGGAGGACTCCTCCGCGAAATTTCCGGCGACATTGTGTTCGGCCTTGAATTCTTCGATCTAAATGAGATTCATTGTCAGCAAACCGACTTCTTTTGGGAGGAACAGGAAAATAGTGAGCACTCACAGTCCACTTATCGATGTCCTCCGTATCCCATGCCTTTTCTTTGTTGTAGGTGGAAGGCATGATGACTGATGTGTTGGAAAGTGAGGAACTTTGCAAGTTGATCAAAATGAAGCTCAAATTCCGCAACTTTTTTTTCTCCCCGCCTTTCCCTGATTGGGTGGCCGTGTGTGCCTGATAGTCAAGGTGTCCACTTTTTAGTTTACTCTAAACAAGTTGACAAGCTGCACATGCACGTCGGCCTCGTATAAATTCCATGTATCACACACCTCTTAAGCGACCGGCCCTTCAAAGTTCTTCAGTTTTCAAAGATATGTTTGGTTTTACATCCGGGTTTTTGGCCCCTCTACATGAAACCAATGTACCCTTTACGAGGTCAATGTTGTCTCCCCCAAATAGTCTGCCAACCAGCTACGGCAAGGACCAATGCGCTTGGATCCAGCAGCGATTAAAGACGTGGCACTGGCGTCAGGCTGCAGACTGCAATTGAAAGAGCGACAGCGTATCGGACCTGGGAGAACACTGGTTGAACTATCGTTACAAATACATGCGCGCAAACAGAAAAGATAGAACGCATGGGATTTGTGAGCTCTGATTGGAATGGACCAATCGCGCAAATAAAGCCCATATCATATGGTCAACATGTCTGTATACCTCTGCAGAGCTCTTGGATCTCATGAGGGTCGAGAGTCGAGACCGATCACAAACGAAAAAGATCGTCTCGGCTAGCCCGTGCCTAGCAACCCTAGGCGGGACAAGTGAAATGAACAGAAAGAAAAAGAGAAATAATTCCAGACATTACAAGAGTCGAATGCCTTCATCTTTGTCGATGTTAGAACAAAATTCCGGATTGTCTAAATGGATCCCGCGTTGTCTTCGCTAGGTCCTTCGAAGACATTCCGGAACGAATTCTAATAGGGCGCTCGATCCCGGCGCGTTGGGCCGGTGTGTCTCCTAAATAGGAGAAACAGCAACCCCGGGGCCCAAGCTCGCTCTTTGCTTAGCCTTCTCATCAAGCATCTTTTCAACGACCAAGTGTCGTTTTCCCCCCAGAGCACATTCATTGTTCCCTGGTCGCCCCGATTTGCTTTTGTTGTACTCAGAATACATCTCGGATATTTGAGGTAGGTGATAGTGAAGTTAGTGGCCATCGGGGTCGTAGTCTGCCGTTTGAATGTGATTCTGTAGTGGTCTAGAGTCTGGATCACGCTGTATGCTAGTAAAGGACGTAGAGAGAGAGAGAGAGAGAGAGAGAGAGAGAGAGAAAGTGAGATAAGGCCAGACATTGACAGATTTAGGCATTGATCTGATACTGTATGAGCCGCAAGAATTTCCTAGAATTGAATCGAATTGAATACTAGTAGGGATCAAGGAGAGAATGTGCACAGTCCCGTCAGTTGCGCTCAATGCGCACTTGGGAGCTCATATGCGGTTCTTGCCTTCCCGACAGTTTGGGTCAACACCCCCCTCTTTCTTCCTTCCACGGCTTGCTCCCTTTTCGCTTTTCAATCCTTCTTCTCCACTTGGAAGGGCACGTTGAATCTCACTCAATCTTCCTGGCATGAGACTGCATGTCAGTGGGTCTGCGTGTGGCACTTGGTGCTCGGTCCCCCAATATGGTATGGTCGGGTTGAGGCTCCCATTGCTCAGATCCACGAACAAAGTTACCCGGCAGACATCCCAGAGAGGTCACGACTCATCAGAGTTGAAGGCATTCGGGTGCCACTCTTTTGTGTCCCAGAGAATCAAAGTAAAGGTATGAGCCGACTCTGATTGTCGATTCCAATGCCACACGATAACGTTTCATGTGGTACTCAACCGTTGTCGATATTCTTCGCGATCCTCCCGATCCGCACGGGACCCCGATCCCTAATACGATCTGACAACCCAATTCACTTGCACCGCACAGCCACAGATACAATCATTTAACTTCCCATGCTTGTTTCGGCCTGTGTTAGTCTATTATGGTCTGCACCCACCAGCCAAGCCAACCCTCTTGTCCCCTAAACGACTATCTCGCCGAGAGCCACAATCCCCATTCCCGCTTCGAACGTTCTCGCCATATGAGCACAGAGGACACACACGATACTCTCGTCAGGAGACGGTATAGTACATGGGCCCCAGCGAGGTACTGTCGTTTTCAAAGTTTTCTTTTCTTCTCCTTTTTTTTTTTTTTACTAACCATGTTTTGGCTAATTGGACATTGAAGGGCGCGTGGAAATGCGACAAAATGCAATACACTACCGTCAAAGAAACGCCATTCAGAACTGTCGCGGAATCATAATCATCTTCTCGAGCACTCGAGCCTGGGTATTGATAGAAGTACGAAATATGTTAGGTCTTGCAAGCTCATCGCAACGGCTTTCGACCAATGCAAACATATCTGGCCCCGTCAGCAAATGACCTGTTCCGTACTTTGAGCAGAAGAGAGCACATACAAAGGGAAATATGCCTTCAAGGAAGGATCTCTGGCTTCCTGCTGTGCCTGTTGTACCAACAACTCAAAATTTTCTGTCGACATGTGCAAACGCTGGGTGAGGGGGTATAGCGCCAAGGATCGGAGGAGTTGTTGGATGTTATCACTGTTGCACTGCCCTATAGCTCGCATCCTTGCATCTTTATTGTGTCAGATTCAATGCTTGGGTAATAGCACAGCAGCCACCACTCACCGGTCGACCACGCCGACAAAGGGAGAGGAACCATGTTTGTGTCAACCTCCTCGAGTCCCGCCTCGATTAGAGAAGCTCGCAACTTTGATCCGATGCGAAGATCTTTCCTATCTTCCAAAGCACGCATGTATTGCGTGCTCCATCTTCTTAAGGCATGCTGTTCGGTGATTGAGCCGTTGTCGGATTGCACATTGTGATATATTTCGACCATTTGAACCCATCCACCCGGCTTCAAGACCCTTCAAAAGAAAGAAGACAGACATCAGTACGGGTGGCTTTCATTGCAGAGGGTTGTCTACAGGGGTTTCAAGTCAGCTGAACTGCCTGGAATTTTCGCACCTGATGATATCGCGGATATAGGATGGCCATCGAGTACGATGGATGCCGGTCGCAAGAAGTCGAGAGTGGACCAGGTCGAAATGGTTCGAAGGGAATGTGAATGTGCGGTTCAAGTCGTCAACCTACAGGGTGGTTTGTTATTAGCGACCGTCAGCCTAGCCTGAACCATGTCCTCAACAGGTCGATTTCGTTGCAATACTTTGATGCGCCAATCGAAAAGAAGATCGAACGACCAAGGATAGAACTGGCCATGGCATTGGCCGCCAAATGACTTGTTGGTTTGAAAGGAAGATTCATCACTTACTTGCAGCCAAAGATTTTCTGGGACATCGTCTGGGCTCATGTGCGGGGCAATGTCCACGCCAATAACCTTTGAACAACGGCTGTTAGACATCTGATGGGTGGTGCCAATACAACAACTCACGTCGCAATCTGGATTCTGCTCAGCAACCTCTATAGCCCATGAAGCGGCTCCATGTCCACAATCTAAGACCCTTCGCAGTCGACGAATTGGCGGAAAGACCAGGCGGTCATCGAAGATTCTCTGGAAAATCTGCTGCTGAGCATCCAACCGTTGTGCTTCTTCCTGCTCGAGTTGTCAAGTCAAAGAAGCGAGTTAAAGATGAATGCTCATCTTACATCATCGATTGGTCCAAAATATATTCGATGGTCGATCGCATACTTTTGAAACTCACGTCCCTGGACAATTATTGTATCCAGATATTCGTGGTCGAGCTCTTCTGTCTGTGAATCTGGATTCCTTTGGGCCCAAAGACGTGGATATTAGCATTCGTGAAGCCTAGAAGAGGAAACAAAAGCGAGGGAAGGGTCTTGTCAGTACGTCATTGTTCTTTCCTCTTGAATGCCGTGCGAAAAAAAAACTGGCAATATTGGCCGGTATATGGAATGCGCTTTGATCGGGTTTTTTTCCAGTGGTGGGGGTTAATTCTCCCGGTCAAGGGGGGTATCAAATGATATTTCCAAAAGGGTAAATGGAAATCAAATTACAGTGATTTCCATGGAAGAGATCGGGTGCCACTGGAGCGAAGCCGGCGGCAATGACAGACTCGGACTAGACGGCGCCTCGAAGATCATTCACACGCTCCGTGGGCGCCTGTCAACGGGCTGTATGAGGGCCCCCGGTCCCATACAAGGTACGTACTAACAAGTGTGCGAATGAGAGGACAGGGAACTAGTCCACCCGATTCAACGAACACGCTCTATTCTTGGTGCGAACTCGTCTCGGATGAAGAAAATCTTTTGGTGATGATCCGAAGTTAGGCTTCAAAGCCGTGCGTCGTGTTTCATTCACATGGGTCCTTTTTCCCGTTGATCGTTGGCCCAATTGTGACCAGTGCGGCGTTATTGATTTCCTCCAGCACGACCCTGAGGTCCCAGAAAGCCCCAAGTGGTCCTTGGGATCATCGCTGGCCACAATTTAAGCTACTAGTCAATTTGGACATACGAGCACACTTTTTTGATCTTACTCCCGAGGGACTGGGTCGTGCACCGACTCAAACGGGAGGAGAGAATGGAAAGGGCGGGTCGGTCCAGTTACCGAGGAATGGTTCACGATCATCACCGAGACTTGACTCTAGGGAGTACAGATACCAAGTATCGGGATAGACTCAGCCCCGTCCTGCTGCTTAAGGCCAAGCTAATGAACCTTGACACTAGGCGGCAGTGCCGTCAACTAATGCACTGTTCGCTTTATCGCATATGACATACTTTCCCTCAAAGATCCAGAAGCGCCCAACAGAGTGGATCGAGCGAAACACAGTCTCGCCAGTACCACTGCACATCGCCGGACCCGACATATTTGCCTGGTTTTTTTGTGGCTAATTATGACTAGAGGGTCCGATGACATCCAGCGGCTGAGGCGCTAGATGACAGAAAATCAAAACAATCCCATCTGCCTTTTGTTGGCTTCGATATGGGAGCCAGCAGGGTTCTCTATGTTACAAAAAAGATGATGTAATGGGAACCCTAGCCAAAGGCCAAAACACACAAAAAGAAACAAAGGAAAAACAAACTTTCTATCAGATCAGGTAGGCCCCTGGCATTCGCTCATCCCGTCCAGACCGGAGAGATGCGAAACAATAGGAAGGAGCTGGGGCAAAAGGGGGGGAAGAAAATAAAACCCCCCTCCCCCAGTAATAAGTACTATGTATGAGCTTGAAGATCCAAAATTCTCCTCAGCAGAAACGCCGATTGGAATCCAACCAGCCCTTGCTGGATGCAGGCCAGATGGAAGCCCTGCATCACAGATTCCAGAGGCACGGGAATGGATCGTCGTCAGTTCCCGCTGTCAAACCAAAAAAGAAAAAGACGAAAAAACAATTCAGTGACAGATTCTCAACGCTATGATTCTTTTCGCAGTATTTGTGTACACCGAGGTGGCTCCTGCCTTGGCGACCAATCTGCATCCAGTATTCTAACGCGCCAAGGGACTTCCTTTGCTGGGTCTGACGATGGCAAACTATGTACCCCCCTCCGACCTTGAAGTGGGGTTTGCCAGGTCAAGATCATCAAAGACCTCGTTGGATTCCCTTCCCTCGGGACCCCTCTGGTGGATTGCTTCATTTCCCCCTCTCTCACCGCTTGTCCGATGTTCGGGGTCTGGATTGGATAATCGGAGGCGAACTGGGCCGATTTGGCAGATTCAATACCGGATGCTAATCTCCGCCTGCATAAATGGACGAGCGAAAGCAAGTTATGTGTATTTCACCAGCCCTTCACATTCCTTGGAAGACACAGCAGGTGCAGCTCTGAATCGAATCTTGAAAGGCCGATGCGGAAAAGACATCCACTTCAAGAATTCCGGTTGTGGAGATGTGGGTTTTGCCTTGAGGTTCCACTTTCCAGTCTCTCCTTCCAAACCGTCGGGACTCCACACCTCCAAATTTCCAAACAAGCGGCATAGATTTACGGAGTACAGCCACCTGAGTACGGAACAGATCACGCAAAAGTGAACGTGACCAAGTCAATTCTCCGAGTGGATAACGTATCCTTTACAGATCCATGTTCCACCACAAGCATGGCCGCCACAGAAAAGTTGAACCACTTATGGCGATGGACCGGATGTTTCCAAGGTTTGACTTCAATGTAGATGGATGAATGGCTGCCTTTTTGTCCACTGATCAGGAACACTGGTAGGAACAAAGGATGGAGTACGGAATATGTATGCTGAGCGACCAGATCGGGATTGTTACAGTAGGATTCAATGTTAACAGGACTCCGTCATGAAGGGGATGATGTGGTGGTCCTGGGCCCTGATTTTAGGTTCACAAGTACCTTCACGCCCCGACTTTCCCTGGGATTAATTTCTTCAAGGCAAGATATTTTACATGAGAGGGACTCGGAAAACTCCATGGCAACTTCTTCAATTGATTTATTACCAGAACGCATGACCTCATTGGGACATACGCAATATGTTCATGCAAGTCCCATGGGGCAGAGGAACGGCCCCCTCCCGAAAGAGGAGCAAAGCATCCAAGGCGTCGGGTCTAGCGACAGGGATAATTATATCTCAAGTGCTCTGTTTAGTCCGGGGGCCATGACGCCGTTTGGCTACCCGGCGCCATGGTTCACCCCTCGGGAAGCCAGTCAACCTTAGAACGTTCGAGTGCATGCTAACCTTGTTAGTAATTAGTCTGTAACATTTGAACATTTCAAATCATATTTTACATTTGAAATACATGTCAGAATAGCGGGGTTTCATGCGTTGTCCAAAAAAGAAAAAGAAAAGACTTGTTCAAAGCCACTATACGACCTTCCTAAGAAGTCCTTGATCCCGGTAACTCTCCAAAATTTCAGCCGCTAACGATGGAAGCTAATCCGAAAACCTATAGAATTGCGAGGTTTCTTGTCCCGACAATCAGGATCCAATAACGGAGTCTACGTTGACGAAAGATGCGAAAGGGAGGAATACGCCGGCTCCTTACTCCCTACAAATAGGGGGGGGGCATTGGTGAGGAGAAAAAAAAATTAAAAGGAAAAAAAGAAGAAAAAAGGCCAACCTCAATTTGGCAGTAACCTCCACTTTGCCAAATACCAAACACCCGGTCCTGGAATCCAACTGAACAGTCACCGTCGATGCTACATACTCTTGTCACAAAAAGAAAAAGAAAAAAAAAGAAAAAAAAACAAGAGAAAAGCCCAAATCTTCTCTGTTAGCGTTCCATTCCCTCGGGTCTCAGCCCCAGCCCCCCCTCATTTGACTATAGAAAGTGAGCTGAGAGCCGATCTTCGTATCGAGCAAGTGAATGAAGTGTGCATGTTCGCGTTTGCCTTTCTTCTTCTGTCCCGCTGCCCTGTGGGACTTGCTGGTTCCTTGATCTTGTTCTTGGTTTCGGTCTCGGTCTTTGTAACCTGGCTCCACTGCCATACAGGGCACACTATATAAAGCGGAAAGCCGCGGAGATTCTTTGCCGTGTTTTTGGATTTTGGATTGATAACCTTGGAATTGACTCCGGACCCGATGTGATTTGGGTCTTGTGGATAAGTCGTGTTCTCAAGACCTGCTTGGAACTTTCAGGGTCTTCATGTGACCTTTATACAACACTACATGTATTCTGCTGCAAGAAACTACAGTACTCCGTGTGTAGATATTCAAGCTTTGCATTGTCAAATAGAATACTAGTATCTAACAGAATTTGGCCTATTTCAATGTTCATAGTCTTGCGTGCCTACAACTTTGGAAGAGTGCCACTGCTGACAACTACTCCAACTCGCTTAAATACCCCAATTTGTGCTCTGCTGCAGTCAAACAGCCCTACTGTCCAACATTGAAAGCACATTACATCCATAGTACCACTTCGCGCATAATTTCCTTCTTGGCTTGACATCGTCCCGAGACCCTATTCTATGTACATTTCCTGAACGTCCTCGCAGATCTACATCAGCAGAGTCCCGACACTCTGGTACTGGTATCATATTGGGGGGAGGCTTCCCTTTTCCCCACCTCTTTTTGGTACTTGTTAGCTTTTTGTGATGGATGTGACGGTACGAGGCAAAGTACTTTGTGTGGTGGCGAGCAATCTATATACTGGAGCATCAATTGATACTTCGAAGCACCCCGTACATGCATGAAGTCTTCTGATCAATTGACATGTACGGTTGACCTGGTGCATTGTGATGAGTATTCAAGTGAATTCTTGATTACTCAACAGAGCTATACAATTTAAGTGATGGTGGCTTTTGTCCCCACCCAGCGGTACAATTTATAGATGCTTCAAATGTTGCCCAGGTGGTCTGGTGACATCTGAATGTACTTTCCCATACTAACATGGGGCAAGTCGGCTACGCTACCGGTCTTTCAAAATAACCGCTTTTCAATATTGTGGCCGTGCGCCACCAAGCAAGGTAAGCATTCGATCCCCGATCCTGGGTTTCGTGCAAAAGATCATATGTAGAAACTGACTGGATGAATTTCATCATGAATATAATTATCGCCTGAGTTGAGTTGGGTATATTGATCAAAAAAAAAACAAAAAAAAAACAAAAAAAAAACAAGAGTTCAAAACACACGCGAAGTGCAGAAAGAAAAGATGGAACTGGTAGAAAATCGCCAGGCCATACTATACACCAAAGATTCCTACAGGAGAATTTCCTTTCCATCAACGAACATCCTCCCTGCCAGTCGAATACTTGATACCCGCTTCCACAATCTGCATAAATGTACGGATCTCCGCATCATTTCGCGGCGCATAGATCATCAGGAACTCCGCAGGGATATCCTTCTTTGTCCCAAAGCTCAGCAAAGACAAGGCCGATTGGCCCGAAAAGCCGTGTCGCTGGCCCCAACCCGCCTCGATAACCCTCTTGCCTATCCGAATGTCAGTATCAAAGTTCTTTTCTATGGCAGACAGTAGGATGATATTGAACCCCCCCCCCCCCCCCGAAAAACGGCGTTTCAAACTTACAATCAGCAGGCGCCAATAGCAAATGCCCCGAGAACTCGCCGCTCGAGTGTAAATGTGCCAACTCGCCATCTGTTGCCTTCACGACTCCCGAAGCTGGGAGGTGATCCGATAAGAAAAGCGCATCAGCATGCGCTTCCTGGCCCGAGCGCTGGAATTTGACAAGGTGGTAATTCTTATGGCCGAATGCCCTGAACGCAGCATCGAGTTTCTAAAAGCAGGTCAGCGAATTGAAATTAGGTGGGAGGGAAATGCAAAAATGTTCAACCCCATTGGCCATGACGTGACAAAATGCGACAGAGCAAAATAAGCATAAGCATCCAACAACAAAATAAAAGAGTAACTCACATCCTTGATTTCCTCCTCGGGTAACTGTGTCAACTGTCTCTGCGGCACAACATGCGGTCCAACAACCGGCCTCTCTTTAACCGAACGCGCCTGCTCCGGAGCAAGATTTAAGAAACCCTCCCCACCAGCCCCATGTCCCTCAAGCGCATCTACCCGCTGAACATATATTTCCGTCCCGAACATTTCGCCCGCAAAAGGCTGGAATAGCGCGCGCACGATAAACCATCCGAATACATTGTTTGGTACGCCGCCGGGCCCGTAGGAGCGAAAAACGCGGTAGTCGCGGTAGAGTGCGGGGAGGATGAGGGAGGTGCCGATGGCGGCTGTTGTGCCCAGGGCGAGGGTTAGGCGTTCTTGTTGGGTTTGGGGGAGGCGGATAGGGAGGGAACGGAGATGTTTTGTTATTTGGTCGTAGGGTGACATGTTCCAATGTTTGTTATGGTCGGAGGGGATCTCTTTTTTTTTTTTTTTCGTCTGCTAGCTATATGTAGGAGGTTATCTAGGGATGAAAGAGTACGGTGTGGGATTCCAGGGCTGGATTCCAACTATGTAGCTCAGGTGCGGATATTCCGAGATGATGCGATTTCGAGATGAAGTGAGGAAAGAGAAATTAAAAATATTCAGGTGCCTAAGAGGCGGGGCTGGGCAAGCCTACAGCGGATTTATATCATAAAAGCCGAGCGATCGCGAAGAATCGGAGGCTTGGAAGAAGCCGAGTCCGTTCAAATGTTTTTCAATTCAAATATTCCTTTGTTTTCCGTCTATGTTTTTTAAGGTGTTTCGGGGCCAGTGATGCACACATGAACCTCTTTCTCTATTGATCATTGCGCATTTAATTCCTGAATCAAGCTTGGAAATATTTCTTTTTCATTTCCCCAGTGGAAAGTTATCTTATCGCCCTGAGATCCACCGCCCCACAATCAGCGGACATTCTCAATAGGGTAAGTTATGCGGCTGAATATGGGATGATGCGATGGGGCCGCAAGTTGCTGGGGCCGCATTTCGGGTTCGGGACGATGCGGTCGCTGCAAGGGATTCAACCGATTAAAGCTGTGGATACGGATATATTTCTTCCATAAAAAAGGGGCCTTGTCTAGGTCGCGGGACGTGAAAAGTCTCTGGGTATACTAGTGCTGAACTCCAAAGAGCGCAAAGAATGCAAGCTGCAGAAAAGGAGATTGGCCGTGATGTCGTCATTTCTCAATCTTCTTTGCTGATCGAGCTGAGTGAATGTGCGAGTTTCAGGAGAACAACACTCTCAGTCGCCGCAAAGTAATTCAAACTGTTCTCGTGAGTAAGGGTTCATTTGAGCTGCGAAAAGAACGTGACTAACCTGTCCATCAGAATACGGAGGTGGCGGTTGAAATGATCTTCATATCGTTTTAAGGTGTCCTCGAGCTTGGCAATTCGAGTGGGGTCATAAGGTCTAGCTTCAGCTCCGGTGGCCATCTCCCCAGATAAATCTGGATCAGCAGAAGCTAGAGCCCGTGAGAGGGAGGCAGCCGTCCAGGACGCGAACATAGTACAACAAGTCATCAATTTAGAATGAATCTGTAGTCGAATCAGCCACTGCGCGGTCGAAAAAGAAAAGACAAAATTTCCCAAGGATGGCTTACCTTCAACAGCTTCGCCTGAGTAAGCATACACTCCTTGAGACATGTGTCCAAGAAATCAACATGGTCTTGCATGAGCTCATCAACTGTGCGATTGACCTGCTTGGTGCCGTTCACCGTCACCTCCGACCCCTCGGCGTCGGCTCCATTGACCCGGTCCATTAATCCTACCCAGTTGGGTTCTATAACTTCAGAGGTACAGAAATACAACAATTGTTGTACAAACACGAGCATCTTTGCCCGGAGATTCCACGCACGTCGCTTCCACATCTCCAGTCGTCGGTCGGATGACTTGTGCCGCCAGCTCGTCATCTTGTTCTGGTCTGCCCATGAGGTGACCAACAGTGTTTCTAGATGGCGCAGGGACAGAAGATGTCGGAAGATGAGTTGGTATCGCAGCACAGTTTTGCGACTGATGACGAGCGAAAGAGGAAATGGCACTGTGTAGTCCAGCTCCAGCGCATCAAATCCCACAATATCTTTCTCATCATCTGCGGCTTGGGCTGCAGAGGCTTGCTGTTTCTCAATCGCCGCCTCCGGATGGTCTTGATCGATACCAGACACACTAACCACTTGCATTAACCACTTGGTGAGCCCGATCTTATTCATTCGAACCTTAACATCTTCCTTGAACGGGTCATTGGCGGCGATACTGCCTGGTTGACGGAGCACAAGATCAAGGAGTGATTGGAGTTTGCCCTCGTTGACAACCCGAGCGGGTTTGCGCAACTCGGATGCACTAAGCTCAAGGAAGTAAGAAAAGAAATCAGAACGATCCAGGAAGAAATAGTGCTTCAAAGAACGGAAACGGGTTGTCAGAGAGTTCTTAGTCAAGAGTAGGTTGAGCAAAGAGGCATTTGCGTAGGTGTATGCACCATTGACATTATCCAAAAATCGTGGATCATCTAGTGTCTTTGGCACATCTTTGACGGCTTTGCTGATATCGACACCACCACATTCACGGACCACATTGAGATACTTTCCCGCAAGTAGTACCTTGTCTCGGACACTATCAAGCTGCGGGGGAATCTCATCATTGCGTATCGTATAGCGTTTCTCCCAGTACTCATCTGTATAGTCTTCTTCAAGCTTCTCTCGTTTGATCCACTTTTGTTCCTTGATCAGGAACTCTCCATGTGGGTCTCGAATACCTCCATGATGTAGCCATTCATTCAACATGTTCATGTAGGGTCGACTCGCATCCCGCAGCAATCCCTGAACCAAGATCTTGGTCGTTGGGTCGCCTGCAAATGTGTTCAAACGCTCAGTGAGGAGCCGAAGGACATTTCCACCCTTGCAAATCTTTTTACTTGCCATTGCGCCAGGGACTAAATCACCGCCTTCTCTTAGTTGCTCCAAGATATTGTCGACGTCATCGAAATCATCTATTGTCTCGTCCATATCTTGGTCTTCCAAAACGCCATTGCGGCGAAGGAGTTCCTGCCCGAGAGAGTATAGCTGCGCAAGGCACTGGCTGGTCGACATAGTGTGGAGATGAAGTTGGTGAAGGGTAAAGGTGGGGTTGTTCAACAGCTGGCCTTCTAACTGGGCAATGAGAATCAAATAGTCTTTGAGAATCTTGCGAATTGATGCGCAGAGCGCATGGCTGACTGCGCCATACTCCGCCCGACTCTGGAGCTCCACAAAAGCCTCCATGGCACTATAATGGGTAGCCATCTTCAACATTGACTGTGTAAGATCCCGCAGAGTAGGATCTAAGCCTGGCGCCAATTGAAAACCGGGGCCAGTCAGCCGGTCCTTTTCGACCGTTGGGTCATAGGAGCTATGGTAGTGAATGTATTGGCCCTCAAATCCCATGAACACAAACAATAGATCCTCCAGGACAGCGGTCTCTTGGGCATCTGGGGAAAGGTCTCGGAATGGCTGGGGGTAGAGTGACTGGGGAACCGTCGCAGCTGAAGGAGGAACAGACACACGGCAGGCGAGAGGCGCAGTGGAGTGAGGAATCAACGAGACTCGGGGATCCCAGGGTGCTATTGAGAACTTGTCAGTACGCTCCATTCGAGTCCAAAGAGGCAAATACAAGTAGCGGATGCGATATAACGGCCTGAGGAAATCACTCACTTTCAACCCCATCATTTTCGCGTGATGTGCCTCCGAGATTTGCGCCATCAGGCTGGTTGGGGTATTTGGGTCGGGACTTGTCGCGATCAGCGCGATTGGCCGCACTTGATGAATCCTTGATGGTATTTCTCCGCACTGATTTCTCTCTGGTAGTGATGGTAGAGCGCTCAGTACGTTTCTCTGACATGCTCCTCTGGTCCCGGGACATTCTGTGTTTTTGACTAGCAGTGCTGGACCGTAAAGGGTCCATGGTGTCGGGGAAGGGCGATGCGCCGCGAGGCCCAGCCTCGACGCGGTTGGAGACAACGCGGGGTCGTGGAGCGCTCATGTAGCTGACGCGGTCGTTAACGGACATAATCCCGATAGAGCGCAGAGCATGGCATGGAGATTATATGCTTGAGTCGAGCAAAATTAATGTCATCAGCCCCGGAGAAATCAACAAAGAGCAGCGATTGTAATCCAAACAAACCCGTGGAAACTCCACCCAAGCAACCCTTGGGCACAGCGTTGATGCCTTGGTGCCTCAGCCGACAGGTGTCCAACAGGCACTGACGACTTGCGTAGAGCTTCCGCCTCGAACGAGACTCCGCTACACTGCTCCCACCTTCCATCCATCTCACGCTCAATACCCTCCCTTCTCCTATACACTACCCTGGAAACTCCCTGACCTCTTGACCTGTTGAGTTTTATCCTGTATCCAGGCCATTCAATATGTTCATTGCACGATCCGAATATGGTAAGCTCCGTCCCTCCAGACCAACACTTGCAGCATCACTAACAGCTCCCGAATAGACCGTGGAATCAAGTATGCATTCTATCTATAACTCCCCATCACTTAGATCTAACCCAGCCGAACTAACAATGCCACCCCGAAAAGCACCTTCTCCCCCGAAGGTCGTCTATTCCAGGTCGAATACTCTCTTGAAGCTATCAAGCTAGGCTCCACAGCAATCGGAGTACGTTTACCCTCTTCCTTTTCAGACGAACGAATATCGCACCATAGTCCCGAGAATATCTCATTGCTCCATGTCATCTCCATGTCATCTCAACCTTCGTACCCCGTCCGCAACTGACACCCACCAGGTCGCAACATCGGAGGGAGTCATCCTTGGTGTTGAGAAGCGCGTTACATCCACCCTGCTCGAAGCATCGTCTGTTGAGAAGATTGTCGAAATTGATCAGCACATTGGCTGCGCGATGTCCGGCCTCCAGGCCGACGCCCGAAACCTGGTTGAGCACGCCCGTGTCGAATGTCAAAACCACGCCTTCAACTACGCCGAGCCACTCCGCGTCGAGAGTACTACACAGGCTATTTGTGACTTGGCTCTTCGCTTCGGAGAGAGCGGTGACGATGAGGAGAGTGTGATGTCTAGGCCGTTTGGTGTTGCCTTGTTAATTGCTGGTTACGATGAGGATGGTCCTCAGCTGTATGTGTGCCCTTTAACCTCTCATCCCTGTCTAATGCTAAACTCTGTTTTCTCTCTATCCGTAGATATCACGCCGAGCCCTCTGGAACATTCTACCGTTATGACGCTAAGGCCATCGGCTCTGGAAGCGAGGGTGCCCAGGCAGAGCTGCAGAATGAATACCACAGTTCCTTGACTCTGGCCGAGGCTGAGACGATGGTTTTGAAGACGTTGAAGCAAGTTATGGAGGAGAAGCTTGATTCCAAGAATGTTCAGTTGGCGAGCGTTACCAAGGAGAAGGGTTTCCGAATCTACGATGATGAGGAGATGGGTCGGGCTGTGGCACAGCTTGGTGGAAACCAATAGATAGATACTGCCTAGGTGCTGATATTTAGTTTCAACCCAAGAGCCCAGTGAGCATTTTATGTCGCCATTTGAAGAACAATGCAACCGTAGCGCTCTTTGTTACCTACGAACTCACGATCGCGGAATATCTTAGATGTTTCTAAGCTCCATATGTAACTTTGCAATGCAGATACCGGCTAGTAGTGGTCACAGGAAAGAATATTTATATGAAAGTATGCAGGAATCTCTATTCTAAACATAAAACTTTTTGGTATCTCAATATCAATATGGAACTACCGAATCTTGTACACGCAAGGCTTGAGCACCTGAGCTTCCTGCTCCGGTGTCATGATATTGTTGGGCTCTGGCTTGCGGTCGACAAACCGCTTCTTGCCAGCAACAGGAGCAGGAGGAGCACCAGACGAGACGTGCTTACCCTTAGTCGGGGCACCACCCGCCTTCACAAACTCCATCTTCACAAACATCTTGTTGGACTTGTCGACTGACTCTTGCTTCAGGACGAATCCGCGAGACCTGAAGACCTCCACGAATGCCGAGATATCGGTGTCATCACTGTTATCAACAGGACGAGCATCCTCGGCGAAGATGTCAGCGTCATCAGCGTCATCCTCATCATCTCCACCCTTCTTCTTAGGTAGCTTCTTCTGCTGGGTCTTGCTAAGGGGCTTCTGAGCTCCGATCTGCGACTTCTTGCGGTTCACTTTGCCAAATCGGCTCTTCACTTCACTGACCCAGCATTCACCCTTGCCATCGCCGCGCAGCACGCGCCAGGCCTCCTCCACGAAGGACACCCAGTTGGTTCCCATCAGACTCAGACAGAAAACTGTCACATCAACGGATCCATCCTCAAGGGGCAAGTTGGAGATATCGGCCTTTGTGATGAGAGCATCCGGTGCCTGAAGATCGTAACTCTTCAGCTTGATGTTCAGCTTCTTGGAAGAAGGAGTCAAAGCGCGCGCAAGTCCAGCATCACCACAGCCCAGATCAGCAATGGTGCATAATCCGTTGGGTCTGCGAGGAAGAGGCATCGGCTTGTTGGGGTTCAGCTTGTTTCCTCTCTTGGGAACGGGGACAGCGCCACGGCGGCGAACAAACTGAATGTAGCCATCCACAGGGTTAGAAGGCCAGGATTCCTTCACTTGACGGGAGAAACCAGCGTGGTATTCACTGAAAAGTTCCGGGTTGGCATTGAAGAGTTCAACGGCTTTGGAGGAGTCGGTGGTGTACAGGGTTTCGTTCAAGTGGCGGAAACGAGAGGAGACCAGTTTCTGGCGCATTGCCTGCTGGAGTGGGGTCAGGGTTGCAGTTGTTGTTGGGGGTGCAACCACGGCGTCTGCAGCAGCACTTGTCTCCGCAGCAGGTGCAGCGGCGGCGTCAGCCTTCTGATCCTTGTTCTTCTTGTTCTTCTTCTGCTTCTTCTGGGGCTTGTTTTCGTCCTCTAAGGGTGCTGAGGCAGAAGTCTTCTCTTCGGTATCATTCTTCACATCGGGTTCGGTCTGCTCAGTCTGCTCGGTGCCCTCGGTGACCTCGGTGGCCTCCTGTTCCTTCTTCTGCTTCTTCTTCCTCTCTCGCTTGGGGGGTTTCGGGGTATATCCCTCGATATGTTTGCGGTACATCTCATCGACATTGCTTCTGGTGACATTGCCGTCATTTCCACGCTTGCGCTTATTGTTTCCATCGTTTTTCGCATTGGGGGTTGAGGACTCTTTGGACTTGGAATCGTTCGAAGGCTTGACGACTTCGGCCTCACGTGTGGGACCGCTCGAAAGCGACCATCCTGGAACAGCGAACATGATAAGGCTGCAATATGCTCTCGTTGAATAATTGGCTGCAAGTAAACGTTGAAATCCAGCCAAAAGTGTAAATTGAGAATGAAGAAATGCGGAGATAAAAAAAAAAAAAGTAACCGGCAGAAAATCATCTCCACACGTATTGAGTAATAGGAATACAAATATTACCCAAAATAATACGGGAGTGCTGCCATGTCCGGCAACAAAACATTAATACCTACCGGTTATCTACTTACTACTAGTAGTTAAGTGATGACTCTCCATTCATCATGCCTACTAGTTACTAGTATAACCTGTCAATACTAACAGTCCCCAGTCTTTTGCGGTACTGTCTAATTTCGCTTAAAAACTGACCAAGTCTTTTCTTTTTTTTTTTTTTTAATTAATTTTAATTTTGTCCTGTAGTTGTGACTTGTTCTATGTATAGCTAAAAACCTTGGCGTGGTTTTCAGCATTGGCCCATCCCTTTAGTTTAGTTACCTTAGTCACTTTTTAGCCCTGGAATAAGCTGGAATAAGCTCTGTAATTAGCTTTAGTCCCTTAAGTAAGGGAAAAAATAGATTAAGAAGTAATCTAAGATATGGTCAGGGGGAACATGTCAGATCGTATTTCGGGCTGAATGAAAGAGCTTCGAAAAAAAACCCCAAGAGAAGCAACGGTGTGGTAGGATGCATTGAAACGTGAAGGAACAACGCCTTAAAATAAAAACGAGGTCACACATACTACTGACGGGTGATCTTCCATGCTCGGCAACGATGCCCTTGTGGAGTTGGAAATCGGATCGGATCCAGACTCTTTGCTCCGCGGCCATCGATCTGCCCATCTAAGACCTTCCGGTTTTTTTTCCCTCTTTCCCCAGCCCCACCATGTCTTCCAGCCAGGCTTATAATTGTTGATAAAACAAACTGGTCTAAACTTAGCGACCATGGCGGATGACGAAGCTCAAGTATCCGATGGTGGGAATGACCGCTCTGCTGAGTCGGAAAGAACCCAAACGCCCCGCAGACTTCCCAAAAAGCGTACCAAAACAGGCTGCTTAAGTACGTCAACGGGATGCAACGATGCCCTGAATCCTGCGCAAGTTCTTTGCTAACCATTCTAATCAGCTTGTCGGAAGCGTCGCATCAAATGTGGCGAGGAAAAGCCCAGATGTGGTAACTGCGTCAAGTCCAAGCGTACTTGCGAGGGCTATGCCCAGAGGGTAGTCTTTAAGAACCCTCTGGGTATACTGGGGCCATACGGCCCACCACAGACTCAAGATGATCAAATACAGCAACAACAGCAAAGTCTACGTGTGCCGATGTATACCGATTTTACTTCGCTGCCGCCTCAACAGGCGGCAGCAGCGGCGCAACATCCCATGTTGGCTCCGCGGCTAGATGACCACATGCTCTCTGGGTATCAGTACCCCGCTTCTTCGGCTGCAGTGGCTGCAGTGGCTCGGCAGGAGACTGAAAAGACACAAGAGATATATAATACAGTGAATTCTCAACAGTTCTATTACCCAGCGCTTCCGGCGCAAGTACCTCAGCAATGGCCTACTCACTCCGCAGAGCAAGGTGGACAACGACGAATGTCTTCTGCATCACTCAGTTACACACAGGCTCAGCCTCAACACCTTGCATCAAATGATCCTAGTTCTCAGTACAGTGGGGGAAATCCTCAACTGCCACAACCCATTACCGATTGGGCGAGTATCGCAGGCCTGGACTATACTAACAACCAATACTCTCAGGTAGGATATACTCCAGCCCGTTTGAAGATATCTCTTGCTGAAGATATGCAGGTGTCTTATCCTCCGAGTACAATATATCACTATCCTCAATCGCTTGAACAGCCTGCGCAACCCACTATCCCGGGACAGTACATCCCGCCCTCTCAACCGCAGGTCGTATATGTCGAAGATGAAGCAGAGGATTATTATGATGTGGACTCAGACGAGGAATTGGAGGATCAAATCCAGACAGAGGGCTTCAATCAGCTGAATCTCATCGTTGCCTCTGCAAACCATGATGACCGTCGAATGCGTTCCTTCACCACTCACTTAAACGAACCCAATATCCTATCATCCTACCACCCGACGCTGGGATCGTCCCCACTGAACAATCCCAAGACTGCCCGCATCTTCGCGCACTTCATTCACTCGACGGCCCCCACATTTTCTATATTTGAGCGGCACCCGACCGACTCCTCGATCAACTTGGGCAGCGTTATCCCGCCCGCTCAACAAGGGTTATGGACATACACGCTTTCTCTGAAAGCCTTGGAACACCCAGCTCTTCTTCATGCCATTCTTGCAGTCGGTAGTTTGCATATTGCATACCTGCAACAGGCCCCTGCTACTGTCTCTCTGAAGCATTACCACTATGCCTTGAAGCGCTTAGGCCGTGCCGTCGGTCTTCCAGGTCGACGGAAGCAGATTGGAACTATGGCGGCTACACAACTTCTAGCCTACTACGAAGTCATGTCAGCCGATCACAGTAAATGGAATAGCCATGTGGCCGGGTCTGCTCAGTTGATCCGCGAAATTGACTTTGCGGGCATAAGTCGAGATCTTCGTGCTCACCGTCGCAGAGTTAATGAACAACGGGCTCAGATGAGGTGGGCCAATCCGTCGACGCAATTCTATAATTCCTACGGCAATGAAGTCTCTGAAGATGACCCCTTTTCGGAAAAAGAAAATGCCATCGACCAAGTGCTCATCAGCTCTCTGATGGGTCAGGTAGTCAATTACGATCAGTTCGGTCACATTGAAGGGCAACCACAATTTCCAAGGAAGCCTTTCTCTCGAAAAGACATTGAGAATTTTCGCGTTCAGTGTGATTTGTATTGGTGGTTTACCAAACAAGATGTGTTCCTTAGTTTGATCAGTGGTGACAAGACATTGTAAGTCAACTGCACCTATGACAACTGGATGGATTATGCTAATGTTACTTAAATAGTATACCTCAGTATCTTCGAAGCCAGTGTCCCCCTCGAGCAGCGGTCGGTCGAATCGACGCGGTCTATGGATCGGCCGATCATCTGTGGTTACTACTTGGCCGAATATCCGATTTTGCGCAACGGGATCGCAAGCGAAAATTAAAAAACTCTCGTGCAACGGGGGTGGCTTGGAGGCCAGGCCCAGAACTTTTCCGGTTTATGGGTCGGTTCGCTGGTGGAACTGGGCCACCTGGGAAATCAAGACCCCCTGGGCCTCCTGGGCCTCCTGGGCCTTCTGGGCAGCCAGGGCCTCCAGGACCTCCAGAACCGCCCTCGTCAGATTCGTCTAATTCTAATCTGGACAGTAGTCCCGGCGCCCCTTCAATGTCCTCCCAGGAAACCCCGCCCTCCCAGGGTCCACCTCAGAGTCTACCAAGCTCCCCAGAGGGGCCCCCTATGTATGGCATGATGCCACCGCAGGGTCCAGTCTACGTGCCACCAGCATTCACATATGATAGACGTGGGCAACCTCAAACACCAGAACAAGAAGATCATAGTGAGGAAGCCACATACGCTGAGGCAGAGCGAGAATGGGAGGAGATATTGGCTGCCATGGATCTCTATGTTCAAGCCCTAGGTCGAGACTTCCAGCCGCTGCCAGCGGATGTAACGACCGTTATTGATTCTCCATTTGGGCCAGCTCTTCAGTACCGCACACACACTATTGCCGTGGTCTGGGGAATGTACTACGGTGGACGAATAATGCTGCACCGGCTTCACCCTTGTTTACCTCCTGCCATGATGATGTCTGCCAGTGTAAGTGCTCCTACAACTGCGGAATACGCACAGATTGTGGGTCGCATCATGGCTGGTATATATTACCCGCAACGATATAATCTCCAAGCCGGCAGCCTTAGCCCGACACTCGGCTCGGCACTTGCGGAGATGACTCTGCCCATGTTTTTCTCCGGTGTGCAGTATGCTGATAATGCGCAACGAGTCTGGACAATTGCGAAGCTAAAGGATATCTCGCGCCTTACTGGGTGGAAAACTTCTGACGCCATTGCGGGTGGCTGTGAGAGCTCCTGGATCATTGCAGCTAAGCATGGACGGGGGCCACCGTATGAGCGATCTGTGGTGAGTGACCGTGAGCGTCACAGGGATGATCCTGACGATCTTGTAAGTTTCGAAATCCGATTAACCCATCCCTTATCACTAACACTCTCTTCTAGCCACAGTACGTTGTAGAAGCAGAGAATGAATCATATTATAATGATGATCGACGGTTCACCGTCCGGCCGCCCGATCGAGCCTTCTTAGCCTTGGGGCTCCTGAGCCTGGAAGGTGATTTACAAAATCTAGAACTTTAGGCGATTAGAACCCCTGGTCAAAGAAATCCAGTACTACTATAGTGCATTCCAATGTTGATAGAAATATCTGCGACCTTGCCTTAATACCCTGCGATCCTTACAAGCTTGTTGATAACATTTATTTATTTCCGATACTACTACCTAACGCACAAATGTAGCCCAGACATTCTTATACCTTGCTAAATTTCATGTGGCTGCTACTAAAATCCGGCGCTCCAGCCACGGGGTCGTTCACTTTAACCCGGGTGCGCTCAGGCGTATTCAGGTATGGGCGCAGCACAGCATGTACATGTACCTACATTAGGCATGATGACATACAGTAGCACGATGCTAAACGGGACTAAGTGTGGCGGAGACCAAAACCCCACATCAAATCGAAGAGAAACAAAGCCAATGTGATCATTGAATTTGGCATCTGCCTGAAAGCCGAAGAAGCCAAATCTTAATTTCAGCTGAGCCCAACGCCGATCTTTTTATCTTGATATCTTTCTTTCTTTACTGTATTTCCATCTTTCAATCCTCCAAACCTCAAGAGTCACCTCAACACGTGGCTGACGCCAACCCCACCATCAGCGGCCCGAGTCAGCCGCCCTCGTCATATCCACGGTTCACATTTCCCTCGCAAGGCACTTTCCACATAAACACAAACACACCCGGGTCAGTCTGCCTTGACCGTCCACGCATCCCAAGCCATGTCTCGCTACGACGATTTTCGCTCGTCATCCGGCACCCTGGACTCCCGCGATCGATATGACCGATACTCGCGGGGGCCGCCCGTAATGGAGCGAGAACGATCTCGATCACGACCCCGCCGCATGGAAGACGAGCGTTTCGAGCTCAGAGTACAAGAAGAGGACCGATACGGTCCACCCGCTCGTGCCCCTGGTCGCCATTACGAAGACGAACACCTGGTCTACTCTTCAGGGGCCCTGGTCGCACCTGATCGTCGCCGTCGCCGAGACGAGAGTCCATCGTTTGCTCCGCCACGGTTAATTAGGCGGCAATCCTCCCTTGATACATTTGATCGCATTCCTCGACGGAAAATGGAACCGGCTCCCAGGGCTCCGAGGGTGCCTCAAGCACCTCTTCATCGCCCCTCGCCGCCGGGTCGCTATCGCGAGCGCGAAGTTTATGAAGATATCCGCATCGCGGAGCCAGATTACTACGGCGACGAAGAGTTCCGAGAGTTTAGGGAGAGAGATAGTACGCATCGAAGACGTTCTGCTAGCATGGCTAGACGGCGGCATGAGGAGAAGCCCTATCCGCGGAAAGGCAAGACCCGCATTCCGCGAAAGTTCGTGCATGTCCATGCGATTTTGGATCTAGGATACCCTTACAAGGAAGAGGTATGCGCTATTGTTGCTTAGTGGTGAAGCATCGATACTAATATCTCCTTAGGAGGACACTATCATCATTCAGAAGGCTCTGTCAAAAGAGCAGATCGATGAGGTGATCACCCTCAGTCGACAGTTTAGACGACCCGTGCAAGAGGAGAGTGAGTAAACTGTCCAAGTTGTGTTTTTTGGGAGACTCTTTTATTGATCTAATTCTAGTTGAATTTTTGCGTCTTCCACGGCCAGCTGAGCGAGTCACCACGGAACATCTCCTGCTTGAATCTCATCACTCGCCCCGTGCTAGCCACGACGCTTTCATTGTTGAGCCACCCGCTGCATACAGAGATGTTGAATATGGGTATGAGGAGGTGATCGAGAGACCACGCAGACACACTGTCTCTCGCCCAAGATCTGTATCAGTGAATACCCAGGCTCGAGTAGCATCTCCCGTCCTATACGTTGAGCCTCGGTCTAGCCGTGTTGAAGAACGTTTTGAGTCCCGGCCTCGTGAGTCTGGCTCGCTGGTTCTAGTGCGGCCCCGCCACGGCGATCATGATGATGTATCCGATTATATCCATGATCTCGAGGAAGAAACAAGGAGGCTACGATTGGAGCGACAAGGTGGTATTGAAATCACGCGACAGCGTGATACAGATATCATTGATAACAGGGGCAATGAGGAGGAAATAACCGAGATTCGCCGCCAGGAACGCAGAGGTAAGTTGATCAAATTAGACGGCTATATTGTATCTTGTTTCTTACCTCATTTCTAGAGCCAAATTCAAGGGTGATGCGGGCTATGATGGCTACCTTGACTTAATGAGATTACGTACACCTATCGAGGGAAGTACTTACGGACTGACGATATCCATTTTTGGGGGTTTTATTCTTTATTTTCGTCTTATTCTTTATTCTTTTCCTCCCATACTGTTTTTCACACCTGTATCAAATTCATCTATTTCTCATCATAAATTTATTTCGGAAGATTAAAACTAGTATACCATTCGATCCAACTGGATAAGGATGAAGAAACCGTGGCTGGTGCATAGTGGGGCGGTGCAACACCGCGGGATAAACCATCGCACCTTCTCGTAGCTAGTCCACATTCCATTCATCTTCATCCACTGCACTTATTTCTTCCACCTTCACTCTCTCATATTTCGTAATCATGGATCGAATGCAGGCATTCGGTAAGAACTTCAGGTGAGTATCCTAGCTAACATTCCTCAGGAAATCGCACTCAATAAAAATACACGTTCCCTCAGTTCTAGACTTCGACGGTTACTGACTTCTTCGTTTTGTTGACGATTAGCGCGAACTTCACGCCTTTTGCGCAGCGTACTCAGCAGATGATCAAGGAGCAACTTGGTCAGGCTGAGGATAAGACCCAACTCCCCGATGAATATATCGAGCTCGAGAAGCGCGTCGATGCGCTCAAGCTGGTTCACCAGAAGCTGTTGTCTGTGACGTGAGTGCACACCTGTCATGAAGTATTTAGCCCATAAGATAGAGGCACTGACCGGTGTGGGTGACGATAGCTCTCAATACTCCAACGAGGCCTATGACTACCCTCCCAACATCCGCGAGTCCTTCAACGACCTGGGTCGCACCATCAACGAGAAGGTCAACCTCTTGTCGCAGGCCAGCTCCCCCGCCGAGGCTCAAGCTGCTTTGACCGCACCCCCGAGCGCCAAGCCGCAGCCCAAGACCTTCAACCATGCCATCGCACGTGCCTCGCTCGCCGGTTCGCAGACTCTCGCGCAGAGCATCGACGGCGAGGACCCGCTCGCCAACGCCCTGGAGAAGTACGCCCTGGCTGAGGAGAAGGTCGGCGAAGCCCGCCTGGCCCAGGACTCTCAGATCCAATCTCGCTTCCTGGCTGGCTGGAACACCACCCTTAACACCAACCTGATGTTCGCCGCCAAGGCGCGCAAGAACGTCGAGAACGCCCGTCTGACTCTTGACTCCGTCAAGGCCAGCAAGAAGGCTGCTGCTCGCGGTGACCTTGACAACTTGAGCGAGGATGCCCGACAAGAGATCGAGCAGGCCGAAGACGAGTTCGTTGGTCAGACTGAGGAGGCTGTGAGCGTGATGAAGAATGTATGTTTCTCCCCTGACAAGGCGGTGTTGCTGCGGATCTAGATGTGTTGGTGATGTTTATACTCCTTGAAATACGCTGCTAATATTGGCTCTCCCTTGCTGCAGGTTCTTGATACCCCCGAACCCCTCCGCAACTTGGCCGACCTGATCGCCGCCCAGCTTGAGTTCCACAAGAAGGCCTACGAGATCCTGAGCGAGCTTGCCCCTACCGTTGACGCACTGCAGGTAGAGCAGGAGGTGAGAAATCCTGGGTTTTCTTTTTTGATCTGATTCCATGACTAACCCTTCTGCAGGCTAGCTACCGCAAGGCACGTGAAGGCGCATGAGCGTTTTAGTTTTGTTTTTAGTTTCCCCTCTTAAGCCCTTTTCCATACTATCGAGTAGTCTAGGCGCGTCTTTGTATTTATCCCCCTTTTTGCTCCAGTGAGATCCTGAGCATGGCAATTCTTTCTATTTGACTTTGTATCAATGAATTAGAAATTCTGCAGACCCAGTACATACAGTATTTCCAGAGCGTATCAAATTCATAGTAGCCTTGCTCTGTTTTGCAGGTGACCGCCCTGGTGGCCTCAGGCAACCCCGCTAGCTCCAGGAGCTCCGAACAACCAGACTACATCTTGTCCCCCATTCAACCCCCGCGCCTGATGTGTTTTGTGCAAGAATACGCCAGTGTTTGACAAAATAATATCGCATCACTAAAGATCGACAATAACGCAATCGTGAACCACCGTGCCTATCGATCCCGCCCTCCACAGACTCCATTCTCCGAACCCATCGAGTGACCACCTTGATCCGACACCCCGCGCCGTATCTAGCATACATTCCCAAGCTCATTGACGCCTCGTGCCTAGCGCATAACTTTCAATCACTTCTTACCACAAGCGCTGTGTTGTGTTGTGGTGTAACGAACTGTCCTCTCAACTTTCCGCCGAAGCTCCGACTCGAACACGAACCGCGGATCTCTCCGAGCCCTTTCTTCTTTTCCTCGACAGTTTTCGTCAAATTAAAATACCCTTCAAGATGTCTGGCGGGTAGGTCTTACATATAAAATCTATCTTGGGCGGATTGCGATATAAAGCTGTTATGGATTCACGATACGATACACTATGCCAATCGTCAATCTTTAACACATGTGTCCAACCATTTTGCCGAAAGCAAGAAAAGAGAAACCAAAACTAACACTGTCGTGATATAGTTGGACTCTACTTATCGGCTTGATTGTCGTTGTTGCCGCTTCTTTGGCCGCCTGGTTCTTCAGCCCAAAGGGCAACAACCTGACGTGAGTTATATCCACCGACCACCTCTTATGACATACCGGCATATCGATGGACAGAGCCCGAAAACTAACTTGTATCCACTTTAGTGTCTGGCGCAGCACCCTCATCCTCTCCTTTATTTCCTGCTACTTGATGTGGGGTATGTTATACGCTCTCCTTCGTCCCAGACCCAGACAGATCCTATTCGGTCCAATTTGACCCACCCAGTTCTTTATACCAATGATTGTCTCGGAATATTGACTAACGCCTACCCCCACAGCTATCATCTTCCTCGCACAGCTGCATCCTCTTATCGCACCAAAGAGATCCGATATCCGTCCTGGACGGGTACCTAATTAAACGGTTTACTTGCTTTTTTATCTTGTCGTTGATTTCTTCTGCCACATCAGGTTTATCCAATCTCGGGTCCGGGCTTTCTTTTTCTTTTATTTTTTTCTGTGACATATTACATTGGATTGTGAGCGTGAGATCATGTCTTGGATCTATTCTCTGTATTCCCTGGCTTGGACCCTGCCATGGAGAGATGGGCATATCATAAATAACTTTCACCGGCGGTCTTGTTTTTTTTTGGTTGGTTCCTTCGTGGCCGACTTGGCGAAAAGCCGAATAACAATATCAAAAAGTTGAATATGCAGGCTACTGAACATGTCCATGATTTCCGAGGTTGTTGGGACCCGTCTCCAAGTAGTACCCCTGTACTGCGCACCGCCGTCGTTCGGGGGCGGTGACATGATACCCTTATAGCGGTGGTTATTGACAGGTCAATACCTCTCCCCCATAACAGTTCGAGTTGCTTTTGACCTTCATCTCCCACACCCTCATCGACCAAAATCATCATTTCCTGGAACTAGCTTGAGTACTTTGAAATGGAGCATCTTGACCACCTTTTGCAGCCCCCGGATCTTTTTACCGTAAGTCTTAGAATTTTCAGGAACAGTGTTGTGCTAATGTTTTCATGACAGATAATCGGTAGAGACGTGGCTCAACCTGATCAAAGAGAGCTTGATGAAGCACTGGCGAAAAGTAGAAAGTATTGGTTCTTTCTCGCATCAGTTGCCCATGCCCAACGAGACCATAGGCTTGTTCCGTTTTACGTGGACCCACGCCATGCTCTTCGCAGGGTTCCAAAATTCCAAGCACGCCCCCAAAAGCTTCACAGCTGTCCTTTCGGATCTTCTCCGGACCTCAGTCTCCGTATAGAAGCCTCATCTACTTGGCAAGTATCAGCAACTAGTGACTGCAATGGACTTAAAAAGGCGGTAACAAAAGTGGCCTTGCTACAGCTTGGTAGTGGTGGCTCTGTCCCCTTTGAATTAAATGAGGAAGTTTTCAGTACGTGGGCTGGAACTTTGGATGAGAACTGTATTAGTTCAAATTATATAGGGATTCTTACTCTTGGCTGGTGCTATATACTTTCTGCACGCCTGGTTGAGCTACGGGGAAAGGGTGCGGTTTTGCGTTACACGCAGTCCAAGGCCGAATATGATAACGGCACTTCATCGAGGTGCCCTAACACGCCATTTCTCGATATTGGAGAAGTGGATGGTGATGTCGCTCGGTGGTGGTCCGCAATACTTGCTCCTGGTGAAGGCTGGGAAGCTATTGTGACACGGGAGCCCCATGATTTTCTCGCTCCGTGGTCAATCTCTCGCAAATGCGCAAGCTCATTCTTCATCAAAGATCAGACATTTTCGTCTGACTCTAATTTTGCGCCCTTGTCTTCGGAGAGAGCCTTTAAGGCACTTGCTGCATTTGCGATTTTCCATGATGTCGGAAGTCAGTTTTCGATTGCGCTAGCAACAGCCTTGATGATTCCTTTACACAAATGCCTCAACTTGACTGCCCATCTTCCATTAACGATATCAAACGGATGTGAGGGGAAGGTGAAATCTTCTACTCAGTGTATCCCACAAACGTGGGTGGGCTTTATGAATGACATACCCTACTATATGAGTTTGAGCTGTAACCCAGAAGTTATGATATCGTCACTTTGTGGATCTTTCTGGGACCCTGGAGTCCCTTGCAATCTCGTCAGCCCATGGCTACATCCAGCTGTCAATGAGGTGCTTGGCAGCTCAACGACGGTGACTGTACGCGATCAAGAGATTCTTGGTCTTCTTTGTGCAATTCGCCGGCCAAGTATAAGTGCACTTTGCATTGGTGCCGTCATCAGCGGCTTGGGTCCAACAATCCTTGAAAGAGTCAAGGGTGGCTTGCCTCCTTTGGATCAAAATGCTTATGCTTGGACCGGCTGTGCTCAGTGTTTCATGGATGATTCGGGATCTGGTCCATATAAATTGCAGAACATCGAATCTATCTCGAGGCAAGACATCTGGCGCTTATTACACCTTCCTACAACAGAAACCGATGATTTACGCTTTCATCAGAGGCCTTTCGCACCCTGGGCACCATGTGGGGTATCTTCCATCGAAAATTGTGTTCTTCGAGTTATTTCACACCAAGCATGCAATCGGCATGAGTATCAATATGATCATTGGAACTGGGACCTTGAAGACGGGTCGGTTATTCACGATTATGGATATTCAAGGGAACTTACTACGCCCAATCCAATCACATAGGAGTCCTTGATACCATCAAGATTGCGAGCGACCGAACTTTCGAGATGAAGGAGCTTGATCCTGATCAAACAGCCTCTGATGAAGCCTCGTTTGGCATATTTCATTGGCTTTTTATCAACGGCGAGGGTCTACCACCTGAGAAGATTTACCAGGATGTTTGGATAAAAGACACATGGGATCAAGAGGAAGGTGTACTAGATGGCCATAGGGCTGATGCGCAGACTCCAACAGGGCTTGATAGTGAAGGCCAGTGTCGAGTCCAGTCATGGCTCAATCAGATCACTGCATAGACCTATCACGAGAGAAAGAACTTCATTTTGACTCGTCACCCCGTGATACTGCTGCTGCCTCAGACATTATACCCCTGTCAAGTACGTAAAAGAATCATCCCCCTGGATCTTCAAGGGAGCACATCATATCTCTTATTCAAGTCTCCTGTAATAGGTCTACGATGCCCGCCTCCCATGCCAATACAAGTGCGATCTTAGAGTACGTCGTGCAACTGCCGGTCTGTTTCCTTTCTGCATTTCGACTCGTCTGTATCACTCACATAGACTACGTAGTACTTCTGGACGCTGTGTCTCGCCTTACACTAGGTAGATTCAACATTATGTATGTATAGTGGGTATATGAAAAGAGAAGTCTATAAAAGCTATCACATATACTTCACAACTCTACGTCCACTGGCAGTAACCAAATATCAATTTAGCCCCCTATCCAACCCCAACAGCCCCAAGAATGACTTTCTGCACAGCCCATCTAGCAATCTGCCCTGCAACGGCAACTGTAACAGCCCGGAGATAACCACATCCAAGTAGAATATAAAGCGCTTCGATGTTACTCAACAGGACAAGATGTGTATCAACAACACCAAGCGATAGCAATGAGGTGAGAACATCAAATAAACCCGTAAGATACCTAGTTGGCAGGTAAGGTCTTAGCAGCGACTCCGCAACCGCAAGCCACGTTTCTACCAACGAGGAAGATGATGCAGAGTACTCTGCGTCGCGCGTAGAAGACAAGGCCGCTTTAGCGCTCAGCATGCTCGTCGTCGGGGTGGAGGCTTCTTTTCTCAGTGCGCCAGGTGGAGTCGCGCTATCATTGCCCGCTCTGTTGGCTTGGCTTCCGCTGCCGTCTGCACCCCAAATCACGAGGAGGATAGGGAATAGCTTTGCGCAGCTGCTTACTAACAGGGCCGTGCTGATTGCTGTGGGGCTTGCGGCTGTTGGTGGGGGAAGGGGTTTGATATTTTGAATTGGGGCTGTAGAGGCGCGACGGAGGGGCGCTGGTCTTGCTGGTGGTGGGAGGGAGATGGATGATGTGGATGTGGAGGGGTGTATGCCCTGTGGGGTAAGAGAGGGATCATGGGGGGATAGCATGTCGCTTGAAGGGGCAAGGTTCGGTGCGAGTTTCGATTGGGCGGTCGTGCCAGAGTTCACTTGTTGCAATTGTGCGTTGATGGCTTGCGACGAAGGTGAGGGTTTGATTGTTGGTGTTGGAGGGCCGGAGGGGAAGGGGGTCGTTGTAGCTGTAGCATCGGCCGTACTGCCTGTGTTACTGTAGTAGGCGCTGTTGTTGGCCTCCGACTGGCCATATCGACGACTTTGGGGGACAATTATTGAGGCCACTAAACGGACCGTCAAGTGATGCGCGAGGGTCGCCAGTGCATTTAGGGTGAGGAAGAAGAGGTATTGAACGATGATTGGGGTGCGGGAGATGAATGTTGTCGCCAAAGAGGGATCTTTCTCGAGTCGCGCCCAGGTCAAGTAAACATCAAATAGGAGAAGGAGAACGCCGAGACGAATGATGGACCGCTGGATAGGAGAACAAGTCATTAGCTTTGCGTTCTTGGACGTTACGCGGCCGGGGAGCTTCTCACATCAAATCGATCATCATCGCGACCGAGCCGATTGAAGAGGAGGTGTCGGTAGACCTTTCAAATGGGAGTTGTCAGTGGCTATCTTCAACAATAACATGTAAATAAAAGCCTCACCTGTGGTTTTATGAGCACTAAGTCAATGAAGATCACGACAAAGTCGTACTCGACATATTTGTCGGCGAAACGCTGGCAGCGCGGGCACTGGGTCAATCGCACGCCCTTTCCCTGCGAGCGATCATCGGCGCGGCTGTAGGCACTGTACAGGTGCGAGACCGGGTACGAGCATTCTATGCAGATAGGCATCGTGACATGACGCCTGTGAAGGAGGAAAGATGATTGCGGGCGGTCAAGTTGATGGTCGAGGATTAAGGAGCCAACAAATACCGCGGGGCCGATCTATACCAGTCTCCGGCCGATCACCCTTATTTTTCTAGTCTCTCAAGCATATGTATTTTTGTTGGAGATAAGAATTTTTCTTGATTTTGGGTACTTAGTGGTATATACAATGACATATGACGGTCAGTCCTTACATGGTAGTATCTAACATTCTATATACATCAATCAATCACACTCTTTTTGTCAGCCCAGCTAGGCTGAATAGCTCGACACACGGCTTCATAGTCTTGGAACTGCTGCGAATCTTCGGGTAATCCAGCAGTCGTCCAGAACATAGTCCAATTGCTATCAGCCAGTTTCCAGGTACCCGCCGATCGCTCGAAATACCATTTGTTGACCGGGTTGTCCTTGCGACTGCGCCAGCAGACGCCGTTGGGGAAACAGGTGCGCACCATGGCATTAAATACTACATCAGCAACACCACCTGCACCCTGGCTGCGTTTGAGGACAGCAAATTTGTCAAGGTATGGAACCATGCGGGAGACACTTTCGGGACTTCCATCATCAACCACGCCAGGGGGTGTTTCCCAAGTCAAGATCGCGCCGCCTTCGTATTCGCCAGCGATAATGAGACCAGCGATACGATCATTGACTCGCTCTAGATAGTTTTGAACGTCAAGCTTTCGGTCGAAGGAATCTTCAATAAGATGTACCAGTCGAGGTAGGTCGATTGATGAGTCGTTCAGTTGCAGTCGTGGCTGATGCTGAGCTGACCATACCTGCACATGCGGGTTCGGGAGAAGAGTGAGGGGCATCCCACGCTTGACGAAGGTTGTATGGGATGTAAAAGGGCTGAGCGCACTGGGTCGTCGGCCATTGGCAGGACCACGTCGGCCTAGAGGGAGCGATGAGGAGAGAAGAGGCTTGTCGGTGAGAAGATTATGGATGAGAGGATTACGTTGTCGTCGGGTTCCAACGGCCGACAAATCTGACGCAGTATTCTCAGCTGGGCGTGAAGAGTTGGCGACTTCTTGTGGGGAAGTGATTATGCTTGAAGCTGTCGCCGGTAACAGGGCAAGGGTTTTCTGGGATAAATGGAGATTTTGCAGGTGCCCATCAATGACTGGTCCCATCGTCATGGACCCGGGTAATTGCTCTGATGTCTCTGGTCGAGGTGATCCAATCTCATTGGTCGCGAACTTGGAGAAAGGGTTGCTATCCAGGATTGTATAGGCTGCATCTAGATTGGGATTGGCTATTTTGTTAGCCCCTTCCCCACAGAATGAGCTTCGAATCTGGAGCAGTTCCTCCTCAATGTCGTCAAACTCTTGCTCCATGTTGATGAAAACATGAGATTGCTGGGGACCTCTAAAAGAAGGGATTCCTCCAAGGGGATGCAAGAGAATCACTCGGTCCAACGCCACCTCCTTCTGCAAAGATCCAATTCGCTCTGCAGTGACTGCAGGATCTTCATCCGGGTCTGGATTGGTAGAAAGCCCAGCAAATTCTTTGGTCAGAGCAATGACAGCATCATCTGCGGACACCGAAACGGCCTTGGGGTTTTCTTCCAGGTACGCGACTGGTGTCACAATGACTACGTGTCCGTCTCGGAGGGGTGCTAGTAGCCCCTTCCGGGACGACACTCTGGGTTGGCTGGGCACTTCTGAAGAGATCGAAAGAGCGGAGTCCAGGCGAAAGGATTTTGAATCTGGTTGTTCATCAACCGCTGACGAGAGTCGATTTGCCTGCGCGATGGCCGTTTGTCGCACTACAGCGTTATCCACATCGCCAGGGTCAATTACCACGCAGCATGCCATTCCCAGGCGAACTAGCTGCGATAGAGTTCTAGCCACACCATTGATGACTGAGTCATCGAGCGATTGTGGTGTAGTGATCTTGATCAGAGCGAGGTGTAGCCTCTCAAAGGGTTCCTGTCCACGTGGAGCTGGAGTGGCATTTTGTCGAAACACGGGACTATCGTACACTGCTCTGGAGGCACCGTAAAAGGAGCCAAGGTTTACCCCGGAGGGTAAGGATGGCTCGCGTTCCTTGGAAGCTTCATCGGGTTTTGTGTTGGCTTCCGGAGGGCTATTTTTGAATCGCGATAGATATTGTTTGGCTTCTCGCTTCGTTGAGGCTGAGTTTAAAAGACTGAGGAAAAATTCCTGTGTGATCAACAATCCAATCATTAGTATAATTCTTTATCGCCCGAAGTGTATGCACATAGATCGTACGCGATCAAGAAGCTTCTCCTTTGCACGACGGCCAAGCCCCTCATGGTTTTGGCCGGTAACTGAAAACTCAGCAACTTGGTGACCCCGCACACCAAGTGACTGCACCGGGGATATGTAGCTTGGATCATTGGGACGAGTGATATGGTGCTGATGAATTGTCAGCTTTTGTGGCGCAATGATGTTCCGGATCTCGGCGATCATCTATCTACCTTTGCTAGTGAGGTCCGAGGCCAGTTGAATGCCCGAGAGCTCATTTTGAGGCTGCCAGCAACTGGCCGTTACAATTTTATGCAACCTCACGGCAAGAGGAGAAATATCTGCACAGAAGAAAAATAAAGCGCAAGTGTTGATGGTCGGAAAATGGAGCATGACGCATCCTCGGCTGCGATTCACCGCCTGAGGGAAATTTAAGGTCATGACTTTACCCGTGGATCCGGTTAGGCAGCTTATTCAATGTTAGGTCCCAACTGGAAATCTTCAAGTTCCATTGGACAATTCTATAAAGCGCATAGAGCACTTGAGGAAGTTCAAGCATCTCTCTGAATGTTGGATGCGTACATATTCCCACGAATAGGAGATCTACCCAACCTGGGAAGGTTCCCAATTTTAAGAGCTCCAAATTCATCACATGCAGGTACTACACGTGCATACGGGTACCTAGTGGCTCTGAGGACTTTTACATGTCTGATATACATTCAATGTTATGTAGAGCATTCAAATGTTGTTGAAATACATAGTATGTACATATGTACGTACTATACATATTTTCACTCAATCCATTCCGATTTTGGCCAATGGATACTAGGTAGCAGTAGGTATATATATATGTATGTACACACATACATATATCTATACATGTACACGTATATGTATCTACCTATCCCTACTGGGCTTATAGTGCCTATGTACATCAGCAGTACATAGCAGCTTCCAGATGTCCAGACGAGGCTGGAATACTTCAAATGTTAGATAATTTACACATAATTGGTTGATTGACTGTAATGTGCCACTCTAACTTGGAAGCCGTGGATGAAGATGGTTCCAACATCCATTAAAGTTCCTATTGCGTACTAGAAAGCAAAATGTACAGCGAGCGAGAGCGATGTCGGGGACATTAGTGCTTGGTGTAGGTATCAATTGATGTTGAGCGGGAACGATGGTATTTCGCTCAAACATTGAACATTTGAGGGGTTCAAATTGTTTTGCTCTTGAATTTTAAAATATTTGAGCTCTGGGAGAATCTTGGAATATGCAGAGAATATGCATGGTCCCCCATACTTCGCGATGGAGTAAGCTGGGACCTATGAGAATCCACTCCCCACCATAATGACGCACACTGATCAAGCCCTTGGAACATTGAATTCTCTTACTTTACAACTCAAGTATTTTTTTGTGATAGGATTATAATAAGCTGAAGGGGGAAATCAAGGCAATTTGTCATATCTTCCATATATAAATCGAATGAAATCTCATCTTTTCTCCTTGGAAGTCGTGATTGACCGCTTTTGAAGTCACCAGTACCGAGGGGGAACTTGCTGACAAGGGAGTTGAATGGGGCAGAATCACGTACTCGTGGGGTTTCTTGTACATTGCTGGCCCCCGCCACCTTTGTTCTTCTTCCCCAATCTTGATCTCTTCTTTAGACTCAGATATTTTACCTCAACCATCCAGTCCTTGTGGTCCTTATAGATCTCCAGGTTCAAACCAGTATGTTAGACCCCGGGTTTTACTTGCCTTGCTCTTCCCCCTGCTTCCATCCCATCCCGCCCGCTGCCCCTCCTTGCGCACATTGCAGGTTGTCGCAAATTCTTATCTACGGGCCCGGATCGCCTCCAAGCCACCGATTCATTTCCCATTCAAGTGCACAGGAAGTTTTCCTGTTCTTGTCGTAATTTAAACCCCTTTTTAGTCGGAGGCATTATTATTGCTTGCAGAGGTACTGATCCCCACCGGTCTAGATTTGCATCCCCTCGTTTCCCCATCGGCGCCACCGAGCTGGCCCCCCCCTGCAATTCAAAGTGAAAAAAAAAAGAAAAAAAAAAAAACTCCAATCGTCCAAGTGCACGCTCTTACTCATCCACGAGCCCAGCTATTCCAGCTGTCATCATACAGTATTTACCGCTTCACTTGAAATTCTTCCCAATTTTCTCCATCTACCATGTCTGATCCCAGCGAGCAATCTTCGGAGTCCATGCCCGGACAGGATAACGGCTTGAAGCCATTGTCGAACGCGGACGACTTGTCACTCGGCAATGCTAGCAACAGCGAGCTCTCTCGTATCATGAGCCGCGCGGGTATTGCACTGGCCAATGGGTTCCCGCTTGATGATGACGAAGACGAGGAGGAGGAAGTGGAGGGAGATTATGTCGCAGTCGATCAGGAAGAGGACGCCAACGATTTCCCATACTGGTTCCGCCGACCCCCAACACACCACCGCACCAAGCTTGATGAACTGCACCCTTTCGTCCAGCTTCTTTCCGCGTCCAACGTGGATGACTGCATGACCGTGGAGAATGCTTTCCCAGAACAGGAGCGTTGCTCGCGTGACAAGGTAGGGCAGATCCCTTGCGAATTTGTTTACGATGCCATGAACCGTGGAGCGTGTAACCACTCGTGGCATAGCTTATCAGCTGCCACTCAAGGTTACTCGAACACAACTCAATTAGGCGCCCTGCATAGATGTGGCTGAACCCTCTGGGCTAACTGGGATCCACTTGTATAGTTCATCTACCGTCTTTCCAGGTGCCCTGAGCTAAGCCTGGGCCTTTTCACTTTGCCTCTCTACGGGGATGACCCCAAGCCTCGGGCTACCCTCGTTGGACATATCATTGCCACCCGCACCTCGTCGCCTAGCGTGACAGATCGATCAATGCGCTTACCCAACAACTGGCAAAGTGAGCGCTGGACATTTGAAGACGATCAGGCGGTTGGCCATGAAGAGGGCGGTAGCACTATTGCCATTCATTCGCTGGCTGTGCTACCTGAGCACCAAGGCAAGCAGGTCGGTAGCACGTTGATGAAGTCGTATATTCACCGCATCCGGGAGGCTCAGATTGCCGATCGGATTGCGATTATCGCCCATGACCACTTGGTCCCCTTCTATGAATCATTTGGCTTTGAAAACCGTGGCCTCAGCAAGTGCCAATTCGGTGGTGGTGGATGGGTGGATCTGGTATGCTCAAATTACTTTCCCCTACAATCGTTACCCTGCATATCTATATTCTAACAAATTCTTCTTCAACAGGTCTTGGAGTTTGGCAATGAGCCCGAGTCCAGCTAATAACCCTTCTGCACCTCGTTGTTTTTCATATAATCGGCGGACCAGTGTGTGAGCAATCCTCCGGTCTGAAATATCTTTTGGTCTCACTTTACCGGCTTTCTTTGGTCTCTTCTGGCTCCTATGCCCCCCCGTCACGCACTCTTATGTCCGGCTATCGGTTTTGGTCCTCAGGGTTGGAAGAAAATGGAGTTTGTTGAATTTTTCTTATCGATTTTTCTTTCTGTCTCTTCTTTTTTTTCTATTTAACCAGGGTTGGATTGTGATGGCTATAGTCTTTATGAAGCTTATGGACGGGAAACCCAGAAAAGGCTGGGCATTTCCCCCTCCCGAACGGTCACAAGGACTTTGTGTACCATAGTTGAAATGCGATGTACATGAGTATAATTCTTTTGTTCAAATAATTAGAGAGAAATACCAGAAAAAAAGAAGTCTCGAATGCAGATACAAGTAAATGTACCATAGAAAAGAAAGTCTCGGTTATCGTATCCAATCCTGGTCCCCGCATTTATCTACCGCCTGGCAGAAAAATATCCCGACCAAAATTTTCTTTGGGGAAACAGACTCAAACAATCATTCCACCCTAGAGTCATTACAACACCGACTCCTGTGGCCCATCATGAAGACAACGTGGAAGGATGTGAGTTTTACGTTGGAATATACTTTGGATTCCTCTGCAAATTTGAAGTTTCACCCACTGATCTGATTTCACCGCTAGATTGCGCCTGTGCCCACCCACCAGGAATTCCTGGATATTGTCCTGAGCCGTACTCAGAGACAATTGCCCACTCAGATTCGTGCCGGTTTCAAGATCAGCCGTATCAGAGGTATCTATTCCCTTTTTCAGATTCAAATTTCACCCGTCGAGTCGCCTTTTTGTACCGGTGGCGAGCGCAACAAAAAAAAATGTTATCGGGGTTTATCGATAAAGCACCATCGCTGATCAAAAATTTTTCCCCGGCAGGTTTCTACACCCGTAAGGTCAAGTACACCTCCGAGACCTTCGGTGAAAAGTTCCAGGCTATTCTTGATGGATTCCCTCGCCTGCAGGACATTCATCCCTTCCGTAAGTTTTCTTATCTGGTCCACTGTGATCCGGGTGGGGTCTAACAGCCATTAGACAAGGATTTGATGAACACCCTCTATGACGCCGACCACTTCCGCATCGCTCTCGGCCAGGTTTCGACTGCCAAGCACCTGATCGAAACTGTTTCCCGCGATTATGTCCGTCTCATCAAGTATGCGCAGTCTCTGTTCCAGTGTAAGCAGCTGAAGCGCGCTGCGCTCGGTCGCATGGCCACCATCTGCCGTCGCCTGAAAGATCCGCTTGTCTACCTGGAGCAGGTCCGCCAGCATTTGGGTCGTCTCCCCTCCATTGATCCCAACACTCGCACTCTTTTGATTTGCGGTTACCCCAATGTTGGAAAGTCCAGCTTCCTTAAGAACATCACCCGTGCCGATGTTGATGTCCAGCCCTATGCTTTCACCACCAAGTCTCTCTTCGTTGGTCACTTCGACTACAAGTACCTCCGTTTCCAGGCTATTGATACCCCCGGTATTCTCGACCACCCGCTGGAGGAGATGAATACCATTGAAATGCAGTCTATCACCGCGGTTGCTCACTTGCGTTCCGCCATTCTGTACTTCATGGATCTCTCCGAGCAGTGCGGTTACTCCGTTGCCGATCAGATCAAGCTTTACCACAGCATCAAGCCTTTGTTCGCCAACAAGATTGTCTACATTGTTATTAACAAGATTGATGTGCGTCGCCCCGAGGACCTCGACCCTGAGGAGATGGCCGATCTGCAGGAGATTCTCAAGTCAGGAGATGTGGAGATGCTCCAGGCTTCTTGCACTACCACCGAGGGTGTTACTGCCGTCAAGAACGCTGCCTGCGACAAGCTTCTTGCTGAGCGTGTCTCACAGAAGCTCAAGTCTGGCTCCAACACCGCCGGTACCCCCGGTGGTCGTCTGGGCGATGTTCTGGCCCGTATCCACGTTGCCCAGCCTATGGGTGGTGTGCGTGAGAGCTTCATTCCCGATGCTGTCAAGGATCTCAAGAAATACGATAAGAATGACCCCAACCGCCCCAAACTCGAGCGCGACTTGGAGGAGGAGAACGGTGGTGCTGGTGTTTACAGCTTCGATATGCAGCGCGACTACACATTGGCCAACAAGGACTGGAACCACGACAAGATGCCCGAGGTGTGGAACGGCAAGAACATTTACGACTTCGTGGACCCGGATATCGAGAAGAAGTTGGCTGCTCTGGAGGAGGAGGAGGAGAAGCTCGAGGCGGATGGATACTACGACTCCGACGAGAGCGTCGAAGATGCCGAGGATGCCGACAACCGCATGAAGGCGGATCTGATCCGCGAGAAGCGTGTTCTTTTGCGCAACGAGGCCAAGAACCGCAAGTCTCTCAAGAACCGCGCCCAGATTCCTCGCAGTGCCAAGTCCAAGAAGCTGTCTCAGCTCCAGCGTGGTTTGGACTCTGCTGGTTACGACGTGGATGCTGCTGGTGACCGTGCCCGTTCCCAAAGCCACACTCGCGGACGTACTCTCGCTCGCAGCGAGGCTGGTGATGATGACGCCATGGACCTGGATGACCCCAAGCAGGCCATTGCCCGTGCTAAGAGCCGTGCTCGCAGCCAGGCCGCCACTGATCGTCGTAACGACGGTGTCGTTGACGAGATGGCTCGCACTAATGCCGAGCGTCTGTTCAAGCTGGGACAGAAGAAGATGAACCGTATGGCCCGCCAGGGTGAGGCCGATCGTCACACCACCGCTTCTATGCCCAAGCACTTGGTATGTTTTCACCTTTCTTATATTGTTTTTGCGTACAGTAATTCTAACATGTTTCATTACAGTTCTCCGGAAAGCGCGGTTTCCAAAACCAGCGTCGTTAAGGCTCCATATCCCCAGCCTCTACAGGCTTCCGAAACGAGACCCATTCATAATCATCGTCGATTGGTTTCTTTACCGGGTGCACCATGGTGTCGGGCGTTTAAATTTTTTTCTTTCTTCCCATTTCTTGTTTGCTTTGTATTCTCTTTTCCTTTTTGTTAGATGAGAAGATTCATCTCGTTCATTTTACGGGATTTCCATCTTCCACTTGCGGATGAACAGCTTTACGATTTGTGGGGGTTGTTCTCCCAGTCAATAGGACCAAAAGTTCTTGACGCGATGATGTTGCATATACCAAATACAGATGAGGCCTTTTATTTTGGTTTTACAAGTGATCATTCCCAGCTTGAATCTGTAGAATACTCAAGCGTCAGTGGTAGTTCGCTTCAAATTTACCCGGGGCTCAAGGTACCTAGTAGTAGTAAGCCCCTGTGCGCTTTGCACGTACAAGATCAACAATCAAGTTATCTTTTATTTACAGCAGTAGATAATAATGTGGGGTTAGATTTGTTGTTATGGAAGATTTCGTCAGCGATTTTTTTTCTCTGATCACATTGAACGTATGACGTTGTTTCGCTGGCAGTATGAGAAGATATTCATGGCCATCTGGTAGCTTCCCCAGCGGCCACTGCCAGTACGTCCAAAGGCTCTATGTGGTCCACAAAGGAATACGTGTTCACGCCTGAAACAAGGCCACTCGTATCATCGGCGTTGAATATTGTTCCGCGCCACTCGGCTTCGCGTATATAGTAGGGGATCGGTGAGGTTGGCATCACTTCATTAGCTTTCTTGCCAATGAAAATCAAGGTCTATCTTTTCGATAGTTTCTTCAAGATCAGTATCACGCCATGAGGTTTTTGTGCGAGGCTCACTCCCAGAAGTGTTGGCAGTGGCTACTAGACAGGCAGCTGGATGTGAACTCATGACACCGTATATATCATTATGATCTTGCTTAAGCATTCCCAAGAGGCCACTTGCAAGTCCTTTGTCACGGTGATACTGATCGACCACTAATTGAGTGATCCAGCATTTGAACGGTCTTACCTTTACGTATCCAGCGGCAGGCGAACGGGATTCCGAGCAGATTCCCATCGATAGTCACCCTGATGTAGAAGCTTCTACTCTGGTCCGTGCTTGTGGGTAGGTATTGTTCTCGCAGTCTTCTCGCGCTCAGCTTACGGGCTTGCCTAAAAAGAACATTGCGAATGTGTCCGGAAGCAAAGGCCATCCCTTCTCACCGGGCCGATCTGACTGCTTCCCCATACCCCATTATTTTCGTTAAAGAGACGTGCGGCTTGGACCAACATGTCGTCCGTAACTCGCTCTGTGGTGAGATTCTTAGAACTGTGATGCCATATCGGAGTGCCTTTGGATACGAGTGTTTTCAATGAATTTCAAGTGAGGATTTGGATCAAATGAAACTTTTCGGGGCTTTTCGAGAGGGAAGGCGGAGGATGGGGGTTTGTGGGAGCCCTCCATTGCATTTGCGGAGTGGAAGCACATATGTGCATTGAGTGAGGGGTCGCACAATGAGTACCGTTTACTAGTATGTAGTCAGCATTTGTAGTGACCCGCCAACATCCAGATGTCCAAGTGCGTTCGTGCGACGAAATTCCTTCCGCTTTAGTAATAACAAATCTTGACTTCTATGTAATTCTTCCAGATGTTAATGTAGATCAGGCACTTCATAAATGGACATGCACTGGAAGCTGACGGTTCCAGGGGCCGCGGAGAGCCTTGCTGATCCTCGTATGAATGCTCGGCTGCGTCAGTCGACATATTGAGAGCCCTATGATCGTTCTGGCGCTATATTTTGCTTGAGATCTAGAATTATGGCTACTGACGCTATCGCAGAGCTGTCAGGAGTGTTTGGTTTTCTCAACTAAAGGACTAGGTTACACTTCAACTTACACCGAAGCAGAAGGAGCAAGTGACAAATTGGATTGCGAGTGCAGAAATCTGGCTGTGGGTTTGATATTGATAGGCAATGCGGAATTTGAGCGCCGCCATAGCATGTTTATAGAACGAGCAGTGCTTGCGTTTGTGGGAGATGTATCTGGTGTGCTGTTAGTTCGGCAGCGGCGCAGAGCGAGTCTATTGGATGAATCTGGGCTGCCCCACAAGGCATTGTGGCATCCTCTATTGAAAAGACAATTCACAAAACAAGGAGTGCCGATTAGGGAACTATGATCGGTATGGAAATACAAAGACATGCCAATAAATGTAGACCTATATCTAGCGGACACGAACTCGCAGCATTGATCACAAAAGACTTCTCCAGCGATGCTCCGCATGGTCCAACCGGGCTGGGATTCATCTCCCGAAGGATTAGTCCTTTATGTAACATTTGAATGGAGGATTTATATTCTCTCTGTCTTCACTTGTGGCCACTGGCAAATGCTCACATGCACACGGCACACGAGTTTCAAAACACTGAGCACTAATATGGAAGGGGACATCTGGAACGCCAAGAAGTGGCAGAGGAAATCCGGTCAACTGGTACGTAGTTATATAGAACTGGCCTTTCTCCATCCATGGATTCACTTGAGTGATCTACACGTAGCGGCTTATTTCTTCGCAGTCAAGTACTATGTAACATGCAATTTACAACTTAACCAGTGGAGAACAAGTGCTCTTTTGGGCGTAGATTACTCACCGGCCTCAGAATACAGCAAAGCTTAGCAACAGAATGTACTCCGTACGTACTCCGTACGTACTCTGAAGTACTTCGTAAACCTCTGCCCAAATACTTGATTCATCAGAAAAGTGGGCAACCTGCCAAAATCACGTTGTACATACGGATACTCCGTACTGAGTATAACAAATTCATATATAGCTCCTATGGATGAAGTACGTAGTAGGTATGGAGTACAAACATTTGAAGCACGGGGTAATGCTTGTAGCAAAAATCATTCTGACCCATCCTAATTTGTACTAGTACGTATACCAGCTGTGCAACGTATGACCCGTCACTAAGGAGAATTTGGCTTGTGACGAAGTAAATGTAGAATCTGTGCTTTCTCATTTTATATGGGTAGATTTTCCTCTTCTCAGTACTTTGAACTACGTACTAAGGTTGCTATAAACCTGCGGGTACTCCGTACACCTATGTAAAATTTGCATAGTATGGACTTCAAAGATGAGATTGATCCCTGTTTCCCTCTAGGTTTCTCGGTGAACGTTACAATCCATGAGGTCATTGCGGGGATTTGAGTCTACATTGCCAGATTTCCATCACGACTACTCCGTACCTGTACTCCATATTCCTACTCCATGCGGAGTACATGATGACACGACATCAAAAAACCCCGTTTCATGTTCAAATGTTGGGGGTGAAGTGCCATGTCGCACGGTGGTTGGGATTTTCCCGGGAATTGCTATATTAGGAAATGTATGGGGCCTGAGAGGTTAAGTGTACATATAAGATTTGAATTTTTGGAACAATCGTGAGCAACTTTAAAATTACTCCGTATAGACAAAGAGTCAGTAGATGTGTACAAATACTAGCATGATTGATTTACCTCCATCACCTTGATAATTTCAGCAAAGACTTGGGGAGCCATACTTGTCTGTGTAACATTCCTCGCAGTGGCAGTAGGCACTTAGTAACTACGCTGGTGGTTAATTAACGCCCACCGCCTGACCATTATGGAGGATCTCACGACAAGAAAAAATGGAAGAAATTAGATCAACGGAGATAAGAAAAATTGAGGCGACTGATCATTGGTAAAACCATGTCGAGCGCCGTATGATTTAGGAAGGAGCGTTTGAAGTGGACCCACCGAGCCCCTTTCCTCAATCTTGAATTTTGCATTTTCCTATTGTCAGAGTTGAGTTGAGCGAAGATTATTCCCAGCTTGTTCACCGCAGATCGCCGAAGACGCTTAGTTTAGGTGGGTCTGTGAAAAATGAGACGATGGTTCCGTCTAAGGTCCACTCTGAAGGCGATCCCGTGTTTGCTTGGCTTCGGGATGCCGAGAACGCAGAGTTTGCAGAGCCGAGTTCGATCCCGGTTGCGACGAGGGAAAACGTAGCAAAAGAAAGTTAGACAAGGGAAAAGAAAATACTAACAATTTTCATGCAGGTTGTATGTATGCACCACAATATGCACTGTTTTCAAGACATGCAGATGCTATTGCATGGTCCTGCACCATACTCTGTAGCCCATACGGCATCGATCCCGAGTCCGACCGGACTCGGGACCGCGACAGAGTCTTCGGTGTGCCGAATTGGTTAAGGTGGAGTCCACACAAAGCTCAACGGATCGGAAATCTCTGCGCGGGAGTCGACCGAAGCCACTTCGGTGGGGCCCGCTATCAACTACGCACTTCCAATGTACACCGAGCTACTCAACTGTGTTCTTATCTGTTCAAACTTGACCGCACACCTGGGCAACATTCATTTGAATGCTTCACCGGGACTGGTATATAACTTAGGCCGATACCCTTGGACCATTTCTACGAAATCATTTGGACAAAACGTATAGTGAAAATTGATTTCCAAACCTTGGAATGTTAGTAGAACTGTCTCGGCTGTGCCAAGCTTACCTAGATGATCGTCGTCTGAGACCAGCTCGGGTGTCGGTCCTATTTACAGTGAAGAATCTGACCCACACCAATCAATGTGCAATCTTTTTTTTTTTTTTTTTTTTTTTAGTACTCGTCACTCCGAGCCTCTAACGGAATCTCATGGTAAATTTGAATCCAAAACCTGGAAGTTTTTTTTTGCCTCGCATCGTAGACGTGAAAAAATATTGGCAATGCGCCCCTGCACTCACCCGGTTCAGTGGCGGGCTTTTACTTCAGAAAGTGGTACTGTACGGCAAGACTTGAAGAGTTTGCTTGTACAAAGCTCGTTTAACAATTTAGCCAGTCTCGGCTTGAACCGACCAACCTATTGACCTAGACTCGCAATAGTTTCCTTTATTCCATCATGACGTGGTTTGAGGGCTTTTTTTCTGTTTTTCTTCCGTCATCAGCATCGGATGATCCTAACTTGGTCTGTACCCACGGACTCTATCCGTTGCTCGGCCAGGAACCACACTCTCATTCGCTATGGCCAGACCCAGTTACTGTTTTTCGCAGGTTTCTAGAAGGGTGGCAAGTGATCCCGGCTAATTGCGTTGGTTGACATGCCAGACAAAGGTTTATGACCGTTGGCATGCAACCTCAGACATGGATGCATTCAGGAATCGAAAACATAAACAAAACAATTTGTTTGTTATGTTGTCCAGTCTGTAACAAAAAAATAAATAAAACAATGTCCGCAATTATTTCAAAGGAACCTGGAATGGACAAAATAGAGAGGAAAAAATGACCTGTATCATCAACTGTATAGTAGTAGAGTGTACTTGGTACGAGAGTAACATTATGTACCTACCCCGTTTGCATCTCACGTGGACAATCCCGCTTGAAATATCTCAGGCTTCTCCACCTTCTCCACTCCATGAACCCTCCAAACAGTATGGAGTTAATGTGCCCATGGAGTCGCGAAAATTCCTCCGCCCCATTCCGATGCCAAACGTGGGACGCGAGATCCGGGCCCCCATTTTGTCTGCCATGGTACCCCAAGGGGGAAGCCGGGTCTCCATACATTTGTATTTATTTGACGGCATTTCCCCCTGCCTTTGTTTCTTTTCTTTCCCATCCCTTTAGAGATCCTTAACCCCTTCCGGCATCACCCCACCTGGATAGGTCTCTGTCACAATGGGCGTTGGAAACATCATCTCGAAGTTCAAGCCGAGTGCTGAGGGTGAAGACTCTCAGTTCTCCTCGCAGGCTGCTACCCCTGCTCGTGCCGACTCTACCGTCGAGAAGGATGACACCATGATCGATGACAGCCCTGTCAAGTACCTGACATGGCGTTCGTTCATCCTGGGTCTGTGTGTCTCCATGGGTGGTTTCATTTTCGGTTACTCCACTGGTAAGGCTCCTCGACAGCTCTGATCAACCCTTGCGCCATCATGATGTTAACCTTAAATGTATAGGTCAAATCTCTGGTTTCACCTCCATGACCGACTTCAAGATGCGTTTTGCTGAGTACAACGCTTCTACTGATGAGTATGCTTTCAGCAACGTCCGCAACGGTCTCATTGTTGGTCTGGTATGTCTTTTTGTCCTTCCCCTTTTATGCTTGATCATTCAGCATATATCGTAAAAAACTAACATTCTTGGTTCTATAGCTGTCTATCGGAACTATGATCGGTGCTCTCGTTGCTGCTCCCATTGCTGATCGCATTGGCCGCAAGTTCTCCATCTCCTTCTGGGCTATTATCAACATGGTCGGTATCATTGTGCAGATTGCCAGCACCACCAGCTGGGTTCAGGTCGCTATGGGTCGTTGGGTTATGGGTCTGGGTGTCGGTGCTCTGTCCAGCGTTGTCCCCATGTACCAGTCCGAGTCTGCTCCCCGTCAGGTTCGTGGTGCCATGGTCAGCGCTTTCCAGCTGTTCGTCGCTTTCGGTATCTTCATTTCCTACATTGTCAACTTCGGAACCGCCCGCATTGATTCGACTGCTTCGTGGCGCATCACAATGGGTATCGGCTTTGCCTGGCCCCTGATTCTGGGTGTTGGTACTCTGTTCCTGCCCGAGTCCCCCCGTTTCGCCTACCGCCACGGCCGTGTTGAGGAGGCTCGTCAGGTTATGGCCAAGCTTTACGGTGTCCCTCCCAACCACCGCGTTGTTGCTCAGGAGATGGCCGACATGAAGCAGAAGCTGGATGAGGAGAATGCCGTCGGTACTGCTCCATGGCACGAGATTCTTACCGGTCCCCGCATGTTCCACCGTACCATGCTTGGTATTGCTCTGCAGTCCTTGCAGCAGCTGACCGGTGCCAACTTCATCTTCTACTACGGTACCTCCATCTTCGCCGGTATCGGTCTCAGCAACTCCTACGTCACCTCCATCATTCTGGGTGCTGTTAACTTCGGTATGACTCTCCCCGGTCTGTACATTGTCGAGCACTACGGTCGCCGTAAGTGTCTTATGATTGGTGCTGCTTGGATGTTCGTCTGTTTCCTGATCTGGGCCTCTGTCGGTCACTCGATCCTTGAGGTTGACTCCTCGAACCACTCCGCTGGTGTGGTTATGATTGTCTTCACCTGCTTCTTCATCGTCGGTTTCGCCACCACCTGGGGTCCCATCGTCTGGGCCATCTGTGGTGAGATGTACCCCTTCCGCTACCGTGCTACCTGCATGGGTGTTGCCACCGCCGCCAACTGGACCTGGAACTTCCTCATCTCCTTCTTCACCCCCTTCATCTCCAGCGCTATTGACTACCGCTACGGTTACGTCTTCGCCGCCTGCTGCTTCCTTGCTATCCTTGTTGTCTTCTTCTTCGTCAACGAGACCCAGGGTCGCACTCTTGAGGAGGTTGACACCATGTATGTCCTGCACGTCAAGCCCTGGAAGTCTTCCAGCTGGGTTGCTCCCGAGGGCATCGTTGCCGACATCCACGCTCCCCATGAGCCCAAGCCCGTTGAGGGTGGTGTCGGTGAGCACCAGCACCACGATGCTGAGATCACCGAGGAGGATCAATAAATTGCTCGCCATGATGGAATCACCAAAACAAGATTTCCATTGTGAACAAAAAGCAACAAGCCATTTTGAAAAATCAATGGTATATGTATTTTATTAGTTAATGATTTCTTTTTTTCTGTGGACATAAAACTCACAATTTGCTACGGCTTCTCCAAATAGACTGGAGACGAGTTTGAAATGAAATGGCATTTTACCATAATACTTTTAAGGTGCAACCGTGTAAACTCTTGTATACAAACCTCAAAAACAGACGTTGATGACTTATTATGAATCACAATATTTGAATCAATCATCCCTTAATTACTTCTGATTCTCATACTCCAACCCGGCCTCCTTTCTCGCGGCTCCGTAAACACCCGCGATATCTCCCTTAACCCCCTTCTCCTCTTTAACAACAGCCAACAGATGGTCAGTAACCTCGACATTCCTCATGCGCTGTCCACCCTCCTTCGCCAAGCTAGCCGCATGTCTCAAATCCTTGCGCGCAAGATCAACAGCGAACAAAGGCTCGTCACGCTGATAATAATCTCCCGAAACCATGCGGTTGGCATACTTGGCAAAAGGGCCCGGCGCGAACAACTCAAGCCACTCCTTCAACGGCTCAACACCCAACCCGGTAGTCTCAGCCGCAGTCAACGCCTCAGCAAGCACACCAACCGTATTCAGAATAAAGGTGTTTCCAATAACCTTCATCGTAGTCGCGCGGCCAACGTCAATATCAGCTCCAGTACCGGAGGACAAATCAATCGTCTTCGCGGCCGTGACACCCTCGTAAAATGGACGAGCCTTCGCAATGGCCGCCTGCTTACCCGCCGGCACGATGATCAGCGCTCCGATATCAGCCATGTTGGGCGCGCCGAAGACGGGACTCGCGACAAACGAGCCGCCTCGTGCTTCGTAGGCGGCTTCTGTGCGTCGCGATGTGTCTGGGTGCACGGTTGAGCAGTCGACGATTGTCTTGTTGGAGAAGTCGATTGTGGAGTCGGAAAGGACGCCGGCTGTGACGGCGTCTAGGGCCGCGTCGTCACCGACGCAGGTGAAGATGATGTCGGCGTCTTTGACGGCTTCGGGGAGGGTGCTGGCGACCTTGACTTTGTCTCCTAGGGTGGCAGCGTGGGCGGTTGCGCGGGAGGTTGTGCGGTTGTAGAGGGTTAGGCTTGCTTGGGGGCCCTTTGAGGCGATGTTGGCGCTCATGCCCTGTTTTTTTTTTTTTTGGTTAGCTATGGTTGTTCGATGTCAAGGCTGTATATGAGTGTTTTGACTTACTCGGCCGATGTTGCCGAGGCCAATGAATGTGACGTTTGTTCCAGACATGGTGGGTTTTTAATTTGGGGAATTATTTGGACTGGTAAAAAAGACAGTTGGTGGATTTGCAGCGATTTGATCGGCCTTTAAATCGAAGCTTCGAACGTGGGGCAGACGTGGGGTAATGAGGATAAGTTGGAACGGGCTTAGTTCTTAGCCGGTACTCCGAGTAATGTAGGTAAAGTGGTAGAATTGCTTGTAAGGAAAATTGGGCAATTGCATGGGGCAAACGGGGCTTTATGCACTAATTGATCCTCGAGGAATTGCCAATCCAAGCCATCTTATTTCTGTGGTTTTTGTGCTTCAGCATCGATTGTTCAGCTATTCCGTAAATCCCCGCAAAGTATAGCGGCTCGCACGGCCCGGTCGTTCCGCACGGTGCGCTTCTATCAATTACTCCCAAAGAATATAACTCGGAAACTACTAGTAGTTTTCGATAGCCGACTACATTTCTTTGTAAGAAATAAGAATTGAATTGGTTTCTAATTTTTGTATATCCTGTGGTCAGATAAAAAATGGACATGCGTGATGGAATCAGGCAAATCAGGAATGGAAAATGGTATCAAATGGGGAGAGGTATAAAGGACAGGAGAATGAAACTATCAAGGACGAGAGGTATGGGGATGCCTTGACAGATGGGGGAGGGAAATCTAGGGATACTAGTACCTTCAAAAAAGGAATTATGAGAGTACGAGCCTCATGAAATGAAAGGGGGGGATGGTATTCAAATGTTGACTCTTGAGAGTAGTCTTATGAGAGTAAACAGCAGGAGAAAAGTAACAAATTCCCTCGTGGTCAAGCGGGCAAGTCGCGCGCACCTTGCTTAGGAGTATACCCCCTGTTCATTCAGGTAGACTTGACCTCTGGCTGTTGACCGGTTCGCCTCACTCATCCCAAGGGTTACGGAGTGTTCGTCTTCGGTGGTACGGGGGAATTTGCCATGGTATTTGGAACTCCCCTTCATCATAAAGATGATTTTTATTTTTATTTTCAATTTTTAATTTCTAAATCAAATACAATTAAAAAATCAGTTATAAATATTCTTCTTCATATTTATTAATTCTAAAGAGAGAAAGAAAATGGTTTATTTTGGTTGACTGGCTAAGGCTGGGGTTGGCATTCAGCCGCATCGCGAGGACATCTGAAGACATCGCGAAGTACCTGGTACATTTGATTAGTGCCACTAATATCCAGAGGTACCGGGTTCAATCCTCAGTCCCGGCGTTTTGTTTCTTTTTTTTTTTCTCTCTTCTTCTCTACTTCCCAATTATCGAATGACTTCATTCCTTACAGTTTCGCCTTCCCATTCTCAATAATGGCAATGTCCTGGAATGGCAAATCCAGGTACTGCCACATATACGCAAATCTAGCCAACGTCAGCCATGCTATTCCCTTCCAAAATAGAAGGAAATTTGGATACTGTAGCCCTGTATACATACCGATCACTTCCGAAGAAAGGCTCTTCTTTCCCTTTCGAATTCCTCACCCAAAACCAAGGCGCCCCGTAAGCCCCCAGATCAAGCGCCTTTTGCGTATTAGCTGTAAGCGCCTCCTTATACTCCGGACTGGCCGCCGCAGCTAGGATCTTCTTGATATCCTCGTCCAAAAACCCGTGGCTTCGAAGAAGTTCAGCCAGTTTCTCGGGCTTGCTGACATCGATATTCTTATGATACATCCATTCGGACAAAGAGAGAAAGGTCTTTTCAAATTGTTCCCGGCTGTAGTTGTTTTTGATGTAGATCAAGCAGCGTTGGGGCTGGGTCATGTGAGCATCCATCGTGACGTCTATTGAAACATGTGGGTGAAAACTTACCATGATTGACAAGATTGGGAAGAAATCTGGTGTCTTGTTCTGCGGCACTCCGAAATAGTTACATGCCCGTGCATTGTCGAATTTGCCATATGCTGCTTTGGCCGGCAATGTCCATGGCGGTTTGTTACCTAAATCGAACATCCATTAGCAACGTATACTTGGAAAGACTAGTACTTCAATTGAATACAGTACCAGAGCCAACATTCACACCTCCTAGGAATATCGGGTGGAATCTGCAGTATCGGAAATCGGTCGTTAATTTACACCCTCGGAATGACGTATATGGCTCATGCAGGCAACGAACTCGACTTCCACTCCATGCGACTCAAGCGCCTTCCGGTTCTGTCGCAGATATAGCGTCGCAAAGTATGAGTATGGCGAGACTACATGTTAGATTAGCAATGTAGCTATAATTCAAATATGTGAGGTGCGCGAGAATGCATTGTCTTCCACGTTTCAAACATGCTCAAGGAACCTACCGCAGTCAATGTATGCGTCTATCTTGGCTGTCATCATGAGTCGGTTTCTGCTGTTGATTGCTTATTTGGGAAGATAATGGCAATGGTGTGATCGCTGGCGAATTACTGAACATTCAAGGGGGCTGTTCGTATATAACGGCGTGTGGCCCGAGGTGGATATGGGCCGAGGCTGTGGGGTTCTAATGATGAGTGATCAAGGAATTTAACTTCCCGGTCCAACAGGAGATTGAGCGCTCGGATGAGTTGAACTTTGGAAATCTATGCAAGTTTTTTGGGAGGATTAGGACTGAACATAGTAATAATTGAAGCCTCGGAAAACCGTTTTGACTTGACATTCCCGAGGTCATTGAGGGGAGTAAGTAAATTTCACAACCAAAAAAAAAAAAAAAAAAAAAAGGCAAATGATCACTGGCTGGCCTTGGTCCATGCCTGTAAAGATGGAAGAAGACGAATGGATATTTGAATAATTCATATCATTGGGTATTATTGAAAAGATGGCTGTCTATGCATTAAATGGTCGCACACAAGCTACTGTATTGCTGTGTGGTTTGAAATTAATCACCGTGGTGATACTCGATGTTCGCTTTTGTTTTGTTTCCCCCCTGAGAGAACCTCTGGTGAACCTCAGTCCTTATGATGGCCACTGATAGCCGACTGCCGGGTATTGACCAAATCCAAATCATATGGATTCTCCTCATACTGTGTTGCGGTCGCAACGCGATTCAATGATCGTCCAGACTGCCGAGATGCCCGCGAGGCGCGAGACATGCGTCGGCCAATGCTGATGCGCGATGGAACAGTAGACAATGTATCGGTGTCACTATCATCTTGCAGATCGGTATCCGGGACAACTGTTTCTGTCTCTGTCTCTTTCTCCTGGACGATCTCCTTTTGGTTCTTCTCTGCAAGCTTCTGCATGAATCTATCCGCCTCAGCCGCATAGGTACAACGTTGGCGAATCTGAGCACCATATTTGTAGAAGATGAACGGGAATGGGATGCAAACCAGGGACAAGAAGGCAGGAATGGATGATGCCCAGTGAATTCCCAAGTTGTTATACATGTATGTTGTGAACAACGGGAAGGCCATACCGAACAGCGAGCGGAGTGCCGAGTTGGCGGCCAAAACTGATGCAGCGAAAATAGTGTAAGAATCAATGAGGTAGTTGAATACGCTTAGGAAGACTAGGACCATGCCGAATCCAAATGGAGCGCCTGCTGCGATAGATACCATCCAGTGAATGCTGGGAGAGTTTGTCCAGGCGAACCAGAAGAGGCCGATTGGTAGAGCAATACCACCGACCATTGCAGGAGGAAGTCGGAGCTCGGGTGCGAGACGATCGGTTGTTGCGGCGCACTTCTTCGCGTAGCGCATATTCTCGGGGAAGGTGTAAGCAACAGCGCAGATCATTCCCACCAGAATACCCATAAAGGCAAGACCGCCAATGCCTTCACTCCAGCCACGGACTTCCTGGAACACGATTGGGAAAGCGGCGAAAAGCATATAGAGAGTTCCGTAGATAATGGCCATATAGATTGAACAGAGAAGCACGATTGGCTCGCGGAACAACAAAATCCACGGACGTGACAGGGCCGTCTTAAGTGTCTTACCCAAGGGTGCCGGCCCACGCTCTATATCAAGCTTGCTGCGATATACTTGCCCGGTCATCTCGGAAAGCTTGGCTGCTCGGCGACGGAGAAGAACAGGAGCATATGTCTCTGGAAGAAGGAAAATAATACACAACCAGAGCAGACCGGAAAAGGCAGCAAGGAATCCCTCGACCCAACGCCATCCTGCTCCAGAGGCAAGGAAACCTCCGATAACAGGTCCTATGGTTGGACCCAGGAAAGGTGCTGCGGCGAATAAGCTAATGGCAATACCACGTTGTGAGGCAGTGAACATATCTGCAATGGTACCGCCTGCATTTCCGAAAGGCGAAGAACCAAAGCAACCAGCTAGGAACCGGAGGATGATAAGGGTCTCGATATTCTTAGATCCTGCAGCACCGGCGTTAAAGGCCGTCAGGAAGGTAAAACTGATAGTAAAGATGTGACGGCGACCGAAGATTTCACTGAGTGGTGCCCAGATTAGAGGTCCGATGGCAAATCCCAAAACAAAAAGCGATACACCCAGAATGACGATCTCTTCCGCCACGTCAAAGTCTTCCATGATCTGGCTCATTCCACCAGAGTAGGCAGATGATACCAAGGCCACTGCCAAAGTAACAAATGAGACTAGGATCGTGATAGCCCATTTCTTGGCAGAGTGGAAGTTCATCGGGTTCCGGGGATCGTTTGGGATCCACATAATCGCATAAGGATCATCTTCAGTGCCAGACCCCGAGTAGGGGTATCTGGCGACTTCTTCGGTGATGACTTTTTGGTCGAAAATCAGGCGCCAAAAGGGGATCTTGGAGGGTAGCGAGGCCTCGCCCCCGTTGAGGATTGTCATTTTGTTATGACGTAGCTTTGACTGGCCTGGTCTCTTTGTGATCTTCCGATGCTGTATATTCAGATGTCGATCGACTTGGCCCAGATATTCAAATCGGAGAGTCCAAGTGCAGATCAACTGTAGATTTTAATATGAGAATGAAAATTGGGATCGTTGCCACCATAAGGGCATTGACGCTTTATCAAAGACCCACATCGATAACCGCGAGCCTCGGCATCTTCCTAGATCAGTATACGCTTTGGTCAAAGCATGATTCTCATTGGATGATAGCTATGGACTCGGCACCGGGTGCCGAAAAAGTCATGTCAGCGGGTGGGGTCTGTAAAGAGTTTTCAGTGTTTTTCCCAGGACATCGAGAAGCCATCTTATTCCATCATTCGGCCCGAACGCCACAACCTTCCAAGGTTGGGAAAATTTGCAATATTCGGCTTCCCGAATGACCTTGCTCGAGACAAGGAGCTATACCACAAGCGCATCATATAATGGTTAAAATAGAAAACCAATGGAATTTCCCTCAATAATGAACATAGATCGATTGCGAAATAGGGGTCAAAGTAGACTTTCAGATCTCATAGACGTTGGAAACTTTCCTTGGAATCCCAGACGAAATCCTAAGCATTATCAGGGCCGGCGATTGAAACCAGCCATTTTACTCGGGATAAATGAACATGACATTGGTGCGTTCGAAGATGAGTCTTTAAATGTTTCGTAGTCCTGTCACCACCCCCACACATACTATGGGTGAAACGATACACACAGTATCAAGGTCCAGCTCCTTTGAATCCCACTCGCACAAATCCATGGGCCCCTCAACTACTTCTTCTGCTAAGTAGCTTCTGTTGTTACCGATGAAAATCAATATACACATGTGTCTACGGAGTACAGATAATGAATAGTACAGATAATTAATTACCTCTTTCTAGACAACCTTCAATCGCATAAGAAAGGTGAGCAATGATGTATATCGTAGAATTAAGATAATACATACTCGAGGTACATGCAGGCTGTCAATGAATGCATACTACTCTTATAGGTACTAGAGACCCACCTAGTAAGTACCTGCATTGTGACATTTGAAAGCCACTAAACCCCCGGGTTTGCCGAGTGCGGGATCCCGACGGTCGACCTCATACCCAGATGGTTCACCGAGACTTGATATTCATGCTAAATTGGACCCTTGAGCTATACTGTATAGAGGGTCCTCTCTGAACAGAGCCAGAAAGCTATGAAAGTGACTGGATAATGATTGCATAAATCAGAGGACTCGATTGATATCAAGATCGCGTGAAAAATGGTCATATGGGGGTAGGAAAGACGTGGTGCAAGATTCTTGATTTATCCGGAGAACTCCACCCTTTCCCCCACGTCCCCCAAAACCCCCGCCGGAGGGTCAAGTCGGGGATTTTTCTTATGTGTTCCTTTTCTCACCAAATTCCTTGCCAGATTTCTTCCCCAAGGTCCTCTCTTCAAACCCAACCTTGATTTACTCAACATGGAGAACGTTCTTGACGATATCTCCCACCGGAGATTCAATCCTCTCCGCGGGTCTCATGTTTTGGTTTCACCCCACCGAACCAAGCGCCCCTGGCAGTATGTTTTAATTCTCTGTGTAACAGTGCAAAACTTCAACTTGCTGACCATTTGTTCTTTCTCCGTTGATTGACAGAGGCGCACAGGAAAGCGCTTCCAAGACCACCTTGCCTGCATATGATCCCAAGTGCTACCTGTGCCCTGGAAACCAGCGCGCCCAGGGTGACGTCAATCCTAAATATGACAACACTTTCGTGTTTGTGAACGACTACAGCGCCGTCAAGGAGGAACAGGCCCCCTATGATGACAGCAACACAAATGGTATATTAAACCCCATTTCTTCCTTATGGTTCACTAGCTCTATGCTAACATAACATTGTATCGTAGATCTGGAATCGCGTTTCCTCAAGGCCGAACCCGTGACGGGCAAGTGCTTCGTGCTGACCTTCTCACCCTCCCACAACCTCACCCTGGCCGATTTGACTCCCATTGAGATTGTCCCAGTCATCAATGCCTGGACCGAGATCTACGCTGCTCACCTCGCACCTACCTCACCCTTGGCCCAGAATGCCCCGCCCACTCACATTGCGCCCGCTGCCCCGCATGCAAACGTCACCAAGCCCAAGGAGCAGTACCGCTACATGCAGATCTTTGAAAACAAGGGTGCCGCTATGGGTTGCTCCAACCCTCACCCGCACGGCCAGGTCTGGACTACAAGCAACTTGCCCGAAGAGCCCGCTGCCGAGATGGAGCAACTGCTCAAGTACCGCAAGGCGCACGGTGGCTCCCACATGCTGGAAGACTACGCTACGCTCGAGAGCTTGAAGCAAGAGCGCGTGGTCTTTGAGAACGAGTCTTTTGTTGTCGTTGTTCCCTGGTGGGCGACCTGGCCCTTTGAGACCATGATCATCAGTCGCACACACAAACGCGCGCTGGTCGATCTGAGCGAATCCGATACTACCCTTCTGGCTGAGGCGATTGCTGAGATCACCCGCCGCTATGATAACCTCTTTGAGACTCATTTCCCTTACAGCATGGGTATCCACCAGGCGCCGCTTGATGGTACTGCTGAGGAGATTGAGGCCTCTTACCTGCACTTGCACTTCTACCCCCCCGCTGCTGCGCAGTGCTACCGTCCGCAAGTTCCTTGTCGGGTATGTTCTTACTTTCCTTACCAATTCCCCATATCCTTTTTTTTTTTTTCAACTGACTGACTTTTGAATATAGCTATGAGCTTATGGCGGAGCCCCAGCGTGACATCACACCAGAGCAGGCTGCTGCCCGTTTACGTGGATGTGGTGGTGAATTGTACCGCAAGAAGCTGGAGTAAAGCGAATTCAGTATAGAATAGACGATATATGAAGTCGTCGTTGTAGTGTCCTTTCTTTTTTGCATTAAACCCATACTTTTGGGTGCCCGAAAATCTATAGAATTAAAACATCATATCTTGACAACGGGTATAGTACAGCGATCCATATCGCTTGAAAGAGAATAATCTCCATGCAGGTTCAGAATTGAAATTCTTACTCTTAGCATTGGTGGACTCGAATTGTTATCCATATCCCCCCCCTTATTCACTTAAACAAGGTAGGCCTCGCGCTGGGTCAGCATCCAGGCCACCGACGATGAAGCCACGATCAGCGGGCTTAGGAAGCGACCCTTCAGCGACGCGTTACCAAAGATCAGCTCTCCAGTGAAGTGGGCCAGAGCAATGGCATAGGTCCAGATGGCAAGGTCGTACGCGACGGGGTTGGTGATATTGTAGGCGGCAGTCATGCGGATCACGGCGGAGAGGAAGGTCCAGGTGCCAAAGAGACGACCAGAAAGAGGTTCGCAGGGGATGACGCCATTGGTGTAGAGCTTCGAGGTGTAATCGGCGGAGCAGTAAGCCTGCAAGCTGTTAAGGGCGGAGACCGCGGAGACCTGTAATCTGGTGAGAAGATGAAAAAGGGGGTAGAAAACATGGAGAAACTTACAAAGACGAGCCATTTGGGCAAGAGACCCTCGAAGGGGGGCAAGTAAGAGAGTAGTACTTCAGACATAATTTGCGATGTTTCTTTATTCTGTGGTTGAATCGGAAGAATAGAAATTCTGCTTGTGAATTGTGTAGACCGAGGATGTTTAGGTTTGGTTCTTGGCGTTGATCTTCCCCAACAAGCTGCACTTGATCTTTTTTTTTAAATTCTTAATCTGCTTATCCCAAATCACCCCTCAACAAACCTCATTTTCATACAACATGGATCTGAATCTTTCAAAGCACCTCGAGTGCCTTTCGCAATGGCCTACTCACCTGGCCCCTGGTTTGCCGACCGTCGGTGCCTTGTTGCTTCTTGCAACCGGTGGCCTGGCCATTGCCTGCAAGATCTGGACTTTCTTGCGAGTGCTTCTGAGTCTGTTCGTGCTCCCGGGTAAACCGGTAAGTCTATTGACCTCCAATCGCTACAATATTCGACAGGGGCTAATCAGAAACATTAATAGCTTCGTTCCTTCGGTCCTCCCGGTAGCTGGGCCGTCGTCACTGGTGCCTCCGATGGCCTGGGCAAAGAGTTCGCGCTGCAGCTTGCGCGCGCCAAATTCAACATTGTGCTGGTATCGCGAACCGAGTCCAAGTTGATTACTCTGGGCGAGGAAATCACCCAGCAATTCCCCGCCGTGCAGACCAAGACCTTGGCCATGGACTTCTCGAAGAACGCCGATGAGGATTACGCTGCGCTGAGCAACTTGGTTTCCGACCTGGACGTCTCCATCCTCGTGAACAACGTCGGCCAGAGCCACTCCATCCCCGTTCCCTTCGCCCAGACCCCCGCCTCCGAAGTAGCCGATATTATCACCATCAACTGCACCGGTACCCTCCGCGTCACCCAGCTCGTCGTTCCCGGCATGATCCAGCGCCACCGCGGCCTGGTCCTCACCATGGGCTCATTCGGCGGTCTCCTCCCTACTCCTCTTCTCGCCACTTACTCCGGCAGCAAGGCTTTCCTCCAGCAGTGGTCCACCGCCCTGGGTGCCGAGCTGGCCCCCCACGGCATCGACGTCGAGCTCGTCCAGGCTTACCTCATTACTTCCGCCATGTCCAAGGTCCGTCGCGCATCGGCTTCCATCCCAACTCCTCGTGCCTTTGTCCGCTCCGTTCTCTCCAAGATCGGCCGCCACGGTGGCTCGTCCGCCTACGCTTACAGCTCGTCTCCATACTGGAGCCACGGTCTCATGGCCTGGTTCTTGACTTCCGTTGCGGGGCCCATGAACAAGGTTGTGCTTTCGCAGAACAAGTCTATGCACGAGAGCATTCGCAAGCGTGCTTTGCGCAAGGCGGAGCGCGATGCTCAAAAGAAGAGCACCTGATTGTTGGGTGTTGTGGGCCGTCAGCACTCAATTCGATTTTAGCATTGATGATGACATGAAATGTGTACTTTTCGGAGAGAGGCATCGGAGATGAGGTTACCTTTTTCGGATATAGCTTATGAACTAGAGAACTGCAATCCCAGTTCAATTTAATTACACTACGGAGTATCATTTGACGAGATAGCCGAGGGACATCACATGTGTAGTTGTCTTATTTGGCGACATTATATCAAAATGACGTTCGGAGATGACTTTCAAGGTCGTGGGGCTATTACCATCAGATCCTTTAGGGCAATGACTACTCCAAAGCTATCGGGATATTATCCCAATACGGAAGCTGGTAAGGATCGAACCGAGTTTTTCGGCTCCGATCGTTTGTCTTTGTAGCTCGTGTCATGTATGACGGTCCTAAACAGAGTCTTGAAAGGGCTAGATTCTAGCTCCGAAGTCATGTCTCAACATTCGCAGACCATGTGGATTACTCTCCGTACTTGGAGTGGATCTAACGTCTCCCGAGGTCCCGCAATGGTTGTGGGTGTATAAGGCGGCACGGCTTCAGAATAGTTCCCGACGTCCCTATACACTAGTATAGTATTCCCACTCTCTCATGAATCATCATCCTTAGTCGTTCTAGCATGATTTGGGTAGGCATGCATGTTTCACATTCTCAGGTGCTAGAACGTGCCCAAGCAATAAGCCGTCTCCACAACCCCTGTTACTACTAAGCTCATTAGCGTATTCAGCCCCAAGATTCAAACCAAGATGGATGTAGAATAAGCAGAAGATGATCAGAAATGAAAATAAGCATAAGAAAACCACTCACAGGCTAGGGATGAATCGGGATCAATCTGGACTTATGCAGAGCCTTGATCTACTAGTTATGACTGGACTGTCTGGACATGAGAGAATCTCAAATCTCCACAGCGGTGTGAGACGATGAAACGCCCAAGCCCGCGCCCATGTTAGAGATAGAGTACTCGGCAAAAGTGGAGACGGGCAACCGCAGTTGTAAGCCAGAACCGAAACCAATGGCCCTTTTTCTTCCTTTCTCCATCTTTTCTTGATCCAATCAAGTCTCCTATTCCGTACACTGAGATTTAGATTAATATCGCCCGGCTTGTGCCCTAGCTGCTGATCATGACCTTTCTCTACACATTATCTCCCCGGCCGGTTCTCCACGCTTGCTTTGATGCAGGGTTTGCCCGTGTTGGACTTGGTGCTACAGCACGAAACCCCCCTACAAGTCGGTCCTGAGTCAACCTAGTTGACTTAGTCTACGTACTTTAATGCGCGGCCCCGCGCACCTACTACACCCCACACCTTCGCTGCTTTGTGCTCTCTGGAATCTGAATCTTCACTGTTGATGGTGCCCGGCTATATGATTATGCTTGCGTCCTACTAGCATCTTGGTTAAATTGATGGTGAACCCTTGAGATTTGGATTTCTTTTCTGGTTTCCTCATGTCCAATTCTTCCGGTACCTTCCACGCCCTGGGCCATAATTGGCTGGGTAAGGCCGATATTGCTGTGCAAACGGTCTTGTTAAGCGGGGGCTTTGTTCTTGTTGGCTTGAGGTTATGGTCGAGACGGTTGCTGGGGGTTTCTTGGCAATGGAATGATTGGTTGATCTTGGCTTCAATGGTAAGTTTTTGCTCTCGTGTTACAATTTGATGTTGAGGTTGCATTATGGGATCTCTAAGGTTAAATTCATACTTACCGTCTTTGCTAGATGGTCATGCTGGGCCGCTATGTAGTAGAACTCTTGTTGATCTTGATGTGTGGGTTGGGATTACACACGGCCGAGGTGACTCAACTTGGTGGAGATGAGACAATTGTTCGCTTCGACAAGGTAAATACCCAAGCAGTGCTATTGTTGGATCATTTGAGCTAATACTTCTAGCTCACATACATTGGCGATCTTCTATGGATCACAGTGGTGGCTCTTATCCAACTGTCAATCTTGCACTATTACTTCCGCCAATTTCAACAAAGAGTCATTGTGTGGTTGACGTACATCACTATGGCTCTCTGTTCGGCCCTCTGGATCGGAAGCTCATTTGCAACTGCATTCTTCTGTACACCTGCAAAAAAGATATGGTTACCCAACCTCAGCGGACATTGCGGTGATCGCAAAATGTTGCACTTGGGTTCCACCGTGAGTGAGGCCATACTCGAGGCATTCATTCTTTGTCTGCCCCTTCCAATTATATTGCATATGCAACTCTCAAAAGCGAAAAAGCTGGCATTGGCACCTGTTTTTCTACTTGGCATAATGTGAGTAAATCAGTCTTTTCCCATGGACTGGGAAAATGTGTGCAGGTCTAACGTATCATCTTATCTCCATAGTATTCTCACTGCAACACTTATTCGCATCAAGATCGAATTCGACCTCAACTCAGATGACCCAACTTTTGGTTCCGCTCGGAAGTCTCTTCTCTCATGCATCGTCCCTCTATTAGGTATCATCGTCGCTTGTCTTCCAATTATATCGCCATCCATCCAACGAATCTTCAGAACAAAAATACTCTCTTCCCCGTCAGAGGGTGCAACATATGGGTACAGGTCATCATACTACAAGCCGACTGTCTTGTCGGGCCGGCAAATGGAGGAGCCTGAAATCCCACTTGTATCAGTCATGCAGCCTCCCATGGCAAAGAAGTTATCGGAATGGTGTCATGGTCAGATTAAGATTACGTCGGACTGGGAGATTCATTCTACGAGAAATTCGGCGAGGCTAGATAAGGACTCTATACGGAAAGCTTGAATGGTTTTGCGGGCCCTGGAGGCTCCAAGTGTTCTTTAATGACTTTATGACAACATTTGAATGAACAAAATGGGAAACCATCGCATGGTCACCCCCAATTGGAAGTTGAAAAATTACAATCCCGCGTGATATGCAAAGTATTCCTAAGTATAATTACTAAATACAATATCCATCCCACTAGTGGAACCTTGGAAGTACTACTAAGTTCAAGATTCGTAGATTTTTTTGAAAAAAAAATCCGAAAACGAGCAGACGCCTGATGATCCTTTGTGATACAAAGTCAAGGTCCCCTCGATGGATCCCAGACTAGTGCTCGAACACTTCTTTCATCGATTTGTACACCCGAACACTTCTTTCATCGATTTGTACACCCGAACCTTCAAGTTGGATGACAAAACAGGTGTCTGCGTCTCATTTACGGAGTAAGAGACGGAGGTTGCGACCTTGTCCTTCGCGCGCTTCTCAAACCAGGTCAAGTGTCTCCAGTCAATGAACACTTCGTAACCATCGCCCTGGTCGTGAATCAGAATAGACGGGGTGGTGCCCTTGAATCTGTTCTCCAGAGAGACACGGACTTCCTTGCCCCATGCATTATTCAATCGGGTGTTGAGGACGATCTCCTTCTCGGCTCTGCGGAAGGAAAGCAAGAACAAGATGTTACCGCTTCCATCCTTGCTATCGGTGAACACTACCTGGGTGTTGTCAATAGTGGAAGTCTTGATCGGGGTGAGGTCCAAACTGGTAGATTCAATTATCACCACGCTGTCGACTCCCACAGGATCCTTGAAAGGCAAGGAAGAGCCAAGATTGAGGCCAGCCTGGGGAATGAAAGGCCTCACTGGTGGCAAGGGTGTCATGGGCTGCTTGAGACTTGGGTCAAGCGCACCATCAGCTCCACCGGAAATGGTGGGCTCCTTCTTGAAGTTTTCAAGCAGAGGCGCCTTGGTGGGGTCGTTGTACTGGGTAGAGTCGTTGCTGCTTCCGATGATCTCGAGGTCAAGGGGATCAAGCTGGTTGCGAGGAACCTCTTTTCCTCCCTTGAAAACTCTCCAGTAAGCGCGCTTCTGTAGGAACTTGAGAACATCATCCTTCTTCAAACTAGCCAGGTCTTGACCAGACTTGAGAAGCGTGATCAACACTGGGGTGAGGGAGATGGCTGCAGTAGACTTGATGTTTGCCTTCTGGTTAGTCTTGCAGTTGCCACAGGCAAGCTTTCCATCCTTGGATTCCGGCTTCTGACTGAAATTGTAGACTTCAGTGATCAAGTCTGTGGCGGTATTCTGCTTCACGCCGTCCTGGGACAGGAAGATGCGAATCCAGAATGGCTCACCACCAAAGCCATACTTGCGATAGCGGACACTGAAGGAGTAGTCGAGAGACTTGGTTCCGTCCTCGAGGTACTCGACACCCTTGAGGTTAGAGGTGGCATCGATCAACTGCTGTCGCGACATTCCGTAAAGCTCGTTGATCTTCTTACGGAGATCAGCGATAAATGGCTGAGAGGTGTAATTCTGGGGCTCATATTTCCAGGTCTGCAACTCCGGGTAGGTATATCCAAGGCTCCAGGGGTAACGAACATCAAGGGGTGTGATGACAGTTCCCTTAACGTCCTTGTGGAACGGTCGTAGAGGAGTCTGAGGGGTGATCTTGGCATCTTTATCGAGGCCAATAATCTCCTGGAAGAATTCGTTGACCTTGTTTTCCACGAACCACTTGTCGGGGTTGAGAGCTTGCCATAAAGCAAAGATGCGATCAATGTTACTACTCGACTGATTAGCCCCGAGTCACACCTATCAGAACATTCTTCAGAAATCAAGTGCCAACTTACCAGTGGTGAAGCCAGAACATAGGATCGAAGGATGCCACTGGGATTTGCGACATGTGACCGTTCAAATCTCCTCCCACCCAACCGTGAAGGTTGTTGTGAACTAGAAAATGAGTTAGAGGAAGATACACTAGACAATATTGAGGTCCAAGATAACTTACTGTACTCAATGTTGACATCGTTCGCAACGCTCTGGTCATCGGAAAGTTGGGCAGTGGTTGCAAAAGTCGAGTATTCCATAGGAATGGTAAGCAGACGGTAGACCATCTCTGAAGGCTGGCCATAAGGAGAGTTCGCGACCCATTGGGGTTTCTTGAGGGCGTCCTGAACTTTGTAGTTGTTCACCACACCGTGCCTCCACGCTGCACTGCCAGAAACGTTATCACCCTCTTGAGGCCAACGACTGGTACCAATACATTCGCCATACTATTTCAATTAGCTTCGAAACTATAAGACTGGAAAATCCTCGAGACTCACGTAGATCATCTCGCCTTGGGGCACCCATGGATCCTTGAAGTTCTCCAACCCAACAGTCGACATGGGCTTGTTGGTGGGCATGCGGAACTGGAAGAGAGGGTTGGTGATGACCTCTTCGCTCTTTCCATCTACCGATGGCACAATGAATGTGGGATACTTGCACAAATCGGGCACTGAAGTGGTAATACCCCAGTCCCAGAAAGGAAGACGCCAGGTCTTGGCAGCTGCCTCCCACTCAGCGCGTATTTCCTCGGCGAATTTGGGAATAATCTCCTTAGTCATGATCTCCGAGATACGTTGCTATGTCACAGTCAATTGAGGATGCATGTGGTTGATGAATTCAAAATTTGATACCTCGTAAAGTGCAAGGTACGCACGATGCCAGACCGGGAACAAGACGTTATTGTGAGTACAATACCCTCGACCGTGAGCCTCCTCCGCGCTGATGGGCTCGTCCCAAGGCACATTGGGCTGTCCATGAATACCGGCAATCTGGAAGTATGATTCCCGGACTGTAGGGTCCATCTGTTGGAAACGGTACAAAGCCAGCACAAAGAGCTTAACTTGCTTTTCGTTGGCAGCATCTTTGCTCCATGAGTCAATCTCGCGACGAATGGGTACCTCAACACTGCTCGATGCTGCGGTAACCCCATCACTCAGAGAGACACCCGTGATGGGATAATACGTCCATTCGGTCTTGGACATCTTGGATTTTCTGGATGATTGTGATTCGGGCAAAGGTTTTCGAGATGTTCTTGGCTGATGATGGGGAACAAAGTGCTTGAAAAAGAACATGAGTGCAACATTCAGCGTGAACGATGGGTATTATTTATACTAGAAACATGTTCTAGATGAATAAACTCGTAGCACACAGCCCAGTCCCGAGGTCTCTTTTTGGTCGTTGTCGGGCTCTGAAAGGGCTGCAGCTCCTAACAATCGAGGCTGGCTGACTCGCCACAAAGTAGTTTGTGATGTTGATGCATATTGGAATACCAAAGCAGTGTAACTGAAACTCACGTGTAACTCTGAGTCGGAATTCCGAGGCCACACAAGAAGACGCAGAAAAATGACAACTACGTGGGATGTCGGTAAGTGGGGTTAAGTGCCTTCGCTTTGCATAAAATTGGAACCTTGCATGACTGCAGCTGCACAAGCAGCATCGCCATATTTTCTTTTGGCTCTGCCGTGTTATAGGTCCACTGCAAGGCGATCACTCAGGAGACGGACATCTTGCAGAATTCTTCTGTCGTGCAACATCTGCGAATCGATTCCATACTGTTCAATGAATCAAAATAATCCCGGTATGCACATAAGGGACACAGCTCCGAAAAGGCCGGTCTAATCTAGTTTCTCTGTGTATTGAATTTAACCTCCTTTTTTCCGATCTACCTTAAATATTGTAAACATTGAACAGGCTGCAGATGTGGTCCTGAGATCAGGGTTTGTGATATATCAATCTTCCAAGGTTGGAATGTTGAGAGATAAACAAAGCTTGAGCTTGGGTGGGGATTTCGTATATAGTAGCTTGTTCCTGGCCATTCAATGTTGACTTCTCAATTTTTCTTTCTTTTTATTTTCCGTGCCAGTGTTCAACCTTATATTTACTACTGAGTAAATTCTCTATTTAAAAATTCATCTTCAAAATGGAGTGTAAACCAGCTATCACGACCGTCTCTCTTGGTTCATTTATTTCTCACAGCATTACGGAGAAAATCGACCAAGCTGCTGGACATGGCTTCAAAGGGATTGAACTCTTCATTGACGACCTTGAGGCCCTCGCAAGAGACAACTACTCTCCCCCTGGTACATCAGAGCCCTCGTATGATGCCATCATGGATGCTGCTACTCAAGTCCGTCAGCAATGCGACAAACTGGACATTGAAATTCTAAACTTGCAGCCTTTGCGTTTCTACGAGGGTCTTGTCGATCGCAAAAGCCGCGACCATATTTTAAATGACACACTTCCCATCTGGATGGATGCGCTCAAGATTCTTGGGGCAGATACGATTCTCGTTCCCTCCAACTTTCTCTCTCCAGATCCCGAGACTAAGCTCCCTCGAACAACCGGTGACTTGCAAGTCATTGTCGATGATCTTCGCGAACTAGCCACTCGAGGCGCCCAACGCGAACCCCCCATAAAATTTGCCTATGAAGCCCTGGCCTGGGGGACACATGTCAACACATGGGAAAAGACTTGGGAGATTGTGCAGGCAGTTGACCGACCCAATCTCGGCCTTGCTCTAGATACTTTCAACATCGCCGGCGCCATCTACGCCGACCCCACAGAAGACAACGGCTGTGTAGGCGGCTGTTCAAATGGAGCCGACGAAATCGTCCGCGCCTCGCTGGGTCGCATGGTCAAAACAATCGATTTGTCAAAGCTGTTCATCGTCCAGATCGCAGATGCCGAGCGCCTCACCCAGCCCCTCCGCCCGGGTCATCCTTACTACAATGAGGAACAACCCAGTCGCCTCAGCTGGTCCCGGAACTGCCGGCTGTTTCTGTGCGAAGATGACCGTGGCGGATTTCTTCCTGTTATTGAGATTCTACAGACCATTCTTGATCTAGGTTGGACAGGGTATCTCGCATATGAGCTGTTCTCGCGAACTTTGTTGGACAGTGACCCACGGACACCGGCACAGCATGCGGAGAGGGCGCAGCGATCCTGGGAGAGACTGAGTTTTATCGAGCAGCAGCGGAAGGATCGGACCGCTGCAAATGGCATTAAAGCCTCAGCTGCTGGTCTGGAGGAGAAGACCGGAAATGAGACAGAATCAAAGACACCGGACCGGAGGTCCCGGTGGAGTTGTGTCATTATGTGAGGTGTACATAATACCTCTCGGTTTTCAAAGAAACATTTCTCCTCTTCCTTTCTCTCTACAGCAAGCCTGATTCAGCGAACTCCTGTATACAAGTATAGACAGTTATCACAAATAATATATACACTTTCCGGTTTTAATCAGCATCTATTTGCAATCCCTTGTTTCTCCAGTTAGTATCCTTGGGCCTTAGCCGCCTCAATCTGGACAAGTGACAACGGTAGTCTCTTGACTGTGTCTCAACAATGAATTAACCACTTAAGTCAGTGGATGACAAGGTGCTTGAGAGAACGTGCCGATTTCGTATTTGGAGATCGCCAGTGGTATTTGTCGCCGACAGGTGGATAGTAAATTCAGCTGATGCAGAATGACCAAGTGTGCTGAAGTTGACACTATGAGATTTGTTTGTCTTGGACTATCAATTCCAGTGAAGGCGAAGTTAACGCATACAATTTTAGTTGAGGCGTCTGTTAGTGGCAAAGCTCCACGGTGGCTAGCTGGATATCGATTGATTGATTGATCCTTTCCGTCTTCTGATTTGGCGTAGAGATCATCACTTCAAGCAGGGTCTAGCCTTGTAACACAAGGTGGAGATGAAATAGTGAAGGAAACTTCGTCAGCAAAGATGTCATGGAAACTATTCCTGCACTCCACACTTAGCCATAGAGCTGAGCGGCGCATGTCGGCGCACTTGGCGTGCATCTCAACTTCATTCTGGTCACTGTTTGCTTCCTTTCTCTTTTCTTTTCTTTTTCTTCTTCCTACAGCACCACTGGCTACATACAACGTTGATTACAATATGCACGGGAGACTCGCCTCGTATTGCCTTTTATTATCACTTATAATTGTTTGACTTTTAGCCTCCAATATGCAGTTTGCTGCAATGTCGGTACCTTTTTCCGCACCTGCAGACGATGCATCTCGACTGCCACCTAGAAAAACGAGTTGATTTTCAAATTTTACCAGGAATATGGGCACCAGCTTCATACCTGGTAATGTAGATTGATCTATTGAATAAGAGACCTCAGGAGCTTGTCGAACTATTGGCAGACATGGAATTTTGATTGACTATTATAGAGTAGTTTTTGATCGTTACAGTAAATAGGATCTTCATTGATCTCCGTCATACCTCCGGGGTCCTCTGTAATACATTTCCTCCATAGTATATATGCATGTGCATTTAGTCTTCCTCTTCATCGATGAGGTTCGGGTCTGCGGATATGGAGAAGAATGAGATAACGCCAGCGACCAGACACAAACCTCCAAGGACTAGTGTCATGGAGCTCCAACCAAGCTTTTGCTTAACAATTCCACCAAGCACAGGCCCAACCGCTTGACCGCCAGCAAAAGCCATGTTACAGAATGCATAGCCACGTCCCTCGCCACTGCCCTTCTCTGTAATTCCGTAAAGGCTCACGATTCTCTGTACGGCATTGGGGATATTTCCAATCGTAATCGCTTGCACCGTAGTAATGCAGAGTCCGATAATGAAGAGCATGGAGACAAGTAGGCTCTCATGCTTAACGCTATTCACTTGCGTCCACCGCAACGTTGCCATTGGTAGGACCATCAGGAAGAAGCCGGTCATGACAATATTGCGGGGCTTGCAATGCCTTGTGTAGTGAACGACTAGAATGCTGAGGATTGCGGGTACGGTGAGCGGGAGGAAAATGAATCCGGCACCCAAACTAGACCAGTGGTATGTATCCATAACAAAAAGGGGGAGGGTCTTTAGTACTCTCAGTCAGCAGCGCCATGATTAATTTTTTGGGTCTTTGAAAGATTACCGTTTCATATGCGGACAGAATGCAGGAGACTGCAAGGACAGAAAACATAACGCCCAGGAATGTTGGGTGTAAGAAGTTATATAGACTCAAGGAGCTACCGTGTGAATCACTGTCCAAGAGAAGAGGCTCTTCTGAGGGATCGAAATCGCAGCAAGGTTCGAAACTCCTGTCGCTATCGTCTACTCATTATTAGCTGGCGGGCCTATATGGATTCTCAAGAGCCAACAAACCTTCGCTCTTGTCGACGATCAATAACCGCAGAATGATATCTCCGACAAGTAGGACAATCGGGGCACCGAAAGCACCAACGTTGCCAAATTTCGCAAACCTGTGTCAAATTAGACATGGAGATCGGTGTTTCAAGGACGATGTGAGGTGAGAAGAGCGTACAGAAATCCGCCAGCCATAGGGCCACATAGCATTCCCCATGTTAAGGCTGCTGACCCGCAAGCCATGTGCGCCCGCGAATTCTCCGGACTGGCCGTTTCGGCAATCATGCTTAACCCCAAAACTCCCACCACCGCGCCAGAGAATCCTTGACAAACCCGAGCAAGAACCAAAACCCATGGGTCACGCGCGCAGACGAATAAAATAGTGGCTAGGAGGATGAAGATGAAACCGGCGATTAACGGTGTCTTGCGGGCGTTATATCTATCGCAAAGATAGCCAACCACGGCTAAATTAATGGATACTAGTCAGTATATCGATAACGATTCATTGAATAGGCAAGACACGTACGAGATCCAAGCAAGAGAGCAGCACCGTAGCTCGCCAGGAGTATCGATGTCCATTTTTGAACTGGTCACGATCAGCTAGGTTCTTTGACTCTATCGTATTCACTGGTCGTTCATTACCAGAGTCAAATGAGATACTTCCATTCTTGATCAGTAGGAAAGGTAAAATAGGAATGATCTGTTGGAATTTTTAGTCGCCTGGTATATATAATTTTTCTCGCGTAATCCGCTGTGGTCATTCAGGCGCAACCAGTTGACGAGATTCCAAGGTTGACTTACCACCCCGTATACAAATGTGTCCTACATGGTCACAATGGATGTTAGTCAAGACTGAGAGGTACCGACGGTCCACTTGATTCATTGCACATGTGCTAAAGACCACTCACTGTGAACAGTGCAAAGCACATAGCCACTAGAACAAATTTTTCAGAGGATCTCGCTTGTCGAGAGAAAATGTTCTTAACACCCATAATGGCAATTATGCTCGGAGTTTCTTCCGATCAATTGTAGACGGGATACAGAGGCTAGGAGAATTCTAAACTAAAGAAACACTTGACGAACAAATTGATCAAATAGGAACAAATCCATCAGAGGACATGACTAAGCTAGTGAGAACCGATCTAACTTAGTTGACTAACTAGATGGATTTCCGGAGTAGCTTGTGTTACACGGACGATCCCTTGCAAGCTGCGGCAAAGCCCGAGGGAAAAAGTGGGGAGAAGACAAAAAATTCGAACATTAAGGATTGCAAATCCCTGCATATGCATCTACGTATCACTGTCAATGCAATTATGTGATCTGGAGTGCCTAGGCATACAATTCTAAACCAATCTGCAGGGTGATATAAGAACTTCGCGTCTTAGGACATTTTTGTCAGTGCAGGGGGAGGTTCGCCACTAGCAAGCTATTGGTTACACAAGTCAAGGGCCAGGGGAGGATCATGCCAGCCGATTTATTGGTCCTGATTAAACATATGTTAAATTTTTCTGAATAACATTTGAATGCACAATGACTTTCTGGATACCCGTGCCGAATATGCATGATTCTACTAGCACTTGAGCGGTGATTGAATACGACATCTCCACCAGTTGACATGCATAACCTTGTAATAAGTATGTGTGGGGGTTTACGGGCAATTTTTGGACTATCAAAGTCAACTCTATTTCTATATTTCGACCAAGATATATCTGGTGTCTCTTATAGTTCCAATGTTTGGTTCGACATTCTAAGCACTGGTATCGAAGCAGTCAAGTGTTTATATATCAATTTACCCAATTGTCCAGGTGAGTTCAATATACATATTATGATGTCAATATTGCCAAATCTCGGTAGTCGATACAGAACATTTGAAAGCTGTAATATGCACAGTAGAGTTAAAGAAGCCCTGTTCAAAATAAAAATATGGAATAAATTGATTTGTGATACAAAAATACCACCCCAGTACACCAACAAAAACGCAATCACCGCAAGCAGCCCCATCAATTGATCAGACGAGGACATATACCTGTGCTACACACATGCAGTACAGAAAGGATCCCCTGCGGACATAGTGGACTGCTCAAGTGTTCAGAGGAATTGTGCACATATGGATCTCTTTCAACATGGCGGAGATCAGACGAAGCTGAGTCTCGTCATTCACATGCGCATCTGGGCTTGGACACTGCACCACGGTGCGTATGCCTGGACTCTGATTCCCCCTTGATTGGAATGTGGGATCTCCACATGTGCAAAGCTCGGGCTATTTCCAAAAGCGTCTTCTCTATTGACATATATTGCAGCAATCCTGTGCAAGTGAATAACTTTGAGTTCCCTACTTACTTTCAAAGTTTTCCCACACCTGGGAACTTTTTTCCACGGGCTTTACGCCATTTGTATCTCATTTTTTCCGCCATGGCACCCGCAATCACGACTGTTGACTATGATGTCACCCGTATTCCTCAAACTGCCCCTAGATTCATAACGAAGGGTTCCTGTCTTATTCCCCGTGAATTTGTCGACCTTTCGTTGACCCTCGATGAATCCCATATCCTCAATGCCGCAGAGTCCCAATATTTAGAACATTTGGATCCAGAATGTGCCGAGGAACTCGATATCGAAACCATTCTCGATGTCTGCTGGTTACTGGTGATAAACTGTTTCTCGCCCTCGAGGGCCATGTTCCTCAATTTCCATCCGGAATCGAATTTCTGCTATGTGGATGATACTTTCCAGCCAGGAAAGAATTGTCATGCACTTGATTTTTCTGCTGAGCGTTCATTGAAGGAGATTGTTCAGGACTTCTGCCGTATTAAGACGGGCTTGGATTTGATTTCTCTTGACGACGGGCCAGCTCCTGATAAGCAGAAGCGCTTCCTTACCTCTGCCATCCGGTATGCTGCTGATCTCGTCACTTTGCATGAGGCTCCCCCATTTGTCAACTCGAAAGTACGGCCCGCTCCGTCCCAACGACCGAAATCTTGGAAGCGTAAACCTTGAACTAACTCTGGGGTTTATTAGATCTCCGAGCCAAAGCTCTTGCTTAACGTGACAAATCAAAAAGGCAAGTTGCACGCATGCCTCGCCTTCGTGTCGCCCGAGATCGACAGAGAGTTCGCCACAAGCCTTCTCCACTGCTTCAACAAGGTTGTCGCTTCAGTTCACAAATCCCCAGAAATCGCAGTGGAGACTCTCGATTTATGGTCTGATCTTGACCTTATTCTTATGCAAAAGTATACAAAGGAGGTCTCCAGTTCCCACAATGTCCTGCTTCATGAAATGGCCTTGGAGCATGCCCGACTGACCCCGGATGCCCCAGCTATCTGCTCGTGGGACGGAGATCTCACATACAAGGAGTTAGACGACCTCACATCTCGCCTCGCTCTACACTTGGCCAACATGGGGGTTGGTCCGGAAACCTTCGTTCTCAGCTTTTTTGAAAAGTCCACTTGGGCTATTGTCGCTCGCCTTGCTATCTTGAAAGCCGGTGGAGCCTATATCTCTATTGATGCCCTTGATCCTCCAATTTTCCTTGACTCGGTCATAAGTCGAGTGAATGCTAAGATCATGCTAACATCCCCGGAGTATGCCTCAAAATACGAGTCTCTCATATCAAACATCGTCGCAATTGATGCGCACATGGTCAAAGAATTATCATTACCTGCGGACGGTGGAGTAGTGTGTTCCAATGTACAGCCGGGAAATGCCTGCTTGATTCTGTTTACCTCTGGAAGCACGGGTCAACCCAAGGGTATCATCCAAGAACATCGCTCCTACGCCACAGCAATTCGGGACTACAATAAGATTCTTGGGCTAGGTCGTCATAGTCGCGTGTTTCAGTTCGACGATTACGCGTTCGATATTAGTAACAATGACTACCTGACAGCTTTGTCTGCTGGTGGTTGCTGCTGTGTTCCCACACCCGAGAAGACTATCCCTGCTCTCATCGAGCACATGAACATCTTAAAAGCCAATATGAGCTTCATGACGCCAACCATCGCCATTCAACTCGGCCCTCAAGACGTCCCAACACTGGAATTGCTCTGTGTTGGCGGTGAGCCCATGTCAAATGATTTGCTGGTGAAATGGGGCCCACATGTGAGACTTGTAAATCAGTACGGAATGGGCGAAGCGGCTACTTTCTGTGCCTACAACGATAATCCCAAGTCAGGTCAGAACGCGATCGTCGGGAAGTCCGGCAGCGGTGCTATTTGGATCTCGAATCCTTCCTGCCCGGAGCGGCCCGTACCCGTTGGCGCTGTCGGCGAGATCTTAATTGAAGGGCCCCACCTTTCTCGCGGGTACCTGGATGATCTTTGCCAAAAGCCCGATGTCGGCTTCCTCACCACAGTGCCCCGATGGATCGCAGATCTCCACCCATCCCGAGCATCCACCTCTCGGATTTACCGATCTGGTGATCTTGGTCGATATTTACACGACGGCACAGTGGAGCACATGGGCCGGAAGGACACTTTGCTTAAGTTCAACGGCGCCCGTGTGGAGTCGACTGAGGTTGAATATGTTCTGCGCAAAACCCTCTCGCCCGGTGACTTTGTTCTTATTGACCTGTTGGGTCAGATTGATGGTGTTGATGACCCCATCCTTGTGGCGTATATTTATCTTATCGATAACCCCACAAATCTCCTTCCTGGTGTCTCTGATCAGGAAATGTCGTTCCGACCCATAGACAATCGTCTGCGTGTGAATTCTTTGGTGGTTGAGATGGAGAAAGAAGTCAAAGACACCCTGCCAATACACATGGTGCCCAGCTTATTTATACTAGTCGATCGTGTACCCCGTACCAGATCTAACAAGCTTGATCGCCGAAAGTTACATCAAATTGCCCAAAAATGGTACATGAAGAACCGAGATGTATTAAGTATCAACTGAGTGAGCTTTGGGAGGGTGGATTTTGTCATTTTTTTTTTTCGGTTTGACCTTGTATGTTAATCAATTTGTGACTTCCAAATGTTTCAATTTGTCTCGGGTGTTGCTGCATGCATGTCAGAAAGACTGCTAACTATCGGTGGGGTTTATACTCCTTTAACCACATCTTTATACTAAATATCCAATTCAGAAAAGCGCCATTTCGCTGTTCATTCAATACTGTTGCCCCGAACCTTGGAAGCTGTACACCTAGAATATCCTGATGTCCTGTAGAAGCATTCAAATGTTTGAAAATCCAATCCTTCCAGATGTCAAGCACACCTCAAGTCTAGTATATACTTCACTCGTACTTAATGTTTCCTTGCCAGGCTATGCTTTTCAGCTTAGCACTTTCAATGTTCCCTACGGGAATAATTGAATTGATTGAGATTGAGGTAAATTTGAATTTATTTAATACTTATTTTCTTCTTTTTTCTTTCTCTTCCAAGGATCGATGTTTACGGGTTTCGATTTTCTCGGGTTGGTTTAGTACGGCAATTTTGTATGTACAGACGTAGAGAATAACCCTGGTTTATGAGAAATGTGCAAGTTACCATTGACCGAAGAACTGCGATCGTTCCTCCCTCTAGATTGACGACAGCTCATCGTTTCCCTTGCCATGATAGGCGTAGGCGCCGAGAGCGGGCGCGTGGTAGTTGGGATTATCATTCTTGCCGGGATAATAACACAACCCATACATAGGCGCCGTGCATAGTACGCACGTTGTAATGACGCGCCTGATAAGTTAAGAGCTAAGGGAGTTTAGGATGAGAATTTGAATAGTTTCGCCGCTCGAGGCTTCGTGTGGCTCGCGAAACAGAATATTAGCCACTTCATTGCACACTCAGTCCGCTGAACAAAAGAGCCGCGTCCTCCTACCTCACCAGGGCGGAATTAAGGCCTCTTTTTTGTATCCACGTAGATACTGCTCAAGGGTCCCAGGCCACTGGTCTCATTTATTGTCTTGTTGCCACAATCTCAGTTGCCCCTTGCATTTTCACCCTGGAACCATGATCATCGGATGATCCCTCTAAACAAGCATCGGAGCATTCCTATCGGACCTTCAAACACCAAGCCACCCCTGGCTGTGGGTTTTGGGGAGAACTTCCAAGGCGCAACATTCCCAAGAAGAGGGGCTGTCAACATGCATGCACACGCGGCTGGTAGGCAGGTACAAGGAAGGAGAAGAAAGTCATCTGGTGACTCCCAACCCCTTCATCCCAGTAGTCCTAGAATGTCGCTAGAGAGAACAACAGTATAAATGACTCCAGCCTCCCTAATCCCTCCTGCAATCGCATTCCGACGACAATCGTTTAATTGTGTTCTTCCTTCCTGCTCGTTCAGCTACACCTCGTCGTTCGCGACGTTCACACTCATTAACCAGGATACTGATTGAATACTATACAAAATGGTCAAGACTACCTATGCTCTCACGCTGTTCACAGCTGTGAGTCTGGCAGCTCCTTTGGGGCAGACCGGTAGTGGTGGCAGTGGAAACTTGATTGGAGCTGGTTCAGCGGGTGGCCAAGTGAACGATGTGTTGAATGGCCTTTTCAAGGAGTTGACTCCACAACCCAAGGGTGAAAAGCAGGCGCGCTCCTTCACAGGAGACTTGTCCAAACTGCCAATTTTAGGTGACCTCTTTGGTGGTGTACGTACAGGGCGCCGATAAATGTTCCCTGGACATTTTGTTGACGATAACATAGGATCAAGCTCACCCTGGAAACACCCCAAACGCCGGTAAAGGGAAAGAAGCTCGCTCTCACATCCCTTTTGTCAATGAGGTCAGTTTCTACATATTTTCTTTTGCCCTCGACAATTCTAACATTTTTGAACGAGAAGGATCAGAACTATGGTCAGAATTATGGCCAGAACTTCGGACAGAACCACGGTCAAAATGCTGGACAAAACGCCCACCAGAACGAGGGCCAAAACCACGGCCAGAACCACGGTCAGAACTACGGTCAAAATGCAGGCCAGAATCACGGTCAAAATGCAGGTCAAAATGCCCACCAAAACGCGGGCCAGAACGATGGTCAAAACTACGGCCAAAACTACGGCCAAAACCATGGCCAGAACGAGGGCCAGAACTATGCTCAGAACCACAAGCGAGACCTTGATAGTGATCTGGCCAGCTTGCCTATCGTCGGCAAATTCCTAGGCGTATGTACTAGTGCTAATGAGCCCCCATATAATAATTTACTAACAAATATCGAAGGATGCGACTATCCCTGGCCCTCCCAACAGCCACCACCAAACTCGCCAATTCAAGGCACCCTCCAGCATCGCCGATTTCGTTGACCCCTTCAGCGAAGAAGGGCTAGCTCAGACCCTCCCAGGATCTGCCGCCCATGATACTGCCAATACCTTCAGAGACGGCTTGAACACTGCCATGGGCCTGATCCCACTTCCTGTACGCTAAAATTCTTGAAAGGAGTATGATCCCACAACTGACAAATCTTTAGGTGGCTGCCCGCGATGTCAATACTGATGTGACAGAGCCAACGGCTGATTCACCCAGCCAGGTGATGGCCGAACTGGCCCAGCCCAGGCCCGCTGCACCCAAGAAGGCCAACACAGATGACAAGGCCGACGCGCCGAAGAAGGGCAACGCCGATGATAAGGCTGATGGCGCAAACAAAGCCAACAAGCCCAACAAGCCTGCCAAGCCCAGCAACCCGCTTGCTGATCTAGCTAGCAAAGCCGGCCTTGGTCAACTGTTTGGTCATGCCCAGCACGGTGTTGGACTGCTGCCAGTATGTTCTTCTTTATCCTGACTCTTAAATATGGTCCCACAATCTAACAAGCTTGGTAGATGAACGGTCGCCGTGACAATACCATTGAGGCTCGTGGTGGCGCACCTATCCAGGGTTCCACGTTGACTGATGTCCTGCTGCAAGGTGGTGCGCTGGGAAAGATTTCCCACATGCTTGCTCCTGGTGCTCCCGTCGCAAAGCCCGGTCAGAGTGACTCCAAGGATATGGGTGATGGTAGCTCCATGGCGCCCCCTGGCCAGCCGGGTTCTCCTGCTGGTTCCATTGCTGCCGGTCCCCATGATGGACCTGGCTATGCTGCTGAGCATGCCAAACAGAATTAGATATTTCGGTGCTGATGTCTAGTGGATATATGAGCTTGTATCTGTTTACTTTCTTGGAGACTTTGATTTATTCTTTACCTTGTGGTGATTGTGTTTGGTGAGGTAGTGATATGACTCAGGAAATTTGATGATCATCTGTTCTATCTGCCTGGTTCCCTGATTATAGTACTCTTTATGGGAGTTATGAGTACTATCTATGGAGTTCTTCTACTGCATGTGAATTATATTGGAATTTTCGCTCCAAAATTCTCAGTCACAATGATAGCTTGTATCATCTCATCGGCATTGTTTGTATACAACTTGTTGGCAATTGCCGTAATTTGGAAACAATTAAAGTGAAGTCAAAAATCCCAAAAAAGGCATGCTACAAAGAAAGAAAAGCAAAGCCACTGGATAAAAACAAAGAACACCAAGATCGTAATTTCGTTCAGCGCTAAAGCTGATTGTTTCTGGTTCAGGGCACTCCAAGAGTTGAGTGACTGTGGGGGTATCAGAATCGTTAAAACGTATAGCGAAAAGCCTTGGAAAGGCGACGCAAAATAAAGCAGATAGAGAGAGAGAGAGAGAGAGTGGGCCAGGCAAGCAAGATAAAAATGGCTCGCTCATGACATTTTAAAGTCCATGTCGTCTTCATATTCCACCTCCACCGTCGTGTTCAGCGCCGCTTTCCCTTCGCGAATCATCGCCTGAAGTCGCTCATTGAATCGTTGCATACTGGCATCTTCTTCCCTTTCCTTGCGCCGTAACTTTGCCGCATATCGCTGCATCTTGGCGGAATCTGGGTCATCTTTTGACCGTGGTGACGGAAGTCCCGAAGTTCGAGATGGAGTAGATGGCCGTACGGATGAAAGAGTGGAGCTCTTGCTTAGCTTTGGCATTATAGCCTGTCGTCGACGGGGACTAGAGACCTGGTGAATCCGGCGAACTTTTACGCATGGACTGGCTGTTTCTTCGATGAAGGGATCGGTGGAATCGGTGGGGACCACTACCCAGCTGCGATCGATATCCTCTTCTGGATACTGGCCAGGGACTGGTGTTCGACACATCTGGTTCTCGTTCTCCCTCTCGTTCGGGGATCGTTGCCATTTGGGATTAAAAGGAGCCGGGGAGGAGGCCGCCGTCATATCGTAGCCTTGTCCACCGCCGGCATAGAAACCTCGAAACGCACCCGACCAGCAAAGATCGAGGACTTTGCCGACCACGTTTATAACAGTGCGTCCCCAGCCCAGACGGCTTTCGGCCGGACTGTCCATTGGATCATCGTCGGTGATTGGTGAGGCGATACACGAGTCGCGTCTGCTGCGCTTGCGGCTCGTGCCAGAGTGTTCAGGAGCTCCCGAGTCAAAGCTTGCACTCAGGGATGGCGGGAGGAAAGATTCGCGATATCGGTTTGGACGATAGTCTAGCTCTGCGCTGAAATCGTCAACGCCGCTATACTGGCGATCGGGATGGAAGAGCGGTGAAGTGGTGATGGAGGCGTCAAAGTCGAACTTGGAGGATAGGTTTCCGGTGTCCCGACGGGACCGCTTGCGGCTGACAGACAGCGAGTAGAGGGAAGATGTCGAGGACGCGGGGACTTGGAAGAGTTGTGGGTGTGCACTCGTGAGATCGAGTTTGGGCGGCGATGCCTGGAAGAACGTAGACATATCGGGCATGATTTTTTATGACATGAGATGAGAGAGATAAAAAGAAGAAAGGAAGAAAGGAAGTAAGGAACAATAAAAGATGAAAAGTTGGAATGAAAGAAATCGGAGAGAAAAAAAAAAAGCTTAGAAAAAGATGTGGCTGGTTACAAGGGAAAAAGTAAACTAGTGAATACAATCAAGTCTTCCATCACAACATCACATCACCAATGCATCAACAACATTAGAAATATGAAACATTTTATTCTTCTGCTTTCTTCCCCCTCGCTTCCCTTGATATATATATTTTTTTTTCTAATTAAATCTGATGGATTCCGATAGAAATGTTCCTTTATAATCGTTGACTGGTCCACTTAACTCCAGCAGCTTGAAGTCCATCATCGCCGTCCACTAGTACACACCAGCCTTCTCCACCTTCTCCCCCATCGCCCGCAATCACCGCCTCAAAGTGTCCCCGAGCAAACTCCAACACACTGTCATCAAAGGTGCCAGGTTGCAACCAAACAGCAGGGATACCCACGGAATGGGCTTCTTGCAGCAGCTTGAGAGTCACTGGTGGGGGCGTTACCACGGACAATGAGGTCTGCGTGGGTGAAGCCAATCCAGCAGGTGAGGGGACCGTATCGTAAGCACGCGAGGGGAGGGAGATCTGCGCTGCTCGTGGGTTGAGTGGTGTTACCGGAAGCGAATGCTGGTGGTACCAAGCGAGAACTACAAGATATATATTTTAGTCAAAATGAGGTGGAAAGTGACTTTGTATTGAGGCTTCTTTACTCTTGTAACCAAACTTGTTGGTGTCATTGCTGGCGCCCGCCACGGCAAAGCGCGGGGAAGAGAAAAATCGCTTGACGGCATCCATGATAGGAAGAGTAAGGTAAGGAATATACAGAGATGTTTAGAGGATTGGAAGAGGAAGAAAATAAAGATTTATGAAAGGACCAAAAACGGCTCAAGGTAATCAAGTTGATGTAAAGTAGTAAAATTGTAGAATTGGAGAAAGAGAAAGAGAAAGAGAAAAAAGAGGCAAACGGCCTCGGCATCCGCCGACAATCATTGATTCCCCTCGCATTCCTTTTCCTTCTCCCATCCCTTCTCCGACTTTCGGCACCTTCAAGTTGTTATTAACCTTTGCATTTCCACCTCAAGCTCCGCCATATCCCATTGCTCATCTGCTACTGCGGATGCCGCCGTTCCTCCCCCGCAAACGCTTCTCCTCCGAGGACCCGCCCCCGGCCAAGCGTCAGGCCCAGGCCAATAATGACATCCCTGCCAAACCCGCCCCGGACTCTGATTCAAGCTCTGATTCTGATTCTTCGTTGAGTGATGTTCCTGAGGAACTCGACGACTCGCTTCAGGCAACGCCGGTCCAGGCAGCGCTAGCTGAGGATTCCGATGACGAGGAGGAGGACTCCGATGACGAAATAGACTGGGAAGATGCCATCGATACCAAAACCACAAACACCACCCCGACGCTGGCCGTCCCGGAATTACAAGATCTAGAATTGACACTGGACAGGAATGAGACTGAGATTGTGGATCTAGTCGATCCCAAGAAGGGGCCGACCAAAATTGAGCGCCAGATTCGCATCCAGTCGCACTGCATGCATGTCCAGTGCCTGCTCTTCCATAATGCCATTCGCAATGCATGGATAAACGATGCCAAGATCCACGAGATACTGCTGAAAAAGCTTCCTGAAGGGATACACAAGGAGGTAAAGAAATGGCGAATCGCATCTGGGTTAGAGCTGCCGGAGAAAAAACCGGAACCGCCTAAGAGCAAGAAGAAAGGCAAGAAAGCCCGGAAGCAGAAGGATTGGGGAGAGGATTCAGAAAGGTTAGAACCTGGACAACCCGATATGAGTCGCGGGGATCCGATTATCATCCTTCTCAAGGTCCTGGTGGCATATTGGCGGAAGCAGTTTCGCATCACAGCTCCCGGGCTACGCAAGCATGGCTATCGCCCTGTCGCTGCGCTTGAAGCCATACTCAAGGATTTCCATAAAGAGGACCATGACCCCGAGCGTCATGGAGAGCGCATTACAAATCGTGAAGAGCTTCGAGCAACAGCCGAAAGTATGCAGGGCTCTCGGGATGTTGGAGCTCAACTGTTTACAGCTCTAATGCGGGCTTTGGGTATTGAAGCAAGGCTTGTAGCGAGTCTACAGCCATTAGGATTTGGTTGGACTAAAGCGGAAATTTACACAGGATCCAAGACCGAGACAGAAGAAAAAAAGCAAGAGCCTTCAGCGGCAGCCGACATTATATCAGACTCTGACGACGACTCAGACCAAAATAAATCGAAGAAGAAGACGAGAGACAGTGGGTACGATAAAGATTTGCTATTTCCAGTATATTGGACTGAGGTTGCTTCACCCGCCACCCATGAGATTACTTCCGTGGACCCCATGGTGCTATCAAACCCCTTAGCACCCACCTCCGATCTTCAGGCAGCATTCGAACCCCGAGGTGCCAAAGCCGACCGGGCGAAGCAAGTTATATGCTACGTTGTTGCGCATTCTGCAGACGGGACAGCCAAGGATGTCACAACACGATATCTCAAGAGACGGACATGGCCCGGCAAAACCAAAGGCTTCAGAATGCCCGTCGAGAAGATCCCAATTCCAGGCCGGCGTGGCGAATCCTTTGAATTTGACTGGTTTCGAGTCGTGATGCGCGGGTACGAAAGGCCAGCTGCAAAACGAACGGAGGTCGACAAGCTAGAAGACGAAAAGGATCTTCAACGGAAACAGCCAGAGAAAAAGAAAGTAGCTCAGCCAGGAGATACGCTACAAAGCCTGCGCACATCCACCGAATTCGTACTAGAGCGCTTCCTACGCCGCGAAGAAGCACTAAAACCAGGTGCGGAGTCCGTCCGCACTTTCATAGCCGGTAAAGGCGCTCGCGCCAAAGAGGAACCCGTATTCCTTCGAGCAGATGTCCTAAAGTGCCTGTCAGCTGAAAGTTGGCACAAAGAGGGCCGCCAAATCCAGCCCGGCTCAGTGCCACTTAAACGCGTCCCCATCCGCGCCGTGACTCTGATCCGCAAGCGCGAGGTGGAAGAGCTCCATCGTGAAACTGGCGAGAAACCCATGCAGGGACTTTACTCGCGGGACCAGACCGAGTTCATCATCCCACCGCCCATCCGTGATGGAAAAATTCCCAAAAACGATTATGGGAATATCGACTGCTTCGTTCCGAGCATGGTTCCTCGCGGTGCAACACACGTCCCACTCCCGGCTACCGTACGAGTATGCAAGAAGCTTGGAATAGATTACGCTGAAGCGGTGACCGGATTCGAATTTGGATCTAAGATGGCCGTCCCCGTTATTCAGGGTGTGGTTGTGGCAAGTGAGAATGCAGATCTGCTTCGAGATGCGTGGCGTGCCGAAGCTGCTGAGAAACGAAAACGCGAGGAGCTAAAGGCTGAGAAGCGGATTTTGCAGACGTGGCGAAAGTTTCTGTTTGGATTGCGGATTGCTGAGCGTGTACGCGAGGAGTATGGTGGGGATCCGGATGATGATATGGAACGAGAAGCCCATAACCCATTTGTGGCGCGTAAGAAAGACCAGGGGGATGATGTTGATGAAAGACACTTTCATGACGAGTCTGTCCATGATCGTGCCGATGATTATGATCCTGTGGAACATGGTGGTGGCTTCTTGTTACCTGGTGAAGGAGATGAGGAGAATGATGATGGCTTGATTGTTGAGCATCATAAAGACGAGCAAAAGGATGTCAGTCGTCCTGAGGGTGAAACCAATTCGCCCGAGGACTTATCGCCTCCAATCTCGATATCGTCAGGATCTGGAGATGATTCTGAGCCTGATTATCCACCCCCGAGTACTAGTACACGTCGCCGCCGCCGGGGCAGTTGAGGCTCCATAGCTTAGGCACTTGCGGATTAATATATGTATTAATAAACAATCTAATGATGAATAATGAACGACTCTTCAACCATTGAGCAGACAAGCTTCAAACATTGAAAGAATGTCAGTCCACTCTATGTACTCAGTACCTACTACCTGCAGTACTACTTGCATCTTTAGTTATACCTGCCAACTGTCAACCGTATTGTGGCGCCTCCAAAGCCCGAACATCAGGGCCATTCAGATGAGAATTGGATGGTTTGACATCATTGATCTGAGTAGTGATGGGACTGCGAGTTCTGGAAGCAGTCAGTATCTAGAATTCTACTAGTGTTTAATTTAACATGGCATAGAGGCTGTGCGCAATTTAAAGTTGAGCACATTCTTTAAGGTTATTCAATGTTCGCTTCTTCGTTTGCTTTTTCAAGATGTTTGCTATATAAGCTTATTCTAGAAGGTATATCTAGAAGGCCAAATTTACTATGACCTGGAGTTTATATAGGCTGTGCGCGATTTAAAGTTGAGCAAATTTTCAACCTGGGAAGTGGTGGATTTGCAGGTTGCTTTGTGGATATTAACAGTAGAGCATCGTGGTAAGTGGTACAGGGACATAATCGAAAATATTTGGAATTTGGAATATCAGTTGGCCGGCTGGCCTAATGGCTAGGGCACCAGTTTCCGGTTTTCTCGTCTACTGGGGATTGCAGGTTCGAATCCTGCGTCGGTCGTTTTTGTTTTCCTAGTTTGTCCTCAAAGTCTTCTTCGTTGGTTGAAGACTCGACATTTTTGTGGAGCGAAATGGGTTGGTTTGGTTGGCTGTATGTATAGCGTTTCTGCCGCCTTACAGAGCCCGTATCAACTAGGATAGCAGGTTTGAATCCTGCGTCGGTCGCTTCATTTTGCTTCCCCTTCATGTAATTTGAGGTTCGAGACTTTTCCACTTCTTCATTGCTACGGGCTTCTCGTTGTAGACAGCTTCGTTCAAAACTTGAAGAGTTTCAGATAATCCACGTCGTTCGCGTTGGAAGTGGACTTGGATTGACGAATCACAGATTCATAGTCGAGGATATCATGTACAGCTATTCCGTTCAGATCCTCAGGGTGTTAAGAGTCCAAAGAATGTTGCAACATCATTTATCCACTGCTTGCAGACTTGATATTTGAGCTCGTTCAGTCGTAATAGTATCTCTCGTATGGCCGACCATCCGTTCAATTCATCTTGATAGCGTTCAAGATGATAATGCCGAGATTCTTCAAAGTCCTCAAGTGACATTTTGGGATTTCTGCGTACCGTTATTTCCGAGAATGAAGCTTTGGAGTTGAGATTTAGCCGCATTTCCAATGGCCCTGGCGGCACAGCCCTTGACTGTTTATCTGGCGCCTTTTTACATTCAATGACCAAGGCCTTATTTCGAAAGCCATCGTGTAGAACTCCCAACCTTGGAAGGTCATGTTCGGAGATCCTTTGGGGGTTCTTGAAGATAAAATTGACTTACAGCTTCCGATTCATGAATATCATGCTATATTCACCAGCCTCCTTTTAAGTGCTTCAGAATCATTTTTCATGGTACGAAAACCGGTAAGAAAGTTGGCACCTTTGGTGTCGTTAGAATTTAGGACAGAGCTACACGAACAGAAACCTTGTTTTGCTTGATAGCGGGTTCTTGTAGAAATATTATTAATCAGTTGGCCGGCTGGCCTAATGGCTAGGGCACCAGTTTCCGGTTTCTCGTCTACTGGGGATTGCAGGTTCGAATCCTGCGTCGGTCGTTTTTTGTTTTCTTTTGTTTTCAGTATTGTTATGTTACTCCATAATTTTTTGTTGACCTGTGAATCGTGATTTAAAGAGCCTGGATTCCAACGCCTTCTCTTGACATCCTTAGTCTTGGGGGTTTTTGTGGAAGAGATCCTTCACGTCATACTTGGGTTAGGCGCCCAATGCTTATAGTAGTTACATCAATAATAGTTTCACGCCTCTACAAGACAGCGATGCCCCCGGGGAGCCATCAAAAAGAAAGCCTTCATAACCATATCCTCATCACTCATACCCTCACAGGAAGAGACCCTAGCCCGAGGAAACTGACGGAAAAATAAAGCCGTTGCCAACCTGAGCTCCATCCGTGCTAGGTGAATACCAATACAAACTACAAAGGGGGCAAGATTAGTTACATCCAAATCAATTGACGAAGAAACAGAATAAACTTACTTCGTGAGCCCGCACCAAACGGTATCGAAGCATCTTTCATATCCTTGCTCGGGTTTTCCCATCGCTCGGGGTAAAACCGATCAGGGTCGGCGAAGTTATCTGGGTCCCGATGAAGACTATAAGACTGCGACGATACTGTTGTTCCACCAGCAACATGCATTCCCTTCAATGTGGCACCCTCTACAGGGACGGCCCTTGGTAAACCAAGTGGAACGGCCGTGTGTAAGCGGAGTGTCTCGCTAATCACTTGATTGAGATAGGGCAGGTTTCGAAGATCATTATCGGAGACTGGCGAGGGGAGTCCCGCGAGCTCTGTTGCCAGCTTCTCTCGTACACGTATATCACTGCAGACGCAGTAAACGAGATATGTCAGGGTCACCGCTGTGGTATCACTTCCAGCCACGATGTAACCCTGAGCTTCACCTTTGATATCTTTTAGCGAGAGACCCGTTTTCTCGTCGAGAATTTTTGTGAAGAGGGTTTGCTTGGGGTTCGTGGGGTTTTCTTCAAGGTGCTTTGTGTATCGTTGCAATGATTGTAGCGCGTACTGGGTCATCCTATTTGCAACTGCGCCGGCGCGGTTGAAAATCGGTAATGGGAGACTTCGAGCAAGGTATACCATAGTTGGGAATGTGGTCCGGATGGGTTGGAGGCTTGATAGACTTTCCAAATCCTTGGTGTATTGGTTTTTCTTTTCATTTCCATGCGAGTGTTAACAAGGATCGACATTGATGTTAGGGAATTGATGGATCTTACCACCCCACTCTCGAGCATTTGGAAAGATTCCCCGAAGCTCAGTTCACCAATTACATCGGTCGCCATGAATAACCACCACTTAAACACGTCGGCATATCCCTGGGTCTGCATTTCTTGTGATATCTTATCAACGGCCATTTGTACCCGACTCGCGACGAGAGGCTCATGTTTAGTGAGAGCGGAGTCGGAAATGGGAGTCGCCAAGAGACGTCGTCGACTGGAATGAAACTTGGGATCGGTGGTACTGAACATATTTTGGAAATTTTTGCCAATAAGGTTGTTGTAAAATTCGGACTTCATGTAGCGACTATTGGTTTTGTAGATTTCTCGTGCCACATCCACATCACAGATGTCGACTTGAGCCGTGTTTGTGCGGACAATAGGGCCTTGTACAACGGTCAGTACATAGTTCCCACATGGCCTGAGAGGTTGTCATAGGGGGTTGGTTTACCATATTTTTCGTGAAGACTGTGGATATAGAATGGGACTCTTCCACTGAACCAGTAATAATTGTAAACAATGTCTGTCCACTTTGAGATCTCAGGTCCTGGAATGCGAGTGAGTTGGTTGGTGAATCTTTGGTAAAGGAATTTCTGGAACAGTCTCGTGTGTTAATTATTTTTTTTTTAAAAAAAAAAAAGGTTTGAATTATACACATAGACTTCATCGTAAAGAAAATTGCGACTCACCAAACATAATAGTCCAAAACCAAGGCCCGCCAGTGCTGCAATTTTGCCACAAGAAAACATCTCTTCGGGTTGCGGGGTGAGTTATGAGTTGGGATCTTGAGAATCCATTGCATCTGGGTTAGTCAAGATATTTTATATGCGACCAAGCAAGGGATCAGTTGACGGATAATGAGGGGCTGACGGATTTTCGCAACTTTGAAGCACCGGGAACGCAAGCACCGAGCCCCCGACGTTGTATCCATTGTACATGTACATTGTAGATCATGGGGTGGACCGTGGAGGGCCTGAGGAGCTGAATCGCACGGCTACCATAACCAAGTATCACGATTCACCATTAACCCGACCTTCAATTTTCATTGGCCTGATGCTTCTTAGATGACGAAGCCTAACGGTCTATAGATTAACAAGCGTATTCCACATATGGATGCGAACATCCATGCCTGCACATGTGGGGGATCTAGTTCTTTGGATCCAGTCTACATGCACACATGTGCATGTGTCTCATCACAATTCGGGGTTGTGTGAAAGACCGAGACTCGAACCGTAGCGGGGGATCGGGCGTTCGGGCTTTGCTGCTTGGGCCAGATTAGGTATTTACTAATTAACGTACTATGTAATTACTACTAGTAGTAATAATGATAATATATAGGCTGGAGGGTTAGTTGAGCCCTAAAGACCTCTGATGTAAGATTCAGTCCGGGCCCTGTAAACATTTGAAGCGTAAATTGATTTAAAAATTAACATTGAAGATGGTTGACCGTTGAATGTGGCAGATTATCATTCAAATGTTTCTCGCTAAACATTCAATGTTTGAATATTGATTGACGGGGTGGAAAGCAGGAGAACGCGTCAACTGGTAGTTACTTCAAACAAAAATATATTTACACCAATGTGCAAGATCATCTTAGTTCAATTTTTTTGGACTGCTTACCACACTACTCTCTAGTGTGCTTATGATTTATCACCTTCCTCTCCAAGCAAAGCATCAACAAGATCAGTTGACACAATGGTAAGTAAGCTTCAATAAATCGTCTGATTGTATACTCAGCCTTTTCTCATAGTCTGACGAAGCCCCTATTCGATTTCATGTTGTGGTCGGTTCCATATTCGCAGTGACAGCAGCAATCGAGTACGCGCGTACAGGTCGCCCCAACCCACTTGGTCCTCACCTCTCAACAAACACGGCGCTAGCTCTGTCAATTCTGGCCTTCATCTCAGGCCAATGGAATTTTACTCGCCCAGGCTGGCATTCTCCTCTTGTCGTCGGCCTTGCTTTCTGTACTCTCTACTTCGTCAGTTTTGTGCGTCTGCAAGCGGAGCAGGGGTATGGGTATGAAAGCGCCTTGTTCGTCTCTATCCTGCTGGCTATAGGCTTTTTGCCTCGGACTGCCGAGCTGATTGGAAGACCGCTTCCTAAAGAGTATTGTGCCCTTGGCATGTATGGGACAGTAATTTTTGGAAATGGCATTCATTTCTGCCTGGGGTTGGGCCTCTCGCTGTCTCTTGTGCTGTGTGCGGCTAGTGATGACGCTTATCGCTACTATAAAGCCAAAAAAACTGTTGTCTAACGCATCTGCAGCTATTACTTAGCTACATACTATGTGCGTCAGCATTAGTAGGATCCGTTAGCAGGAACGTCCCAGCTACCCTTCTGCTCTATATACAGCTCTAGACTGCCACTTCTCCTTATCCTTCTTCTTCTCTCTCCAGAGGAGCTCAACTTGGTCAATCAAGCCTTCGTTCGCTTGTCTTCCTGCACTATTCCTATCCCTATCCCTCTCTCACCCTCCCGCCATCTTTCCTTCTCCGATCTTCCTTCTACGGTGAGTAGAAAAGTGATGTTATCGGCCCCAATCGACTACGGCATTTGGTACGGCACAGGGGAGGTATTTCTCAACATCTTCATCTTGGAGGCGAAGAATGGAAGCTTAACCGAAGTGGCCGTGCAAGCCCTAAGTTTTATGGGTAGTGAGTACCTCAAGCTTTCCTATAATATCTATAAGACGAAGTTAACCTGTTAAAAAGGCGTGCACTCCGGCATCGGAAAACCCTCCAACAGAGGGATTGTACCGTGTACGAACTGACAACGGGGAGTTGTTCTGGTTCTCAATGATCTCCCATGGTTCGAAAGTAAGTTCTCGAGTGCTCTCAGAGGTATTGCTTCACTTTCTATCTCGGGCTCTGAACTCAGCTATATCTCAGGTTATTGCGTCTCAACAATGGCAATTGAACAATGCAAAGTGTTCTCCATCCTTGTCCATATGCTCACACAGGTGGCGATGGTCTTGTCTCCTCGTTCAAAGGAGACCTCATCGCAACTAGAAGAGGATGTTGGGGAATGACCGATGTATAAGCCTGGATTTTTGGTTCACTTTACTTGTGTACCTTTATTATTATATTTTTGCCGGTGTCTATGTTATTTTTCTTCTTGCTTTTAGCTCAACCTCCACAGATCAATAGGACAGGATCCATTATATTCATTATTCATTCAATATTGCCATTGCTTTCCTTTCTTACTATTAGACGAGCCTCATTCCATGCTGACTCCAAGCCGGATCTCCATGACCAACTGGCAGAATCATGTGACGAAATTTTGCGCAAGTACCCGAGTACTAGTAGTCAAGGGGGGCATCGTCCTTTGACTGCTTGTTTGCAAAAGTGTTTCAAACGTTTGGAACAAAGACACTCAAGTTCATTTCTCTAAGTTGTCACTGTCGTACAAGTGATAGTACTGTAGTACATCTAGTAAGGCTCCAGATTTGATTAGTTTGCAATACCCCTTACATTCCAATTGACTGAAAATAGTATATGCAATGAACGTCTTTAATTTGTACTCAGTTATCCCTGTCTGTATTGCTTCCTCTTTCCATCATCTCTCGCAATGTTCTTCGCTCTGCAAATAATATGGTATCCGATAGAGGCTGTGTGCGGTCTTGTATCGAGGCTCTTCAGAAATCGGGTGCCTCCCAATAACGATATTGAAATTCCTGAGATGCCATCACTTCTGAGGTCTGAAAGTGTAAGTGATAGACTGTACAAATCCTTTCTCCTGCGGATTGTGGATTTTCCTTTACTCACGAGTTACGTATGCAGGTCAACTCAACTGCAACTACAATCCACCAAAATTCAGCACATGTCAAAGTTGTTGAGGGGCGGAAATTGCGGCTTTCAGAAGACGGGGCTGAGGAATGCAGGAGTAATGAGAAGAAACTTTGAAGGGGATGCTTTCAGGACCAAGGCCTCTACAATCTTCCAGTTTGACATTCGGAGTCTTTGAACTTGCCTTCAAATGTTCGCGTGACCTATTCAGAGTAGGTGTCTTGTTCGAAAAGAAATGATAAAAGGTCTCATTATTAATGATATGTTCATTTGATATGCATTGAATCATAAATTCCAATAATTCCCTGATCGTGCCCAGAGCCTTTTCCATCTACCTATATTTAGTCGTAGCCAAAGGCGAATCCACATCTCCCCACTCCGCCCCGTCATAATCCAACTCGAACTCTTCCTCTGATTCGTCGAGTTCAGGACTAAAATGCACGGCAGGCGAAGATATAGGACTAAGCGCCACACGCGGCCGCGATTTAAAAATGCTAGCATATTCTGCATCTTCTTCGAAAAGTTTGTCTTGCGGCGTTGACGCACCAGATCTCCCATTTGGGCCGGAAGATTTTCGGGGTGTCTCGAACTGATTCACTGGGAGGGAAGCTCGTGGAGCACGTCGCTGACGGGGCCGAGGCCCTTCGTGGGAGGTGGGAGGTGGAACAAGAGACATGGATTTGCGGGTACGTTCGATGAGCCTGCGATGGGAAGGCGAAGAGGCTTTCACGGGCTCATAGTTTGGCTCATCAAATTTGAAGGTTGGTTCTGGCGAAAGACGAACGGTTGGGGTTGAGATGGAGGGTTGCACGGGCTCAATCTCGGGACTCGGTTCCACGCTAATAGTGTATGTGGACCTATTTGTAGCAGGCATAGGAATTTCTGCGCTGATCTCCGATATTGGCGAGATGCTTTGATCACTAAGGCTCTCAGTTTCGACTGGGAGAGCTTTGACTTTGATAGTACGATCTGGTATCTTGTGACTCATGGGTTTCCGAGGTTTCCCATTGATGCGGATAATGGCCTCATTAACTGTTGACATGAATGATCGATCCTCCTGCTTGAGAACCCTTCCATGGTCTGCAGGCTGTCGTACAGCTTTGGATATACTTGCCACTGTAAGGGCTTGGTGATCGCGGAATAGCAGACGGGGCTCCTGGGGCTTTGCACTAGCCGATGAACCATTCTGACCATTTTCCTTGCGAAGGGAATCATTGAACTCGTGCCACCTGCGTAGTCGGCCCCTGAGCCGCAAAACCCGTGCCTCAAGATCAAAAATCAGGTCTTGCTTGGCACCTAATTTAAGACTATCAACTGATGAATCTGTTGCACAAGCCAAAGCTTTCGAGAATGGCTGCTCCAAGAAAGAATCCGTGCAGCCCTGTGTTCCCCCTTCGAGCAAAGCCGTAGCCCATTCTTCGCTCCCCAGCCAATTGGCTCGAAGCTCACGAGTCAAGATGTCTGGATCAACTTGAGTTTGACCCAAGTCTTGATGTTTCTTATTCGCACGCTCCGAAAGCTCGATCTTCTTGTTGTCCAGCAGCTGCGAGAACTGGTCGTAAACATCATGCAATCTTGCACGGCGCCCCCCTGCCGCATTGAGAGAAGCTCGATGAGCTAGTATGAGTGGTAGTATATTCTGGTAGTCTACCAAGGAGATAGAATTGGCCATAGAAAGCTTCATAGCAGAGTTCCATGATGCATCTGTCACGGATATCGTGAGTAGCTTCCGTAGAACCGCCGTCGAGAACACAGCGAGCAGCTCATCGAACTTCTCGCCCTTGCAATCATCCAGCATTGTCTTTCGTAGAATTGTTTCTCGCCCTAGGTCGCCATTTTTCTTCAATTCGGTCAAAACACGAAAGAGTGCTGCGCGGAGGTTGACGGACTGTAGGGGCTCTAGCGGTGGGAAGAAGGGACGGAGTTTCTGTGATAGTGATTAGTTATAATTCATCTGGATTTTTGTGTAAGAGCTGGAGCATAGCACATTTCGAGCACCCTCTGGATCCCAGATTGTGAACAGGTAATAGAGAGCCCACTCGACTAGGCGAGTGCGCTGTCGCTGGTTCGCCGATGACGACGACAGCGAGCGGAGTGTAATTTCGGGCCAATCATCGCGTTGATCGAGGTTCAGCAGTTTGAGATTGCGGATAAATACTGTCAAATGCGATGGACCTGACCACTCCAGGGGCTTAGGGCGCGCTGGCCTCGAAGCAGCCATGGTTAACGAATGGACGGAGTTTAGTTTGTAAACCGCGGGCTGATTGTGCCCCGTCAACAATGCGATAACGGGGGTTTGCACTGTTTGCGCGCCCTATCAGTTTTGGTCCCGCGGTTTCCCATGGTTGGCTCTTTCCCTTTATCCTTTTTTCTCCCTTTAGCTCTTTCCTTTAGATCTACGCGCCTTGAGATTCCTCTTTCTTTCATTTTGCACATCATGGGCTCCGACGATTCCTCTTGGTCTCCACAGACCGGTATGTGTCAAGCTGAGACAAGCTCGGCCAGAACTCTATCACTAACAAATGTCGCAGTGCTATCCACCCTCCCCCACCCACCGGAGGAGAACTCCACATCCCCTGTCGCTTTTTTCCACCTCATCGAGCGCCTCAAGACCACTAAGCGCGAAGGCTGGCGCCGTTTTGGAATCAATGGCGAGTCAATCTCCGACCACATGTACCGCATGTCGATCATGACGATGCTTGCCCCGCCTGAGCTGGCCTCAAAGATCAACATCCCCCACTGCACCAAGATGGCTCTCATTCACGACATGGCTGAGTCTCTGGTCGGCGATATCACCCCCGTTGACCTCCACATCACCAAGGCTGAGAAGGCTCGCCGTGAAGCGGCGACCATGGACTACATTGTCACTACTCTTTTGGGAAATGTTCCAGGCGGCGCACTCTCTGGCCAGCAGATTAAGGACGTGTTCCAGGAATACGAAGACAATGTCACTCTGGAGGCGAAGTTCGTGCATGATATCGACAAGATGGAGCTGCTGCTGCAGATGGTGGAATACGAGCGCTCGAACAAGGTTGATCTCACGGAGTTTGAGCACGTCGCGAGCAAGGTTCAGCTTCCTGAGATTCAGGCTTGGGCCAAGCAAGTTGTCCAGGAACGTCCCAAGTACAACTAGAGCGATGCATACATAGATAGGACATGCCGGGGGAGCGTCTAGTAGCATGTTCGAGCGATTGATTTTGGTGGGCGTTGGTTTTATTTGGATTGGTCTTTTCAGGAAACCTATGAGATACCATAGCAGACGCGAGCTGCAATGTCTTTTACGAGGATGAGGAATGATGTATGACTGCACATGTGCATAGTCTTTCAAGTCTAGACATTTCTTTCTATATCGTATCTACTAGTATGAGTATAATCGTACACATAATACCCAACCTTAAAATATACAACCCTGGAAGCTTAGACAAGCTACCCAGTACTCAACAACACCTGTAATCACTTTGCTCAATCAACAGGCTCCTTCTCCATCTCTCGAGCCAGCATTTCCGCCTCGGCAACCATTTCTTCCTGAGTTCTCGGCTTTCTCGCCTCATTATCCACGGCGGGGAACCTTGTTCTCTTCTGTGGTCTTTCAGTCTCAGGTCTCAATCCCTCATTCCCATTAGTATCCCTAAAGGCCTTGCCAACATCCCCCTCCTCCCCATCAAGCATATTGTAAACAGCATCTGTTCCACCCCGATGATCCAAATCAGCCGCCTTCCGTGGGATGATATGCGCATGAACGTGGGGCACGCTCTGCCCTGCATCCACACCATCCTGAACCGCAATATTCAAACTCGAGGCGCCATATACCCGCTCGACCATTCGGCCCACGCGCCGCACTGTAAGGAAGAGATCACTTGTCTCAGCGGGGGTCAGATCTGAGACGCGGGGAACGACACGGCGGGGTGATACAAGGATATGGCCGGGGAGGATCGGTTTGAGGTTTACCAATGCGAAGGTGAGGGGGGTCGTGTGGAAGACCTGAGTGGAAGTACCTTGTTTAGCATTGGATACATTTATTAAACGTTGAATTTCGGTAGTATCTTGGAGCCAGGGTTCAATGAGGAAAGGAAAGTATTTACTTGTGGGGTTACTAGGAACGAGCCAAAGTGGATTGGCGCTGTGGCGCCTTTAAGTGCTGACATATTTGTAGTAGTGTCGGTCATTGGAGGTGTTGGTTGTCGAAGAGATGGTTGCCAAGGTTAATGTTTGGAGCTGTAGCGATAAGGAGCTTATCAGGTCGGATAAGAAGTACTGTGAATCATGGTTCAAGGGGCAGCTTGGGCTTGGATAGTAGTAGTAAATGGTGTAAATAGTACTAGTAGGTTGTAAAGTGGCAAGGTGTACCAGGAAATTGGGTATCTGTGACATTGAACCATAAAAAATATCCTGAGGCTACTATATTACAATATGAAAGTAAAAATTAAAATCATCCATCGCAAAGCAAAACATTAAGGGGTTCCACCAGGACAAAAATACAAGGGGTCATGAATCAAGCGATGAAAAGACTAAGATTCCTCGGTCTTCGACTCAGGCTCGGCCTCGGTTTCTGGCACTGGGGCTGAGGGCTCAATTTGAGATTCAGCTTCTTCAGCTTCAGGTTGGGGTTCGGACTCAGGTTCCTTTGCATTGGTTTCCTGATCAACGGAAGATGTAGCCACATCCCCACCCTCCAGGGGCTCTGCGGTAGACGTGGGCTCTTCAGGCTTAGCCTCTCCTTCCTGTGCTGGTTCTTCTGTTTTCTCTTTAGGCTCCGGCAAGGACTCTACTGTTTCCTCGTCCTCGACCGGTTCTTCGACCGGCTCCCCAATGGCTTCTTCGGCCTCTGGAGTTGACTCGGTCGGCTCCGAAGTTCCTTCTGGAGCGTCTGGGGCAGTGCTTTCAGCCTCGGGGCGCTTCTCTACAGCGGAAGGAGGGCGTGGCTCGGGCGACTCCTTCAACACTTCGCGCAGAGGAGCTTGTACCTGAGGGAACTCTTCCGGATCTTCCGAGCTCTCGGTGATCGTTGTGACGCGCGACCCAGTAGACGGACTGTGTTTGTGTCGTCGAGTAGTGGCACCTGTGCTGATCGACGGATCCAGGTTATCTATCTCATTGGAAATCGGTCCATCATTCTCCTTGCGAAGAATAGTCAATCGTTTGCTGTCAGGCTGCTCCTCAAATCTGGGCTGGATTGCGTCCAGGCCTTGTGCTTCGGGCGGAATGGTATAGTTGTCCTCCGGAATGAGTTGGAACATGTCGCAGACAGTCTTAAAGAAAACGTACAGTCCATCATGGCCTTCGACTTCCCAAAAAACATCGCGATGTTGGAACCAAGCGTGTGCGAAAATCCGATACAGCCGACGGAAGACGTTAGTCAGGTGTCTCATGCTAGCCTGGGGGCCGCCGCCCGCCTCGGAGCCTAAAGTGAGACGGCTGGGGAAGTATTTCGGCGAGGTGAGGGTGTTGTTCGCCCAGTCTAGGGTGTGGCAGCAGTAATCAATAGCACAGCATGATTTAGGAGGATCGTGCACGGCGCAGAGATACTGCCATTCCGATGCGCGCATTTCGGGACAGGTCTGCGCAGAGCAGGGAGGGTCCTCGGCGAAGAAAGCGATGATCAGATTGTTGACTTTCATAGTTAAGAAACGGCATAACTCGTAAAGCCATAGCGATCGGTCGACGCCCTCCGGGGGATCAGCGAGCTGGATTGCGACCTCGCGAGTAATCGGGATGACGGTATCAGATCCTTCGGGTTTAGTGAAATGATGGTACAAAGCTTTCAGGTGTTCCTGAAGCTGGAAAGGGGAGTCAAGCTGGGGTTGTCAGTAAATTTCTTGAAAAAGGCATCTAGATCGGTCGGAAACCAACCTGCGATAACGGGATCAGCGGCGGTCCAAAGGCCATGTCAGCCGCTTTGGTTCCCGGACGAATTCTGCGTGTTGAGCCATCATCTTCTCCAGCGGCAGCTCCTAGAAACTGCTCCCCATCTTTACCAAAGGCCTCGCCAACTGAAGGCGACTGAGGACCGATCTGGACTTCTGTGAATGGGGGCGGGCTGGGGAGGCGTGGGGAGCTAGACGGGGAGACTCCGGAAGTCATGGCGCGTAACAAAGAATGGGGGTCGGAATAGTTGGAAGAGAGACGCGAAATCAAAGGACAGAACCCGGAGATGATAAAAGAGTGAATGGGAAGTCCGCGCCCTCGCTGAATTTAAAGAAGCTCGAAAAAATTATGAGACAACTTAAGCATGGACTTGGTCGGAGCTGAAGCAGCAGATAAGCAGTAACTACTACTAACAACAAATGACCATCACGTGCCCTAAGCCCTATTCTCCCTTCTAGGAAACAACGTCATCTTCTTCCGCATCTACAACTTCTTTACCAGACTAAATAGCGAGAGATCTGGGAAAAGACAGAGCTTTGAATTTAGCTATACCGACGTCAGAATATTGCACTGGTTGAAAATGTCTTCCTTTATAGAGGATGATGACGCACCTCCAGACTTGGTGGATGTCATGGCGACGCCAGCAAACGAATCTGTCTCTATAGAGGAAGAGCCGACGAGTCGAGTCCCTATCACTCTCGTCACAGGTATGATTTGGTTGGAACTATTAATTAGATGAATATTAGCTGACTCCATGATCAGGCTATTTGGGAGCAGGAAAAACTACCCTGTTAAAGTACATTCTGACCGAAAAACATGGTAAAAAGATTGCCGTGATCATGAATGGTATGTTACCTTTATACATTTCTATGATTCAAATGTTCAGAATTGCATACTAACCACTGATAGAATTTGGTGACTGTACGTTGTTTCCACAACCTTTTGACTATGGAATGTACATTAATGAACTATAGCCTCGGACATTGAAAAGCCTTTAACCGTCAACGAAGGCGGCCAAGAGGTCACTGAGTGGATGGAAGTTGGCAATGGCTGCATTTGCTGCTCAGTCAAGTACGATCTCATCCTAATTGGTATTTGGTTTTATACTAATGTGCTTTTTCAGAGACTCTGGAGTCATGGCCCTTGAATCGCTTATGGAACGCCGTGGCACATTCGACTACATTCTCCTAGAAACAACAGGCCTAGCTGATCCAGGCAATATTGCCCCTGTCTTCTGGATGGATGAAGGTCTTGGCAGCTCTATCTACCTCGACGGGATCGTAACGCTGGTCGATGCAAAGAACATAATCCGGCTCCTTGACGAGCCAGCCCCGGAAGAAAAAGCCGACTCCCATAAAGAGAGCGCTAATGACCGCGACAACAAGCATGAGCACAAGCACTCAGGGCCAGTGCTATCCATGGCACATATGCAAATTTCGCACGCGGATGTGATCGTCCTCAACAAGACGGATCTAGTGACGGAAGATGAACTTGAAGCCGTGAGGGACCGCATTACATCGATTAACAGTGCGGCTAAAATTCATGTTACGGATCATAGTCGTACGCCGCAAATTGAAGGTGTGGTGCTTGATTTGCATGCATATGATCATCTTGCAGATTTGGATTTTGGGAAAAAAGGGCATAGTCATATGGATCCCGCTATTTCGACTGTTGCGATCGTCACGCCACCTATTCCCTCTAACCGTGTGGAGAAGGTCGACGAGTGGCTGCGAGAAGTTCTCTGGGAATCGATATTACCTGTCTCCGGTGGAGAAGATTCACGGTCATGGCCAACAGATTTTGAGATCCATCGCTTAAAGGGAATATTGGTGCTTGAGGATGGCTCAAGTAAGATCATTCAGGCTGTGAGAGATGTTTTTGAGATTCGTGATTCAGCGCCGCGCCAAGATGAAGATGAGGATAAGAAGATTCAGTGCAAAATTGTGCTTATTGGGAGAGGGTTGACAGCAAGTGGTGATCCTTGGAGGAAGAGCTTTGAAGCATTTGTACGGAGTTAACATCCTGACGAGGTTTCGGATACATATGATACTTGACAGGGAACGATAGTTTCCAAATGATGCATGGCAGTATTCAACAAAAGAAGAAAATAATACAGCCATGGTGGCTAAAGAAGAGAGAAAGAGCAAGGCTTGGTCAAAATACACTTGAAAGATCTGTGCGAGAACGCCGGGACAATTAAAATCCTCCGTAGGGATGAAAAAATATGGCAAGAGAAATAGACGGGGAAAGGCAAAAACGAGAACAAAGACGCAAAAACGCAATGATGTAAAAATCAGATCAAATCCACCATAAGAGATAAAAGAAGAAAAAACGAGACTTTTTGGACGCCTTAAGTTCGCCGGCATCCGCCATTGGTGCAGATGCCTAGGAGTGCTAGCTTGGAACGCAACAATGACAATGATAGGAGAACTATACAAGCGAGAAATGAAAGGGTATCGATCGTATAGCCCCACGAAATGGGACTTGAAAATCATCTGGCGTTCATAATCTTCAGAGTTACATAACCTTGGGCCAGAAGAGGATGGACCAAGGATCTTCTTCTAGAGGCTGTCTCTAGAGGATGGGTTGATAGGGAGTCGGGAATCGACAAGAGAGTGATTGAGTCGGGCCGAGCGGTTGTCAGGAGCCCGGCTGCTGGTGAGTTGAGATTTGACAGGAGAGAGGACAAATTTGATGGAGCCGTCTTTGACTGTTGTGTCGGTTGGCATTTGTGACTCGAGGATGGTAGGAACCAATTTAATAGGGCTCTTCTCGGGGGTCCGGGATTCTGAGCTCTTTGGTTCAAAAGGCGACGAGCCATTTGTCATGGGCCCATCTTCAACTGCAGGGTTGATAGGCAGTCGTGATTCGCCAAGGGATGCATCCTCATTTCCAACGATTGCGTTGAGTCCGGGTGCATTCGCAGTAATTCTCTGAGCAGAGACCTGTGACTCTCGAGTTGAAGGCACAACTCTGGCATAACCTTTCTCAGCGGCCGGGTTTATGGGAAGTCGTGATTCAATAAGAGGTGATGGAAGGTCATTGACGATGGAGAGTTGTGACACGCCGGGCAACGGAATGGGACCAACAGACCCGTTTTCAGCAGCCGGGTTTATAGGAAGACATGAGTGAGCAAGCGGAGGTAGTTTTATGGTGTTGGTCTCGATTATTGCGCCGGTGGAGATGGAGGTGGAGGTGAAAGACTGCGGCTTGAGGTTCGGAGACATAAGCTTAGAAGAGCCATTTTGAACAGCCGGGTTCAAAGGCAGTCGTGACTTAAGCAGATCCAATTCTGCGGAGAAAGACTTTCTTTCTTCTTTCTCTTCTTCTTCCTCAAATGCAGGGTTAATAGGCAATTGAGATTGAGAGAGATGCATATGTTGTAATAGAGCTGAAGTGTCGACAATAGACTCGCGAGGTGGTGGTAAAAGCGGTTGCGTATTTTTAGCCACTGAAGGGAACGGCCTGTGTCGAGAGAACTGCAGAGATGGATTGATGGGGAGGATAGAGCCAAAGAGAAATGGCATTGCGGGCTCGGTCTCGGTAAGTTTGGAAATCGAGACGGGACGCTCGCTAGATTGATCAATCGGCCCATCTTCTGAACTTGAGATTGGTATCCGTTCAACAGGTTTGGCAGAAACGGGGATGGACTCGCGGTTGAGTGGGTGGCCATCCCAATTGATTGAATCTTGGTCAATGGATGGAGCGGATGATGAATATTCCATTGGAGTGGCATCCACGGGGGGAATTCTCGGTTTGGTGCATCGGAATTCATATTCTGTCCCATATCATTCCTCCACACGGGTTGCTCAACATTTCGGGCTGGATGCGACTCGGCTTCATCGTATTCATCGTCGGATTCGTCGAACTCGTCCCATCTTCTCCCAGAGTCATGAATTTCATGGTGATTCAATGTAGATGCCGAAGAATGCCGGGACAAGAAGGTGGCTCCCCCATTGGAACCTGCAAGCGTGGGCGTTGAGCCCTTGCCTTGGTCATGGTGGCTTGAGAAGATTGGCTGTGGCATGCCGTTGTGTGTTTTGGGAAATTCGTTTTTGAAGGGAGTTAGGGGTTCAAAAGGGCGGTTCACAGGGACTGCGACAGGGAACGCATCACTGCCGTTGCCTTTTGTGATGAGAGGTCGTAAGTCTTGCCCAGTAGTATCTCGAACCCGGCCCGCGGGTAGAGATCGTGAGAAAAGGTCAGTTGGGAATAGGGTAAGAAGATCCTTGGCACTCAATCGGTGCCGGGGAGTCGGACTAAGACAGATATCAACCACTCGTCGGTAGTAATCTGGCACATCTGCATCAAGTCCCAGGAGCAAGGGACGCGGTTGTCGTTCTGGCTCGTCCTCCTCCATTGCCAAGGCCCACAGGGTCATTCCAAGCTGGTATAGATCGGTCTTGACCCCGATGTACATAGAGATGCGCTGGTTGCTCTCAATTTTGGCGGCAATCTCTGGCGGCTCCCATCCAACGGGACATCCTCGGCGGTTTATGTCGATGATATGGGCATTGTCATTTCCATCCACCACAATATTCGACAGTGTAAAATCTCCCTGGACATAGCCAGATTCGTGAATCTCACAAAGACCTTGTACAATTTGTTTGGCCCATCGCTCCCGTCTGGCAAAGGATATGTCCCCCCGCTGATCGTACAGAATATCAACTAGCGCGCCTTGGGCAGCATAGTTGATCAATAAGCCCTTGACCACTTCCTGTCGCTCATCGACCACAATCGCTTCAACCTGAATCACATTTGGTGCGCCATTGAGAGCGTGCAAGGCATTAATCTCGTATAGAAACTCGTCCACCGTGTCGGGGCCCGGAATCTCCTTCTTTATGTACGCGTGACCCCCCAACTGTACTTTGTAAACAAAACCAGAGAGGTGGGATTCGAAATGCAAAAGGTTCTCTGGTACGCAGCGGGCACCCCGCAAGTGTCCGATGCTAGAAATAGGAGGGTAGGGGATCATCTCATTCACATCTTCGGTGACATGAACATGCAAGCGGCCTTCGCTAGTCTCGACTTTCAAATTGGTGACGGTATCGTAGAATTGGATTTGAGGTAGGGATTCGCGGATGGATTCGTAAATTCGCGCACATTTGTCTCTCTGGTATCGCAAGTCCTTCAAATCCTGCTCGAGTGAATCCTCCGTGGCACCCCGATAATCGCAGGATATTGTGACTCGGCGCCATCGGGTCGGGGTCTCTGCATAAGTGACGAAGAACTTTTCCCTTTCCGATCGATCCCGAAAGTGCATGCTCAGGTTCAAAATCCATCGGTGTTCCAGCTCCATCTCGAGTGTGTTTGGCGGAGGTGCGCTTTCAGGGGCTGTGGTGGTTAAATCGGGGGAGGAGTCCCAATCGGGTTGAGAATCGATCTCATTGTTCGAGTCCAAATCCGGGTCTAGGTCCAGGGTCGCGTCCAAATCGTCCAAATCACGATCGAGGGGCTCGTCGACCGTGGTAGCGGTTGTCGGGCCGATCCACTGAACCTCTGGCGCGGAAAGTCGAGGGCCCACGGCGGGCGGTGGAGACCGGGTTCTTTGGGCACTCAACGGGCGACGGTCGGCCGACTGCGCACGACGATGCTGAGGTTCAACCTTCAGGGGCGCAAGTTGATCATGACTTTGTTCGGAGGTTGGACGTTTAAAGGGGCCGGACATGGGCAAGCCAACCCCTACGCGACGTGAGAGGCGACGGGTAAGGTTGTCCTGTTTATTACTATCGATGGAGGTCGCTCGGTTATGGTTGTGGGGGAAGAGGGCATCCTGGTTCCGGGAATCTCGATCGTCACGACCCAACCATCTTCGCAGTCCCAATCGATGCCAAACACTCTGTTTCGGTCCCTTTTCGTCCATTGGGAAACCCAGCCGAGTTGGGCTACAGCTGTTCGCAAGGGCGATGGCCATGCGGCACGTTGTGCAAGGAACGACTCAATCACCCCCGCTAGCTGAAACCCCGACGGCCATAAGAAATTGGACCTAAAAGGGAACAGGCTTGTAGAGGGGGGAAGGGAAGAGGAGTCAAAGAGGAGAGAGATTATGAGAGAAGAAAAAAAAAAGATAGGCAAGAAGAAAAGAAAAAAAGCCGTGCAAGCCTCTCAAGCACTGATCCTTATTGGCAAAGGCACAGACTTTGTTGTTGTTGGCCCCCTTATTCCTTTTCTATAAGTCCTTTTGCTTTTTTTTTTCTCTCTTTTGTTTTCTTTTTCCCTGTCCTTTCGAGGTTCCAGCAAGCTTCAATCTGGCGTGTCACACAAGGGTTGCAATGGGGATGAGGCTGGGAAAGTTGGTCCGTGACTTAAGGGAAAAGGCGGTGCAGGATATAACGTTGGAAAGAGAAAATTTCAAGATAAAGTCGGTCAGCGTCTTCAATGAATATGATTCCCAAAAAAAAAAAAAAAACTGGTGTATGGACGTTAGCGGTGGGAGTTGTGCGTCGATCCACTGCAAGGTAAAGTGAATGTCTCACAGCAACAAAAGAACGGGCTTTTTATTCGAGAACAGATTCAAATCAAGGGAGAAGAAATAATAGAAGTAATATGATTCATTCTACGCACAGATCAAAAGATCCAATTAAAAAAAATGAAAAGTGAGGCTGGATTGCGGCCTGACTCAGTGCCTGATTGGGAACTGATTGAAGGGCATCGATGATTGGTGGGTTTGGAGATCTGTACAGCAAATCCTAGTCTTATGTACTAGTAGTATACTATATATCATATCAGATACATTAATTCTCGTTGAAACACATGATACGTCCAAGGAGAAGCCATTTGAATCTCCTGGAGCTTTATTTGAGGGGAGCAGGTTCTAGAGAGGTTTGGGGAAATCAAATCAAGAGACGTCTAAAACAAATTTCAAACGTCCAACGCCAGTCCATGCATTCCGGTTGGGGAAGACAAGACGCCACCCACCGATAAAGTAGCAGAAAGAACAAGGGGAAACAAAACAAAAATCAACCTATACAAAGATACAACATGTATGTATACCACTGGTACATAAGATAATAATTAAAAAAAAAAAACATATCAAAAGGTCCTTTTTTTTTTAATCGTCATTAGAGCTGTTAGAGCCGCGATCGCCTTGGTCCGCAGGCTTGGCCAACGCTTTCTGCCAAATCGTTTGCGCAGCCTCGTGGTCTAGGGTAGGGAAGAGGAGGTCAAACACTTCGGAGTACCAGCTAACTGGGTGGCCTGTGATGCCCTTCTTGATGTTCTATTTCACATTGTTAGCTTAATTCTTCGCGGGATATATAGGAGCTATTGGATGGGGAATGACTCACCTCGGGCAACTCAAGCCAGTCGGAGGTATTGTCGGCTGGGAAGATGACTGTGGTCGCACCAGCCCGACGAGCAGCCACTGTCTTCTCTCTCAAACCGCCAATGCGCAGAACCTTACCGGTGACCGTTAGCTCACCAGTCATGGCGACGGTCGGGTCAAGCGGGTGGTTCAGCGCCAGCGATAGCAATGCGCTAGCCATAGTAATACCAGCAGATGGTCCTAAATAAAGAAAAAGCGGTTAGTCAAACGAAACGACACCCAATAAACAAGTATCTTAAGACGATATAGGTACATACCATCTTTAGGAACAGCACCCTCAGGACAGTGCAAGTGAACCTTGGCCTTCTCAAAGAAGGCGTTCTCGGAGAACTGCTTGGCCATGACAGACTTGGCAAAGGAGTAGGCAATATGGGTAGACTCTTTCATGACGTTTTGCAGGTTGCCGGTGATCTCCAATCCCGGTCGCGACGCGTGTTTCAAGGCATTCTCCAAGATACACTCGACGTAGAGGGCGGCGCCACCCATACTAGTCCAGGCAAGACCCATGGTGACACCAGGGGGGAACTTGTCGTACAGACGGTCCGCAGTGAAAACTGGAGGCCCGACGTAATCCTTCAAAGTATCCTTGCCAATGCTGAGCTGTACGTTTTCGGGCACCTTGAGTGCGAGGCGAGGAATCTCGGTGGTTGACTTTTCCGGTTCAAGAGGGGCCTCAGCGGGATCCGAGGACTCGTGTTCCTTCGACTGCTCCTGAGCAGCCTTGCCTTCTTCGGTCAGTGCCGCCTCTTCCGGGAATGTCTCCTCACCCAGATCCTGCACAATCTTGAAAGCCGCTTTCCGGTAAACCTTCTCAATCTGCTTCTTCAAATTACGAACACCGCTCTCGCGGCAGTAGGACTTGATGAGCTCCTCGATGGCTTCCTTTTCAAGGTTGACATCAACATCCTTCAGGCCAGTCATCTCTCGGGCAGCCGGGGCCAGGTATCGCTCCGCAATGGCCATCTTCTCATCAGCCACGTAGCCGGAAAGCTCAATGAGCTCCATGCGGTCGAGCAACGGGCGAGGAATGGTATCAGTGACGTTGGCAGTGCAAACAAACAATACCTTGGATAAGTCGACGGGGACATCCATGTAATGGTCCAAGAAGGAGCTGTTCTGCTCGGGGTCAAGCAACTCCAGCAACGCAGAAGAGGGGTCACCCTGATGACCACGACCAATCTTATCCACCTCGTCAATCAAGATTAAGGGGTTTTCGGTCTGGCACTTCTTGAGAGCTTGGATGATACGACCGGGAAGAGCACCGACGTAAGTCCGTCTGTGACCCTTGATCTCCGCCACATCAGTCAACCCACCCACAGAGAAACGATAGTACTGTCGATTTAAGGCACGGGCCACAGATTTTCCGATACTGGTCTTTCCTACACCAGGAGGTCCGACGAGGCAAAGGATTTTTCCTTCCACGGTGCCGCGGAGCTTGCCCACGGCGATGAACTCCAAAATCCGATCCTTCACATCCTTTAGGCCGTAGTGATCTTCATCAAGAACAGAAACCGCGTTCTTAATGCCAAAGTTCTCAACACTCTTCTGACCCCAGGGAATCTGAGTGAGCCAATCCAAATAATTGCGAGTGACGTTAAATTCGGAGGCCGCAGGTTCAAGGTGGGCCAGCTTGTTGATCTCCTCATCAAAGACCTTCTTAACAGCCTCGGGCATAGCAAGCTTCTCTGCCTTCTCCTTGAACTTTTCAACTAGCTTGTCCTTGCCATCTGACTCGATGCCAAGCTCTCTCTTGATTCCCTTCATCTGCTCCATCAGCCAATATTCGCGCTGACGCTTCTGGATCTTGGCCTCGACATCCTTGGTGATTTTGGATTGAAGTTGAGCGTTCATCAACTCTTTCTTCAACACGACAAGAGCTTTGGGAAGACGCTCCTCGATGTTCATGGTCTCGAGCACCTCCTGCATCTCATGCAGCTCCCCGGCTGAAACCGCGGCAGCAAAATCAGCAAGCTTAGCAGGCTCATCACTGAGGTTTCCAGGGAACTGGTCGGTGTAGAAAGCCGAGATCTGATCACGGAATAACGGGTTCAAAGTAGCAATTTCCTTGCACACGTTCACGATTTCACTGGTCACGGCACGAATAATTGCATTCTTCTTGTCGAAAGGCTCCTCAGTCAAGTTTTCCACATTGACCAAACTGACTGGGTACTTCTTTAGGAATGATGTAGGTTCATAGTGATCCTTGGGCGCAGACTCAGCAGCCCCTTCTTCGAAGCTCGCCACAACATCACCCTTCTTTTCAGCCTTATCTTCTGTGGTATTACCCTTGGTGGTTTCACTAGGGGGTAGGAGCGAGGAAATCTTGATGCGGCGATGTGGGTAGAGGACAGCAGTCACACCGCTGGCCTCTCCGCGGAGTGGGTAGGCTGCTGTAATTTGGGCGAATACACCGGTATCGTAGACATCGTCCAGGTTATCAATAACATCACCATCGGCATTATCATCCTTGAACAAGAATGCGCCTACATACGGTTGGCCGCGCTTCATCATATCTTGAATCGCAGCCGCAACATTGGGGTCACGGATGGTAATTGCCTTGTAGAATCCGGGGAACAGAGGTCGCTTCGCAATAGGAATTGCCATGACCTGTGGGTATACATCCGGGACAGCAGGCTTTTGCAAAGCCTTTTCCCCGGATCCTTTCTTGCCCTTCTTCCCGCCATCGTCATTTCCGCTATTGCCGCCACTGTTCGCAGAGCTAGGCTTCGAGTCGGCCGCGCTACTGCTTGGGGGAATAGCGGAGGGCGTTTGGCTCGAATTTCCCTTTCCATCAGCCTCAGCTTCCTTCTTGGGCTCTTCTTCTATTGCCCGCTCCTTGTCGCTTGATGATCGATCTTTTCTCCGGGTGGAACTTGTCTGCTCGGCGGTCTTATCCGAGTCGGCAACTTTCCGTCGCGATTCTGAAGCTCTCGCTGCTTCCTTATTCTCTTGACTTTTGTCCTCCTCTTCCTTATGTTCTAGCTCATCATTTTGGTCCTCCGGTGGGGGTTTCTCTTTCCGTTGGATGGAGCTAGAGGAGAATGTGCGGGGAGCCGAGGGAAGGGAACGGCTAAGACGGGTTGCAGTTAATGCAGAACGGAAATTGGCATTATTCCTTGTCGCAGTAAGGAAAGGACGGCGGAGTAAAGGGCGAGGCGTTTGGTGGAGCGCAGCTCTCCAGGGGAGGGTCTGGCCGCGGAGCATGCTACCGGTGTTCTCGGTGAATATGGGAGGCTCGGGGTTATGGCTCCGGAAACGGAGAATTGAGGTAGATGATTGAAGCTCAAATGAGCCTTATTGCAGCTCCAGGATGGGAAAATAGAAGCTGGAGACGATTGAGGAGGCGTGGGAAGATGTCAAGGTCCGTCCATCGGAGGCCACTCGGCTTGCTCATGACCTGAGAGCAAAGGACCCACTCGGCCCGACATATTTTCCGCTTGATTCTTACAAATGCTAAATGAGGCCATACAGCACGCGCACGTTCTATGCAAGTCAAGATAAGTACCAGGGTAAAGGGGACTATGCAGAGGTTCCTACGGAAATAACAAGAGTAATTCTTTCTTTGAGACTTTGTTCTTATTTTTCTCTTTTTTGTATAGCAGTTGATGTACCCCTAATAGTCAACAACATGTGCAGCCTGGTGTATCAATCACATCGCCAATGAACAACTTCTTTTTCCTTGACCTCCAATTTCAAATGTCAAACCACTTGGCATCATCAATGCCACCAGTAGCTTATATTCTTCAAGAATGACAATAAAAGATAGGTAGTCAGATTTAGAGCTATACTAATTTAATGGAATGTCCAATGATTTCATTTCTATCTGCAGTTCCACTCCTCGGCCCGACTTTTCTTCCGCGGCACCAGTCTCCTCGTCGACTAGACGTTTCTACCACGATCCCGACTGGTGGACGACAAGCCATTGGCGTTTCTTCTGTTATAGACTTTTTTCCTACTTTTTTTTCTATCTTTTGTTTCCTTCATCCTTTCTTTTCGCCTTCCTTGTCGGAGCTCGGCTTCAACTACTGACAAAAAAAAAAAGCGAACCGCTTCCCCGGCTATTACAATTCCTGCCTTCATGAACCCATCCGCGGCATTTCCCAAGGCCGCGGCCCTGCCCGCGCGCCTGCTTCGGGCTCAACCCCAATGCTCAACGCAGACAAGCCGCCCAACTGCGTGTACGGTGTCTCACACAAGAGCTTACCATGCGGGGGCCTCTGCCGCTCCCGCTAGACGGCTGCGTGACGGTTCTTGCAAGAAAAAGGCCTCATATGTACTCCTGGCCCGGGTAGGTCCCCTTGTTCCCTCTGTATTGAGTATCCCCATGATCAATCACTAACCAATAGTAGCCCTTCCACTCGACCGCATCGCTCGCAATTGCCGATCCTTACAAAGTCCTCGGAGTAGACAAAGGCGCATCTGCCGGTGACATCAAGAAGGCATACTACGGCCTGGCCAAGAAATACCACCCGGATACCAACAAGGATGCCAACGCCAAAGATAAATTTGCCGAGGCTCAATCTTCTTATGAATTGTTGTCCGATGCCAAGAAGCGCGAGCAATACGATCAATATGGTTCGGCCGCTTTTGACCAGAATGGCGGTTTCAACCCGCATGCCGGAGGCAACCCATTCGCCGGCGCCGGAGGTTTCCACGGATTTGGTGGAGGTTTTGGTGGTGGTGGCTTCGGAGGAGGCGGCTTCTCAGGCGACATCAACTTCGAGGATCTTTTCGGTGCTTTCACCGGTGGTGCTCGTCGAGGCGGTCGACGTAACCCATTCCAAGAGCAGATCCTTGTTGGAGAGGATATCGAGGTTCAAAGCAACATCAGCTTCATGGAGTCCGCCAAGGGTATTTCGCAAGACATTGTCATTACACCTTTGACAGAGTGTGGAACTTGTAAAGGTGATGGGCTGAAGTCTGGCGCCAAACGATCTAAGTGTAAGTCTTGCAACGGCTCTGGAACTCGTGTGCACTTCATGCAGGGAGGTTTCCAGGTCGCTGCAACTTGTGATGCTTGTGGTGGTGCAGGCATGTCTGTACCCCGTGGATCGGAGTGCGGTGGCTGTCACGGAAGCGGTGTCACCAGAGAACGCAAGACCTTGAAGGTCGACATTCCAGGCGGTGTGGAAGACGGTATGCGGATGAGAGTCTCTGGTGAGGGTGATGCGCCTGCCACTGGAACGGCGGCTGCTCCTGGTGCCCGCACCCAGCGTGGTGATCTTTATCTCACGATCCGCGTTGCTCCTGATCAGCGCTTCACTCGCAATGGATCAGATATTCTACACACTGCTTCGATCCCGCTTACAACTGCTTTGCTTGGTGGTGAGGTTACCATTCCCACTCTTGAAAAGGACGTCAAGGTCAAGGTGGCTACTGGTACTGGTACCGGTGACCGGATCACTCTGTCCGGTATGGGCATGAAGAAACTGGGAGGAGGTCGCTCTTCGCGATTTAGTCCGACAGGTGATCTGAAGGTTGAATTCAAGGTTGCCATGCCAAAGTACTTGACTGGCAATCAACGAACAATCCTGGAGGTTCTTGCTGACGAGATGAACGACAAAACGGCTCGACGGACTATGAACTTTAGCAAGGATAGGTAAGCATCGTTAACCTCTCCCCGGTCTATAATTGCGGTACGGTACTAACATCTCGGCTAGCCCTCCAACTGATACCGCCAGTGACAAGAAGGATGAAGGATTTTTGAAGTCTGTGTGGCATAAACTGATGGACAAGGACGGTGACTCCTCCAAGTCCGAGTCCGATGTCAAGAAGGATACCAAGGACGCGGACAAAAAGAGTGAGAAGAAGGGAGATGACTCGAAGAAATCGAGTTAAATCCATGTAAATCTGTATTTCTATATCCATTTGGGCTGTATTTACTTTCTACCATGTTGTTTTTTTCATAGCGCCGGCGGGATTGGGGCATTCTGTTCTGCCTTGGGGAAGATGGGGCGGACCGTGTATTACTATGTTAGGCTACCATGAAGCTCTCTGCTTTCATAAAAGAAAAAGAAATATATAAGACCTGAATTTGTACACTATATGCTCCCAGGGTTTTACATTCAATACTGATTATATTGTCCTGGTATATTCAATACTTGATTCAACCATATGATGTTGGTTGGTGTTTAGTGTTGCCAACCTTATATATCTGGGTTTGGCTATTGGCGCCTAGACAAGACACGGTCGTCACGAAAGGCCATCACATCCCACTTTGTCACCTTCCAGCACTTGAGCTTTCCCAACCCCTTCCAAGCTTGTCTTTTCTCACACAAATTCTCCAGTTTGGATTGTTATTACAGAACGAAAGCTACGTCATTGTTTTAACTAGTGATCTTGCACTTGTCCGCTTGGCCTCTTACCCCACAGCCTCGATCCCGATTCACCCCCTCAACCGCACCGTTGCACCCCCGCTTACCACCCCTGCCTTCGCGTCCCCCTTTCTAAATTTATTTGTGGATGGGAGCCTCCCGCTCCTGACGACCATCACACAATGGTTCAGTCACCGATGCTTGCGTGTCCGCTGAAGCAGACCAACGAGATTGATTGGATCCAACCCCTCAAGGATTACATCCGACAGACCTACGGCGAGGACCCCGAGCGCTATGCTTCAGAATGTACTACCCTCAACCGCCTCCGCCAGGACATGAGAGGTGCCGGTAATGATAGCGCCACCGGACGCGATCTGTTATACCGATACTACGGACAACTAGAGCTGTTAGATCTTCGGTTCCCCGTCGACGAGAACCATATCAAGATCTCATTCTCATGGTATGCTCTAGCCCACCGAAAATAACATATATAGCGAAACCAGTCCTAACGATTTTTCTTATAGGTTCGATGCTTTTACTCACAAACAAACCTCCCAATACTCGTTGGCCTTCGAAAAAGCTTCTATTATCTTCAACATCTCCGCCGTTCTCTCCTGCCATGCCGCTAATCAGAATCGCGCCGAAGATGTCGGCGTAAAAACGGCATATCATTCCTTCCAGGCATCCGCGGGTATGTTCACCTACATCAATGAGAATTTCTTGCATGCGCCATCGACCGATCTGAACCGGGACACGGTCAAGACGTTGATCCATGTGACACTTGCCCAGGCGCAGGAGGTGTTTCTTGAGAAGCAGATCGCGGATGCGAAGAAGTCTGGGTTCTTGGCGAAGTTGGCAGGTCAGGCTGCCTACCTGTATGCGCAGGCGGCAGAAACAATGCAGGACTTTGTCAGCAAGAACGTCTTCGACAAGGTGTGGTCGATTGTAGTGCAGGCAAAGGGGGCGCACATGAACTCCGTTGCATCCTACTACCAGGCTATTGCTGACAGTGAAAGCGGGTCCCATGGTGTAGCCATTGCTCGACTGAAGTTAGCTGAGAAACAGTCTGCAACTGCTCTGACCTGGGCTAAGTCATTCCCGTCCTCGGCTCCTGCAACATCGAATCTACCAGCAGATGCGGGAGGTAACCTGGTCGAGCTTATCAAGCACAACCAGGCCAATGTACAGTCTCAACTGGTTACTTTGATTAAAGACAACGACTTTATCTACCACCAACCCGTTCCAAGTGAAGCAGGCCTCTCGCCTGTTGCCAAGCTTCCGGCGGCGAAGGCGATCCCAGTTGTCGAGCTATACCAAGGACAGGATATCCAGCGTATTATTGGACCTGATATTTTTGCGAAGCTGGTTCCTTTGGCTGTCACGGAGACGGCTAGTCTGTATGATGAGGAGAAGGCCAAGCTTATTCGCGCCGAAACCGAGAAGGTTGAGACTGCCAATGGCGAGATGGCTGCTAGTTTAGATTACTTGAAGCTTCCAGGCAGTCTGAACATTCTCAAGGGTGGAATGGACCAAGAAATGACAGTGGATGAAGAATTTCGCCGCTGGTGTTCAGAGCTTGGTGGACATGCATCGTTCAACCGAGCTCTTGACGAGCTACAGGAGCGTAAGGCGGAAGTTTTATCGCAGCTGGATCAGTGCTCAAAGCAGTTAGATCTGGAAGAGAGTGTATGTGAGAAGATGCGCTCCAAGTATGGAGGCGACTGGAGTCAACAACCCAGTGGTCGGCTGAACACTACACTCCGAGGAGATGTTCGCACATACAGAGATACCGTCAGCGAAGCCAGTGCGAGTGATACTCAGCTGTCGTCCACACTGCGGCAGTACGTGGAAGACTTTGATCAGATGCGATCTGCTGGAGAAACAGACGAAGCCGACGTTCTCTTCCAGCAGGCTCTTATCAAGGCTGGTTCCAAGCATAACAAAGGTAAAAATGGTGTTAGCAGCCCTGCCGAAGGCAGTCTATTAGACGACGTCTATAATGAGGGCAGTGCATCTGTTGCGGGACAGATAGCTAAGGTGGAGGAGATTTTGAAGAAGCTTAATCTTGTCAAGAGGGAGCGGTCCCAAGTCCTCAAAGATCTCAAAGAAAAGGTTAGTTTGTATTTCTATTGATATCTCGAACTTTTCTATACTAACCGACTTACTTCTTTCAGGTTCACACCGACGATATCTCAAATGTGTTGATTCTAAATAAGAAAACCATTGCTGGCCAAGAAAGCGAGCTCTTCAAGGTTGAACTAGAAAAGTTCCTACCACATCAAAATCGTCTGTTACAGGCGAATCATAAACAGTCATCTTTGATGAAAGAACTTACCAAGACATACGCCGACTTGTTACAAGACAAGCGAGTTCAATCCGAACAATCCAAGTACGAGGGAATTACACGGCAAAGAAATGCAGTGATGGCTCGATACAAGAAAGTGTATGAGGCATTCAACGGTCTTTCATCTGGTATTGTCCAGGCTCGAACCTTCTACAAAGATATGGGCGATAATGTCGAGAGCCTTCGCAAGAATGTGGAAACTTTCATCAGTAACCGTCGGTCTGAGGGCGCCCAGCTTTTGAGCCAAATCGAGCGCGACAAGGCTAGTGGTGTCTCAGAACAAGAGGATCAGGAGCGGGAAAAGCTCCGTCAGCTGATGGAGCGTCTGTCGACGGAACCAAAGCCATCGGCAACTTCCCCATTAACAAGACCCCCAACGGCACCTTCCAAGGTGAAGTCGCCGCCGCCGCCTGTTCAAACACCAGCATACGGAACAGGCCCGTCCCCGAAGCCGTCACCCCGCTACCCACCGAGCATGCCACCACATGGTATTCCTGCATCACACTCTCCGGCGCCTTATGGGCAGTACTTGGGCATGGGAGCAAGCCCGGCTATGCCATATGCAGGTCAACAGCCCTTCCAGCAAGGCGCCGCTGCTCCACTCTCTGAAGGATACAACCCCATGGCATACCCGTACCAAACACCAGTCTCCCCACCGCCCAACCAGCAGTTCTTTTCCCAAACCCCGGCTCCATATGGGTACCCAAGTGCTAGTCCTGCGCCTTCCGCTGCGACGGCTGGTACCCCACAGCACTATATGACTCCGCAGGGCTATATCCCTCCCCCGCCCCCTCCTCGCCCTCAGCAACCCAGCTACCCACCTTCCGCTGGTCCCTATCCATCTGGACCTGGCGGGTATGCTCAGCCCAGGGCGTACGGACACAACAAGACACCTTCCCAATCTCAGCCCCAGTCATCTGCCACCACTGATCCCTGGTCTGGACTCAATTCCTGGAAGTAGGCCACACGCCCGGTGTATATCTATGGCGGTAGGGATACTTTGATATAGTGGACCAGGATGGGGAGCTAATTTTTGTTAGCAAAACTGGGGAGGCTAGGCATCCATCTCTCGGCGTTCTTTTTTTCTTGTTTTGCGTTGTGTACGTGTTCGATATCACCCCCGTTAGTCCGTTTATTGTGTCTTGATTCTCGCCAACTTCGGATTGGAATTTATCTTTTGGTTATGTTGCTTTAGAAGCTATGCAGTTATGTACATGATGAATCAAACATAGTATTTAGGTAGTATCATTCACTGTGCTGGTAATTGATAGATGTTATGTGAACAGACGTGCTCAGGTGGTGGGATACTATTAAAGTAAAGCCGGTACTTACTTAGTAGTAGGTACATACTACTAGGTACTGGAGCTAGTGCTGGCAAAACTGGACTGTAATATGTACTGTGTAGTAGTAGGCATACAACTTGAATACAATCGTAGACCGATTAAGTCGAATGAAGAAGCACCGTTGAACTCAATGGAACAGATGACTGAATTGAACCATTTCCTATACAACAAACTCAGAGCTATCACTACATCAATAACGATATAGAAAAAGTATAGAAGCACAGGATTCCACAAAAATGCTCTCCACATGAAGAGGTCAGTCCCACCACCAGAAACGCCAATGGGTATCTTAAATATAAATTAACAAGCAAAAAAAAACACACACACAAGCCCAGTCCTCCAAAAAAGTCGTCGACGATCTCATGAAATCCAATGGCATCAAATCGACTCAGAAGAAATCAAATCAAGTTAGATCGAATCAAATCCGAATCGAAAACCAACCAGATCTCCAGATTCCAGCGTGAACCAGAATCCCATCGTTACGGCTGAAACCGCAATCGAAACTGGCGTCCCCGCCGTTCCTCACGCACAGTATACAAAAACCGCGCAATACTTTCCTGCTCCGACAGCCCCGCATTATTGAAGTGCTTCCGCACCACAAGCGCAAAGGCATCTTTGCTCACGCGGTCTTGTCCGATTATCCGGCGCAATGGCGCATCTTGGTCGCTGGCGCTTCCGCTGCCACTTCCGCTCCCACTTCCGCTGTCGGTCCGTGTTCCTGTGCCGGCGTGTGAAGATGCGGCTGTCGGATGGTTGTGGCGGGTGGAGGTGGTGGTTGGGGTATGGTTGGGGTTTAATGTGGATGCCTTTGCGTTTGTGGTTGCGCGGCGGGCGGCGAGGGCTGTAGGGGAGCGGAGGCCGACGCCTTGGGAGAGGACCATGCGGGAGTAATCATTTGAGAAGGCGGAGGGAGTGGGGAGTTTGTGGACGTGGCGGTAGGCATGGAGGATGTCGAGAGGGAGGTCGGACCAGGGGACCTATTGGTTTTTTTAATTTTTGATTAGCGATAATGAATTGAGGATGGAGTTATGTATATGGGGCTTGTATAGTGCGGTTTTGTGGCTTTGGAGGTAGAGAGAATGTGGTATGATGAGGGTTGGTTGTCATGTTCTAAGTTGTTTGCTGGTGCGCTTCTGAAAGCTGACGCCATCGACTGCCAACCTCGATTCTGACCCCCTAAGATAAGGAAATTTGAAAGACTCACTCTTGGTTGTTGGTCTTCGACACTTTGAGTGACTGGCGCACTGGTCACTGATGCTTTCTCTTTGGCAGCAGCTGTCTTCCTGCTCTTTGGAGCTGTGGTTTTGTATTCTCTTGTGCCACTGGAAGCTTCGGACCTGGAGTCATCCACTATGGCGGTGGTACGCTGGCGCGGAGGTGCCATGGTGCGAACGGCACAAAGACACAATGAAGAGATAGATGAATGATGTTCAATGGGCTAGGAGGAATGTCTGAATGGACTTGCAATGCTGTTTCAGGGTAGTAGACTGGTCGCAGCGCACTGGACTCGAACAGAGATTCTCCGCTTTGTGGGCGGACGGACGCGGCAGAACCAGTCATGATTTTTCTGCCGCATTGGGCGGTGGGTGCGCAATTCCCCCCGGAGATAATTAATGAGAATGCTAGGGAGTAAAAGAGGCAATATAGTATGATATTTGAACGAGCAATTGGAAGAAGTATAGTAAACTATAGATTGTTATTCAATGATGTCATCCATGGGTGTCATAGGTGTACGCGAAAAGAGAGATGAGAGATGGGCAACGCGTTTTCTGAAGTGTCCCGATTTGGTATGATAGATCACGAACGCGCATCTCCACGACTTTCGCCCTCCACAAAGACGGATCTTGACACATTCCCAAAATGAAAAAGGAAAATATTTGCTTGCATAAGCAATTTCAATTGCCTCACACCGCTCCATGCGGAGAAACATTGAAACCTCCGCAAGTCGGATAGAAGTGCGGGACCACCAACCCGTCGGATCAACGAGTCAGCGTACTTCCGAGTGGGGGTGGGAAAGGGATGGGGCATTTCTCCATGGGCGCAGAAGACAATTGCCGGTTCAGGGTCACACAAGCACAGGGTACACAAGGGTTGTCGTTACCGAGGGAGAAAAAGCCACCATAGACAAATTTTTCCGTCGCAGCCATATCTACACTCCCAATGGTTGCATGCGTATACAAAATGGTATAAGATTGTACAAATGCAGCAACTCAGCCGATGGCCGGAAAAGCCACCGAGCATCGGGACATTCTCGGCGGGGGAAAATATCGGAAAAACCGGGACAGTCAGAGGCGAAAAGGAGAAGAAAAAAAAGTGTGGAGATTTGGGGGAAAAGGAAATTCTTAGTCAGAGACCAATTGAACGAGAGCCAACGGCAAGAGCACGCAAAGAAAAGACCGGGCCGGCACAGTCAATGCCGAGTGGCAGCCCGAGTCGCGAAAATCGGGCCCGCGGCTCCAACACGGCTTACTCCGTACACACAAAAACCAAGGTTTTTGGCGGCTTTTTTTCTTCTCTCGTTTCTTCTTTTAGTTAGGGGGGCAAGTTCGGGCAAGTTGATAGAGAAAACACACCACGGAAGACTCCCGTGGACATGTTCACCGAACGCCCCCCTTTTGGTGTCCTTGTTACTCCGTACAGTACTTGCTCCGATCAGAAATTTCTTGACTCCATATTCAGATCCAGATCCATACTTGAAATCTTGTATGGAGTACGGAAGATCTCCTGATGGTTTATTTCCTTGGAAACTTCAATGGCATACATACCATTTAGAGGTTTTCCCCGTAGAGAGGATCGAATATTGAACGGACATTCCGTAGAATCATCTCCGTGAGAAGGATCTACTGCATTACTCCGTACAAACTCCAGTATACTTACGGATATATGCCGACCCGTGGATAGGCACCGGACAACCTCCTGACTTACCCAACATCAAGCCCACTCATGTTCATACCCGCACCCACGCCTAAGCCTCACCCCCAAGCCTCCTAGATCATCGTGGAGCAAACCCGAAAAGAGCAAGACAAAAAAAAGTCAGAAGCCCCCGCAACCAAACAAGGGCAGGTGGAAAAGTGGCACAACACCCGTCAGGTCAGCTCCGACTTCACCCGACAAGTGCCCCTCTTTTTTATTTTTTATTTTATCAAACCCCAGCCCTATGGGTTGATAAGTTCTGAAGTCTGGAGCCCGAATTGGGAAGACTGTACCTGCAGTAGACAGTGGTCTAGCTAGAGCCTTGGACCGACCTAGACCAGAAAGGTAACTTTTGCGTATAGAAGATGTACCTCAAATGTACTATACATCTATACGGCGTACCGATTGCGATCTAGTCTGCAGATGATGAAGTCAACTCTGTCGTCATCGATTCCTTAGAAGCAATCCCTAATGCACGAACAAGCCTCTCTCCATCGCATTCTAGCCCGATTGAACTAGCGCTTTCATTTCCCGGAGCACAAGTGCTCCATCGAGGTAGCCGGTGTACCCGTGATTTCTGGGGCTGAGAAGGAGGGGTGGGTTTCGTGTTTGGGGAGAGCTCCTCAAAGAGTATCAGATGATGACGATCAGGTACAACACAGGGTCACTGTAAATCAGGACAATCACGAAAATCACAAACATCGCCGGGATTAATGTAAGGTTATCTCTAGTACCTGTGAAATATCGAGCCGTCATAATTAGACCGAGATGGTCTTTAGAACCGGGGCCCGAAACCCGAAACCGAGGCTTTTGAGTGGCTTTGCATAGGAGATCGTAAGACGTCAATGTCAATGTCGATGAGCAAGGTCAGTGCGAAACGTGCGACTGGAAAATGCTGACGATTAGACCCCCCCCCCCCCGTTTATTTTTATTGTTTTTCACATGGTCATGAAAGCTTTGCATGTGAGGTACAGGAGAAGGCATGTGAAATTGCCAGATTCCCCTTCTCCCCGCCAGAACCCCCCTCAAGGGCCCCCAAAGCTACTAGCTCGTGAATCTATCATAGCTAGCAACCCCGGACCACACGTGAAATCGATAGTAGCCAGTATTGATTGCATATTGCTTATCGTGGGCAAAGATGGGATGGGATTGGTGGATAAGGGAAGCTCCTGCCATTTGTACATCACTGGGGCCCGGTGATAGTGTCTTGTGTATGTACATATGTATAATATGTGGCCCCCCCTTTCCCCTTGGGGTTCGTGATCATCGATCCGATCACCGGGATTGCCAGGGGCATTTCGTTTTTCCAGCAGAGTAGAATAAAAAAAAAAAAAAAATTTTTTAATAGAAAAATAAAATCTGTCAAAAGTGGGTAGGATTACTCCATTGGAGAGTGTGGGGTAGAAATAAATAATAATTCACTCAGAAAGTGGAGAGAATGAGAGGAAAAGAGATGTTCGGCCCTCACCGAGAACTGGACACGGTGATGGGGTCAAAAAAAAAAATCAAGACGGAAAATCCACCATGAATCTCCATGAATCTCCATGGGCCTTTGATCCGGACTTTTTCCCCAAAAGGCCACCTTTTCATTCAAATCTTCAAATGGGATTATCATACTAGTAAGTTCGCTCTATTTTTCGTTATCGTTATCTCTTTGTGTGCACCCCGGACTGCAGTCTGAGCACTCGGACTCCGGAAGGTCGGCCCCGCATGATATCAGGTTGGCGGTGATTGGACCAGGGAAGTTTGTTTTCCAGAAGCTGTGGATCGCGGATCGAGCTCTTGGCGCCAAGCAGTTTATGTGTACTTATCGTGCGTGGATATAAGGAAATGGGCACGTGTCTATATACAAGGATCAACGGTGAAGAACTTTGGTAATCTCTTAGGTAAAAACTCCCGTTAGGGTTACACTGCCCTCACAGGGTTGAAAGGAGGTCATGTCATTATTCAGTCTTTTCCATTCAAAAGAAAAACTCAAGCTCTTCGGAGAAGACTAGTGATTTCTTTCCCCGTTTCCCCGTTTCCCCGTTTCCCCGCGCTGGACTGAGTAACTGCACCCGAACCGCCCTAGTCGTGGGTTATCTCTGATTGCCATTATCATTATGTACTCTATACCCCGGATTTCGCTTTCGCCTCCCCACAATCATCTAAGCCAAGCGCGCCAAATGTCACCTTTTTTTCAACAATGATACACTCTAGCTTTGGGGGGATCGTTTGGATCGTTTGGACCCTTGGGACCTTTTCACGAATGCGTTCAGGATCTACCTCCTTACTCCCCCGTCTTCTCTCCGAAATTAACGAATCCTTTTTTTTTTTCCCTTTTTCCTGTTTTGGTTTATCTACTTACATAGCACATTTGAATTCCTATTCGTAATTCCATTTTAAACATCCTTTTTTTTTCTTTGACATGCTATCCTCCGTGTCTGCGAACGCCCCGTGGCGTTTCGCTTGGTGAGGTTTCAGCGCAAACCTCCAAGGCAGCACGATTGGAAACGGAGCGCAACAAATCGAATTCCCCCGATCACCCCCGGTCCCACGTCAGTCTGTTTCGTAGGTGTTTTGTTCGACCTCATTTTTTCGCTTTTTCTTTCTCTTTCTTCTTTTCTTTTTGTGTCTTTTTTTTCACTTTTGCGAGCACGTCATTGACTTGGCCCTGACCTTGACTCACCCGGGGGAAAAAAAGAGGCAAGGGGTTGGGTTTGCACGGGCTGGGCTGACACTTGACACTGCCACTGCCAATTGTCAAGCTGATGAGTCCAGAACAAATCCAGGAATAACTTGTTTTGAAACTGCCAGTGTACACGAATTCTGTAGTTGTAGCGCTTGGTGGCTGTTATTCCTTCCCACGGTCAGCTGGGCATAGTTTCTTTTTCTTTTATCTTTTTCTCATTTTTCCTGTATTTTGGATGAGAATCCTGGCATGTGGACTCTGATAACGCGATAATGGGCTGTGTTGACTAACACCAGAACTTCGAACATTTGAAGCTCCCGGGAAGTCAGTCTACTTTGGGAAATCTGTGTGGCAGAGAGGGTTTCGTGGGGTTTCCTTTCCCCATATTTGGGGCCACATTGGCTTATTTTATGATTATCCTTGTCGCTTAGCATCCACAGATATTTAACAGTAGTTTACCCGACCTCAACTTTGGGAACAACTCATCATCCCCGGAATGGCGTGATAGATATTTAAAATGTGTGGGGAATTGTGATTTTATTCTTCATATTCAAGGAGAAGCGATGTCGGACGAGAGACAAGGTCGATCCTCTTATCGGACAATGCACAAGCTACCAGTCAACTCATAACAGCCGGCAACGACGATCTTCTGAAAGTTTTTTTGGGGATTATCTTTTTTATTTTATTTTTTAGACTTCAGTCATTTTCCTTTCTCCAATTGCCTACTTCCATATCTCTTCATTCTTGGGCGATCCTGGTATGAAGATTTGCGGGGTAGGCCCTGAGTCAGAGACGATCATCGGGTACATCAAACTTTGACGATCATCCCAGTTCCCAGTTTTTCAGCAAGGAAATTGAAAGAAGAGGAAAGAATAGGAAACACTCAGAAAGCCTTGACCGCTTAATATGAATGTGGAAAACGGGTGAAAAGGGGATCATATTTGCAATTATTCGGGCTGAGCTTGCCCGTTCGTCGGCAATTGAAAAATGGTTCTTACGTGTTCCCCCACGCTCTTACTACTGCCTGTAGTCTGTGGATAGCCATGTCGATCACCGCGATCGCGGGGGCAAGCTGGGGGATCTTCTAAACCAAGAAGAAAACTCTGTAACGGAGTATCCATATCCATCTCATCTCTAATTTAAGCACGGAAGTCGGGTTCCGGCCGCTTCTTTCAAATATTTTCTTCAGGAAGCACCGATCAATCCAGTATTATGTATGACCCTGCTTTGAATGTTTGAAGATACGTATACTTGAAAGTCTTGCTATACGTCATCTGAAACAACTCATCCCCCGTGTTTCAAGGGGGGGGGGAGGGGAAGAAAGAGAGAGAGAGTCGGCAAAATGCGGATAATTAGTAAAATGGAAATAAAATAAAATAAAAATCGAAATAGAGATTAAGATAAAACTACGACGGTACCTGCTTGTGGAAATCACACAAACCAAAGCGCTAAATGAGCTAAGTGAGCTAAGTGAGCTAACTAATGCCCCCCTGCAGAAGGAGGCGCCGAATCCGGAGTTTCTCCATGGTGCCATTCCCCGTGGAGAGAACAAGGTCAAACCCACTTATCTTTCCCCCTCCGTGGCCAGTGCTAATGGGGTACCGCATTCGGTGGTGGGGTTTTCCGAGTATTTTTATTATCTTTTTTAGCCCCAAACTACTCTCAAAGTAGCCGGCATTAGATCCGGCAGACCTGCTTCGTACTCGTGATGGGCTGATTATTCGCTTTTGTGACTATTTGGTCATCTCGGTCTGCTATTTGCTCCGTTTTTATCCTATCCGGATATATGATAACAAGGATAATATGCCTAGAAACAAAACAAAAAAATTGGGGAAAATGGGGAAAATGAATGCAGGGATCTCCCCCTAAATCGATCTATCCAGTGGCACATTTTTGCGGGGATTTTGGATGAAGATTGAAAAAGATACGGAGCATAGTGATTGTAGACGAGCGGAAAAATTGTTGATTGCTGCAATTTTGACCCGCAATTTCATGCTTAAGATCTGCCACTAAAGATCCCCCTGCCACGGCTATATGCAGGTTATCCCCCTCACGAACGAACAGGGGGGTTCGAGGGAACCTGTGGTTTTTAGGGTTAGAAGACTCCTGAAGGAGATTATGTTGCTCGGTTAAGAGAGGACTACTTAAGTGAAAAAAACAAAAATTATATGATCATACCAACACAGAAATGTACTTTTTAATTGTTGTTTTATTTCCCCTCGGCTCTATCCAACCAAACCTTTCATATCCATCACATGGGACGAGAGGGTGCCGGTACCGTGTGCCGAGCGGGCGTATCTTTCTTTATCCCGTGGCGCGATCGTGGGCCTTGGGGGCGGTTATCATTGCAAGGGCATAGGCCCCACTCGGGGGTACCGGGTGATCGCTAAAAAAAAAAAAAAAAAAAAAAACCTACTATTCAGCTTGGAGCCTTCGGGGGACATATCTCCGGTGTTTAACGGAGTATGGAGTCTCTCCGTTGGCCACGGAACAACATTTCATCATTTCATCTCTCTCTCCCCATGGGGACTTGTTATCGTAGTGCGTGTCCCTTGGTCTCTTTCCCCCCACGGCGCTCCCCCGAATTTCCGATATAGCCGTCTTGCCCAAAAAAAAAAACGGGCAAGGGTGGGCAGTGTGGCCAGAGTGTTTCAGAGATGACATATGCATGGAATACATCATGCAATTTCCAGACATAGTACATGTACCAAGTTACTCCGTACAGTCCAGGCTATATCCAATGGCCTACGGGCAGATCGAGAGCTGTGTGCAAGGAGCTGACGGGAAATTCGAATATGGTCCGGTGTGGGATGTGCAGCTTTGCGGCTGCATGGTGCATCGTCGTCAATTATTGGACGATCTGCGCCTATCAGTTGGGGCATGGAGGTTTTTAATCTTTTTTTATCGTATTTTTTTTTATCTTTTGGGAAAATAGATAAGACCACGGACCAACGTGCTGTATGTCTGGTTTTTGGAGGGGTGTTTATTCTTTATCGGGAATTTGGGGAGATATTAGGGAGGCAAAAATATCGAGTCTGGAGATTAGCAGTTCAACCCCGGTTTAATGGGAATCCGGGGTATCGCATCCGACCTGTGGGTGATTTGTCGCAACAAGGCAAAATAATGGCGTATATTACCACCCGGGTTGTTTTCGTGCGATCTCGACATTCTTTCTTCTGTATGACCTCTCGATTCCCATGACTAAATCATGCTCGAATCGTGAAATCATCCGTCGACATCATCGATGATCCTAGGTAGCGTCACTAAGGGGATAAATCATCCAACCCCAGAATTCATCCCCATGTTTACTTTTTCCTGTAGAGGGGCAGGTAGGTTACGATAGCTTTTTAAGGTCTGAACTCAGTTCTTGATGATAACCATGAGCCATCCAGTCTAGACTGTTCTTCCCGGAGTAAAGGGGGGTGAACCGTTCAAGTCGCCACCCAGTGTCATCATCAGGTTATCACTCAATCCAATCATACTTTTTTTTTTTTTATCTATCCCACATTTCCCCAAAAATGCAAAAACAAAGAAGGCAGCTATATAGTAAGGGATGGGAGATCTAGAGAAGGCCCCGGGGAAGATGATATGGGCAGGGGGCGGGGCTTAGAAAACGAACGAACCAGCTTTGAAAGGACCAAGATAAGGCCGTTTTTGGATCTCCAGAGCTTTCTCCAGACGCGCGATAGCCGGACAAGGGGAAGTACAGTATGTTTAGTTCGTAGTAGCCCATTTTTACGGGACACGCACTGATTGTCACGCCACACGGGATTCTTCAGCAAAAGTATGTAATCAGAAAGGACCTTCTGAGCAGTAGCGTCGGGACTAGCCCGGTCCCCACATTTTCTTTTTTCTCTTTTTTTTTTCTCTCTTTTTCTTTTTCCCTTTTCATTTTGGCGGTATGAGAGAAGAGTACGTAGTGCTTTTTGAATTTTGGATTTGGATTTTTCTTTTTTTCCTTCCTATTTTTTTTTCTACGATTACTCTTTTCGGTCAGGTTCTTACCTGACTGCATGAACATCAGATTATGCCACCTGGAGGCTAGATGATGATAGGGACTAGAATGGGGTATATTAGAAGTTATATGGCATTCCAGATGGATTGATGATTTACAACATTTAGCTCAGATAAAATTAAATAGAATTACATGAGATCATAGCAGAGAAAAAAAAGAAAAGAGTCAATAACTCCACAAGGTATGCGATCTGAATTTGGGATTTTGGAAAAGAAGAAAAAGAAGAAAAATCCCAAAAAAGACGAAAAATGTCCATTTTGGGATTTGGGGAAAAGTTCCATTTTGGGCGAATATTGGATTATTCGATTATTGGATTATTTTCTTCTTTGGGAATTTTCCTGATCTTTTCGGTCTTTTCTGTTTTCCTCTTTTTTTGCCCCAGTTCCTCTTCTCTCTTCCCTTTTCCCGCTCTCCCCCACACTGGTAAACCCTCAACCTTGTTACAATCCGATAAAACACCTTTTTTTTCCTGCTGGTTTTTTCTTTTTTCTTTTTCTTTTTTTTTTTTTCTTATGAACTTTTTTCTTTCCCCCAATCCGATCCCGAAAAAGCCTTCTCCCCGATTTCTCCCTTCCCCCTCCATTCCTTGCCCCCCTCCCTTTCCTTTTATTATCTACCTACTCCCCAGATCGTCGTCTCCAGATTCTTTCTTTCTCCCCTTTTTCCTAGCATTCTTTGCCTACCCGTTCCCCATACTTTTTCCTTCTTATTCAGTCTCTACTGAATACACTGGAAAAAAAAAGAACAAAGAAAACAAAAGAGTATACTCGATTATCAAATCTTGTCACGATCGACTTCTTTTTCCCTCTCGGGTGCAGATCGACCGGTCCAACTTTTAGCTCTGGATCCCTGCGGTGATAAATCATCCGCCCTCGGCTCCCTTCGCTCCCAACTCTCTATATACAAATTCAACTCAAATCCCTCCCCGGTTCATTTCCCGAGGAGTTTCACATGCCAGCCCCAGCTTCCTCAGTGGGTTTCTCCAATCTACTGAACCCTCAAGAAGCAATCGACCACCAGTCGCAACCACAATCACCACTTCACGGCGACTCGGATTCTACCATGGCTTCTTCAGTCAGCCTATTGCCACCTCTCATGAAGGGTACGCGCCCTGCTGCCGAGGAGGTTCGCCAGGATTTGCCTCGTCCCTACAAGTGTCCTCTCTGTGATCGGGCTTTCCACCGTTTGGAGCACCAGACTCGTCACATTCGGACGCACACCGGTGAAAAGCCTCATGCCTGCCAGTTTCCCGGATGCACAAAGCGATTCAGCCGTTCCGACGAATTGACTCGTCACTCGCGCATTCACAACAACCCCAACTCGCGTCGCAGTAACAAGGCTCAACATTTGGCTGCCGCTTCCGCCGCTGCTGCCGGTCAAGATGTCTCCATGGGTAACCCCAGTAACATGATGCCTCCTCCCAGCAAGCCCATTACTCGTTCTGCGCCGGTCTCGCAGGTCGGGTCTCCCGACGTTTCCCCCCCTCACTCCTTCTCCAACTACGCCAATCACATGCGCTCCAACCTGGGCCCATATTCGCGCACCTCCGACCGCGCCTCGTCAGGGATGGACATCAATTTGCTCGCGACAGCAGCTTCGCAGGTCGAGCGGGATGATCACATGGGATACCACGGATCACGACACCATATCTTTGGATCGCGTCAGCACAACAGCCGTGGTCTTCCCTCGCTCTCCGCCTATGCCATCTCTCAAAACATGACCCGCTCCCACTCCAACGAGGATGATGATGCCTATGGCCAACATCGTGTCAAGCGCTCTCGTCCCAACTCGCCCAACTCTACTGCTCCTTCCTCTCCTACTTTCTCACATGACTCTCTTTCCCCAACTCCCGACCACACTCCTCTGGCTACTCCCGCACACTCCCCTCGTCTGCGCCCATTGGGTGCTAATGAGTTGCATCTGCCTTCTATCCGCCACCTTTCTCTCCAGCACACTCCTGCTTTGGCCCCCATGGAGCCATCACCGGAAGGTCCCAATTACTACAGCCCCGGTACAGGCCACATGGGTCCGAGTATCACCGACATCATGTCCAAACCCGACGGTACACAACGCAAGTTGCCTGTGCCTCAGGTGCCAAAGGTTGCAGTTCAAGACATGTTGAACCCCGCGACTGGATTCTCGTCCATGAGCTCGTCTACCAACAATTCAGTTGCTGGCGGTGACTTGGCAGACCGTTATTAAAGGTCCTCCATTCTCTCCCTTTTATTTACGTCCTTGCAATCTGTGTTATGCGCGCCACGAAACGATATAGACTTGTGCATTTTCTTTATATTCTCATCTCCCCTGTTTTGCGGGCATCAATGGTGTCGGGTGGACGGTTTTCTTTTTCTTTTTGTCCTACATTTTTCCTTTTCTGAGGCGTCGAACCAAATATAGATGGATGGGAATTCCCTGTGGCTGCTTTCCTTTTTTTTTCACCCTTTTCTTTTTTTTTTTCCCAGACCAAAATCTTCTTCAGCTTTTTCTATGATTCTCCTCTCTTGAGACCTGTGGTCTCATTTTTACTTCTTGACCAACTGTTCTTTTATTTACTTCTACAACCACTCCCTTAATTTGCTATCTGCTATATGCAGGAAATCAAAAAACATTGGAAACACTACTCTTCAATTTGTGCAGTAAAAATTAGATATTTTTTCTACGTGGGCTTTTCTAATTGGATGCGAATTCATTATGGCCTTACAATGCAAAGAAAGAAAGACTGGAGCCCTGGGGCCTGGAAAAATGTGGTCGATTGCGAAATTACCCCTCCGACTTGCAGAAGCACAAGGATTCTAATACGCAACCCAGTGATCTCGCATGTACATCAATGACTCGAAGCCCTGGAGCTACACAAGACTAGACCTGACGATCATTCCATTTCTATTTAAATCCCCCATCCACAGTACATACTATATACGTACCTTAATACATCTTATATGTAATAAAGTCCTTCAGACGCACAAGAGTCTCTCCCAACAATACTACTGCACAGCCCAAACGTTAGCCCCCGACGCCCCCGCTCTCCCCCTCCAATGCTTAGCGCGGGAAAAAAAAATTGAGAGAAAAAAAATGTAATCCACAGTGTTTCAAATGTGGTTCGATTATTCCAAGATTGTTCTTTCCTTTCGGATCGAGGCTATTCGACCGATACCTTTTCTGCATGTCTTTTTCCATTGGGTTGGGTTGATCGTTTTACTATGCTTTTGTATCTGATTTAGATCCCGATCCCGAGGTTATCAACATTGAGTTAGGTATATCGCTATATGTATGTTCTACATCCCACCTTGCTTCTTGTCCACTCATATCAAGTATCTGCACATTCCAAATGTTACAGATATGAAGGTACATGCGTTAAAGGTACCAAGTACAACAAGCTAAGCATGAAACTAGTAGAATCCACTGCTTAGCTTAACCTGGCTCTAAACTGTACGTCCTCAGCCATGTCTTCTTTACTGGTCGATACATTATCAAAACCGCCACTAAGGAACTTTCCGCGGAACTTTGACTGTCGCGCTGTGTCGTCACTTACATTAAACTTGGCACTTGGTGTCGTGCATAGCTGACCCCGTACATATTCTAGGCTTCTCTCTCTGCACCTCTTCTGGGGTAAGATCGGTGTTGCCCCGTTTCAGCCCTCCCGACACTGCAGTCGTAGGCGAGTCTATCGTATCTAGATTGTAAGTATATCTCACAGGTTTCTTTCATGGTACCTACCGGGTCTAGATACCCGTTGCTAGGTCCCTAGGTCCCGTGCAAGCTGCCACAGATAAGATGGTACATGCTCTGACGCCATCCCAGTAACCCCGTGGTCCCGTCAATTCCCCGCGCTCGTCGCAGTGCGGAGCAGGCCGGAGCGTGCATCTGCGTCTGCGAGTCTCTTTGAGAACGACCCAGACCCAGACCTCGACCTAGCGTCAGCATCGCAGTTGCAGCCTGGAGTAGATTGGCGCAGTCCTCGATCGGTGATTCTCTTCTTTCTTTTTTTCTTCAAGGTCGTTTGGAACCGAGCCGAACAGGATTCTCTCGCTGCATTCGTCTGCACCTGCATCTGCACCGGCATCACATCGCCTCGCACCGCATCGCATCACATCACGTCTCGGGGCCGAGGTCCTACCTATCAAATTCAGATTGTTTTTTCCCCGCTATCCATGCCCCGGACCCTGTCCCTGTCTCTGTCACAATCACAATCACAGATGAGAGATCATATTCCACCAAATCAGGACCCCATCCCCTCGCCTTCCCGCTCCCGTAATAAGCAAGCGGAGGTGACGATCATCGGCGGCATGCGCTCGTCTTCGCCCGCTCCGCCGGGCCTCTCGAGCGGGTCCTCGTCTTCGTCTATCTCGTCTGTTGAGACTTCATCTCCGACTGGGATCAGACTCGGTCTTGGATTTGGGGATTCTATGTTCGTGGATGGGAGGGATGATGGAAATGGTGATGTTTTGGCTCCCGTGGGCACGGCTATAAGCTCTTCGGCTTCAGCGGATAGAACTGTTCATGCAGATGGTGGCATGCAAAATTCGTCGCACATTTCGTCTTCCTCTTCCTCGTGGAGTACACCAGCGCCGTCTGCTGCTTCGGTTGTGTCGGTTGGTACCGTAAATCATAACTCTGCGCCGTGGACACCTGGCGAGAAAATTTATACTTGCTTATTCCATATGCTGGATTGTCATGATTCGTTCAATGATGTCTTGCAGTGGAAGGCGCACGTGTCAGGTCATTTCCGCACGTTTCCGCCGCCACGAACCGCAAGATGTCCACTCTGCTCAGATGAGTTTATCGATGACGGCGACGACGAGTCGTTGCTGCTTTCTCCTCTTTCACTATCCGAGACGAACGACGACCAGAAAGCTCTGAGTCAAAATAACCAGGTGCCCATCAGCGCCTCTTCCCAAGATATGCTTCATGATCATGATCAAGCACAACTTTCAGATTCTGCTTGGAACCGCATGCTTGATCATGTCGCAGAGAGTCACTACCAGAACGGGCAAACGTTAGCAGGTAGTCGGCCAGACTTTGAACTTATGCGACATCTTTATAACCGGCGCATCATCTCTGATGCTCAGTTTAAAGCGATGCAACTTGCACCTGCTCCATCGAGTCCGGCATATCATCGTTCACAAGACGGTGTTCGAGCTAGTATCGGATCCTCAGATGAGCCGTATTATGCGCCTTATAGCCGGAGGAGGGAAGAAAGGATGAGAGGAGCCACTCGGGGGGTTAGTGTTGTTTGAACTTTTTCTCTCTCTTTTGTTGGTGGATAAACCTCTTGAGGGTATCGATTTGTGTCTTGTCTTCAACCATCTGGACCACACGGGGAATTTTGTCTTGACTTTGCGTTCAATTTTGCCTGATTTTTTTTTGTTGCGAATATTCCCCCTCTTTGCTTTGTTTCTTTGCTGTACAGCTGGAATGGATTTACGCAGTTAGCTTCATATGTCACTTTGCGTGTATTGGCATATCTGCTGTCTGAGTCAGTGATAAAAATGATAGCTTCGTTTGCGTGTTGCTGGTAGGGTTGCTGTTTGAAGCTGAATCCCGATAGAGAATCTTTGGATAAAGTACATATGTCAGTCAGTGAAAGCCTACACCTTTTCCAAAATGAAAAGGCCCCTTGAAGACAGATAAAAAGTGAAGTGGATCAAGCGAAAAGAAGGTGAGTGGGATCTTATAGATCTCATCGGTGACCGAGCAAACAAGACAAACATTCTCTTGCCCGCATCGAACCTGGAGAACTTCATGACCGCGACTTGAAGCTGCTTCCTCAATTCCGCAGATCCAGCCTCTCTAGAGTGAGAGTATTTGACTTGAAGTTGCAAACCTGAAATAAAAAGATCCCACTTCCCTTGAGTCGAGCCTTCTCCGATACCGAACTCCGACCTTCCACTTTCTCACCCCCACCACTCTCATCCAACCCACGACATGGAGCGCTTATCGCTAAACGACAGCCCTGCCAATGCGCAGCGGAATCCTCAACAACAGCAACAGCAACAGCCTCAGCAGCAGCAGCAGCAGCAGCAGCAGCAGCAGCAGCAACAGCAATTTCAACAACAGAATGCCCTTGGCCCGGCCGGTCAAATGCCTACCTCCGGCCCCCCGCAACTTCCGCCACAGATGTTCACTACCGCCGCACAGCTGCTAGACCTGACAGATAGTAGGTGGATCAAATGAGAAAAAGGATTCCAAGTCAATGCGATGACAATTGCTGATCTCTTTTGTTCATCCACTCAACAGAGAAGCTTGTGCTCGTTCTACGCGATGGAAGAAAACTAGTCGGTGTGTTGCGAAGCTGGGATCAATTCGGTATGGATACCTCTGTGCAATATCAATGAACCATATCTCATCCATGCCATTTGGCATTCCTACAGCGAACCTGGTCCTCCAAGACACTGTCGAAAAAATCTACGCCGGAAAAGTTTATGCTGATGTCCCGCGCGGAATCTTCCTCGTGCGTGGTGAGAACGTGTTGCTGTTGGGTGAAGTGGTATGTACCATCGCTGCATTGTCGCGTGTCATGGCGTCCTTGGCTAACGCGGCGCTTTCAATTGTCTACAGGATCTTGACCGCGAAGACGACCTTCCCACTACAGTAACGAAGGCTCCTTTCGAGGAGGTGTTCGAGCTCAAGAAGCAGGAGGATAGCAAACGCAAGGCTGGTGATAAGAAACGATACACCGAGTTGTCAGCTCTAGGATTCGAGCCTGAGCACAGTGGTGAGATCTTATTCTAGATCTTTTTTCTCACTATTCTTGCAGATTGGCGTCACAACGTCCTTCCCCAGCGCCAATGGGAGGCCATAATGCCAAGACAGTACCCATCGTAATGGATATGAGGATAAAGAGGCTTCCTGTCTATGGTCATGTTCTTGGAGATGTCTACCAGAACCCATGATGAACTGTACGTTCCCAAGAATGAATGGCAGATGAGGGAATCAGTACTGGGTCGTGATGGAAAATTGGCCAACAGCATGCTTTTCTTTTTATCTTCTTTTTTTTATATCAGTTCTGACCGATAAGAAGTCGTGGACCATGGCATGATACCCGAGATCAAAATCTCATGATATGCTACGGACAATCATCACTAGTCTTACTCATTTGAAGCATTCTTGTCCTTTGCTTCACATACCACGGTGAATGGTACCGATTGTCATTGTCACCCGAATTCGGGTTCGAATTTTTCTTTTCCTTATTGTGTTTGACATTTCAAAAAAAAAAAGAAAACGAATTGACGGGAATTAACGAATACAATAAATACAATAAAGAAAAAGAAAGGGAACATATTCTTGTGGTTTTCCAACTTGTAAAGCTGATGGTCCATCTTTTAGTGGGTTCATAGTAGATTATGCTTATCGATAAAGATGCCAAGACTCGCTGTACCTTTTTTTTCACGATTTTCTCCATCACCGCTAGAACTGTCTTCCCCCGCACAGCTTTTCCCTTGTCCTCTCTCGTTCAAAGTCACCATGGCGACTCTGGCGGAGAAGCTCGAGAAGATCAAGTCTCCCAAGCTGCAGAATCAGCACCACGTAAGTACCCCGACCCATCCCGCATCGATTCAAAACTGATCCATCTTTTAGACTGCCGTGGTGCTCTCTGCAGTGGAGGATACTCTTCGCGATCAAAAAGCCGATTTCTCCCCTACCGCGTACTTTGCGGCCCTCCTTGCCTTGCTTTCCCAGTCGCTTTCGGCTGAGCAAGGTATCGTCAACAAGGATTTGGCAACTTCCGTCGTCTACCTGCTCGATATCACCACCGAATATGTCCCTGCCCCCATCCTCCGTTCCAAATTCTCCCAGATCCTCACTGGTCTCGCGCCTGCATTGTCACTTCCTGAGGTTGAAGCCCCGCTTCTGCGACCCTCAATTGGAAGTCTTGAGTCGTTGCTGGTCGCCCAAGATGCCGCTGCATGGAACCTTCCGCACACCGCGATCGGTCCTCGTCGGGCCACGGCCGGTCTGCTGAGTCTGTCCGTTGACCACCGTCCCAAGGTGCGCAAGCGCGCCCAGGAGGCTCTGATTAAGGTTCTCAAGAACCCCCCGCCAAGCCCCTCTTTGGATCACCCGGCTGCAGACATGTGCGCCGAGTCGGCCATGAAGACTCTGGGCGACGCCATCACAGCTGCGACCAAGCAGAAGAAGAACCGCCAAGATGCACAGGCTCGGGAGAACCACGAGCCTATGATTATCCACTCCTTGCAGTTGGTCAAGACCATTGCTTCGGCATCGGGTGGCTGGCCCAGCAAGAAGATCGAGGCTCTCTGTGAGTTGCTGATGAACGCTTCTCGCTCCATGAACGAGTACATCACTATGGGTGCGTTCGAAGTTTTCGAAGTCATTTTCGAGGGTATGGCGGATGAGTTCTCCTCCTCGAAGCTTCCCCGTCTTTTGGACGCCATTTCCGAACTTAAGCCCGCACAGAACGACTCACAGCTCCTCCCGCCCTGGATCGCTGTCCTGTCGCGTGGTTACGATGTGTCTGCTCAGATTGAGCCCGAGGAGACATTTGCTAAGCTCCCCGAACTTTTCCAGATGATCGCTGGTTTCTTGGCGTCTCCCTCCCACAACATTCGCGTCTCGGCATCTGAATGTCTGATCTCGTTCCTGCACAACTGCATCCCCAACAGTGTCATCATCGAGCCTTCAATTTATGATGAGAAGTCTCTTGAGAAGTTGGCCCGCGCTGCTGCTGATTTGCTGTCTGTGAAGTACCAGGCTGCTTGGATCGAAGTCTTCAACGTCTGCTCCGCTCTGTTCGATTGCTACAAGTGGCGATCCAGCCCATTTTTGGTTGATATCGTCTCGACCATCGGCGAGTTGCGTAGCAATGAGTCTTTCCACGGTAAGAAGGAAGCCGACGCCGTCCTCGGAAGTGCCATCGAGGCCATGGGCCCCGCTGCCGTTCTCGAGATTTTGCCATTGAACATCATCGAGCAAAAGAACGGCCAGCCTGGTCGCGTTTGGATGCTGCCCATTCTCCGTGACAGCGTGACAAACACCAACCTGGGACATTTCCGTTCCGAGTTTGGACCCCTCAGTGAGGCACTTTACCAGAAGATGGTAGACTTCCAATCCCTGGAGAAGCCCGTTGAGGCAAAGATCTTCGAGACTCTTGTCCAGCAGACTTGGGGTATTCTCCCCGGATACTGTGAGCTCCCGCTCGATGTTGTAGAGTCCTTTGACCAGAGCTTCGCCGAGCTGCTGGCAAATGTCCTTTACAAGCAGACCGATCTGCGTGTCGAGATTTGCCGCGCTCTGCAGAACTTGGTTGAGTCAAACCAGGCTATTCTGTCCATCGAGGCTGAGCAGGAAGACCTGATTCTGCAGCGCCGTATCACCAAGGCTGCCGCTACCAAGAACATCGCCCATTTGGCTGGCTTTGCTAGCAACTTCCTCGCTGTGCTGTTCAACGTTTACAGCCAGACCCTTCCCCACCACCGCGGTTTCATTCTGCAGTGCATCAATGCCTACTTGAGCATCACTCCCGAGAACGTAAGTTTTAAAAATTAAAATTTTGCCTCCGATGCATTATGCTTGACGTGCTTGCTAATGTTTAACAGGAACTTAACGAGACTTTCGCTCGGGTGACCACAGCGCTCGAGGAGTCATTGGTTACGGAGCAGAACAACCCTACTAAGCAGGATCCTTCCAACAAGATGCCCCCGACCTCGCACACCTTGATCGACCTGGTCATTGCTATGTCTATCTACCTTCCCCGTTCCAGCTTCTCCGGTCTCTTTGCTATGGCCGCCGCTATCCTGAACGGATCTTCTCCCAACCCCGATCAGCAGCTCATCAAGAAGGCCTACAAGCTGATTCCCCGACTTGGCTCGACTGAGACTGGCAGCGCTGCTTTGCAGGAGCGTAGCGGTGAATTGCAGGCTCTGATGCTTGGTACAATCGATAAGACTCCGGCCTCTGGTCGTCGAGACCGTATGCTCGCTATTCACGAGCTGATCACCCACCTTCCCACTTCCGAACTCCACTTCATTCCCGCTATCCTGTCCGAGGTGGTCCTGGGATGTAAGGAGAGCAACGAGAAGGCCCGCACAGCCGCCTTTGATCTTTTGATCCACCTTGCCCGCCGCACTAGCGACGACGAGCGCAACCCCGCTGGCACTGTGATCCGCAACTCTCTGGTCTCCCATATGCCCGATGATGCCCCCGATGCTCCCGCCAACATTGAGGAGTTCTTCACCATGGTGTCTGCCGGTTTGGCCGGTTCTTCCCCTCACATGGTTGCTGCTTCCGTCACAGCCCTCTCCCGCCTGTTTTTCGAATTCCAGACTAAGCTCCGCGCCGAGGTCCTCTCTGACCTCGTCCAAACCGTTGAGCTCTTCCTCACCAGCAACAACCGTGAGATTGTCCGCTCCGTCCTTGGCTTCGTCAAGGTCGCCGTTGTCGTTCTCCCCGACGATGCCCTGCGTCCCCGCCTTGCCACTCTAGTGCCCAACCTCATGGCTTGGAACAAGGAGCACAAGGGTCGCCTCCGCAGCAAGGTCAAGGGTATCATCGACCGCCTTGTACGCCGCTTTGGTGCCCCACTGATGGAGAACTTGGTCGGTGAAGACGACCGCAAGCTTGTCGTGAACATCCGCAAGCAGCGTGAGCGCAACAAGCGCAAGAAGAAGGAAGGTGCCGAGGGCTCCGACGACGAAGGTGACGATGACAAGGCTGCCGAACAGCAACAATCCGGTGGCAACGCCTTCGACAAGGCGGTTTACGGATCCGACTTCTCCGATGACTCAGATGACGGCGACGACGGCTCAGACGTCGAAGTCGATGAGAACACCCGTATCAAGGGCAAGAAGGACAGATCCCACCAGAATGCCCAGTACATCCGCGAGACATCTCCTGAAGATAACCCGCTTGATCTGCTCGCTCCTGATGCCCTGGCCAACATTTCCACCACAAAGCCTAACCTCCGTTTCCTGAACACCGGTCCCGGCTCTAAGCGCAAGCACGCTGCCAAGTTCGATCCGAACGGCAAGCTGATTCTGGGCGACGATGATGCCGACGCTGATGTCGAGATGTCTGGTGACGCCCCCGCTGCTGGTGGTGTCAATGCCTACCTAGCGGCCGTTAGCGGTCCGGATGCCGTCCGTCGTGGCCAGAAGGGTAAGGTCAAGATGGGACAGGCCAAGCGCCGTGGCGGTGACGCTATGGATCTCGACGAGGATGAGGAGGCCGCTTTGAACGAGGATATGCGTAACAAGGGCCCGAACACTGGTCGTCGCGGTCTTGGTGCGCCCAAGTCCCCCGGTGCCCCCGGTGGAGGCCGGATCGAGAAGAACCGGTCTTCCAGCTGGGGTGGCCGTGGAGGAGGCGGTGATCGTGGTCGCGGCTTCAGCCGTGGCGGCGGCGGTGATCGCGGTCGTGGCGGCTTCGGTCGTGGCGGCGGTGGTGATCGTGGTCGCGGCGGATTTAGCCGTGGCGGTGGTGGTGGTGACCGTGGTGGTCGCGGTGGCTTTGGTCGCGGCGGCGGCGGTGGTGGCCGCGGAGGTGGCTTCAGCCGCGGCGGTGGTGATCGCGGTGGTCGTGGTCGTGGAGGTGGAGGTGGTGGTGATCGTGGCCGCGGCAGACGTTAAAGTGACTCCAAGTCACTGAACTGTTAGTCCCCACGCCTAGTATATTCATTGTTTAAGGGTGTTGTTTTTGAAGACGTTCCTTCTAATACCCCTCGATGGCGATTCCAATTCCGTTTACAGGGGTTTGACTCGGTCTCATTGGTCTTCATGGTTCGCTGGATTTGTCCTTTTTTTTTTGTTTCTGTCATGATTCTGTTACGAGCAAAAAGTTTGTTAAGGCATTGCACATAGAAATGGAATGTTATACTCGATTATTGTTTCTTGATGTCTCTCCTTGAATCATAATCCATAGTGAGGACTCTTTGGTGCCGTTTGGTCGTCGAAACTTGACAACACTATTTTGACATATGTAGATCAATTTGTACAGCTAGAGTTGCTGAGCTCCGATTGGGCACCCTCTCTGCGCGTTGCTCATACTAACCAGTCGCGGCGTCATTTTTAGCCTAAAGTAGCGCTGGGTCGTGGTTGATGAGCTATGATTGGACGTTATCCCTGCGCGTTGCCTATTAAGGGCCATATCAGAGTCGCTGAGTCGTGGGGTCAATAGTAAGTTATTGCCATTTTCGCCGCTGTGCCACTGAGTTGTCGATTCTTGGCCCGACCATGCATGCAGTCAGTGCTGATGCGGTATACCCTACAGTTCCTATTCTAATTTCTGACTTTTGACGACACTCACAGCTTGGACTTGATCTTTGGTGAGAGTATAGATGGGTAACTGGGAGCAATCTTTGAATCCCTAAGAGTACATTCCAAACCTAGTAGGAACTACTAGGAAGGCATTTGAGTACCTACTAGTAGGTAAAACTATTAGAATATCCATCCATGACACATCCCCTCCTTCTGAGCCAGGAGGTCGAGCTAGTCTCCATAAATACTAGTATATAAACATGTTGATCACCCGAGCCTCTTCTAACTATGACCTGTCTACTATATCTTCCTAAGTGGAGCCCACCTGGGCACTGAATATAAAGCGATAAAGACATCAGCTATCACAAAAACGATTCCCTCGTTTCTCACCCAGCAACCGTAGCCGTCTCCCGCACTTCCATCTTCTTGGGAACCCGGAACAACCAGTAGAGGAAGACTGCACCGAAAATGTTAAAGACAATATATACCCACATGATTCCAAAGTCCATCCATACATCATCCGGATTTGTCGAAGTTCCCGCAAGGAACTTATTCGTCTCGGAGATACGACAAAACGAACAATTGGTAGTTGCGGAAGGGTTTTCCACATACCCTCCAGTTGCATGGATGAAGTTTGCCAAGTATTCACCGCAGGTCGTGTTTGGGCGCGGATCAAAATGAAGAAATTCCTGCTTCGAACACATGACATTGGCACCTCCAACACTTGCAGATAGCATGCCAGATATCAGGTAATGGAACGGAGAGATGCGGTACATGAAAATCCAAAAATGCGGAAAGCTACCCGGACCAGCCAGTACTCCACAGAATGAGATGGTCAAGGAGAAACAGAAGTTGGCGATGTTTCCCGCTGTTTGGGCGGTTTCTACCGCTGCAATTGCAAGATGCGCAAATGTGCTTGAGAATAGCACAAAGGTAAGAACGAAAAGCCAGACGAGAGCGCCTTTCTCGTGTACCGTATTTGTAGCCTCGGCATTTCGATAAAGACCAATAGGGTAGTACCAGGTCACGTACAGCAAAACCGAGCAAATGAAGGACCAGGGGATCTCGACAAGGATGTTAGCGAGCATGAATGATGCCCACGAGTATGTCTTTGCTGGTCGCTCGCGAGCCTCGTAGAGTGCTCTTTGGGTAACAAACTGTGGCATTATTTGCTGGGAAAGGAGATTGAATGTTGTAGCAAGCATAAAAAGGCCAAGCATTTGATTCTGTAGCCCTTGTTGAGTGTTTGATGCTTTGTAAAAAGAAAATCCGATAAAAAGGCCCTAGATCGAAGAAATATTTTAGTTCGGATTATACAGAAAAAAAAAAGGAAATAGATGGATGTACTGTAGCGACGACAAGGCCAAGTTTAGAGATGATATAGCTTGGAGTTCGCCAATATTGCTGAAAAATGCGAGCCAAAGTCTCATACAGTTGAACCGGAAATGAAGCTGCAAACTCCGCGTAAGAGTGCTGGTCTTGAGCCGGTACCACTGGCTGCTGAGACTTCTTTGTCTTCCACTTCTCAAGCTGGGCTCGCACTTCTTTCAGCTCTGGTGAATGCCGCCAAACCGCAGGCCAATCAATATATGAGTGAGAGCCGGGCGCTGCGCCAATGACCTCTAACATGTATTCGGCAGGATTGGAGTCTTTCTGACAAGAACGGCCACCATTTTTCTTGAAATAGTCCAATAATGTCGATGCCGAAGGTCCCATTGGCCCAAAGTAAACAGTTCTTCCGCCCTGGTCTAAGAGAAGGAGCCGATCGAATTGCTGGAGGAGTATCGCAGAAGGCTGGTGAATAGTGCAGAGAATTGCCTGGCCATTGGCCTTTAGCTTTTGAAGCAACATCAAAATTGACCATGATGTCTGAGAATCTAGACCGGACGTTGGTTCGTCCAGGAACAACAGCAGGTCTGGTTTGGCAGCAAGCTCAACGCCAATAGTAAGCCTTTTTCTCTGCTCAACATTCAACCCTGTCGGCATAGTCAGCAAGTTTGCATTGGTTCTCTGGCTCATACTCAATCTACATACCTTCTCCAGGAACTCCCACCACCGCGTCTGCGTATTCTTCCATTTCCAGAAGATGAATGACCTCTTCGACGTATTTCAGCTTTTCGGGGCGAGAGATGTGTCTAGGCTGGCGGAGATTCGCACTAAAGGACAAAGCCTCTCGGATGGTGGATGTTTCGAGATGCAAGTCTAGCTGCTGGGCGTATCCAGTTTTTCGCTGGAAGGAGCTGTCTCTCTGTTGACCATCGACAAGAATTTGCCCACTGATGACACCTACAGTTCTTCGGCTAGCCAAAACATCCAATAACGTGGTCTTCCCGGCTCCCGAAACTCCCATTAGAGCTAGATAGAGATCACAAGTTAGACCATTGGCTAGAGATTATCAATCTCGAAAACTTGGCCTTACCTGTCAGGGTACCCGGCTGCACCCAGCCATCAACATGATCCAATATCCGCCGGTTCTCATTCTTGATCCTGAGGTCGTAACAGACATCTTGCCACTGAAATATTGCCGTCTGCTTCACTATGCCAGATAAAATTTCTCTCGGGCCAGTCATTGTAGTCTCGCCGAAGGGAGATTTCTCGTTGCCTTGTTCAGTATCATCTGCAAAGGTCCGACCATCTTTGGGGGCCTTTCCTCGAGGGAAAATAATAACCTCTCCTTTAGACTTCTTCTCGGGAATCAGATCTGTTGCCAAAACATATGTAAACGTGAAAAATGCCCAGAAGCCCAACAAAATCCCGATGTTTCTCCACTTGTGAGAATGGCGCATTTCAAACGATTCTTCGATGTAGGTATCACCATTCACCCAGGATTCACCAGCAACAGACCCGACCACTGAGCAAACACGTGTTGCTAAACTCCCATCGTAGCCACTCCCTGAGGGTACAAAGCTAGAACAGGGGTAGTTGCGGCCATGAAACTCGTTTATGATCAGAGCCTCCAGTCCATAGGCAATAGGGTCAAGGTAGTTGATCCAACGTGCCCAACCGTGCATGTATGATGGGGGGATAGCAAATCCTGCGTATATGACAAGAGCCAGAACGAAGATGGTGACCGGTGCAAGAGCCTGAGTCAAGGTGCGACTGAATGCGGCAATGGAGCGAAACAAACTTGACATTGCCAACACCATTATGAAGGAGGTGAGTAAGAAGAAGAAAAACGCACCAGCGTTTCTGTTTAGACCTGTCATAAAATACATAACAGTGTTAAAACAGATGAGGTTCACGATCTTTATAGGTAGATCTGTGAGCATTGAGGCGAGTGCCTCGGCAGAAGGATGGTAAAGTGCATATCGACCATGCTTTTCGATGCATGAACGTTGAGAATACAATGTTAAAACCTCAAGCTGGCTGCTAAATGCATTTATAATAATGGCAAAGAATAACAGAGAGCCTCGAGAGTAAAAGGAAGACGTAGTCATGGGGAGGTTGTAGTAGATGCTGCTGACGATTAGGACAACAGCGATATTACTGACCACAGAAGCGATCAACAAGACCGGATCTGCAATGACGCGCTTGTAGCCTCGCCAGAAGCAAAGCTTGATCTGCTGCCAGTATGAAAGAGTATATGGAGATCTTTGGCGTTGACACCTTGCTTGCTGAAGAGAGCGGGATTTTTGAAATCCATCAAAGTCCGGGCCACGGATAGGGTGGTCATGGCTGTATTGATCAATCTCTACAAGAAGCCTCTGTCTCTCTTGACTTGACATCCAGCGCATTTCAAATTCTTCGGGGGTTCGTGGAGTCTGGTTTTCAAACCCATGTCTATCGCGACGCTCGGCCGGGCTGGTCATTGATGTCAAGAAGTCCGGCGTTGTTTGACGACTGGGGCACTCGAATCCCATCTTCTCAAAGTATTCACGAGCCTCCTCCGCTGGGCCAAAAAAGATTTGCCGACCCTGGTACAAGACGAGAACCTTATCAAATAGGTCATAGGCAGCCTGTGGAGCCTGGTAGATGGCTACTGCAGCGGCAGTCTGCAACAAATCGGCGCCGAGTCGAAGAGTCTTGCAAAACTCAATAGCATTGGCACTGTCCAGTCCACGAGTGCTGTTGTCCCAGCACTGAAGAGGAGAGCCACTCAAAGCAGCTTCGGCAATGCTCACGCGTTTCCTCTCGCCTCCACTTACTCCTCGGACATAATCATCGCCCACTTTGGTATTCACGGTGTGTCGGATACCGAAAACCGCCATAAGCACATCACGAAAGGTTTCTGCATATACTCGGCGATCGACACCACCAGGAAGATTTCTTGGGGCTCTTGCCATGGCAGCAAACTCCAGGGTTTGCCCGACAGTCAACACGGGGATATGTACATCTTGTTCAGCTGTGTAAATTGCTTCACCTCTAAACCTAGAATGCATGTCTCTGAAACTAATCCCCCGGTAGTTGAACTCGGAGCCATCGCCAATGGTGAGACCATGAATCTCACCAGCAATTGTCTTCAGCAAGGTGGTGCATCCAGAGCCCGGAGGTCCAAGAGTCACGAGAAGTTCCCCAGGGCGGACCAGCGCATCGATTTGATGAAGGATTTGAACGTGTTGGCGTCGATTTCCGATGTAATATGTGGCCAAATCAATCAGCCCAAATAGAAGATCGCCCACAGAACTTTGAGAGTTGAATGCAGTAGCGAAGCCGGAGACCTTCAAGTTTTTGAGCGCCAACCCTGTTTTGCGTCGCAAATAAAGACTTTCGTCGCGAGTCAATTCCAAAAGTGCCCTAATCCATTTCTCGGGCCGAAAGAAATCAGAATTGGGATTCAATTCGGGGTCTTCGGTGTTGAAAGGGTTAGAAGAATCTTCTGAATGGTGAGAATGTTGACTGAATTGTCTGGCTAGCTGTTTGATATCCACGAGATTCTGCAGAGCCGTTTCGGTCCCAAATCGGTCTTTGTTGAGTTGGTGGGCTGCTCGATCTTCGGCAGATTGGATAGAATCATGGAGATCTGGAGTAGATCCTTCAAGGGTTCTCAAATGACAGTCAGACGAGGGCCTGGTGTTGGATGCCATGGTGTCTCCACGTGAACCCCTCGAGTATAAGATGAGCGAGTGATGAGTTGGAGTATAAGTTAGATGGATAGGATGAAAGAACGGGCTGAAACGAATGTGGAAGTGAAAAGGTGCGAATAGGGAAGGAACCTCTCGAAGCCACCGCAGTAAAATAAAAAAATAAAAAGGCAAGAGCAGTACCTACTAGTAGTACCAGTAATAGTAGATAGATCGATCAGGCTAGAACCATCACATGTGTATGACAGGGTCAGGAGAGTAAATAAATTCTTAAACATTCGGAGGTTGAATTGAACTGATTATGATGCCGTGTTTCGTATGATACTTTCCGATCTTTACACTTCTGACACTCGCAATTCCAACGTTACGCATGAAGTTTATTGTATTAATTTACCCGACTTTGGAAATTCTGGTCTTGGATATTTCTCTCGATATCTATTTGCTCATTTTGTTCCCATGACAGGGCTGGTACTTCCACCGGTTGCACACATGTGCAGGTGTGGATCTTCACGAGGACCAAAGTGATACTAGATATTAGACATGCAATGCTCTCTCAAGTCGGCTCGCCTATAAAAGGATCTGTCCAAATTTTCAAGTATAGAATCCATAAGCAAGGTACAGCAAGTGATATATTCAAGACTGGTCAAGGAAAATGACATTCTCGTGATGCTTTGAGACTTCTAAGTCGCCGCTTAACTACTAACGCTGCGTCACTGGCTTACAATTACGTTAGTTAACTAGTTAGTTAGCTAGTTAGTTAGTTGGGTTATAGTTACTATAGTGAACTATGTTAAATACTAGTTAAAACAGTAAGATAGTTGGCTTACTCAGCCGGCTTGTTTACTGCCATACAATCAGCCATTCCACCCTGGTGTGTTTTATGTATATGTCTCTTTCTCCTTTATCCTGCAAATGTATTCCGTGTGACTACTCAAAAATAGATCTTACATTTCCAACCCTATATGCCTGTGTAGCAATCATTCAAGAACCATTCAAACAAGATCAGGGCTGCAGCGGCAGTTGATATCTAAATGCCGGTAATAGTGGATGCCCTTTTCCTAATTCGTCATAGTGGGTATAGCCACAGATGCAGAACAACTCTATTCCACATACATCAGGCTTTATGTAAAATGTACTTGATTCCCCCAAGGTACATGGTACTTTATAATCTTTCAAGGTTAAAACGAGATCTAAGCCAACTGCAGTACGTAAACATCAAATTCAAATGTTTATTTGGAATAAGAGATTCGATAAACAATCGGGTATCAAATTCACGCTTGTGAACGCATACATACACATCTTCCCATGTCAACCAGATCAAATCAAAAACTCCTTCATACAAGTACACCAGCCCAGTGCAAAGCATCAATACTAGTAATCATATCAAGTGGACTCAAGGTGGCCTTAAGGTTAAGACAAAATCAATGGGGCCATGCTGCCACTCCAAAACGCCGCAATCCCATTCCAATTCCAATGGAAACATAAAAAGTAAATCCTCCAAACCCAAACTCCGTGTTGAGAAAAAAAAATTGACAAAAGTGTATAAATCATAGCCCTCTCCCGTAGGAGATAACAGCAAATATAAGCAGGTGAAGGGGTGTCGGTTCAGTTGCATTCGGTAAGGGTCATTCCGCGTACTCCTCTGCACCATAGCATGGTTCATCATAGAACTTTGCTTGGCCAAAGGAAAGTTTGTTTTGTTTTGAGGGGGAATATTTTTGAAGTTTTGCTTTTCTATGGGGAAAGGTCCAAGGTCAGGACCCTGTCACCCAGAATGTCATGGATCTTCTCCACCATGTGGGGCAAATTGTTATGGCGAAGGTCGGGATTTACCCAACCACGTCCGCCACCATTTACAAACTCCCAGAACGGCAGCACGGCCATCGTCGTTTCTCTCTGTTCCATCTGGGTTGCCCATGACCATAGCGAAAACCCAGAATGCGGCAGCTGTCCAGGCGAACAGAAGGATAGCGATGCTGAAGAAGGGGGAGAGGGTCAAGACAACTATTGACATGCCAACTGAGTATAAGATGCTGGAATCGACGACCGGAATTGGTTCTTCGCTGTCGGGGTCGGAGTGGATCCATTGGGTAGAGGAAGAGCGGGTGGAGGTAGGTGATGGCATGAAGACGAGCCGTTCATGGATGTGGAGGACTGGGGAGAGGAGATCGCATAGTTGGGTTCGGAAGGAAGTCTTGCGGAGGTATGGGGAGAGAGAACAGAGACGCAGAGGCGAGATGAGGATGGCAAAGATAATTGCAAAGAAGGTGTATATGCAGGCGGCAAAGGAGAAGAGTGGAACCGGGACGGAGAGCCGGAACTATATACATTAGTTAGCACGAGGGATGGATCTATCACAAAATGACCATAGGGTCCACATACCAGCATAAGAAGCGCATCCTGACCAGCATCAGGTGTAGCCTCGGGAACCCCTCCTCTCTTGGGGCCACGAGTGTTCTCGCCCGACATCAATGACGGCTGCCAACTCCCCGGGGAGCGTGCCTCCTTGTTTGAGCCGTTGGTGACGGTGACAGGCTTCACGCCCTCGTCCCCAACTTTGGAGGCCCGCCGTGATGTTTCCAAAGAATGGGAGTGTGATCCCCGCGGGATAGAGTTGCGAGGGCTCACGTCGTGGGCCATCCAATCGGAGGAGCGCAGCGGGCTTGAAGGTGAGGGTTTGGGGTGCTCCGAGGCTGCTGAACGGATCAAGGGAGAAGGAGTTGTGATAGAGGCGGCGGGGCCCTGAGCCTGGTGGTAGGCAGGGCTATATGACATCTCCGGCGGCGACATGATTGAGCCGGATAGCAAGAGACAAGAGGACCGAAAGTCGTACAGGCGCAACAGCGGGCTAAGGTGTGCAAGGCTCACGGCATGATCTCCCCAAGGGCGTCATCCACTCACGCGTACGGGTAGGTGGCCATGTATCCCATTCGGTGAGAGGGCAAGGGCGGAAAGAGAGACTTATAGGACGGAGGAGCAGCGGAGGGACCAGGGAGAGCCATGGCAGCGGAGGAAACTGGTGCTGTTTGCAGTCGCGCTTCGCCAAGCCGCCCAGATGCCGAGCCCTTGGCATTTGGGAAAAAGGGTTGAGGCTGCATCATTATTGATTTGGTTGCCAGGCGTGTTATTTTCGTTTAAAATGTCTCGCAGTCTGCATGTTTCCATTCCCATTCTCGTCAAATTTAAGAGTGTTTTTTTTTTTGGACATCTTCGTTTTCTTTTTTTTTTTTTTTTCACTTCTCTCTTTTAGAGAAGCTTCATAGTCGTAATCTCATTGTCGTAGGTTGGACAAGCCTCTGTGCCACGGTGTTGCACTAGGATATTTTACCAATCGCCAAGATGCCAAGGCGCACTTTGGATGACCAGCACATATAACCGACTGTGATTGGTCCAATCGTGTGTGATCCGCAGCTGCGGCGACTTGGCGTTGGACTCAATTTGGTCATTTTGGTTATTTTCGGTAACGCAATACAACGTTGGTACCATTGGTACCCTTGGTTTACTTCAATGGTAAAATACAACACCATTTAACTACTATCGAGTCCGCAGTAACATTGTATCCGCACAGTATCCACCAGGAATTCCTTCTCCGGCAAATAACATCTTCTAACATTTGAAGGTTATTTTAAAGTATTAAAGTATTGAATTGCAACCTGATCCAATGGTTTTTGGCCCTTGTGGTATGGCTCATAACATACAAACTTCTCCTTGTCATGCGTTTTCCACACCGAAAAAACAACACGGGGCTCTGCCCAGCATGCCCAGACGCCGAGAGATTGGCATCCTTTTGACTTCGGAGAAAAGAAGAAAAACTCTTTCACTGAGTACATTGGCATTCTTCCGGTCTCTCAGCTTTCAATAATTATTAGGTAAATGGTCCGCTCAATAACTAGCCTTAGAGTCAATGATACAGGAACTTGGGGGGGCAGATCTAAACATTTGAAGGGTCTGCAGGATTCCGATTTCGCCGCACAAACTCACTCCTGCGTGGGAGAATTAAACATGAACATTGACAAGCAGAAGCAACAGTACCTATAGTTTAACTATTTTATACATTCGCATTACTAGCATGTACTAGTAAGGGGGAAAAACACCCCTCGTCTAAGCGAGTCTTGGATTTCCATCGTACACATCACTCACTGGAAGGTCTCGACTTCTTGACTTCTTGGCTTTCCCCTCAGCTAGCCCGTGTTCCCCTCACCTCCAAGTCACCTCCGTTGCTCGGTGACTTCATTTTGTGGTCCCTGGTGCCCTTCCAAGCACCTTTGTTGTCTTGGTATTGACCCTGAATCCCTCGGCATCACTCACACAGCCAAAATTGCTTGAAAACCAGTTCACAAAGAGAAAGAAAGAAATTGATCTGGGCGCTCTTGGCCTTGTCTTTGAATTGTACGAGGCTTTCGTGGCCTCTCTTAGTTATTATAGGTGAGGAAACTCCGTAGTGCCGTAGAGCCAGTAGTGCATCATTGTCGTTGTCACCTCGGGAAAAGACGTGCTTATCAACCCCGCGGCCAAGCCACTTCATCTCGGCTGAGACGGCCCAGCCGCCTGCATCGTTCGGGCTCTCCCCTTTTTGCGCTTTCCTGCGCTTTCACGCGCCCCGTTTCTCATGTGGCGGGCTTGGGGAGCTGCCACGTTTGCTGCTAATTGGTAGACCTGATCGCTCACGGTCCATCGGTTGGCTGGCGTTGCAAGCCCGCAATTACGGAGCGGTAGATTGGTCATATTGAATGTGCCTTTCTTCTCCCGTTGGCGCTGCAGATCACTTGGGAATTATTTTCCCAGGCCTCCAGGGTTGCAGTGTTTAGATTCAGCTGTACACACATTATATACATGTAATGTGTCTTCCCCCCTCGTGGGCATCCCGACCGCCATGTTGGCTGTGGGTTGTCAGCCAATCAGCAGATTGACTGGAATTACCAGTAGTTTGCCAATTGCAAGACAAGGTTCAGGCTGGTCAGATTTATTCCAAGGTAACCTCATTTACTCTAGTATATACTCGACGAGACAATAATAATCCCCCAGGTAGTATGGAGTATATACATGAGCCCCTTGAAACCGTATGATCGGAAATATGTACCACATGAAACGAACCAATGGCACTGGGTCAAAGCGATCTGCATATCTCATCCTTGAAAAGTACTCCGATTGTAAATGGAAGTGGAGACAAGCTACCAGTTGACTAGTACATGAATCTACTGTGAAGTTGCCGTCAATATCACATCAAAGGTCAAAAGTCAAATGCATTGCATTGCAATCAAATGTGAGGTCTCTCTTCTTCCCTCCAGGACTCTTTCTATACATACATGCCGATCCAAGTTTGCCAGACTGCATGCTTCGGAGCCCTACAGGAGATCCCCTTGCCGCGCATGCACTGAGCAGATCATGGCCCCCTGCTTCCTGTCAGACATAGTACAAGAGATAATCTATTAAGAGAACATTGGGGGCCAGCGCTGGCATGTACTTTCCCGAAGCTGACTGTCGCATCAATGGATTGATCCTGGAGGCCCGAAAAAGCAACTCTGTAATAAGCCGCGGGAAGGCGCATGGTTCATCTTGGGGGCTGAAGGATCAAAAGTGAATTTTACACGAGTTTATTCCAGATGTCTGGGAGGTACGGATTTGATGATTTGATGATTTGATTGATCTGGCCCGCGCGATCGAGAATTGATTTTATTATGTTTTGTTTCCCCCCCCCCCTTTTTCCCGATCTTTTTTGTTAAAGTTCAATTTCATATCTGGTGGCTTGGTGGAATGGATAACTTCGATCCGGGCTGAAGGTACATGGAAAAAGAAAAAGAAATTGAGTCAACGGTAACGCTTTAATTGATTATTAATATTTAAAGTATGAGCGGGGTAAATTCAATGCACTTGGATGCATAATAGAGAAAGCATTCAACATTCAGTGTTCTATTCCATGGGATATTTGAAGGAGTTTTCGACCTTTGCTCCAACACTTGAGCTTGACAGTTTTAAAACATTGCATCAATACATGCAAAGTGCTCCCGGGGCATCGGGAACATTTGAACCTTGTGCCCAAGTGGTGGTTTCGCAAAAGCAATATTCAACATTTGAAGTGTTCAAATGTACTTTGCATATACTTGTGTATGTAATTCAAATGTTGCTTTTGTTGACACTATCGGAATAATGCTCTTCGTAGATGCCGGCAGATCAAGCCCCCTTTCCGGTCGCGTGGACTTTTGTCAAGTGGGTTGTTCTTTTTGGAGCCAAGAATGAGGCCATATGTAGTATGTATGTAATGTACTTCTAGAGGATCAGCCGACAGCCCAATTATATTCTCGGTATGTCAGATTGACATGGAACATTTTTTTCATGTTGGGGGGATGCTCATCATCAATGCTCATTTTACCCATTTTAGCCATAGTGGGTCGCGGGATGTATCTCCGTTGATGTTGACATCTCAGGTGCTGTAAACACGAAAGTGGACCCGTCCTGCACGACTATGCCCTTCTGAATGCTTGAACCTCCTGGAAATGTTTAAAAGGCCTCAAGATAACCAAGCATCTTTCCATTACTAGTAGTTTCAAAATGTTCCTATTTCCATGATTCCAACTTTGGAAAATTTACCACGTCCCAATAATATACTAGCACCCGTTGCTACAGACATGTGCATCTTGTCCCCATTATATGCAGTAGCAAACATTTGAACCCAACCAACCCCAGTAAGCCCTGAAGTCTCCTCGTTTGTGGCTGCAGCACCAGGTGCAATCTGCAGCCACCGGAGATTCGAGATTAGTAAGTCGACCACATTCGTCCCTTATCGAAGAGTACATGCATATATGCACCTTTGCCCCCAGTGCCAAGCTTAGGATAAACATGACAGCACTATTATTATTTCCAAAGTTAGCGCCCAATGATGGGACTCGATTATTTATTTTTGGCTTGCTTTTACTTTTTTTTTTACTTTTTCTTTTTCGCAGTACCTGATCTCTCTCCCCTGTGTTGTGTTGGTCGCACAACAGGGATTCACAAAAGTACTTAGCCTTAGCCCTGGAGGGGGGGGACATTTATCTCCACGAATCCCGTTGTGCCTTGATGATCCGGATTTCTATTTGATCGTAGTGGCGGTTTATTTGCAACTGCAAGGTTTCGATCCTTTTTTTTTTTGGCTTATTCTGTTCAAATGTTAATTTTTTTTTTTTTAAAAAAAAACAAGTTCTTCTCGTTTCCCTTTATTTCATCCAATCTGGAGGCCGTATGGAAGTGTTTTATGTTATTGGTCTTGAAATCAAGAGGCTGATCTGTAATCTGTGGTCGCTATAATGGACATCTGGATCCATCCTTCCGGATGTTTCCTATGTATGCTTACTACTATGTGTACGTGTACTTGGGTCAACTGGTACATACTTGTCCATACATAACTTTCGCAGTCGAGTGGAACATATTTATACATAAGAGCTGTCAAGGACGTTTGAACTCTTAGTTGTTCAAACATATGTTATCAAATATTATTCTCAGAGCCAAAAGAATCTTATCCATACGATCTATATAGAAGTCAAAGCAGGACTTAGCATTGAGATATCCAAGTTTGAATGTTTGACATACACCAGGTACATATATGTTGGTCTGGTGAACATTTGAATCTTGCACATGTGGGCACCATTGATGGATCCCGACCTCGGGACCGGGCGCCCCGTGAAGGAACTTTCTTTTCTATTATGCCGTGCGTGTCGCACCGTCCTACTAACCATGTCAAGAAAATAGAAAAAACAAAGAGGTTGGATGAAGCACAGGATTAAAAAAAAAAGAAAAAGTCACCAACAGAATTGTATGAGACCATGAATACTTGGAGATAAAGGGCTTAAGTGTACTTTTTTTAGGCTGAAATTAAGCAAAAAACCAAGCAAAAACCAAGCACTTTGAGCACATGAGCAAAAAGATGCTTAGTCACCCGGCTCCGACGCAAAGCCTTAAACCTTGGAAAAGTCCCCACAAGTGGACTCGAGCCAGGAGTAAGCTATGCGCGCGGCTGATGTCTCCTGTACGTTTTTCAAGTGGAGTCCCCCATCGCCCTAAGGAAAATTCCCGGAACACGTTGACCGAGTAGGTTTAGTACGGGCCCTGGTGGATTCCTGATCTGTGTGCCTCTTCCACTGCTCCTGCAGTGGTGACGACCAGCGCACCCTGCAGGGATCCGGCTGGGGACACCAGATCCGACAAGACACGGAGATTGTGTCATGGGTTAGAGTTTGACAGCCCTGGAAGCTTGCTGGTGCGGGTGTTGCTAAACATGGCGCACGTTGGGGGGGATTTTCTCTCGCAACCGTGTACATAACCCACGCGGGCGTTGTTCTCCCGGCAATGGGATTCAAAAAGGATCCTCTGTTTTTTAAGTGATGTTTTTCTTATATAGTTATGTACTAGTAGTATGTATATATGTTTTTTTTGATAAGATTGTATGATATACACTAGGAACATTACAGCTTGGAGATTCTGAGTGGCGAGGTCCTTTTGAGGAACCATGTTGTCTCTCTTTTTTGATTAGTCCAAGTCTTCACCGTTTTGGTGTTTCACAGACTCTACACAGTATTATTGCAAGGTAACGGCGACGGCTCGGCTAGGCAAACCCTGGGAATTCGGGGGACAAATTTGGGGCAATGGGAAAAATTAAAGAAAAAAAAAAAAGATGAAAAAGACCGAAAAAAAATTAATAACTTTTTTTAAAATGAAAGAGGAAAAAAAAACGAATTGCGTCTCCACGGGTGGAGCCACATTCACCGAGTCCCAGGCTGACGACATGGGTTTCTGCCGATCGAAGGTATTTCTGGATGCGGTAGGGGGGAAGTGGGAACCAGAATCAAGAATCGGGCGTTTTGGAGGGAAGTTATTGGAATGGCCCAAAAAAAAAAGAGACACGAACAACATCACGAGAAGGGGAAAAAATGAAAATCGGTAAATTGAAAGAGGGAATCAGTCAAGGAAAGGGGATTTGTGCATTGTCACATCCCCACTCCAGGGCTGTTGTATCAAGATCATCGGACATCCACTGGTATGCGGCAAAAGGACTGTGGCTTTGTGGCTGAGGAATGGAAAGCGGACAGAGCTTTTTTTGTGTAAGCCCAGAGCTGGAGAGAGAGAGAAAGGAGCACTTGAGAAGAGAAAATCAAACGTGTGGAGGAAAGTCTAGACTGAATGCGGTAAGGTGTCCATTGTTCCTTATACTAGTTAGAGTAACGGAGTATGTGATGTTTGGATTTGGTAATTTTCTTTTCTTTTTTTTCTTTCCTTTTTTTCTTGTGGCTTGAGCTAAAAGAGACTAGAGGTGCAAAGCCAATTTCATGGGATATTATAGAACATACTTGGTACTAGTATATTTATAACATTATATCCCATTATACTACTAGTATACTTGGGAGTATTGTATCAGATAATCATGATGACGGAAGGGGCGAAATGCACTAGTTACCGGGTGGAGGAAACTCCCGTGGTATGTCAAAGTCAACCCTGCATGGGAAAGAAGACGGGAAATATGGGATGAACAAAAACTCTATGGTGAGAAAGTAGGAGGGAAGAAAATATAAAGAAAAAAAAGAAAATTTCCAATTTTTTTTTTCTCCAATGCAAAAGGTGCAGGGGAGAAGAAGCAGTATGATATATAGGATTGTAGGGTCAAACTGCAAGATGCAAGATGCCGGGTTAGGGAGTCGGAAGAAAAAAAAAAATAATAAAAATAAAAGGTGAGAAAAAAAGAGAAAAAGAAAAAGAAAAAGAAAAAAAAAAGCGGAGTTGGAAGTTCCATGCCCCCTGGCTCTCACACAAAGGGGGACAGGGATCTAGCTGGAGCAAAGCGCACGGTCCAACATGCCGGGTCTTAGCTTAAGGCCCTTGACCGGGTTAGGCTAAAGTCGGAGTGGCACGGAGAACAGTCACACTAATGCACTTCACTAACGCACTGAAGCACACGGGGGGAGTCCACCCCGAGAGACCCACTAGGGCGCCACTCGGCCTAACCGGGGGTTCGTGAATCATAAATCCTTTTGGCTTTTTATGCCCATTTGATTGGCATTTTATTTCCCTTTTTCTTTTCGATTTCGCTAGCTTGAGTAGCTGAGATACATCTTGGGGAAAAAAAAAAAGTGAAGCTATCTCGAGGATCAGAGCTCAATGTAGCCTTCAAATTAAATATCACCTCCTATATATACTAATTTTTTTTTTTTTTTTTTTTAAAAAAAACCTTTCAATTCAAACCTAGATCCCTCATCGTGTTGCTGAAAAATGCCCCCACACCGTTGATGAAAAGCCCAATCCACGGCATCATAACCGCCTCCAGATCGACCCCACCCACGCTAAGCCCTTTTAGGCTCCCCAGCTCTTTTGGAATTAATTGCCATTTTTCATTTTTCCGGGTGTGGGTTGTTGGTGGGTGTCGCTGATGTCGCTGGTGTCGCTGGTGTCTGTGGTGACGGCCGACAGCTGCACAACCACTAGCGCCTCTTGGCAAAATTCACCTTTCCTGCCAGCCCCTCGACTCTTTTCCCCTTCCCCGATTCTCTCCTTCTACACCTCGTTTACCCCATACATTTTCTCCCTTTACATTTTCCCCTTTCTCTGCTTTGTCCTTCCTTTTTTTTTCATTCGCTTCTGGTGTGGGCTTTCTTCCATCTTCCATCTCCTCCCCCCCCCCACACCCACCCTGACAATACTTCACCTCCAAGAGTAGGCACGCTACTCTTTTAATCCGAGGGATCGTCGACCATCACTGCGAACTGGTGTCGCAGGTCTTGATTCCGTTTTCGCGATCCTGTGCGACGAAATCGAAAGCGACCTCGGAATTAATCCTTGAATAATTCTCCATCCCGTCATATCAATCACCGCGAAAATTGCATCATCGTGTCGCAACGCCTTCCACCTTTTTGGTTCGCAAATACGGGTCTTTAGGGAACGGCAACCATATCTGATTGATATTTGATCATGTCTCATACTCAACCTTCCCCAACCGCTAGTGTTGCTCAACACCATGCGCACATGGCCAGCCATGGGGCCATTCAGCAGGGCAATGGTATCATGCCGCCCATGCCGGCGCAAAACCAGAAGGCCGTTTCCCTCACCACCGCTCAGAAGATCACCTCACTCAATGAACAAGTCTGGCTTCACATTGGTATGCTTGAATCCGTTGAATCTACGCGACGCGATCGCATGTACTGACTTCGCCTTTATAGGCAGCTTAACTGAGTTGATGGGAGACTTGGATGGTTCAATGAACGCGTATGAACAAGCTCTGAGGCACAACCAGTGGTCTGTGCCGGCCATGAATGCCATCTCCTGCATTCTTCGTACCAAGGAGCAGTTCCCTAAGGCGATCGAGTTCCTCCAAAACATCCTGAAGCTCGACGCATCTAGCGGTGAGACGTGGGGCAGTTTGGGACACTGCCACTTGATGATGGACAACCTGCAAGAGGCCTATACGTCTTACCAGCAGGCTTTGTATCACCTGCGCGATCCTAAGGTAAAATTTCTCCTTGGGTTTCTATTTTTTTTTCTTGCTGCTTCTGTAAGTGAACGTAGCTCATTATCTTTTAGGAACCCAAACTGTGGTACGGAATCGGCATACTATATGACCGCTATGGGTCCCTCGACCACGCTGAGGAGGCCTTCTCTCAGGTCATGCGCATGGCACCCGAATTCGAAAAGGCTAATGAGATCTACTTCCGCCTTGGGATAATATACAAGCAACAGCAGAAGTTCAGCCAGAGTCTCGAGGTAAGTCAAATTATTGGAAGCAACTTGAATATATGTGTGGACTAACATCGGTTTAGTGCTTCAAATATATCGTGAACGACCCTCCTCGACCCCTGACTGAGGAGGATATTTGGTTCCAGATTGGCCACGTTCACGAACAACAAAAGGACGTAAGTCATGAACCGCCTACATTGCGCCGCAGCCATTTTTTGTCTCACACTAATTTTTATTTGGAAACTCCAGTTTGATGCCGCTCAAACCGCATACCGACGTGTTCTTGATCGGGACCCCAACCACGCCAAGGTCCTTCAACAGCTGGGATGGCTATACCATCAACAAAGTACAAGCTACCAGAGCCAGGATAAAGCGATTGAGTTCCTGGAGAAGTCGGTCAGCGCAGATAACAACGACGCTCAGAGTTGGTACCTCCTGGGTCGCTGCTACATGTCGCAAGCCAAATACCCCAAGGCCTACGAAGCCTACCAGCAAGCTGTATACCGTGATGGACGCAATCCTACCTTCTGGTGCTCGATCGGTGTTCTGTACTACCAGATCAACCAGTACCGGGACGCGCTCGATGCCTATTCTCGTGCTATTCGCCTGAACCCATACATTTCAGAGGTCTGGTACGATCTCGGCACTCTGTACGAATCGTGCAACAACCAGATTGCCGACGCGCTCGACGCGTACGGTCGCGCCGCCGATCTTGATCCTAGCAACGTCCACATCAAGGCTCGTCTGCAGCTGCTCCAGAGCCAACAAATGTCTGGCTCTGGCCAGCAAGGCAACGCCCCTGCACCGCAGCCACAGGATGTCCACCCCCAGGCTTACCAAGCGCCCGGAGTTGGTGCGCCCCCAGCTCCCCAGTGGGGTGCCCCAGCCCCGATCGGCCCACCTCCTCAGGCACCGGCTCCCCCTCGCCAGATTGAGAGCTGGAACAGAGGCATCAATGACCTACAGTCGCAGGGTCCCGGTCCTGTCAGCAGCCTTGAGTCGCGTGATGCGCCTCGTATCCCAGGACCCGCTCAAGCCAGCCCTCGCCAGGAGCCTGGTCGTGCTTTCCCTGAGCCTCGTGGTCTGGCTCGCTCGCCCAAGATGGGTGCTCCCGGTGCTTACCCACCCCCGCACCACACCTTGCCTCAGTTGGTAAATGGCCCAACCCCTGGTCATGAACGTGCTCCCAGTGGCGGCAACGGCTTCAATCCTATCTCCCGTGGTCCCGGTCTGCCTCCAGCATCCGGTGCTCCCCCACCCCCCGGTCCTAACGGTGGTGTTCCCCCCATTGTACCCGGTGCTCCTGGTGCTGCTGCTCCTCCTCCCCCTTACCACCGTCCCTTCACTCCCCCAACTGAAATTCGTCCTCTTCGCGATGAACGTCCTTCTTCGCCCGGATCGGGATATCCCCACCAGGCCTTCCACACTGGCCCTCACCACCCCCCTGGTCCAGGCATGCCTGCTCCGGGTGTGAATGCCCCACCAGGCATTGACGGCGGTGCTCCTCCTCCTGCTGCGGCGACTGCGGCTGCCGAAGTTGCCGCTCGCGAACGTGGCGAAGATCGTCCCGCTTCTGCAATGAAGCGTGGCCGCGAATGGGAAGAGACTGGCCCGGTCAAGAAGTTAGCGAATGAGGAGAGTCGTGCCCGCCTCGATGATCAAAATAGTCGCCGCCCAAGCCCACCTTCTCACATGCCATCTCCTGGTCAGATGCAACGCCGTAGTTCCTCGGAAGCTCGTCGTGAAGATGCCCGTCGAGCCAATGAAAACTATCACCCCTCGGAAGCTGCCCATCACCCTCCCACCCTTCCTTCTATCCAGAACATGCCGCCTCACGTTGCAGGTGGGCCCAGTCTCCCTCCCATGGCCGAGAGTGCTGCCCCTGCCTCTAATGGGCCCCCTTCTGCCCCTCCATCAGCCAACACTCCGGTCAAGGAGGAGCCTCGCCGCCCGGAAGCCCCTTCGTCCCACGAGCCCCCGGCTCGCAAGATGGACGTTGATGAGGATTATGATGACGATGTGGACGAAGATAAAAAGGCTGCTGTCGCAGCTAAGGGAAGTCCCAATGGCAGCGCCTCTGGTGCCGCCAATGGTAACGGCATTGCCAGCAATGGCCGTCCCGGTACTCCCTCGAAGACCGAGTCGTGACAAATAAAATAAAAGAACTTACCGGTCGTTCTGACTTCTTTCATGTTTGGTTGGCGCTTTCGTGGATTCTTTTTTTCCCCTCCTGTGTCTTTTTTACCCTCTATCCCCCCTTTTTCTTTTTTCTTCCAATTGCGTGATGTATGGTATGAATGTGTCGTGTGTTTCTGACCTCTCTCAATCGGCCAGAAGGTACTGGACCGGAGAGCGGTCTCGTGCCTGTATCCACTCTCTTACTGCTCTAGTGATGAATTTCCTCGTTTCTTTTCCTCTGTGAATTTTCTCCCTACGGTGCTTAAGGCATCTTTGTGACAGTGAATTTAACCTATTTAAAATGATTTTATGAACGTAGATTTTTTTTTTTTTTTTGGTTTCAGTCCATATTTTTCTTGCATTATACTAGACAGCGTAGGATGAGAAAGGGCCTCAGTAGAGGGATAGAGTGGAATACAGTGTCTCAACCAGTAAGCTTTATAAGGTATATGTACAGGAGGTAGGACCATTTTTCATGTAGTACATGGCAGCCCTGGTGGTTGCATAGTACTTGCTACTAAGAACTTAAGCAGTAGCAGTGCTAAGCCTGAAGCCTTGGGTTGTATGAGCCCTGAAGTAGTCAGCAGCCCCACTCGTAACAATCAAATGAACTTTCAATTTTCCACAAGTGGGTTCTTCGCACGTGACCTCACATGATCAGATCCACCCTTCGGAAAAACAAGTCGCTTATCCAAAATGGGAAGGCTCGCTTAGGTCAGCCCACAACTCGTCTAGCGTGCAAAATACACCTCTCCAACACTTTTAGATCGTCACTCTACCACCTCGACGACGACTAACGACACCAGGGTCAAGATGTAAGTCGTTTACCATGTGCTACTCAAAGACCTTTCTCAAGTGCAATTGTTAATTTATATTCCCATTCAGGAGTCACCGGAAGTTCGAAGCGCCCCGCCACGGTTCGTGATCAACTTTTCATCCTCGACAAAATTCGACATTCCCATTGTGCGATGATACTGATACTACAATTACAGGTTCTCTGGCCTACTTGCCGCGCAAGCGCGCTGCCCGCTACCGCGGAAAGGTCAAGAGGTGAGTTATCTGTCGCTGGAATACTGCGACAAAAAAAAAGTCTTCATGTCGGAATTCGAGGTATACTGATACATCTGCGCCAGCTTCCCCAAGGATGACGCCAAGAAGCCCGTTCACCTGACTGCCACCATGGGCTACAAGGCCGGTATGACCACTGTCGTCCGTGACCTTGACCGTCCTGGTGCCAAGATGCACAAGAAGGAGATTGTCGAGGCCGCCACCGTCATCGAGACCCCTCCCGTACGTTTTTTTCCCCGTGAAAAAAAAAAAAAAGATGAAAACTCGGATCAGCAGTTCTAACATAAATTTTGTATTTTTAGCTTGTCGCCGTTGGTGTTGTCGGTTACATCGAGACTCCCCGTGGTCTCCGCTCTCTCACCACCGTCTGGGCCGAGCACTTGAGTGACGAGGTCAAGCGTCGCTTCTACAAGAACTGGTACAAGTCCAAGAAGAAGGCTTTCACCAAGTACTCCAAGCAGCACGCCGAGGGCTCCGGTGCCTCCATCACCCGCGAGCTTGAGCGCATCACTAAGTACTGCACTGTCGTCCGTGTCCTTGCCCACACCCAGATCCGCAAGACCCCCATCAAGCAGAAGAAGGCCCACCTTATGGAGATCCAGGTCAACGGTGGCTCCGTCGCCGACAAGGTTGACTTCGCCCGCAACCTCTTCGAGAAGACCATCAGCATCGACAGCATCTTCGAGAAGGACGAGATGATTGATGTCATCGCCGTCACCAAGGGTCACGGTTTCTCCGGTGTCACCAGCCGTTGGGGTACCACCAAGCTTCCCCGTAAGACCCACAAGGGTCTGCGTAAGGTCGCCTGTATTGGTGCTTGGCACCCTAACCACGTCCAGTGGACTGTTGCCCGTGCTGGTCAGGACGGATACCACCACCGTACCTCCTGCAACCACAAGGTCTTCCGCATTGGAAAGGCCGACGATGAGGCCTCCGCCTCCACCGAGTTCGATATCTCCAAGAAGCAGATCACCCCGTATGTTTTCCTCCCAAAATATCTACCCGATTGAAAAAGAAAAATTCAACTAACATTCTTTCTAGCATGGGTGGTTTCGTTCACTACGGTGAGGTCAAGAACGACTGGGTCCTTCTCAAGGGCTCCGTTCCCGGTGTTAAGAAGCGTGTCATGACTCTGCGTAAGACTCTGTACCCCCAGACCAACCGCAGGGCCACCGAGAAGGTCGAGCTCAAGTGGATCGATACCTCCTCCAAGTTCGGTCACGGTGCTTTCCAGACCTTCGAGGAGAAGCGTGGTTTCCTCGGTACGCTCAAGAAGGACCTCGTCACCGAGGTTTAAGATGTTTCGTTTGGTCGGTGATAGGTGCAACGTATTTTCAAGTTCAATCAAAAAAAGCGAACAATACTTTTTTACGAATGGTAGCTTGGATCATGATCTTATGATCTTTTTCTCGTAGATTGAACCCATGTATATTCTTGCATATATTATGTCCTCAAGTTGATTAGCACCTAGTAGCACTTGAGTATTTCTGGTAGTAGATACTACTACTAGGTATAACTCCAATCCCGGAGGGTTCCTTTCCCCTGGGCACTCATCAATTCAACATAATGTTGAATGTTGATGGATGGATGCTGTAAGAACCAGTTGACATTGATATATGGAACGCAACATTTGAATGTAGTAGGTACGTCCTGACGGGCATGATTTCAAATGTTTCAGCACTTCCAAGGTCCAGACCAATACCTTGGGATATTCCTAATACGGAGGTCATTTGAATGTCTCAAGATATCTACTAGGTGTCCGGATGAATATATCTATATGCCTATACATAGACCCCGGGAGAACTCCACATGTCAACTTGGAAGCTTGGAGCCTTCAAATGTTGGAATATACCTAGCACTTGAGTAGTATTATGCACGTTAACATATATAAAAACATCCAGATGTCAGTTGACGCAACATTCAAATGTTTCCAAGGTTCAAATGTTGGCCACTGTGCATAGATGGAGCAAATATATCTCCCACTATTCCAGACTCGGATTTCCTTTGCAAATTCTGCCCCATCGAACATTAAATTTAAAAAAAATCTTTCTCTTGTCTAATACCGTGGATTTATATCCAACAAGCACTGTTGATTGTATTCCAAGCTTTTACCTGAAACGTGCACTAGTTGACCCATACGCGTGCGCCTAAGATTCATTGCGTCATTCCATATTCTTCTTGAATCACCACACACCAAAACCAGATGTTTGCACGATCTCTCCCCAACGTACACGCCCTCCCACCAACAAGATATAAACCCAGCCTACATCGCAACATAACCTCACTTGCTACTCATTTTCAAATACCTCAATCCTCCGACCGCAAACTGAACTCCAAACCGAAATCCCTCCGCTTCCCCGCAGACCTCAGCTTCCAGAAAACCACCCTACCTCAAGCCTCACCTTTCTCTACTTCACACATCATGGCCTCTGATGATGCCTACATGGCCTTTCTGAACAAGGCAAATGCCGACAACAGTGCCGCCTCTACTGAATCGGAACAAGCGCCCAGACCCCAGGCCGTGGATGACTCCCTCAACTTACCAGCTTCGCTACAAGAAGTCAAAGTAAACTATGTCTCAGAGAGCGATGAACCCTTTGAGCCTGTCTTGCTGCGATGGAAGGGTGCTACCAAAGGAGAATGGCCAAGTGCTGGTACGTAAAACCCCCGACTGAAGCTTCCAGCTCCCTTTCTTGCCCGCTTCCCCCCTACATAGACGGACCCGTGAACACAGGGATCGGTACTATCTCAAGATACACTACAGATCTGAATAAGTCCATATCTCAGGAAATCAAGTGGAGCCATCCCGCTAACCCTGCTTTCTTCTCTTCTCTGCCCTAGATGACCTTTCTTCCTTGATCTCGCCGACCGCCGATATTTCGAGTAATATTTCGACCCTTGATGAAGCCTCCTTTGATCCCAGGAATGAGTACACCGGGATTCTGAAGGCGGTGCGTTCGGCCACTACGGAGGATGACCCTGATAAAGTTGATATCAAGATCTATCGTGTTCAGCTGGGTACTTCCAAGCTGGAGTACTATGTACTGGCTTTGAATTCGGCAGAGGGTGGTCGGATTGTTGGGATGCGGGCTTTGAGTATCGAGTCTTGATTTAAGTACACCTCGACTTTGCTTGAAACCAAGGATTCATGGCTATGAGATGATTCTTTAGGGAAATAGGACAAACTTGAGATATCATTATGATTTGAAAGTACGAAGTACATGGTACATAATATTCATAATATTATAATTGGCAATGCGTTGCTCTCCACTGAAACAGGCTTCGCTTTCCTATTGAAACTAATATTGCGAGTTTTTGGTCGTTTTGACAGCCTTTGGTTCGGACATCGCGACATTCTTGCCGGTTAATGACAGAGTTGCGGGACGCGTGGTCGGGAATGGCTGTGTTCCCGAGGAAAAGGTAAATATGAGTTAATATTTGAATTGAAACAAATTGAAAGTAATTCAAGACATTGATTTCAGACTGTCCGAATAGCTAAAATGGAAATGTTGGTTGTGGACCGTAGTAAGGAGTGAACACCAAGGGCATCTCCCTATGTTAACTATTTCTATACTCCTACAACCTACAAACAGGAACAACCTTGAATCATCGTGATTGGCTTGCAGGTGTACAAGCCATCCAACTCCATCAAGATGCCAACGCCCCAGATTCCAGATCAACAACATTCATGCCTCTTCATTCCTCGCTGCCCGGGAAGTGGTCGGGAATGTACAATCTGTCTTACCATGGCCCTTCACAGGATTGAAGAGTCGCGATGGAGGCACGACCACCACCAACCTTTTCGCAATTGACCAAGGCCTGAATCCTCTTGATTGAAAATAGAAATCTATGAAACGATCTAGTTCATCAAAGTACTATACCTTTTTTCCCCCTCCAGTCGCGCAACTATCCCCGACGGGACATCCACATACCACGGGTTGCCCCCCTTGGGAAGGCCTGTCATTCCTCTCCTTTATGCACCCAAACAACAATCCCTCGTGCAATCTAGGCTTGATCTTTTCTTCTAGTCTAGTGCTCTTGGTGTCCTTTTCATTTTTTGTACCTACTATACCTACGCTTTGTCCACCGGCTTCACGATCTCGGGGACATTGGATATCGTCCAAGTGGTCCTGTCCACTCTTTCGCTTCTAGTGCACTTGACGACTGTGCCTCGCTCGTGTCACTCGGTCTCGACATTTGGAGAATTAGTGCTCGGTGTGGGTTAAGAGTCCAAAAAAGGTATTGGGCTTCGGAGTGATCTGTGATCCCAGCAACCAACTATTTATACATCGACAACCGAGAATCTTAATGCTTGGAACGTCCACAGCTTAAAGAGAGCATCAGTTCAGAGGTCAGAAGGAAACCAACCTCGTTTGATTGTTCTTTGTTGGTATAGGGACCGAAGCAGACCCAACGGGGATTTTCACAAGCACGATATAATCAGATGACGGACCAGTATTCGAATTCCTCCTTGCGACCCGATATGCCTCATATCAGACTCAATTCGGGTCGTCAAGACCCGTTCATTGAGTCTGATGAAGGTTACGCACCACTCACAGGCCGCACCTTGCCCCGGCCTTTGACACCAGCGGCTGAGCTACCTGCCCCAGCTATCGGCGCACAGGGAATATCTCCGTACGGTATCTCGCACGCACCGGAGTCATCGGAATTTCTCCTTCCACCTAGGTTACGACCAACGACGCGAGATGACTCAGAGAGATCTGGTTCGCCGGATCGTTGGTCGGCGGCTGGGTCGAGTGTTAGCTCGATGAGCCGGGAGAGTCGCTTTATGTTGGATCCCTTTGAAGACCAATCAGTGGTTCATTCAACTCGATCTGCGAGCGATGAGTACGATGTCAATACCCAGACTGTCTCAGAGAAGTTTAATATCACGCCTTCGGATGGCTTGTTGCTTTTCCCTGAAGATGTTGAAAAGGACGACTACCTGCATAACCCGGACCCATTGGATAAAGACCGCGACTGCGACCTGTGGAACCGTCGTGGTATTTTGAACATGGGTGGTTTGGCGCTTTTGACAGTGGGGATTTTGGTTCTGTTTATTGGATATCCAGTTATGTATGTTTTGTCTGGGGAAAACTTGTGTTTTGTGGATAAGAGGCTGATGTGAGATGATTTTTAGAACATGGGTTGAAGGCGTTATGAGACCTAAAGACGCATGTCGTCCTGGGGACATGCTATGTCTTGATGTTGGAGAAAGACCTCTTTTGAGTAATCTGCGACAGGGTTTGATTGACCCTGATACCCCAAAAGATGCTCTTACCAAGATCAGTGCAGAAGGGAAAGAGTTGAAATTAGTGGTAAGTGGAGTTATTTCGGGAAGCTATCATTATTTATCTGACTTGACCAGTTTTCGGATGAATTTAATATGCCTGGAAGAACATTCTACGATGAGGATGACCCTTTCTTCCAAGCAGTGGACTTGTGGTATGGTGTGACCATGGACAAGGAGGTTAGTTATCACCATAGGTTGAAAGCGTGACAATTCTAACTCCATATAGTGGTACGATCCCGATGCTGTCACTACGAACGAGGGTGTCTTGGAAATCCGATTCGACGACTTCAAAAACCACGACCTTGCGTACAGATCTGGAATGCTTCAAAGTTGGAACAAACTTTGCTTCAAGGGTGGCCGTCTGGAGGCTAGTCTGTCTCTTCCTGGTGATGGCCACATCGAGGGTTTCTGGCCTGGTTTCTGGGCAATGGGCAACCTTGCTCGTCCGGGTCATGCCGCTACGACTGATGGCCTGTGGCCCTACAGCTATCATGACGGTTGTGATGCGGGCATTACCCCGAACCAAAGCTCTCCAGACGGAATTAACTTCTTACCTGGCATGCGTCTCCCCGGATGTGCCTGTCCTGGCTCTGATCACCCATCTCCAGGCCGCGCTCGAAGTGCTCCTGAGATTGATGTGATTGAAGGCAGCACCCAGCCACTTTACGGTGCAGAGGGTGGGCCGTTTGTTGGTAGTGCATCTCAGAGTTTGCAAACCGCGCCATTTGATCTCTGGTATATGCCAGACTATGGTGAGTCGTATACGACCTTTCTTTAATCTCCAACTTCATCCCTCTCCAAGTAATCACCGGAAACTGACTGTATTTCTAATCATCAGACTTCACTGCCGTCTATGACTCCCGAATCACACAAATCAACGCATACCGTGGAGGACCATACCAACAAGCGATGTCAGGCCTCTCGAACCTCAACCACCGCTGGTACAACGGCACAGAGTACCAAGTGTTTGCGTTTGAATATGAGCCCGGTGACAAGGGCAACGTCACCTGGTTCATCGGGGCCGAAAAGTCATGGACCATTGACGCTCGCTCCATTGGTCCCAACGGTAACATTGGACAGCGTCCAATTCCCCTCGAGCCTATGTCTATCGTCATGAATTTGGGTATGGCGGACAACTTCGCCCCCCAGAACGCTACCATCCGCGAGTACATGCCCGCCTACCTCCGTATCGACTATGTTCGCATCTACCAAGACCCCGATAATGAGATGGTTACTTGCGATCCCCCTGGATATGAGACGACACAGTACATTAAGGATCACCAGCGGGCTTACGATAATGCAAACCTGACTAGTTGGTAAGTCTTATCTTCAGGCTCTTCTTTTTATTTTTTTGTTGGACCTAAAATTTTCTAACCATTTTCTTCAGGTCTGAAACCGGGTACCATTGGCCTAAGAACAGCTATATGGATACTTGTTGAGCATGTGTAACTTTCCAAGTTTGTGTTCTGCGTCGTTTTAGCGGCATTGTGTTTTGGCGTTCGGTTGGGTATAGGCATTCTACTTTCTATATTTTCTTTTACTATTCCACATGGTGTCTAGATTTGACGCCTACTTTAAATCTTATACTCTTTTCTTCTTCTAAAGTTTCCTTTCTCTTGTCAGTACTAGTAGTGTGAATTGTATACTTCGTAGTTAAGTTGACTTCTGGGGTGGCTGAGTCAGCACCCCTCCGTCTTCACATCACAGGGCGATTACCTATGAACTCATTCCTTCAAGATATGGGCTTGTTCTTGTCTGTATTTCAAATTGCGAATAACGAAACGATCTAGGTATCTATAGTCTTCTACCTTCAACCAGAAATCTCCACAAGTAGGAGTTCAGTGACTGCACGTGCAACTTCTAACATTCAATAGGTAGTCTACAGCTGTGGTGGACTTGATACCGCTTACACGGCTTTCCCAATATCATCTACTTGTGTCGCCAAATCAGCGTCATCATCCTCACATTGAATAAAGAGTACTCTGCTCATAAGTGAAGATCTGCAGGCCCGCTTTGGCTAGAACCCAACCTTGACCGCAGCCATCGGTTTAGGTACTCTTCTTATCCTTGCCATTGGCCCATTCTCATTCACCCATCCCACGAGCATAGAATCTCCCCAGTGCTCTGAGCCACTATTTCTCTCTACTCTTGACATCATCCCTATTATCCCCATCCATCTACCTAAATTTTCATTGCACTCCCCCCCCCCCCCCCCCCCATTTTTCCCAGCACGCCACCATGTCAGGATCCCCGAACGACTTACCACGCGTGGTCCACGACGTGGACTTCAACGTAGCAGATTTTGAAGAGTTCTCAGACTCAGACTCTGCTGATGACGTGCAATTTGAAGGCATGCAAATTGATGATCTCGACTATGCCGGCACATTGGAATACAGCCCGCAGCTACATAGCCGGGAATCGCGCGATGGTGCGTATACTCTCGATAAACGGGGACAAAACGCGATCAAGAAAAAGCTCGACTAGCTAACTGTGTTTGCCCAGAAACCGAATTTTCATCCCGCGCTCCAAATCCCGAGGGCTATTCGCAGCAGTTTCGCGACGTGGGTTTCTCGCAATTGCCCAATCCTAATGAAATTGAACGCCGGCCTCAACTTAGTGCTGAGCAACATGCTGCTTTGACTGTCTTGTATGACGAGGAGTTACTAATGATGTATTCTATGAAATCTGGTCGAGTAAGTTCAAGTTCTGTGCCTACACTACAGTCTGGCCTGCGTATAGTCATGGGCCATGGCTATCTATAGCAGGCATATTCAGCTTGGACTTTTTTTTTTCAGTCCCCATTCCATACTAACACGAGATGACAGACCCTCCCGCAAACCCGCCGCCTATTTCAAGCAAAATTAATCGCAGATGGAGACCGCGATCTCGAAGAGGAACTGTTCGCAGCTCGTTTTGCTGTCCCGGCTTCAATGGCCCATCTTATTCCTGAGCTTAATCCTATTGTCGAGGGACCTGGGGCTCCGGAGCTGGCGCTCGGTCTTAACGGGACTACTGCATATCTTATCCCTGCTAGGTGGAAGGAGCGCGTTGATCATGATGAAAGTGGGTGGTGGGCGCCTGGGCAGAGGACTGAGGTTGATGCAAGTGGTGGTAGGCGTGCGGTGAAGAGCTCGAGGAAGAGCGGGAGTGGAGAGGCCTCGAGGGTTGGGTCGAGATCTGTGTCCAGGTCTGCTTCAAAGGGTTGAGTTGGGTTTTGTCTTGTGATTTTACCTTTCTTTTTCCCCAATTCTGCTTGTTCTTTTTGCAAGAACAATTTGTTTTATGGGGGGTTCTTTTTGGGGCTGATATTTTTACTACTATGTGAATGTGAACGGCAAAGAAGACTCAAATGTATGAATCCATAAACATGGATGTAGTTAGGGTCGTACTTCAAATTACTAATAGTCTATGAAGTTGAATATGGTCAAATCATTGGTAAATACTGCTATTGATTGCAGTCATCCTATCATATATGTGCTCGCTAAAGTAAAAATACAAATAACCAGAACCAGAACCAGAGCCAAATCCAACCATATCCCATCCAAAAATAGGCAAAGACAAGCAAAGAACAAAATGGTAAATGATCAATGATCATAGGAAGAGGTAGAGGAAGAGGAAGAGAAGTAAATGAGGCAGGGTAGGTAGATCGGGGATAATAAGGAGGATGGACATGAGTGTGAGTGTGAGCAATGGGTATCTCAAATGGACAAAATCAGCAGATTCTGGCTTCTGTTTCTTTTCTTTTTCTTGGGTTTTTTTTGGGGCATTTTGATTTTTGATGCACTGGTAACTCCCTTTTATGTACCGGGTCAGATCGGGAGAGCCATCCCCGTATGGGACTTGAACTTTCTCTTTCCGGTCGTCAACTGCTGTAATATAAGCAGCAGAATTCCGATACATTCGATAGAGTAGACAAGAAAGAGAATGTGGTTCATTACATCTCTTCCTCTTCTCTCTGCCGCTGTTCCTTGTGGAACATGCTCTCTGCATCACCCACCTGCTTACGCTCCGAGACTTCTCGACTGCGTATGCGGGAGTGATGGGCCTGAACGTTCATAGGCGTCAGTCCTCGAGGCGGCGCGGGTTGGGGTTCCGGTTCACCGAAGTAGAAGGGGTGTAGGCGGTGCGTGGTCGTGGGCCGGACCCGGCCGTCTCTCATGACGGGTAGTTGTCATTGCAGGGGCTCGGAGCTTGAAGACAGACGATTCAGATGGAGGTAGACGTCGGTTCCGTATCTATAAAAGGTAGAAAAAAGAGAGAATTAGCGGGGGAGATTCTCAAATGGGGGGGGGGGGGGGGGATTGATAAGAAGAGAGAAAGGTGATTTTTTTTTTTGCGTACCCTTCCATACTGATCAGCTTCAAATCACCACCAAAGTAGCGAGCGTACAGTCGACTTATTGGCAAACCGTAGCCGAAACCAGCCATTGGAGCTTTGAAGTCGTTTTTGTCAAAGTCCGGGTCGAGGTTCGGGGTCTGCTCCACGGTCGTGTACATGTAAGTCCAGACCAGAGGAATGGCAGACCGTGGAATGCCGCCACCCTCATCCGAGACCTTGATGGTGATATCTTCTTTGCCCTCAGCCACAATGACCTTGGTGACGGGGAATTGTTCCCGGTCGGCACCGTGTCGCTCAACGACCGCCCGAAGAGAGTTCTTCAGAGTCTCGAAGAGCATGTGAGATAGGTGTCCGGGAACATACATGAAGTTCAAATCGTCGCGGCAGACCAGCTGGACCTTGGGCGACTCGAACAGACCATAGTAGTCCTCACAGACGAAACGGGCATTCTCGATAGCTTCCAGAGCAATGTCCTTGACGTTGGTTTTGGTACAAATTATTCCGACATAGTGCGGGTGTTTGACGTATGTTTGTTCCGTGAGCGCGATGTGTTGACCAATTAACATTCGGATACCAATTCGAGACATGTAAAAGCGATCTAAGAAGGACTGGATTGTGGAGTCGATCTGCATCCGCTGTCGCGCACGCTTCCATTCCAAAATACCCTGGGCCACAGTGGTGACGACCCCATCGTGGCGTCGCTTGATCTGCTCCAGGGTCTTGGCGAATCGTTGGTTGTAGTCATTGAGCTCTGGTGGCCATTCCGCATGGTCATCCGCAGGCATAAAGTAGCGGCGGCCCGTAGCGGCAGCTTTTCCGTTACCATTGGCGTGTCCGTTGGCGGTGATCGGAGAGGACCGGTATTGGCCTTCTTTCACACTGGGGTTCATTGTTGCTTCGGAGAGAATTCTAGAGTGGCCATTCATGCGGCCCGGTCGCAGCAGACGGTTTTTGACTTCTTGAGTCAGAGAGGGTCGGGGGAGGTTGATGATTTCCTTGGGACACGTGAGTCATACGATACTTGCAGGGGAATAAAAAAAAAAAAAAAAAGCGCAGGAGGAAACAGTAAGAAGGGGAGAAAAAAAGAAGAGGGTAAAAGGCAGAAGGGAGAAGAAATAAAGAACATACCTCGAATGATTGCGCATACCAATCCTGGACTTTCTTGATTGAGGGCATCTCGCTGAGGCCATCCGGTAACTCACCGAGATCCTGGACTCGGTGCGCCAGGCGAATGGGGAGTTCTTCGGAAAGGAATTGTGAAGCACGGAAGAGGGTTCCTGAGGAATATCAGTACGAGGCAAGACAAGAAATCATGGTCTCTGCAGTTAGAGGCATACCGGTGGATGAACGGTCACCAAACTGGACCATCTGTCGCAGCGAGACACCGGTTGCGGGGAAGCTGGCATAGTGCCTGATGGTGTCCATCAGGCGCTCCGACGGCTTCCACATAGTGATATAGGGGCACAGTGGCCAGTGAACAGAATGGAAAAAAAGGATATAGCTCTCTGAATCCGGGGAAGTGTGGAGGTTTAGAAGCGTGCGAGGGGAATGAGTAATAGAGTCGGGACGAATCGCACTGCCGAGGTTGAGCCCGTTCCGACGCCGGAAAGTCGAAATCGCCGATTTAGGCTTAAGAGTCACCTGTGGTTTTTAGCTTGCTTTTTTAGTTGCCTCTTCGGCAAATCTAAATAAGCCGAGTTCAATGATCTGATTGGTTTAATTGGAAAGAAGTTGAAGTCAGAGCTTTTAGTTTTTTAAAAATTTCCAGAAATAGAAAAATCTCGCATCTTTACTACTCTCCATGTATCCAAAGTTGGAGCGGAAGTGTGTAATTCCGGGGGAGAAAAGCGCACATGATCGCTACGTAACTGAGTACTGAGTTACATAATATTTCTGAATATTTCTCAACTACGTAATTGCACACACCCCGGATCTCCCCTTTCGTCCGAACGTGGGGCATGTCACATGATGTACTTTTGTCTTCATCTCTATTCATTACTAGTAGTTACTAGTTACTAGTTACTAGTTACTCCGTGTACACCGTGTACACCGTGTTTGTGTTTGGGCCCGATGCTGAATGATTCTATTCCCTATTTAATCCCCTTCACCTGGCCCCCGCCCGTTGGGCATGATGATGCAACAAAAATGAATCCCAACTTATCCAACATCTCATTCGCCGCTCTCTCGACCAATTCGAGACTCAAGATCCCCTTGAGCTCTCCTGCTGGTGGAACCTGAATTCGCTTCCTCATATTTTTTTTAAAAGAAAATTTCCCTCAGCTTTGTGCGGTCCTTTTTTCCCCCTTCTCTCTATAGCTTCGATTTCTCAATTCAATAACTTTCAATAACTTTGGTCATTATACACCTCTTTTTTTTGGTCACCTTGAGTTGATTAACTTATTGATTTTCAATTTTTCTTTCTTTTCTCTTCAACTCCTTTTTTTTTTCCCTTTGACATTTCTGCACCAAAACCCTAAAAACTTCGTGCATTGTTAAGCGCGAACGACTCGGAACAAAGCCGTGTGGTTCCCCCTCCACTTCTGGGCCCTGAATCAAGTTATTTTTAAAAGAAAACAAAGCCAAAAAAAAAAACAAAACCTCTACTTCATTTCTATATATATAAAATATATAGAAACAGTTGACTTGATTGGGGGTTTTTTCTTTTTGAGAGACCTTGAACAATCCCCTATCATCAATTTCCCAGGGGGGGAAAAGGAAGAGGGAAAAAAAAACACAACAAACCTCGGATATATAATACATAACATATACCAAGGGAAGGGAACAAACCCACCCCAAAACCCTCAAGTGTTCAAGTGCTTGCAAAACCCTGTGGACTCCCCCTGGGTTTTTTTCTTAAAAAAAGTTCCAAGGTTCATCCCAGGTTGATCATGTCTCGTCGTCGCACTTCCTACAGTGAACCCATGAACGAGGCAGTCGCATACCCTCAACCTCGCCGGGGTCCCATCGAAGGTCCCAATGGCCGTCGTCTCATCCGCCGCGTCACCTGGCGCTCCTCGACCTACAAGTTGATGGCTTCCTTATGGGTGTTAGGTGTTCTCTACATCCTCTGGTTGATTCGGGATCTCTTCTATCTCCCGTTCGCTTCAATGTCCACCCCACCTGTCCGTGCTGAATGACCTACGCCTCGTGTGCGCGGGGTCTAGGACAAGTGGGCCGAAGGCTTGAGCAAGCAAGCAAGGCGCTCTTGGTCTGAGGGGGAATTCGATTTACGCTTTTTTTGACTTTTTCCGCTTGCATTGGTGGCATGTCATGTTTGCTTTGCTCCACTTGGTCTCCTGGGAAAATTGAAGGGGAGAAAGGGAGAGAAGGAGAGGTCAGAAAAGAGGTACAGAGGGACGCACACAACACCTGAATGTGCGGACCTTGAGCCTGGAGGCCAGGTGGGATCATTCTATCTCGGTCTTCCCACTATCCTGGAATGTGTCATATGAGTTATTTAGGTGGCGAGTGGATACACACGGCTTGCGCGTGTGCATCCCCAACCAACCGGGTTTTGTCCAGCCGCTGCATCTTGAGAATCCGATCCCTCGCTCCCTCCGCAATTTGCGATATACTCCTGAGTCCTGGCAACAAAAGCCACCGGTCTAGTTCTTTTTTTTTTTTTTTTTTTTTTTTTTTTCTTCTGTTTGAATTCTAGAGCCTTTGTGTTTTCCTTTGATTCTCACTTTGTCTTTTTCTGCCTCTTGGTGGATTTTCTCGGGTTCATTTGCTTGCCGTCTTGCCTAGCGTTTGTTCCATTGCATATAGCGTTCTCCCCTCAGACTGCATTGCCAGCGACTGTGCCTTCCAAAATGTTTTCCTTTCTCTGCATATACAACGTGCTTGGATATTGATGCAAATCACGCTGGGGTGGTTTTGCTCTCTTCTGCATGTCAGCTATCAGTATATCTAGCTGCCCTTAATAGTTCACATCCGCCAAGGTTCTTTCTTGATGTTAGAGAAAAACAAAATCATTGAAAAAACATGCTCCAAGGTTGAATAAAAAAAAACTGGAAAGTATTGATCTCATTATTGATCTCAATCTCATATCTCATAGACCTAAACAACTATACACAACTCCTCTATGAGGGGGGGGGGTTCAAATTCAATGTCGCATTTTTCCTGACCGTGCCGGCCTATCACAAGTTCGAAACACAAGACAGATATATACCTAGTAGAAAGCCTAGGAGTTGGATTTAAACGTAAAGAGCAGATGTCTCGGACTTGGCAACCACCTCAGCGTACGGCTTAAGAGCAGCGGCAACCTCGGTGGTGGTGAACTTCTGCACTTGCTCCGGGGCACGACCGACAAAAGTGCGGGCGTCGAGAAGGCTGTCCAGCTCGGGGATGATGGGAGCGAAGAAGGCGGTGCGGCGGATACGGTCAAGGAGGTCGTTGTCCTTACCGAGCTTCTTGACGTTATCGGAGGCTTGGTGGGAGAGGACACCTGGAAGAAAGAATTACCGTTAGAGACACACACAGAGAGGAGCTAATAGAAAGGAGATCAAAACTTACGGATCTCCTCGTGGGCATCCTGGCGGGAAAGACCCTTCTTGACACAGGCCATGATGACGTTCTCACTAGACATATCGTGAGCTTCGGTAATCCCAAACTTCAAATGAAGGGTCAGTAACTTACGTGGCCATGAAGGGAAGCTCGTCGTTGACGCGGCGCTTGATGACCTCGGGGTAAACGACAAAGCCGGAGCTGACGTTGTCTACAGCATAGTTAGAAAAGGACCCAAACCGAGGAAACAAGGGCGGAAGAGTAGGACTAACTCAGCAGGATGAGACAGGCATCGGCGCACAGGTAAAGTTCGGGAAGGCTGATACGGCGAATGGCACTGTCGTCCAAAGAGCGCTCAAACCACTGGGCGGAGTAGGTATCCAGGCAGTCCTTGGGCAGGTTCTGCAAGTGACGTCCAAGGGAGCACAGACGCTCCGAACGCATAGGGTTACGCTTGTAAGCCTACATTGCATATTGGTTAGCCGGTTTGCAATTCATGGTTCAAGGATCGAACAGTCCACTCACCATGGCACTGCTGCCAATCTGATCCTTCTCAAAAGGCTCCTCAACCTCCTTGAGCATGGCCAAGTGGCGAATGTCAATACCGATACGTTCGCAGGTGGAGCCGAAAGAGCCAAGAGCGTTGGCGACATCGACGTCGATCTTGCGGGTGTAGGTCTGACTGGAGATGGTGAAGGCAGAGCTGAAGCCAGCCTTCTCGGTGACAAGCTCATCAAGACGCTCAACCTTGGCGTGGTCACCCTCGAAGATCTGGAGGAAGGAGGCCTGAGTACCGGTGGTACCCTTGACACCGCGGAAACGCAGGTCATCACGGGCGCGTTCGAGGTTACGCAGGTCCATCAGGAGATCCTGAATCCAGAGACAAGCACGCTTGCCAACGGTGACCAGCTGAGCAGGCTGACCGTGAGTGAAGCCCAAGCAGGGCAGATCTTTGTATTCCTGGGCAAACTGGGACAGCTTGTCAATGACAACAGCCAGCTTGGGGATCAGGATATCCAGACCATCCCGGAGAATGATCAGGTCAGCGTTATCAGTGCAGTAGCAAGAGGTGGCACCCCAGTGGATGATACCAGCAGCAGCGGGGGCGACCAGACCAAAGGCGTGCACGTGGGCCATGACATCGTGTCTGCGACGCTTCTCCTCCTCGGCGGCGACGGCGAACTCCTCGTCCTGAATGGTGTCATGAGCCTTCATCTGCTCAATAGCCTCCTCGGTGATAGGCAGTCCAAGCTCTATAGAAGCAAGACCCAGTCAATTGAATGTTTGGCTTCCCCACATAGATTCAACCTGTTCATCCGTATATTGTCGTACCTTTCTGGGACTCGGCGAGCCAGACCCACAGCTTGCGCCATGTAGAGAAGCGCATACGAGGGGAGAAGAGATACTTCATCTCCGGGCCTATTCGATTGCGGGCCGGGTTAATAAAATGTAGTTCGATCCCCGGATTCCAGCCCGCTCATCATTGGCGGGATGGTGGGATGGAGGACATACTCGAGTAACGCGAGTTGAGGGGAGTCTGGTAGACATCGTTGGAGGAAGACATGATGTCGGTTGTTTGTGAAAGTCACCTAGAAGATGAATTGAACGGTAAAACCGACAGATAGAACAAGGACAAGGCAGTGTGCAATGTGCGATGCCGGAAGCAATTTTTGTTGCTCAGGCTTAGCGGGGCTTATCACGTTATCGTAGAGTTGGAATTGGTGGGGCAGAGAGTCACGTGTAGAGTATATAAGGTGTAGATCGGCCTTTTTTTTTTTCCTTTCTCGTGGACCGTGGATAGATAGGCAATTATTATGTCATTATAAGAGACCTGGAAGAAAATAAAGATCTATACCTAAAATGACCTATGATGAAAGCTGGGCAAGTTGCACCGAAAGATTCGACTTGTCGTACTTGATGTACTTGCCGCGGCCCTTGTCGATCTCCACGTAGCGATCGTAGAATCGGGCATAAAGTGGCTCAAGAACCGCCTGCAACTCTCGTCCCAGAACCGAACGTACTTCCCGTTCCATGTGAAGGGGCTTATGCCGGGACAACATTTCGTCGAAGCTGGCATTAAACGACTTAAATTTGTCTTTGATGGCATCTTTGTCTTTCGATGACAGACTCTTCACGATACTGCTGGAATCCACGGCACCTCCCGAGTTGGGTCGTGCACCAGAGCGGGATGTGTATTGAACATCAAGAAGGAACTGGGATGTCTCCTTCCAAGCGTCAAGGTAGGTTGATGTAGCACGCTTGCGGAAGGTGTCGATGCGGGCAATGCTGTCCGGGGCACCCAAGTAGCGCGCCAGTTCTGGACTTTGCCGGATCGACCGGTCGACAATACAGAAAACGTTGGACAAGAACACGCCCAGTGCGGCTTTCGTCTTGTGGAAGGAGCGACCACGTGCCTCCAGTGCGGTCATTAAAGATTCAATCATATCCAAGATAAAGTGCGAGAAAAGGGTACCGCTGTCAGGCCCAACGTCCAAAGGCGCTGTACCAGCGGTGCTAGATTTAGATCGCCAATTGCCATCACCAAGGGAGGTCAGAATAGATGCCAGGGGGCCTGAGTAGCCCGTCAATGTGGCAAGGGAGTTCATGACTTCCTCAACCAAGGGAACTGACCCTCCATCCGGAGGCAAGGGTACGGTGGCTGCCTTGCGTTTGGTCTCCTCTAGCAGCTCAGATAGGGAAGATTTGGCAGTTTCACGCACTGGCCGCAGCGCCTCTATTAATAGGCCCTTCAACTCTGCAGTTTTCGAATCGATTCGGTAGGACATTGCCGTCACAATCTCAATAATTTCAAATGCGAGGAAGCAGTCAGTCATGAGATTTTGCCGAATGTATAGGTTGAGTTCACGCAGAGTTTTGGAGTACTCTCCCATCGCTGAGAGAAACACGGCTTGTAAGGCAAGTCCCTGCTGATCCCCAGGGAACAGTTGCACAATGATCGCATGCTCAGTATTGATGAATGCTTCCAATGCATTGGAGTAGATCCCAATGCCGTTGGTACCTTGTTTGTATGGTCCATCGGTCGGTCTTCGCTTGACAGTATTGAGAGACGCAATGGATAGGTTTTGCAGGCCAGAGGTAATATACGGCCCGCGCACCTCAGCATAAATCTTCATTGCAGGGTTCTCTCCTTTGTTTCGCGAGGGGCCCAGGGCGGATGCGGAGGCAATCGATGCACACAGTGGGGCCAGTTGGGAAAGTGTTTCTTCGGGAATAGAAGGGAATGGGAGTTCTATAAAATACCGGGGATTAGCTTCCCTTGCCCCCAAAATAGGCTAGGCCTTAAAATGGTAAGACGGACCTTTCGTTAAATAGTGCAACGGCTCTATTGGGGTGACATGTTGTTTCAACTCGGATCGGAACATTTCTTGGAGCTGACCGCTTCCAGTACTTAGTAGCGCGTTGAAATCTGCGATTGCTGTCTGGTTTGATCGTAAATTTGTAGTGTTGAGGTCGACCAGCGCCTTTTCAACACGTTTCATCGCCGATATGTATTGTGAGAGGCCGGAGCTCAGCGGTCTGTAAAGCAAGCAAGTCAGTTAGTTTTAATTGATTCATTGATATCATTCCAGATCTCTCTCTCTCTCTCTCTCTCTCTCTCTCTCTAAAATGTCTGTGAGAGTGTGGAGAGTGTGGGAACTGGGTACATACCCTGCGCGAATGATACCCTCCTCTCGACTCTTCGCGTCCAGAGGCTGACGGAGACGGTCGATGGCATCGTTGACCTTGTCAATATTGATATTGGTAGTCTGAAGAGACTGTGTATTGCTATAGATCGGGCCAATGGCCTCCTTGACCACTTTACCACTTGTCTCCAGGCGGACCATGGACCCTTGAATCTTCTTGGTGAGGCGGTTGAGCTTCTCGAGGTTGGCGTAGAGCACCTCTACCTCAGCGCTCTCCTCCGCATACGCAGTATTCCGGGGGGCCACCATGGCGATCGCGTCAAAAGATTTGAAACAAGAGAGACGGTATCACCAGGAGCTGTCATGTGCGCCCGTGTGGGGTCGACGGGGGGAAATTGATGTTCGTTGCCTCAGATAAGCTCCGCCCCAGGCAGTTCCGATAAACACGCTAGTCTGTAATCTGCTCTTTCGGCCCGTCTGTGCTTCCGTGTCACATGATATGAGGTCATCCCCCGCGGTAAATCAGGTACTCCGGACTTGGATTTCTTAAATTGCTTGCTTGTATGCAGCTTGCAGCTTCTTATCCTCACTTCCTCGCGACAATGGGAGCTGCAAGCGCTTCACGGCTGCGCTGGACAGTTCCCCCAGCAGCAATTGCGGCTTATACTGCGGGTCAATGGACGCAGCCTAACAGACATCTCCAAAAAACCCACATCTCCACATCTTCTGCTCAGTACGATGCCAATTCAAAGTCTAGGAGCTCTTCGTCCGACAAAAATGACTCTCAATTGGCTGAGAGTCAGGCATCTGTCTGGACAAAAATTGTCCAGAAGCTTGACGAAGTGAAACATACTGTTGGGGTACCAGAGTGGGGTGATCTAGGGGGAGGCATTACAAACTACATTGTCCCCGATTGGGCACGATTGCTACCAGCTACAGCACAAAAGCTCCAGCGCGAGCTTTCATTGGCACCTGGCTCTTTAGCAGACGATATTTGGAAGGAGGCACATGATGCAGAGGCCAACCCAGAGATCTTGAGAAATGCCAAGGTGCGGGTAAGCGGAGATCTTTGCCAGGAGGAACAGGAATTCCGAAACAAAAGAAAGCAGCACGCCGTCAAAGCGTTGGCATCATATCTCAATATCTCTGAGGGTGACATTCACCCGGATGATGTGCCTGTTATCGCCATGTGCGGCTCGGGTGGTGGACTTCGTGCTTTAGTTGCAGGTACAGGGTCGTACCTTGCTGCACAGGAATCAGGCCTGTGGGATTGTGTAACTTACACTGCAGGCGTCAGTGGCAGCTGCTGGCTTCAAACCCTATACCACTCCTCTATTACTGGCAGGAATTTCAACAAGCTTGTCGACCATCTGAAGAGCCGATTGGATGTACATATTGCCTTCCCACCAAAAGCGCTGAACCTTCTCACTACTGCCCCCACCAATAAGTATCTTCTCGGTGGGTTGGTTGAGAAACTTAAAGGAGACCCTGGCGCAGATTTTGGGCTTGTGGACATCTATGGCCTTCTGCTTGCGGCACGACTGATGGTTCCGCGTGGTGAATTGGGCGTTGTAGACTCAGATCTCAAGTTGTCAAGCCAACAAGTCAATTTGTTCAGTGGTGCGCATCCTATGCCTATCTACACCGCTGTGCGACATGAAATCCCTATGGTAGAGGATGATGATCAGGGCACAACACCCGAGCAGATGATGAGGAAGGCAACCCGCGAAGCCTGGTTCCAGTGGTTTGAGTTCACCCCATATGAGTTTTTCTGTGAGGAACTTAACGCTGGCATTCCCATCTGGGCTTTAGGGCGACACTTTCAAGGAGGAGAGAGCCAACTTTCTCCTGAGAACTTTCCTATCCCCGAACTACGGGTGCCCGGTTTGATGGGAATATGGGGAAGCGCCTTTTGCGCCACTTTGTCTCATTATTACAAAGAAATCCGGCCTCTCGTAAAGGGTCTTGCCGGCTTCGGTGGAATTGACTCTCTTATTCAAGGCAAAAATAAAGACCTGATTCGAGTTCATCCAATTGATCCGGCCACCATCCCCAACTATGTGCTGGGAATGAAAGATCAACTCCCCGATTCATGCCCAGAGTCTATCTTCCAGAGCAGCCATCTTCGCCTCATGGATGCTGGAATGAGCAACAATCTTCCCATTTACCCTCTCCTTCGGCCTGGTCGAGACGTTGACATTGTTGTCGCCTTTGATGCATCTGCAGACATCAAACGCGAGAATTGGCTCTCAGTCGTAGATGGTTACGCCAAACAACGAGGTATCAAGGGCTGGCCTGTGGGTGCTGGATGGCCCCAAGAGGGCACAAGCCTGGAAGCCACGGAAGAAGCGCTGCGTGAGCCACAGAATATCACGGAGGAGAAAGTGAATAGGAAGATAAATGAAGCTCAAAGTCGGTCCGAAGACAGGCTCAATTCTTCGAAAAAGACCGGGTCTGTAAAACCCGATTCCGACCTAGGCTATTGCAACATCTGGGTTGGCACGACGGAGGAACGCACCTCAAAGGACGAACCCCCGCCCTCCAAGCGGCTTTTCCATCCCGAAACCGTCGGCGACCACTCCGATGCAGATTTTCACCTCATGCGACCCGATGCTGGTATCGCCGTTGTATACTTCCCTCTTATTCCTAATCCCTCGGCCCCTGAACTTCCACCTGCTACCAATGGCAGACCTCTTGCGGCCGCCCATTCCATTCAGTCACAGTCCAAAGAGGAAGACGATGGACCCACTCCCCACCCTAATACCATTGACCCCGATGTGGATGACTTTTTGTCTACCTGGAACTTCATCTACACCCCTGATCAGATTGACTCTGTTGTTGGGTTAGCCAAGGCCAATTACTCCGAGGGCGATCAACAGGTGCGCCGGGTTGTTCGCGCAGTCTATGAACGCCGAAAGGCTGATCGGTTGCGCCGGGAGGAGGAAGAGTCGCGCAAACGCATGGAGGGATTTGTACCCTTGTAGATATCCTACTGATTGATCTGTATGGCGTTTTATTGGGTTACGTGATTTGTTTTTTTTTCTGCATTTAGATGCTCTCTGGGGGATGATATTGATACTCGGATGATTTTAAATGTTTCATAATTTAATACATAGATCTAGAGACAACAGACATATTTCTCTGCTAACAAAATCGAATTTGAGCCTCATCGTAAGGTTACTAGTATTGTATATTGAATTGCCATTATGCCTTCATAATGCCATAAAAGTTGAAAATGAGACCCGAAGAAAACATTGAACTGTCGCAAAAAAAATATTTCGTATGCTGTCTATGATACATGCATGCATGATAATGATAAAAAGCGGTTATCCTGTGATATCCAGAAGTTATCCGTCGTCCTGTCCATCCTTAAAATAAGACCTCACGCCCTCCAGATCTCCATTGCCCTTGCCCTTCACCACACGACCTTCCTCGTCCACCGTCCGTTCTTCATCCTCACTCCCTGCTAAGCTCACATCTTTACTCGCATCAGTCTGGGGTCGCAGACCTAATCTCATATCCAACCCCTCCGCCGACTCTTCATGGTTCGAGGAGGTAGAAGGCGCAGGCGTCTCAGAGCTTGTGGTCAACTTAGAATTCACTTCACTCGAGGCCTTTGAGGCTGCACGGTCTGGCAGAGGTGGCCGGTTTTCCTGTTCGTCCCCGAGATGAGGAGGCGAAGATCCAGACTCAGACTCAGGCTGCGATGTGTGCTGCCAGTCAGAAGCCTGACCTTCATTTATCGGCTCACCAGGCTCAGGCATCTTGATTGGATGCCCAGATGAGGGAGTATGGCCAGGATTCTCGTCGGGATACCGCCAGACAACCTTCAATCGCTCGAGTGCGCGGATCCCTTTCTTCACGCTTCCCTTAATTCCATCCATGGCTTCCCATTCGGTCTCAAACACACCAGAATCATGCTTATCACCACCTTCAAAATAGGGATTGAACCACACATGGGCAACAGAAGTCACCATTGCAAATCCCGTGTACGACGCTTTGCTGCGGCGTTCAAAGTCAATGTTGACATCAGAACCAGGGACGATAAGTGGCTTTTCGGGCTTAAAAATCGCGGCGGATAATGTAGGTGTTGCTGGTGAAATAGTCGATGGGCGTGGGAGATCTGTCGCTGAGCTGGAGAAATCGGATTGTGAGGCCATTGGCGATGGTGCCCATGTCGCAGCAGAAGTGGGAGCATTTGCGCCCGGAGTGAGATTCGCAGTCTTCACATCAGTCTGCTCCTTCACGGGTGTGGTATTACCCGACTCGATCACCGTTCGCTCACGTCGATGAAACATATGGATGCATTTCCTTTTCTTGCCTTCGTCAACATAGCCCTCCACCGCGACCTTTACGCCGTCGCGCATGCCCCACACGTGAATTTCGACGATCTCAACGGGGCGTTCTATATATACTTTGTTCAATTGGTTCGTCCACCGGTCGATATAGTCAACGTAGCGCAGTTGGCTCGGAATACTAACGCCAGCTCCGAACCCAACACGCATGCGTCGATCTGTAAAGCGCTGTAGAGCGTCTTCTTTTTTCCATCCCTCTTGACTGATCAAGTATGCGGTTGCGATGGTCCCGCTGCGTCCTTTGCCTGCCTTGCAATGCACGACAACAACCCGGTCGCCATTGCTTGACGAGTTTTGTTTCTTCTCCGAATCAGATTGATTGGAGTTGTCGGTTGAGTCCAATAATTCGTTTTGTTCATCTAATCGCTGCAGCCAGTTTCGCATGCTGGCCATTATATTAGGGACTAAAGCAAAGGGCGGTGGGTGGTGATCTGGCCATGGGAAATGGTGAATCCGTCCATATACCTCCGAGTCCGGATATCCGGTCCCTTCTGCACGAAATTCCCAGATACACCAGTTCGAGCCATGCTTGGAGTCAAGGAAGGTGACCAGCGCATCAAGAGGGTTGCGGTACGCTCGTTGTGGATAGGTTCCCGAAGGGCCAGAGGTAGCAATAACTAGTAAAAAAAACGTTAATATGCAAATATGAACGCGGGCTTTAGAGGTCTCGCCAGAGGTAACATACTGTTATCTGTCACATAGCATAGGTCGAGATTTGCCTCTGGGTGTTGTAATCTAGGACCAGCCACGATTTGGCGGAGAATGGAGGACTGCGGAGAAGGAATCAGCTATTTTAACCCAAGCCAGGAACCAATGGGATCTTACCATTTTCTTCGCCAGTCAAAAGCTCATGAAGAAATATTATGAAATTGGTATAGAGGGCTGCAGGGTTTTTAAGAAAAGTATACCAGGAAGAACTTGTTTATTGGGGGCACGAGGGATGTTGGCAATGGGGAAAGTTGGAGAGTTGAGGCGCAGTCGATGATGTCACAGAGACTAAGACTACGGCAGTCATTGAAAGGTGGGCCATGCCAGACAACATTCAGGACTGAAGAGTGATAATTCATATTAATTACCAATCTAACATTCTAGTTATCATGATGCTTGAAAGATTTGGAAAATAATTGCAAAGAGCGTAAACTGGCCAAAGAATAATCTCAAAAGTAAACCCGTCACATGCTACTCAAGTGCTGCACACCACACATAGCTAATTACTTAGATAGGAATTCAGGAATGTGTACCTGACAGTGGCATGTAAATCTTAAAATTTCTCATAAATATTTTTACATAGAATTTGTCAATGTTTATATACAAGACCGAGCGGATTGTGATTCCATCAAGGGACCAAAAGGAGCCAAAAACAGAGTCGTAAAGGAGTGAAAGCGCCCACATAAAATAAGAGAGAGAATAAAAGGACCCTAAGACGCCCCAACCATAAGACATTTCATCCGGAATTCAAGCCCAACGCCCATTACAACATCAATCCGCCCAAAGTCCCCATACCCAAGACATGACGAGAATGGAGGGACATGATAACAAAAAAGAAATCCCAAAAAATTCCCCCAAAATTGTGGAAAACAATCATGGTGTTTATCATGATTTACGCGACACCGTAGAACACGTCGGGTGTGATGGTGAAGTTGGACTGGGTCTGGGTCACATTCTTGGAGCCGGCTTGCCAGTAGGTCTGCTCGGATTCACCAGCGGGGAAGAGGTGCCATTCATGCTGAACAGCAAGGTTCCAGTAAGGGTGCGTCTGTTCGGTGACGGTTGCGGTGATGTTTGTGTCGTCACAGGCGGTGGCATTGGGGACGATACCCTCACAGTGGGTATTGAAGCCAGGCGAGTTGGCAGAAGCGGCACCGGTAATGTTGAAGGAGTAGACAGTACCACCGGAGCTGACGATCTGCCAGTTGGAGATCTGCCAGGTAGAGGGTTGAGCGAGGACGGCAGCATTGGCCAAGCCCATGGATAGGAAGACAGGGAGGAGAGTAGTGAATTGCATTCCGGATTCTATGAAAAGGTCAAAGGGAAAGGAAGAGCAAAATTTGTACAATGGGGTTGAAAAGTGGTCAAGTGGAAAAAGAAGGGGGAGATGGAATTTAAGTTGAAAACTAGTCAAGTCAAACTGGGGGTTGGGACTCAAGAGTGTACAAGGAACCTTGGGACGAGGGAACCAAAAGTAGAAAGCGGAAATACTTCTCCCCTTTTCTTCTCAACTCCACTTCTTTGTTACTCAATCCACTTGTCGATCCCTCGCCTTCAGGGGATACTCAATCGTCCATTCATCAAATCATTTCTCTCTAACCCACTCGGTGGCTGAGAAAATGGCTGAGAAAGGCTAAAGGCTGAAAATAGGGCCCGTAATGAAGAGGCGGGCGTCAGACAGTGCTACAGAGTCTTATTGTCTGACAGGTCGAGCCGGGATCTATCTGAGGTGCATTGTTTCAAAGCAAGATTTGTGCCTTGTGGAGTCCAATCATGACCACTGGTTCGAGAAGTGGAGACTCCAAGCCCTGGCGATCTTTGGTTTGTGGACTACGGTAGTGCGGATAAGTGAAACGGCGCGAGTACCCAAGGTTCACTTGCATTTTGCCAAGATCGGCAAAATCGCCATTTGTTCATTTTTGGTCCCGAGTCAGAATATTCATGTCTTGTTCTACGGTACAGCTTCTACGAGGGAATGGTCGCACCATACCCAAACTTGGAGGTTTTGAGAATTTTTTTTTTTTCTGTTCTAGATTGATTATCGCGGGAGCATAAAGAAAATGTGATGTCTAGTGCAGCACTGACTTGGCAGCTCCACGCGTCTGATACCGCATAGTAGTTCACAATATTCCCGAAGACCGAGTCCCTGTACTTGGCATTCATCACATTGAAAGGAAGAAAAAAAAAGAGAAAAAGAAAAAGAACAGATCTAAGCCTCGGACTCGCCCGTCCGAGCAATCGCCTCGTGCCGCCGTTTATTTTGCCGCCGCTTCTTATTCCATGCGATACGGTCTTCGTCCGAGAGCGTCTGACGTCGGAACGCGGCTCGGACCCAAGGTCGACCATAACGGCGATGTCCTGTTTGATCAGCCGTGTTTTGAGACTGGTCCAGGGTTGAATCTTTGTCCACGCTGCTCGCCGGCGCTACAGGACGCTCCACGAATTGAACAGCAGGGTGATGTTGGAGTCGCACTGCAAATTCATTCACAGATTGGGAACAAAGATGGCGAATCTGCTCACGGGTCTCATCACTGACTTCGTCTCCCCGGTCCAACAGGTCTCGGAGGTACATGTATGCCGATTGGTAATTGCGCGCATCGAGGCACATCAGGATGAGGGATTCAAAGGTAGTGACATCGGGGACAATGCCAAAGGATGCCATTTCTTTCACAAGAAATAGACCCGACGGCCGGTTTTGGGCATGCCGGCACATCCGAATCAAAATGTTGTAGACGTGAACGTCGGCCCCCTCGGGGCACAAAGTATAGAGTTCTTTGTAGAAACCCACTGCATCATCCACCACTGATGGGTCATCATGGGCCAAATTCTCGCAGAGTTCAGCGATGATGCGAACACAGCCAATGGGGATTTCTCGTTTGTCATTCTTCAAGCGTTTGAGCATCTGCCACGCTTCACGGGGGTCGGTGTGGTGGTCGATCATGTGGGAGACCACGGACTCGATTGACTGCTCCGCAGGCACAACCCCGAGTTCGTGCATCGTACAAAGCAGCTTGAAGGAAGCGGCAAGATCCCCAGACCGCAAGTAAATATGCAGAAGTTGTTGGTAATCCTGGGCCTTCAAGGGGAAGTTACGGGCATCACAGGAGCGGACAATAGAAAGAGCCAACTCAATATCACCGGCCTCCGATGCAATTGTCAAAGCATTACTGTAAATGTCCAGAGATGGCTTCAGATAGCCCAGATCCACCATTCGCCGCCAAATAAAGCAGGTCAAATCATAATGCAGAGCTTGACTTGCAGTTTTCAACACATGCGCCCAGAGTTCAGGCGTCATATCATGGCCTTGCTCAATGCGGGCTTGCATTAAGCGGTAAACTTCATCAAACTCTTGAAAGTCACACAGCTGGTAGACAGCCATACTGTGTAGCCAATTTTCAATATGAGTTCCTTTCCGTTCCATTAGTGAAATTTGATCTAGCGCCAGCTCAAACTGATGATCTCGGAGAAGACCCGCGACCATGAAATGCCATCCGTCGGGACTAACAGTCAGCCACCTGTCTCGAAGCATCCGAAGAACATCTTGTCGTAGTATATAATCTGGATGAACAGCAAGAGCCTGGATGAAAGACCCCGGTAAATTAGCTCATAGTCTATGCGGAAAACATATGTCCGGTTCTTACCTTTAAAGCTGCATGAAGTGTTCCCGAGTCCGCCGTGACACCATTCTCCTCCATTTCCTGTAACAGATGTTGTACCACCTCCGGTGATCCCATCTGATGGTCGCAGTGGGCTAGTATTAACGCTTGATAGTGGCGTGTATGCGGTTCGGTTTTATGATCCCGAATCAAAGCTCGTAAAATCTGAGTCGCACCGATAATATTCGGTTGTTTGGTCATCATCCGCCGTAACATGCTTTCGAGCTCAGCGGCTGATTTTGTATAAAAGGAATCGGGTACCCTGGGAAGTGGCATCCGAGGTTTGCGCAATGGACGGTCTGCATTATCTGCTTCATGTGGATTGGGTTTGAATTGGGGTTTAGATTTTGGTTCCGGGGAGGATGTGGGATCGTCATTGTTTGAATGCAGGATATGAGTCAGTTTTTCGTCAGGTGTACTAGAGTCGCCGATTTCTTTATCTTGGCTGGCATAGTACCGCCGTGGCACTTTCGGCGCAATTCGAATCGCGGGTTGCGGACATGGCCTGGAGCTGTATTTCCGTGACTTGAGTAGATATGACGGGCGACCCAATGGTAATCGGTTGAATGATGGGCAAAGTGAGTGCCATAACCCATCAAAGACGAGTGCCTGCCGCGACATGTCGGGGTATGAGGTTCACGGCGGTTGGTTCATCCACATCCCCGGAAATCGAGATGAAATGCGCGATGCTGACTAATATTGCCAATTCGCAGCTTTATTGCCTGGTCTACAAATGATCATGATACCAAAGAGAAACAAGTCTGGGATTTAATAGAATATTTATTGATCATCAAAATTTCCCACTGAAAAATACAGAGCCAGATACGCCACGGCCATGCTCGACTAAATCCGTTCAACCAGCGCGCCCCGAGCGATCTTACCCACTCCGTCTGTCTCTGTAGGGTATCTCATTTTTGCACCTCTTCTCAGCCATGCAAAAGGTGCTGTGTTCGTCCATATGTTGCACTGATTCCTCTATTGCACTCCACCGGGGCCACCGCCTCGTCCACTGCCGCCGCCGCCGCCGCGACCACGTCCACCACGACCACCACCGCCACGACCTCGGCCTCGGCCTCGGTCACCATCTCGGCCATGCCCGCCGCGTCGGTTCTGTGGTTGGTTTTGTTGTTGCTCCTTGACAATATCGACGATCTCATCAGGGACTCGGAGGTATTTGATCTGCGGGAGGAGTGGTTGGTTAGTCTCATAGCCTTGTAGCCTGTTGGAGGAAAGACATTGAACATCGGATGACTATTCTCTCTGGACGTACGTTGTTACCGCGAACATAGACTTCGGGTAATCTGAAAAAGCGGTCGCCTTCGGGGCTAGTTTGCACAACTTCGCGCAGGATCAAGTTCATCCAGTTATCGCACGTCACCAGGTGGCCGTTGAGGGTCTCGCCGTTCTTCAGCTCGACGAGCATGGGGCGGCCCTGTGCGGCTGTGAGGAGGCCGAGGGGAAGCTGTCGGTATTATATTAGCATTTGCGGTAGATACAGGCAGGATGGGAGGGGTTACCATTGTGGATTGCGATCGATGATATGGCGGTGGGTGGTTGTTGAGCGCAAGTTTTCTGGAGTAGATGATGGTTCCAGATTTTCCACTCTGCAAGTGAAATAATTGACGAGTTCAGTAAAGCTTATAGGGCCGGTAGGAAGGCCGTTGCGGTGATTTGGAGGGGTTGGAGAGAGAGCGATGGGCGCAACCGAGCTCCGCATCAGCTGTGAGAACGGAAAAAATGATAAGCCGAACTCGGTGTTGTCGGTGCTTCAGTTCAATGTTTTCAACCGAACACTACAAATTCCTTCATCTTTGAATACTTATTTAGGGGCTCAACCTTGATCATGTAATAATACTACGAATTTCTCAATTTTTTTATTGATGACATTCATTCGGTACCTCTTAAGTGGGTACATGTAAGAATTGGATTGAGAACTAAACCTGACTCCCCAGGGCCGATATCCCATTGCGATAAATTACATAGTGCGAAAGCATTTTCATCAGTCAAGGCATTTTAACCATAAATCCCTACACCTTCGGGCGTTTGGCCAGTTCAGTACCATTTTCTTCTTCATCATCATCATCATCCTCAACGGCAAGCTTGCGTTTCTGGCGACGGCTGCTGCTAGGAGCTGCATCCTCGTCTTCTGGTTCGGCTAGGCGCTGCTCTAAAGCATCCAGTGTGATCTCGTAACCCTCTTCCACATTGCGGACAGTGTCATCAAGCTTCTCCACTCGATCAAGCAGCTCCAGCTCCTCCAGAAGTTCCTTATGCTTCTTGTACAGGCGCTGTTTGGTAAGCATGCGCCACCAGTAGTATCGTCGGTCATTTGCATCGTCTGCCTTGTGTTTCTTTATCAACAGCCGGGCAAGGTTGGTTCCTCCAGCCAGACGGTGGCTCTTGGGGATCTGACTAAGAAGGAACATCTCAAGGATGTGTGCGAACTGAGTGGATTCAATCTTGAAAGCAGTGCGAATCTCGACAAGTGTCTTGCTTGGGATCAATACTGCTGTAGGCACTGCACGGGGGCGTTGCTTTTTGGAATATGCGCCATTAGGATCCGGGTTGAGGTTCACCTCATGTTTAAGAAACTCGGGTCGCAGGAGACAGAAGTCGGCCGAGTCGCGAAGGGCATCGAATTGTTCATTGGGGTCTTCGACCGTCAGCTCCCCAATCGTGGGATCAGCAATGCAGAATGCGTGAATGGTAGTATAGAGGTGGGTTCCGTGCCCTGAGCGGGCGTGTGAGGGAAGAACGAGGAACTGAGCAATACGAAGACGGGCGGGCAGTTCGGAAATCTTGATCTCTGCTGGTGGGAACTCGTCGTTCTTGATGATAGGACTTTGGGACCGGTCTCGTTGGTAATACCAGTATCGGTAGGTGGTCGCATAGCCTACAATGGAATACGAGGACGCGGTTGGCGTTGGAGGCGTAATCTTCTCGTATCTATAATGGTCAGCACGGAGGCGGTCGAAAGGATGGGCAGGTGCGCATACACAAAGAAAACGGTCCATCGCTCCAGACTCCACTCAGGATCATCTGTCTCTAACGGAGTTCCAGCTTCGATAAACAACGAAACCAAAACTTGCACGCGGTCCAAAAGAAGCCGAACCCGCGGATCCGCCAGGGATCCAGCCCAAATTTCATATTGTCTGTCATTGGCCTCATAACCATATACCATCTTGCCCGGTGGTGTAAAGTCCTTTGCTGACGGATCCTCTTGAACAGCTTTCTCGTATTCCGGCAGATTGATGAGCGCTTCTGTATTTCAAAATTCCTCAGTTAGCTAGACTCAAGTGAGTTCTCGGACAACAGCTCAATTTACCTTCCGAAACAAATGGTTTCAGGGTTCCAAGAAGATCAAGTGCTGCGGTGTCGCCAACAGGCTTAAATTTCTTATCATAAGAAATGTGCAGGTGAGGACGCAAATCATGGGCGGCAAATCGCAAACGAATCACCAGACCCTGGTATCCGAAGATCTGTTCTTCATCTCCGAAGATGGGATAAGTGAATTGAGGGTGGAAGGTGGAGAGCGTCTTAGGTTTGGTGTCGCCAGGCTGCACGACGGTGATATGGATCGCATCGTTGGCGTCGCACGACCCTAAAAGACTGATCAGTTATCAGATCGATAGAAAGAACCAAATTGGCTTACAGTCAGTTTCCGCCATGGTGGATGGATGGTAAAGTGAAAGATTGGTTGATAGTAGCCTGGGTCAATGAGAGATGCGACGGAGAGATGGAGGCGCGTCTGACCGCGTCGGGACCAGTATTACCTAATTTGGACTAGCGGTTTCAGAGAGCTCAATGTCAGGACTCAGCTCTGCTTCTTGAATCAAGTAGCAAGTTTATATTTATACATATTATTTACTATCGACTGGGTTAACATTCTCGGCCCTGTAGCTTTGTCGGCTGGCTGATGCCTACGATGTTGGTATGCCTGCTTCCACGTCACTTACATTCAAAATCTACTAGGATACTGTACATGAGTGGTCATCTTATCATTTCCCTGGGAAGCCGCCAAAAAAAAACCCGTGCGTCTCACATCCCAAATTACATAGTTCATTAATCTCAGCTTATATGTTTTGTTGCTCTATACTCATCAGCTGCGACTTCCAAGCTCGCACTCTTTGGATCTTTGGTATAAGTTCTAGGGCTCTCTGGATTCCCATTTTGGATCCAATGGTCTGAAGTTTCTGTACCACCCACTCATGTACTTCATCTGGAGCAGCAGGCGAGTCACCGGCAACGGTCAATGGGAATAGCAACATGAAGACACCATTCAAAGGAGGAACCTGAGTCTGTCCTTTGAGCGGCATTCCATTTTCGAACCCACCCAATATGGTCGAAGCGCCCGTGCAAATATATGTCGCCATTTGCGATACCACACCCAGTGCTCGTTGTCGTCGTTGAAGATGTTGAACTTCCAGAAGGCCCACTCGTGCCAACTTGGCGATATTATTCAACATCATCTCATTGACAATCAATCGGCCCCAGAAGTAGTAGTTGAGATCTCTCGACGCCCACATGTCATGATAGACCATATATTTCCCATAGAAGGTCTGCTTCATGTCGCTCGAAGTCTCGACAAAAAACTGCCATTTATGTGGGAGATGTTCCTCCCAATGTTCTAGCTCGGTATCGAAGGCTATTGCTGTTCGCACTCCATTCGAGGGATCGAAATTTGGATCACCGCGGGTGGTATGAAAGTTCATGAACCGCGCCAGGATATCAACGAGATCAATGGCTGGCAAATCATCGGGATTTGAAGATTGAAGTGAATTGATTGTGAAATTTGAAAATTCAATTGGTAGTGCTTTTTGGGCGTGGTAATATTTGACCATGGAAAAATAGAAGAACTGTAACTGGGCGCGCGGGTCACGGGTCTTTATCGCCTTGCTAAAGGACCCCTGTCGCAATAAGGCGGCAGCTCCGTCTAGATGAATCGTCCACGCGTCAAGCTGGCTTGAGTTGCAGCAAACCATCTAAAGAGATTGGAGGTGGAAAGGTCAGTGAGCTAGCCAAGGCAAGCTAAAGCTTTATGGGGGGGGGACTCGAAGTGGGACACGTGCCACACGTGGGGTCGACGGATCATACCTCATATAAACCTATCATCAAGATGATCTTTATGGTTTCATTGGGTCTAGCTTGAAGTGGATTCGCCACAGCCTGACGCACGGCATTCAAGGATAACGCATACTTCTCTCTTGCCGCTAGCCGGAGAGATCGATCCCGAGTAACATTGGACAGTGCAGCTAGCCCAACTGATGCCACTGCATCTCGAAATGACAGCTCCACGGAAACCGTGTCTATAAATGATGAAGTCGACAAAACAAAGGGCCCGTCCATTGCCGCTGAACTGGCCGTTACAAATTGTGTACAGAAAAACTTCAAGCCAAGATCTTCCACGGTGGTGGACACTGCTATGGGAACAGTGGGAACCAACGGTAGAATGAGTCTCCGCTGCGGCACGGCAGCTTTCAATTCTTCTTCAGAGCTTGTTGACGATGCATCTGATTTTAATACTGGAGCGGCTGGGACCTTTCGGCGCTCCCCTGCTCTAGATTTGGCCGTTGCAGACCTCCGAGCTGCTTTGTCTGTTTCGTCACGAAACAGTAGAGCCGGGATGTCACGGTAGCCACCACACGGCTTCCCCGCTCTCATGCACTGCGAACAGACCGGCTGAATACGATCACACTATCAATTTGGTTGCCGTTAGTTCAACTAGCCTGCGGCCCAGTCTGACTACTACTTGCCTTGATTCGCCGCTCCCGACAACCCTCACAGTTTTTGCTGGGACGACCGTAAAAAGGCATTGTATATTGGAATCAATAACGCCGTCATACATTGGCTGGGATGAAAGGGGTAAGGAGATCGTGGGCTTCTGCCGTGACAAGTCACAAGAGCGAAGTTGCGCAGCCACGGTCTTCAAGGGCGAAAGCTAAGCCAGGTAAGCAGCCGATGTAAAAACGTGGATCACCCGTCGTTTGATTGGTGAATCTACTCTTAGTAGATCCACTTGGTTGTTTTTCGGACACTATTCCTAATGGGGTGGGCATTTCGCCGTCCATGGCGGGTCAGTAGTAAGTACAATACTGACAGTCTGAACTTTGTAGATATTTCTTCATTTTTTTGGGGTCAAATCTTGATGGAAGCCTAAAATCTTTTCAAAAGATTCGATAAAGGGTGGCTTAGAATTTGAATATCTGCGTCACGACTCACGCGGCCTTGGAAATCAACCAGTGGGAATCGGGATGACACTAAAATAACCAACCATTCCAACAGATTGAAAATGGAGATTGAGTTGGAAGAGACGGACCACTATGAATGACAACCTTGGTAACACTTAGAGAAACGGCGAATTGCTTGCCCGTCACGGAGATCGGGTGGCTAAATGCCCGAATCCCTATGCCATGCGATCAAACGTAGTAGGTCCAGGAGCATCACTATAAATGGGTTAAATCCCCCAGCTCCACATTGCCATTCTAATATTTGTTCCTACATCTGAGTATAGTGTGCCAGTGACACACCGATTGGTGGAACTTGACACATGACATTGGAAATCCGTTCCCACGAGGCTGGAGCCTCATACTACCGCTACAATCCCTCATTACCAGTCGCGATTGTTGCAGCCGTTCTGTATACCATTGCCTTTGTCTTGACATTCATACAATGGATCCGCTACAAGGCATGGGTATGGGTCATTATGGTAGTAGCAGCTGCGAGTGAGTCCATCTTCCCCCCTCTCCCAGAGATCCTTCCAAGGTTCTTCTCATACAGATACCGTTCATGTATTCTAACATAACACTGAAAATGGCAGTGGAGGCAGTTGGCTACATTGGCCGATGCATATCCGTGGAAAACGTAACAGCGAGATCGGTCTACATCCTCCAATTCGCCCTCATCATTCTTGCCCCTGTACTCATGGCCGCTTGCTGCTACATATTATTTGGTCGAATTCTCTTCTTAGTCGTCCCTAAAGACGCTCGCACATTTCATCTTTGCTGGGTACCCCCACGATTTATTACGCCCATTTTTGTTGGATTTGACATCGTTGCCCTCTTTCTCCAACTAGTTGGCGCTGTGATGATATCTTCGGTCACTGCTACAGATACAGGTGCAGCCAGCAAACTAGCCAAAGGCAAGAATCTCGCCCAGGCAGGCGTCATCATTCAATTGGTGGCATTTGGACTCTTTTCAGTCGCAGCTGTGCGGTTCAACTTTACGTCTAAGAGGTTTTCCAAACAAATGGGCGAGCGATATGAGCATATTGATGAAAAGCATTATTCCATCAATGGAATTGTGAGAAAATTGCATTGGCCTGCATTGCTAAGAGTTATAAACTTGACTACTTTACTGATTCTGGTGAGTCAACCCACCACTCACAAATTACTATTTGCAACATTGAATGGGCTGGATATCGCTAACGTGAGCTTGGAGTGAAAGGTTCGTTCTATTTATCGTCTCGTCGAGTTCTCGGAGGATGTCACTGGGTACGTCAATACACACGAATGGACAGCGTATGTTTTTGATGCATTGATGATCTATCCTTGTGTTGCGCTCTTTATCATTTGGCACCCGGGTATGTACCTACCCTACCTTGGGCTACGTCTACCAAAAGATTGAGCGGAGTCTGGTCACTTCCAAGGCCCATAAATCTTGAATATCTAATGGTTTGGAGAAGTGTAACATGTTGTCTTTCGATTTTAACTTCCCAAAAAGGCGTCTCAGTGAAGGTGAAACAAAGACCAATAATATTGAAATTATTCAGGTTTGAATGAGCGTTGCAAAATCCTGCACCTGATGGAGTTTGTTGATAGGTTTCATTTGACAACTTCGATAAAATGGCCTGTAAATTATTTGAAAACATTTTGAAGCGCCCATCGAATCTCACCGGCGACCAATTGAGGCTCCGTGATCTGTATATTATGTCCACTCTTTGTTGTCACAGAGTATCGATTCAAGCTTGACATATGAAGGAACTCGCGTTGGAAAGAATCTTCACTTTCTTCCCACTTTTCCAAATAACGGCGAAAAGCAGCTCTCTGCACCTCATTGCCTCTGCCATTGGCTACGCCGGCCTGATACATCAGCTCATGATCCCGCTTAGAATTTCCCCTAAGCACACTGAGAGGTTTCCCTTCAAGTATGTTTTGACCAGGAACAAGCTGTCGTTTTTGTTCGATGACAGGACGGCTGATCTGGAGATGTGGCATTTCTCGATCCGCCTGCTGAGCATGCTTCTCACTGGATTCCTCCGTCACAAGATCGCTCCACTCCGGCGCCGTCAACTGATAGTCTCTTGTAATCCCAACAACATCATAGTAATCCAACCCTTCCGTGACGGCCGAAATACTAGGGTCAGGCCATGCCTCGAAGAGCATGCGCTCCTGGACTGCATCAATGAGCACCAGGCCGGAAACATCCTCGATTGGTCGAGCGGCGATAAACTCCCGGGCTAGAATACCACCCCATGAATGCCCCACAACAAGAAATGGTGGCTTCAGGGAGGCTGATTCCAATAGGCGGGACAGCTCATCTATGATGGTGAGGGAGTCTGGATTGCTCGGGGATTCTTCACTATGACCATAACCAGAGCGCTCGTATAGTAGGATTGATGCCTCAGACTCAAGATGTCGGCAGACTGCACTCCATTCCAATGCGCTGCTTGTGATTCCGGTCAGGATGATAACCAAAGGTGTACCAGGCTGTCTTTGGATTCCTCTTAGTGCGTAACTCAACGAATGCGTTCCTATGGAAGCGAAGTGTCGAAAGTGGTCCATCTTTGTAATCCTGGACAAGTAAGACGAAGAGCAAAATATGACAAGGTACTCTTGTCAATTGAGTAAACACTTGGTATTCACAAAGAATCGAGATGTAGACTCAAATATCAAATCAATCAGTGAGTCACGTCCGGACCCCAAAGGCACGAAAGGATGCACTAGTCTCAATTTGACAAATCTTCAATAATGTCATGACTCATAGGGTTGGGGCAAATGTTAGTCTTGTTTTAACTGATTCCACTTATTCCACTTGAAGGAAGAAACATAAGATCAGACAAATACCACGTGCTTGACTCTGTGAAATTTAGAATACCTCAAGGGAATATGCCCAGATCCAAGGGTATGTGGAGTACAGGAGTCCGAGTACGGAGTATCTAGTAATCAGTTAGGCAATGTTCTTTGTTTGGAGGGACTGAACAACAATATTCAACCCCCAAACATCAGTGACTGTTGTCAATACGATCGACTTGATATGAAAAAAAAAACTAGATTCATTCTGGGGAAAGGACGTGGTTGTACTAAGTATAAAGTGTGGCGGAAATTCAAAAATAACTACTAGTATTGGCCACGGAGATGGTTTGATCCGAGAGCGGTACCTGACAAGAATGCGTGGGTCCGAGTTGTCGGCTTGCGTGACGCCAAGTAACAATCTGTACCTTCTTCCCTCCTTCACTCCTACTCTGGCTCCTTCATTTCCCCATTCCAACCATCCCCGACTCTCCCCGGTGCACGATCGGGCTTCTTTTACTGTCGTTTCTGCCTTGGACACCATGAACGAAGTCCTTTAAAGCCCGAGCACAAGTGCCAAGCTTTTGCGACAAAGAGACCACCATGGAGGGACTCTTTACTCTGCTCGCTCTGAGCATTGTGATGGCCGTAACGTAAGATTCTCTCACCATTGAAAATTTTGTTTGACCGCATGTTTGGAATTACTGACATACTTATTAGATCTTTTGTTGTCGGTTCATTGCCTCTTGCCTTTACCCTCTCCCCCTCACAACTCCGCCTCATATCTTCGATCGGCATGGGCGTGCTAGTGGGGACGTCATTGATTGTTATTATACCAGAGGGCATCGAGACTCTATACACTGCTAGCTCCGCTAGCAAGAAGACCATTAGTACGCGTTCAGCCCATGTTGATTGGAAGTCGCAGGGAGTTCCTGTGATGATGCGATCTACATTAGACAGCAACGACGATACCGCATTGTCAGCAGACACTCCCGTTTCTTTCTTATCACTAGATCATCAATCATCCGCTCCGATTTTTGACCGTGATGAATCGTCGGGTGTAGTAGTAGCAGGGCTATCTACACGAAAGGAGGATACCACCGAACACTCGAGCACAGAAGAAGCGGAAGATAACTCCCCACATGCCTGGATTGGAGTCGCCCTGATCAGTGGGTTCATTATGATGTATCTGATTGATAAATTGCCGGAATTTGCTTCGCCGACAAAAAGCGAGCGGATTCCTTATCACATCTCGCTCGATAACCTTGGGTCGGGTTTGCGACGGGGCTCCTCGCCTATCCGCGATGGGGGACTTTTGAATGCTGGCCATTCGAATTCGCGACGTGGACACAGTTTTGCTACAACTACAGGATTGGTCATCCATGCGGCAGCCGACGGCATTGCGCTAGGTGCATCAACATCTGATACCGGCCTGAGCTTTATCATCTTCCTAGCTATAATGGTTCACAAGGCTCCCGCCTCCTTTGGGTTGACTTCAATTCTCCTCAAGCAGGGGCTATCAAGCCGGACTGCGAGAGCGCATCTTTTGGTCTTCAGCTTGGCGGCTCCTGTCGGAGCTCTTGCCACTTTCCTCTTTGTACACATGTTGGGATCTTCTAGCGGCGACGAGACTGGCTCTCAGTGGCGGACCGGAATGCTCTTGCTTTTCTCTGGAGGCACTTTCTTGTAAGTTCTTGGACTCTGCCGCCCTCTTATTTTCTCAAACGGTATGCTGACTACGGCAGGTATGTGGCAATGCACACCATGCAAGAAAATGGACCTGGCTCTTCCCCACGGGAATCACCTACAAACGGGTATGGTGATGCTCGTGAATCCCCGGATGGATCCGATAAGTCAATGAGAGACTTGATCGCTTCTGTTGTAGGCATGATCTTGCCGCTTTTCCTGCAGATTGGCCATGCTCATTAACCATTTTGTGTCTATTTTGACTTGCTCTTGCTTTTGTTTTCCGCATTGTGTAAATCCCCAGTGGCAGGCATTGGGATCTACTCGTAGTATATTAGTGCGGGGTGTGTCTTTTTTATCATTGTCAATTTTTTCTTCTTTTCTCCTCTTGTTATCCTTGCCACAAAATAGATGTCAGGAGCCATATACCCCCCGTTATCTGGCATATGTTCAGAGATTAGAGAGAGACATGATGAATACGTTTGAATAGAATCAGTGAATCATTGTGTAATCTGAACTGAACTGAACGAGTCATTATTGCATTTCTCACGATCACACTGATGTAGCGTAACATTGCTCACGGGTACTTATAAGAGCGGGGGGATCGCCTCGATTCTGCTCATGGGAGATGCTCATATTTGAATCATCTTGCCATGTCAAGTGATGAAACGTTTCGTCAGTCTCGTCACGCTGAATCATTAGTTTTGCCTGGGTTGATCCATGGTAGGCAAACCCCGTACCGAACCATCCTACCCAACCCGGGGTATATAGTTCATGAGGCATCTCATCCTCACGCATCCCTTGAAATTCCTTTTCCCCGAGCGGCTCTGGGCCGCCTTAGATTGGCCTAAACGTGCGCCCGATCTGCATGGGAAGCGCCGTCTGTCGATCTGTGGGCAACAAGGCAAACGAAGGTCTTCACTTGTCTCAGCCTCTTTAAGTGGAGCATGTAACGGAGTAGAAAACGGAGTTTCATTCGAGTCCGGTAGAAGTGGAGAACGGAGAACACGGGGCAGCGAGAGCTTGGCGGCTTTGTCAGAGTCGAGACGGTCACGACATTCATCTCCGCTTGGAATGTTCCTTCTCTTTATTCATCGACCTTTTTTTTTATTGGATTTTGTGCTTTTCTGGAAGATCTTATCTTTCTAATCAAAAGAAAAAAATTACTGGAAGAAAATAAATACAAAGGGGCAGACCAATCATTATCGTCATCTACCGAAAAACCCCCTCCCTCCGGGTTTTCTCCCTTTCCCTCGGTCATCGCCAGCCGCCTTTCACCAGTCGATCCTAAACCCCCCCCCCCTCATACCGCCCCCGGATTCCACCATATGCCTGCCGAGATCTCCGTGAGATCGTTAAATCTGTGAAGAGAGCGACCAAACTGTGTCAAGGAGTGTGTGTTTGTGTGTGAGAGAGAGAGGCAACCCTCGGCTTTCTATCCGCAATGGACTCTCAGGCCTTTGACATAGAGGAGTCGACTGGCTCAACCATGTTGGACCAGTTGGACTCACATTCCCAGTCAAATCGCAACTCCGTATCCAGCTTCACCAGCACCCCCGGTCGATCGCTCAGTACCAACAAGAAAAACATGACTCCGATACCCGCGAACCTCCTGCCTTCAGCACCAGCTTCTCCACCGACACCTGCGCCGAGTCCCACCCCACACCAACGTCCGCCAGAATGGCACTCGGCCGATGAAGAGGAGAATACATTCTTGTTAAATCACTTTAGCACCCTATCAAATACTCGGAAGCAAAAACTCCTCGAAGGTCTTTTGAATTTATGCGACAGCCAACAACTGAGCTTTGTTTCCAGCTACGTCGGTCCTCGCTTGCGAAAAGATCCGTTTGTGGTATTTCCAAATGAAATCTGTTTGAGAGTAAGTTCTTTGATTCATCTTGAGTTCTGTTGGGGGTGGGAGTAATATGGACACTGACTTGTTTCCCCGCTTAGGTCCTCTCATTTATCGATGACCCGAAGACCCTTGCAAGATCATCGCAAGTATCAATACGATGGCGGGAACTATTAAACGACGATATCACATGGAAAAACCTTTGCGAGAAGCATGCCTACTCAGTAAGGCGGATTCAAGAGGATGACTGTATGGAACCGGCCACCCCTCGGTCCGTCAACTCGAACTTGGAAACTCATTCGTTGAACGACCTACAATTACGGTCGGACTCTTATGAACGAGCTGTAGAGAGTGAACCGGAAGGGGACTTGCTGCGTTCCACTAGATTCTCCCAAAGAGACCAGACGACACAGGGAGATCGAATCTCATACAAATTCCAGTTCATACGGAAATACATGGTTGAGTCTGCTTGGAACAAAGGTGGTCGGTGCACACAACGCCATATCACACCTGACCAAGGTGTTGTGACCAGTTTGCATCTGACTTCGAAATACATTGTTGTTGCGCTGGATAACGCAAAGATCCATGTGTATGACACCAACGGCGATAACCAGAAAACACTCCAGGGCCACGTGATGGGGGTCTGGGCCATGGTTCCGTGGGACGATATTCTGGTCAGCGGAGGATGCGATAGGGATGTGCGAGTATGGAACATGGCTACTGGGTGAGTTTTGGCTCCTAGTCTGTTCTGGCTGCAGAGTTCAACCAAACAAAAACTGACAAATCTTAGGGCTGGAATTCACTTACTTCGAGGTCACACATCAACTGTCCGATGCTTGAAAATGTCTGATCGGCACACTGCTATTTCCGGATCCAGAGACACCACACTTCGCATTTGGGATTTAACAACCGGAACCTGTCGGAATGTTCTGGTCGGGCATCAAGCTAGTGTCAGGTGTCTTGCGATTCATGGTGATATTGTAGTTTCCGGTAGCTATGATACCACAGCGCGGATATGGAGTATCTCCCAAGGCCGTTGTCTACGCACACTAAGCGGTCATTTCAGCCAGATTTACGCGATTACCTTTGATGGACGCCGGATCGCAACGGGAAGCTTGGATACTAGTGTTCGCATCTGGGACCCGCAATCTGGACAGTGCCAAGCCATTCTCCAGGGGCATACATCTTTGGTGGGCCAGCTGCAGATGCGCGGTGATACGCTCGTAACGGGTGGCTCTGATGGCTCCGTCCGTGTCTGGTCATTAACGAAGATGGCCCCTATCCACCGACTAGCTGCTCATGACAACAGCGTGACCAGTCTTCAATTTGATAATTCTCGCATCGTTAGCGGCGGCAGTGATGGCCGCGTCAAAGTGTGGAGCTTGCAGACTGGCCAGTTACTGCGAGAACTCTCGACTCCCGCGGAAGCAGTTTGGAGAGTCGCATTTGAAGAAGAGAAGGCAGTGATCATGGCGAGTCGGTCTGGTCGGACAGTGATGGAGGTTTGTCACACTTCTTGCCTGGTATTGATTTTCTCCACTAACTTTTCTAGGTTTGGTCATTTGCGCCACCGCCAGAAACATCCGATGACAGTGTGCTCATCGAGAGCACATCTAGCATACCAGGACTCAGCTCCAGAGATGATTTAGACTTGACCGTTAACTGCCGACGCCGAACCCGAACCCATTTCTCCGATCCACCCCCGACCATCTTAGGCAGTGATGCCGACCAAGCCATGCCCGACGCACCATCTTGAATCTACTCATGAATCATATAATAACACATATCCCATTTAACGACCACCGATATCCAACTCATTTTTCCCTTTTTCCCTTTTTCCCTTTTTTTCTTTTCTTTTTCTTTTTTTACCTGCCCTCTAGCATCGTGGGTTTTGGCCTCCATCGAGCATTTTCTTTTGTCATATCCTCCATTTTCGGAATGAACTGCTTGGGCATCTGCCTTGTGTCTTGTTTCGAGAGCACCAAGTGGTTGCATAATTGGCGTTGCCAATCATGTGGGGTTTCGTTCATTCTGCTTATCTGCATTTCCCACTTAAAATCCAGAACACGTTTTGGAAAAAGTGGACCAGCTGCCCCTCCTTGCCATTGGCATTTTTTGCGGAGTTATTTGAGTTTCTGAGTCTTGTTCCTCTGGGTGGAATGCAGTTATTGATTTGAATTTTCATCATCCAGCTTTGCGCTGAATCATTTCGGAGTATTTTGTTGGGGCTTTCCTAATCTTGGCGACCACCGCTTTAATGAGGGCGCTCAAGCTCAGGCTCAGGGAGTAGTTTGCAGTCTGGGACTCAGGCTCACTGAGTGAGTCCGTAGGTCATGTGAGTGCTCAGTGAGTGCTCTGCAATCTATCTTATCAATCAGTTGATCTTCAAGTTCCTTTTTTGTAAACGTAAATTCTCAAATTTTATCTAATAAACTTGAAGGCTCCTCACATGGAACAGTATAAAAGGGAAGGTTATAAAGTTCTCAATAAGGCTTTGTATTCAATGTTCCTGTTCTGATGCCTTTATGGGTGAATACTACTTGCCAGGGGCTTGTGTAGTTCAAGGACTCAAGCCTGTCAAGGAATCAACCATTTCAACCCCTCACAACATTCTAATCTCAACCCAACATTAAGCTTTTAAATCCTGAAATCAAACATTCGAACCCAGGAATCGAAAGTTCCAATCTCATCACAACATTCGAACGCACGCGGTGTCCCTGAATCCCAAATAGGACTAGTAGTCTAGTACCAGTAGCCTCCTGCCTTTTTAAGCCAATATATTCCGCTTTCCACTGCCTTTTCATCCCTTTCTTCGCTTTCTGATCTTGGGATTCTCTTCAAATGTTGGTTTGCTCTTCTCATCCAATCACTTTTCTCTGAGATCAAATGTTTGGTTGATGAGTAAGGCTGTGACTATGGCGGCCGATAGAGGCTACGCAAGGGTCACATCCCGATTTCGATGTTCAATTTCTAACTTCACCGCCCTGTTTCCCGTATGTATTGTATTTATCACATACAGGAATATCTTAAGGGATTTGATTTAAATACGGGTCACTTTTAGAATAGACTTGAGAATAGACTTGAGAATAGACTTGAGAATAGACTTAAGAATAGACTTGAGAATAGACTTGAGAAGGGATTATATGACTACATAATGTAGGATCTCTGTCTCTCTTTCTTCAATGTTGCTAGTTGTTGTGATAATTTACTAATGTTGGAGAAAGAGAAGTAATATGATATAGCACTTGTATATATAATAGAGGTCAAGGATTCAATCAATATATAATGCAGCGCTGCATATAACATTTGAATGAGGTTCAAAAACAAATATGAATTTGGAATTACCCGTTATTTACTTTCTGCTGGTCGGAAAGTTGAAATTAGGAGGTGACTATGACGAGTACTTGAGTACGACATTCTGTTTGAAGGCTCCACTTTGGCCCCACCCCACTCTATCAGCCATAACTTTCATCTGATTCTCAGACACGTTCGGAATAGACCACTGCGATGTCCTCACCATCGAATAATAGCTGTGAAAACCCTTATCCATCCCTATTGGCCGCTCTGCCGAATGGATATGCAATCAGAAGATTTACTGGTTTTCGGCAACTCTATTTGGACGCATCTAATGTGCGCAAGCTCCTTGAAGAGAGCTCAGAAACCGATGGCAACCAGTTCCTTGTTCTGTTGGGTCTCTCGGAACGAACTATTGACAAAATTGCGAACAATGGATTAACTGGTATAAATTACCGGTTTGCATGGGAAGGATCTGTCGGGCTCATTAAAGTTGTTCCTGGGAGTGGCCATGAACAGGTCACAGGTTACGTTTGTAGGATGGTATGGCTTAAATTGGGAGCAATGGGAGGAGGTGATTATCTCGACGAACTGGCTACGGGTGGCGCAGCAACCTATCGTCCAACTAGCAACAAAGGCAAAGAAGCACATGAATGTTTCCTTCCCCTCAGCCGCAGAGGTTTACATGGAGAACCCGCTGGTTGGCCAACACTGGTTGTAGAAACCGGCGTTTCGGAATCACTTCCTCAGCTCCAGAGAGATGCAAAGTATTGGTTCAGTGAATCACATGGCCAAGTTCACATAGTACTGATCATCAGCATTAAAAGAACTAAAGTCAAGTTCGAACTTTGGTACCTCGCCCCCCCCCCCCCCCCAACACTCCAAACCCTCTTACAAATACCCAAATCAACATGTTACGGCAATCCAATCTTCCTCCAATGGTGGGTCAAGCCCCCAACACGCAACAGGCATACTCCCACCATGAGGTGGAGGTGGCTTCAACAGCTCCGGGGGTATTGGTTGTGACTGGAGCACCAATGGTGCTTCCATTTAAAGCAATCTTTTGCCGTCCTCCGGTTGTAGGAGAGACCGACATCATTCTCCAACAAAGGGACTTTGAACGTATTGTTACCCCTGTTTTGTGATAGGTTAAGACCATCATGGCTGCCTGTATAAGTTAGTCTCTGAGTCAACATTGAAGGAAATACTATTGATAGCTATACCACCTAGTCTAAGGCTATAAAATGATAAGTGTTCGGTTTTCATTTGATTTTAACTGATTTAGTACCTAGTCACAGCGTCATTTAATTTCCAACTGGTTAAATGTTGTTTTTCCAGTACTTGAGCGCCATATACATAGTACATATAATATCAGATCTGTAAGTTTGAAGCTCTGAAACCCTAGCATATGTGGGAGATCACAAATTTAAACTTGAATGTTTTGAGTATGATGCGGATAATAGCAAGAGGAGAGCCTTTTCAAAGTGATATTCTCCTGGCTGCAAAGATCCAGCATCAAGATCAATTGATTCAAACGTTGCAGTCTTCACATATCTAGTATCTATTCTGTAGGCGGTTTTAGACAAACATTGATGACCAGACAGCATGGGTTGAAAATGGAGGAATCGTCAAACGAGGCCTGTTGCTGGATTATGCTTTCTTCAATGTTGGGAGAGGCCAATAACGTCAATCACACTCGGCCTTTCTCCCATTGATGCAATACGTTCTCTTTTCCACTTGATAACGATAGTGACCTTAATGGCGCCATTTCCGCCTACCAGAAGGACATTTAGATCATTCAGCAGGTTCGCCATTGACTCGGACCACCCAACCTCAACAGTAATGGCTGGGAGATCCTGTTCTCTCAAGTTATCATGAAGTGGGTAGAGTGGATTCAAATGTTATATCTGATTTCCTGGTGGGATCGTGGATCGCGGTGGACGTCAGTTTCTTACACTGATAAGATTACAGAGATTAAGAGTCAAAGAGTATGAAGTTCCGCTCTGAAGTTGTCGGACAACTGAATGGATCTTGCATCAAATTCAGCATCCGGTATTAATGACGATGATCCAGTAAAACATCCTCCCCACCTCCATACCAAACACGTCCTCTCCGAATCACTAAATTCTCTTGACCAATAATCCATTCACCTCTGGTTCGAGAACTGGCATCTGCCTGGGGCCAAAACTCAGTTTCGAGTCTCTTATTAATGACCCCGATTTTCTCTACAAGGAGCTTCACGCGTGCAAGGTCAATCTCTGCTCCCCCTGCTGTCTTTGCAAGGAAATCCCGGTTATTGATAAACCGTGCAATGGTAACATGTGCCGAAGGGACGATATACCGCGAAGCCACAGGAACCTTGGCTTCTCGAACCATCTGAAACACATCCCGGCGGAGGTGATGATATGAGTAGCTATCATCATGGTTGTCCGGTTTCCCATCTAACAATTCGCCTGCAGCTGGAACAAAACTGAGAGCCATTGCAGAGGCATCAAAGCTAACCATCGGCTTTAGTAGACGTGACTTGTGCGCCGCAGGGTACTCGGCAATTTGCGCGGCAGTCACATCCTTGGAAGACTGTAGAATTTGGACGAGATCGTCGATCTCCTTTTCAGTCAAAGAATGGGCTACTTCTAACACTGTTGTGTGTAGATTCTCAGGAGGCATAAGCCAAATTGCTGTTTCCCACTAAGTCAGTCAATCCTTCTTGACAGAAGCTACTACCCTCTAGATGCCATTCAACCTACATGGAGAGACTTCCTTCAATTCGCTTTGAATGAAGCAAATCAAGTCCCGAATCTGAGGGGGTGGTCTGGCCCAAATGACTAGGCAGTTCCGAGGATCAACGTATCCATCCTCTTTCTCGGGGCCATCTAGTCGTTTAAGAATCCCGTCTAGAGACCACCCAGGAAAATTTTCTGCTAGAATCTTTGCGCGTTGTTGTTCGTTCCGGGCCACTCGGTGACCTTGATAGCGCAGCTGCAACGTAGTCTGTCCCAGGGTTAGAAAGAAGTTGATGTCCAAAATTCTCCATCATGAAGCATGCACGTGTGTCTTGGATGCATAAATCACCTTACCGGGTCATCTTTTGCCTCTTCAATCAACACTTGAAACGGATTGTCCTCCGATATCAGAAGAGAGGACATGGCTAAAACGAATGTTCAATGCTGATTTCAACCCAAGATTGTGAATCACTTCCCCTCCCGAACCTTTATACCCCTTGGTACACTTCCTTGGCGATCACATTACAAATGGGGAATGAGTCATGTTACTATGTACCAAAATAGATGAAACGCGGGATCAGATCTGTGGAAATGAAGTCTACTGGTAATAGTACGGAGTACATAGTAGGCATTGAAAAAGTACGTAGTAGGCATTGAAAAATGGATACTAACTCGTATTTACACGGCACACCGCGCAAGCCCTTGAGGCTTAGATATGTACCCTCCTCTTGGTAGCAGTTACTTGTTAGTTAGTTAGTCAACAGAACTTGGTGTGTAAAGTGCTGACTAATATCTCTCCTGAGCCTGACTGAGGCAGCCGTGGACAAAGTTCGCATTCGAAATTGTCTCTCGAATCGGATTCACAGGATGGTAATTGTATTCAGGCACTGTTCAAGCCCCAAAATAGTGCTCAAGATAAAGCAACTTTTCCTTCAGAGTCTACGATGTGCATGTGGCCCGGTCCACCGTGCCCCTCGGATCGATTTGCGCCCTGCCGTTTGTGGAACCGCCAGCCACTCTACAAGCGGGGAGCTGTTCGCCACCTTCCGCAACTAAAGGAGCTACTTTCTATACACACGGCTTCAAGGGGTAGAAATTAGAAATGGTCTATGGGGGGAAACCTAGCACTGGATGTCACCTGTGCCGCAAGCGGAAGATCAAGGTATGACTCGGTGACTTATTTGATGATTATCTACTTCCATTGATTATGGGTGTTCTTCTTCCTCTTTATTGCTTTCTAAAACTTTCTTATCCAGTGTGATGAAGGGCACCCCGAGTGCCGAAATTGTGCTATCTACGGCCGACCTTGCCCAGGTTACCGGCCTGATCCGGTCTTTCGCCATGAGAACAGGAAAGTCGAGCGTCAAGCGAAGAAGGACACGCTCCATTCCAATAATAGTAGCCAAGGGGGGCAATCACTCTCAAAATCTCCTGAAAATCTGGATAGTCTTCGTGGAGACGCTTCAAGTACTAAAACCTCGCTGACGTTGATTCCAATTGCGGATGCGACTTGGGAACAACGTGCAATATGTTATTTCTTCGATCAATATACAATGCAGCCCCAATTTGAAGATGGGATGGGCCATTTGGACTTTCTTCCGTCTCTCTATTCGCAGGTTAATCAAGAAACATCAACATCTTCTTGTCTTCGGTGGGCGGTGGACGCGACGGCATTTATGACTCTTGCCAATGTTTCACGTGCGCCTCAACTCATAATGAAGGCGCGTCGAGGCTATGGAAAAGCTTTAAGCAGTCTGCGTGCTGCTTTGAATTCACCAACCGAAGCTCTCAAGGACGAAACATTTGCCTCCGTGGTAATTTTGTCCGTCTTCGAGGATGTTACTGGTGACCGCAATGGGCTCTATAGTTCTCACACTGCTGGATTTGAGTTCCTCATGAAACTTCGAGGCAAGAATCAACTAGATTATCGGCACGGCCGTGATATGTTCAATTTTGCCTATACTCACACGGTATGTACCTTATATCTGACTCGATGCGAATGAGTTCTGACGAAAGTTTGTAGTTTGTTGAGATTCTCGCCTTAGGAGATAGACCTCGAGTCGACGTGGACTGGATTATAGAGAAGTTGGATGCCAACGACCCCATTGAGCGGCTCCTGCTGGTAGCCTCGAAAATGAGCCAACTTTTCTTAGCAATGCAAGCAGCACCCAGTCCACCTGATATTGCCACCGTCAAAAGGTGGATCGTCATGGGCCAGGAGTGTGATTTTGAGCTTTCACAATGGACACTTCATTTACCAGAAAGCTGGCTACCGTTAGTCATTTACTCATCGCAAGGAGAGGCCCTTCTTACATATCAACAAGCCTTCAGCTGTGTGATCTGGAACTATTACCGCGCTGCGCGTGTCATGCTACAACAACTCCTCCTGAGTCTCAACCGAACCTACTCGACCGTTATAAAAGGCAAATCACCTGACGACAGCCTTAACACCAAGCCGGTACTTGATGAGAGCTGCTTACGGGCAATCATTCAAGAAATGACAAACGACGTCTGCAAGAGCATGCCATTTGTTATGTCTGATGTGGATAGCCTTGGTCGACCGACAAAGCGAGGGGAACTTCAAAGAAATATTCGGGCCGCACAAGCCAATGGCCTGCTTTGGCCGCTCTGGTACATTGTATCGTGTGGCATGCCCTCACCAGAACAGGTTGATCAAATTAGGATAGTGCTACATCGAATCGGAACAGAACAAGGCATCAACCTTGCATTGATGCTGGCTCGCGAAACTGAACGGATGCGCAATGATACCGATTCCTTCAGAGCGCCTCTCCCTCAGATCGGGTCTACAAGGGCTTAAACCGTGCAATTGATCTATTGCATTTGTTTTTGCGCCAAATTTTTTTTCTACAAAACAAAAGAAAAAAAAAAAAAGGAAAAAAAAGAAGGATGTCCGGATATGGACATAGAGCATGAGAATCTGGAATCACAATTCCTTATGTACATAATTCAAGTAAATACTACTATATAAGATACACCAATGAAGTTGAAGCAAATCGAATTTTGAATCTCCACTTTGTGGAGCTGACGGCTTCGACCGGATATGATGTCATGGAAGCCCTGATTTCTGTTTATACTTGATTCGGGGAGTTGACCTTTATGCGACATTTTTTTTCAATTATTTGACAATTAGATAGGTACCGAATATATATAAGACATGGTTCAATTACGTCAAATCAGAGACGATACATATGTAGTAATCTTAGAAGCTACATACTAAGAGTATGGTGTACATCACGGGGGATAATTGATCGCAGATCGCAGCACTGGAGTCTTACTGATAAGCTGCCGGTCTAGCCGTTCCCGTCAACTCCAATACGTGGGGGATAAGCTGTGCATTTACTGTAGTCGCACTGACGCCATTTCCTCTCCTTGTTATTTCTGACCTCTGCTTACTGCTTACTGCTTCCTAGTTTTGAGTTCTTTCTGTTTTCTCCTCCTTCAACCCAGTGTGTGATCATGGCCTCCCAAGAACGCAAGCTTCCCTTTGGGAAGATCGAGCCCAACTCGGCCAAGTACTTCTACAGTTGCGCTTTCGGCGGTATTATCGGTATGGCTTCTTTCAACTGCATTACCCTCTTTAAATTATGAATTGAGTTAGCGCTGACGATTTCTTATTTTGCTTCCAGCTTGTGGTAGGTGAATATCGATTTATAGAACTTCGTCGCACCCCCCATTGACAGTCCGATTTCTTTCAAGGACCAACCCACACCGCCGTGACACCACTGGATCTCGTGAAATGTCGTCGCCAGGTCGACCCCAAGATCTACACCTCAAACATCCAGGCATGGCGCACTATCTTCGCCAAGGAAGGCATGCGCGGCGTGCTTTTTGGCTGGTCGCCCACTTTCCTAGGATACTCCATGCAAGGCGCGGGCAAGTACGGTCTATATGAGTACTTTAAGCATCTCTATGGGGACAATCTGTTCCCAGAAACCAATCGCACTTTGGTCTTCTTGGGTGCCAGTGCATCGGCCGAGTTTTTCGCCGATATGGCTCTGTGTCCGATGGAGGCGATTAAAGTCCGCATGCAAACTACCTTGCCACCCTTTGCTAGCACCCTGCGTGAGGGATGGAGCCGCATTGTGGCCAAGGAAGGATTTGGCGGTCTCTACAAGGGCTTGTACCCTCTGTGGGCTCGTCAGATTCCTTATACCATGACCAAGTTTGCGACTTTCGAGGAGACCGTTAAGATGATCTACAAGACCATGGGTAAGCCCAAGGAGAGTTATAGCCAATTGACACAGACCGGGGTTAGCTTCCTGGGTGGATACATTGCCGGTATCTTCTGTGCCGTAGTCAGCCACCCGGCCGATGTCATGGTGAGCAAGTTGAACGCCGATCGGAAAGGTAAGCCTCCTGTTTGGTATCGACCTTTTGGAGGGGATCAAGAATGTTGACTAGTAATAATAATTTAGCTGGTGAGGGCGCGATGACTGCTGTATCACGAATTTACGGCAACATTGGGTTCTCGGGTCTGTGGAATGGCCTGCCTGTCCGTATTGTCATGCTGGGCACATTGACAGGCTTCCAGTGGTTGATGTAAGTTCGAGTTGTCCCTGACTGAAGCGACGACAAACTCTTATTAACTTTTTATGAAACAGTTATGACTCATTCAAGGTGTTCTTGGGTCTGCCGACTACTGGTGGTCACTAGATTGAAAGAATGAACATAGTCTTAGTTAGTTTGGAGAGAAATAAAGTGGATATCCATGGCAGAACCAAATCGTAGTAGCTCACAACTCCTGAACATCTCACACTCTTACCGCCTTTGGTATCACGGCAGAAACAAATCGTAGGTGAGCGCGACGCTTGCATATCTCCTCCTTGTAACACCACAATTACGAAACAACTTCTCCCTTGGGACTTACAGTCAATCATTTCATCCCTTATATAATACAGTCTATAACAGACCACTTGAATTATCTCCATCACTATTCATCCTACTTTCCTTCACTGCTCACCATCTCCATCTCATCACCGACCCCGAACTCAATAAGACCGACCGATTGACAAAGAAAGCCCGACCCTTCATTTCAACCATATCACGCATACCCGACAATCGCTTTCTCGACTAAAGCCGCCAAAATGGAAGCTCGTCCCCCAACCTCCTTGCCCTCCGCAAATCCTCCTAGTGTGGAGATCGCCTACAAGCGCAAATGCATCGCTTTAAAAAAACGTCTCAGCGAAGTCGAGGTTGAAAATGAGATGATTCGTACACGCAATCGCCGCGGCTGGCAGTACATTCAGAAAATGCGCTTGGAGTCTTGCATGCTGTTGGAGCGTCTCGCCAAGGTTACCAGCATGGGCAACGAAGCTCAGTCCGGAGCTGCAGACCCTGAATTGCGCGCCCGTGCGGCGGCAATGATGACTGATTCTGGTGCCACGAATGGTGCAGGCAGTGGAAAAACAGGTGGCCGATATTTCGAGGATGACACTGAGGGTAGTTCCGATGAGCAGCCGCGCACCGTGAGTTAGCTTTAATTATCCCTTTAAAACCCAAAGTTTCGATTCCACTTCAGAAAATATTCTTTTTTTTTCTCTCTCCTGCTACGCTGGTATACTGTACAAATTGTCCCACGAACTCTGGGCTAACTCGAATATCTTCGCTAGCCCGAAGAACGTCCCCTCAGAGTGAAGCGCTCCCGGAAGTCTAACCTCGCGCCCGGAGCCGATGGTGGTGACGACGACCACCCTGCCCAGGATAATGCCAATGAACCTGCAGATCATGAGGGTGGTGGTGCGTTGCCTCGTCTTGCTCCTGCTCCGAGTCAACAGGATCTCACTTCTTCATTCCGTGTGCAGACCGGCAGTAATGGTTCTGCTCATGAAGGCGGACAGACACCTCACAGTCAAGAAACCCGTGAAGGCCAGTCAGAGCACGCACAGGCCGAGGCTGCTGATTCGGGGACTACGCCTATGGATATGGATACGGTCGAGCCTAAGGTCGAGGAGTAACGATAATTTTGTCTTTCTTTTCCTTTTGATTCGGACCCATCGTCTATTTGGGGTTCAATCTATGTTTTCTGTTTTCTTTTCCACGGAAAAAGTGTCTCTTTTTCTCTTTGTTTCTTCGCTTTATACTGGTTTGGGCCTCTGTTATATATTTGTTATTGTTACCCTACAGCGCTGATTTAGATCCTTTAAGCTATTCTCGTCTTTAGGTATGAACTGCTGGTCTCTTCCTCTATTTTCCACCCCATGTCTTGATATCTTTAGCCGACACAAGTTACTTAGATGGCTACTTGTGATTACCTAGGTTGAAAAAAGGAGGATAAATACCAAAGTGCCCAGGTGACTGGTACCAACGTACTACATACACTAGTAGGCAGTGATATCGCCTAGGTACATAAATACGGATAACCGCCCGTCAAGCAGTGTGCAGGTAGGTATACCCCCCAACATTCAAATGTTTGAATGTTGTACATGTATGACTAGCCTACTAGTACATCTGACATTGATCATAGCACTTGAGGTATGAATTGAAGGTATAAACATGAAGGGACAGTACGGAATTATTAAGAAGCTCGCGCCATAAAGCCATTTCCCATGGTTGAAATCAATGTTAATAAACTCCGACCTCCATTAAGCAGACCGAGGTGAATTAGCGTGGACAGAGGTCATATCGTCTTTGTGCACTGGATCTGGAGCACGACTCAGAATAGATACGATATACGATGTTGCTAGAAGCTGGAGGATGCTCTCGGGTCAATTGCAAGTTGACAACATAGAGAAGATAGCATAAATTGGGTCCAGGCATGAGGTTCCCGAGGTAATAGGAAATTGAGTAATGGCGCTTTTTGCAGGCGTTGCCTTAGTATCATGCAAGATATCGAATTCAGGTGGTATCAAATGGCTGGGTATCCGTTTCGAGGTCTCGGTGTTTCCTTGTAATAATTCAAGGCAATATCTGTAGAAGTGCGGAATCTGAAAGCTCACTCAACGCCGGCGTAAAGATCAACAACAATATTGAGAGCTGCAACAAGAATCTCAGCAGCGATTAAAACGATGACTAGCATGAAATTAGCATTATTTCCACTTAGGATTATTCGAGGAAACTCACCAATCCATTCAAGATATTCGCCGTGGCGGTGTGTCAACTGATCCTTCAACACTGCAAGAAGATCGGCAATGACATCCAGTCGCTCCGTGAGTAGACCAACTCTCTGGTCCATCTCAAGATAGCTTCTGACAGCTTGGTAGACAGGTTCAAGCTGGGGCTCCGCCCAGAAAAGTTCTGGACTATCCAGAACAGACCCTTGTAGATGGATGTTGATTCGCAAGATAAAGAGTTCTCCGATCTGCATGTTAATTTGCTTGCGTGTGAGATTGACACTGCCCGTCTGCGCAATCTGGGCTGGCAATGGGGCGGTGTCTGAAATAGTTTCAGATACCAGATCTTCAAAGAGAGAGGTCTTGACTGATTGGGCTAGAGCATGTGAGATTGCCAACTTGATCATATGGTTGCGTGGCTCGCGTAGCGAGATGAAGTCGTTGTATATCCGGGCTTGGTATTCACGCGCATAATAGAAGTTGAAGTTCTCAACTTGTGTGTCATCCGGACTCAATATGGAGGACGCAAATTTCGATATGTCCGACAAGAAACGTGATTCTTGTGCAGGTGTCATACCCCACATCACAACGGTTCCGTAGTCAAACAAGAAGATTTCCGGCATATGAATTGTTGTGTCGATATCATACGCCTGCTCAGATGGCTGCGGTGCGGTAATCGCGCGCTCTGTGTTCTCAGCGTGACCAGCTGTCTCGTCGCGGAAATCAATGAGATCTTCTCTTCGAGTCTTCGTGTTATCATCCACTTCCACAACGCTATCCGAATATCTGCGTTCGCTTGGTCGTCGTTCATGGTGTCCATTGCCGGTAGGAGGTGGGAAGACTCGCACGTTTTGCTTCTCTTCATATTCGTAGTCGAAGCCGGAGTAGACGCACTCATCGTATAGCTTGGGGTTGGCCCCACGCGTTTTGGCCCGGGATTTGAGGAATTTGATGACCCCTTCGAGACGATAGGAATTGGCCGTACAGTATGCAGTCACCCGAGGAATGCGGTCTCGGTCGGCCTTGCCTAGCCGGGCGGCATGGCTTCGCGCAGCAGGCTCCTTGATGCGAGTGATTTGCGAATAGACATCACGAGGGAAGTCCCCATCGCTCTCTTCTTCCTCGGCAGTCACTGGATCCGGGAGCAATTTCAATTTCTGGGCTTTCTTGGTCGTACGTTGCGGTCCGATTTTCGAAGCGTTGGCCGTATTCGGCGGTGTGCTGTAGGGAGCACCATGGCTGTTGCGACGACGAAGTTTGCTATTCAATGCTGACAGCATAGGCTGACTGGCGGGACGAGGCGAGCCGCCTTGTGCATTGATGTTTTGAACGGGAGAAGAGCCAGTCTGCAATGGACGAAAGGTGGGATCGGAGGTGGTGCCGCCATACGTACTGATTTGCGTCAAAGGGTTGAAGGTCACCGACCGCGACGTCCGATTCGCCCGCGGGGACGCCGGGTTATGCTGGGTCGGTAACAGGGGGGAATCTTCTGCAGCAGACGCCATGGCCGAGAAACAGGCGACTCCGCTGGGGAAGAGAATATATAAAGAAGCTGGAAAAATCAAAGGTTGAAGCTTCCAAGGTCGGAGCTCCGCACGTGCGTCCCCACCTTATTAATCGCTGCGATTCGGGACCGTCGACGCTTTTGGGGGGAAGAATCAAGATTTACGCCGTTGAGAATTCCTTCTCTTTAAGACTCGGACCTATGTATGGTTTTTTTTTTTTTTTTAGAGCACTTGAGTAGTAATTGGGTGTGACAGTTGGTTAAGATTGGTCATTAACCAATTGTCTTGTCCCAGCTGGAAAATTCCCTTTTTTCTATCAGGTTGAATTCCAAGGTTTTTTCCCTCTTTTGCCCCTTTGCCCAGACAGGACTACGCCATATACTAACCGCATCCAGAACAACTTTTTGTTTAAGAATGAATTGTAAATTATCAATCATCTCGAGGTCGCTATGAATTCTTTTGGAAATGACATGGGCGAAAGCCTAGTAGTGTAAAGAGAAACAAAGTAAAACAAAATATACAATTTTACCGGCGGACAAACCCGGTAGAACCACCTGCTGTCCTGCGCAGCCCATTGACGTGTCCGACGCTTCTCTTTCCCTTCAACCAGGCATCTTTAACATTTCGCGCGGCCTTGGAGCTCTTGGGGGCTAGGGATGTTGATGCCTTTCGCTTCACAGAGGGCGCATCAAGCACTCGAATGGTAACATCGCCCACTTGCACATCCTTCGGGGCCTTTTCTGTCTTCTCCAAGAACCGCAACTTAGTCGGCTTCTTTGGTGCAAATGATTCTTCTGTCGGTGGTGTCAGGGCGCGGGCAACGGGCTCGGCATTCAAGATGTCATCGGGAAGCAATGCAGGCAGAGCACTCCGGCGAGCGTCCTGTGTGTTTGAGCCCTGAAGGGTGGCTGTGCTTTCGGAAAGTAGGTCGTCGCTAGGAGGGGCTTCCTTGGCCTTTGACTTGGCTTGCAGCTTGCGGCGCTCATCGAGTTTCCTCCGTTTGTCCTTCTTTAGTTGTTCCTCTCTGTTGCTTGTTAGAAATGAATGCTTCGGATAAATATTCACTAAAGGGTGGTGCATACAATTGCTTGGCTTGTTCTTGCTTCTTTGCCTTCTCCTTCATTTGCAGAAGCTGGGCAGAATTATCAATTGTCTCGGGTGCATCATCATCATCGTCGTCGCTACTGTCATCGTCTTCATCGTCGTTGGGTGCCTCGATTTGTTCAGGCTGGGTCTCCGGGAAAGCAGGTTCCTCGCTGCCAAATCGGAAATGACCCTTGGGTTCAGATGATTCAGCTGACTTCTTCTCCTCTGTATTGGAGGATCCTGTCTCCTCATCATCACTCTCCGCAGCCGCCTCTAGGCTACTCCGCTTTTGCCGCTTGGTTGACTGCTTGTCGGTCGGGGCCTTGCGCTTTCCTTGTTTCAGGGCAACCTTTGGCTCTTTTGGAGTATCTTTGGCCGAAGCGGTCGATCGTCGAGTGGAGGTCACCATTTCCGATGTAGTTGTGGCGGGGGCGCCAGCAGGATCTTCGAAATTTTGCTGAGATTCCGATCGCGTAAATAGACCCTTAGCCGCAGTGACTAGGTGAGATAGCATAGAGGTCTGAAGATGCAGAATCGGAAGGAAAACTCAAGTCCTAAAGTGGATGTGTTGCGTTAGGCTGTTGCGGACCATGCGCCTACAAAAAAAATAGTTTATCGGCCTTAGGATTTCCCGAGATAACGCAATCATGTGACCTGCCTTATCAGGAGACGGAGTATGTACTACGTACTAGTACTACTATATAGTAGTAGTACTTCAAATGTAAAGAAACTAAGTAATATAATTACACAGTTAGCAGAACTTGAGTAGACTCATTCAATGTTAAATTGATGATCAGCACTTTCAGTTTCAACCTATGGTAATCTCCATCAACATTTTCCCAACATTGAATATGCATGTGTACCAGTTGACATATATACTAGTAGTTAACGAGTCAAGTATTGTGACCCCTATCACGATCTAATCAATTGCCTGCGCACCCATATCAATGTGTAGTACAGTATGTATTGCTGTCATTTGAGCCATACATACTGTAGCAGCAGTTGACCCACGGAGTTCCAGATGTCTATGTACATACATCATGTGTACCCTATGTAACATTGAAACCTTCAGTCATTCCAAGCACTGACCTGGAATATCAGAAATGCATGTGCTTCTTTTCTCAATAATCATTCAATGTTTCACATTTAGACATATGTGAGCTTATGAAACCTTGCAATAGCACATAGAGTCGGTTCATGCAGCCCTTGGTATCTCAGAAAATGCCCCATGTATAAAACGCCTAAACAACCCGTTGCTGGGCCGCACCAAACAAGGACCTCAAACACGCCATGCCATGCCATTCAACGCCGAAAATCCGAACGAAGCAGATAAAAATACTTAGAAGGGAAACTATGCCGTAAAGAAAAAGCCACGCCGAATTTCTAGGCGTAGTTTTGCTTATTTTGTCTCATGGCATCCTCTCCGCATTGCCGGCGTTCCTCTGCTTCTTCACGGGCGTTGATGTAATCATCCTCGCCAATGTCGCTACACTCATCGTAGAGCTGCTGGGCCTCTTCATCATCATCTCCACTAACGGCCCACATGCTTTCTCTCAGACGTTTGTTCCGTTCGCGGTCTTCTTCAATTCGCTGCTCGATCTGTCGCTTGTCGAAACGCACGTGAGTCTTGGTAGTACGAGGTGTTCCCGTCTTAGACCGGGCGCTGTCATCTTGTGCTTCATCCTGCTCCAGATCAAGGTGTTCAGGGTGGGTATCACGGTCTTTGAGGGCCGCATCAATCTCGGCCACAGACTCAGCGGAAAGAATCTGCTTGGCTTGAAGGCTGCTGAGCACTCGTCGGACGTGTTTCACATTGGCCGCACCGGTGCCGTCAGCGGGAACAACCGCATCAACAACACGGAGGATGTCGCGTTGCATCATTCGAACGTAAGGAATGTGACCTTCTTTCATTGCCATTTCGCAAAAGTGTTCGATGAAGGACATGATGTTGGCTCGGGTGTTCATGTTATTCTGTAAGTAGAATTTTAGAAAAGCATACAGTGTGAGGGATCGGCACCTCTTACCTTTTCAAGCTGTTCCAGAATACAAGAGTGGAGGTCCTCGTCAAGCTCACGGTATTTAAGCGCATAGTGGGCCGCTTTTTGAGAGGACGCGACAGTTGCGCTTAGGCGTTGCAATTGGGTTGTGAAGCGCATACGCACTTCAAAAGGATCAACCATCATCTTGTCATCGGATGCTTCCTCTTTGAACGTGAAGGTAGCAGTTTAATCCGATTCCTCCTCTTCAAGCTTGAAGGAAGTAAGATTCGGAGACGGAGGCGGAGATGGAGATGCGATTTGGCTTATCGCGTTATCAACAATACTTTAGTAGGCGGTGTGGTGTGACAGAATTGAGGGGTGTCGAGGAGTTACTACATAGAAGAATTTGAGCACGATACCGCCTTCCATACCGCTTGCTGCAGTTAGCCTGTCAGCTGACCGTTGTTCAGAAATCTACTTTACTAGGTTTTGAGTGGCAGAAAGCCAGGGGTTTGATAAGATAGCGGCAAAAAATTATGCAATCAATCAATTGATATGCTTAGTATTCATCCATGGATAGTACGCAGTAAGGCCGCCTGACAATTTTGGAAGAATATCTACTGTTCTCTCATACCGTGTAAAGCTCTGAATAAATAAAAGATATATTCAAGTCTAAATTAATTAGATGGCCAGTTCAGCTAGGTAGCATGGTAGAGCGCCTCTCGACACCAGAGATAACAACTGAATAAATGTACAGGAGATCGGGTACAAACACTCTAGAACGAGTCTCTTGTCAGGGAACTGCCAAGGCTGCTCCTTCTTTCAGCATGCAGCAATCCAACCTCTTCAGCACCGTGAGCGTCATTGAATCCATCCTCACGGAGGGCCTCTTGTCGACGGAACTCCACGCCATTGAGTACTGCCCACACATCTTTCTTCGTCAACAGACCTTGCAGGATGCCCTTATTGGAAAAAAGAACATAACGTAAGCCAAGACGCTGGAACATTCGTAAGACGATCAAAAAAGTAATGTTGCTGTTGAGTGTGATTGGGGTTTGATCCATCCAAGGCCGGAGATCTAAGGTATCCACGGGGTCGGCAAAGGGCTGGTGAACGAAGAAGACCTGAGTCTCATCGGCAAGGTTGCGGTTTGTAGGCGAAGTTGAATACTTCAGCGCAAAGGATAGCTCATTGCGGGTGATATAACCTAGCAGCACAGGCTTTGAAGTTTCAGTAATGACCGGAAAGCCACGGTAGCTTGTGTTAGAAATAAGACTGCGCAGTGAGCTAATAGTATGACCGGTAGCAGTGATCACAGAGATATCATCGACAGTTGTCATTACCCGATGAGCTGAAACATCCGGGGGATTCGTGTCATCTCTATGATCCAGGAAAGGGTATTCATTGAGCTGAATCCATGACTCGTAGATACCACGCTTGCCGAAGATATCACCACACCACTTTGACAGCATAACAGCAATCATGATTGGAATCACATAAGTAAGCGCGCCGGTCAACTCGAACATAATGACAACAATTGAGAGAGTCATTCGAGTTGCACCTCCGAGAGCAGAGGCCGCGCCAATGATAGCGTACAGACCGGGAGTCACGCAGGGGATGTCGGGCTCACACTTGGCAAAAAGGAAAGCTTTGGGGTACGCTTCTTGCCACATTCTGACAAGCATGCCCAAAGCACGCCCGTAAAGAGCCCCAATAGCAACAGACGGAAGAATGATACCAGCTGGGATATCGAGTCCAAAGGTCAAAGAGGCAAGCAAAAATGCTAAAGCAGCCCCCACCAGTAGCATAGCAACGATGGCTAAAGATGCAGGCCCTGAAACGCAGAGGCCAAAGCGATCGGTTGTCTCGCTACTGCATTCCGCAAACAATGCTTGAACAAGCTCTGAATTTTGCGCTCTCATGAAATGGTTCGGAAAATTGATCAAGGCCGTTAGCAGTGCTATTGCGGCTACTTCCAATAGCGGTCGTGACCAGCCCCGAGATCGTCGCCATTGGGCGATTTTGGTGTTCACGCGGATAAAGAAGGCTCCATATAGACCGCCTATGATACCAAGAATGATAAACGGGATGATCTCGAATCGATGCCACCCTCGCGTGTAGGTGACTTGATACAGCACAATCTTCCCAGTGCGGAATGGGTTGATGGCCTGCAATGTGACAGCCGCGACCATGGCGCAGACAAAGCTCTGCCACATAGTCTTATCTGGAAAATAGTAGGATAGTTGCTGTCCAAGTTAGCATGCCAGTAATCCATATCACATTCAATTTTTTTGCTTACCTCCAAGCTGAAGAGTACACCACCGATAGGCGCACCAAATGCAACAGAAATACCTGCTGCAGCGGCTGCAGAGAGAACTTCACGCTTTCGTGCTGCGAAGTTTAGTATAAGAAGCGGGGAAAAGAAGTAATGTACACACCTTCATTGCCGTTCAGGCTGTCGAAAGGCTTCATGATGATGTTAGCACAGCAGCATGCGACGTGCACCAGCGGGCCTTCCTTTCCAAGCCATAAACCAGACGCAACTGCAAGACACTAATAATATTGAGGTCAGTGAGAACGAGGGATAGGGTCTTGTAAAGGGCTTCGTACTAAACCAAGAGACTTTATAGTAAGCGTCCAAGGACCCATGAAATGTCGAATGACGGTACCTCCAAGCACGGTCTTGATTTCAGGGATGCCGCTGTGGCGGGCATATATGGCGAATTTGCGCACCAGAATGCATGCGATGGATGCGAATACCACCTATCTAGTGTTAATAGAAAACAAGACACGGGGAGTGGGGACCATACAGAAAAGACGATGAAAAAGGTATACTCAATTGTATACTTTCCACCAACGGAAGAGGCGCCAAGAGCAGATCCCCACGGCGTCCAATCTACGCATTTTGTCTGATCTATGTCCAACGACTCCGTTAGCATGGAAATCAAGTATCCACGGCGTCGTATAAAACGTACCGTCTAGACCCCAGCAACAAAAGCTTCGATTCAAGTAGAATTTCCCACCACCAGTGCCACTTTTACAATAGCCGGTTTTCAGATCTCCAAGCCAATTTGTGGCAATATCGATGGACGCTGCGATGATTCCAACGGCGATGCCGGTTGCAACCAAGACGAACCAGATATTACTAGCCTCCAGAAATCGGCGTGCGTGACCTAGAAAGCCTTGACCGCTTGAGTATATCAACCGCTTTCTTTGTCGTTCTTTCGTATACTCGTAAATCCAATCGATAGCGGTAAAGTCATCATATCCGACTCGTCGACCGGGACCTTCTACATACCAGTCCAGAGGGGCACCATCTTTAGATGAATTTGAATCTCCATTCAGTACACCTGGTCCATATGCATCTAATGGCGATGCATCTCCGTTCTGTCCACCTGGGGATGCCGTAAAACCTAGCCCTGTATTCGACCCGCCGGCGGTATTCGAGAAGAGGCTTGATAAGCTGAATCGGGACTGTCGTTTTTGTTTTGGTTTGAAGGATATCCTGCAGCAAGCATATATGAGTAATGAATCGATTCCAGAACAGCGCAACACTTACGGTTCGTGCAATCCCTCCGTGTCCCGACGGAAATCCTGGGGTTGCGAGAGATCGGCTTCTTGATCGGTGCGATCTGGGTGTATTGCCCGGGAGTGATCACCACTACCCGCGTATTGATCCGTCATTGACATATTGACTCATGAATGCTCCACAAAGCCAGCATCTCCAGACGCGTGCTGGGGAAAGTTGTCCTTGTCACAAGCTGAACAGGAGCTGCGCAAGCTGCGCAAGCTGCGCCGCTTAGTCATCTCTGTCAAGAAGAGGCGGTGTCTTGGGTCGGTGGGGCTGGACCGCCGGGATGCGGCAGAAAAAAAAAGTAACGGGGAATTTCAGTCTCTCTACAACATTTACAATTTTCATATTTTACAAATCAAAAGGAGCTCCTTCTACGCAGCCGGGTTTCATAATGAATGGAAAGCCCGTCTACGAGAGGACCCTGTCCGAGTCCGAGCTGCTTACGCAGCTCCCGAATGAACTCACAGGTCTCATTCGGTCATCATCTGGGACTCAGCAGCTCCACGCGCTTGCGCTCGGCGCATTAGATACACAATTTACAGAAAGTATCTTCCGACTATACGAGCCAATTGCCGTCGACTTGGCAGCTCGATGGCTCCGATCTGATATTCAAGCCGATCATATCCATACTTTGGCGGCTTTTGCCCGCATCCTCCCTTTCGCTTCATACCTTCGATCCTTCGCTGGCCAATATGCTTTGTCACAGACCGGACCTCTGTCGGCTTTGGCTGGATCAAAGGAGTTGACATTGCGACAATTGGAACCCAGCAACACTCGAACTCTTCTCCTCGCCCTATTCCGCCTTCTATCATTTGACTTGGAAACTTTCTCAAAAGCCGTGTCGCCGATCCAGCTCCAATCTCTGTTTCCGCACGAGGACCCTGTGATCCGATACCTTGCCGTTCGATGCTTCGCCATGTATATGCACGCGGCGGATGCTGCTAGCGAGAATATGTTGCGTGTCAATACCGGCACCGATCCCATCGAAGGAGAGTGGGAAGGAATTACAATCGATTATCGCCTTTTGGGTCTATGGGAAGAGCGTAGATGGGAGACTCTTGGCAAGACGATTCAAAATCAGAGGTCATCACGATCGGATAGTGACATGATTGCATTGGTCGACCGGGTGCGGGATTCCTTGACACCCAGGTCTGCTGATATTTGCGGCATCTTGATTCCTCGCCTGAAAGACGGTTTACCATCGTCGTCTTCTTCAGTTGTAAAGACTCCGACCACGACACAGAATCTGCGCTGCATCGCAAAGTCACTTCTTGGCTTCAAACCTATTTTGTTGATAGGATTGTCTAACTCAGGAAAGACTTCGCTGATCAATGATATTGCGTCTACAATGGGGCAAGCCGAGTCCATGGTCACACTTCACCTCAATGAACAGACAGATGCGAAGAGTCTTCTTGGAATGTATGCTACGTCTTCCACCACTGGTTCATTTTCTTGGCAGCCAGGTGTGTTGACGAAGGCTGCGAGAGAAGGCCGTTGGGTTTTGATTGAAGATCTCGACCGCGCACCTTCTGAAGTCCTTGGCCTCATATTACCGATTATTGAGAGAGGAGAGTTGACCATCGCGAGCCGAAGAGAGAGAATCAAATGCGCCGAGGGTTTCAAGATTATTGCGACCATGAAATCCTCCTACAACATTGCTGGAGAAGAGATTGCTCCAAATTCTTCTATGCTTGGTAGTAGGTTGTGGCAGAGAGTTCAAGTTTCATCTCTCCCAGTCGATGAAATGCGAGATGTAATCTTACAAAAATTTCCTCTCTTGGAGTCTCGAGTACCGGTGATAATGGATGTGTATGGGAGAGTATGCTCTGCATTCCACGGAAGTCTCGCCATCAAGGGCTCTCAAGGGCGCACACCTGGTTTCCGTGACTTGATCAAGCTTTGTAGCCGACTGCACCGGCGGTTGCAACGCATGGGTGCCAAAACTGGCTATGAACCTACGCCAGAAGCCATTGACGATGAAATATTCCTCGATGTTGTTGACGTTTTTCTGAAATACCTTCCGGAGAGATCCATGCAAAGTTCCCTCGCTGCTGTTGTGGCAGAAGCACTGCAAATTTCGCCCCAGCGAGCTCTTTTCTGCCTCAACGAACGGACCCCGAACTACACCGACAAGACTAATAGCCTGGTTCTTGGCCGTGAGGTTTGCCAAAAGATCAAAGTTCCCAGTGGATCAGCACTGAAGCTAGCAGCAGCAGCATCGCGCTTCGCCTCCACCAGATCCGCATTGACGATTATGGAGCAGGTGGCCGCATCCATACAAATGGCAGAGCCAGTCTTACTTGTCGGAGAGACTGGTATCGGAAAGACAACTGTGATTCAACAGCTTGCTACTTTAATGCGACAGAAGCTTACGGTGGTGAACTTGTCACAGCAAAGTGAAAGCACTGATTTGCTAGGAGGGTTCAAACCTGTCAGCATTCGCACAATGGCAATTCCGATGTTGGATGAGTTCAATCAGCTCTTTGAATTGACATTCTCCGCGAAAAAGAACCAAAAGTTCTTGTCTTCCGTTTCTAAGAGTGTGGTTTCCGAAAACTGGGCACGCTTAGTAACTTTGTGGCATGAAGCTGTGCGGTTGTCTAACGGAGTCTTTAAACCGACTCTTGACGCATCCAACGAGACAGAGAATGGAGACGAACAACCATCTAAGAAGAGAAAGCTGGACTCACCAAAGTATCAACACCTGCGTCAGCGCTGGGAGAGCTTTGAGTCCCAACTTGCCGACTTTGAAGCGCAAGTTTCCCAAGGCGATGCTAAATTTGCCTTCGCATTCGTTCAAGGAAAAATTGTCCGAGCACTTCGGAATGGTGAATGGGTTCTCTTGGATGAGGTCAACCTGGCGTCGCCAGATACTTTGGAGAACATTGCAAGTCTCCTGCATCACGGTAGTGAAGGAACCCCTTCTGTTCTTCTGTCCGAGGCTGGTGATGTTGAGAGGGTCTTTGGTCACCCCGACTTTCGCATTTTTGGTGCCATGAATCCTGCAACAGATGCCGGCAAAAGAGACCTTCCCCCTGGCCTACGATCTCGCTTCACCGAATTCTATGTGCACTCTCCCGACACAGATATAGATGATCTTCTTGCCTTGATCCAGAAGTATCTTGGAGACTTGACCATTCGCGACCCAAGAGCCGCACCGGACCTCGCACAGTTATACATGGCGACCAAGAAGCTCAGCAATGATAACAAACTCACAGATGGCGCCGGGCAACGACCCCACTTCAGCATTCGAACACTTGTCCGCACTTTGATCTATGTCCTTGATCATGCTCATGTCTATGGCCTACGTCGAGCAATCTTCGAAGGTTTTAGTATGAGTTTCTTGACTGTGTTGGGTTTAGAGTCTGAACGGGCTTTGGTTCCTCTTCTTGAGACACATATTTTCAGCAATGCCAAAAACGCAAAATCCCTCCTTGGCCAAACCCCCCAGCCACCTGCAGACGGCAATGAATATGTTCAATTTAAGCATTATTGGATGCGTCGTGGTCCTTTTGTCGCGGAAGAACAACCGCATTACATTATTACTCCATTCATTGAGAAGAACCTCAAGAACCTTGTGCGAGCTAGCTCAACTCGTCGTTTCCCTGTTTTGCTGCAAGGTCCAACATCCGCAGGAAAGACAAGTATGATTGAATACCTGGCCAAAGTTTCTGGTAACAAGTTTGTTCGCATCAACAACCATGAGCACACAGACCTACAAGAGTATCTTGGATCCTACATTTCTACTGATGATGGAAGCCTTCGCTATCAGGAGGGTGTTTTGGTGGAGGCATTGCGCAACGGTTACTGGATTGTTCTTGATGAGCTGAACTTGGCTCCTTCAGATGTCCTCGAAGCGCTCAATCGACTGCTAGATGACAATCGTGAGCTGTTTATTCCCGAAACACAGGAAGTTGTTCACCCACACCCCAACTTCATGCTATTCGCTACCCAAAACCCTGCTGGTCTTTATGGTGGCCGTAAAGTTCTTTCTCGCGCATTCCGAAATCGTTTCCTGGAGTTGCACTTCGACGATATTCCAGAAAGTGAATTAGAGTACATCTTGAAGGAGCGATCTCAGATAGCACCCTCTTTCTGTACTCGGATTGTTTCAGTTTACAGAAAACTTTCATTGCTACGCCAATCCAACAGACTTTTCGAGAAGAAGAACAGTTTCGCTACTCTGCGTGACCTGTTTCGCTGGGCCTTGCGCGACGCGGACGACAAGGAACAATTGGCTATCAACGGCTTTATGCTCCTTGGCGAACGTGTTCGAAACCCCCAGGAGAAAGCTATTGTGAAGAGTGTAATTGAAGAAGTCATGAAAGTGCGCTTGGATGAGGATGTCCTCTACAGCACTGCACAATTGGACAAGAATGTCCCTCAGATGAGCCAGTTGCCTGGTGAGGTTGTTTGGACGAAGGCCATGAGACGTCTGTTCGTCCTTGTCTCCAGGGCACTCAAGAACAATGAGCCTGTTCTGCTTGTTGGAGAAACGGGTTGTGGTAAGACGCAGCTTTGCCAAGCTGTCGCTGAAGCTTTCAAGAAAGAACTATTTATTATGAATGCTCACGTCAATTTGGAAACTGGTGATCTCATTGGTGCTCAGAGACCCATCAGAAACCGGGCTGCCATTGAGAAGCAGATTTCTGATGACCTTCGAATCTTGATTCACGGTGACGAGCCCGCCTCTTCCTCCCTGGAGCAGCTTAAGAAGGAGTTTTCAGCCCTCAGTGCCGACCAGCGTCAAGAGAAAGATCAAGATCTTCTGCGCAGAGTTGAATCTAACATTACCCGGTGTAATGCGCTATTCGAATGGTCCGACGGAAGCCTGATTACTGCTATGAAAACTGGTCAATTCTTCCTTCTCGATGAGATTTCCCTTGCAGATGATTCTGTTCTGGAACGACTCAACAGCGTCCTGGAACCCCACCGTTCAATTCTTCTAGCTGAGAAGGGGCCCATTGATTCCATGGTCGTGGCAGATGGTGGCTTCCAGTTCTTGTCCACCATGAATCCTGGAGGTGATTATGGTAAGCGAGAGCTATCTGCTGCTCTTCGTAACCGTATGACCGAAATCTGGGCCCCGCAACTTTCAGAAGACGAGGACATTTTGCCAATTCTACAGATGAGGCTGAAGGTCAAAGACGAACAGGTTGCAAAGGCCATGCTTAAGTTTGCACTGTGGTTCAAGACAACTTTCCAAAACACATCAACGAATTCTCTATCACTTCGTGATCTTCTCGCATGGGTCGATTTCGTCAACACCTATCAAATCGATAATCCTTTATTCGCCATTGTCCAAGGTGCTGCCATGGTATTTATCGACACACTCGGTGCCAACCCCGCCGCGATGCTTGCAATCTCATTGAATAATCTTGATGGCAATCGAGAGAACTGCCTTGATAAGCTCAGCGAATTGTTTAATGTCAATGCTTCAAACATCTACAGGGAGTCATCGACTGTCACTTTGGAGCCTGGATTTTTGAAAGTTGGGCCGTTCACCCTGCCCACTGTCGGCGAGACAGAGCCCGACCATCAATTTACAATGGATGCGCCAACGACAATTGCAAACTCTGTTAGAATTGCTCGTGGACTTCAATCTTCGAAGCCTATTCTTATGGAAGGTAGCCCTGGTGTTGGTAAAACTACCCTTGTCGTGGCTCTCGCAAAGGCCCTCGGCAAACCTCTCACTCGTATCAACCTTTCAGAGCAGACCGACCTTACAGACCTATTCGGTTCTGATGTTCCAGTTGAAGGAGGGGATGTTGGTCAATTTACCTGGCGAGATGCTCCGTTCCTACGAGCCATGCAGCGTGGTGATTGGGTTTTACTCGATGAAATGAACCTTGCCTCTCAATCTGTGCTAGAAGGTCTCAACTCTTGCCTTGATCACAGACAACAGGTCTATATTGCCGAACTCGACCAGACTTTCAAGCGCCACCCCGATTTCGTGCTATTTGCCGCACAAAACCCGCATCACCAAGGTGGTGGAAGAAAAGGACTTCCTGCATCTTTTGTTAATCGTTTCACCGTCGTGTACGCTGAGAGCTTTACTGATTCGGATTTGAAAACAATCTGTTCTAAGCTCTTCCCCGGAAGTCCTTCAATCCAGACCGAGAGGCTGGTAGATTTTATCTCCGCCTTGAACAAAGCAATCAATACAGATCGTCGACTCGGTGTTGTCGGTGGACCCTGGGAGGTCAATTTGCGAGATATCCAGAGGTGGCTTCAACTGGCCGATCGGGGCAACCTGCAAATTTCTACCAAGCACTTTTTGGACATTGTTATCAGCCAGCGTTTCCGAAGCGAAGATGACAGAAGACTGGTATCTGAGATTTATGACAGCATTTTCCCTGATTCTGAAACCAACCAAAAGAGTTACTTCCACAACCTTACCCCTGAGCATCTTCAGGTTGGTCTTGGAATTTTGACTCGAGACCCTCTTCTACAGCGCTCGGTTGAGCCGCAAATGAAGATTTTGCCCAAGGACCTCCATATCCTGGAATCTCTTATCCTGTGCATTGATAACTCTTGGCCTAGTATTTTGGTTGGAGCCGCCGGGTGTGGTAAAACAACATTGATCCGCAAGCTGGCTGCTATTAATGGCGCAACTTTGGAGGAGCTGGCTCTTAGTGCAGACACCGATACCATGGATTTGATTGGTGGATTTGAGCAAATTGATCACCGCAGAGAAGTCTCGTCGTTTGTCAATGATGTTGAAGCCTTCTTGCGCCATCAAATAATTCATTCCTTTGCGACTGGCGATGTCTCAAATGCTGTTGGTTCTGCACTCCAGATTTGCCAGCATTTCCAAACCACAGATACCTCACTAGAAACAGTCATTTCGTCTCTTACGGATCTTTGTCAAGCATACTCTGACGTGACCCTCCAAAACTTCCTTGAGCGAGCTCAAAAGCTTTGGGAAACCATCCAGCAATCCGATAAGATGAAGGTTGGTTTTGAGTGGACTGAAGGTGTTCTCACACGGGCTGTACAAAATGGAGACTGGGTGGTTCTGGACAATGCAAATCTTTGCAACCCATCCGTTCTAGACAGATTGAACTCCCTGACTGAGCCAAATGGTACTCTCATCTTGAACGAGCAGCGTACTGAGGATGGATCAGCGCGAATCGTGACACCCCACCCCAACTTCCGCATCTTTTTGACCATGGACCCTCGCAACGGAGAGTTGTCACGCGCCATGCGGAACAGATGTGTTGAGATCTGCTTCATGTCCAACGAAGTGAAGGAAATTCCTGCTATGGTGGGCCCCTCTTACACCTGTGAATCATTCCTTTACAGACTGCGCCATATCTGGAACCTGGATTCTACCTTGCCGCCTGCTACTTTGAGTGACTCGGTTAATGTTTGCCTTGATCATCTATCTCCGGTGGATCTGTCATATCTTCAAAAGTTGCCTGGTAGCAATCTTCCTCACGCCGACGACACCAATCTGAATCACCTTGTATCTAGTGCTTTGCAGCGCTATGAGTCACTGCTCCACGACAAGGAACAATGGCAGCCCCTCAACGTTATCACGGGAGAAATCATCATGGCGGGCGCTTCATTGAGCATACAAGGTGCCCTTCAGCCCATTCATTCCTTGGTCAATGAGCCTCTTGTGTCCATCACTGGCAATTCAGACTACCGTTCAAGCCTCATGGTTCTGGCATATCTTGAAGAGTTCAAGCTCGAGATTCATCGTCTTCGTCAAAGCTTGGTCCAGGCTAATGAGTCCGCAAAACAGCTCAAGCCCAGTCAAATGACAAGCCTTGAAAGATCTTTGGCATCGACTCGCATCCAGTCATTGATGAAAGATACTACGCAGCCCGTCGGGAACTTCCTGATGGATTGTGGTCAGGCCTTGTACGACTACATTCAAAGCTTGGATCAAACTAGTCTCCAGTCCCCTGAAATTGTCACCGCACTAACAACCATTATCTGCCTGTGCTGGGACATTTATCGTGCGACAAATGTGATGAAAGTCGAGGAAGGTGAATTCCAGGTTTACCTGCAAGTTGGTAGGCAGATCTTCGCATCTTTGCTTAACTCATCGCCGTTGCTCAAGCCATTGGAAGCACCTCTTTCCCGGGCTCTCGCTCGCTTCCAAGCTGGCTGGGCATTGACGACTGGTTTAAGTATGCAAAGAATGTGGGATTCCTGGAGACATGTCACGCCTGCCTCTCAAAAGCAGCTCAACTCTCTCATTGAGTTGGAGCAAACTGTGGCCGAGTTTACCACTCTGGCCTTGCAAACACGAGTTGATATTTCTCAACTCAGCACTGTTTGGGACTCTCTAATCAACGCTCAGCGATTCATTCTGCTAGATGGTGCCGATGGAGACGCTCTTGTGCTCAGCCTTAAGCAAACAGTCACCGAGCTTGGCCAGGCTGTCCGACGTTCTGATTCACCTCAACACCCCTATTTCACCGAAGCCTTTGAGGCTCTCTGCCAGTACCGCGATATCTCTACCGACGAAGGCAACTGTGAATCGGCAATTCAAACCATGGTTTCCCTTCTCGCCGGTCGTCCTGCCCGTTCGCTTAACTCGTCAAGTCTCAAGAGCGGTGTCCCGGAACTTCTTCATAGGCTTGCCCTATTTACTGGCGCAGGGAATGAGTCGAGCCGTTCTTTCTTGGCTATTGGTGGTGTTCTCCCATTATCACTACTGGATAGGCTGACCTCTGTGGGAGCCACAACCCTTGGCCAAATGGACCTTCTTCAAGCTGAGAAAAGGGCGCTATCGAAAGCACTCACCGTTGGCAGTCGTCAAATTGCTGAAGAGCAGCTGCGCACTTTCCAGCGTGTTCTTGCTCAGTTGACGATTGAACTTATCACTTGCCACCAAGAGTTCCTCGAGCCTCAATCGTTTGCCGGTTTGATTTCCGCTCTTCAGGCTGTCCAGCGAGATGGTACTTGTGATCTAACATCGGTCTCCATGAGATTGCAGGACAACATTGGAGATGGCCATTTCTTCAGGAGTTTCGCAGAGAATGCGCTTCCCCCTCTTGTTAAGTCGTTGGCTTCACCCCTCGAAGGCACCACCAATATTGTCCCTATCGAGGGTATGACTCACCCCATGGCTCTGGCAGCTGTCCAACTGGCAGTCATTCTCCTCCGCTTGTTTGTTCCCGACAAAGTCTTCGACCCATCTCTTGGCCTTGTGGTTCAACGCAGACGACACCACCAACGCCTCGACGAGTTTAATGCCAAATCAAATGCCATTTTGTCATTCGAGGCCACCTTCTCTGGCCAAAGCTCGAATCTGCGAGCTTCGCTTCTTGAGGAACAAAGCCATAGATTGGGATCTGCTCCACCACCCTCCTCTGTCACTCGACCGGATAACTCCGAGCTCGGTCTGTTGCACGGTGAATTTTCGAATTTGATCAATTCTATCCTCAACCGAGGCCCGGAGCAACTGATTCAGTCGACTAACAAGTCTTCAAACACACAAGAAATGGTCCAACTCATGCGGAACAACATTCACCAGCTTAGCAGCCGACTGAGTGCACACTACAGATCCTATGATGATATTACCGAGCCCGTGATTCGCTTCCTTCAATTACTTGACACTGGTCTTTTCTTGAGCTCTGTATCTGATGAAAACCTCGATGACATACAAGACATTAAGTATCTTAGCAAGCGCACCCCTTTCTTGGGTGGGTCTGTCCATCCGGCCTTTAAGGATACCTGCGGCTTTGAAGCAGACCCAAATCAACTGCCAAGCCAAAGCAATGTCATTGAGATGCGACTTCATGAACTCTCTGCACTTTGGGCTGCCAAGGACGCAGATGCAAATATTCTTGAACTTCGATCTGGCCGCGACACCATCCGTCATGTATTTGCTGACTTCCATCATCTGTGGAAGACTAGGCTCCGTGAGGACCAAGAGAAGGAGGCACAAAAGTCAGAACTGTACCGTTACCGAGGTTCGTGGGAGGACGAAGAAGAGGTTGATGAAGCAGATCTGCACGAGCTCTTCCCAACATACGACGAGGAGAGCCTGCCGAAATCGGAGGATATTGGCCAACTTGACCCTAGGCTCATTGCCTCTCGACTAGCTTCGTTGCACGCAAAGCTTGTGAGCGATCACCAGACCGGAAACGCTATGCGCACCTTTGTCAAACAGACTGGTAATCTTTTGGGCTCTCTGTGGTCTAAGAGCAAGACAGATTTCTCTCCAGTATTGGCCCAGAATCATCTGCCTGTTGTTCTCCTACTTCTTGATGATGTGGTAGCCGAAGAGTCACAAGACCGACAGAAGAACTACAATTTCTACACCGATTCCAATCTGGCCGAGGCACGCAGACTTGTGAATCTGACCCTCTCAGTTCAAGCACGATTTGTTCAAATCCAGATCACGTGGCCAGAGCATGCTGTTCTTCAGGATGTCATCACTTGCTGCTCTGAGATCCTGCAATTCAAGTACACGGAGCCCGTTGCCAAGTTCCTGACCAAGGTCGAGAAACTTCACTCTTATGTACACGAATGGCAGCTTGTCGCAAGCAGAGAATTTTCGGCAGCTTCCCTCTACGACGAGATTACGAGTATGACGGTCCAATGGCGCCGCCTTGAATTGACTACCTGGGCGAAGCTTTTGGATATCGAGAAAGAGCGTTGCGAGGAAGACGTCAGCGCTTGGTGGTTTGTCGCATATGAAGCACTTCTGGCTGTTCCACTTCAAATGGCTGAGGCGGGTGAGGAAGGCATGGGTGATCACATCCAAGGTGTCATCTCCACACTGGAACAATTCTTCTTGTCCACAACCCTTGGTCAATTCTCTCGCCGCCTTCAACTTGTCTCTGATTTCCGCTCGACTCTTATGATCTTCGCTAAAGACTACGAATGTCTCAAGCCTCTTGCTTCTGCACTGGCCAACTTCATCTCCCACTTCAGGCCATTTGAACCTTTGGTAGAAAAGATGCTGCAAGACAAGAGAGCCACGCTTGAAAAGGACATCAAAGAGCAAATTCAGTTGGCCAGCTGGAAAGACACCAACATTGTTGCTCTCAAGGAGAGTGCCCGAAGGTCTCACGTCAAGCTATTCAAGTTGGTTCGGAAGTATCGCGCTGCTCTCACACAGCTTGTTCAGCCAGTCATTGAACAGGGCCTTTCTGAAAACACTGAAGAAATTTCCTCTCAGAACGACAGCAAGGCTCTTGCATATACCATCTTTCCTGAAGCATTGGCAGCCTGCCAGGAGACTGAAGCCTGGAGCTCAAGACCCCTCAGATTCCAGAACCCCGAGGGCACCTGTCGTAACATGAAGAACCTATATGCGGCAATTCCCTTGGAGTTTGACATTGCGAAGGATCTGGATGAATTCACGGTATCTGTTATCGAAGGTATCAATGAGTTCAAGAGTCAAACCCCCAAATCCCTCACTTTGGACAACAAGGATGATGTGCAGCACTTGAAGGTCCAAAAACGTCGTCTCTACGCTGATACTCTGAAACGCGTATTTGAGATGGGTGTGAAGCGGAGTGCGGGATCCAGCCTGATTGAAACGCAAGTCTCGCTTGCACAGGTCCTTTCTACTAGTGCTGCCTTTGAAGCCGGCACTGCAACATCAAAGTCCATCTACAGTGCAGACACCTATTTCCACCGCCTTTTAGATCTGTTGCCACGGGCTCGTCTGGCTTCACGGGCTTACTCCGACGAATTAACCAACGTCGAAATTTCCAGGAGCATGGGTTCCGTTGAGCATCTTCTGTTTATGATTCGTCGCCAAAGAAACCTCATTTCCCCCGCCATGTCTGCACTGGGATCTCTCGAGGCTATCATTGGGAAAATGGAGAGCGTTTGGACAGTCGAATCTACATCGTTTGCCAAGGTTCATGTCATGATTGAAGAACGTCAGGCCTTCCTCGCCAGAAAGGTTGCATGGCTGATCCCTGTACTGAAGCTTGGTGCCGAAGTCATTGGAGTTCACTCCAAATTCTCTGGTCTAGACGCATCTGTCATCAGTCAAGGACTTCTTTCCCAAACAGCTGTTCTTGAGGCTTTGCGCAAATCTCTCAGCTTGCTTCCTGGCCTCCCCGCTGGTATTGTATCACGCACGCAGAGGGAATTGACTGATAAGGCGCATGCGTTGCTTGAGAAGCTATCGTCAGACGTTCTGATTTGGGAATGCGAGCGTCCTGATTTGTCATTCGTCCTAAGCCAGATTCGCAAATGGTCCTTGCCAGGCATGGCTGACCACGTTGATATGACTTCGGATGTTGCGCCTAGTATTTCCATTCAAAAGTTCGATAACAGCCTTCTAACAGCCATTGATAGGATGCTTGTCGGCTTGCAGAAATTGAAAGAAGTGCCTAGTTCGATTGATTTCAGCGGCCTTTTGTCACGAAGCGATGAGTTCTTCTCCCGGGCTTCGAAGACTGTTCACATTGGTGAAATCAGCTCATCTCTTGCGGCTGTCGTGGAGCAGATGCAGCACTTGGACAACGATCATGATCTCAAACGAGCTGCTGCTCTTGTTGCCAGCATTTTGCCAATCGCCAATAAATATTACGAGATCTGCAGGGAGCTGACCAATCGCTTTATCGTGGTTCACCGTGAAGTCTGCAAGACATCCTACTTGTTGACCAAGGCCTTTGTCCAAATTGCTTCAGAAGGTTTCTGCAGCCCCGCCGAATCATCCCAGGAGCAAGGCCAGGACGGCAAGATGGAGAGCGGAACCGGTCTTGGTGACGGCGAGGGTGCCGAAGACATCAGCAAAGATGTTGGAGATGATGAAGATCTTTCTGAGCTCGCTCAACAGGCAGATAAGGAAGATGCCGACGAGGAAATGGACGATTCTGCTGATGCTGTCAATATGGACCAGGAGGAGCTCAATGCTGAATCTGGTGAGCACAAGGAAGAGGAGGATGATGAAGACAAAGACGACGGGGATGAAGAGGACGATCTTGACGAAGAGACGGGCAGTGTTGATGATCTCGATGCTGGCGCTGTTGATGAAAAGATGTGGGACGGTGCCAATGATGACCAGCAAAAGGAAGCAGAGAATGAAGAAGGAAAGGGTCAGGCTGAATCTGATGAGCAAGCCGCTGCCCAGGAGCAAAAGAAAGATGCCGAAGAGGGCCAGAAGGGTGAAGAAGACGGTGAAGAGGAGGAGGATGAAGAGGAGGAGGAGGATCCTGATGATGAAGGGGAAGCTGTCGGCCGTGAAGATATGGATGTCACCGACCCTCAAACGAGGGAAGAGGATGCGCTCGAGTTGCCTGAAGAAATGCAGCTTGATGGAGATGATATGGATGGTGGTGAAGATGAAGGTGAAGATGATGGTATGGAAGACATGGATGATTTGGGTCCTCTTCCGGAGGAAGAAAAGGGCGATGGCCAGGATGACCAGGCTGGAGATGAGGATGCGGATATGGCACCCGAAGAGCAAGGTCCTGGAGAAGATGAGGAAATGGATGAAGGAGAAGAAACGAACGAAGGCCAAGCTGATGGTAATGAGGAGGAAGAGGAGGATCAAGCCGGCGGAGAAGATTCTGAAGAGCCGGAGAAAGATGAGTTCCTTGCCCAGCGTGATGAGAATGAGAACGCAGCCGACGAAGTTGCGCCCAGCGAAGCTGTTACTGGCGGACAAGGTGCCGACCAAGACCAGAATGAGGATAAGGGTGATTCCGGGGATGCCCAGCAAGAGAATGGCTCCAATGATCCAACTGCCAGTGCTGAAGAACAAAATGGCGCTGCCAAGGATAGTGAGGAAAGCAAAGCCAGTCGCGATGCTGGTGGAGGTGAAGACAGCTCTCCCAACGATCCCCAAATCCAGGCCTTCAAGAAACTTGGAGACATTCTCGAGGAATGGCATCGTCGTCAAAAGGAGGTCCTAAACCCATCACAAGAAGAAGAGGATTCTCAGTCCCTGCCTCAAGATACCGATATGGCTGATGCCGATTTCGAACATCTTAAGGATGACGAAGATGAGGCCGATACACAAGCCCTCGGACAAGCCAACGATGACCAGGCCCAGGCCCTCGATCAGAACAAGGGTGTCGAGTCAGATATCAAGCCTGGCGAAAATGATGTCCTTCCAGATACTGCCGAGGAACAAGATGCCATTGACAACCAACTTCAGGATGAGATGCAAATCGACCGTCCTCCCATCCCAACTGATGGCCAAGCTGGAGCTTTCATTCCTGGAGGCCAGACTTCTCGAAACCACGCGGAAGCGGAACCGGGTGTCGAAGAAGTGAACAGGGAATTGGACGAAGTCGACACGCAACTCGCGGCTATCCACCTCTCTTCTTCGCTCCCACCATTGACCTCTGAAAGTGACGCCCGCCGCCTCTGGTCTCACTACGAGTCTACCACGAACGACCTCTCCCTCTCCCTTACCGAGCAACTGCGTCTCATCCTTGCTCCTACCATGGCTACCAAGCTTCGTGGTGACTTCCGCACCGGTAAGCGGCTGAACATCAAGCGAATCATTCCCTACATCGCATCGCAGTACAAGCGTGATAAGATCTGGATGCGTCGCTCTATTCCATCGAAGCGCAACTACCAGATCATGCTGGCTGTCGATGACAGCAAGTCCATGCTGGGCAGCGGCAGTGGCCAGCTCGCCTTCGAGACATTGGCACTAGTTGCTAAGAGTTTGAGCATGCTTGAAGCGGGTGACCTGTGCGTTCTTGGATTCGGTGACGAGGAACACGTTCGCGTTGCGCATGAATTTGGCAAGCCCTTCTCTTCCGAGGCTGGTATGCAAGTGTTCCAACACTTCAGCTACCAACAGACCGGTACCAATGTGCGGAAGCTGATTGCTGATTCCATTGCTCTCTTCCGGGAGGCACGCTGGAAGCGCTCCCCTGGTTCCGGATCTGCGGATCTCTGGCAGCTCGAGTTGATCATCTCGGATGGTATCTGTGAAGATCATGATACTATCCGCCGCCTTGTGCGCCAAGCCCTTGAGGAACGCATCATGATTGTCTTTGTTATTGTTGATGCTGTCAAGGGTAGCTCTATTCTTGACTTGTCACAGGCAAGCTTCGAGGCTGATGCTGAGTCTGGTGGTGAGATGAAGCTGAAGATGAAGCGCTATCTTGAGGACTTCCCCTTCCCCTACTACCTTGTTGTCAGAGATGTCCGTGAGTTGCCTTCTGTTCTGGCTACTGCACTCAAACAGTGGTTTGCTGAGGTTGTGGATGTTTCATCCTGATCTATATGATCTACTACAAAAAAGCGTTGCAAAGTTTGGCGTTTTGTATTTAACATTTTCATTTTTGGGGCGTTTAAAGGTTCAATTTTGTACACAATAGACAGATAGATTTGCGAGTCTAATTCGAAATGCTTTACATTATCATCATTGATCATTTTAATTGACCTTTTGTTGTAATAAGGTGTTGAGGTGATGTAATACCTACTATGCTCAAGCTAAATTGTGTACTCGAACAAACCCCAGCGAATTCCTACTACTGGTTAACATCAGTTATTGGGGAAAACCTACTAGTATGTAATTTTGCGGTGAAATGAATTTGCAAATGAATTTTGGTATCACAATGTACACTACAAACGCTATGCTGAGACTACTACCACCCATACCTTGACCCAGCCTCCTTCTTGTTCCTTTTTCCGGTGGCAAAGTTCTCCTCCAATGCTTCTTTCTGAGAAGTTGCTGCATTGACCAACTGTTGCAAGCTGTGCTTGCCCGCTGTATTCATGGTACGCACAGGTTGATGTTGTGTGCCAGCCAGCTCGGTGGCTGCCATGGCCCGGTTGTAGGCATATTCCTTGTCCGTGTTGAATGTACGAACCTGGGAGTCGGTAGGAGCGGCATTGCGACCGAAAAGTTGGCGTCGTTCTGACTTGGACAGGTTCAAATCATCGGCGATATTTTCTAGCGAGTGTGGTCCTGCTGCTGCTGTGGGATTGGAATAAGGAGCATCAAGTGCGGATTCTGGTGCAAGGGCTGGGCCAGCCTCGGGTTGGGTGGTGTATACTAAGGGCTCATAGGTCCCTGTCGCGGTTGAAGGTAGATCGGCTTGAGAGGAAGAATCCGTCGATGATATAGAGAAGAGGCTGACTTTGGGTTTCGGTGGTGGAGGGGCCGGTGTGCTAGGATTTTCTGTGATTTGTACGTTGGCTGGTGTCGGTAACTTTCTAGAGGCGGATGATGCGGCCTTGTTGGTATTCCTCTTGTTCCGATTTGCGACAGACAGTGGTCTGAACATCATAGGATTGCCCTGCAACTTGACTTCCCCAATCTCCGTCTTTTGAAATTGTACTGAGTCTGTGGTACCGACGGTTTGCCCCAGACTACCGGCTGCTGGTATGTCTTCGCCTGTACCATCTCCTTCGGCTGTGATATTGGCAAGCTCGTTCTTGAATTCGGCATCGGCTTGCCGGTCAAATCCTGGAGTGGCACCAGTCTTCAACCCGAAGATTTTCCGCGTTGTGGCGACAGGAGCCTTCTTCTCAGCAACGCGCTTCGGGGCAGGCAAGAACGAGTTGAATCCCGATGACATGCCACCTAAACCTCCACCTAGGCGAGCCTTTTTAGGCGCACGACCATCTTCGATGTCCTGGTCCGTATGTTGTTCGGACTTGAGCCCCGGGAGGGCGACGCGGATCTTGCGCGGGTTGCTGCGGTCGACCTGGAAGCCCGCACCAGCATCAGACTTCTTTGACTTGTCTACCACGGGGACGGGGGTGATATCTGGCTCAGCATCAGAGCCTTCTGAGTCAGAATAAGCTACTAGGGCCATTATGAGAGGTGGTGAGAAGAAAGTTGAGTTCACAACTAGACTAGGCTTGCGCTATCTGCTGATAATGGATAAATTTGTGGATACCTTGACGCCTTGGTAGTGCAGCCTTGTGGCCTTGTGGCCTTGTTGCCTTTCCGCCTTGAATATCGGGCATGAATAATGACATAATCCCGGATGAATTCGTCCAAACGCAACAACAGAAAGAAAAAAAAAGCAATTCGATCTTGGATCTATAGATCTATCAGACTCATTACAAAGTCAATCTCTTGGATCGACGTTGACTCCGATCTCATGCTTTGAACTCTTGACCGCATGCAACCATCCCAAAGCTTATATTTGGGGGGGAAAGAGGCAATAAGACGTCCATGAAACTCCTCCCGGCCCCAATATGCCGGACTCACCATGTCACAACGTCATCGTCGTCATCCGGTTTCTCCGTGGTTCATTGAACAGTAGAACTTTTTGCTATGGTTTCAATCATTGGGAATTATTGAGGGATTGGAATATGGAGAATATAAGTAGATCACTTTTGGACCATACTGGATCTTAAATTGAGCACAATCGGGGTTAATCTATAGGAATATTAAGCGGAGTTACTATGTTAATATTCAATTTTGTGGCGGGAAAAGCCTGGGAATGGGGGCGAGTGGAATCACCTTAAGGGTTTAACTAGAGTAATTATACGTACACTAACTACACTTTCTCCACGACTCGATTCCATTTTACAGAGTTTCGCCTTTTCCCAACAATCCTTTTTCTTCTAATATTATTTTTTCACTCTTGAAACTAAGCTTAGTCTCTTTTTTTTACTCTTTTTTTTTGCAAATTCCAAAACAGAAAAGCAACTTATCTTAGTGGAGTTTCTCGTCCCGAAGGGGAGATCAATGCGTCATTCTGTCCGCGGGTGCCCCTCACTCTCCGGACTCTCCTCCTCCCTTCTTATGACCTACATCAACCGTCCTCCATGCCGAGCTTAGGAGGCTTGTTGAAGAAGCGGCGAACAAAGGACTCGCAGACCTTGTCCAAGGAGCTGCCTCAAGCGAATACAGACCGATCCGATCACTCTTCCAACCCGGACGCTAACCCGGACAAGGCTGAAGGTCAAGGCGCCTCCATGCAATCCGCCGAGCCGTCGCAAGGATCCTCCCAGCACCATGCCCATACCTCCAACAATGCTGCCAGCATCAACAATCTCATAAATGCTCCCGCCAATGCTGACTCGAGTACTCAGTCCCCCGCCCACAATGCGAATCCGACACCTAGTACGCAGCCACAGCCCCGCCAAGAGCGCACCACTCGGGGCAAGTATTCGCAGGGGGACTTTATGCTGCAGCGCACATTGGGCACTGGTAGCTTCGGTCGAGTTCATTTAGTCCAATCTAAGCACAATCATCGCTTCTATGCCATGAAAGTGCTCAAGAAGGCCCAAGTGGTCAAGATGAAGCAGATCGAGCATACCAATGATGAACGTCGGATGCTCAATCGCGTCCGCCATCCATTCTTGGTGACATTGTGGGGAACCTGGCAGGATTCACGGAATCTGTACATGGTGATGGACTTTGTCGAAGGTGGCGAGCTGTTCAGTTTGCTACGAAAGTCACAAGTGAGTGGATCCCGGTTTTCGAAACCCTTTTTTTAAGAAAAAAAAAAAAAAAAAAAACACCCGCACACTCTATCTCTAGTCTTGATAAGGTTTACCTAGCTAACATTTCGCTTTCTTTCCCCCTCCCCAGCGATTCCCTAATCCCGTTGCCAAATTCTATGCTGCGGAAGTGACGCTTGCTCTAGAGTATTTGCACCACCATCAGATCATTTATCGTGATCTTAAACCCGAGAATCTCCTTTTGGACCGTCATGGTCACTTGAAGATTACAGATTTCGGTTTCGCTAAGGATGTTCCCGACATCACCTGGACCCTGTGCGGAACGCCCGATTATCTTGCTCCGGAAGTAGTGTCCTCAAAGGGATACAACAAATCCGTCGATTGGTATGCTTCCTGCCCAATGCCATGCAGCATTTTCCTTCAGTTTATTCATTTATTTCTTCTCTAACCCAATTGCGTTCTAGGTGGTCATTGGGAATTCTCATTTTCGAGATGTTGTGCGGGTTTACCCCATTCTGGGATAGCGGGTCCCCGGTGAAGATCTATGAAAACATTTTGCGTGGAAAGGTCAAGTACCCGCCATATCTGCATGATGATGCCGTCGATCTCCTCTCCCAGCTGATCACTGCCGATCTGACGAAGCGCCTGGGCAATTTGCATGGCGGACCCTCCGATGTCAAGAACCACGCTTGGTTTGCCGAAGTCACCTGGGATCGTTTGGAGCGCAAGGATATTGATGCTCCCTACATCCCGCCCATCCGCGGTGGACAGGGTGATGCAAGCCAATACGACAAATATCCCGAAGAGACGGAGCACTATGGCCAGGAGGGTGAAGATGCGTACGTATACTCTCTGTACTCTCCGTTTTTGTTTCTTGTTCAATCTTGGTGCTATAGGAGCTTACATTTTCTCCCTACAGATATGGTCATCTATTCCCCGACTTCTAAAAGTGCTTGTACGATTTATGACGAGATATGAAACCCCCGCTGCAATCAATCGCGCGGGGGATTTGGCACTGGCACTAGTCAGAATCGCCGAGGAAAAACAGATGTGATCATAGTAGCCAGCCTAACGGCATCTAACGGCATTTAGTGGTTTTATGGAATCGTATATTTCAGCAATTGAAATCGAGTTTTCTTTTTTTTATGCTTACACCTCTTAATGCTGCGGTCATATACACAGAATATAAAGTAAAAATATAAAGTGGAATGTATTCCCCCGATCCTCTCTACCCTGGTCAATCAGACCATAAGCCCCAAAGAAGAACCACGATACCGAATAATGTACACGGGCTCTCCGGCCTTTTTTTAATCGTACACAGATCATGTTGAGATCTTTGTCATCCCCGGTCTCTTGCCTGCTCCAGAATCCAACCTTTTCTCGGGAGGATGCAAATTCATTCGTTCATTTCATCGCTATTTACAGACCGGAGCCGAGCGAGGCAATGACGTTCGCGTCACCCGCTTTCTTGGACTCGACAGCGACACGGCTGATGTAGGAGCGGCTGATAATGTTCCAGGTGGAAATGTACTTGTTCATACAGCTGCTCACACAGGTGTTCTCCTGGGCGGACATGGAAGCACCGGGGCTGGGGACACAGGCTTCGAAGCAGTGGTCGTTGACTTTCTAAAAGTTTATTAATTAGCATTGTCGAAGCATGACATGAAGACAGGGGCAATTGCGAGAACGAATGCATGCAGGCGCGAACGAGTGACGTACTTGAATCAGGAGACGAGCGTTGTTCATGGCAGCCTCCTGCTGGACTTGCAACATGAGGCCGGCCTTGGTTTCAGCAGAGGAAGGGGAAGAGGAGCCACCGAGGAAAGACATTTTGAGTGGTATTAGGGGTGGAAGGAGATGTTGTAGAGTTGGCTGGATATGATCGTATTTCGAGGTCCGACAAGATCTGAGCTTCCGCTGTGGCGGTGCAAGAGCAGCCACAGGCTTGTGCCTTTGATATCAGGCATCGATATATAGTAGACACTAGTAAATATGAGCATATCATACCAGTTGACTGATTCATACATGTTCCTCTATTCAAATGTTCCAGACTATTGATCTCTGGTAAAATAGAATAAAATAAAATCCTTGTAATATTTCAAGCCTGATCATCTTAGGGTGTTTAGAAGATACTACGGTAGCTATCCAGCATGAGCCCAACATTAGCCTCCAGGTCATTCGACTCATTCCTCTGGGCTCCATCTTTAAATCATCAATTGATATGTTCCTCTGATTATCTCATGTGAGGTCAAAGGCATAGTAAAAAAACCATTTGGGTAACACTGGCATATATAAACTCCGAAGCGGTCACATACTTCACTTTGAAGCCGGAGTCCGTATAGACCGACGGAATCACGGCAGGCAACAACGCCACTAGATAAGAAGCAAGTGAATAAAGGCTTATCATTGCTCCAGATAAGGAGAAATGTAGTGCATACTACTATGTACAGTCAGTGCTCATAAAGAGTAAGTAAAGAATGCAAGTCATGGGGTTTTTATCAGTTACGTGTAACGTGACCAATCACATTGCACTTGAACTACTGACGCCAATCGAGCTGATCATGCACCATATCACACCTTCCCCGCACCCGTGTGGTCCTAAACCCCCTTCCTTTACCTTTGGTACTCACTCCTTCTCGAGGATAAATCTCAATTTCCATCTCATCTTCATCTGCCATCATGGGTACCCCATTTTCTAAGCCAGACCCGGTCACAGAGAAGGCACCTATTGCAAAGATGTCGGTCACGAGATCTAGTCAGAGCACGGAAGAAGAACATACTGAATACCGTTCGTGTGCACTTTCATCAATCTGAATGTTTTCATATTTGGATGACTTTTTATTTTTATTTTATTTATTTTTATCCCTTTATTAACAAGATCATAGCTCCTCCGTCGTATCCTGTTCGAGAGAGAATCCAGACATTAGCCCCCTCTCATGTGAAAGATTGGAACGAGACTCTATTGAGCGATTCCAAGGTATGACCAAACAAACCGTTGCCCCAAAGATAAAGAATTGTTTTCTCATATTCTGGATGCAGAACCGTCTCGCGATTTCTAGTTTTGCTACTCAACCCTATGCATCAATCCTCACCAATCAGCGAGTCGTCCAATCTGATCTGCAAATCTTTAACCTGACCGTACCAATCGAGGGAGCTCCGATTACAAACCAGCGTTCTTCCGGGCGTTGTTGGCTCTTTGCCTCGACCAATGTCTTCCGCGTACCGCTGATGAAGGCCTACCAGCTTAAGGAATTTGAGCTCAGTCAAGCTTATCTATACTATTGGGACAAGATTGAAAAAGCGAATTGGTTCTTTGAACAAATCATCGCGACTGCAGACCAAGATCTCTCTAGTCGACTGGTCCAAAAGCTTTATGAGGACCCAGTCACTGATGGCGGTCAGTGGGATATGGTCGCCAATCTGGTTCAGAAGTATGGTCTGGTCCCCCATGCACTGTACCCTGATGCCTACCACGCCCAAAATAGCTCTAAGCTCAACTGGCTCCTTACTGCCAAGCTGCGCGAGCAGGCATTGGCCCTTCGCAAACTGGCCGCTAAGAAGGCAGATCCCAAGTCCGCTTATCTACTCTCCGTCAGTAAGGACAAGTTCCTGCAAGAGGTCCACTCGCTGGTGACTCTTCTCCTGGGTCCCGCGCCGAGCCCGGATAAGCCGTTTGTCTGGCAATACTATGATGCCAATGGAACTGCCCGTGAGGTGCGAAAGACCCCGGTAGAGTTCGGGCAGCAGGCTCTTCGCTCGCAGACACGAGCAGCATGTCGTAGCAATGGTGCTGCTCTCTCCCCCGCGCGGTTCTTCAGTCTAGTCAACGACCCGCGCAATGAGTATAATCGATTACTAACTGTTGACCGACTTGGCAACATTGTGGAGGGGCAACCCATCACATATGTCAATGTAGAGATGCCGGTCCTCAAGCGGGCCGTCATTGCCATGCTCAAGGCTGGACATCCTGTCTTCTTTGGCTGTGATGTGGGCAAATTCTCCGATACGACCCTTGGTATCATGGATCCGGAGCTCACTGACCTCACTCTCGGGTTTAATGTTTCGCTTGGTATGAACAAGGCCGAGCGCCTTGCCAGTGGAGAGTCATCCATGACCCATGCCATGGTTATCACGGCAGTGCATCTTGAAAATGACGAGCCCGTTCGCTGGCGTGTGGAGAATTCGTGGGGCCAAACAGCAGGAGACAAGGGTTGGTTTGTCATGACCGATCGATGGATGGATGAGTACACTTTCCAGGCGGTTGTGGACTCAAACTTTGTGTCATCTGAAGTCCGAGCTATCCTAGGCCAGACTGCTATTGTCTTGCCTCGGTGGGATCCGATGGGCGTGCTGGCTTAGATTCAGCCATGAATTTTTTTTATTCCAGATTTATCAGAATGTCTTATTGAACTCATGAGTAATCAAAGGCTTTGAATTGACTTCTTCCTTATGAATTGGTAGAAATGAAGTTATTCAGAAACTCGGAGTTAATGACTTAACAAGGTACTCTTAGCTCTATTCTGCAGGATCGGCGTCTGTGGCTGATACGGTTCGCTGCGCCACAAGTTACATAGTGGACACCTTAGCCTTCAAGTAGGTACACACGCACTCGTATACGGTCCCTTCCAACTTCTTTCTCCAACTCACACCAACATTCGGCTTTCGCTCTCTCTATTCGCCTCTCGCCGTTTCTTTTTCTTTCTTTCTATTCATTTCCAAGTCCCCTGGGTTCTCGGGTCCTGGTGACACCGCAACCCCATCCATCCCACCCCCGGTCCCTCCTTGAACTGCCCCCAATTGGGCCATAATTCGACTTCAACATGCGTCTGCCGATTCTTTCTTCCCTCCTGTGCCTTGCTGGCCTGATCGCCGCCCCTGTCAACGCCTATGACGACCCCAATATCAAAAGCATTCCTGTAGGTGTTGTGTTTACAGCCTCATGCAGCCGAGGTACTGACGATCATGTCACCTATAGCTCCGAACGCACAGCTTGACTTCGGTATGATGCCCCGTAAACTCTCGCCCTAGCTTATTATTCAAGAACATCAGCGTTGGTGGGAAAAGCGACCTTCAGAGCGCCGTTGTTGACATTCGCGACAGCCATACCTCGATTCGGACTTCCAAAGCCGCTGGTTCGACTTCGGAGGAGATACAGTGATCCGGGCTGATAAGTGAGAATATACCCCACGATGTGTGGACTTGGTGGATATAGCTCTGAGCGATGCTGACTGTTTTGCAAGATACATCCGGCTCACAGCCGACCGCGCCTCGCAGCAAGGTTGGATCTACTCTCGCGTACCTTTGACGGCGACCAACTGGCAGGTGAGTGCCAGCGATTTCTCCCCAATTTATACATTGAATAGCGAATGTCAAATCGCTTACACTATCTCCAGATCGAACTGGAATTCGAGATCCACGGCAATGGCAACTTGCATGGTGATGGCTTCGCACTCTGGCTCACCAAGCAGCGCGCCACTCAGGGCCCTGTCTTCGGTTCCACTGACCGTTTCGAGGGTCTTGGAATCTTCTTCGATACCTACAAGAACAACCGTCCTGGTGTCTCGTTCCCCTACGTCATGGCCATGATGGGCGACGGTCAGACCACTTACGATCAGGCCCATGACGGCAAGGCTAACGAGCTTGCTGGATGTTCGGTAAGCTATAGTCATTCCGCGGTTCAAGCATTCTTGCTTGCTGCAGTACAATATCAGCTAATACAGAATCTCACCTATAGGCTCGCGGTCTCCGTAACGCTCCCGTTCCCACCAAGGCCCGTCTCACCTACTTCCAAGACAAGTCTCTCTCCCTGGAACTTCAGTACAAGACCGAAGACACCTGGGTCGAGTGCTTCAACCTTAACGCCGAGGACGCGAACATCGCTATTCCCTCCGTTGCTTACCTGGGTCTCTCCGCCGAGACAGGCGAGTTGAGCGACAACCACGACATCATCTCCCTCAAGGCCGAGAACCTGTACTCCGTTGGCCGCAACAACGCTGGTGGTAGCCGTGGATCGGATAAGGGAACTGGGCGTGGCCGTAGCGGCAGCGTCAAGCCCAAGAAGGAAAAGTCTGGCAGCTGGACCTGGTTCTTGTTCAAGGTTGTTCTATTCTTCGGTGCTATTGTCGGTGGTTACTTTGGATGGACTGTTTACCGGACAAAGGCGCGCTCTTCGCGCTTCTGAACTGAAATTCGGCAACTATATTGCGGTAACACAGTTACCAAACAAGAAAAATCTGGAATATACTGTGATTCCTAAAATATGAAGTCGCTCCCAGCCTGTGTCGAACGACTTGGTCTTGCATAGCCTGTTTATCTCTTGATTTGTGGTTTTTTTTTTGTGGTTTAGGTAGCTTTCTGTTATTTGAAATGATTCCAGTCACGATAAGTTTGTCAATGTTATGCAACTGCTTAGAAGACAAGAAAAGAGAACATAAACTATCTAAAATCTAGGGTATCATAAAGAAGAACACCATTCCATGCGAACCAACCTTGGAAATATCAAAACCAGGCTTGGATACTATCAAGTCTTACGCTCTCGCAGTTCATTCCACATCCGATCCACGATCTGAAACACCTCCGTCACACTGCGCATGACAACATCATCAATCCCAAGCCCACTATACCGATGCTGAATCTTATCAGGATGCCACCGCACCCGCTCAACCTTCAATATAGTCATCAAGTCATCAGAGGAAGACGCATGTCGCATGAACTCCTCCACAGAGTCGGGAGCCACATCAACCCGCTTGCCAGATTCAACCGGCCAAAACAGTAGATTACGCAAAGGCTTCGCCTTCGATTTCGGTTTCGACTTCGACTTCGACTTCGAGCCAGCCGTAGCGGTACTGGCAACTTCTTCCACATCCCCCTCTTCTTCTTTCCCTTCCATCCCAACCTCCTCCACAATCTTCGCAATCTCCTCCCACCGCGCAAGATACATCTCCCAAGCCTCCCCCCACTTCTTCCTCTTCTTCCTCTCCGCACCCCGCCTCAAACTATCCTCCATCGCCCGCTCAAACGACATCCGCTCCGCATCCTCGGTGCGCCCGCGCTCACTCCGCATCTTATTCCGCCGCCGCTCCTCGCGCCACTTTGCCTGTTCATCCAGCATGCCTTCGCGCGTGCGCTCCCACATGCGTGCGCGGACGTACGCGGCGTATTCCTCTTCGTCCATTTGTTCCAGTTCGCCATTCGGTCCTTGGGTTTCGGGGATGGCGAAGTTGTGGATTGGTTGGCCGTATACGCCTTCCCAGTATGCGGCGCCTTCGTCGTCGCCCATTGCGTCGAAGAGAGATTCGCGGAATGCGGCGTCGGGGGAGAGCGGTTGGCTGGTTGGGTTGAGATCATCTTGGAGGTGGGTTGTTGTGCGGTGAGGGGGTCGACGTTTGTGAGTTTTTTCTCGTGGCTTTGTGCTTGGACTGTGGGTGCGCTTGCGAGATGAATGCTTTGTTGACTTGAAGCGGAATTTGCTCGGGTGGGATTGAGTCGAGGAACGTTCTTTTGGAGGGCGGTTTTCGGTTTCTTTGAGCCCCGTGGGCGTATTAGACCTTTCTTTACTCTCCATGCTCAGGTCGGGGGATTCCAAGCGAGTGTAGTGCCTGGTAATGGAAAGTTGCAAAAGTGACGTCGGAAAATTGGAGATCGGAGATCTTAGTCAAAGGCTTATCTTATCGTGGACCTTCCAGTATACAAGGAAATCAACAAGCAGCATCGAGTATATCTTTACTTCTATTTATTCATACGCGCTAAAGATCATTTTATCTAACATCCTCAAACGCAACGTCCAGTTTCTCTCCTCTAACCCAAGCCAGCACCATCTCCGCAAACAAATCCGGCTCCTCCATATGCCAGGCATGCCTAACACTGCGATGCAACACAACCCGACTCCCACCCCCCTCTTCCCCAACAACACAGGCAAAAAGCGCCCTCGAGGATTCAACTCTATCTCTCGACAACCAAGTCTTTGGCGAAGCCGCACAAACAACCAAAACTCTCGCTCGAATATCCCCAACAACCCTCGGCTCAAAGATCGCCTTCACAACCGCAGTCATAAGCCCGTACCCCGCATCCCCATTCTTCCACTGCGCCAGCTCCACACGCGGACTCGCCGCAAGATTGACTAAATGATGCAGCATGTATATAGGAGGTATGATCAGCGAGGTAAAGAGCCGCGATCTCGGAATAGTGTTGTACCCAGATGCGATGACGGATACTATCTGGCCTGGTTTAGCGCGCTCGGCCACACAGGCTGCTATGTGTGCGCCGAGACTTAGGCCTACGACGTGTGCACGGCCGTTCTTTGCTTGTGTTGCTATCAAGGCGATGACTCGGTCTGCGGCATATTCGACCGTGAATGGATGGATGGTTATTGAGCGGCCGTGAGCGGGTAGGTCGGGCAGGAGGACGTGGTAGCCTTTAAGGACGAGGTCTGGGGTGACATTTGCCCATTCTTGACTGCTTCCGCAGGCACCGTGGATGAAGAGAATGCTTTCTTTCCCTGTTGTGTTTTGAGATTCGTAGAATAGCTCTGGGGTTGGTTGAGGCTCTGCTGCCTGCGGTGTGCCTGCTTGGCTACCCATAGCATATCACTATGACACTACTTGTAGGTATACAATATTCAACACTGGGGTAGGCTGACCTTGTTTATAATCTAAGGGGTAACGGATACTATTTATATGGACCTAATAAGCAGAGAGCTGTTTGTTTCGGATAAAAGTACTAGCAGTTGTTTGAATGTTTCACAGCCTCCGGGGCTAAAGCTCCTTGGCACCTGCAATGTTGGCTCTAGTCCTGGCTTGCATCGGTTCGACTATGGGCAATTGAGGATCTACATGAACCTTTTGTATATTTGAAAAGTTTGAAATGCTCAGATTTGCCAATCATAAATCCCTAACTCCAAAAACCCAACCACTCCGCCCAATGGATACCCAATGACACCAGACCGAACAGGTGGACCCTGGAAAATCAAACACGATATTGCGCCATGTTCTTCTTGATTTCATCCACAATCTCAACCGCTTCCAAGGCATTCCGTGCCTCAAAATCATACCGCTTCTGCTCATTGGCTTCATTGCCTCGCAGAACAACCACCCGGAAACTTTTCGGGTGGCGCCGACTCACTTTACAACCCACCACATCATTGAAGTTGATGGAGCGAGTCTTGGAATCAGAAGCGTTCTTCCCTGTTTCGCCAGGTACGATGTGCATGTAGTCGTTATCAAAGGTAAGGATGCGATGATTCGAAGCTGTAAAAGACATCGGTTGCTTGCGGTAAACATGATACCGACGATAGTAACCTCCAATGAGATCCTGCTTCTGGGAAGAAGATGGGAGCATATGGTTGCCTTTCTTGCCCTTCTTGACGGCACCTGGGTTAGGGCCAGTGCCGTCCGGTTGAAGGGGTGTATTGGGTGATAGGCTGCCTGGTGATCCACCAAGTGACAGGGGGCCTGCGCCAAATCGCCGTCTAACAAGATCGAGTTCGGTTACGTTTCCCAATGCTTCCACTGTCCGATCAAGTAGTGCAACCGTGTTTGACCCCATTACTTTGAGAAGGTAATTTCCTTTGTCCAACCCCCAGCGTTTGCATACCGAGTCTAAAATCTCCGCGATATAACTATCGGTAGTTGTATTCAGGGTCATAACGTGCGCAGAGCCTTCTAGGTTGAGGAATCGAATTTTCAAGGTCTTGGTGATTCCAAGTCGGGGTGTTGCATGGGATATCGGAACTGCGGGTCGATCCGCAGGGGTCAATGTGTTGTCGTGGATTGCAGACTTGAATGTCGGACCCAGGATCGGATTCTGGCGCTCAGTTGGAAGATTGATCTGCGGCACAGGCTGGGCACCTGCTACTCCAATTTGGGCTGGCGATTCACTTTCCTCGGGCTCTATACTCTGGCTGTATTGAGGGTACAGTCTTTCGTTTTCTTCGAATTCACTCTGAGACGCTTCCACTAGTGCAAATTCATCCCATGGTCTTCCACGTGCACGTGCGCGCGACTTTGCAGCTTGGTTATTGTTGGAAGTAAAGTCCGTCATGGGAAGTGTGCGGCCGAGGGCTGGGAAGTCGTACTCCACCTCGCCGTCATCAACCATGCGCAATGCCCAGCGATTCACAGTCAGCTTCTCACGTTGGAGTGGGGGAGCTCGCGACTGTTCCGAGTATGTCCAAAGGGCGAGGCCAATCACTTCAGCAACGGAAATATGCGCAGGGTGGTCAGAAAGTTTGGATTCCCTCATGAGTGGCATATCCAGTGGCAGGCCTGGGTTGGATGACAAGGGTAGGTATATCTTAACCCACAATGGGTCTTGCTGGCCTAATCCAGAAAGGACCATAAATTTCTCTACTGGGTTGCTTGGGGCGCGTGTCCGGGCTTTTATTTGTCGAGTCAGCAAGCTTACAGGTTGTACGATGCTGATCGGCCGCGGCGGTGGAAGGTCCTGTAGTTCGGGAGTCGAGATGGTCTTCGACTTCCGGGCCGAGTTTCCCTGGGGTCCATTCCCAGTCGGCAGTTTATGCATGAGGGCGACTGGCGAGGACGAGTCCAAACCACCGCTGATCCCCACCCCAGCAAGGAGCAGGGATCCAGAGCCAGCCGTGGCATCGAATTCAGATGACAGAGCTGATCCAACCGACTCCGCCCCAGAATCTTCATCCTGCTCTTGCAAGTCCTCAAGGGCCAAACTCTCTGCACCACGGCTGCCAGTCCTCTCCCGGCGTCTTCGAGGTCGCTCAAATACTTCATTGGTGGTCGAGAACTGAACCTGCCCCGGCCTGTGCCCTTGTGTGTCAACCTCGTTATCGGTCGATAGCTCACTGCTTGTTGCGGTATCGCGCCGTGGCCGGCGTCCTTGATTCTTGACGGATGTCCCCAGGGATCCGGATCGGTAGTGATTTGCGACATTTTGCGTTGCGGGTGATGTGATCAAGGGTTCGGGTCGATCACCCTGTTCGCCCGACCGCATTGGAGAGGAATCGGATCGGTCCCGGCGAATAGGCATCTTGGGGAAATCGATTTGATCGGTAGATCTGGGAGCTTGGAGTTAGAACTAGGGATGCTCGCAAGTCAACCAAACAACGATTACATACCTTCTTGGGTTGTCCCCATCATCGTCGCTGTCGCTCAAGTCACTGCTATCATCGTCCTCTGCTGCTGCGTGCCTCTGGACCTCCTGTTGACGTTCTCGTCGAAGCTTTTTCTTCGCAGCTCGGTCCTGATTCTTTCGCGCCGTGATATCCATGGTACTCTTCCCAGTGACCATGCCACCTTCGTCTTCCTCGCCGTCCTCCAGACCAAGGCCATGAAGCTCATCGCGTGCAGCATTCGCGTCTCGAACGGCAAGTCGATAATATTCCGAGGAGACTGCTGCTGTTGTCGGTATCGGTGGGGAATATGTACGTTTTAGCGAGGATGCACTGCTGGCATTGTTGTTGTTGGTAACGGTCGACCAGCCCGCAGCGCGAAACCCAGGGGTATTGAGGACGGAATTGTTGACGTTTATCAAGCGGTCACCGATTCCGTCTTTGATAGTGGTGAGGTAGGAGGATCGTAATTGCCAGATAGTGAAGCTGTTTCAGTTGGGTCAGCGCACACTCCACCGAGAGGGTTTGATGGAGGGGAGGAGGGGGAGACGAGGTAAGAACAGCGCCCCTCGAACGTACTCTTCATTGTGGAGGAGAGACATGTTCTCAGAATTTCCGGAGAGAGCACCGGTAGCTAGTAATGACTAGCAAGCAGAAAAGGCACAGCCCAATGGATGGTGTCGAGTGATAGATCTTAACAACGGATGGGCTTTAGAGCTGACACGGCATGCTCACAGAGGGCACGCGCAGCAGGAGGGGAAGCATAGGCTTCCAGATAGAGATAGTGTTTTCAAGCAGGACCAGCCTGGAGGAAAAGAAAGAATATGAAACGCTGGTAAAGGCGGAGTGCATGTGGAGGGTCAAGCGGAAGTTGATCAGGTTGAGTGGCGGTTCTCCGCAGATCATTTCCCCGCCCAGTGACCACCTTCACTTTACTAGTACCTTTCAAATGTTAGCACTTCAAATCAACATCTGAACAATCCAACTTCAATGTTTCGACTTGTAGGAATAATTGACTAGTAATGAAGAAATCTGGAACTATGTAGTTAATTTGACGTATTGAAATTCTAGTTTCAAATTCATGTTCGAGTAAATATTGGATACAAACAAATGACAACATTCAAATGTTCAAATGTTGCACGTGAAGTTGTTTACATCGGTGGATATATTTCCTAGTAACCTACGCATCAATGCGGACACCTCAACATCGAACATTTAAGCCTTTAACTACACACATTAGTATGCACGACATAACATTTGAATGTTTAAAACAGACAAGCGATATTCCATTTCAATGCAATGTAGGTAGCCATGCCTTGAGAGGATTCGAAGAGCTTGACTTTTCAAATATCAACATTTCCTCATCCATGCGGATGACATAGAATACCACTGGATGAAACATTTGAACCTTCCTTCCCACCTCGCAAACAGTATATGTATACCCGGTATCCTACTGCACATGTGAAGTCGCCAACCTCATTTGTACTTCTTCGAGGACATTCTCTACGCGCGAGAAGATATCCTTACCTTTGTCAAGACGAAAGAGTGATCTGCTGGTTATGTACCAGATGCTGATGAATTTGGGACCTTACTAGGACTTTATGCAATACATATGTAGCGACTTCCAGTCACAGGGATTGAAGTGGAACTGATACCGGAGCTATGAAGGGCTGATGTAGAGTTTGAAAGGCGAATACATATGTAAGTACAGAGTTACTAGATGCCTAATAGTAGGCTGCACATGTGAGATTGGTTCAATGAGTTGACGGGGCTGAGACAAGGTTGGAAGAAAGAGAGAACAAGGCGACTGCCAAGAGCTGGGGTGCATGATGGGAAGAATCAAGAATCAAGAATAAGAATCAAGGTAGATGGAGTAGTAGTATGTACTCTAGTACATACTAGTACATACTATAGTACATACTCGATCCTGAGTCATCGTCAACTGGTTTCCCCCCATTTCCCACTCTACTCATGTTCCAATTCAAACCATTCATGTCCACCATTTGCTTCGTCCTAATAGCCCCCACTTTCTAACTATGAAAATCTTTGGAATATACTCATATGTGCCCAATTTTGCTTCTCCGGGATCCCTGGGGACCTGGGGTTGAACCCGCACGAACCAGAGATCATATCAAATGAAAGAAAGAGTAGGCATAGGTGGTGATACACGGTTTCACTGATTGGACAAGATCCGCCACCGGGCGTTCTGTCCACGCAATGTCGGGAGTTGCCCTCCACTTCCTCAAATACCTAGCAGGCCGCAGACCAGCCCACTGAATGATCGACCAGACTACAGCCAATATCCCCTATTATACGCGTGGAAAGTCTAACACTTGCACTTGTTGGAATCTTGACAGTCTTTACTTGAATCAAGGACCCGTACAAGCTATCTTACCCCCGAGAGGTTTACGAGTTTAGCCATTAGGAGAAATAAATTGTTGGTTAATTGAGAGGGGTCGGCAGGATTGCAAGCTAAGCTATGGCTGGACCCTTCACATGACAGTCCCTGATAACATAGATCCACTGGTCCACTGGCCACTTGAATTGCCATGGTATTAATTGCCGTGATTGGTTGGTTCATCATCAGCGAGGAATGCCCTCCACACCCCGGGAAGTGGACCTCAACAACTTCCCCAGATTATGTGGGGCCCCGCACAGTTGATGTTAATGATACTCCAGCTCGAGCTGAGCAATAGCTTATATACCATTAAGCAGCCCCATCTTTGGTGATGATCGTCAGTTCGTTCCACGGACATCTCTTGCCATGGCCCGCACACAAGTCAAAGAGCGCTACGAGGAAGGGTTTACTGAGCACGATGAGAAGACACCACATACCAAGACTCTCGGTCATCTGCGTCTGCGAGACTCGGAGACCAATGAGGTGATTCTGGTTCCTACACCTTCATCCGATCCGAAGGATCCTCTTAATTGGTACCAAAAGAACTCGCACGCCTCTCTTGTTAAGGGCTCCTCTGATTCTTTTCTAGGCCACGATGGTTCAAACTATACACTGCTATTGCAGTTTGTCTCGCCATGGTTCTTTGCAACTTCCTCGCTGCCGGACCTACGCTGGCAATTGTGCAGACCGCAGAGGACTTCTTCCCCGACTGGAAGGAGACAGGTATCTCGTCCGCGATCGCTAAGACAGCGTACTTTTTCAATTGTACAGCTCTCTTCCAGGGTTTGGGTAATCTGCTTTGGATGCCTCTCATCAACAAGTATGGACGTCGCGCTGTCTACGTGACCGCCTTCACCATCTATACCATCACCGCCGTCTGGTGTGCCGTCGCCAAGGAGTATGCGAATTTCCTTGTTGCAAGAATTGTTATGGGAATCGCGGCTGGAGCTGGAGAGTGCCTCGCCCCTATTACCATTGCCGATATTTTCTTCTTGCACGAGCGTGGAGCTATCACTGCGTATGAATCCCAGAACAGAATAAAAGACCTCAATTTTGGAGAGAGAGCATAGCTAACTCAACATTCATACATAGTTTATACAATGCCTCCCTTAACTTTGGTGTCGCTAGCGGTGCCGTCATCGATGGATTCATCGTCAAGCTCCACCCATGGCGCTACATCTACTATGTTGCTATTGCCCTGATCGGTACCATGACTATCGTTGTCTGGTTCACTTTCCCGGAGACAGCCTATAACAGAGCCCCAACTACATCCAACAGCATCACCACACTTTCAGCCTCTGGTGAGCGGGTTCGTCGCAGTTCAAAGGGAGAGGAGACGGGTGCTTCCGAAATGCAAGAAGAAGTTACTCTTGAACAAGGAGAGACGAGCCGAGGTTGGTTCCAGGGTGGTCTGAAGCTATACCACGGAAGATATACGGACGAGTCTCTATGGCAGATGACAATTCGCCCTGTGGGTTTATTGATCCTCCCACCCGTTCTGTGGGCTACTCTTGTGATGTCAGTCACCATCGGATTCATCACGGCCATCACATCCAACGTGGCCTCTGCATTTGCCGACACATACGGATTTGCCGCATGGCAAGCTGGTCTCTGCTTCTTTGCTGCCATTATAGGATGTCTATTTGGTATCTTACTTGGTGGACATCTCTCTGATTGGATTGCTGATTTCTTCACACGTCGCAACAACGGTATTCGAGAGCCGGAGATGCGTCTTCCTGCTATGATGATTAGTGTCATTACGGGACCTCTCGCATTGGCTCTTTACGGATGTGGTATCAAGTGGAAGATGCACTGGATCGTTCCTACCATTGGTATTGGTCTCAGTAAGTTATTATCCTCAACCACAACTCATCCAGAGAATATTGGTGGGATTGGTTTCTAACATCATCTAGTCAACTTCACAATCACCCAGGCTACCAATGTTTCCCTCGTATATACCATTGACAGCTACCGCCCTATTGCGGGAGAGGTTGTTGTAACTCAGCTTGCCTTCAAGTCCGCGTTTGGCTTCTTACTTGGATTTTATACCAACCCCTGGGTCGACATCCATGGTTATAATGTGGCTTATGGAGAGATGGCCGCGATCTGTGGAGGTGTTCTTGTTTTCTGGATTCCTCTGTTCATCTGGGGAAAGAAGATTCGGGAAAAGACTCTGAGCTGGCGCGTCATGAAGTGGGTGCAGTGGGATACGGACAGAGAGGTTGGCGAGTAAATGATCTTCTATTGTTAACACAGGTTAGCAGTAAATAGCCAGCAGGCTAGCACCTTAGTAATTTTACCATAAGTTTATGATGATTACTTGAACAAGTAGTTCAACTGCGTACTATGTTTCCTCCTCTCCAATTGAGATGTTTTCATAATCATTCACCCTTCTTAAGGGGAAAAAAAAAATTACAGCCAAGACATGCTCGCAATGCCTGTGCTGACTGCAGGACTAGATGTGCCTGCTACTACTAGACAGATGTATCGCAAGAGCCGTTTAGTCTTGAGCGTGTCTAGACTGGTCTCAAGTGCACAGCATATGGAGGTCTATACCGCACAAACTTGACACTACTCAAGATAGAAACTGGGCGATTATCTTAATGCCAACCAAATCGTTGAGAATTCGACCCGTGTACTAATGAAGACACGGCGGCAAAGCACAAATTGTAATTCTTATTGAAGAAATTAATGGCGGCCTGGGGTATTCTGGTTTTGTCAGAATACATCCAGACAGTGAGAAATTCCCTCTGTAAGGTAATGAGGACATGTAACTGACTGAACTCGTCCTGAGTTATTCCAAACGTGTCTCTTGTCCTTGACTTTCAATCCCCTTTCTTTCTTTCTTTCTTTCTTTCTCTCTCTCTTAATGTCTAATCTATCGATTCTTTGATCTCTGCTTGAACCCTCAATGCCACCGTACTCTGAAGGTATCCAAGGTTACCAATCTCCACGCGCTGTGAAAGCCACGAACTTACCACTGAGACTCGTACAAAGTATGCTGATATTTAAATATGAAGCAGAATAACATGCTATTGAGATTTCATTCAATAACTACAATGATTTCAAAATGAAGACCACTTCGAGCCGAAAGGGTGCTTGCAAAGTTGAGGAGTGCAAGCATTGGAACAATCTCCACGAATATTACAAGTGCAAGGAGAGGGGTTGTCGCAAGATGTGGAAGATATGTGATAAAAATTGTCATGACGATATTCATGCAATCTGTGCGAAGTGTTTTGATCACCCAGCTGGCGGACCAGACGGGTTCGAAGATTTCATTGACCTGACGGAGTGAACTGATTCCCCAGCTATTCGACACTCTCGAGCCAGCTGCCAACACGGATTGCCTTTCTCTCCAGTTGTATTTCTGTGTCTGAATCCATACAATTGGACACTTCTTCTTCGTCATCGTCGGCTTCCAAGTCGAAGGCCAACCAAGGATGTTGGTACAAGGGTCTTTCGTTGCGCGTAAAGCCTGTTGATCTTAACCATCTGAATATCCCACTCGTGAATCTTTGCGAAAGCTCTTGCGAATACATGTCATATTCATGATCATCGAACTCAGCCAGTGTCTTGTTGGTGGATAAAGATGATGTTCTGAGAGCAGTCTGGCTAATTTCAGTTCTAGACTCTCGAATCAAACTGCCGTTTGTCAAAATCCATTCCCAATGCTCGTACTCAAAGCAATGGCCAATGCACTGAGCATGTTGTCTGACTAGGAGCTCTGTGTCGCAAAGCCGTGTAGACCCAAAGGGTTTCCAATTCCAGACTGGAGGCTGGTCTTGGCCCACAGAAGCTGCATCTTCAGAGGCTGTGATAAAAAGCAGCCGGCATTCATCATCACGGTGTATTAATTCACCAGGATACGTCCCAACTTTTGAAGTCATAAATGTTTGTGTTATTCCGGTCCAGGCAGAAGCTTCAAGATCCATAGACGAAAGTCCTGTTCGTACATCCCGCCACATAGGGTATGCCAGGTTCATAAGGGTTGCACCAAGCCAGAGTATGCCGAGTCGAGGCTGTCGGTTTGCCAAGAATGCGGCCACTAATATCTTTTTTGAGAGAATGGAGTGAAGAACAGCAAAAGCCGGATTCAGCCATGCACTGGCGAGATTGCACTCAATATTTGCATTAAAGAATGTGCTGGCCAGGAGAGAGCTCATTCCACTTCGAGAAGAGCTTAAAGTCATGTATCTCGGGAGTAATCCCCGGTGGTCGTTAAGAAGATCTGGGATAGAAGTAAGGGGGTCAATGGAACTATCCTTTCTTTCGAGCCGGGGAACTTTTTTCGGATATGGGAGTAAAGCTGTTTTATGCCGCAAAGATGGAATAAAGAGCACTGCTGCAAGGGCAACTGAGCACTGAGCGTATAGGCGACGATGCACACAGAAACGAGAGAGATATTCAAGAGCGGTTGACGACCCCGGTGGACTGAGATCAGTACTCCGAAACCCGTTTTTAGCCAGGGTAAGTCCTAGGTTCTTTGCAGACACCGACCATGGCGAGAAATAAACATTACCATTGAATTCTGCAGTGGCATCCCAGCCATCATCAGAACAAAGAATTATGTGCCACCAGAACCTTTCTTCATCACAAGCATCATTATCAATTTCAATGTCAACCACAGATTGCTTATCCGACTGCAAAAATGGGGTTTCCACGCTTGATATGGTATAGGCCATATGACATTCATGATCACCAGATCGACTAAGTAACTCAACCCACCGAGCAGATAGGATATATGCCCATGCCAAGTAAAGGACGGCCAGGTAGTTCCCATTGTCGTAGTCTGTAAGTCCTTGAATCCCGGGCCAGTCCGAGAAGGGAGAGTCTTCTGACAATCTCATATTGGATTTTTCGCTGTCTGCTAACAGAAGTCGTTTAGGTATGACCTTGGGCTCTAAATCACAAATCCCTTGAGAAGTTCTCCAAGTTGATTGACCATTAACATAAAGGAAGCCACTTTTAGACCGTGGGCATTTCTTCTCCTCACAAGCGAACGAAATGGACTTTTCCGCGCTAGCAAGGCCATCGCCGAGAAAAGGCGGAGTTTGGCCGACGAGAGGTGTCAGTTCGATAGTATGCCGGGGAAGAGGGGTGTTCTCGCTCTGGGTATCAAGATAGGAGTACCATGTCTTGAAACTCTCCTCAAGGACTTGGCGGAATTCATCATTACTTGGAGATACGGCGTCGTCCATCATGATACACACACTGGCTCGGAAAACTGCGCGGTTCGAAGCTTGTTTGGTAACTTGAGGTGGGAGTGAGTGGGAATCAATGAATTAGTAAGTCCTGCCGTTTGTCAAGACCAATGGTGTGTGGCAAGAAAGGAGAGAGGTGATCAAAAGAGCCTTTGAAATACCGGGATTTGTTTTGTTTGGGTGTGTTTGAGAGAGGCTACAATCAAGAACCAAAGAAAAGAAAGCAATGTTCGATGGTGAATCGCGGCAAAGAGAGAAAGGAAGAAAAAGAGAAGCAAGAGAGAGAAGAAAGAATAAATGTGCGGAGGGGAGAGCATGAGAGCACGAGGGGACGTGTAGTCCCAAAGGGTAAGAGTCAAGACCCCCAACATTGAAGGTCCAAGGACTCAGGACCGCGCAAGAGTCAAGCGGTGTATGGTACTGTATTTATCTCTGTAATCTACATATTCAACCAATTTTATTCATGAGTAATCAATCCTTGACGAGACGTCGAGAACACATGCTTCAAGCTTTCCTGAGCAAGATTCAGAGAGAGCATAGACTCCGCCGGGTAGTATGTATAGTATGTATGCCTAGTGAGTACTTCCATGAGAGCATATGAACCCAATGGGCAGATCAAGCAGGCCGTGGAAGTCCTTGAGTATATAGTCGCGGTCCGAGAAAGAACGCTCGATGAAGAACTGACCGACTTCGATCTCAACGCATGACGATATAAACATTTGAAGCAACATTCAAGATTCAATCCAAGAGAGTAAGCGAAATGTCGACTGAAAGCCGATTCGGCGATGATTTCCTAGAGTGGAGACTGCATGAAACCGGGGGGAAAAGCCGATGAACGGTAGAAAACAAGATCATTTCCTAGTTGGAATTCTCCGGATCTAAATCCGATGCTAATCTTCGGTCTTGTGGTTTATCTGCAAAATCCTCTTTTCGTTGAATTCTTCAAAGTTCGAGGACTTTTGTTTCGCTTTCTTCTTTCTCCTCGGATTATTATCTATACACCAATATCAAATATTCCACCTGAAAGTCACTTCTCCCATTACGCTCCCATTTGTGTGCTTCATGCTATAATTGATTTGATTCTTGAATATTTCTAAAGCCTCGGCGCCCCACTTGAATCATGGACGGGCGTTCATCTCCGGTTCTATCTCGGCCCACTGCGAATACCAGCACTACATGTACCACTCTAGAACCGCATACCCCCGGCAATAAAGCCGATTGTGATGATAAGTCCAGCAACGCCGAGACAAAGCAACTTGAACGTGACAATCCGGTCACTGAGAAAAACAAATTGCAAGATCAGACAAACCTATTACCGGTGAAGCAACTCTTGATCGTTTTTGTGGGCTTAAGTTGCGCGCTTTTCTGTAAGTCCTCTATATACTTGATATACTTGACACCCAAGTGCTAAGCGGGATTTCACACATGTCCAGGTGCGCTTCTAGACCAGACAATGTAAGTTGTAGATGGTCTTTCAACCGAAATTCAAATTGCTAATTTAACATCACATAGTGTATCTACCGCTCTTCCTACACTGGGACGCGTTTTCAATGATGCATCCGTTGAATCATGGGTTGGAACCTCATATCTTCTAACCTCCACGGCCTGTCAGCCGCTGTACGGCCGTCTGTCGGATATCTTTGGTCGAAAGATCATTCTTCTTACCAGTATGGGATTCTTCCTCATTGGCTCTATCCTATCCGCAGTGTCCCAGAGTATGATCATGCTCATTGTGTTCCGTATGTGTCTCTATATTCTCCCAATTTAATGCTTCAAATGTTACTAGTATTATTGTGGTCTAATTTGAAGATGGCAGGCGCAATCTCGGGGATTGGTGGTGGTGGCATCCTGACTTCCGTCATGATTACGGTTTCCGATGTTGTTTCTCTGGAGAAACGAGGTACTTATCAAGGTATCATCGGCGTGGTCGTTGCTTTGTCAAACTCAATTGGCCCTCTCATCGGTGGTCTGTTCACCGAGAAGGTATCATGGCGATGGTGTTTTGTAAGTTCACCGTGACCAATTTACGGCTTAACATCTTACATTCACTAATATCTATATATCAGTACATCAACATCCCTTTGACCGGCATCTCTATTCTCGTTGTGTTGCTAGTTCTTCCTCTAAAGAGAGTTAAAGGAGACATGAAGGCCCGTTTCAAGCAAATTGATTATTTGGGATGCGTTACTATGCTCATCGCGGCGATTTTGATCTTACTGCCGATCTCCTGGTGAGCAAAGATTTCAAGGATCCCCTCATCTCTATGTTTGTGCCTAATATAAGCTTAGGGGAGGGACCAAGTATGCATGGAGCTCGGCTGGAGTCATTGCTCCTCTCGTTCTTGGTGTGATATCCTTGGGTATTTTCATTCTAGTAGAAATCAAGTTTGCAGAGTTACCACTCATCCCTAGTACGTTCTGCCGATTGGTCTCCCATGACGGTATAAAGAACTGACAAGTCGAAAGTGCATATCTTCAAGAACGCAACGGTCGCAGGTGCTCTATGCGGTGCATTCTTCACAGGGTTTATGTTTTATACTAATCTTTACTACGTAATATTGTCACCCCCCACATCATCCTGCTCTATCGACGATGACTGACTTTTCAATCGATACTTCCAAACTATCAATAGCTCCCCCAATACTTCCAAGTTGTCTACTCAGCCTCTCCAATCAAATCCGGCGTGCTCCTCCTCCCTCTCGTTGTGACCCAATGCGTCGTCTCATTTACCTCCGGCTTTCTTGTTTCCAAGACCGGTAACTACACTATCAATATCTGGGTAGGCTTTGCCATTTGGGCAATCGCATGTGGTCTACTATCCACCATCTCACCGACAACTTCTATCGGGCAGCTGGTTGGTTATCAGATACTGAGCGGAATTGGATCAGGTCAAACCCTTCAGACGAATCTAGTCGCTATCCAGGCCAACGTTCAACGGAAAGAGATGGCTGTCGCTACTGCTACCAGGAATTTCCTACGTCTTTTGGGGGGAACAGTGGCTTTATCTGCCTGTGGTGCCATTTTGAATAACACTGTCCGGTAAATATTCCACGATCTTGCCTGAACCAGTCACATTTCCTTTCTTTCTTTTCTTATTTTTGATGAAAAACAAGCCTGACTCTGGATGAATCTATAGAACCGAATTGGCGTCCATAGTATCCTCCTCTGTCCTGTCCAAGATCATTTCTGATCCCACAAAAATTGGCTCGGGATCATTGGGAATTACCGCAGCGCAAAAATCAGCAGCTATCCAAGCGTATAGTATGTTTCCTTATTGTCGTCGTTTGCTTACACCGTTGAAATAATACCTTAACACACACTGACTTTGTTAGCCTACGGGATTCGAAATATCTATTACTTCATGATCGCGTGCTGCTGCGTCTCCTTCTTCATAACGGTTGGCTTCGTTCGCGGCACCAGTCTGAAACGTGACGACGATGCGAGGCTACAGGAAGAAGGTAAGAAGTGGGCCGCCAAGCACCGGGGCATTCATGCGTTTGGGAAGAAAAATGCTGGCGATAGAGTTGATGAAAAGGTGTCCCAATCAAATGCATGAGGTTCAAACGAGAGTCCAGGATTAAGGCTGGGAGGTAGAGAAATGCTAGCAGCATAGCAAAGTTGAATTTTTTGATGAGAAGCTACAAAACTTACAGTCATGCGACAGGAATATGCGGAAGAGAATTTCGTTGAACTGCATTGCTTCGAAAGGTTGAGAAAGAAGAACACTTTATGATTATGAGTAGGATACAGAAAACCGTCAGTTTTCTTTTATAAAGCCAAATATTTGAAGCGAACATTGATCTCTGTGACTTCTGGAACTCAATTTATCGACTTCGATGCCCAATAAACAAGAAACCAAAAAGTAGACAGCGCTTTCATGTTTTTAAGAAAGATCAGTATATTACATGGGAAACGAATGCATCATATCACTCTTAGGCCTTGGCCTTGCTCTTGCGGCCCTTTTTGGGCTTCTCCTCCTCATCATCAATGAAGTCATCGTTCGCTGCTTTCTTGGTCTTCTTGCCCTTCGCAGCGCCCTTCGTGGCCTTTTTCTTCGGTTGGCTGACATATTTGTCTTTCTTCAGATCAAGTTCCTCATCGTCATCCTTGGCCTCCTCAACGACCTCCTCTTCGTCGGATTCTTCAAGGGCATCCTCGATATCCGGCTTCTCCTTGGGCCCCTTCTTTGCCGGTGCGATGACACTGCTAGCCTTCATGAAAGGCATTGGATGCGAACGTGAATTATACAGACGTGTGAATGTTGATTTAGTCTGTGTCTCCAATTTGACATTTGACTGGTCCATTGGACCCAGTCCTAGCTCAAGCATCGCATCGAAGTCATCGCGAGTCAGATAGTAGGAGTCCATGAATTCAATAATGTCGTCAACACTATCTTTGCCTTCGTCCATCATACGGCGGATAGTCTTATCCCAGAGGAGAGGCATGTATTGTTGACGAATCTCATCTCGGTTGCCGGATGTACGAAGGCGCATGTGACCCTGAATCTCCTTGACGAACCGTGATAATTTACCTAAAAGAAAAAAAAAAAAGGATTAGAACTGTCTATCTCAAAATTACTGAGAGGTAATACGTACCTTGTTTACTGTTCTGACCCAGCCAGCTGGCAAATGATGCCCTCTCGGTCATGTTTCCGAACTGGAAACTGGCTGGTCGGACAAAGCTGAAGACGGCGTGTGTAGGCATAAGACTCCACTGCTGTTGGGTTCCATGAATCATGCGATCCACCAGGTCACCCTCGCTGATGCTTGAAGCCGCATTGTCTGCAAGCTCAAGAAGCTTCAGGTTCTTCTCCCTGTCGTGGTAATTTCCTGCGAGAGTAGGGCGAGTCTTCAGGTAATTCTCCTGGAGCATTAAGTAACTAAATTCGTGGTCGTTGAAGTAAAGCTCGATCTTATCGTTCAACGTAGAGGTGGAGCTTGGTGAGAACATCTGGGCACTGAGAATCTTGCTGACAATATCCCAGGGCTTCAGAATAATGTGCTTCTCCCATGCTTTTGACATCTCTTTGCCTTGATCGAAGTTGAGACTCTCTTGATCCAACTTGGCGGTAGACAGCATATTGATGACCTGCCGAATATCGGCGTGTGTTCCTTCAATAAGGCTATCCAAAACAGCCGGCGGGATCTTCAGCTTCTCGCGGAAACAGATTGTGGACAACCTAGCTCGGATCTGTTCAACCGTCGGGCGTCTGAATGGAACGTCGAATGTGACGAAGTCGAAAGGTTTCATCTTAGGCTGTTTCCGTTCATTGCAGATAAGAATGAGCGGGACACTGGTCTTTTTGGCAATGGCTGCCAGCGCACCGACTCCACCACGATCACCGGCAGACATGCCGTCGACTTCATCCATGATTAAACAAACATTCTTCTTGTTGCTATCCACTTTCTTTCCATCTCCGGCAAAGTAGCCTTGTAGGGATGTAGTATCGAGGACACCCAAAGTCCCAGTTTCAACAAGCTTCTTACTGCGTGTATCACTGGCATTGGATTCTATGACATCGTATCCCTCCAATTTGGCCACCATATGTGCCGCTGTTGTTTTACCTATGCCCGGTGGACCGTGAATCATGATCGTACGATAGACTCCGGAGCCATCTTTACCGGCAGTCTTGAAGTTTGTTCTCGCGCTCTTGTGCCAGTTGCGCAACCAATTTTGTATCTTTTCAACAGCAGCCTTGTTTCCACATATCATGGATGTAGACGTCGGCGCATACTTGGTTGTCCAAAGTTGATCATCAACGACAGGGGTCTTTGGACCCTGTGGAGCACCTGCGCTAGGAGCATTACTGGTAGCAGGGGCAGGTTTCTTTTTCTCAGCAGCCTGTCTCTTCTCTTCCGCGTCAATCTCCTCGGCCATTTTCCGAACTTTCTCCTCTTCTGCTTTTTGTTTGGCATCGTATTGAGCGGCAGCCTTGCCAGATCCACCGTTGGCGGGTAAGCGGCGAATCAGCTCGAAAAGCCCATCTTCGCTGATAGTTTTGAGGTTGTGTTTGGCAATGGTCTTAAGTTTTGATGGGCCGGCATCGCTACCAAGGACAACATAGCTGGTTTTGGAGCTGGGCGCCCCGGTAACCTTGCCACCGTATTTCTTGACTAACTCCTGGCCTTCTTCACGGCCGAGTGTCTCTTGCACACCGGTGAAAACGAATGCCAGTCCGGCAAGACAGTTTTCTGCACCAACGGGCATTTCCTTGCTTCCGTTGGTTGGTGGAGTCCGGGAGCGTTGATCCCCAAATTTCCATTTCTTTTTCTCGCCATCGTCCTGAGGAGGAGTTGGAGGACGAACTGTCGGGATGCTGTCGAAGATATCCTGTATCTCTTTATTTTCCGGAACTTCCTCCTTTTTCTTCTTTGGTGCAGCTTTAGGTCTCTTCGCAACTGGGGAGGTAGACCCTTTGGGCGCCTTGGCCCGAGATGTGGGTTTTTTCACATCATCGGAATCGCTATCCTCGCCTTTGGCGATCGATACCTCTGCCTTGCGCTTTCGTGTCGCTTTGGGAGCGGCTTTGGGAAGTTCATCCATGACAACATCGTCGTCTTCATCGTAATTTGTTTGCTTCTTCGGGTTGCGTTTGGATGCAGTCGGTGGCTTAACTTCCAGAACTTCGAAGGCGTCATCATCGTCATCGCTATCCCCTCCTTCAACATAATCGTCGTCTCCCTTGCCGCGTCTTTTGTACTCGGTAGCAAACACGTCATCTCCACCAAGGCCTTCATCATCGTCAACGATTGTTGTGGATTTCTTCGGTGCGACTTTCTTCGATTGTTTGGCTGGAGACACCACCACTTCAGTCGTCTTCTTGACATTCTTGGTTTCAACTTCGGCAGCGGGTTGTTCGGACTTGGCAGGTCGTCCTCGCTTTTTACTGGAGGCAAAATAGTCCGAGGTAGTTGTTGGTTCTCCTTTTGTTTCTTCGGGCTTCCTATGAGAGGAGTGGTCAGGGGAGTCGGCAAGCTTGAGCAGCGGAGCAGAGAGGGAGCATACGGCTGACTCTTAGCTTTCGCCTTGGGCGTCGGAGCCTTCACAGGTGGCACATCCTCATCGTCATCGCTGTCGACCACTACCTTTCTGCTACCTATGAAATGGTTAGATCCAGGGAGTATATGAAAGTCACAAAGGCGACATACGGCTTTTCCTTGTTGCAGGTAGATCCTTGAGTGGGATAAAGTCAGCTGTAAAGTCTCGACATATAAAGAAGCTTGCAATTGGCGCATCTTGTCAACCGATAGCAGTCGTCAAGGTAATATTAAAGGTTATGGCATACCTCTTTCTTTGCTGGCTTTGGCGACTCGGCGGAGCTCTGCGCCGGCTTCCCACCAAAAAAGCTCCTAATGTCAGATGGCATATTGAATGTTTCACACCATAAGTAAATATGAAAGGTCTCAATAGGAAAACCGAGATGGCATAAAAGAAAGAAAAAGAAAAACGGACGGCGTATTCGAGGTAACAATCCAAAGCTAGGCAATCAACGCGACGTGAGACGTGATTTGCTCACGTAAGGAACACGACATGCACGTGACCACCACTTCTTCCTCAATGGGCCTAGCGCATCTGGCCCATCGAATTGTGCTTTGGATCTTGCGCTGGAGACCCCAGGAAACTATTGATATCATCCCCCTCAATTGATCACAATGGGCCCTCAGATCAAGATGTTTGCTGGGCCTTTATCGGCCTGCATTCGGCCAACATGTACGAAATACTCCTCCGCCGCCTGCAACGCTTGTCTGGAGCTTGAAACTGACCACTATGATTTTCTAGGCCTGTCGTCGGCATCGCTTGCGCCCTTCTCTCTGGCACGATCCTTCTCGAACACATCTTCCACCCTGGATTGGCTTACCCCGAAGTTTGCCGAGAGGTCCAAATCACCCAAGGGTCGCCCCCATGTCGCGACCGGCGGATCCACACGAGGAACGACCGTTGTGTGGGGAGATTATGGAATTCGCATGAAGGATCACGACCGGCGAATGCCTGCATCGGCTCTTAAGATCGCAGAGGAAACCATCAAGCGTCGATTGAGAGGAATGAACTATAAGCTGTACAAGCGCGTGAGTGCCAATATTGGTGTCTACACCAAGGGCAACGAGCAGCGTATGGGTAAGGGTAAGGGTAAGTTTGACTACTGGACTGTCCGGTTGCCCGTCAGCCGTGTCGTGTTTGAGGTGAAGGGAGATTTGCACGAGAAGGTTGCCCGTGAGGCATTCAGATTGGCTGGCCACAAGTTGCCTGGTGAGTTTCAAAAATTCTTGATTACAATTTGCCCTTTTTCTCGCCTGAATGACACGACATGAATAACTGATCAAATATCTCCATAGGTCTTTGGGAATTCGTCAAGAAAGATGACCCTCCCGTCGTCGGTATCACTAAGCTCGGCAACGGCGTGACCCTCGAATCTCTCAAGCGGGCACGCAGGAACCCTCCGCTCGGCACCAACGAGACCGAAAACCCGCCCTCCAGCACTTCCTCCAGCACCTCCCCCACCCAATAAAGGATGCGCATCTCCATACACTACCCCGGACGTAGTCCTTTTTTGTCACTATTTCTCATGTTGAATTAAGCACCGACCCCGGAGCCGGGTCCATACCCCTGCTGCCTCCTGGTCTTCGCGGCTGCTGCATCCTCTGCGTTGTCGAAATCCAGATCTTCTGTACATTATTGTCAGCTTTGTCCAGACATCTTCCGCGGTCGCCGATTCCCGGCCTTCCGGCAGACTTTTTGTTATATTAGGAGTTTAGACAAGGATATTTTTCAGTGCACTCTTTCACCTACCTTTATTTGGCTCAACAATGCCCATTCCGAGTCTTTGTGCTAGATTTTCCTCGTCTCTGGAGGCGGGAGAGTCTGTGGGATCAACAATGGCTGTCGTTACACTTTTGGTGTGTGGTTCGCCAACTAGTGAAACCCAGTTAGCTAATTGCCCACGGCCCGTAGACGTATTTCGTTTCAGCCTACCTCCCATTTGACCGGTCTGCTTTGCAGGAGTGATCATGAATTCTCTGATTGATTCATATCTAATGACAAAGTCAATGTCAACTCTTTTTGGGGTTCAATGCGCGTGGGGGAATCTTACTGAGTACTCTCTCCACCTGGCTCCATATCAATAAGTCTTGGATCGGACATTGTGCAGGCTAGGTGGCAGTGTTTCAAATATTTTATATCCCACGAAAAACAAGTCTTCAGATGTCGGATGTTAAAAAGTCCCTAAGTATATCTGGGGAAAGACAGGATCACGTCTAGATATGGGGTTGAGCAGGCCCGATGACTACATTTAGGTGATGACGTAGTAACCATGTAGAGCAACCTTGGATGACCTGCACAAATTGAGTACTACTAGTACTAGTATGCTGTTACAGAAATTCTGTAAGCGAAATCATTACCATCTCCAGGGCTACTCTCACTGATTTTTTTTCAATCAGTTACTGCCGGATGGATACATAGCTCATAGTTAATAGCAGCTAGCAACGCCGGGGTCCCTTGAGAAACCAATCAAAATGCCTTTATGCGCCGAATAAAAGAAAACCGAAGAAACAGGCCTGCCAATCATGCTAACCCACTTGGGTCCTCAATAAAGTGTTAGGTGTCGCTGTCCTGGGAGAACTGGTGACTTGCTCTTGTAGTGTACAATCATCATTCATACATGGAATGCAAGCTTCATTTGTGAATCCTAAAAATCCATACCCATCAAGTAGCTAGGTCATTGTTAGTAAAGGCTCATTATGCCGAGCTTTGGAACTAACCTTTCGTAAATGCGCATAAACTTGGCCACGAAAGCTTCAAGGTGGAAAATCACTTTCTATATCGAGTTCACCATCAGCGTTGCTAGAATATTTCGATGACCTCGCAAGTGAAGGACTTACACTGCCCAGTCTGATTCGGTGCTCATAGAATGCAGACCACTTGATGACGTCGGCTTTGAGGGCATCATCAACCTTCGCAACAAGCTTGAAGGTCAAGGTCTAAAGATTTGGTTCATTAGTCCTAGTACATTCAAAGCATACATTTTGTAAAATTACCTTGAGAACAGTTGATGGAGGAATACAATGAGTCAACAGATCGTAGAGACGGGCTCGGACCTGCAACAGTCGAGCGGGCGAGCGTTCTGCAAGAATCTCATCTGCAACAAGAGAGATCAAAGCCTCCCAGTCCGGCGGTGGAATAAGAGTACTGTCTGTGACTTTCTCACTGGTGATAGATAACAATTAGCCTCGCTAGTCCACAGGAATTTACACAAATCATCACCTACTTTTGTGCATAAACAGACTCAAACATGAGCAATGCACGCCGTAGATTCCGCCCACTATCCCGTGCAATACGCTTGTTCAATCCATCTGCCCCAACCCAGCCCTCCTTCTTCGCAGCAATGCGAAGAGCACAGCAAATATCCTCTTCCGTGGGCGCCGCAACTCTGACCAGCAGACAACGGGAACGAATTGGCGCAATGATATTAGAAGTGCTGTTGGCCAAAAGAATTAAACGCAAGTTCGGGCTGTATTTCTCCATAGTGCGACGCAGGGCAGCCTGGGCATCGCGGGTAAGATGATCGGCTTCGTTAATCACCACCACCTTGAACCGCTGCTTTGCGGAAAGATCCACCTGCTGCGTCTGTGCAACCTCCTTGAGCAGCTCTTGAATGACGACCCGGTCGTAATTTCCGACATCGGCGGGTGTAATTTCGAGATGATAGACCGAGGAGACGATGTTAAACTCTAGCTTTCGGTTGCTCGTTGTTTGGAATACTCGGGCGTCAATCTTGATTTTTTCAACTCCAGGGCCGTAGAGTTCTTTTAGGGTTGCAATGATGCGTGTCTTCTTGCCAGCACCTGATGGTCCATAAACCAACAAATGGGGAAAGTCGCCGCTTTGAGCCTGCAATTCCATTCGCCGAAGGGTAAGCTTCTGTTGACTCTCTGACTGGAGGGCACACTTACCAAGGATCGGAGGCGAGCCGAGAGATCTGGGTGGTATGTGAGTGAATCAAGCGTCTTGGGACGCAGCTTATCAACGAGAAGTGACATTGTAATTGCTGCTGCCTCAAATGAGAAATATGGTGGTTGTGATGTGGATGGACTTTGGAAAATGCGGGAGCGGGAGAACGCGTCGAAAACGCGCGACCAATTAATATGTGGCCCGTGCACGTATCTTTACATCTGTATACAGCTGAATTGCCCTTTCTCCAGGCTGTTGAAGCTGCAGCTGCAGCACTAGAACTGCCAGGCTGCTACGAAGGGTGTGTTTTAAAGATATATTTTCCAAAGTTTCAGATTATTCACTTTTAAATTCTGGGATGTAGTAGGTATTGACATTGCGCAAAGACTTAAACTTCAAGATCTATATAGTACACACAAATTTCTTGTGAAGATGAGATGGGAATGATGAGCAGATTTGAATCGGCTTGAGGTTCAGATCAACCGGGCAAGGTCTGGGTTAGATTTCCTTGGAAATAGTGCCAGTTGACCTTTTTTTTTCGGAGTAAACATGAGGGTCAGTCACATTTCTGACTAGGTGATCATGAGGCAATTGGCTTCAAAACTCCGTTGTCGTCATATTTCGCTTCTACTTTAAATTAGCAACGGCGATATTTGGATGCAGACGTGGAAGTCACTTACTGAAGAAAGTGTAAGACAGGGTGATTGTGTCAATCCCCTTCATATTCGGGTCCGTGGCGAAATCCGGATCAATGAAGAAGAAAACCGGCATATCCACCGTTTCGCCCGCATTGAGCTTCTGCTCCTCGAAACAGAAGCACTGAATCTTGCTGAAGTACGGCGCAACCTGGCCTGGGGTCACACTGTATGTGGCAACTCCGATGATATCGTTAGGACCCTTGTTGGTTGCGGTGTAGAAGGCAAGTGCAGTCTCTCCCGGCAACACTCGAACTTCGCGTTGTTGTGGGGTGAACTTCCATGGCAGCACATCGGAGACGGATCCATTGAATGTGATTCGAAGCCGGCGAGAGTCGGTTACGGGGGTCACGCGGGATGCTGTGTCTTCGCCGCCGCCGCGGTGGGTAGTAATGGGTTGACCACCCCAGCCAGTTTGTTGACAAATCTATTGCGGGTAGGGGGGAAAAACTGTCAGTTCTAGAGCTTGAGTCTGACGATCCGGCCATTCGACCGCAAAATTTGGATCGTACCATTTTGTAAAGAGGAACAGATCCATATGCAAGTGCCACGGTGCCCAGAATCATGCTGATCGTGTAGTACCTGGTGAGACCCAGGTCAGTATCGTATTCAGCCTCATACGATTGTGAGGCTCATGCTTACATTGTAGATGTGTTGCGCTGTTGCGACTGAGGAGTATTGAACGGCGCGGAGGAGGCATGGTGTTTCGCATGCAGGAAGGAATTGGCTGAGAAATACCGTCTTTCTGCTTCAAGTATGCCCTTCCGAAGATATATTGAACGTGGCGGAATAGCACCTGTGAATGTCCTCGGTCCCCATGAGGGGAGTAATTTGGAAAACATTGTTCTTGAGCTTGGATGAATCATTTACATGCATGGTCCGACCTGACGCCTGCAATTATCGGCAACCCGCTCCACGTGATGTGTCTTATCGATAAGCCGTCGGAGCTCCCGAGATCTTGATACTACTAGTATGTATCAGTAGTAGTGGTACCAGTTGACGGTAGACCTGGGATTCAAGGCCAATTTTACTAGTAGCTTCCCTTATGAGTTCTTCTTATAATAATCAATTTTACAAAATCTGACCACCATTCTAGATTTTCTCACCAACTTTGACAATTCGTGGATATCGCACGGCAAAGATCGACAATTCATTACCTATTAAGGACTGATAAGCTACCTCATGCTATAACTAAGTCAATTGCTAATACGGCATTCATTCTTTCTGACTTTTCTGGTGTACGTTTTTACCATAGCAAATTGATTCTCTCTATAAATGAACATAACTAGCCATCAAGGTAAGGGAAGGGCTGGTTCTAACAAATAAGGCGTAGCGTGGGTGGATTTACAGTGAGTGACTGGCATAAGTTTCTATACACCTCTTATCGCTCCACGCCTTTACCTAGTAGCTCACCACCACTATAGTCTACAGTATACAATTATATCACCTACCTAAAACGCTTAGTGTAAAGCCACGCTAAAACATCATGCAAAGCTGTATTTTAGTCTAAAATCTAACCTGCAATATACTATATAATCATGGAGTGAGCTAGGGGTGTAGAAACTTATGCCCAGTCACTGTAGTCGAGCCTTTTATTGGCAAGACAATTTCCCAAGGTTCTCTCTTTTTCCTTTCTCTCCTCTCCTACCGTTCCTCGATCAATTTATCACAACACCTGTACCAAACTATTTTGCGACCACCTAAGCAGTTATTACTTCTGTATATCTTTGCTAAAAATCTACATGGCCAAGACTACTATTACATGTGTTTTGATTCGCCATGGGCTTCCACTACGCGGATACTCTCGAGAAACATAACGTGGTTGGCGGAGGACTCGACGCTTATATCTACCACGTCACCCCAACCATTGTGGTGAAAACTATTCGTTGCGACCGAGCCCCTGAGGAAGAGGCAGCGAGGCATCCTTCAAATCCTCAAGGAGATCACGTTTTCAGAACAACATTGAAACGTCTTAAATGATTGCCAGGATTGATGTCCGAATATTAAAAATAAGTTAGCGCTGAGGATATGTATGACAACTGAATACCTCGAATGTTAGGCCCAGCCTCTCATAAAACAATGTTTGAACAAATGTTTGAATGTGTAAGGTGCGTAGCACCTGAGGGGGGCATTGAGGCCCATCGCTAGAGACATGAAATTTTAGTAATACAAGACAAAAAGAACCTTGAGAACACTTTATTTCAACACGCCTGTGGCAATGCGGCCGAAAACTCCACGGACCATGTGTGGTCTTTCACGAAGACAAGTTATGAGTATCGCAGCACTGACAGAAAAGGCAATGCGTTCACGGTATTGATACTAAAACAGCAGGGAAGATCATTAGCATCGCGTGACTTCTCAATCCATTACAGTCCTCAAACGCTCCGGGGGCGGAGGGGTGTAGAAGCACTATTCATCTTGGTGTGACCGTCTCCATCTGGGAAATGCGAGGGTTGGACATACTTTTTTATTATACAACCGTGGCAACACTGTGGCCGCAGCCCGAGGTGCCACAAAGAGCGCCAGCTCTTGTCTCTTCCGCGCTTTCTCAACCAGTACACTCCAACCGCACATGAGACATCCAGCGCCGACGCAGAGACCAGAGTCCCACATTAGTGGAGTCACGGTCTTCGAGTCAAAGATTCTGGGTCCGAGCCGTGTCCGTGCTAAGCAAACGGAGTAGTAAAATAGGCTCACGAATGAGGCGAGGAAGGCAGATGACCGAGCAGCGTCGGAGATAGCACGGCCCAGTGCAGCCGGAGACTTGGTACCCCGTAGGCGGAGAACGATTTGTAGTGGGATATAGGTCGCACACGCAAACTTGAAGGTTCTGGCAAAGCGCAATAGAGCGTGTTTCTCACAATTAGGACCAGCACCCATGTGTACCATTTCGCATGGAATGGGGACCACCTTGGATGGGTCTCCCCATTCTTCGGGCCAATTATAATCCCTGCACATGGATTCGAGCAGCGGCGCTTGGCCTGTATCTTTTCCGTAAATAAAGATCCCCCGACGGACGCGACGAAGAGCTTCAATTAACCGCGTATCCACTTTGGCCACCTCTCCTATCCACTTCTCGTACGTCCGTGGCAACCGCTCAGGAAGATAGAACCAAGCCCACATAACTATAGCTGCACTCAAAGCAAAGACTCCAGCATCAGCTAGCCCAGGAGCATGGGACTCTACGACTGTCCAGCTCTTTTGGGTCTTGCGACGGCGATACCAACGGTTCCATGCAGTGCATGATATCACGTCGAGGGCTCTTGTGACCGTGAAAAGGGTCAGGTCCATTGTCCTTCCGACCAACACCGAATGAGGACGCTCGAGAGTACTGGTCGGGCCATTTTTAGAGTCATCTTGACCAGACGAGATTCTCCGAGCCCTGACATCCTGTCGTGATATTTCACGGTTTTTATTTAGCAGCTGGAAACTTAACCACGCTGATAGGAAGGCGGTGGCGAATTGAAGGAGCCTTTGGCCTCGTTGAGACACCTGAATGTTACCTTTGGAGCCGGCAAGAACCCATGCGTATATTCGATACAACAAGATTGGAAGGGTGGTTGATCCTCCCACCAAAATCCCACAGAATGTTGGAAAACTGTTTACACGTAGAGGCCCGGCCAGAGCCTGCGCCAGCTATGAAGTTTTTTCCCCCGTCAGCTTGCATTGTTCCAATCATTCATACAATGACCACGGTGAGCACACGGGGATTAATACTCAGAAAGGGGCCAGGAAATCTCAAAATCGAAATTTGGGCAATAAAAGCATACCTCTTGCAGTTTCTGTTTTGTGGATCCATTCTTGCTTCCTAGTCGTCGGGCAAAGGCAATAAGTTTGGGGGTAACAGAGGAGAGATACCCCAAAGCGTAAGCCCGGATAATACTGCCGGAAATCAGTTAGAGCCGTAAACTAAGCATCGAACGTAACTATTTGTTTTTTTTTTTTGTTTCAGGGCTACTAGTGGTGTAGATCGCCAGTCCCACCACAAAGGTAGGAGATCGAAGAAACTCACGGCTTAAGGATCTGGGCGTCGACGTGCCTATCCGGGAGATTGAGCCGAACTGCAGGTTCCATAGCGCCGGGAGCCCTCATGTCATGGTTCGCAGGGGGTCTCTCCTAAGCATTGCGCGCCGGGGGGATATCCGGCAGGACCAGACGCGTCGGAGGAGCTTTGGCAATGTAGGATTCGGCTCAACGGTCACCAATCAGCAAGACGGATCAAATCTCGCAGCCGGCAGACTTTGAAGACAAGAGGGGGAGGTGACCAGCAAATTTGCCCAGTCCAAAAATTGGGTAGTATTTTGCACCTGGAACAACTGCACGATCGTTTCTTTTGGTAGTCCCTCTGATCAACCGTGGATCTGTGTAACGGAGGAATAACTTATGTAGGGACCGCGTCCAAGGAGTTCTTTCCTAAGATGTAAGACCTCGGTTCCTGAACAGGCAGAGTCCCCGCAGTGGGTTATCACCAACTGTATTTCAGGGGCATACAGGACCAACAAGATGACGAAGGATGATCATCCGTGATGGTAGCGCGCTCCCAAAGTTTTGCGGGGTGTCGGAAGGGCAAGTATCAAGCCCACGGAATTTAATTAATGGCCGAATGGGGGAAAGATCGTAGTATGGCTTTTTTTTTTCCCAGGATGCCGAGCCGAATTGAATCGACCGCGGATGAAGTCAAAGAAATGGAAGAACAGGGAAGCTTGCCTTCTTTGAACGGTACCTGGACCTTTCGGTGTATAATGTATTCAATAATGGGGAAACCCCAGATTCTCCTGATTTGTGGTTCTCAAGTGGGTTGTAGTAATAATGAGAAAAAATACCAAATTAAAAACAATCATTAGCCCAGACTCATACACGGCCCCCGGGGACTCAATCTTGGTAAATGAGGTACCGCCGGTGTATCTTTACATTCGACTCTGATCTGGATTTTGTCTATGGATAATGTAATCTATTGTCACCTTGGTGGTATTTTTAGGTAATGCTGTTACGTCACGCGACCGGGCGAAAATTCACATGTGATCGAGCGTTGCGATGAGCATAATGATCAACTCCACCTTTCGCTTCCCCAGCTTTCTCTCACTTCGATTCCATTCTGTAAATTTTCATGACTGGATCTTTGCTGGGCTAGTAACTTTCTTTCTTGTGTTGAAAGCTCGTTGCGCAAACTCCTTGTCCCACTATTGTCTCTTGTCGCAGGTCGAGTTCGATATACTAGGTCGACGAGTCGGGATTGATACCCACTTGATTCGAGATTCAACGACTGAGGAATGGTCATTCTTTGCTGGTCTCAACCGCTCTGGAAAAATCGGAGCACAATATCTTCAACTTGCCATTTCCGCCCCTCCTTCTCCTCATTTTTAACCCCGAAGTGATGAATGGTCCTGGGCCAGAGATCCAGAACGGGCGCAACTCCCCACCTCCGGGCCCGTTTGGCTGTGAGTTCCCATCAGGCCGTGACTGTATATTCTGGCAGCTTGCTAATGAGAATCTCAGATTCCTTCCTTTCCCCCATGGATACCCCATATGAACAAGCTCCCGCCTTGCCCCCGGGACCCTCTCTCCTTGACGATAATGAATCCAACATGCTAGACAATTTCTTTACGACTATGAATGCCAATAATAGCTTCACGAATGACTTTTGGGTTCGAACACAACACAATAAAGCACCGGGGCTTAACTTCGATTGGTCCGATGAACTACCGCCGACCTTTGAAGGATCCACAACATCCTTGTCGCAACCCTCATATCAGCAGCATAGCCTTGGAAAGCCAAGCATGATGGCGGGAAATACAGCAGGTACAGATATCTATGCCGCAGCCTCAATGCTTTACCAGGGTGACATGAATGGATCAGATATTGGGTCCGCACTCGCTCAACAGGTTTTTGGGACGCAGCCTCTTCTCAACGGGGCCCATATGAATGGACCTCATCCCCGTCACAACTCACAGTCGGCTTCTGTTGCGCAGGTGAACACTTCATCCAACAACAGGCTCCCCACCGGTTATCATACTTCTGAAATGCTCTTTGATGTGCGCGATCCCATTCGCGCGGACCAGCACCCATCTCGCAAGGTTCGCAGCCTTCAGTGGGGCACCGATATCAGCTTCATGGACCAAGGCTACGTGGCCCCACCCGATCAACCAGATGAAGAGACGCGTACCAGAGAGTTATTAAATCATCTTGATTGTTTTGAGCCGCAGACTAGCGCGGCCAATACACGGGCTCCCAGCCCCGAGCGCATGCCAGGAGGCCATGCCCATCGCTCCAGCATCCACAGTATCGATACGGAAGATGTCTCTCAACCGCGCAAACGGCAACGGATTATCAAAGAGTATCTTTCAGATGATGATGACGCGAAACTACCACCTCGCAAATCGCGCACCCCGAGCAACACCAAGGTGCGCCGTGTATCAACCAATGCGCCTCGCAAAGCGAGTATTCAATCGAACAGCAAGAACGCGCGGGAGAATTTGTCCGAAGAGCAAAAGCGAACCAACCATATTCTTTCCGAGCAAAAACGACGCAATCTCATCCGTCAGGGCTTTGACGATCTTTGTTCCTTGGTCCCTGGGTTGCGGGGCGGAGGTTTCAGCAAAAGCGCTATGCTCACCCAAGCGGCTGACTGGCTCGAGGACATCATACGTGGTAATGACATCCTGCAAAGTCAGTTGGCTGATATGAAAAATATCAACGGCCTCGTGATGCCTAGATAAAGCCAGTACTCTCTGGCACGGATACCCTGCTCTTTTTGTTTTCCTTGTCATTAAAGCGGTTCAGCGGTGGGCCAGGCAGGCCGTAGCTTGCCTGTGGGCGAGGATGGCGTTTACTTTGCGAAAGATACCATTTGTGTTTGGGGGCGGGCATTCTCATTTTAAATTCCATGATGCTACTAGTAATGTTCCATGATGAAGGGTAGGCTTCTGTTGATGTGTCGGGCATGGATTGCCTGTGAAAGTCCCCCCTGCGGAGCTATTGATTCGATTTCAAATACATACTACATACGCATATGCCTACATTAGGAACCTAACACCCTTTGGATATAGGTAGTACTCCTTCAATGTTGCTAGTACACGTATTCAAATAAACAATTTGTATTCCGTACATGTACTACATATCTTTTCAAAGGCTTCGGGGAATACCTGTTGCATGTAATCAGGTGATGTAATGTAGGTTTTAAGATGCGGCTTGAGTAGTGTATACTGCCTGTGCTTCAGCCTCCAACCGATACGATCCACCTGGACAAACGTCAATTTCGGAGATTTTTTAAACTTGGAAACTTTGAACGACAAAATGAAACACCGACCAAGTATAAGTTTCATCTGGTGGCATTGTAGGACTTCAAATGTTTATGGCCAACATTTGAAACAGCGATACAAAGCGGTATATGAACAAGACATTCATGGATGGACGTTCCCGGTGCCGATCCCGCTCCACCGCCCCGAGGTCCGCTCTGCTTAGGCTTGACGCGTCCTGCAGCATACAACTGTGGACCTTTGTTGACATCCATCACATCCAATCCAACCATTTGTTCAGCCCACAATGCCCCCCAAACGGAAGCGCTCTGGCGACGAGGAAAATGAGGCCAAAGATGAATCGCAAAAGGGCTACGCCTATCTGAAACCCCAAGTTCGTCGAGTTCCTGAAAAGACAATCAAATCGAAATGGACAACCCTCCCCGAGCCGGTCCAGGACAAGGTCCGAGAGATGTTCCATGCGCTTGAACGTCCGGTGGTCATGCGCCAGTCGAATGAACGCAAGCGAATCGAGGCGCAAAGCGCAGTCCAAGCCGTTGTGCGAAAGTATGTTGAGCCTGTCACCTACTAGTAGATGTCATTCAATTTCCGGCTACCAGAGCGCATCTTTTGTATATGGATTGAGCTAATCCTCCTTGACTCGATAGTCTTGCCAAGCGGCTGCCACGAATGCCATTCCCGCCTATTACCAACGGCTCGAACTTTGACTATGAGTCTGCTCTCGATGAACACGTACGGAACTACTTGATACGGTCATGGTTGAGCATTTCTGATTATATAAATACAGCGAACCCTTGAAGCGAGTCTGGCCACATTTAAAGATAGCACCGACCTTCTTAGAGCCGAAATTGCGAAAGAAGAAGCACTCCTTGCCAATGAAAAGAAGGAGCTCCAGACTATGGACAAAAACGCCAAGCGAGCAGTGGCTGAGCGAAAGAGGCAGTCAAAGAATGTAAGAGATAATTTACACGCCATGAAAACTTTCCCACTGACATCAATTGCTTCAAGGAACACCCTGTTCTCAGACAGCTGGATGATCTCCCCCAGGACTCCGGGTCTTCTGGATTTGCACTGGTTGATACTAAGCCGGACCAGGCAGCATTGGATGAGGTACGGAGGTTTTTCCCCCGAGATTTTATATCTCAAAAGACATCAACTTACGGTGTGGACTTTAGCTCGAAACCGACCCTGAAATCCAGGCACTGATGAAGCAATTACACGGTCACCTCCAATCTATGCAGACCAATACTGCTCCGCTTATGGGACTGAGAGACGCAATCACTCGGTCGCAAGCTGCACTGGACATTTTTGCGGGATCTGATGATTGAGAAAAGTATGCGATCGCAGTTTGAAAAACCATTGAAAACCGACCACCTCCTCGGAAGACTCCAAACACGCGGCCACATACAACAGCGAATCAAAACTGGAGAAACTTGACCAGCAAGATTTCGGCGCCGAGTTTGTGTCCCAATATCACCAAGGGAATCCCTAGCGCAAGGTCAGATCCCGACGCCTGAGCTGCAGCTGCAGTCGCTATGCGGCGATATAAAACCTGCCGATATCTCTGACATGTGAATCTCAATCTTTTTTTGTCAGGCCGGGCACGGTGACAGTCACATCTTAACAAGACAGGGTCCGCGCCCAGTCGATCATTCGTGGGCTGTCCAATCTGACCAATTCTATTGATCAGATCTGCGTCAGAAACGGAGAAACCCCCACAAGGTCCAAGCTGATGGTCCGGTAAAAACCCGCATAGTCACAGAATACACATTTTAGAATGAGAAATGAGACATTTGAAAGATTTGAAAAGATCGGCTTCAAGGCAAGCATGGACTGCCCTGTAAAAGACTAGAAGTAAAGACGAGGTCATCCGAGGCGGCTCTCGGTGGCGTTGCCGAGAAACGATCGGGGATTCCCCACACGCGGAGCAGAACGGAGGGGTCACTCCGCTTTCGCGAAAGCCTGAACTTTTGACTTTGGACGTTTCAACCTTCAACTTTCTTAACTGCAATGTCTGCAGGCAGCCATTCTGCCTGGTCCTGGTGATTACACGACAAATCGAGACCATGACTGAAAGGAACGTATCGGGTGTCGGTTCCGACAGGACTGCATCTGCCAAGTCCAGGGCCGGTGACGCAGCAAAGGATGCGCGCGCAAAGGAATCGCACGCATTATCTGCTGCCAAGGCTGAGACACCCAGCTCTGGCAGTCATTCCAGTCCCAAAAAGCGCCGCAAGGTCAATCATGGTGAGCTACCCACCGCACAAAGTCAATGCGACAGGGATCTGGGCGTTGCCCGCTTGCATTCTGGTTCGCTTGGCGATTTCAAAGTTGCGACTAATGGATCATATCAATTCTATAGCATGCGTTTATTGTCGCCGCTCGGTGAGCTTCCCTCTCCTCTCATTTCTCATAAACTTGCGCCCTTGTCTATCCCATCAATGCGACACCCCTTTGGGCTTCCAATCTTAGTGGGGGTGGTTTCTATTTTCCACAGAATAATCAATTTGCTAACGAAAGGCTATTGGTCGCGTGGGACAGCATATGACTTGCGATTCGGTACGACATCTCCCAGATTCGTCCCATTCAATCTATCGGTTATCCGTGAAACTAGTTTTCAACCGGAGAAAACGAAACCAAATGTGCCTGCTGACCAGTTTCAATTCATCTAGGAACGACCTTGTACTCGATGTATAAAACGCAACATTGGACATTTGTGCCATGACGAGCCCAGGGAACCTGCCAAACGTGCTCGAAGTGACCAGGACCACTCCGCAGCTGACGAAGAAGGGTCCTCGAACAATGAGCTGGGCAACGGTATGCCTCAGAATGTCGATGTCTCGGATGCTGCCGGTCAGCAAATTCTCTCCGACGGTACGATCGGGATCGCACCATCTTCGGTGCAGCCAGCAAACATTTCTTCGTCTGGTCAAGGTCTGGATGCCAATTCCCAGCAGCGTAAGTGTCAAATAATGGGAGGACTTTCCGACTCCCGCTGACTGAAAATATAATAGTGATGCCCTACAACGACTGGATGGGTGGACAAAACCAGTTTCAAGATATGCACTCCCTTCACCCGTCGTACATGTTCAATGCGCCTGAAGTCACGAACGAGTACAATCTGCTCGGGGACTTTTTGAGCAACAGTTTGCTAGATGACGGAACGATCTTTCAAAACCAGGACAACACTCAAGGGATCTACTCCGATCCTTCTTTGATGAATTCAATGAACTCAATGAACATCCCGAACGGATTGCCGCTGCAGACCCAGCTTCCACCTCCGGCAGTACCACATGGTGACGCCATTCAACGATCCAACGCCCCTGCCGTGGTCAATGACAAAGCCCGCGAGACATACTATATGACAGCCGCCGATCCTTCCGGATCGGATCCGCCAGAGGAGCGTATGAATAAACTCCTCAAAGCCAAGTATGATGCTGGCTTGCTCAAACCCTTTAATTACGTCAAAGGCTATGCTCGACTCAATCAGTACATGGAAAAGAACATGCAACAAATCTCTCGGCAAAAGATTCTTCGACAGCTTGACAAGTTCCGGCCGAAGTTTCGAGAGCGCATGCAGAGCTTGACAGATATTGAGTTGATTCTGGTGGAAATGTGGTTTGAACGAAGCCTCATGGAGTATGACCGCGTTTTTGCTAGTATGGCTATCCCAGCCTGCTGTTGGCGACGGACTGGTGAAATTTTCCGTGGCAATAACGAAATGGCACAGTTGATCGATGTGCCGATAGAGAGCCTGCGAGATGTAAGTCTTGCCCCCCTAAAATATTTAGTTTACGATTCTCTCTAACCAATCATCAGGGAAAACTTGCCATTCACGAAATCATCGTTGAGGACCAGTTGGTCAGTTACTGGGAGAAATTCGGTGCCATCGCCTTCGACAACACCCAGAAAGCTATGCTTACCAGCTGTACCTTGAAGAGCCCTACCGGGTCTGGCGAGGGAATTCAATGCTGCTTCTCCTTTACGATCCGACGGGATAACCACAATATGTATGTCATTTTTCATATCATTTCCCTATGCTTCAAGCTAACATTTCATGCTCTAGTCCCTCCCTGATCATTGGAAACTTCCTTCCCACACAGCGAATACACAAGTAGTTCATGTCACCCCACCATTGGATCTTTATGCTCGATATAGGTCTATTATCTTGTTTTTTTCTTCTTTTCCTATAAACGCTTGTCTATACGCAGTGTGGGTTAAGCCCCGGGGCACTTATACCCAATTATTTTTGAAATACCATAATCAACGAAATACATACCGTAGTCACCCTGAATGTTCCACCCCTTTACTAATTGGGTACTCGTGCTTTTTTGGTGTCCAGGATAAGGATTTTTGAAATATTGGTCCTGATTAGGTCCACGAGTACTGCCCAGGTGTACGTCCTTTTCATCATAAAATTTAATTTCATCTCTCTATGTATGTATTTAATCTGCCTTTGATTCAATAAAAAGACATACCAGTAATCTACTATAGGACGTGAAATTTTTTCTAATTCATTGATAAAGACAAATAAGAAATATAGGCTCTGTAGACATGACCTTGGCCAGCTAGAGTAATATGGGTATCATCAGAAGTGAAAAATAGAAAAAAGCAATAGGAAAAAGGGATGTCGCCATCTATAAAAGTAGAAAGATATATGGGCAAAAGAAGATGAGAAAAATGGTGACAGACGTGGAAAGAAAGAAGAGATATAGATCACCACAAAAAAATATTAGAAAGGGAAGAAAATGAAGAAAGGGAAGAAAAGGAAGTGAATATGGAACAAAGACAACCGGAATGAGGTTTTTTTCACAGGCGTTTTGAGCGCTAATTGAGGAATCTTTGCACTGCCATCATATCTCGTAGGAGACAATCATATAGCCACAATATCATGTAATCAAGGAAAGGAAAGATGAGGAGTTTTAGTCCATATGAAAGGACGTGGAGTGATTATTCATCAGTAGTTGCATCGTAAGATTGGCTCCTGAACCCCCTTGGCAGATTTCTTTGACGTAGCGATGGGGTCGAGGGTGCATGGCGAGGCCGATGAGACGACCTTGGAGATATAGAGGAGAAACTGGGCTTGCGGTCCATGTCTTTGCCACTACTATCTGTTTCTGTCTCGGCACTCTCCACACTCTCGTCACTTTGGAGCGATCGTGCATTGACAGCGCGAAGAGTGAGACTGAGTTCGCGCTCGAGATCTTTTTGCACTTCTATTTGCTCAGAAGAGGCATTGAGCTTCTTGCGATACGCTCGAAGAGTGCGGCACAATTGCTCAGTAGATATTTCCAAACTTCCGAGCTCGTTGCGGGACGATTGTTTTGTGCGAGATCTAAAATCGAGAGATGTGCGGCGATTTGTGTTCCTCATACCGTTGGGTTTCCTTGAAGCCGAGGGTCTAGATTTCGGGCTCACTGGTGAAGGAGAGCGGCGGTTTTGATGGATTGAAGTATACGAGGTTGGCGAGAGACGATTGGCAGGCGATGGTGTCTCTGCGAGAGAATGGTTTTTCAGGTTTGATGGCGTCAACGAGAGCTTGGACAACTTTCTCGATAAAGTCGGAGAGAGTTCGCGCACTGGTGTAGGTGTTCCCAGAGGATTTTCAGGTCGGAAGCCAGCTAACTCGCTTCTTGACAGCACCTTCCGAAGAGGGGGTTTGGCCACTGCCATCTCCTTCATCGGGCCATCGTCTTCGTTTCCATTTTGAAGATCCGGAGATGGCTGAGGTTGCACACACAAATTCCAAATCATCAAGATGCCATCCATACCTGCAGATATTAGGTTTCGTTTTGGGGGCGATTTATCAGAATCGCCAGCTTCTTCCAGAAGCAGAACGTCACAGACACCCTCAGTGTGGCCGAATTCCCCAGTGAGCAGGATATCTCTTTCAAGATCGTAAACCCGAATGGATTTGTCTGTACTGGAAACCCCGATAAGGAGCTTGGGACAGAGGCCAGGAATCTCCGACGTGACGGTCAATGATCCCATTACCACAGCGTCATTCACGTCTGTATCCGATGTTCGGAAGCAGTGTAGCTGTCGGCCTGAAGGAATGTCAAACTTTGAAACATTTCGGTCCACTGTCGAGACAAAGAGCGTATTGGGATCGTCAGGGCAGAGCGCCATAGAGACAGGAGATGCCTTCAAGGTGATGATCCGAGAGATAAGATAGGCGACCGAGGTTTCACCATTTTCTTCGCGGGTTGCACGCTCTCGGACAATAACCGTCCGGTCTGCAGAGCTAGACAACAGCCTCTCACCATCGTTCATGAAAAGAAGCTGCCCGACTGCACCAACGTGTTCATCCATAGTTTGGATCAGTCGCAAAGTGTCTTCTGTTTTCTGGAAAAGTTGCAACATCCGATCTCGCCCAGAACTAGCGATGAGGCAAGCATCGGGAGTGGTATGAATGGCGATGTCAGTGATCTCCGCGCCATGAGCCCGCGCTTCGTTCACGCAAGCCCATGGTTTAGTGGAGAGGAGCTTGAGCACTCCAAATTTGTCACCTGACACAAACCAGTCTCCCCTTTCTGAGGCTCTCAGGACCTTCAATTCATTTGCAACATCTTCTTCCACGGCAGCCGCTTGCTCCAGTGGCACCTTTTGTGAAGATACACACTTGCCTGGGGCTTCCCAAAAGTTCACAGTACCGTTCCGTGACCAGGAAAAAAAGTCGGCCGACAATTCGTTTGGCTTCGCGAAGCGTCGGATGCCGAGTACTGGGTCTCTGTGGGCCTGCATCGAAGTCTCCCCACTCTCCTGCTCGCCTTCGTCACGCAAAGCATCCATCGGATAGATGTTGATTTCACGAGTTGTCTCCACGGTAACGAGGTGCGAGAAAAGTGACCCCATGCAGGTGATTGCAGGGGCCTTACTCTGCTTATCAGGTGCTGGGGTGACTTTTCCTGATCTGACAGGCGACACAGGCGTCGATGAGGGCGCTGTCCGCAGGGCGTCGAAAGACATTTTCTGTATTTTCTTTCCACGTCCACCGAGCCAGATTGCCTCTCGATCGAAATCAACCGCTAGAGAGGTTATGCCAAATCCAAGCTGGCTCACAAAGGATAACTTTTGCGCCCCTTCTCGGTCATCGAGAAGACACACAGCACCAGATTCAGTGCCAACCACCGCTTCTTGGTCTGAGATGCTGGAAATACAACCGAATGTATTATCGCCCAGAGCTCCCAACAAGCAATTCCTCCCCGACAGGGCTTTGGGAGCGGGGTTTGGTGACGGGGCAGCTCCATCCATATGCAGCCGAGACTTGGTTGGGGACACGGGGCGTTGAGGAACAGGTAGTCTCCATACTTTAACATGGCGCACACCGGTTCTATCGGTCCATTAGTCGTCTATCACATATTTTGAATGTTGTTGGGAACATACGTCACCAATGACTGGCCAACCCAGCACATGTCGCGAATAAAAGCCGTGCATTTGTTTGCCGAGTGTAATCTGGCAGACCCATTCTTGAGGTTAATGGCCCAAATCAAGAGAAACCCGTCGTTCATGGTGCCCAACGTCGCCAAGTATTGGGAGTCGGGACTGAAGGCTATGCTGCGCACACCGAATGTGTGTTCCGATAGAATCGAGAGGGGAACATCAGGTAAAGCGTCTTTGGCCGTTGAAAAGATCAAAACTCGAGGATTGTAACCGGTCTAACCCACTGTCAAATCCCATCCCCCGCATTGCATGATGGTCGTGTTTTCTTAATGTATTGCACTCACCTCTCCTACAGCTAAAAAGCGTCCATTGGGGCTAATGGAGACACTGGTGACAGCCTTGACTCTTTCTCTAGAAGACCAGGCGCGAGGACTGCCATTATCGGGGCCTTCGCTTGACGGTGATCCATTGGGGACATTGAGGTGGGGGTTGGAGCGAATGTGGGATAAGGATCGTGATCGGGGGTCCGGTGTAGATGGAGGGGTTCCTTGGTTGTAAAAGGAGGATATTGGGTTCACGCTGGTAGCGGAGGGACGAGCTCGAAAAAATCGTTGTGTGACGTTGGCGTCATCATCCAGTTCGGCAAGGACGGCAGCAGAACCTGCGCACAGCGCGAAGCTCTTGCTTTGATCGTGACTGGAGAATCCATTAGGGGTGGTGGTGGAAGTGCCGAGGACTGTCTGAAGGGAAAGTGTCGATTGATGGCAGGATTTATTGGGAGATCGAGTGCCTGGTCTCAGAACCGGGGAATTGGAGGGGGTTATTTTGAGGGATGCGCCGGGGCCGGCAAGCTTGCTTTTAGCGCTAAGAGGTGCGGTGGTCGCCATCGCATGAGCCAAAGTGGTCGGATATAAATCTCAGTCCCCTGAGCGGGGGTTTCGCACGTCACTCCACGAACGCATTCGAGGCCCAATTGTCGGTTTGGGGGAAATTCGGGGGTAAAGAAAACAAAGAGTGTGTGGCGGGGGAAGGTAAAAGGAGGTGTGGGGGAGCTGAGAGAAGTGATGAAAATCAATAATGAATGACTACTAGTAGAGATTACAGGGCTGGAGCTATGAGCCCAATAATCCAACTATGAAGCTTTTTTTTAGAAAAGAGAAAAAAAAGAAGGGAAAAAGGTCAAGATGAGAGCAACAAACATGGAGCTTCATTCCACGCTAAAAAGTGATTGTCGATCCATTCCAGACGATCTGGAATTCTGGGATCTCAGCCCGCTTACTGAAGTACCTTTTTTTTTTGGATCTATAACATTTGAACATGGAAAAACAAAACATCCCCTTGAAATTAGATAAGTGTTTTAATTATAAAGGTTCTCGTGATCAGCTTTTAAGCTTATTATTCTCATATGAAAGTTTTTGAGCTTTTGATCTTAGCTTCGAAAAGGAAATTAAGAGATGAACAGGTGGGTCACAATCCACCAAACACATGAATGTATGCTAAGTAGGCATACTTGAAGTTGAACCTTCATGATACACGTATAACCTTCCTCACGTCAAATCTATCCTGCGTCTTCGAATTGTTCCACGGCAGCACATATCCCCGTTGGTTGCTCACAACTCTTACCCCCTCCTCCTTGAAATCAGTGGTATAATGGGTGTGCCCGAACACCCAGACTCTCACTCCATCTGGTGTTTGTGGTAGAATATCAGTTCCAAAGGCAACACTCCAAGGCTTCTGGGCGTGTTGCGGGCTCGATGTCCTCTGTAGTAAAGGAGCGTGGTGTGTCACAACAAGGATAGATTGTTTTTTACTCCGCTTTTCTGTCTTTCCGTTTTCCTTATGTATCAAATGTATCTCTTCCAATAACCAAGCGAGATCTGAATCATGGCTTGCATTATGCTCATCAACTGACCAGCCTTGAATTTTTTGGAAATCTTTGACCTTTGACCGGACGACATCCGTTAATTCATCAGGCACTTTGGACCAAAGCGTGCAGCCTAGGATAGTGACACAAGAACCCGGCACATCAAATCGTTTCTGATGAAGGACCATAAATCGTCCATTTAAGGAAGGTTCTCGTTCAAGTTGTCTAGCCTTTTCCAGCCCTGCCGAGAAAGTCCCATTGTAGAACTCATGATTTCCAGGTATGAGAAACACCAATTTGAATCGGTCCGTCTGTTTTTGTAGGAAATTGCGATAGTCATCATAGTCCGTTAAGCGCCCAATATCACCCGCAAGAATAAGATATTCTGCACAAACTGGAATTTCGTAAGATAGATACTGCCGGTTAATCTCAAGGTGGAGATCAGAGAGAACTTGAAAGTACACAGAAGACCGATTTAAAAAAGGCCATACTTTCTGGAGCATTTTGTCGCTTTAAGATGCTTTGAATGTTTGAAGCGGCAGGTATTAACCGTCACATGATCTAACCACTAAGTGGTGTGCTGACCAAACGGGGCGGGAGGCCCCCCAATAGAGGTTCCCCCCTCTATTGGGTCAGCACACCACTTAGTGGTAAAGTCATGTGACGGTTACTATTCAAAAGGAGGGAACGGAACATCTGGATTCTGGAGCTCTCGACACCTGGAGATGGCCATGCACTTTAGTCAGCCAACTCACCGCCTAGTTAACCTGCCCCCACCCAGGGGTTATAAGTTATAACTTATCCTCTCTCCCGAGTCCCGAGTCCCCCATACTTGGTAGTTCAGCCGGTTCAACAACCCCCACAGGGGATGTTACTCACTTGATGAGTGTTGCCATGCTATGGAAGCCGGAAGTCTACCCCTTCTTTTGCAAACGCTATCAATGTAAATTACACATGTGAGCTGTATACCTCCGCAGGCTCCGCAGGCTCCGCTCTATAAACATTTAACGGAGAAGAACGAGCACTTACGATATATTCACGGAATACATTTGAAAAGGGGTCCTCAACGCTCAATTGATGGTGACAAAAAGCAACATTGAAACTTCGAGTAGTGATTTTTTCTGATTGCCACTTCTACCAGTGCTTTCCCCTCTGGGCTCTAGTATCGTGTGCATCATAGAATACCTAGCGACTTGCCAGGCCTCGCGATAATTTAAGCAATCATATGATCAAATTGTCGACATGCCTCGACAGTGGTATTGAAAGCCATCAGTCGCTTCAGGTATCCCACATTACCCCATCCCCATTGAAATTCATGGTCAGGGTCATCCCAATTAACGTGAGTGAATGCTTCGTCTCGGGCGTCAGCCTCGGGTCCATCATTCATATGGTATAACATCTGATTTTCGACCGCACCCTGGACGTTGATTGTTGTTCTTTCCTTGCGAGTGAGCTCGTATAATCGTAGAACATCGGGAACTTTGGAGGCAGGGAGATCACTTCTTGAGAGTTTTCCAAGAAGAACACCGAGGGTAGCTCCATCTTCAACTGCCATTGCGGCACCTTGTGCTTGGTAGGGCAAAGTAGGGTGACAGGCATCGCCTAAAAGAGCAATCGAACCCTGAATGTTCTATTAGGTACTGCTTCGTTGCCATTGATTGCCGTAATTGTATGAGGACCACTCACCTTGCACCACGTATCCAACTCTTCCATGTGACAGATCTTCCATTTAAGGGCGTTGTCAACTTGTGCGATCATTTTTGTCAATCTATATGTGTATTGTTAACCCTTGTAGAGCGTTGATATAAATCCAATGATATCTTGCCTTGGATCCCATCCTTTGAACAAGTTTCGCATCTCTTGGACATTTCCCTCTTTGGTAGCCACACCTGGTGGTAGGTCATCAGGGCAACTGGAAAGACAGACAAGTCAATGGAAAATCGTCAGAATGAATTAGAATGGAAGGGGTAAACGAACACTAAAACAAGGTTATAAGTGGACCCGCTGCGTACTGGATACAAAACAGCATGTTGTCGGGGTCCTAACCAGCATCGCAACGAAGGCTCAATCAAAGACTTGTCAAGAGCCTCGACCCGTTCCTTGGGGAAAGTTGCTCGATAGGCCAAGTCCCCCGTGTCACTAGGATCAACATGATACCCAAGGACCTCATCACGAACTACTGACCGCAGCCCTAGATGAGATCATATGCAGGTCAGAAACTTGGTACATATTTACATCAAAGTGGGTACAAAATTGCCATCGTGTCACATACCATCTGCACCGATAATGATGTCCGCATATAGTCTCTCCTGCGAAGCAAGTAGTACCGAGGTGGTCTTCGAGTCGGCCGAAATAACTTCCGACGCAAGACGAATCTTCGCGCCCAGTCTAGTGGCTTCCTCGCGCAAGACACGGTGGTAGTCAGCACGGTGGATTACATACCAAGCTTGTCCAAAGTGTTTTCGCTGCCATGCGTGACCGGGTCGGTTGGCGATGGAATCACCATTGGTATATTTGAGGAGAGAGTGAGAAGAGATGTTGACTGCACCGGCTTTCTCGAGCTCCTCGACTAAACCAAAATCGGCCATGACTCGCACCGCGTTGGGCGGCATCTGGATCCCAGCGCCGATCTAGTTGGATGGTTGGTGGTTGGCTTGGTGTTTTCAAGAAATCATCTTTGGTCTGTCTTACCTCTCCTAGCTCATGCGCTTGCTCCACCATTGTTACTTGAAGTCCTTCTCGAAGACATGCGATCGCACAGGTTAGACCACCTATTACCTCGATCTGTTAATTTCTCCAAATGTCAAGAGTAAAGGACTGCTTCATTATTACATACCTAACCCACACCCGACAATCAAAATTTTGAAGTCATGACGAGGACCAGTGGACTAGGCAGGACATACTCGTTAGTGCGGGGCTCCTGTTGTTTCTCTGTTTCCATTTGTTTCTTATTTAGAGTAATCCGGGGTATAGAATCCACTTGCAGTCTGTTCGATGGCCATGTTTAATATTCCGATAGTCAAATGCCACGGCTTTTCTTCTGGTTTCAGCTTGCAAGATATCCTTTCCCCATGAACACAATACCAGAAGGGGGAATGAAAAAGTGGAAATACTCAAACATTATCTGGGGGGGGGGGGTACCTCACCCATGCAAGGTGCCATTCCAATGCATCAGAGTTAACTAGAGAGCGACTAGTATGATCGCTAGCCCCACCATTTTCTGAATGTGGTGGATCCCCGGGGGCCCAAGTCCCGCATGGATTAATGGAAACTAATCAATACACTGTAAAAATGTACAAGCGGATGAGATGTATATGATACAGTATAGAATTGAAGGGTTGTGCCTAGTTACACTTGGGGATGCCCCTACCCTAATTGCCCAGATTGCCATGACCCCCATGGATGCTTCCCAGGTTCTCATGTAAACTGCCGGTGTTTCTGACTTGTTCATTTTCCTGTTATTCTCATTTTTCAGATCTTCTCGAACACATCCTCTAGCCTTTCTTTTAGTTACTTTTTTTTTTCCCTCTGGCTCCATCTCCGACCTCTTGGTGCTAATGTATAGTCCCGGCTCTCCCTGCTCTCCCTGCTCTCCCTATTATCTCCATCATTCCCTTCTTCTTCTCTTTTGATGTTGTGAATTTTTTTTTTTTTTTCAATTCTTTTCTTTAAATACACACACATATCGATATCATGGATATACTCGAAGATCTCGAGAGAAACAATATGCCGGGGAAGTTGAAGCATACACCATCGGGATTGTTACTGGTACCACAACCCAGCAATAACCCAGCAGATCCTTTGAATTGGCCACTACGGAAGAAAATTGGTGTTTTAAGCTTGGTCTCTTTATGCACTTGGATAGGAATTGCGCAGACCTTAGCCAACCAGTCAGGATTTTTCGCACAAGCAAAGACTTACCACAAGACTGCAAACGAGTTATCCTACTCGGTAAGTCATTGACCGTGAAGCGTGGCAATTCTCACGCGATTTCCACGTGGATTATTGTGGTTAAAATCTTTTTTTGGCCGTTTTCTTTTCTTTTTCTTATTAGACGATCCTGGGTCCTTTTGCTTTTGCTTTTCCTTCCCCTTTCGTTTTACGATTCTTCGGTCAGCTTTATTTGAAGCCTTACTGACACACCCCTGCATGATAGGCATCTGCCGGGATTGCGGGACTGGCCACTGGGCCTTTCCTCTGGGCTATTCTGGCCCAGAGGATAGGGCGAAGCTCTTGTATATTTTGGGGTTTACTTGGGATGCTAGGGTGTAGCGTCTGGTCCGCATCCATGACCGGGCGAAACCATTACATCCCCTTTATCATCTCTCGCTGGATCGGAGGAACGTTTGGCTCCGTAGCCTCGACCATTGGGGCTGGAACTATCTTGGATCTCTTTTTCCTCCACCAGCGTGGGAAAGCATTCGCTGTCTACAGCGTATGTACCCTGTTCGGTGTTCAATTCGGACCGACTTTGAGTGGGTTTATTGTTGAGTATGCTCCTTGGTCGATTCAATTCTGGTGGGGCGTTGGTGCAGAGGGAATTCTTGCGATCATTGTGTTTCTTTTTCTGGAGGAGACTGGCTTCTCGCGTGATGGCAAAGTTTACCCTACCCTTCCCGAAGGATGGCTCTCCAACCGGATTGCTACTTTCTTGCCGGGTACCGCGACTGTCCCACAGTCCAAGGATGATGGTCGGCGGTCTGCCAAGGCTTTGCTCTTTGTTGCTGCATGTCCAGTGACCATTGTGACAGGCGCAGTGCTCTTCTTAGCCTTCGGATGGGCCGTAGGTGTAGTGACGCTGACTTCGGTTTTCCTGGGTACTTCCATTGAAGATGGCGGCTATTCATTCTCTCCTCTACAAGTGGCCTGTTTCACTTTCGTCCAGTGGATTGGTGTAGCAGCTGCGGAGATATGGGGGGTTTTACTCAATGATCGCATTCCGTTGTGGTTCACCCGTCGGTACTGTAATGGTGTCTGGAAGCCTGAGAATCGACTTTTCCCTTTGCTCTGTATGCCAGCCATCTTGCTTCCTGTTGCCCTGGGAATCTTCGGTGCTGGCTTGCAGTATCATTTGCATTATATGGTCCTGGGACTGGCCATCTTCTTGTTGCAGCTCAGCGAGGTCTCACTCGTTCCTGTCATAGTGAACTATGGCGTGGAATGTTTTACAGATTACTCACAAGAAGTGGTGAGTATCCTCAATTTTTGTCGATTGGCACTCGGTCTGACCATTCCCTTCTTTATTGGCGAGTGGCAAGCGGCTGTTGGTACGGCCTGGGTGTTTGGAATGATGGCGCTGTTCAGCATTTTTGCATTTTCCCTCGCCGGACTTCTGGCCTGGAAAGGGGACAAGCTTCGCAGCTACTCGTTTGCGAGTCTGCAAAAATTAGAAGGAGGTGTGCAATTAATTGATTCGCTTGGGCCGACTACAGACGCTTGCTGATATGTGGCTTGTGGGATTATGATTATCCTACCTTTCTCCTTTCCCCTTTTTTTATCTTTTGGTTTTTTTTTCTCGCTTCATTTTCCCTTTGTGTACATACATGAGATTCGAGAAGCACAGGGTATGTGGGGACCGGGCACGAGTCCCTGCATGTGGCCATGAAATTTACAACAACATGTAGTCTCATACTAAGATACTATACATAATCACAGCTCACGGCTAAGATTCTCCATACAAATTCTTCCCTCGGCAGCCCTTTGTTTTTGTTTACGCAAACCGGTTAAAACTTAAGGATAGGTACATACTGTTAGTACGTACTACTGGCAACAACAAATCCCCCAACATTTGAACGCCTCAAGTGCTCGGGCTACTGCGTCTGACACGTCGTATTTGTATCGGGCTCCGTTGCTTTTTTTTCAAGTGACTACTAACTCAAGTTTTGGATAGGAATACTCGTAAGTCTTGTCTCAATGGGTCAAAACCTTGGAACTTAGGTAATCCGAATCAGAGTGGCCGTAGTAAAACGGAGGTACTCCGATATGAAATTGTAACCCCACCAACATCTGAAAAAGAATGAGAAAGACAACCCTTGCGCCGATTATTGCTTCAGTCCTTTGTACAAGGAACCGTGCAGGGAGAAGCTTAACGGCCAACCAACATCGCTGATCCATAGTTAAATGTGACAGGTCAACCCCACCATAGCATTGTTTGTTACGACTCCCCAGTGTGGTGTTGGTGTGGTCATGAAACAGATTTACTCATCAACTTGAGATTTTAATTATCCACCTGGGCATTCTCCTTCTCAAACGACTTTACTCGCTTTTCTCGGAACACGTTCTTGAAACAATGACAGCGTGTGAGACGAATGCTTAAAAATCAACTGTTCGCAATGGTTCGCAAAGAAATTCCATCTTCGCCAGACCGAGTCAGGGGACTGAATCCGATACGTTCAGCCAGTCTAATTGCATATCATCCGCCCTAGCGTCATGCACGGTGCCGATCCATCGCAAGGTGTTACTACCCGTTCTCACAAACCTGCAATTGTCCTCTAGACGAGCCAATCGGTCGACAGCCTCGTTGGCCCTTCATTGGGGAGGATGACAGTCTCATTTCTAATGTAGACATTGATCTGCATAAGGTGCTACCCCCAGCGGGTCCAATTCATTATTTTCATCATTTGACAAACTTAAGAGCTTGTCTGATTTGTGTATTGTTTACCGGTAAAAGACCTGCTGCTAGGGTCGTCTCCGAGGCTTCAACCTTTCAAGACGGGTTGAAAGGTGACATTTCAAATATGGGTAATTGAATAATTCATGTAACAAATATGGAAATCCGGTAGATGACATGGATTTGGTAACATTGCGTGGATCGGGTTGTAGCTTTGGAATGTATGGATTTTGGGCTGGTGTTGATAAGGTGAGGATTTTAGGATCACCCACGTACATACTGCATATACAATCGATGTGCGGTCGTTACTACTCTTTCTTACCTTAATTAGTATATCCATAGATGATCGTGCTTCGAAGGATCAATTGATCATATAATCTAACCTACGGTCATCCCTGGCTACATCAAGTTCAATAAGCCACTCATGTTCACTTCTCCTGGTCAGTCAGGCTGATTGACCTTCCTTTCTTGAAGATGGCCTTGACAGGCCAGCAGCCGCTCGTTGTGGGTGTCTCGGTCGCTTTGATTATCTTGGCGACCGCTTCCGATGCTTTGCGATTCTTTTCTCGGTGGATGATGCGGTCTGGTTTATGGTGGGATGATTGGTGCAGTTTATTTGCCCTGGTAAATCTCAGTGCCAAAGGCGACCCTCAATTTGGGATGTTGAAGCTAATTGTCTCTGTGGATAGATTCTTTCTTACGCTTTCAACATCAGTCAGTTCGTCAGTAAGTACTTCACTACACCAATGCAAGTTACGCATATACATTTTCTACTATGGCATCAACTTACCTTGGATCGTCGATAGGCGTGCACTGTCATATGGGCCAACATGGCGCGACTGTCTCAAATGAAGCGGGTTCGATCACTTGCACGACTAAGGTTTGTTTTTCAAATCTGCATACTGGCTGGTTGAAGAATGAAATAGTTGACCGATTTTCAGACACTATACTCGGTGATCATGATCTACACAATCTGCATGCCAGCGATCAAGGTAACCATGGTGCTATTTTACTGGAGATTGTTCAGTGGCGGTCGAAAGATTCGAATAGCATTGTATACAATTAGTGGGATGCTCTTTGCCTGGTTTGTTGGGGCCTTGGCTAGCGGTCTGCTGGCTTGCGAGCCACTGGCGAAGTTCTGGAACAACGACATCCCTGGACGCTGCCTTCACACAATGACTTACTTCCGTGCTATTGCTGGGACCAACCTTGCAACGGACGTTCTACTATTGGTTCTACCCATTCCCATTGTCTGGGGCCTGCATCGACCAGCTGGTGAAAGGCTTGGTCTCATTGCTGTGTTTACCCTCGGGGCTTTGTGAGTAAAACTTCGCAATTTAAACATCCACTCGAGAAATAACTAACGATAATCAAAAACCAAATAGCGTCACAGTTGTCAGCGTCATTCGAATAGCACTTTTGACATCCCCGGAGGATCCAGATCCACTATGTGAGTCTCGGAATGATCTCGCATTCCATCCCTATCTGCATGACCTTGATTACATCGCTAACTTATCTTTCTAATTCTTAGGGGCCAATACCCAAGGAACCATATGGACGTCGGTCGAAACTAGCATTGGCGTCGTCTGTGTCAACCTTCCCACCATGTCTCCCCTATTCCGTCGATATATCCTCCGCCGCGAAATCAGCTCCTTGAACTCCAAACCGAGGAGTCTTCCTCTGTCATACCCTCCCAGCAGCAAAAAGCCCAATGCTCACCCTCGCCGTGGTAATTCGACATCGAGTACCGAGGGACTTGAGACTATGTGGTCAATCTCCGATACTTACCACCCAGATCTTGTGACAACAGATTCGACTGTAAATGGAAATGGTGATGAAGGTTTTGAAATGGAAGGGTTGGAAAAGCACTCGCCCGAACCTGCCGTTTGTCAGAGCTGTGACGATGGTGAAGAGGGCCCCAAAGGAGATGTTTGAAGCAACGAACAATCATAAAGATTGTATAATGTATATCAACTATTCTAAAGCATTCCAAGGTTGGGTGCATATCTACTGCAGTATGCATCAATACGTATGGAAATTGCCGGTGTGCCATAATGCCATTGCGTGGACCTTAATGATATTCGAAAGCTCCCTTATTTATGGGACAGTATTTGAAAGATATCGCATTTGAGACCTAAAATTTGAACATTGAAAAATCCATAGATTGATCAATGGATGTTTAATGTAGATGGTGCACATAAATGAGCCTCTAGAGTCTGGAACATGGAACATGGATTGGACTGATCTTGACACCTCAAGATAATGGCACTAAGATCGTTATCTTATCGGTGGCGCATTTCTATCCTTTCCAATCGCGCTTTTTCTCTCCTTTGGCATCAGACAAAGGCAATATTTGAAAATGGCATCCCCCTGCGCTGCCTCGTCCAGGCTAGCGCTGCCGACAGTATTCCGCAGCCTATTTCGCTCTGAGACTCCTCGCAGTGCGCGCATTCCGCAAGCGCTCTGCCAAGCCAGACTGTTCAGCTCGACTATTCCATCCCGTCAGATACAGGAACAACTGCAAAATGCAACCACTGAACCTCAAAAAACCTCTTCCTCTAAGCCCCCACAGGCCTCCAAATCTATCAATACCCCACGTTTAGCCTCCGAATTTCAAGGACCATCTACGGACTCGGCGAAATCGTCCAAGAAAAACCACGATTCAAAGCAGAAGAATAAGGACCGCAAGGATCGCAAGGATCGCAAGCCCTTCAAAAACTCCGACAAGGACAATAGGTTGGACAAGGCAAAGCAAGTCCTACCGAAGAAAAAGACTCCCGAGCCCTGGAAAACTCAAAAAAGTGCACTCGACAAGAAGTTCCCGACCGGTTGGAACCCCCCCAAGAAACTCTCACCCGACGCTCTTGATGGAATCCGAAGCTTACATGCAAGTGCACCGGACAAATTTACAACATCGGTATTGGCAGAAGAGTTCAAAATTTCACCCGAGTCGATTCGCCGCATCTTGAAGAGCAAGTGGAGGCCGAAGGCGGAGGAAATCGAAAGTCGGCGCACACGGTGGGAGGCGCGACATGAGCGCATCTGGGGCCACATGGCTGAGCTTGGTCTGCGACCAATGACCAAGAGTGCTGTCTCCTCATCCGACTCCAAAATGTTGTATAGAAAAGATGTGGAGGATGTGGAGGATCACGAAAATAAGGGGAGTAAGGAATAAAGCAAGCTGTCACATATGCAGTCGGGGCTTTTCTGTACACTATTTCGAAGTTGGAGTTTACTTGCCCATCAGCACCTGGGCAGGCAAACAATGTATACTATGGTGCTTTTTCTTTGATATAAACGGGGCAATCTCCGCATGGACTTGACAATGACGATCTACTACTTTATCGTTCTTTTGTGAGACCCAGAACATGGGATAGTGCCAGAATACTACTAGTACGCATACATAATTGACTTATCTGAAACTTGAGATACCTTGCATGTGCCATAGCTTCCCCCAAAAGGGTTATGTAGATGTACTACTAGTCAACTAGTAGTTGACCTGGAATTTTCAGTGAAAGCTAAAGTCCAGATGTTGTTTACTAGGCCAGCTCCTTTTTTTGGATAGCATCTCCCTACAGCTGATTTGTTTAGTGGAAGGGGGCGTACAGCTTTCAAGTATTGACCTCTTTTTGCAATCGACATATCATGTAGTCAAAAAAAAAAAAAAAAAGTACCAGTAGTAAACATACAAAAACATCTTCTGAAATGTTGATAGGTACCAACAGGTAAGAGTTCGGGCCAAGTTAAACTAATACGAACCGGAGCTCGAACTGTGGAGGCACCCGTCACGCAACTCGCTGATCTCCGCCTCGGCAGCAAATACATGTACCTTGCACCTCGAACCTGCCTTGGCCTCACATCATGGCGCTTTCGACATGAGAGGTTTCAAATGTCGGCACACTCCTTGATGACCTGCTTCAACCGCCTTTGATTCCCCTCAATTCCTTCGCCCCGCGAGATCCGCCTCCAAGACAGCTTCCGGCCCATATGCTAACCGCGACGCAATGCCGTCCAACATCCAGGTCTTTGTGAAATGGAAGGACCAGACAATCTTTGCGGGGGAGAACGTGGAATGTACTATAACATTCAAGAACGTGGCCGAGATCAGGTCCGATACCAACCCTGGTGAGGGTCAACATCAGCGCAAGGCATCTCGAGTCGCCAACCACTCCAGCACCAATCACTCCGACTCCTTTTTTGGTTTCAAATCACCCCAGAGACTCTTTTCGGACAGACGCTCCTACTCGATCGGCTCGCCCAGGAGACCAACAGCCCATCGCACCGCTTCATCCCTGAGCTCCCCACTCGTTGCATCCCAGAGCTTCCCGCCCGCTGGCAACCCCTCCTCCACCCCCCGAAGCTGGCAACCTGGTCACAGCAATAAACGATCAGTATCAATCCTTTCAATAGATAGTGAAGGCCTGCCAGATGCTTCACCTTCGCCGCATTATAGTCGGGGCAAGCCTGCTAGGGGTCATGGGCGCTCAACCAGTCTTCAGATCACACCCCGGAGGAATGACAGTTATGATGATTCTTATCGAAAAGGTATGCTCGACGCGTGTGCATTGCCCTCAGTAGTATATATGAGCTAAACCAATCTTTATCTTAGCTGCCAGAGCTCCCATGCGTGGCTTACCACTAAGAGAATCTGACGAATCTGCTCTCGGAAGCCTACGAGTTGACACCAATAATTCGGGATGCACAAGTCGCCCGGGGTCCATTGCTGAAAGCCCCGTGGATCCAATCGAGCCATTACGCCTTGCACGAAGACCTCAGCTACCCTCCTTTGATTTCAAGTTTCCAGCTGCGAATCCAAACGAATCCAACCGCCCCGCCCCGTCCCCTTCACCCAAGTCCGACAGACTCCAGTCACCAGCCAAACCCCCGAGGAGGGATCCATCGGGGCTAGGTCCTCCATCGCACCAGCAAGTCACACGGATTATATCAGCAACTAGTGTTAATGGGAGCAGTCGAAGTAGCGGCGAATTTTACTCGGTCAGTGATCACTCGAGCGAAACGTTAGCATCGGAGTATACAAACTATTCGGCTCAAGGAGGACGTGCACCTCCTCCAGCCCGACATGCAAGACACTACTCCAGCGTTGCTCCCTCCTCGGTCCAGCCCACAGACAGCCAGGCGCTGCTGATGGGCTACGCCCAGATCAGTGCATCATTTACAGTTGACGGCTCCCTGGTCAACCAGTCTGTGTTTGATGAGGTGAAACGCAAAGGAGTGGTTGGTGGCCAACCCGGCACAGGTGGGCTTCCTGGACGACCAAGCGCGGCCAGTACTGAACGTTCTCGCAAGGGGGGTGGTGGTTTCTGGGGCGCACTCAAGTGGAACGCCATTGAGGAATCGATCAGTGGGTTGCTATCAAACAACGAACTGGACGGTCTGCGAGACATGCGTGGTGTTGCTTCGTCGCGCTCAATTCCGCTGCTCTCTACCCCACAGTCACTTCTTTTTGTAGATTTGCGACTGGCGCCAGGAGAAGAACAATCTTTCTCCTTCTCCTTCTCCCTTCCCAGGGGACTCCCGGCGAGTCACAAAGGAAAGGCCATCAAGATATCTTACAATCTTGTGATCGGAACTCAACGACCCAGCGCGCCCAATGACACTCAACGTGTCAACCGCATCAACATCCCGTTCCGTGTATATAGTGGAGTTAATGGTAAGAAAATCCATCACCGCGGCCTTTCCAATTGCTAATAGCCTTGCAGAAAACGGAGACGTCCTGGGTCATGATTTAATGTCTCCATATGTGCTTCTGCGTGATGAAGCCAAAGTTCAAAAGGTTGGACCTACCACCCCTGTGGTTGCACAACCGAAGAGCTTAAGTGGACTTTGGAACTCGGCCGGGGACTTCATTTCCTATGTCGATGAGATTCTTGAAAAGCGCGCACGATCAAATTCACTCTTCCCACCGGGTGCGCTTCCAGAGCGCCGAGCAAGCTTTGACGGCCCTCCCCAGCCCCTTTCTTGCAAGGACATCATCGACATGGCAATTCTTCGCAGTAACCAAACAGCCCAATCATCACGGCGCAGTCCAAATAGATTTGAGATTGCCCGTGATGGCCAGCGCATCGCTGTTGTTGTTCTCAACCGTCCTGTACATCGAATTGGCGAAACTATTATTGCTACCGTGGATTTCGGCAACGCTGCCATCCCATGTTATGCTGTTCGAGCTTCGTTGGAAACATCTGAAAAGGTCGTGCCTACTCTGGCTGTTCGATCAAACGCCAGTATCCACCGAACTACGCGTCGCATCCATGCATCCCTGTTTGAAAATACCCTATACGCCACCCGTGTGGTTTTTAGCCCTGCTATTCCTACTACTGCAACCCCAACTATTCTCACCAGTGGCGTGACCCTCGATTGGGACCTGCGCTTCGAATTTGTGACACCGAATATACTCAACGAGAGTGGCCGGGGGCCTTCGGGCACAAAATTGCTTGAGACTATTTCGTCCGATGATCGAGGTCAGGTTCTTTCTGCCCTGGAACATTTGGGATGTGAATCATTTGAAATCTCTATTCCGTTGACTGTATACGGCGAAAGCGTCCGAGAGCAATTGCCAGAGGAGAATGACGGGTACTCTATTTAGGTGTGATTTCCGGTATTATTCTTTGTCCCTGCCGTATAGGCGGCTGTCTCGTGTATTTGTCTCAATATTCCCCTATCCATCTGCGGATATGTTTCAGTCTCTCCAGCTTCAAATGTTGATTTGGATGAGGTCTTACTATTCCGCGAAATCTTCTAGGTACTCACCACAAATTCAGTACATACATAATTCTTCTTGACTGCCATCAATCCCTTGTGTATCTACAGTATGTCCCGCGGTAAGTCCATGCTAACCTTGGAAGGGAGCCATACTAGGTACCATCAATGGAGTTGGGCTGGAAAATTGCGGGGAACATAGATCATGTCTGGGGAACCCCTGTAACATGACGTAGGGTGTTTCACCCTTGTCACAGGGATAAATAGCGAAGGTATTCGGACTTTGTACCATGAAAATTTGAGGGGAAACTGGGAAGTCAGCTCCTCATTGGCTTCTGGGTAACGCCCTTGTTCTTCGGGCCTGCGCAGCCTGACCTGACATCATATGACATGCCTGAACAAAGATACTCAGGTCAAGATAATACTAGTAGTCTACGGAACACTTATCAACCTGAATTTTTTTTTTAGGTACTCTCACTCTATACAAACATGACACTTGTAGGTGTCGAATCTGTTGGTTTTATTGGCCTTGGGGCCATGGGGATGTGGATGGTGGTCCATTTGGCCGAAAAGCTACCACCGACGGTCAAGATTTACATTTTCGATATCGTCACACCTCTGATGAATGAATTATTTGCCAAATATCCGCAAAGAGTGGTCCGATGTGTGAATCCAAAGGATGTTGCGGATCAATCGGTACGTGCTATGAGCTTCCAGATGTCCATGGCTATTCCATCTTTTGGCCTTTCTCGTTAATTAAAAAGTATCTATGCTGATTCGATTTGCAGAGAATAATTCTCACAATGCTACCGGAAGGGAAGCATGTTAAAAAAGTCTACCTATGCGCAGATGGGATCTGTTCAGCTGAGCTCGCCGGCAAACTTCTAATCGACTGTTCAACCATCGACACAGCGAGCTTCCTCGAAGTACGAGACCACATAAGCAATCTCTCTCCCTCAACACTTTTCTATGACGCCCCAGTTAGTGGTGGAGTTATCGGTGCAAAAAAGGGTACTCTCGCATTCTTCGTCGGTTGTTCAGAAGATGAGACTCCGGAACTCAATCAAATAAAGGAATTGCTATTGTCAATGGGATCAACAGTTATTCCATGCGGTGGACCATCCCTTGGACTTGCGGCTAGGCTCTCCAATAATTATCTCTCCGGGATAATTGCAATTGCGTGTTCAGAGGCCATGGATATGGGAATGCGCTCTGGACTTGATCCTCGCATATTGGCTAAAGTATTTGCAGCTGGGACGGCGCAGAATACGGTTTGCGATCGATTTTGTCCTGTTCCTGGTGTTTATCCCGAAGCACCTTCTTCGAATGGGTATCAGGATGGATTCAAAGTTCAATTAATGCGAAAAGATTTTTCATTGGCGGTTGAGATGGCTCGGAGGGTGGAATCGAGGAATGTGCTTGGTGGTGCGGGATTGACGATATATGAGGGTGCTAGTGAGGATGTGCGGTGTAAGGATCTAGATTCGAGGGTTGTTTTTCGTTATCTGGGAGGGAATGAAAAATGGCAAAATGAGGAACAAGGGGAAGTAGAGCATTAGGAGATCGGAAGCCATTGATTTGAAATGTTCAAATGTTTTGTGTTCAATGTTTGTACAGGTCATCAAGTGATGACGATCTGCTTGCATATTCTCGGCTAATGGTTCAATTCCAGAAACATTTGAAACATCTTTCTCAAATCCGTTTGCTTTTGCTTTCTGTACATTTCAGTCATTAGAAAACAACATATATTTCCTTTTCTCCACGCAAGATCTCCATCCTCCCCCCCCCCCCCCCCCCAAAATGTCCACAGATCCCAAGTTCGACGACCTCCACAAGGCCCTCTTCGAAGAGGGTCTCAAGGTCCGCCGCGCCGTTGTCGGGTCAGCCTACGTCGATAGAGCTCTGGAGAACGGGTCAACCGAATTTTCTCGACCAGGTCAAGAACACATCACCGAATGGGCCTGGGGCAACGTTTGGACTAGGCCAGGTCTAGAACGGAGAGATCGCAGTCTTCTCAATATCGGCATGTTGATGGCCCTGGGCCGTGGACCAGAACTAGCTGTTCACATTCGGGGAGCTCGCAATAATGGTTTGAGTGAGCTGGAGATTCGTGAGGCTATCATACACGCTACTGTCTACTGTGGTGCTCCGGCTGGTGTGGATGCTATGAAAGTTGCGGAGAAAGTATTGGATGAGATGGCAGAGAATGGGGAAATGCCGCGTGAATTAGGTTCCAAGGCGACTAAGTGAGGTGCTTGAATCTGGCACTGCTGCCCAAGTGGATTTTGTCTACTGAGTTCCAACTTTGGAAGTGTTTTTGGGTACCTACTACTATACTTGTTAGTTCTTCCCATGCGGGGTGTCATCCCACTTTACTGCCTGGTGGAGCTCAAGCAAATGTGTGTTTTCTAAGATTTTAGCTATGAAACATTACAAACTTCATTCCAGATGTCCCAGGTTAACTACCGGTCTTTCCAAGGTTCGTACAAGGACCTTGTATACTACTATATACATGTACACTGAAACTTTGGAGATGTTGTCAAAAAGAAAAATTTCCATGTATGGATCTTTCCATACTGTATCTATAATACTATATCGACCCCGCCGACCTCGCAACGTAAACTTGACCAATGACAGTTGACCGACGCTAACATGTCTAAATTATCGAGTATTGATGCATACACTTATAAACTTGAAATATTTGATTAAACGTATGGTAGAGATCAGGAAATATAATTCAAGACATATATAATGCGATACATTGATACATAATTAGTAGTAATTGTTTTATTGCTAAATCGATCTGACGTAGTCCTCTTTACAAGTTACTAAGGTACATTGTCACTGGGGCAACGCGTACCACCCATGGATCCCGATTCCTCTATCACATTTGGTGGAGCTGAAACCCGATAACACTTCTTCCCTTGCACCTTTGCGCGCATCGTCGATCCTGTCTCAACTGTCACTTGAATCACCGAGGATTTTGATTTACTGTGCGTATGACATGCCAAGTCTCATGTTTTCATCAACGCCACCGCTGACCCTGTTTTGACATTGGAATGCAGGCACATCGCGATCAGCGCCCACCCCCGCCGCAATAACAACACAAAGGAATTCTTTTATGAACGAAGATGGCTTCATTCATCACCACCATGTCTGTCCCCGCTCCTCCTACCCCTGTTCATTCCTCCTCCACCCTGGGCGAATCACCGACCCGATCCCCTTCTCTGAGTCTCAGCCCCTCATTCTATCAAACCACCCGCACTTCCCATATTCCTGCCCTAGAACCTCCATCTTATCTTTCGCCAGCTGTGCGCGCTCTCAAACAAGGTTGCTTTGGACTAACACCTCCCAGCAATGCGCGGACAAGAGCTCCATTTAAGCCCCGCTCCGCTGCCAAGGGCACCAGCAGTTACCAATTGAGGCAATTTGCTGAGGCCACTCTAGGAAGTGGCAGTTTGCGCAAGGCCGTCAAACTCCCCGAAGGCGAAGACTTGAATGAGTGGCTTGCTGTGAACGGTATGAATCTGCCCGTCTGTTTCTCCTCCTGTGCAGCTAGATTCTAATTCTGTGGTGTCTTCTAGTCGTCGATTTCTACAACCAGATCAACCTCCTCTACGGTTCTATAACTGAATTCTGCTCACCACAGACATGTCCTGAAATGAAGGCGACCGATGAGTACGGAGGACCCTGAAGATAAAGATATCTTCCCGCCACATCCAGACTGACAGTTGATGCAGGTTCGAGTATTTGTGGCAAGACTCGGAGAACTACAAGCGACCAACAAAAATGTCTGCACCAGAGTACATTGAGCACCTGATGACATGGGTACAAAGCAATATCGACAACGAACAGATGTTCCCTAGCCGAATCGGTATGTTAGCCAGATATTCTGTGTTCTCAAAATGATGATTACTTATGAAGTCATCATAGGCGTGCCTTTCCCCAAGACTTTCTCCAGTCTTCTTCGCCAGCTTTTCAAGCGCTTATACCGTGTCTACGCCCATATCTACTGCCACCACTACCCTGTAGTCGTGCACCTTGGGCTGGAGCCGCACCTTAACACCAGCTTCAAGCACTACGTTCTATTTATTGATGAACATAAGTTGGCCAGCGGGAAAGACTACTGGGGCCCGCTAGGAGACTTAGTGGACAGCATGCTCCGCAGCGACTGAGTCCCACCCGCACGAATAGAAATTGTGGTCACCGGTGCATGAGGTGTTCTTTTTGGGTTTGGATCTTATCTTGATGGGAAGAGTTTACGGTGGAGACGGGACAGGCGGAGGGTCTTGATGGCGTTTCAGGCGTGGAGCATGGATTACAAGTCGACTAATGTACCTTTTTAAAAAATTCTTGTTGACTGTTCTTTCTCAGTGTTTTGTCATGAAGGTCTCGGATAACTAGTTAGAAGGTTCGGATGGATGACCCGCGCTTCTAATATGTGCAGCTTCTATCAATGGATGATTGCAAAATTGCATATCAAGACTACTGACATGATTCTTCTGGTTTCGTATGAATAAATGTGTCCTGCGGGCCTTGGTTTGTAGCGCCGTGTTCTCTCAAGGGCTATCTTATGACATTGACCACCTCATTTAGAAGTTCTACTAGCAATGTAAATAAAGTCCCTTAAGCAAATGCTACTACAGTGAAAAAGTAGCGAAAACCGGGCCGCTTACCTCAGCCAACACCACGTGATCCGGGAAGAAGTCGGACCTCCAACTCAACCTTCACGACGCACCCGACCGCCGCTCGCATCTCACCCCATCTCAACTCCCCTGGTCACCTCCCTCTTCCCGAGGCTCTCCTCACACTCAATTCACGATGATGTCCGCCCGTGTCGCCCGCGCTGGCCTGCGTGCCACCCAGCAATTCTCCGTCGCTCGCCCGGCCTTCAACGGTCTGCGCACCTATGCCACCCCGGCCCAGGATGTCCGCCCTCCCGTTTCCCTCTTCGGTGTTGACGGCACCTACGCCTCTGCTCTGGTATGCCTTCGACCCCTTCGATAAATCGACTGCCATGATATCGAGTTTTTTTTTCGCGCGACTCCGCGTCTCCCCGGCCCCTCCTATCCCATCCCCTCTGTTTTCCGATTTCCAACTTTGGAAGCCAAGAAGCTTTCCATGATGCAACAAAATCCTATCCGACCAGTACCTCTAACCTATTCTTCCTTTTTCTACAGTATACCGCCTCTTCCAAGGCTGCCTCCCTCGAGCAGACCGCTAAGGCTATTGCTGCCCTTGGTCAGGTCATCAAGGCCGACAAGAAGCTCGTCACCATCCTCAACGCTCCTACTCTGACCAACGCCGACAAGGCCCAGATCGTCCAGGAGCTCCAGAAGGTTGCCGGTGCCGACAAGGCCGATATCCTCAAGAACTTCCTCCAGACCCTTGCCGAGAACAACCGTTTCGGTTCCCTCGAGGGTGTCTGCGAGAAGTTCGCAGTCCTCATGTCTGCTGCTCGCGGCGAGATTGAGCTGAGCATCACCTCCGCCCAGGTGGGTTTTCCGCAGCTTCTCTGTTCAAATGAATGGCTTAAACATACCTACAAATGCTAACCACGTTGTTCGTCACAGGAGCTTGACACCAAGACCATCAACCGTCTCGAGAAGGCTGTTGCCAAGTCCGAGTTCAGCCAGGGCAAGAAGCTCAAGATTGTCACCAAGGTGAGTTTTAATTCCCAGCCGTCTTTTGCAATAAGGCCCGAAACATGAGGATCATCTCTAACTATCGCAGGTTAACCCCGACCTTGTTGGTGGACTTGTTGTCGAGATTGGTGACCGCACCATCGACCTTAGCGTCTCCTCCAAGATCGCCAAGATGAACAAGGCTCTTACCGATGCTTTGTAAATGTAAAATAGCCCTTGAGATTTGTGGGGAGGGAATGTTTAGATATAGCACCACCCTGCATGAACGGTAGCGTTTGATGAAAGCGGAAAGGGGGTTTTCGATTGGACTCCCTCTTTCTTTTCATTTCGTTTGTTTCCATTATTTGTGAACTGCACAATACACTTTTTTCATCACAATCCGCAGAGTCCTACTGTATGGCTCTATAAATTGGGCACCAATCGATGCCTGCAACTTTGGACGCTTGGAGTCCAACCGTATTACAATGTGGCATGGAAGACAAGAGACGGAACGACGAATGTCCAATATTGATATAGAGCAAGGGTTTTCCTAGTAGCTCTGGAACCCTTCGGCTTATCACAGACAGTATTACACTGCTTCCAGGATTTGAGAATTTGAGAATTATCGATCTTCTCAAGCGCTTGTCTCTCGGCAGCCACCAAGCTAACGATCCACTTGGAGAAGCAAGGGGCAACAACAGGCCCCCGGCAGACGAGCCTTGATGCTTTATCACTCACCAGCCACGTATGATTGGCTACCAAAGCATTGCAATTGAAACTACATAGTGGCGTTTTTAAGGATCTGCTTGCAAAAAAGAACATGCAAGTCTTGGGAAGACGAAAAGAACTCGAATTACGCCGTAGCAGTACCAACTCGAGGGCCCGCAATCGGAACCGGAATACCTACAAAATGGAGTCTCTAAAAGATATGCAAGTAAAAGAACGATCGGGAATAAAAAAAAATAAACGAACGAGAGCGCAAATCACAGAGGCGCGGAGCGGGGCGGGTGACCACGTAAATCCACGGGTCTGATGCCGGAGATGTACTCCGTAGCCCCGTCCGTTCGGGTATACATCAATAAAAAGGGGGCAGAGCCAGAGACGACAAAAGAATTCAAAGAATTCGGCCAAGAGCAGTAGCAAAAGCGAGCAATAGCAAAAAACACATCTTCATCCTTTCCCTTGTATCCGCGGTAAACAATTCAACCTCACGACTCTGTTTCCTTCTGCTCTGTTTGGTGGGGATTGTCGTAAGAAGATTCCTGGGGAGGAACTAATGTCGGTTTGCATCAGTCTTCTCTCCCGCTGAAAGATGTTTTGTTTCTTTTTCTTTCTCCTTCTTTCAACAAAGTCTTCACCAAATTACAGGATTGATTGTTGGGGGAGAAAAGTAAACAAAGGATTCAAACGTGGCATGGGGATGATCAAGACGACTCATCCTTACCGGTTGCCTGTACCTGTCCACCTCGGGTAGCCCCAGAAGTTGAGCGCTTCAGTCGCTCTTCGGCCTCACGGATGCGCTCCTGAAGAGCCTCAAGCTCTCGGCTCTGAATAATCATCTGCTGCTTCCTAGTTTCCAGTTCTTGGGTTAGTTTTTCGTCCCTTTAGATCGAACGAACATATAGGTGAGATCATGATTTTGACTCGAGTTTTGGGAGGTTAACACCTACTTCTGATCGACGGTCTGAGAAAGGTGGTTCACGTCGCTGTCGAGCGAGAAAGCGCTATCCAGCGCGCTGGAGAAAGCCTGTGCCATGGTCCTGCCAGGTCTTGGTCAACGTCCTTGTTCGGGGGGTGAGAGCTTGGTTGTTGGGTGAGACGCACGACTGGGGCCGAATCTTGGTGGGCTTCCACTCCTGGTCTAGGTCGGACATTTTGGTATATGGATAGTTGTGACTTGAAGGATCGGGTTGGGAATGCGCTCTTAGGAGATAGAGCTTTGCGGTTTGAAAAGAAAGGGGGAAACAATTTATTTCCTCCTCGTGGGGGTATCTGCGACGTCGGGCGGGGCAGTATACAGCGCAGGTTAAGGATATACCGTTCGAGTGGTAAGGTGTAGGACAGGCGACGATGGAGACCCGGACCAGCCAAGAAACCCAGGAGAGTTGAGAGTATATAAGAATAGTCGAGAACACTGGTGTTGGGGGGAAGGTTAGGAGTTGAGGTCTTCCAAGGTTCGTATACTTCGGGAACTCCAAGGAACGGGAGGGGGGGATGACAGGAAAGGGTAAAGGGGGGGCAATTTCATACATACCGGAGATATGTATAGGGAATAAGAACGCCCAGATGCACGGATAATTGCTGGGGGGACTGACGGCGGGGTCCTTGTGGTTAATATGAAGAATAGCTTAATGTAATGATACGGAGAAAAAGAAGAAGAAAGAAAAAGAAGAAAAAGAAGATTGGAGATGGAGGAGAATTAAGGACGATCATAACCCACCATACTCACTAGTCGCCGTCGTGGAGGTCAAAGAATAATCCGGCAAGGGGAGGTGTGTCATGGTATTACAGGGGGCTTCTTCACGTCATTGGAGGGAGATGTGCTGCGTGCACCTCGGGAGACGATCGAGCCTAGGAAGTTAATAGTAAACAGCTGCCAGCTTTCAGGGGCTTTTGGGAGTTTGATTAGATCCACTTTTACAACTTCAGAAAAAAAAAAAGAAAAAAGGAAAAAAGGAAAAAAGGGGGGCTTATTGAAAGACTTGGGCCACTTGAGGCCTTTTTTCCAAGTAAAAGGGGCAATAGTACTCAAGTGCTGGGCTTCTACTCCATAATCGAAGGTGCCTTTCTATTTAAAAAAATAACTTTTAAAATTAAGAAAAAATTAAGAAAAAATATATTAATCAATTTTGAAAATACAATAAAAAAGGAGAGTCTTAACCAATGGTTACTCCAGCAGGGATAGATATCCTCTCGTGATTAAAATCAAACTTGTAACTGATGTTATCTTTAACTAGATAACGACTAGTTAACCACTGGTCATCTTTTGTTTCTAGTACATTAAAATATCAAACATGATCATTTCCATCGATTGTCCAGTTTCCTACATAGTACTGAGAGTTATATAGATCGAAAAAGTAAATAGGAATGCGTGACTCTGGCAACCAGGTCAGCTGACTTCTCCTGTGACAATACCGTACTGGCCTGTAATTGCCAGAAACCTGTCAACCTTCGCGATCATTTGATACTGGAAATCCACCTTCTCATCACCTTTCTCCATCGGCTAACTCAGCCATCTTTCCTGTGGTTTGGTTTGCGCGCATATGGACGGTTGACTATTGAAAAAAAAAATCGTCGCGTTAGCTTCCTACCCCTCCATACAACCTTCTCCTAGATCTCCTCACCCACGCGACAAACTCCGTTTCTAAGCCCGATCGAAATCTTCGCACGAATCGAACCACCCTTCCGGAATCCCTATCCACCAACCACCGTGGCCCCAATCCCTAAAGTTCTCCTCCCTAACGGCCACCCGGGCGGGCAATGGGGAATGCCTCCTCTTTCGGCATATACTCCTTTTGAATCTCTGCTCTTTTTCCAGTCCCTCGCGACCTCGGACGTGCGACCGACGAGCTTTGCATCCATCTCAAGCCTATTGAGCGACAATCCATTAATTCGTCAAAATGTCGCGTTTAGCGCCGATCGATTAAGCCCCGACGCCTTGGAGGACCTGTATGCAACCTTGCTGCGCGATGGATTGGACCGGGATACCTCCAAAGCCGCCAATGGAATACCAACGGAGAGCTCGAACACCGGAAATTCAAAGAAGCGAAAGATCTCTAGTCCCCGACCGGAGGGCTTGTCCGATGGTGTCACCCATGCCGCCCGGGTGCCAGAGTTGGTATCGCATCTCTATGCACGATACAGGGAGCTAGTGACGAAGGAAATCAAGGAGAGTGAAAGAGAGTACGATGCCATCAATGACCAAATTCAACGTATTCAAAAGGAGGAGCAGAAACGGCCAGCTTCGATCGAAGGAACCGATGTTGCTACGTCGCCAGATACAAAGCCCGAGCGCCCGGAATCAATGGATGTGGATGTGGATGTGGATGTTAAGCAGGAAACCCCGCGACGCGATCACCCCGGACCAATAGCTATCCCGCCAGTCCCTCCAGCCCTGGTGAAAGCAGCGCAACAACTGCCAATCAAACCACCTGTGCCCGCTCAGGACCCGAAGGAAGATCAGCTTCCTCCTTCAATATCTGCGAAACCGCTAGCGCCAGTGTCGCAACCACAACTGCCACCTCCATCCCTTCAAACAGCCCCGCATGCTATCCCATCTCCAATTGCACCTCGCACTCAAGCACCTCCTACCACACCCGCTCCAGCACAGCGACCTACTCCCGCACACCCATCACAAGTTGCGCCACGGCCCATCACAGGCGTTCCAGCTACAGGAAAGCCTGGTGCTCCAGATATTGTGTCCACCCCTCAACCAAATCCCGCCAAATCAAGCTTCCAGCAATGGCAACTTGAATTACCTCCTCAGTCTCCATACTCTGCAATCTCACCCAATCCTAATACCCCGCAAATCAACTCTGCAGCTGCAAAGCAACCTCTACCTCCCCCCACCCTGCCCGGAACCCAGCAGAAACCCCCAGCTTCTGCCTTACCTAGCACCCCCGGCCCATTATCATCCGCATTTCAAACCCCTGTTCCTATCGGCCATCCCCGACTCTCACATACGCCGAGTGTTGTTATTCCTCGATTCTCCGAGTCACGCAGCTCACGGCCTCGCCTTTCAATTGATACCCCCGGCTCTTCGACTCCATGGAAGAGAACTCCGCGCCTGAGCATTCCAGATTCCCCCGCTTCACCAGTCCGCCCTCTACCCGAAGATGTCAGTCCAATCAGCGAGAGAGCACCTTCTCCCGACGGTCTGGGGATGTCGCCTCCCCGAGAGAAAAAGACTCGGCGTGGACAGGTTTCGGATCAGAAACCGTCGGCCAACGCCAAAACCGAGAAGCCTTCTTCTGCTCGAAAGAAGCGTGCTCTGAGCTCCGCCTCTATGCATAGTCGAGAGGGATCTGTAGCCTCACGGGGCATGTCGCCTGTACAGGGAGACGATGCAGATCGTGACTTACGTACCTCGAAGCGCCAAAAGGGTGCCACAACCAGCGCAGAGGAGACACCGAAGGCACGTACCAAACGCAAGCGAGGCCCTAGTGAATCCGCGGAACAAGAATCGGCTCCCCCCGAAACCCTGAGATTTGATACATCTCGGTATGTGATGTGTGCTCGTGGTTTCCATCGAACTGCCGGAACCATTTTGAACGACGTGACCACCCACAAGCTGGCTTCTATCTTCGCCAAACCTTTGGGTGAGCGTGATGCCCCAGGCTATCACGATCTCATTTATCGCCCACAGGATCTTAAGACGATCAAGTCTGCTGTCCATCAAGGCAGCAAAGCGGTGGCCGCAGCAACAGAAGCCGTCAGTACTCCTGCGGGCGATGGTGAATCTCCAGCGCCTGGCGCAGGTGCGTCGTCTAAAAACAATGCACTCATGCTGCCCAAGACTGAAGATCTCCTTCCCCCAAGGGGTATCGTGAATTCGGCACAGTTAGAAAAGGAGTTCATCCGCATGTTTGCCAACGCTATCATGTTTAACCCTGTTCCTGAACGTGACTTTGGTCCCCATTTCCCAATGATCAATGATCGTGGGTCTCGCGAGAGCTCCCAGTCAGGCGATGGGGACGAAGGCGGCATCATTCAGGATTCCCGAGAGATGTTCGAAGACGTCGAGCAAGCTGTTAATCGATGGCGTGCTGCTGAACGAGCCTCGGAGCGGGCATCAGAGGAGTTGGCCAACAAGAATCTCCTTGCTCTTCGTCGCGGAAGTGTCAGTGATTTCAATACCGATAGTGCCGATGATGTGAAAGGTTGAAGATTGGATTTGACCCATGTATAACACAGTTTTATGATTTGAGTGGTTTATTTGAAGCGAATCGATATTATTACTGGCAGCTCAAAGCTGCCAGCGCGTCCTTAGTTTACGCATACGATTTAAGTCCATATGCATCCATATAAGTACTTCCGAGGTTCTCAGTACTTCCTTCTTTCCAACCTACTGCCTTTCTACCAAAAGTCAATTACATGAACGGGAGCCTTGAAACGGCTCCGGGAAGTTGTGATATCAACACTCAACATGAAGATTTGAGGATCTTCCACGCCAGAGTCTACCGAGGCTTGAAGACTCGGAAGTTCCAAGGTTTATGATATTGGAATTGAAAAACAGCAAGATATGAACGGACCAACCTGCAACCTTGTAAGCATCTCCCCCTTGATGGGTTTTTTCATCAAATGATTTCTCCAGTTGGTAGTAGTTGGGAAAAAAAAGTAACATTTGAAGATATGCACTGGCAGGTACTAGGCACTGGGTACTAGTGAGTACAATACCTACTATATCAAGTACTAAGTTCATACATACTACTAACACTAAGTACATACTGAGCACATGCAGGTACCCATACCAAAGTATCGAGTACGGACGTATGTGCAATTTACGCCTCAAGGATACCCCTATGGCTATGTGCTATGTGGTAGGTACCTAGCTAGAGACGCTCTTGACTTGTAATAATACCATCTCGGCAGTTTCATTTTTTTCGTTCCATTTCTGTGGTTATTCAACTTTTTCCCCCTCGTTCGTCCACAATTCCAGCCTATCCTCCGATAATGTGTCTAGAATGACTTCCAAATCTGCCACGATGAGAAACCTCAAGATCAAAAACCAGCCTCGGAAAAAGGTAAAAGGTGAGAGGCATGAAAACAACCAAACAACATATTAATCCATACAACAACCAACGTGCATACAGGCCAGGCCGTACAGAAATTTTAAACTTCACAAAACCACGCGCACAACATAGAAAGAAGCAATTGAACGGCCTCTTTAAGGTACACTGCTGCCCGGAAGAATCTCTTCCTGATTGGTCGGACTGAGAGTATTCTCAACAGTCGCGGAAGTCTCATCTTCTTCGCTACCGGCAGCAGCCTTGATGTCATCCGAAGGCACAACGGCTCGCAGCGCATTCCTGCCATCAATCAAGTCCATCATGAGCTGAGTAAGATCATTCTTGAGCAAGTCACTCTTTGTCTTCAGGATATCCGCGGCATCCAAGAGCTCCTTGTAAGCGACGGGACAGTACTTAGCAGGATGCCGGCGCGCATCCAAGCTCTCCTTCATACCCGGCAAAAAGCGAGTGGCACTCTGAACCTTGTGGATAGTCTTGGAGACATGTGTGAGCTCGTAGACGAGTTTATGATAGCTATTTGCGCCCCTCTCCTTGATATTCTTCGGCTCGAGCATCTCTTTCACCTGTGGAGGTACGTTCTCCTTCAAGTAGTCGGCGAATCCCTGGGCTTGTGTCACAACTCCGAGGCGCTGGATGATGACATCCTTTATCTTCACGAGATGCTCATCGCATGTTGCAGTGTAGTGCTTGTAAGTGGGTTCGGCTTTGGGGGTGGAGAGGTTCGCATTGGGGCTGTCTGGATTCAGATCTAATTCTGAATTTCGGATTTAGCTGAGGGAATGAGCGAAAAGAACCGTGAGAATCTACTTACCCAGAAGCTGTTCGTAGACTTGCTCGAGGGTCCATCCTTTGAAAACATCCTCCTCCTTGGGTGGAAGAGGTGCAGTCTTCTGTCCGGGGGAAGTGGAAATATTCATCTTTGGGATATCTGAATATCTAGATGCACATTCGAAGAGAAGTGGGTTTGAAGAAGAGCGTGATGGAGAGAGATGGGGATAGACAAGTTCTCGAAAGTTAGTAGTGAGAGAACTTGATACCAGCGGGGTGTTGCGTTTGTTGAAGAGAAGAGAAGATTCCGAGAAAGATGAAGAAGCTCGAGGTGAAGGAAGTAGTAAAAGGGAAAGAATCAGAGAGGTGTTAAGTGAAGGTAAAATTGAAGGGCAGATTGTTCTCAAACTGAAAGTACATATTCTCAAACTGAAAGTTCATATTTGAATATTGTTCAGGTTCATTGCGCCCAATGATTATTTGATTCGACTTTGAAGATATTCCAAGGGCTTTCCTTTCCATACATCACTAAAGATATAGCCACAGTTGAAACGAGCCTAGAAAAGGCAAATAAATACCGTAGATCTAAGAATGGTGTCTACCAGAGGAACGATTGATTATTGTGAGGTTACAAGACTATCAAGAGGGGAAAAGGCATCTATAGGTCGAAGGCGCATCAATTGATCCAAGGTTGTATGTATAGTAATCATAGAAATAGTGATGATGCGCTTCATTTCATCGCCATTGGAGCGCTTTCCAACATTGAAGCTTTGTCCATCAAATGTATACAATATTTACATTGCAATGAGTCTCCTGGTGCAAAGAGAGAACACCGATTAATTCCCAACGCCGGCTTAATGCAATCTCACGAGAATTTTGATTGTACAATCCGTTCAACGACTCAGAAATCAGTCACCCGGCCACCATAGCTCCAATCACCAGCGGCACCCCAGCGGAGAGGCTCATTCTTGGGTCCTCCAACTTCGCCAGTCTTGGGGTTCGTCTCGCCCTCGAATTCAGGCTTCAGGCCTTGCGGCGCATCGGGGTGAAGCTCCTCGCCATTGCCATTGACTTTGATTTCGGCTTTGGGCGACTGGTTGACCTGTGGTGTGCTGAAAGCGCCCGTTGATCGCTTCTGTAGCTCCTCGAAAATCTCCTGTTCTTCCTTGGGGAGACGAGGGGGCGCAGGGCCCTTTGCGAATGGAAAGGCAGGCTTGCCGTCGCCGGTGGCGTTGCGCAAAGCGCTGGTAGTGGAGATGGAGCGAACGGCGACTCGGTTTCTTAGAGAGGAGAGGCCCACGCGGGGCAGAGCAATGAAAGAAAGCATTGTGAGAGGTATTTTTGGGGTGACGAATGGACGGAGGTTCAAGATTCAGTAATGAGCCTTGCGGTAATAATATAGGCTAACCGAGCACTGTCATCGGGAAGTGACGCCGATTCCTGACTAAGGTTTGCGGATCCCGATATCGCGGGCCTTTTTATTTCCCTCGGAACACCTGTGATCCGATCAGGCCTTCTCTTTTGACTCATCTTTCACTACTTTGGTTGACAATTCGTTCTTTTGGGCAATATATTTCCTTGTTCAATATGTCTGCCATTCGTCTGGCCGCGCGCCGCTTGCCTCGCGCAACCAAGCTGGTTCAACCTTTTGTTGAGTCACCGATCCAGCGCCGATTTGCGACCTCCAATGCATCTCAAGCAAAGGTACGCAAATGACTCTTGACTTCCATATGTCAATTGAACGTCTTATAGATTAACAGAGCTGTAGAAGCAGGGAGGCTTGCCTAACCCCGACCCCTCGGCCGATTCGGATACAGCGGCCTTCATTCAAGAGCGGGCTCCCTATATGGTTCCGACATACGTTCGCCCCGCTCCCATGATGGTCAAGGGTGACGGTTGTTACCTCTGGGACATGGAGAACCGCCGGTATCTAGATCTGACTGCTGGAATCGCGGTCAACTCGCTTGGACACTGCGATCCCGAGATCGCTCAGATTATTGCGGAACAGGTGCGCGCCGATTTAGATTTCTATATGAACCTGCCGAACAATTGCTCATTACTTGTGATTTGATAGGCCGAGACTCTTGTCCATGCATCGAACCTCTACCACAACCCTTGGACCGGCGCTCTGAGCCGATTGTTGATCGTCCTGACTCGTCAGTCAGGTGCCATGCGTGATGCCTCGCAGGTCTTCATTTCGAACTCTGGAACCGAGGCCAACGAGGCCGCTATCAAGTTCGCCCGCAAGGTCGGCCGCTCTATCGACCCCTCCGGTGACAAGCACGAGTTCGTTTCCTTCCACAACTCCTTCCACGGACGCACAATGGGTGCTCTATCCGCCACCCCCAACCCCAAGTACCAGACTCCCTTCTCTCCTATGCTCCCGGGCTTCAAGTACGGCAACTACAACGATATCGAACAACTGCAGACCCTCATCACCGACAAGACCTGTGGTGTGATCGTTGAGCCCATCCAGGGTGAGGGTGGTGTCAACATGGCCACCCCCGAGTTCTTGGTGGCTCTGCGCAAGCGCTGCGACGAGGTCGGAGCCATCCTGATCTTTGATGAGATCCAGTGCGGTCTGTCCCGTACCGGTAGCCTCTGGGCCCACGGTCACCCCTCGCTGGCACCCGCCTCGGGAGAAGCTGCTCACCCCGATATTCTGACCTCCGCCAAGGCACTTGGTAACGGTATCCCAATCGGTGCGACTATTGTGTCCGAAAAGACTGTCGCGTCGCACATTAAGACTGGTGACCACGGTACCACTTTCGGTGGTAACCCTTTGGCCTGCCGTGTTGCTTATAACATCCTCGAACGTCTTGCTGACCCCAAGCTCCAGGGGGCAGTCCAGGAGAAATCGGATATGTTCGTTGCGGGCTTCAAGGCGCTGCAGGAGAAGTACCCCGAGGCTATCTCGGAGATTCGCGGCCGTGGTTTGATCTTGGGTCTGCAGCTCTCCCCAGCTGTTGGCCCCAAGGCCGGTGATATCATCACTGCTGCCCGTGAGCGTGGCATGTTGATCATTACTGCCGGCGATGGCTGCCTCCGCTTTGTCCCTGCTCTGACCATCACCGCTGATCAGATTAAGACTGGCTTGAATATTCTGGAGCAGTCTTTGGCCTCTGTCATCAAGTCCTAAACGATTCACGTTTGGTATAATCTTGAATGTCCATGATGTGTTATCTGTTGTTTGATATACCATTTCGTTGATTTGGAGCGAAGCGTATATTCCTGGGTTGTCCTTTTATGTTTGGTTTATTTTTTGTTTCCTTTCTGGATTTCTATTTCTTTTCCTCTTGCGCAAGGCCTTGTATAGAACCAGGTACAATAGAATAGAACAAAAGTCATTGAATTGAAGAGTCGAGTTTCACGCTAATACATCAATACATGTATGTATACATGATCAATTGTACTTGTAAGATGTTCAAAATGTTAGTAAATGGTAAGTGGATACTTAGTGAGTGGGTCCGAAGTATACATACTACACCGCACGTACATACTAACCTCTCGTACATAGGCTCTACCCCACATATAGCCCTGTGCACAAACAAAGAAATGGAACATTGAACATCGAAGTGTTTGAATAGGTTAATTTAAGCTTGGAAACAACGGGACCGAACGGTCAATGAGACAATTGTTTAATGTCAAGGTTCTGTTGATGAATCTTTTGATTCTGAGGTTATACAAGGCATGTTTTTGATTTTATTAATAATCAGGAACAATATGAACGCGCGTGGCTGTGGATCCCGTGGAACCTCATCCCATCATCTTGCCGTGATAAGCGTTACTTGAGTGCGCTCTTCGGCAGGGTTGATCCCTGTGGAAACTACTTAGACTGATTTAATACACTTGAATTCCTCCATCCTCAATCCTATGTAGTTTCAAGTTATTCTTTACCTCACGCGACCACCTGCTCTCTCCGGAAATGCCTCGACTCGAGTCTAGCGGGGACACTCCGATGCCCCTGGAGGAGACATCACCCTCACGCTGGTCTCGTTTCTGCGACCGACTCAAAGGATCTTTTAGCGGTGCAGACCCCCGAGTCTGTATCGCTTTCTGGCTGTTTGGTGTGTCTTGACATCTTCTCAAATATAGAAAGATCAAATTTCCTTAATCAACGACGTCACTAACCGCGAACCTTCTGAATAGGCTTAATTAACAATGTCCTCTACGTGATCCTTCTATCCGCGGCCCTGGATTTGGTCGGTCCCGATGTGCCCAAAGGCGTTGTTCTCCTGGCGGATATCATCCCAGCCTTCGCAACCAAGCTGATCGCGCCGTACTTTATCCACCTTGTCCCGTACTCCATCCGAGTCATTATATTCGTTTTCCTATCAGTCATCGGCATGCTGGTCGTGGCGATGAGCCCGAGTTATACGGAAGGCGGTGCGATTGCTTCGAAGATTGCGGGTATCATATTGGCCAGTCTCTCGGCTGGTGGTGGTGAGCTGAGCTTTATGGGTCTGACCCATTACTATGGCCCATTCAGTTTGGCTGCGTGGAGTAGTGGTACCGGTGCAGCTGGATTGGTGGGCGCTGGTGCTTATGCACTGGCTACCAATACCTTTGGAATCTCGGTGAACGTGACGCTCTTTGCGTCAGCTTGTTTGCCGGCTATCATGGTGGTGAGCTTCTTTGTGATCTTGCCTCGAGATCCGCTGCGTGCCGTATCTCCAGATAGCTATCTCTCCGTGGAAAGAATTGAACATCCGGATACTGAGGACATAGATGAAAGAGGTGCCGAGACCGGGCGCGAAGAGTCTGAAGGACTACTTGGCGTATCTGTTCGTTCAGATACACAAAAATCCGTTCAGATCAACAACGAGGCCCTTTGGTGGGATCACATGCAAAGAAACCTGCAGCAGCTTGGAAAGTTGTTTTTCCCATTGTACGTTCCCTCCGTCCTCAGCGCAAATTCAGTTATCTTGTATGTAGTTGCTAACTGTTACAACCCATAGTATGCTCCCGCTACTCCTGGTGTTCATCGCCGAGTACGTGATCAACCAGGGTGTTGCTCCGACTCTTCTCTTCCCCATATACTCCACCCCTTTTAAGGATTTCCGTTCCTTCTATCCAGCCTATAACGCCATCTACCAGGCCGGCGTCTTCATATCTCGTTCCTCTACCCCATTTTTCCGGGTGCATTGGCTCTATATCCCGTCTCTCTTGCAGCTACTCAACTTAGTTCTGTTGAGCCTGCATTCTATGTTTAACTTTATTCCCAACCTCTACCTTGTCTTTCTGGTGATATTCTGGGAGGGTTTGCTTGGTGGCCTTGTATACGTCAATACATTTGCGGAGATCAGTGATCGTGTCCCGGAAGAGGAGCGAGAGTTTTCACTTGGTGCGACAACCGTTAGTGACTCGGCTGGAATTTGTATCGCTGGATTCCTCAGTATGACGCTGGAAGTCGCTTTGTGCAAGTTTCAAATGTCCCGTGGTAGGGAATACTGCCGGCTAGTATAGATGTCATTTTCTTGCTATAATCCATCAATGGATCCAACCTTCCAATGTTATAGTTCAATTGGGCAGATGTTCAGCTTTCCTGACCAACATTGAAGGACCAAAAAAATCACCTGGGGTCTTATCTGCAGTCAAACATTAGACAACCCTAAGCATGTTCTTCTTGATCCAGGTCTGCAACCCTTTGTAGTTCCAAGTACGCATCTGGGAAGCAAAATCTTGGGTCAATAACCAAACTTTACACCCATCGAGAGTTGATGGTGACCAGTCAAAACTTACTAGCTGCTCTCCATCGAGTACCTAAATGCTGAAGCATGTCCTCACAGACGGCCTTGCCAATTGCATACTGCGAAGCACCACTCTCTAATACCATCCACGAATGATTTGAAGTAGAGCCGTAGATGCAGTTCAAGACAAGCGGTGACACCAAATCCATCGTTTGTGGAGTCAGCGATTCTCTGGCATCTTGAACGAACATTATCACTTGATTGGAGATGTCTTTCAGCATCTGGAGACTTCGTTGCATGTTTTCACGGAGGCGAGAGACCAGTCCAATGTCAAGGCCCTGGACTTCACTGTGTAGATCACATGCATGGTGGTTGGCTAGCTTGAACAAAGCGCTATAGATACTAGTCAATAAGGGTTCCAAGGTTGAGGTCACTTAACCGCGGAGAATAAGTTCACCTAAAACATAGTGCTGCCGCAGGACTTAGTGGATTTCTTGACGAAAACTCTTCGTTTGTAGTTAATAGTTGCAAGAGCGCGATTATTGTCTGCGTGAGCCTTTCAAAGCTGTCTAGCGAATATTCAGGTTCCATTGATGTGTCATTGCAATGTTTGACAACACGGCCGAGTAGGTTAGATGCCTGCGCTAGACGTGCAAAAGCACTAACTGGGGTATCGCTGTTCGATGAGAGTAACACCCGTTCGGGGCACATCATTTCCTGCAGGAGACGATTAAAAGATTAACATAAAGGTTGTATACGACAACAGAAACTCAATTATCAATTGATAGAGACTTACTCCACTATCCCAAGCACTATCGCTTGCTGGAATGAGGGTGTCTTTATTGGGATCTTCAGTGCACAGGGGGCGAAGGTCAGATCCTATCGCAATATACCTGAGGCATACTTCAGTTTCTTGTATTGTGGAAACATAAAGGGGCGCGAATTACCTGTCCAGAATCACAATCATCCACCAAACCCGTTGCCTTTCTTCCCAATCGACCCAACTTCTGGGAGCGCCGGCTAATTGGGGGGCTGACTTGTTATGCAGGCCAAGAGCCACACCCTGTCGGGCGCAGCAGCTGATGTTTAAGAAAGCAGCGGGGTAAATAGCATGACCAACTTCATATACACAAAGAAGCAGGCCGGCCTGAATCGTGCGGACTGTGATGAGACCCTTTAATTCAAGCTCCTGGCCCAGTCTCTTGGCCACATTGTAGAGACCGGAAGAGCCCTCGCTCTGGTCATATGTGCACACAAGTTTCATGCACAAGATCAGAAACAATGTATCTGCTTTTAAGAGACCAGGCGCGCATTTTGTGATACGCTCCAATCGAATCTTGCTCACAATAGGCATCCAGGTATGTACCGAACTGAAATAACGAAATTTGATGTCTTCTATATCCGAGCCACCCAGCAAGGTAGAGACATCATCCGGGGCAGGAACATGGCTTGAAGGGCTGGGAATATTGCAAGTGGAGCCAGTACTAGAATCAATATAAGAGACCACTGCGGACAAGTTTTGATGAAGTGGAAGCTGAGCAGGGTTATCAGGATTAAATAAGTCACTTATAGACGCAGCTGGTGTTAGAGTGAAGGGGGTCAAGCGTTGCTCAAGTTCCTGGATGCGACTTCGCAAATCTTCAAGCTCGTCTCTCTGACTAAATTGGGAGTTGTCTGAGTAATCGCAGTCTCGATTTGTCCTAGTAATTGCGAATTGACAATCTAAGCTAAGCACTCAAAGAATCAGGGTTCGGAGCGTGTCAGGAGACGAACCTTACGCATAAGCTACATTTTGGTAGACCTTTATCACATCCACGCTTATTTCTTTTGCATGAAGCGCAAGCCCGGGGAGCTTCACCAATATCCATGACCGGGTTTTGCTGAAGGAATATGCGGCATATGCCAAGTGGGTTGGAGCCTCGGAGGCGTGCGCCGTGGACGGTTGGCCGTTGCGGCCGCTAGGAGACTCTGCCGGAATAACTATCATCCGAATCCAATCGCAGATTGTGGGGATGAAGTCCTAATATAGTCTTGACTCTTAGGTGTACATCTTAGGTGTACATTTCGCGGGGGTCACACTGTATGATCTCAGCCACAGCTGTTCAATACGCTAAAGACGTCAAATACCCCGGCAGTTTCTGTGTTCTTGGGAGTTGGGGCCTTGGGCTGATCCGAGCGGTATTTAGTATTGACACTAACCCGATTGGTACGGAGCTGATTGCATTCTAGTTATTGTATACCCTATTATACCGTCATTTATTGAATTTGGATTGAATTATAGGCCAGAATCACCGAAGTGGAATTCGCTTGTAGAGCTTGTCCAAGTACAGTATAGTGACTTGTGAGTGGATCGACGAGAAAACAATCTAAACAAAGCAAAGTCAGCTGATGGCGTCACTGTGCATGTGATAGGATTCGGAAACTGTTTGACATGTGATTCTCATGTTGTCACTACCGCTAGTATTTCCTTCTCCTCTCTTTTCATCTAACCTTCCCTTTCAAGCACTCCATTTACTTTAATTTGATTTGCGATATTCCATTTGCTTCTCATTTATGAGCCGGACTGCTCCCGAGGGTGACTGTACAGCTGCATTGCATAGTTCACATCGCGGGAAATGATAGGTATGCTTCTGCTCGGCAACTTGAAACCAATTTGATATTGACTTAAATGCATGTTAGACCACGTCTTGGGAAGGCCCTCGACCAGATTTCGCAAATTCCAGGTTTTTGCGGTTGTTTCGTTCTGGTCTCTCTACTTGCTGCGGTAAGGAGTGATGACGTCCTCCAAGACATACATGTGTATTTCTAGCTAACTTACTCGCAACAGAGGAAACAAGCATGGACCACCGCTTCTTCGCACAATCTCCGCCCGCTTCGCGAATAAATTGACAACTTGGCAGACAACAACCATAATCTTTCTATGTCTGTATGTCAGTCGCAACTTCGCCAAGATCGTCGGACTCGAGTGCCCAGAACCACTAGCCAACCTTTACTCTCGATCCTTTTTTCGAGCAACATGGATCACAACTGGTCTTGATGCTGGCTTTTGGACAGCAATGTCCATCAAGCCAAAGTGGCTGCGAGATATCGCCTCATTGGTGTTTACTGTCTACTACTTGATTGCAGCGGAACATGCGGACGAAAAGGTGCGCCGGGTTCGGGCAACCCTTACCCTGGAACATATGCGTGTCTCATGGAATAAAGCCACCAGTCCTTACCTGTGGGCTATGGCGAGTTTGATCCGCCCACGAATGACTAGGTACTCTCCACGGGCTATCCGCATTCCCCGGCCGAAGCAATCTGTGCATAGCGACCCCGTTAGCGCATGGCTATATTTTGATGGACCTTTGAGCGCCCTGAAAGACCAGTCATGCATTGTTCTAGATGTACCTGGTGGTGGCTTTGTTGCCATGGGACCCCGAAACTCCGAAGACAAACTTTTATCATGGGCGGGACAGTTGAAAGTGCCAGTTCTCAGCATCGATTACAAAAAAGCACCTGAATATGCCTACCCATATGCCCTGCATGAATGTTACGATGTCTATCATACTATCGTATCTACGAATGGACGTTGCGTCGGACTGAGTGGAGTGACCCGCCCACGAATCGTTGTGACAGGTGAAAGCGCAGGCGGAAACCTGGCGGTTAGTATGACTTTGATGATTCTCCAGTCCTCGGCAGCTCAAGGCTGGCGTAGTGAAGATGTTCTCTCTAGACCAGATGGGCTAGTATTGGCTTATCCGGCACTAAATGTGAAGGTGGAAAGCTGGATGACGGACGAACAGATGGCTTTGATTCAGGATAAGAGTTCTCGTCAAAAGAACCCAAGTGTGCTACAGCAAAAGCAAGATCATTACCGAAAGCTCACTCCATTCACCTCGCCAGGTCATTCCGTTGAAGACTTGACCGCCATATCTCCCCCTAAGCAGGTGGATGGTCAAGAGGAACCCAACATAGCATCCGAAGCAGCCAAGGCCCTTCGCGAAAAATTAAAAAAAAGCGAGGACCTCAACGGTGAATCCAAATTACCGACAGACGGGGGGATCCAACCGCTCAAGACTCGACTGGCAGTGTCATCAATGATCTCCTACGTGCATGATCGAATTCTCACCCCGGAAATGATGCGTGCGATGATTATTTTGTACATTGGGCCGCATCAGCGACCAGACTTTAACACTGATTTCCTTCTTTCTCCAGTCCTTGCCCCAGACGCATTACTTGCCCGATTCCCTAAGACCTATATCTTTACTGGTGAGCGTGATCCCCTAGTGGATGACACTGTCATTTTTGCCGGTAGACTGCGCCAGGCAAAACTGCAGTACTTCCAAGAGCGCCAAGATCTTGGGCTTGAAAAATCTCGTCGCCAATTTCGCGAAAAGGATCATGTGGAGGTATCCTTGATCCCTGGAGTCTCGCATGGTTTTATTCAAATGGCGGGATTTTTCCCAGATGCGTGGAAATACATCAAGCGCAGTGCATCATGGATTGAGACTCTGTTTGAGACAGCCGAGCTACATGAATCCGAGTACAGTCTTCTTCAGATGTCCGGTAGCTCCAGAATGAACGCATCCACCAGATGGAAAGGCTCAAACAAGCCCACTGAACACGCGAAAGCTTACCACAAATACCATCATCGTCATCTGACAGGGGAGTCTTCCGCAGATGAGGACAGACCACTTGAGATAGGCATGACCAAGATGTCTTCCTTACCACTATCCACGCCAGATCTGGCAGTCCTTCCGAAAAATCCCCGGTTTTCAAAACGTCGACTGGCTGGGTTCACGAGCTTGGAGAATGAGCCGGCGCCTGAGGCAGAAAGCGGTTTTCTGGCGAGACTCAAGCACCTGGATAGGAAGTACAATTATCATGATGATATCGACCCAGAAGACATAAACAGCGCCCCCGAAAGCCCTTCCGCTTTCCGTTCCCGGCATAGAAGTATCTCATCGCTCGGCAGCGAGGAGGACATACTGGACCGCCGCATGAACGGTATAGCTGGCGGACTGATGGGATTAGGAGAGGGGGCACAGACACCGGGGCCATGATTTGCATTGATAGAAACTTGAATGACTGATGATGACGAACAATACCAAAGGTTACCCATAGATTGGCTATACATTTATAGACAACGATTTCAACATACTTGAATTTTTCTTAAGAGCTTATTTAAAACATTCCGAAAAATTGGCACTGACCAGCTTATACCGTATCTCGTTAGGGTGGTCAATTCTTAGCATTGACTACTTTTTTTTCTTTTCATCAAATCCTTCCTGTCTACGTGTAATAGCCATCCGCATGTTACCCAACATGGTCTCAGCATACGGTGAATGGACATGCGAATCCTCATCATAGAACGCCGTAGTGGCATCTTTTCCGATGTATTGTTGCACCAGTTCAGGCCCACCAGGATGATCAGCCATGAAATCAGTAACATCATGAATAATTCCATGAACAGCGGTGAGACAACGACCAGCAGCCGCCTGCTCAACAAAATCTTTCCACTCCATCTCCGGCAGGTGAGCAACCTCCGGGCCATGGGCAATCCCTTCCTTGATGTTGATCTGACGTTGCTTCGCCCGCTCAACCTCGGCGGGACTGGTAATATGCAGGTCCCACGCAAGTCCAAGTCGTTCACAAGTGCGAATAAACCACCTCGACAGATCGCCCTCATACCAATGAAGCCCATTTCGATAATCGGCTGGGAAAGTGTGGTGGAAGTTATGGCTCGCCTCGCCGGCCAATACCCACGCAAAGAGCAACACATTGCGAGCACTGTGTTTATCTGAATATGGCTGAGAGCCAAACCAAGGAAGATGGGCGATGGAATTCACGAAGAATCCCAGGTGCCAGATCCACATCAGTCGTCCTAATACAGTATGGACGAGTGCACCTCGGGCATCGCCCCAGCCATAATGCGCGATTGCAACTGGGAAGACAACGGCTGTGAGGAAGCCAACTAGAGTGCCCCATTTGTGCTGCCAGACTACCACTGGATCGGCTAGAAGATCGGACAGATCGACTTTCCCCCATGATTTGGGGTTGTAGCCCACGAGCCACCCGACGTGGGAGAAGAAGAATCCACGGGTAGGGTTGTAGGGATCTTGCTCTGTGTCGGTGTAACGGTGGTGGGAGCGGTGGTGCTTTGCCCACCAGAGGATAGACCATTGCCACTGACCGGCACCCATTATGGCGAGCCAGTATCGTAGCGGCGTTGATGCTTTATATGATCTGTGAGACCAGAGGCGGTGGTAACCTGTTTTGCCCAACTATCAGTACGTTCTTTTTGTAGATGACGGGGTAATGGTACTATCAACTAGTATTAGTACTTACCGGCCGTGATTCCCATCCCCCCGGCGAGGTAAAAGACCCCTGTCAACAAGAAAGTCTCCCAGCGGAGAGGAACATGTAGAATGGCCGTGAAATAAGTTGGAATGGCGCCCAGCAGAACAATTGCATTGAAAACGTTCAAATGCTTAGCATAGTATTGGAACTCATCGCTCCAACTACGCTTGCTAATCTTTGCTTTCTCAAGTGCCGTCTTTGAAGCCATAGCTTGAATAGTGTTGAAGAATGATAAGATTCAAATCCAAGTGGGTCAGGGACTTGCTTAAGTATGTTCGACACTGGCAGATTTGGGCATCTCAAAACTTTTTAGGGCTACTGTGCAGACTATGGTGTGTTGCGCAGCATTTTCACTTGACAGCACATGTCTGTTAATTGGGTCATGGTACATGCCATACTGCATGCTCTATAGTCACTCTACAGCTCCACAAAGTCTAAACAACCTTGGAATGATAGCAAAGCCTTGAACTTGTTGCTTTTTTTTGCTTTCCAAGGTTTTGAACAAAAGCAATATGCTTGTTGTAAACTCATTAATCCGAGGTTGCACCCAGGCAACATCCATGCATGAATTTACTAGTGCGAGTGCGAGGCCTCATTGCCCAACGGACAGAACCCGAGTCACGACATCGGATTGGTCAACATAAACTCCTAGGAATTTCTCGTTTGAAAATATTTCATGAGATGATTGGAAATAAGCTGCGGAATATGATAAATAGTTTGGCGTAGTAAAGAGTTTGATGTTCTTGTGGTGCCACCTGGGCAAGGATTAACGAAGCGATCAAAAAGAAGCAAAATCCAACACTTTAGCGCCTACAATCTTGGTCCTACGTGATAGATGCTGCATTTCAGCTTCAGCTTCAGCTGAAAGATGGGATCACAAGAACCGCCACGAAATGCCGATCAATCCTTCAAATGTTTTTATAGTCTGAATTTGGCGATTGGCCAAAAATCACTGATTGACAATTCTATATGATCATCCCAAGTGCTCGTAAAGTTAATATTTCAAGCCTGGAATAAGAGAAGGAAAAGAAGGAACATTTGGGAGACAACTCGTATACTACTGTTCATACTAGCCGTGCGCATTGCTTTAAGACTACCCTTACATTATCCACTTTCTTCGATGACCTTGTCCCCCCTCTAAAGTAAATACAGCTTCGAATCTGGTCCAGAGTACTGCAAATGTGGCGGCTGCTAACAGTACTCCGACCATAATACTGGTGTTCTCATAACTTCGAGGGCTAGCGGTTTGATGTGGGGAACTGCGAATCAGTACTCCTGCGATAGGCGTACCAAGAAGAGTAGCAAAGCCTCGAACCATGTATAGAGCCCCATTGATAGAAACAAAGTTTTGTACCCCGAATGACTCTACCAAGCTCGCCGGGAACAAAGACACATAGGCCGATGCGAATATGCCGTAGGCGATAGTGAACACGATAAATAAAACACTGCCATTTGACTGGGAGCTTGATAGCGATGCTGGAAGCCACAGCGCTAGCACGGCAATCGCAGAAAGAAAAGTTGTCAGAAACAAGGTATTCAGCCTGCCCATTCGGTCTGCAGCGTAGCCAATCACGATTTTCCCAACGGCATTTGCGGCATTTGAAATCGCGATGAAGTTTGCCGACGTCGCCGTCGAGTATCCGAGAGTACGAGCAAAGGACGAAAAGAAGAAGACAGGTGTATAATACGCAGCCGACTGAAGTGCAGCGCCCAAGGCATGAGCCGCGAATTTTCGGGTACGTGCAACACGCCAGTCGACTAAAGGAATGCGGAAGAAATTGGCCGACCGTATGGTTACAGAATTCTCTGCCTCGATACGTGCAATCTGACTAGCCGGCCATTTCATAAAAGTACCGGAGATGGAAATGAGGACGAAGGAGAGACAAGCTGTGATGCGGAGGGTATTGCGAAATCCGACCCGTTCGATGAGTAAACGGAACGCGAGTGGCCACACCACGCCGCCGAACCCTGTTCCTGCGAGAATAATTCCCATTGCTAAGCCTCGGTGGCGCGAGAACCATGTCGGTGCCACTGTCACGGAGGGCATATATGCCATGCACGTTCCTATTCCCAGGAGGAGGCCTTGAGTGAGAATGAATTGCCAAAGGGCTTGGCTGAAACTCGCTAGGATCAGTGCGAGGGAGTAGATTATTCCGCCGCTCCAAATGACTGCTCGGGGTGAGTATTGTTTTGTCCATGCGGTCGTGAATGGAGCACCAATTGTCATGAGCGCGATGGACAGTGTACCGATCAGGTCAATTTGCGCTGGCGTTGCTCCTGTGAATGGAGTGTTTGGGAGTTTAGACATGGAGTCGTAGAGTTCCTGCCAGACACCGAAGGCGAAGTTGATACCACATCCTGTGAATACGAGTGCAGTCGATGATATCACCACCACAATTGGTTGTCTTGAAGACTTTGAGTCAGAAAATTTCGACGAAAAGAGAGTTGCGAAAGAAAAAAGCTTACAAGTGGTCCCTGATGCCTGCAGGGCCATGATGATCTGTTATGACCATTGACTCCAGTGGGCGATTCATGTTTTTTTTTTTTGAGGGAAATAACAATGCAAAGTTCAATCCCTGGTGGTTGTGAAGGTACTTTTACCTTGCATTCAGGAATCCAGGAATCCAGGACTTTGACTCATTTTGCGGGGAAACGGGGAAATTCGGGGTAAGCATCGGCAAAGCATCAGACAGAGTATTCGATCAGCATGTTTAAGAAGCTCCTTTGAATTCATTTCTCTGAATATGTATAAAAGGCACCTGGTTCAAATGTTAAAATATGCATATGTGTTGGTCTGGTGTATTACAGAGTAACACTAGGAGCGGCGTATCAATACGGATTCTATACCAGAATTTACACTACAATTACATACATGATACAAACATTCAAATGTTGAATTTAACATTTGAACGTATTTTATCATTCTGCACAATCTATCCTCCTGCCATAAATATCATATAACCTCACTTTGTACATACTCCAACCTTACAAACCCCGTGAATCCATGAGTCTCAAGTGCTGGTCTCATACGGAAATAGTCCGAGGCAACCTCCTTTATCTGGTCATTTGATAGCCACGGTTTGTCATGTTTTTATTGGTTGCGACTCGAGCTTTACCCCGCATCCTGCTATATTCCCTTGATAAGAATGATAGCGTATCGAACATTTTGGAGAGATATGGCTGTTCAGCTGTTCAAATTGAACGACACCTCTGTTTTATCGCGTTCGAAAATTCCAAGGTGGGCATTTGGAGCGAGACGCAACTAATCCGATCGCATCATGTCGGAAGAGAATAGGCAAGAAGTCGAGTCGCGTGCTACTGGTGCTACTGGTGCTAAGCGCAAGCGCGAAGCAACCGCTACTAGAAGAAGAACATCTCTTGCGTGAGTTCGTGTCAAAACACGCGCAGCAACCATTCAAACGTTTTGCCAAAGCTGATCACTATCAGATGTGATGTTTGCCGGAAACAGAAAGAGAAATGTGAAGGTGGCCAACCATGCTGGCGATGCTTACGATTAGATCGGCAATGCAACTTCACGGCTCATCCAGCTTCTCAAAGACCAAGCCGATCGTTTCAAGACCACGAAGATGAACCAATAATACCAGACGAAAATCAACATCAACGAAATCTGGAACACATTGTGCAGCATTTTCTCGGGGATGTACCGTTGGATGAAGAAAGTATTGCCGGAATCGCAGCAAAGTGCACATCAGAGACCAAGGAGATAGATAGCTTCGATGGCGTGAATGAATCACACCACGTTCATTTTGTGTCAAGTAACGTTGCATGTACGTCAAGCTGGGCCATTTGAACCATGTATCTCACTAACCGTTCAGTCTAGTCTATTCGGGCGAGTTTTCTCACTGGAACTTTTCTGAAAAGCTACGTCGCACAATGCGATGCGATTCAGAGGTATGTCGCTACCTACAGTTTACTAGTATGATTATCTCTCTCTAACTGTGTTTAGGTCAAAGAATATTGGCGAGCAACTCATCTCCAGTCCTCCATTCACAGTATCACCGAAACAATAACCCATTTACCCCCGAGGCCAATCGCTGAATTTTTGGTTGACGTATTCTTCAAATACACCGAAGTCAATTCATTCTATATCGAGAAAGGTTGGATGCGAGAAAAGCTACAACTATGCTATAATCCTTTGGCGGACTTGACGGCAGCTGATATCCCCTGGGTATGCTCCGTATTTGCTGTGTTAGCAATAGGTACACAGTTTGCGCACATGGAAGAAGACAGGTCAAATACCGATACAAATGTCTCCGAAGAAATTGCCATTTGTTTTGAGGACTCAGTGGGACTCGGTTTCTTTCATGTAGCATGCAGATTGGGTCCTGATGTTATCTTAGTAGCTTCGTATGAAAGCGTGCAAGCCTTTCTCCTATTAGCGGTATATTCTTTACCGGTCTCATGTGGCGGGCTTTCCTACACATACTTTGGATTGGCGATGAAAATGGCGATTCAAAACGGTATGCATCGAAAATGCGTTGGGGATGAATGTGATCGCAGAACACTCGAGTTGAGAAATCGTCTTTTTTGGACTGTCTATACCCTCGAAAGGTATGCTAGGGTGAATTCCGGTTGTAACGAAGGCGAGGCTCACAAAACGCAGAAGAACTGCTATTATGCATGGGCGACCTAATTCCATCCCAAGATCAGAAGTCAACGCTGATCTGCCAACGGATTGCCACACGTTCGACTCGCCAAATTTCCTCAATATGATGGCTTTTATTGATCTAGTCTCTTGGACTGGAGAGGTAGCAGATACATTGTAAGAGAATTCTTGCTGATGGTTTTTTTTTTTTTTTTTTTTTTTTTTTGCAAATTCACTTGAACTGATCGCAATAATGACAGGACAAAATTCAAAAAATGTCCCAAGAGACTGATGCCAGAGTATTCAGGACGGCTTGTGCAGTTGAGGACAAATATTCGACAATGGTGGAGCTCACTTTCAACCAGTATTCGAGATACTACTCCCCAGGGACCCCTATTCCGACAAAATTGCCATATGAAGTTATGCTACCTTTTGATCTACATCTACATGGGCCGACCTTTTATCTTTGATGCTTGCGACAAAGAGCCGTCTAAGAAGCAGAATACGGCCAGAACACAGCGGTTGATGTTGGTAGATGACTGTGTACAATGTGCATTCGAAATTATTGAATTGCTCCAATTACTCTCAGACAACCTGGGCCTATGCCGTGCCTCCTATACTGAGTTCAGTTCCTGCAGAGCAGCTATTCTCGTCATCCTTGCAGAGAGTCTCAACTCTGGAAGATCCCCAAAGCTACAGAAAGTGTTGGAACACGGTATGCTTCTTATCCGTCAAATGACCGGTGGAACCTCTACACAATCTGAAATATCGTACATTGAGTCAATTGAAGCGGCAATTCGTCAGTGGTCACTAGATGGGGGATCAATTGATGATGAGGCAAATACAGGGCAAATATCTACATCCGCTTATGCGACATTCAAAGATTGGACACAGTCGATGAAGAAAGATAAAGATATTGGCAGCATGATGGAACTATCTTCATTCAGTCCTGTTTCGAATCGAACCTCGAGTGCTGAAAGCGCATTTCATTCAGATATCCATGATTTGACCGATCTTTTCAATCCAGACTGGACAACGGATGGTTTGAGTTTGGATCCGGAGGCTTTCCTGGCTCTGTAGAAACAATCTTATTCCTCTACCCAAATATCATATATCGAATGCGTTTGAGCCATTCTGTCTTGGAACTTGATTTCTCTTGGTCGCCCGTGTCATTGAGGCGATCTTCTTCGTCAAAATACTGCGCTGCGGAGAAGTCCATCTCTGTGTACTTTACAATCTTTGTTTTGAAATAGAACTTTGCAACGTCAGAAAAAGTAATCGCGGACCTTGAGGAAAGAGAAGAGCATACCTTGTATACGAAGTAATCAAATACAAACAAGGGAGCAGCAAGATAAGTGGAAAAGAATGTCTTCGCAGACCCTTTTTCTCCGAATGGCCAGCACGATAGATAAAATTCACATCCAAAAATGAAAACCACTATGATAAGACTGAAGTACTGCGCCCAGGGCGTAAGTAGTCCTTTGAACGGCAACTTGCTGAGATCCTTGCCTTGGGTCTTAAGTCCCTGTCTGAATCGAAGATGGGAGATATAGCACCCAGACCATTCAAAGAGGGTTGCGATAGCGACCTAGGGAGATTGTCTTGTTAGTCGTAGTCCCAAGCCCAACTTCCAGGAGATTATAGAGTTAATTCACATACCAGAGAAGAAAACCAGTTATAGGCAACAGTGCCAATACTGTCGCAATTGAGATAGCAAAGACCTCCGCCAAGTAGTAGGCTGATGGCCAAGGACACATATGGCCTACCCTGTGTATCCTTTCGACCAAAGAAAGGGTGGATAATATTCAGGTCCGCCAGCGCTGTTAGGCTTCGACTTGCCACGTAAGCACTGGTGATACCACAGCTAATAACACTGAGAAATATGAATCCGTTTATCGCATGTGCCAGTCCATAAACATTTGCCCGCTTGATTGCGATAACGAAGGGACTTCCCAGAGTTCCGCTAGTAGTGGCCAGGTCGGTGTCATCGGACGGTACGCACATCCCCACGAGCCAAATGTTCACAACAAAGAAGGTGAACATGCGCCAGAAGACTGGACGAATCGTTTTCTTGATGGTTTGTCGAGGGTTCTTTACTTCCCCGGCAATAACGGCAATATGTTCACCTAAATACGATGTTTAGTCCTTGAGTATCGAGAAACCTGAAGACGGCCAGAAACCTTGAAAGGGATATTGTACTTACCACCACCAAAACTAAATGCGGCTTGCACAAAAGCTTTTGCAATTCCTTTCATTCCATTCTTAAAAGCACCGGGATTTTTCCAGTAACGAAACTCAATGGGGCCATGAGTAGCGGGAATTCCTCCAGATGTCATGATGAAAAGGAAAAAGATCATCAATATAATTGCGGCACATTTGATGAATGACATATAGTACTCAATGTAGCCGTAGATTCGGACGTGGAAAAGATTAGCGAGGGCTATAACCACCAAGAAAATCGTTATGTATACAGCGAGAGGAAGAGCATCGGTTGCTGGCCAGAATTTCAAGACCGACACTGCGGCTGTGATTTCTGCTGGAATTATCATCACCCACTTTTTGATTCGCTAGTTAGAATAGAAGCTTTGCATGGTGGATGTTGAGTGGTCTTACTGAAAACCAAAAATTGATTCCAATGGCGAAACCCAGTGCAGGATCCACATATTCCATGCACATTCGGATAAATCCTCCATGGATTGGCTTGTATGTGATCATCTCACCAATCGAACAATATTGGGCATAAACGATCATTCTGGAAGTAAGAGCTTTTGTTAGTATGAGTCTCAGCACTGAGGGGTTGTGTTGAATAAATATAGTGCTTTGTCACTCACGCAGTCAAAGTATAGGTCAAGGCGACTCCCGCAGGGCCAGCTAAGAAACATTCACATGTCAGCATTTAATAAACATTGAAGGATCAATTCAATGTTGACTCAAGCTTCAATTGATGTTTATTGATTGACATACCGTAGTATAGCGCCTGTCCTGTTCCCACCCATAGACCTGTCCCAATCCCAGCACCAAAGGTCATCATCATAACCTTTCGTCTAGTGAGAGACCGATGGAACCCAGCGGTATCCGCAGTGGGGATCTCTTTTGAAACTCCATGTTGCTCAGTTGCTGAAGTTGCAATCCTCTCAATATCAATCTCATTTTCTGCACTTCCTTTGATGTCGATCTTTCCATTCGAAATATTCTCGCTTGTCGCCATCGCTATAGCTTTGATGAATGACTAGACTCACAGAACTCAAACGCCAGGAGAGGCAAGTCCAGATAACTTAAGAGAGAAAAATAAAACACTCACACCCCCCCCCCTCTCTCTCTTTTGTTCATCCTCGTCGTTATCTTCCAATCTTGCCTAGTGTAAAAATAGCTTCACGGATGAGTATGTTACCCGGCGGGAACCCCTCTCTCGCTGTTCCCGCCGGGACTAAGAGCGGGGTTTGTCACCAGGATTCCTATCTTGCTCTTTTCAATGTTGCTCTTTTTTCTCAAAGTGCTGAAGAGATTACAGATCAGATTGACTCACTTGACTAGTGACTCACTCCAATTGCTTTATTTTAAAAGCGAAAATTCACCAGTCAATCTCCGATAAGGACAACATTGAATTACCCAAGTCAAAACCAGTTGACTTCCATCTATATATCCACTCAAATTTTACAGAAACCAAGCGGAAACAATGGCTTCCTCCAAGAACGTGGTCTTCGACATCGTCGGCACGCTTGTCAGCTACGACTACCTTTTTGATGCAATTGACCGTCGTCTAGGCGACCGTCTTCGAGCTGAAGGTGTCAAGCCTTGGCTTCTGGGATCAGCATGGATGGAAACCGCTGAGCGTGAATACACCAATTTGAGTATCTCGGGAAGGTACCTCCCTTATGGAGAGGTCTTTGAAGCTCTCTTCTACCGTGTCCTTGGAATGATGGCTGGCATTAAGAATCCCCGTGCCTTTGCTTCTGCCGAGGACCTCGCGTGGATCATGCACGAGTACCAATCTCTCACTATGCGTCCCGGTGCCGCCGAGTGTGTCCAGAAGCTGCGTGATGCTGGGTTTACCGTTTGGGCTTTTACCGCGGCGGATCTAACGCGGGTTGGTGGATACTTTGAGAAGGCTGGGATTGAGTTGCCAGCTGAGAATCTACTCTCTTGTGACTCTGTTGGAATTGGAAAGCCGGACTTGGCTGCCTATGGGCCTCTGTTGGAGAAGTTGACTTTGGAGAACGAAGGGAAGATCCCATGGTTTGCTGCCGCTCATATGTGGGATGTCTCTGCTGCACGGAGAGCTGGGTATGTGTTTTCTTTCTGTGTTTTTGTTCTTTATACTCTTCATTCTCATTTGCAATGCAATTTATTTGATGCTAATGTATTTGGAACAGATTCAAGGGAGCTTATTGTACAGTTCTGGAGCAGGAGGCATTGACCGGCTTATTTGGAGATATGGATGTCATTGACGACAGCTTACCTGGAATGGCTGATAAAATCATTGCTCACCAGGCTGGGAATTAAACATGATTATTCAAATAGTCGGTACATATCTACTAGTCCCACTTTTAGTCAAGCACTTGAGTGTACGAATAGAAGGAATATCAATTGGAAATGATTTTACGTGACACTAGTACATAGTACTAGTATATAATATAATATAATATGTAGTAACCTTGGAATTTCTGCACCTTGCTTAAGACAGCTTATTGCAGCTGTCTTTTATGCAACAGAAACAGCGGTCAATATATTCCCCGCAATTGAATCTGACAGGTTCAAAGAGATTTATGTTGATGTACATTTCCCCTCTCCGTATTTCCCCTCTATACAGATGACTCCACCCCGCTCCCGGTCCCGGCGGGAAGGCAACCGGTGGGCAACATTGAAGATGCAACCCACAAATTGCCATAAGTGTGGACTTGTACAACATCAATGTTGCCAATACATGAGCATCCAGTTGCCTCTTAATCTGCGTAATTCACAAAAGACTAACCTTTACCAAGGCGGGAAAAAATGTCTTCACATGTCCCCGTCGCAAATGGCATACTGCCCTTCTGGCGGACAGACCCCCACCCTCTAGATAACTACCGATCCAGCGAAACTCTACCAGAGTATGCCGACGTCGTCATCATTGGAGCCGGGTATGCGGGATCATCGGTTGCGCATCACATCTTGCAACAAGTCAAGCCCGGATCCAAGGTGCCTTCAATTGCGATTATAGAGGCGCGACAGGCCTGCTCGGGCGCGACTGCTCGAAATGGTAAGTAGATACTGTATTTTTTTGAGGGGTGGGGGGGCACTGAGGTGGTCTTGGAATTTGAATTGACACTTTAGTGTATAGGAGGCCATATGAAGCCGGACATCTACAACTTTGTCGCCACCTTGGCTACGGAATATGGAGTCGAGGCTGCAGCTGAGGTGGCAGCATTTGAAGCCAAACATGTATATGCAGTCCAGGAATTTGTTGAAAAGGAAAAAATTGATTGTGATTATACCGTTACCAAGGCCACCGATGTGCAATTGGACGAAGCACACTTTCAGAAGCTCAAGGATGGGTATAATCGTCTGATTGCCGGAGGCAGCAAACCCACAGCGGGGGCTCAGATCATCGAGTCTGAAGAGGCAGAAGCTGTAGGTTTCTTCCAGAACTGAATGAAATTTTGAAATTTTTTCCCGCGCGCCATATCTGATCATCTCCAGTTCTCTGGCGTCAAAGGGGCGGTCGGCTGTTTTACTTACGATGCAGCTCACATCTGGGCCTACAAATTCGTCCTCTACTTATTACAAAGAGTAGTATCGCAAGGGGTCAACCTGCAGACACATACACCCGTGACGAAGATCATAGAAAAGACCCATCCGTCTTCCCCTCATCGCTGGCAAGTGGAGACATCCCGCGGCATGGTGGCGGCCAAGGTAGTGGTGCTCGCGACAAACGCTTATACCTCGACCCTCGCGCCACAATACCTAGGCAATATTGTTCCGGTGAGAGGAACGTGTTGCCGCATTGTTGTTCCGGCTGGATCGACGGCCCCTCGCTTGACGAATTCGTACACCTTGCGATTAAACGGGTGGGACTATGACTACCTCATTCCGCGTGAGGATGGCAGTATCGTTGTCGGTGGGGCGCGATCGTCGTTTATCCACGAGGAAAAGAATTGGTATAATGTTAGCGATGATAGTCGGGTTTTGGAACCCGCGGTCCGATATTTCGATGGGTATATGCAGCGCAATTTCAAGGGATGGGAGAAGAGTTTCGCGTATACCGATCGTATTTGGACAGGAAGTAAGTCGCGAAGTTGATACCCTGGGTGGTCACGAGTCACGACTCACGGGTGCGATGATGTGATGCTAATATTGAATGTGATTTTTAGTCATGGGATACTCCTCCGATGGACTTCCACATGTTGGTCAAGTTCCTGGGCATGATGGTCAATATATTTTGGCTGGTTTTACGGGGCATGGAATGCCACAGATCTTCCTCGTCGCGGAAGGAATCGCCAAAATGGTTGTTGAAGGGGTAGAGTTTGAAGAGACGGGGCTACCGCGACTATTCAAGACCACTTCACAGCGAATTGAAAACGGGCGGAAGAATATTTTGGACAATAATCCTCAGGCTGGCGCATCTGCTAAGCTATGACCTCCCGAGGCCACTGGTGCCGTTTTCAACAGGTATCTGAGAGAGGAATAAATTAGATCTACTCGGTATAATATGTTTATTCTTCTAATTTACTTTACTTGAAATTGATTTTGGTTTGGCTTGGCTTGGCAGTAGCGGTGTCATAATTGGCAATATTGTGTGCTCAAGCCATGCGAAATCCATAACAAAATGGGGGAGATTAAACCAGTTGATAAGACTGCAAGCCCCATCAATATGTACCTTGGAATGCATGTACTATATGCACCATTGGAAGCTATAGATACCTTTGAATTGATGTACCATGTGTCCGTTTGAGATTATTATGAAGATAATATCTATAACCACAATTAAGGTCAATGCCCAAGGGTATACCGTATGAATCATACTACATAGTATCGATCCTTGACTCTTATCTCTGGCCGTGAAATTGGATGCGGGGCATCCTGCGACCAGACCAATCAAAGTCACCACTTCAAGACCAGGAACGAACAACTTAGCTCCAATACGGAGCACCTGGAGAGTCCTGGACTCCTGGACCCTTTAACAGAACTGAAAGTGCTTGGCAAGCCTTGGCGGTGAAGGATACGTCAATCTGATGCTGAATTGTGTGCGAGGATCCACTTGATCAGTTGTCGATCTCTTCAAAAGTGAGATCTGGAGAGAAAACACAGAAGGGGGAAAAAAGAGAAGAAAAAAAAGGGCAAACCTGACTGTTCTCAGTATAGAATTGAGAGCAGATTGGTATCAATGTGGCTTGTCCATGATAAGAAAAGCGCATTCACTGTCCTGATCCTTGCGTCTCCCAACTCAAGCCTTGTCGATCATCCGCGATGCCATCACCAATCAAGATTGCGTGCTTCCGCTCACCATCAGCTGCACCACTATTGCGCGATATGGACCCGCTCTCCACACCTCCTTAACTTTGTATTCTATGTAGCTGGCCATCGTATATAACTGATCAAGAACGACCCCATGCCGCCATGACATTTTTATTTAGGTGCTCACCCGTGCTCACCCGTGCTCACCAAATACCTTACCTTGAAGGTTCGGGCCCTTACCGCCATTCTATTTGAGGTTTGCCCAGCAATCCACTTACCCGGGGCTCTCCAGTTCACCGTTCTCTTGAAGATGGATCGGTCGCATTTGGCCATGGAATTGCCTCCCAAGGTCGAAGTTGACCTCGAGGCCAACGCGACACAATACGAATACGACCCCTGGTTGATGGACGACCACCCGCTCCGCTCGTATCCAACCGAATGTATTCCGGGTCTGGGTGGCATCATCGCTGAAGGATATGCTTCGGTACGGAATCGATGGAAGGAGTGCCTGCTACGCGCGGTTTGCCTGGTCATCGCATGCTTGTGAGTCCGCGCCATGATCATGACAAATTGAAACCGACCCAAATTCTAATATGCCTTTGTTTGGTTTAGTGCCGCTTTCCAATGTCTTCAATATCTCCCATCCTTAAGTGAAAGTCTGGCCCGCCCCGGTTCTCGATTGAGTTCTCGCGAATGGCAGGTTACATGCACTTTCCCCAATTCGGATCCCCGCCCGAGTGCCCTCACACAATCCGTTGCTGCCGGATGTGATGGTTTTCGAACCGACATCTGGTTACATGGCCACAATTTGCAGATGAGCCCCGCTGGCTCAGAGCCCAAGGAGGAAAATGACCTTCAACTTCGGATCAACTCACTCTTCACACGACTGCAGCCTCGTGATGTATCCGATCCTTCACAAATCCCCCTGGATACTGAGAAACCAGCGGAGACAATTAACTCAACCCCGAACGAGTCTTTCTTCCTGGTCCTCGATGCCCAGTCCCCTCAACAAGAAGTTCTTGATTTACTTCTTCCGCGACTCGAACCCCTCCGCCAACGAGGGTACCTGACTACCTGGGATGGTGTGCAGGCGGTCCCAGGCCGAGTGACTGTCATTGTAACAGGAGAGACTGTGCCTCAATGTTCTGGTGCTGAAGTTTCCGATATCTTCTGGTCCTTGAATAGAGATATTTCAAAGGACAATATTACGAATGATCATCTGACTCCCATGTGCGCCAAATGATTCTCATGCTTCATCTATTATGTTTTTAATCTCCAGAGTCTTTTTTTGTTTTGGCTTTCATGATACCCTATGCCAATGCCAATGTCAATCGAATTTATCATTTCTTTTTATCATTAAGTCTCTTCCACACATGCAGGATTAGTTTTCTCTTTCTTCCTTCACTTGACTTTCTACCATCGGGTACTTGGGTTATTTGGTACCCAATATTGCAGTATTTGATTTCGCAATGCGTATTTGTTGAAGGTAACAAATTCGATTTCAGTAGTATTTCATAGACACCTAGATATTCTCCTCAAGTACTGGGAGTATCGGCTTTCCTCTAGTGCTCATCATGAGATTCAAAAATAACGTTTGATGGCAGCGCGCGTATGCGTGGCGTCCAAGGCGTCACTATAATACATGTAATGCATACAAGGTGAACATTATAACAGTGGAGCTTCCTGCATACTGTTGGATGTGATCAACATTCCTGTGTCACCTTAAAACCCGATCAGAGTGTGGTCCGAGCATGGGTTTCGTCATCTTTAGCTTACAGCTGAAATGTATGCAATTAGGTCTCTTGGAGTAGCAGGGGAACACCTGGGACATGGTCACGAGAGTGGAAACCCGACAAAACCAATCATTCAAATGCAGCCTGAGCCGTAGGCCCGTAGCTACCTAATATCCCATACAAGCTTTTGAAGGGTTTCGGGCTTTGTTGGGTCAGTATTTTTGAGGATTTTTCTTAAACGAAGGACTTTGATTTTGAGGCCTTTTAATCCTAACAAACGAGAATATCTAGTCAAAAAAAAAAAAAGATTAAAGGCTTTTTGTTTGACTTGTAATTATTGTGATCCCGATCTCCACAAATGCAAGATACAGTCTTGGGCCTTGGCCCCATCACGCTAAAGCCGCATCACTCACCGTTTTTTTTTCTCCGTACGCCCCAGAACTCTTAACTGGCCTGGACCTCTACTGTTTTCCCTCTTTCCATCTTTCTCTTCTCTTCCAATTCTGAATTATTTTCCTTGGAAGAAGTCCTCACCCCCATCGGCTCTCTTTCCCCAACTCCTCTCACCTCGGAACCCCTCACGGTCGCGCGCACTATTTCCGAAGAGGTCATGGCTCGCGGGATCAACCGCTGATCCTTCATCGTTACTGTTTTTTCCTCTTCGGCAACCTTTCCACCGTCATTCTATCCTAGTGATCTCATCCGACTACCCTATACCCGACCGTATTCTCTCGTCGCGTCATTCCTTCACATAGGCATGGATTTTTACCGACGATTCAACCAGGCCTCCTATCCACCCCGTCCGTCGCCTTTGGGGACCTCACAAGAAGCACGCGACGGACACGAATCATCTCGCAACCATACCTCGCCGGCCTCCAATGATCCTCGTCGAGCAGATGAAAAGGCTCGACCTTCCAACCATTGCAATTATGCCTCTCATACCCCCGCTCCAGTCTATTCTCCGGGCGCATCGCGTGTGTCACACCCGCGTCCAGAAAACACCAGCGCACAGGCTTCTCCGGACAGGAATTACCAGGTACAACCTCATCGTCGCAGTGCCAGTGGTCATGCAAGTGGAGAGGTGAAATATTACAATCCACAAGCGCACCGCAGAAATAACTCCCAGCCACAAGCTGGCCGCTCTCAAGAAGGTAGGCATGAAACTTCTTTTTTATTCGTCGTTATTTTTTCTCTCTTTTCATTCTCGTCTCTCAAAATTTCCCCGTCGCTGCATTTCCCTTGCGTGGTTTGCTATGCCCCGGATTCATGGATTCAGGAACATTGGGTTCGGACTTGTCCCGTGGTTCCTGCTTGATCTCTCTCCACTTTCCCAGCACATACTGGATCTATACAAGAGGGAGAGGACTGAGCTCTGGAGATTGAACAACAATAAAGGGAACCACACTATTGGGCATTCACTATCTCCAATAGCTCTGTCCTACAGTGTATTCCCCTGTTCCCAGCCTCTTTCACCTCACGTTGCCTCCCCCTAATGCTTCTATTTTCCCCAGTGGCGCTGATCCGCCGCTCGGGAACGCTAGTCCGGATCAGGGATATATGCGCTATCCCTATCTGGGACTAGCGGTCGAGCTTCCGGAGTCACGGGTTCTGGCGTTCTGGGTCCTGGGAATCATCGCCAATCTTCCTTCCTCTTGGGCATTTACAACGCGCGATGAACCACATGGCTTCACAGTCTGCGCGCCGTGATTCCCAGGGTAGCAGTGGCAGTCCCGTCCAGTCGGGTGAGTAGAGGTTTTTGCGCCAACCCACAGAACCGGTGTCGCGACCCAGGATCTAAGCGCCCTTCCCATTCTTGGACCTTTCTTCTCTCTCTTGTTTTTTTCCCCCTTTTGCTTTGTATATCGCGAGTTGTGTAGTCAACGTTAAAAGGATGTCCTCCGATGGCTAACTTGACATGGTATAGGACAACAAGAATCCTCTGCTCCCCCCGGCTTCGATAATCGACAAATGCCTCCTCCGTCCTCACCTCACTCTTATTTACAATCTGCAAACCCGCCCGCCTCATCCCTACTACTTTCACGCAATATGAAAAACCACCAGCCTCAGCGACTAGGGGGACCAGGGGGACCAGGCAGTAGCATGTCAATCTCTGCCATGCTGGGATCTGATGCAGAACGCCCGGCGCGAGACTCGGCGTCGTCTGCACGACCCTCCGCCTCGTCACTTTTCGGCGTAGCACCAACATCCGTTACAGCAGGCATGTCACCACCTACTATTCCGGCTCGACCATCTCCGGTAGATCTCCGTCGATCCGAAACCCCCGAGCAGTCTCGTCGACTTTACCGATCTGGCTCTGGCGGCGCATCTAGTCTTCTGAGTAATGATCCATCAAGATTCAGTAGCTTGCCTCGCGTGTCATCCTCACAATACCCCGAGAAGGCCCACTCAACGCAACCTTCCCCTCATATTTCACCGACCGATTCACCCTACGAGCCCCGTCGCATGAGTATCAGTGGTCCAACCCCTCGACCGAGCAGCCAGCCACCTAATGCGGAACCATCCGCGCGTCAGCCGGGCTATAGCCCACTTTCTCGCCAATCGAGCGCCCTATCCGACCGATTTAACCCTGGCCAGAAAGCATCTGCATCCTACGCGGCCGGTGACCCCCATTCACCCTTTGGAGCCTTCTTTGGAGATCGCCGCTCCGAAGATAACGCGTACAGAGATCGTGACCGGGATCGTGCATCTAATGGTATGGAGCCAAAGGGACAACTTACGGGGCCGTCACGTTTCAGCTCGGTCTATGGGGACCTAGGACCTGCCAGTGTGGATCGTCACCCATCTTCCCCGGAGAGCAAGCGCTTCCAAACATCTGAATTGGCTTCACCGGGCTTTGGGTTTGGTGCGATTCAAAGTTACACCAAATCTTTGGGGTCTCATCCTGGTGGCAGTCGCCAGCCATCGTCGCTGCACTCTGGACACGGCCCTTCTCCCGGCGACTCGCCCTATTTAAATATACAGCAGCCACAACCACCTCCACGCCTAGGGTCTACCCCAAATACAGTGGCGGCGGGTGCCGGACTTCTTGGATTAGCTGCTGCCGGGGAAGAGGGACGACGCAAGGGGAGCGATGAACTCCTACAGCACCGCAATTTGCTTGCAGTGGGTGTAGATGGAAAACGAGGCGGACGCGCATCTCCTTTGCCTCAAGCTGTACAGGGTGCACAGGCCCCATTTATCAATCCCTCTGGGGAACCCAGCATCAAGAATGAGCTGGGAAGGGTATTTTCCGGTATTGGCAGTGGCGTCGGTGGTGTGACCGCTGGTGCATCTGGCAGTGGACCATCGACCCCGTTGACTGCAAGCCCATTCAAGCGCGACGGTGCTACTGGTCGCTCTGTGAATGGAGATGGACACGACAATAGCAGAAATCCTCGTCCGCTGTCTGCCTCTGGTAACAGGCGATCAAGGAATTCGAATGATGAAGATCAGATGGAGCTTGAATCAGGTGGACTTTATAAACGACCATCTCGTCGAGCTCGTCAAAAAGGTTCCTATCATGGTCTCCAACATAATCCCCATCATCACCAGTATGTATCCGGAAGTCCTTACAGCTCTGGCTCTGGCTCTGGCTCGTGCGTACTGACCACGTCTCTTAGTCACCATCACAAGGCAGAAGAGGAAGCTGCCGCATTGGCTAGACTACATCAGCCACTCTCTACTGGCTTTTTTGGTCTATCATCTACTCCTGTGGACCCCCTGGCGGGGAATCCTTACGATCACCGCCGTGTCCCCCAGCCTCCCACTGCCGCCGCGTCTCCTATTCGAGAGCCCCGCACCACCGTCACTCTGGCACCACTCCTCTCCAGCATCGCCCATCTTCCTCGTCGACATCTAGGGTCAACACTTTATACCCCTCTTATCGGGACCCCTTCGTCCAAGTCTTCTTCGGAAAGTTCCAAATTTGGTTACAGCACAACTCCGCAACCTCTTCCACGATTTGAAAATCATGAAAACTGCACTTTCACTGTCCGTGTACCTCGTTTCCTAGTTGATCGAAGTCGCCGTGAAGAGATCTGCGCACGGCGAGCCCTGTGGGGTACCGGTGTATACACAGATGACTCTGATCCTGTCGCCGCTGCCATCCACTCAGGCTTCATCCGAGGTGCTTGGGGTGATGATGTGGACGAGTCCATGCTTGATCTAGAAATCAAGGAAACCTACGAGCATGCGCCCCCGGCCACTGAAACCACCGAGGGGCCTCGCCTACCGCCTATCCCTCCCCCCAACCAGGATCTTCAAATCACACTCTTGATCCTTCCCCGCTTGGAGCGGTATGATACGACAGTCATGTTTGGAGTCAAATCCCGAAAGTGGGATGGGCGGCATGACGGTATGAGTTTCAAGGTGCATCGCGTGGATTGGGTGGATGGAGGGGTTGCACGCGGCGAGCAGCGAACCGGCCAAGCCAAACGAAAGCGGATGGAGTATCTCTTCCAAGCGGGAAAAATTTGCACGGCGAACAGCGTAGCCAGGACGAAGGAGCTCCGGCAAAGTGGAGTGCAGGTTCCCCGGACCATTGACGGTCAGGGGCATCGTACTCCCGTTCAACCAGTCTCCTAGGGAAATTTTGTCTCTTCCCGCCTGCTTTCGTTTTTGGGTGTACGCTAGGAACTGTACGAATTCTCGTGGAGTCCTGGGCCCCGGTTTATCTTCCATCAGGACCTTGTGCGGGTCTATGATTTTTATTTCTTTTTTCAAGTTAAATTTTTGGATTCTGGGAGTCATACTATCTTGATGTTTTATTTTATTTTGATCTTTGGGACTATTGATACCTGCGAATAGCGTTGGTTGGGATTTTTTGTTATTTTTCTTTGATATTTAGGTTATCCGGATCAACGGGAACGGATAAAGGGATGTTATGGGAACAGCATAACTAGTTCGATTCCTCTTTGCCATTCTTGTTGACATAGTATACATAATTTCACGTCTCCGTGGGGAGCTTCTCCGGTCTTACTAGTGCCATTTTACTTCCCAACATTTCTACTCCGTAACCAAATATCTGTGTTCCCCGAGTTTCCAGCGTAGATGATTTCCCGGCGCTAAGATCAAGCTCTCCCCGCATTGTGCTCCCATTCGTAGCACTTGAGCGGAGAGATTATCCACAACGTTTGATTTGATACTTCAAATTATAAATATTGAAAGATGAAAAATTCAACTTCTTCCACTCGTGATTGTTTTAATCGGTATCCCGAATCCCGAGTCAGCCGATCCCTCTCCTTGTGACTGCTTAGTTCCCACATTGACCCCAGAAGTCGAAACAACCGAGGCCCAGGACATTACATAAATTACCGGGGTGTCTGGTATTTATCGGTCACGGTTGCTTTCTATTGGTGTGTGAGTCCCACATGACGGTATTGTCAACGTCACACCTATCCGCGGGCAACCTCACTTCGGTCTCCTTCCCAGCCGAGGCTCTTTCACTCTAAGTATTTGTTCTCCGACTACTCCTGGGAACTTTGCCTTCATATCCTTTCCCTAGATACCCTCTTCTCTTCAAATCCCCTCCTTACACAAACGAGAGGCATGTTTGCTGCTTCTGCTCGAAGCCGTCTCTCGTCCACCTTGTCAAGGCCCCGGCTCCCTCCGACACAACTGCTCGCCCGCTCGGTAAGTCGGCCACCTCCGTCTTCCTGTTGGAAGACTGTTCAGAAATTTCTACCGTAGTAGGGATCAATTGACATTGACTATTACGCCAGACACCCGCTATGGCTCCCCGACGAAAGGCATCTTCAATCCCTGAGGGTGAGTTATTCACATGTTTGCTTGAAGTTGTGGACAATGCCGTCATATCATCACCTTGCCTAACCAACACTCCCCCGATATTCTCTACGAACGCGACCAGTGGATGGACACAGCTAATCAGATGGAATTTTCGTTGCAGGATACAAGGAGAATCTTTCTAAAGGCAAGATGCTCCGCTTTGAGGACTCCTTGCCCCGCCTCCCCGTGCCATCCCTGGAGGAAACCGGCCGCCGCTACCTGAAGTCCGTCCACCCTCTAGTCTCCGAGGCGGAGTACCAGCGCACCAAGAGCGCCGTGGAGGCTTTCATCCGCCCTGGTGGCGAGGGTGAGCCTCTCCAGAAGCGGTTGCTAGAACGCGCCGCTAACCCCAAGATTAACAACTGGATCGCCGAATGGTGGAATCAGGCCGCCTACCTCGGCTACCGGGACCCCGTCATTCCTTATGTCTCCTACTTCTACTCCTACCGGGATGATCGTGAGCGTCGTGACCCGGCCAAGCGTGCGGCGGCCATCACTTCCGCGGCATTGGAATTCAAGAAGGAGGTCGATGCGGGCTCGCTCGAGCCCGAGTATATGCGCGGTCAGCCTATGGCTATGAGCTCTTATGAGTACATGTTCAACTGCTGCCGTATCCCCGCTCATCCCGAGGACTTCCCCCAAAAGTTCTCGGCTGCTGAGAATCAGCACATCGTCGTGGTCCGCAAGAACCAATTCTTCAAGGTGCCGCTGGTTGTTGACGGACAGACCCTGAACGTGTCTGAGCTCGAGCAGCAGTTCCAGCACATCATCAACACTGCCCAGCCTGCCCCACCGGTCGGTGTGCTGACTGTGGCTGATCGTGATCACTGGACCGCAGCACGCAAGAAGCTCATCGCGGCCGACCCGGCCAACGAGCAAGCCCTACAGACTATCGAGTCTGCCGGGTTCGTAGTCTGCTTGGATGATGCGAAGCCCGTTACTCTTGAGGAGCGTTCACACCAGTACTGGCACGGTGATGGCTCCAACCGCTGGTTTGACAAGCCCCTGCAGTTCATCATCAACGACAACGGTACCGCCGGCTTCATGGGCGAGCACAGCATGATGGACGGCACCCCAACCCACCGCCTGAACGACCACGTCAACAACCTTATCTTTAACAAGCGCATCGATTTGTCCGCAAAGTCCGTGCGCTCCCAGCTCGCTGACCCCAAGCCCATCACCTTCAACCTGAATGAGGAGGCCAACGAGGCAATCGACATTGCTGCTCAATACCATCGCAAACAGATCGCCTCCCACGAGCTGGTCGTCCAGGCCTTCCAAGGCTATGGTAAGGGTCTCATCAAGAAGTTCAAGTGCAGTCCCGATGCCTACGTCCAAATGGTCATCCAACTCGCCTACTTTAAGATGTACGGCAAGAACCGCCCTACCTACGAGTCTGCCACTACCCGCAAGTTCCAGGAGGGTCGCACCGAGACAACCCGTACCGTCTCTGATGAGAGCGTTGCCTTCTGCAAGGCCTTCCACGACCACACCGTAGCCCGCGAGGAAGTTGTTAAGCTCTTCCGCGCTGCTTTGTCCCAGCACACCAAGTACACTCTCGACGCTAGCGATGGCCGCGGTGTCGACCGTCACCTCTTCGGTCTGAAGAAGCTCCTTCAGCCCGGTGAGAAGCTTCCCGCCCTCTACGAGGATCCCGCCTACTCTTACTCCGGCTCCTGGTATATTTCTTCTTCCCAGCTGAGCTCGGAATACTTCAACGGATACGGATGGAGCCAGGTTATCGATGATGGATTCGGTATCGCATACATGATCAACGAGAACAGGTATACACCCCATGCCCACCCTCTATCTCACGGGGGGTTTCATTTTGTCATAACAGTCGTCCACTAACACCATCTAGTCTCAACTTCAACATCGTCTGCAAACGCCTCGGCGCGCACCGTATGAGCTACTTCTTGAACGAGGCTGCTACTGAGCTTCGTGATGTGCTTATGCCTGACTTGGCTGCCCAGTCTGAGAAGGCTAAGCTCTAGTCTCGCTACATATCGGTTTCCTTTTATTCATATCTGGTGTGAGATTTCGGCTTTGGTTTCAGCGTCCTTCAAGGTTTGATAGATGAATATATCTTCTGCGGTATTTAACTGTATACACAATGAATATTGACTCTTTTTTACTATATACTCTACCAAAGTACTGCTTATGTTACCTACATACTACACTCTCCATGATCGAAAGCCTGGGTATGCTATATGTAGTACTAACATTTGAACATTAGATTGTGATACAATTGTATCGTCAATGTTGTGGCATGCAATGCTTGCTTGTAAACATTGCGGGCTTGGCCGTATTGATAAAATTCGTATCTATGAAGGTAGTATTATTCTGAACCATCAAGACTGGTGCATATGGCAGATCCATCGCCTCGCTCATATCAGATGCATTTTCATCAATTGCAACCTCGTTTCATATCGTCGCTGCGTTCTGTATGTATGCCTTCAAGAACAATATTGATGGGAGGAGTCCATAGCACTCCAATTGTAATGTACATAGGGGACCGAGTTTGATTTGGTAGCCACTGGGTTAAAAAATATTCTCATCCGTGCCAAGGACGGAAAGCAAAATCGCTCATGACCATCTCGAGGCGATCTGAAGAACTTTCATACCATGTTGGCATGAAAATGGCCCCACCCAAAATCGAGGACGGAAAGTGCAATGCGAGCCATGACTAATATTGGCCCACAATGACCGCTGACCTTTTAGGTGAGATGAAGTTTTCTCACTGGCGAGTCACTCTCAATCTTTTCCCTCTGTCGATCCCACAATAGGTGGGTCCGCCGTTTCGGCCCCCTCTTGCCCCGATGTTTCGCCCGATCCGAGAGCTGGGGAAGGCGATGGTCTCGAAGAGAGAGTGAGATCTCCTATCTGTCGTTCTATGGAAGAGTTAGCAACGATGTCTACCCCGAGCCGTGTGATGAGATCCCCTCCTTTTTGCCCAGCCGTCCGTAATGAATTAATTTCTCTCCACATGGAGATAATCGGACAACTGGGGTGATTGAGGGGAAGCGATGACACTGGTGCTTACCTAGTTCGCGAATCCTTTGTCGTAGCATTTGGTTTTCTCGGCTCAACATGGCAGTCTCGGCCTGGTAGTAGGCGTTTTCATCTCGGCTTCCACGGCGCGATGAGCTCTGTAGTGGTGGGAATGTCTCCGTGCTTTCGAGTCCTCGCGAAGAATCTAACGGTTGCAAACTGGGGGATGTTGCTTGGCTAGGCGGCCGTGAAGATCGGCGATTGGAGACCGAGGAGATTGACAGGCGACTGCTGGATGGCTGCACCGGTGGGGGCATAGGAAGGGAAAATGAGGGCGATCGTTCGGATGGAGTCAGTTCATCGACAACTGCTGTGCTAGCACCCGGCTGATGTTGCTGGAGTTGCTGTAGTTGGGCCTGTTGGCTGCGGATCATCTGCAGCAAACGATTCTACATATAAGTTGATTGATTAGCTATTTGCAAATTAATTCCAGTAAGGAGCAAGACCCACCACTTGCGCTTCTTGCTCTTGCTCTAATTCCTGGTGCAGCTCGCCCAGGGAAGGTGCTCGCTGGTGGTGCGGGTCCGCTGTCGCAAAGACCGGGCTGCCGTGACTGGTGGGGCTGGCGGTTCGAAATGCATGGCCGATGGAGGAGCGATGGTCGGGCCAGGGGCCTTCGCCGTGATTTCCCGAGGCGCTAGGCGACTCATTCTGGTTTAGATTCATGCCGGCGGCGGACCGGCGTCTTTCAGAAACCGATAGTCGGCCCGCACTGGATCCGCGGGAGGGACGAGGGGAAGTGGTGTTGGGGTTCATTGGAGCGGGGGCCGTGCCTGAAGAGGCAGTTGGGCTACGATGGGGGAGGGATGAAGAGGTGGAAGGTGAACGGGATTGTGGAAGAGAGTTGATATCAGGGCACATAGTGAGAGGGACCAGGACTTCAAAGATAAGTAGAGTGTCAACGTCAATAGAATCTACTAAGGATGGGAAGCTCCAGTTGCTCAAGAGCATGACGAGGGGCTGAGTCAGCTTCGTGAGAGGTGATCATCACATGATGCAATGCAAACAGCCATGCCTGAGGTGTCTGGGGGATGTGTTCCCCCCCCAGTTTTCTCGTCAACGAGAAATTGTAGAAGCTGGGGTCATTTGCTCCGACTTGATCAGGTGGATGTATCTAACCTTGAACCGTACATGCTACATACTCGGTATTTGGAAAGGGTGTATACTGAGTACTCAAGAGTGCTTTCTTAGCAAGATAATTACCTAGTCAGTACTGGAGATAGGCGTTGTACTTAATAACTCACTGCTACTTTCATCTATTACTTTTTTTACTATCTAGTATCAACTGGGAAAATCATGAGAAAAAAAAAGTAAGGGAGAGTATCCCTTTTTTGGCGTCGACTTCTGCATCCAAGAATTCTTCTGGTTTATCCCAGGGGTATATACTAAGAGTACCAACAAGTTTGTCGGGTACCTGGGTTCGGCCAAGGCCAGATACCAAGGGACAGAACGGCGTCCCCGAAAGGAAGTGGCGTTCTTGGAATTCATGAAATGTTCTGATATGGGCGATAGTAGATATTCTACTAGTGCTTCATGATGATTCATCGGGTATTTATGCCCGCCAACTCGCGTGGCTCGGGATCGTCGATCCGATGTTGCCCATGTGCGGACAGGAATGTAACCAGGGCAGTTCTGGTTGTTTCCGGTTATGCGGATGTCACTGCAGCAAAAACTTTGTTTTGGGGAAAAGGGGGGGGGGAAATAAAAGATGGAGATACATCTTGACTTTGCTTTTTGATAAAAAAAAAAAAAAAAAAAAAAAAACCGATCTTCAAGGATTTCATGTTTCCTCTGTACATAACAGCCCGTCAAAACAAGACTCTGGGCCCCTGCTCAGATGACGATCAGCCCGACGCCACGCCCGTAATTCCCATGTACGTAGGCACTTAATTGTGAACGAACCATGGCCAACGCTTTCTTATTAGTGACACACTTGAGCCCTCCAGCTTGACGTCACTATACAATGGTTTGATCCCTGAAATCTGACACAAAATAGCCCCGGCTTTCCCCATTGTGGGCATTGATTGATTGATTCTCTGCGTCATTTTTTATTTTATATTCTTTATTTCAATTTTTTTTTTTTAATTTTTCGCCCTACATTTAAATTGTAGCTATACTTCTTTTCGCATGGAGAACCATGCGGCTTGGGCACCGTTTGACCCAAATGTCGACTCCTTGCGTCGTGGGGTACACCGGGGTATCACACATGTCCTTTTCCCCGTATTTTCTTTCCCCTCTTTTTTTTGGATATCGTAAAGTTCTTGTTGGGAAGGTCGATGTTGCATGCATCTATGAATGTCGAAGGTCTAGGTCTCTTCTCCCGAGATCCCGATGCGGGAGCATTCTCACGGCATTCTCATGGCCCACACCCAAAACGGATCGGAAATCTTCCGGAACAAACTGACTCTGGTGATGGACATCGGCCATGGGATTCTTGGCCAGGTGAAGTGGAGCCGATTATCCAATTGCGGGTTTTCTTGCCCATGGGGGGCTACCTATTCCCGGGGGAAGGGGCGTCATCCCAAGCCCAGATCCAACAAGGAAAAAAAAAAGGAAAAAAGAGGAAATACAGAAAATAAGAAATGATGGGGGGGGGAAAAAAGCCAATACCATTACCACAAAGTCAAAGCCAAAGCCAAAGCCAAAGAAACTACAAAGAACACTGAGTCCTTTCCAAATCCCCAGATTTTCTCAAATCGAAGGGGATTTTATAGCCAAAAGAAAAGTGGATCGTAGAAACGGGGGAACAGGGCAAGTCGGCATCCCGCTTACTTCGGTAGGGAAACTGGAGAGCGAGGGACTCCAAGAAAAAAAAGAATTTAAAACAGAATAAAATATAAAATATAAAATATAAAATATAATAAAAATCAATTAAAAAAACCTGGAGAATGAACTTTACCTATTTTAGTCCATTTTAGTCTATTTTCTTATGTTATCGTACTGTACTTGCCCTCCAGTGTAAAATGTATGGATCCAAGGAATGTCCTTGCCGCATCTGATCTCGTCGCATTAGGAAAACTAAGTATTTATTACTTCCTTCTTCCCCCCCCCCCGCTCCTTCCTGTTTGCACATCTCTTGTTCTTTCCCGTTTCTTTTTCTTTCCCTTGTTAGATTCATTCAGGTTTCCTTTCAAAACACTTCCCCTGTTTGTCTACAACATTATACAACTGGATAAAGAAAAGAATCTCCAACATGTCAAGCAAGACAGACAAGCTGGCCGATGGCCGAGATGTCCTTCAGACATCCGAGTCGTCTAGTACCACCCACGATGTGATTCCTATCAATGAAAAGTCAGATGAGCATCATCAATTGGAAGATGCTCCCGATGGCCGAATCGAACTGACCGAGGACATGTGCTATGATCAACTGGGATACTCCTTCTCCGAGAATCGAAAGTGGTTGATTATTAGCGTCATCTTCTTGGTCCAGGTCTCCATGAACTTCAACACCTCGCTTTACTCTAACGGTCTCTCCGGTATCTCCGAGGAGTTTGGTGTCTCCATGCAAGCGGCTCGATGTGGTGCCATGATCTTCTTGGTTCTGTACGCTTTCGGTTGTGAGTTGTGGGCACCATGGAGTGAGGAGTTGGGTCGGAAGCCAATTTTGCAGATGTCTTTACTCTTCGTCAACATCTTCCAACTGCCCGTCGCACTGGCCCCGAACTTTGCTTCCATCATGGTTGGTCGTGCTTTGGGAGGTCTGGCATCCGCTGGTGGTTCCGTCACCCTGGGTATGATTGCCGATCTATGGGAAGCTGATACCCAACAGTATGCTGTCGCTGCCGTTGTTTTCTCCTCGGTGGGTGGTTCGGTACTGGGCCCAGTCATTGGTGGATTTGTGGAGGCCTTCTTGCCCTGGCGCTGGAATATCTGGATCCAGCTCATCTTCGGTGGCTTTGTCCAGATCATGCACTTCTTCTTGGTTCCCGAGACCCGAACGACCGTCCTGATGGACCGCATTGCGAAGAAGATGCGTGACAGTGGCGAGAACCCCAATATCTATGGCCCCACTGAGGGAATGTCCTTCCGTGAACGATTCCCTCCTCGTGAGCTTATGGCCACCTGGATCCGCCCATTCCGCATGTTCTTGACCGAGCCAATTGTCTTGACTCTCTCCCTGTTGAGCGGATTCAGCGATGCCCTGATTTTCATGTTCATTCAGTCTCTGTCATTGGTCTACGGTCAGTGGGGATTTAATACCTGGCAACTAGGCCTGGCTTTCATTCCCATTCTGGTAGGCTATCTTATTGCGTGGATCTCATGGTTCCCGGTCATCAAACGGAACGTGGCCGAGCGCGCCGCCAACCCCGATAGCGAACGGGCCCAATACGAGTCTCGTCTGTGGTGGTTGTTGTACACCGTCCCTTGCTTGCCTATCGGATTGATTGGCTTCGCCTGGACCAGTTTGCCACAATGCCACTGGATCGGATCTATGATCTTCGCCGCCATTATTGGTATCGCCAACTATGCCATCTACATGGCAACCATCGACTACATGATCTGCGCCTATGGTCCTTACTCTGCTTCAGCCACCGGTGGTAATGGATGGTCGCGTGACTTCCTGGCTGGTGTTCTGACTATTCCCGCAACTCCCTTCTTCACCAACATTGGCAGCACAAACCATGTCGAATACGCCTGCACCATTCTGTGTAAGTTCCGCAATGTATAATCCATGAATCTCTCTGAAGCTCCCGCTAATATCACTTTTTTCTTTGCAGTCGGCATCTCATTGGTGTTGGTCGTCGCCGTCTATGTCATCTACTGGAAGGGTCCCGCCCTGCGCAAGCGTTCTCCATTCGCACAGCAGCTTTCGGAGGCTCGCCACGACTTGGCGATCCACGGTGATGGTCGACGCACGTCCAAGGTGCCTATGGCATCGCGCGCCAACTCGTACGCCCGATCCCAGCAAGATCTCCGCCTGCGCCAGGCCCTCGGCAGCCGTCCTGGCTCCCGCATCAATTCCCGGGCCAACTCACGCGCAAACTCTCGCCGTAACAGCGTGAATGCCTAGATCCAGAGAGTCGCTCTCAAATCTCTACCTCTATACCAAAAAAAAAGCCTTTTTTTTGGCAATCTATACAACCAGCAAAAGTCTGTTATACGGGCTTGCAATGGAAGTGACTTGAGTTGGAGATCTAGGCGGTTTTTGCCCCCCATATTCCTTTCTTTGTTCATGTTTCTTTTTTTTCGTGGCAAAATTCCATACGCGGGACGTGGTGGACTTGCTTCAACTATTATTCAGGATGATCAGTGGGCATACGCCTGTTTGACCAAGGTTGCTCTTGAGGACACCCTCGTCTTAACAGATGGCGTACTCACTTAATTTTGTTGCTTCATCTGCTGATCCCAGTCTACTCGATTCGCAAAAGCCCCGATGGAATGTATGGACTGTTAGGTGTTAATGTACGCTAGTCCTTGCTCAGTGATATCTTGTTTTTTTTTTTACGAATCATATGAATTAGCCCATTATATTTTACAACCAGACTTTATTATTTTTCGTCAATAACTAGACAAGTATATCCTGACAAATTACAATCAGCACATGTGCACCACATATGCAGAGTGCTAGCAAAGATTTGAAGTGGGACTTGAGAGATTCGATCTGATCTACCCGTTTCCCCGATATCTGGATCAATGGTAGAGTAGCATCGCTTCCAGACTTCACCGGATCAGGTAATGAGCAGTTTTCCCCCGGATTCGAGCCCTCAAGCTGGACCCCGCTAAACATTTGAAACATTAAATCTGGCATTTCAGATATGCCCAAGTGCCGCGTTAAGTGTCACTCCGCAATGTAGTATCTAAAATCGAAGTCAACCTAAGATGAAAGTCTGTACACCTTGTGGCTTGCTCGAATGATCTAGATTCCAGCCTTTTTTTTTTTTTTTTTTTTTTTTTTTAAGGCTTCTGGAGTGCTCTGGAACCATTGATTTTGTAAGACAAAGTTGTGCTGCTCTATGGGTCTCTAGGCGATGAAGAAATTGAAGCAACATTGCGCAGAGTCACAACTTACAAGGGGAAAAGCTATAGAGCTTGTTGTTTATGGTCCGTGCGTCCCGGAAGCACCGAGAAAATCATTCAAGAATCAAGAAATCAAGAAATCAAGGATTGTTCCACGTTGGAAACACTCTAAACGTTGTGAAGCATAAGCTGACTATGAGCTTCCCCGCACTTCGTCTTGGGAGATTCCCCTTGTACCGACCCATTGCAAACTGCACATCTCGTCCTATTGCCAAGGTCTCGCAGTTCCGAATGGCTTCCAACACTCCTGCACCGCGCTTTGCGGAGGGTGAAGACCCACAGCAATTGACTTCCGACACGATCACACTCCAGCAACAAGGCTGGGCACTGGATTCTGAGGGGATGGGAGTTACCAAGACCTTCCACTTTAAGAGCTATTTCAAAGCCGTGGTGAGTACCAAAAAAAGAAAAATCAACTTCAAATGTTTTTGTGACATGACTTTTCAAATTGAGTATTTGATCATTGACCTATTGGCCCCCATTGACAGGCATTTCTCAATATGATTGCGGCCGAGAGCTCGGTCAAGAAGCATCATCCCACTATGACAATTGTAAGTCTTTTTTTTTCGAGTTTTAGCGGGAATCGAGATTTGAGGAGGCATTGGTGGATCAACAAACTTGAACAAAGAAAATCATGTTTCTCCAAGCTAATGTGCTAATGTGGCCCCAGCGGTTCGGTTCCGTCGATGTCCACTGGACCACGCATCACCCGCGCGGCCTCACCCACAAGGACATTGCTTTGGCTCAACACTGTGATGCTGGAGCTGGAGTCATCGGGGCTGTTGAGCCTGGTCAGGGACTGAAATGCGGACCAGAGAAGTGAAAAAGAAGCCTCGGAGTTTAAAAATTGCAATGAGGCTTGAGTGGAGCGAAACGGTTTTTTTGTTTTTGGTTTTTTGGGAGCTCCACTCGACACGATTTCGAGGTATTTGTGGTTCCATATCTAAGTAAGCGAGATGGAGTTGATAGATCTGATATCTTTGTATTATGGATGCCTAGCTCGAATCCTAATTTCTCCTAATTTCTTGTAACTTTTCAACATTTCCCTATATACTCAAGTGCTCAAGTGCTTGAGAAATTCCAAACCCAGAAACAAGAAAGAAAAAAAAAAGGGGCCAAGTTGGATTTAGTTCGACTTAAATTCATGCACCTCGCATCACTTCTTGGGATCCTCTTTTCTTTCCCCCCCCCCACTTTTTCCCCCAATTCCTTTCTCCTGAATCCTTCCTGGAACTTTGAGAGAGAGACTGAGAGAGAAAAAAAAAATCTTGGATCTGAGAATCCGAAAAGAAAAAAAAAAAAATCCAACCACTCGGTCATTTCCTATATCAATTCCATCCTATGACGTTGGCCTTAACGGCCGTGCAGATGCGTCCACGTTCTTTTCTAACCCCGTGTCGATCTTTACTCTCTTCATCCTGACCTCCTTTTCCTGAGATGATATATGAAATACTTGAGGTATAACGACGATCAAATTGGAGGTCGTCGCCATGTCTGAAAATATAATCATGGCTCAAGAGCCCACTCCGCCATCTACCTCCTTTGGTGAGCGGCGTGGGCATCGACTCGCGCCGCTAAATACAAACTTTGCCCCAGTTGCACCCGCCTCTAAACAGCCCCAGTCACGATCACGCCCTCGTCCATCCGAATATCCCACTACCAATGGCTCGGAGGGGCCGGTCCCGCTCCAGAGCCCGGTGCGCCGTCAATCATCCAAATCTTCCCTGCGCAATTTGTTCAGTCGCGACAAGTCGCGTGCCGCGGTGGCCCCAGATACCAAGTTGACCGAGATCGAGGAAATCCAACCACCCCCAGTGCCAGAACCAGAGGCATTGCTATCCCCGGATCTCATGAGCCCCCATACCGCTTCAACTCCGACAACGCTCACTTCCCCGACAACTCCTCGAGCCCGGACCACATTGAAAACGCCTCGACCGCGGCCTGCAGAGACGAATCCGCCCCCGCGAGAGCAATATGGATGGAAGCCACCACCCTTATTCCAAGCCTATCCGCAATCCATCAAGCATGAATCTCTATCGGCGCCAGCCATGTCGGCAGATTCAATCTTGCGCCTGCAGGCGACAACCGGGAAGAACGCTGCAACGGAGGATGCTAGGAACCAACTGGGGCAAGAAGATAGTAAGAAGAAGGAAGAAAAGGAACGGAAACATCTGCGGACGCTGTCTGGGACGATCAACAAAGTTGAGTGGAACAACAAGATCTATGTGCTGGCCACCGCCGGGTTTATTCTCCAATATACCGGCGAAGGGAAACACGATCGCTTGCCTGAAAAGATGCTGCAATTGGGCCCCAAGTCGGTGGCATTTGCGAGTGACGCGATTCCTGGAAAGCATTGGGTTGTTCAGGTCTCTCAGAACCCAGATGCCGATTCTATCCCCGATACAGAGCCCTCGAAGCCGAAACTCTCCTCACGTTTTGGCTTTCATCGGTCCAATGCGCGTCGTTTGGCGCGTAGCTTTCTCTTGGTGTTTGATAACCCGGACTCAATGATTGCCTGGCTGATAGCCCTTCGTGCTGAGATTGAGTCCCGCGGGGGACCCAAGTTCACCATGGAAAAGCACTCAGATGATGATGCGGAGGCTCCCCAACTTCGCTCCAAGTCAAGCGTTCGTCAAATGGTGAAAAAGGATCCCCATCGGATCTCAAGCTTATTCCTGCAACCGCAGACCATGCGTTCCCCTGAAGAAGATGACGACGGGGATTCGGTTGGTGGCATGACCTGGCAGTCACGGCGAAGTTCATACGTTTCTGTCAGTCGATCGGTGGTGAACTCGAGGGCAGGATCAGCTTCCACAGGTCGAACGGAGTCGACTGGTCCAACAAACGGAAATCCATCTGAAGGCCCCTTATCGCATACCTCGATGAGTCCCCCTGTGCAACCGCCCCAGTCACCTCAAATGGGTCCTGGTGCCGCGGTCTTGGAGGAACTGATGAGGCCCGAGGTTGATCCTCTATACACCCGCAGCCCACCAACCTCCAGCCAAGGGAAACGGCAATCACTATATGGGTCCCCCAAGGCCACGCCAATTCCGGTGGTCAGTCACCCCGAACCACCTCAGTCCAATTATAGTCAATCCAGCATTGCCGAAACTCTGGTTCGAAGTGCCTCGCCTCCTGCTCCCAATTTTAGCGTGCCTTCCTTCAGCAAGAAGTTTGCGTCGAGGCAAGGTAGTACCTCCATCTCTCAGGGCAGTTTCAATTCTCCTCCAGTGTCTGTCGCAGGGGTTCTGCACCGAGGTGAGAGTACAGGCGATTTTAGTATCTCCAGCGTCTCCTCACCCCCACAGTCCCCAACTTATAGCGTTGCAAGCTCGCGCCATACAGACTATTCCGAGCCAGCATACATGTCCCGAGATGGCACTCGACGTACCTTGCGCACATCCAATTCAGAGGACGCTCTTTCCAGAGTTATTCGTCAGACTCCGCCAGATCACATCAATGGCAATGCTTTCGCCCGCATGGCCCGACAAACAGCTTCTTCCGATGCCAGTCCCCCTTCATCTCGACCTCTCAGCTTGGTCGGTCGACCTGGTCTGGGTATCCATATGGTCAGTGAGTCGGATGTGCTGAGTATACCTCCAATCGAACCAACTCCACGAAACCGCGTGTCGACCGTGCAATCCGATCATCAAAACATGTCCCGTCGGAAGAGCATGCCCGGCCTCACCCTAGGTCCTCCTGCTGCACCTCCACCCAACTGTCCCCTCCCTAAAATCCCTTCTTCCATTGCTGCGCAGGCGCTGCCTTCTTGGTCAACTACTCCCCCTGTCGACCGGTTTTATCAATCTCAACAAATACGTGATCAGCTGCTAGATAAACGGAAAAATGGTTTCCCACCAAGTGTTCCGGCACAGACTGCGCAAACTGGCTCGAGAGCCCGGCAGTCCAGAATGATTTGATGAAATCATTATTCTACATAAATCCGAGCAAATAACCCTCCTTACTACCCCTTGCGTCAAACCCGTCGCTACCTCATTCATTCGCATACGCATACGCAAACATACACATATACCCTCGACTTTCAAATACGTCTGTCGACCCCACTACCTTCATCTCTTTTTTTCCATTTCAAAAGAGCGGCATTTGAGATACACATATCCCTTCATTTCTATCTTTTCTACGTCCATGTATTGCATCTGCATCTGCATCTGCATTTTGATTTTATTGAACATGACGATATCCGCCTTTGTGTGTCCACTTGGCGTCTATTTTAATCGTTTCTCTTCTGGACCTACTTTTTTGTTACTTACTTCACTTCTTGTATTCTGTCTTATTTATACCCCCTTTTTACATAAATCACAACCATTGAGACTTGGATTATCTATTTTCTTCTGGAGTTTAATCTAAACACACCCCCCTCTCATGCTAACACACCCCCATGTGACCCACTAAGCCTAATCGGGACATATTTTTTTTTCTGCCGAAGCATGGCTGGCAGAAAAAAAGTCACATGTTTGAAAATGTATATGTGCTTACAAAAAAGAATTGAGGCCACAATCAAACATCATTTTATTTTTTTTCTGCCAAAAAGCTACTAAGTCAGCCCCACACCCGCGTACCCCCATACCGCTGCCGTTTCCCCCTACCTATCGACCTAGAATAGACTTGAGAATAGACTTGAGAATGGGCTTGAGAATAGACTTGAGAATAGACTTGAGAATAGACTTGAGAATAGACTTGAGAATAGACTTGAGAAGGTTTTGGTGCCTGGAGTAAAAGGCGGTGAGAAGGTAGTAGTAAGGTGGTTAGAAGGTGGTAATAAGGCGGTAAAGATTTTAAAGGCGGTGAGAGGCGGTCAGAAAATACTGCTGCCTAAGGCAGAATCGGGCAAATTCAGGCATCAATACATCCTGATTAGGATTAGTAGGTCATGTGGGGGTGTGTGTTTAGATTAAACTCCTTTCTTTATTTACATTGAGCATTCGAATTCAATCTGTGGAAAGGAAAGCCTGGAGTCTACTAGGCTCTTTGAATATATAGCATTGTTGACTACCATTAGCATGATATATGGGTCTATGAACAGACCTTGAATTCGTAGAATAACTGACTGGTCCCATTTTGGCGAAAGGAAAAGACTTAGATAATCAATACATGAGATGAAACGCACGCTTGGATGAGCATCCTTTAGAATAAAAAGCGCAGGTGAGATGAATGGAAACAACTGCTTGTTTGTCTGATATATTTCATCGAGAACCCGCAAAGTGTTGACACCGAAAATAAACTACTCCTCCACTTCCTCCACTCGCGCTGTCAGGTCCCGCTTGACGGGTGCTGAGCTGGGGGTAGATGTGGCTTCAACAGATGTAGTAGTGGCAGACGGAGCTTCTTTACTGGGAGCAGCAGATTCTTGCGATTGGACCTTCTTGCTCTTTTTCTTTTTGTTCTGCATAAAATGTAAGTATAATATTTCGGTCAACGTCAAGAAGAAGGGCGAAAACATACCTCTTGCCAGCCCCACAGAGGCTTGAAACTGTCGAAGAATCCAACATCCTCGAACAAATTGGGGAACAACCACAATCCAGGCGCAACCGTGAAAACAGTAACACAGAACAGAATCAACCGGAAGATAGCCATGGCGAAGAAAAGTCCCAAAAGACCCATACATCCAACACTAAGGTGCCAAACACCCTGGCGCAGCATCATAGGCCACAGGGGGAACAGTACAACAGCAAAGATACCCGCCACAACGGCCGCGGCCAAAGCCTTCTGTTTCCACTGGGGTCCTTCCCAGAGCCAGACGTAGTGCATCATCGGGTCTGTCTCTTGATGCTGCTCAATCTTCACAGTCCACAGGCCCTTTGTCCGGTTCTTGGGCTTGGCGTGGTTGTGACCCTCGTGCGGGTCTACCTTGCTTACGCGTAGGGCGAGCAAGGAGAGTGGGAGGAGCTTGAAGGCATTCTCGGCTGAGGCGCGGTCTGTCACGGGCGGGAGGAGGGAGTTCTTCTTTGCGGCGGCTTTGGCGTAGGCGGGCGACTCAATTGCTCGAATTGCTCGCTTGACTGGAGGAAGTTAGTGAACTGACCTCAACCGATCGTTTTCAGTTTCTCTTCCTCTTTCTTTCTTCTTTTTGTTTCGGGGGATGGAATAAAAAAAAAAGATTCCGATCTGCCGGGATAAATCGCTTACCCTTGAACATATCCTTTCGCTGGCCATCGAGAATACAGGTACGGGGCTTGAGGGTTTGCGAGCGTAGGAAGTTCGCCACGGCCAGCGCTTTAGGGTCTGGGGGCTGGCCGGCGTTGACGGGCACCTGGTGCATCTGTTGCTTTGGAAGCCCCTGCTGTGGGTTCGGTGATTGTCCTTGTTGCTGTTGTTGACCTGGTTGTCCTGGTTGTGCTGGCTGTGCTGGCTGTCCTGGTTGACCCTGTTGTGGTGATCCCTGAGCCTGTCGTTGGGCCTCCATCTGCTTCTGATGCGCCTGCATCGCTCGCATCCGCAACTGCGCGACGTATTGTTCTGGTGTCAAGCCTAGCTTAGCTGCGTCGGCGTTCAATTGTTCGCGCTGCTTCTGTCCAAATTGTTCAGGTGTCATGCCTCGTTTGGCGGCTTCGGCGGCGAACTGTTGTTGCATGGCCGCCATCTGCTGGGGACTAGGTTGGCCGGGTTGGGCCATGGTGGAATCTAGGGCGATTTCTTTTTTTTTGACTTGAATAGGGTATCAAAGAAAATTATAACAAAGAAAAGCGGGAAAAATGGAAGAAGAAAGGACGAGTTGTGGTGGTTGGAGTCCCTTAGAAGTCGAAAGAAAGGAACATTTGATGTGGCCAGATCGACTCAGGTGATCGACGCGCCCGCCTTGCAGTACGTGATGCGACCTGTGTGAGCCCGCAATTCTTAACTCCGATCTCCCTTCCAGGCAATCATGCTCTGCCTTCCTACTCCATGTCTGTCACATATAGTCCCGATGACACTCTTAATGATGCCACCTGGGTTGCTGTCTTGCTGGTTCGTCGCTACCACTAATATTTGACCCCCAAAAGTGAAGGAAATTCTGACGCAATATCCAGAGTGAACGTGATGTCGCCGGCCAAATCCCCATCAATTTCGTCACGAATCCAGCTGTCTCACTAACCGCTGCTTGTTTTGGAGATGGTCTTTACGATAAAACTGCAGCTGCGAAATGCATATCCAATCTCCTGTCGGTCGGGTACCGACGGCTAATACTTGACATATATTGGTCGGTCGAATACAGGACATGGACGTTTTGCCCCGTCAACATCCCCACCAAAGCCGATGTTACAGTTTCTGCCTACACCTCGACAGTGAGCAGCTCCTCGACGACATCGACGGTCACCTCCACGGCCACAACCACAACGACCGGTGCAGCGGACGCGGCAATAACGGCATATGCAGATTCGCAAAGCGACACGGTCTACGAGATCGGGCCATACAGATGTACCAATGAACTTGATCTATATACAATATCCCAAATCTTGGTTGGTTATTTTCAGAGCACGACATCAAGAGAAGATACGTACACAACTTGGTTGACTCTGAATCTTCATGTCGCAAGAAGCGATTCGGCACCCACAGAGCCTGCATCTGCAGTGGTGGGGGATGATTTACCCAAGTCAAATACGGAGCGAGCTGGCTCATATCTCGCAACTGAACTGGGGGATTACATATATACCCCAGTCCAACTGGCCAAGGATCGAAGCAACCTGAACGAGTCTTGGTATGAGGTTGATGAGAGCTACATGCCTATCGTAGAGTACTACACCATCCACACCGATGCATCGGGTCAACAGAGCACTCCCGACGGATGGCCATCCGCCAAATACATCCAACTTGCAAAATCGGACCGTGTTTTGGTTGAGTATGGGTCGGTAGATTCCCAGCTGGCCAATTATGACTTGTCGCAAGATGAAAATGATATTTTTGCCCCTCATTACATGTCAGCTGGTGTGAAGATCTCGGTTGCCGATAACGGCACGGTAACATCGGGTTGTTTGTATGAACCGGGAGCTACCGAGGTATCCCAGGCAAACTCGTCCTGGGCAATTAGTCAAATCCCCGTTGCGGATGGACTAGCTGTGAAGAACACCATGGAGTCTGTCGCTGATGATCTCGCTGGGGTCACAGCCTGCGGCATGTCTCCAATGCTAAACACAACTTTCTTTGGTCAAAGTGCCGATACTAACATTGAACATTACCGAAATGTATCACTCTCATCGGGATGGGCCTGGGCAATCGGTGAGCCCCAAGGTGCAGGTACCGGTGGTGGAACAGATGGCGAGCCTGCATTTGATCGCTGTTCAATCATGGATCTGTCACTCGAAGGCCGCTGGCGGGCTACCAACTGCACTGAAGAACGACGTGGTGCCTGCCGAATAGGTAATTCTCCGTTCTCGTGGACTGTAACCAATGCAACGGCGGAATACTCAGAAGTCTCAAATTTCTGTCCACCAGGGTCCAGTCTCGCGGTCCCCCGAACTGGCCTCGAAAACACATATCTCTTTAAGCAACTCCTTTCTGAGTCTTCTACGGTTCTGGACTCGACGTCCTCGGACCCTGTCCTCCACGAAATCTTTTTGGATTTCAATTCTATTGATATCACTTCTTGCTGGGTCACTGGTGGGGCGCAGGCCACTTGTCCCTATGCCAATAATCCACAGGAGCTGGAGCGCAAGACAGTGCTCGTGGCAGCTGTTGCTGGGGTTGTGATCTGTGTCATTTTTGCTTTGACTGTATTTGTCAAGTGTAACACCAATCGTCGGAATTCTCGTCGTCGAAAGCGTGTCATTGGGGGCTGGGAGTATGAGGGCGTTCCATCATAACCTGCCTCACGGGCCATGCCATTCGATCTGTACCGTCTGGATTTTTTCCAACCTTCTCGTTCCCTGTCTTACATTTGGACATCTTGGGAGACAGACACCCGCTTGCAACCTTTGCTTATTATTTACGGCCTCTTTCTCATATCTATCTATATGTGCCTACTTACTTTTGTTTACTTGATACCCCGATTGAATAAAGCAACTACGAATGGATGTTCATTGTCATTCAAAAAATGTCAAATTGGGCACAAACCCGAAACGCGCAAAGATGATATCGCTACATGCCGTTCATAATCACACAAAATTAAAAATAAAATAAACGCCATGTCCACACGTTAAAAAAAAAAAAAAATAACAAGAATTTCCTTCCTAGATTCCTTCCTTCCCTGTTCTTTCAAGTTCCTGTGCCCTCCTCAATTGGATCATAATCCCGCAAACCGCGCCCATCCAGCAGCCCGGATCTTTCCATCGGGACTCGGATTAGGGCTTGGGTTGGGACTAGGACTGGGACGTACTTCCACACTCTTTCCTCCTCGTCCTTCTTCTGCAACTTTACCACTAACATCGCGGCGCCTTCCAACGCCCAATCCGGCGATGTAGCTGCCATACGACGATAGGGATGCTCCAACTCCACCAACAAGACCAGGGTGACCTGTGTCTGCGCCTGAATTGCTGACCACTCGTCCTTTGCGATCTCCCTCGTTCATAGCAGGAGATGATGGAACACGGGCGCTCAGATATCCCTCGTCATCGCTATCATCCTTCTTCAGAGACTGGTATGCTGTCAACTTCTTGTTGCGCTTCTTGGTGAGCTTGGATGGTTTGCGTGCCACATCTTCCTGGGCGCTGACATTGCGCGGTGCAATGGTTAAACCAGATGTGTTGCCTTCTTCTTCCAACTCGCCATAGAAGCGGCTCTTGGGTGGTGGGGAGTCGAGAGATTCGTGCGGAATAGAGACTTGAGCTTTGAGGTTTTGCGAAAGATTCGGGTTGTCGCCTAATGCGTTGCGGCGCACCGGGTCCGTATCCTCTTGCTGCTTTTCAGTGAGAACAGGTTGCGGGGTAGGAGGGTTCAGCATGAGCGGGTTGAATGGGATGCCAGAGGTCTCATCATCATTATCGTGATCGTATTCCTCTGGATCGGGGAAGATGTCGAAGCGCTGCTGGGCTCCAATGTCATGTTCATCACCGCCTGTGTTGCCGTAGTACTCGTGTTCTGCCACGGACGCATACTCGCCACGTGTGTCTTCTGGAATTGCACTTCCGATGCTAGGTGGGTTTCTTTGGGGGAATGCGAACCAGTCTCGGATGCCGCTGGTTGCTGATGTCCCCGATTTATCGGTTCGTCGGCTGTACACCGAGCTAGACTGACGGAGAGCAGGGCTGTTGTTTTGCTCAGTTTGGCCTTGGGTATCACTAACGGGGTATGGGTAGCGCTCGTCGTGTGCAACCCAGTTGTCAGACATAGTAGGGCTTGCCGTTTCAGATCTGTTAGCAGTGCGAGAAGCGAGTTGACGTGTGTGTGTGCTTGGATCAACAATATAGGGCGAGCGTGCCGGCACGTTGTGGTATTCCGGTGCAGGATTAGGAGTAGCCAAATTGTATGGCCCGTCGTCGACAGGGTTGTGGTAGAATCTGTCAGGGCTTGAAGGCTCCAACGAAAAACGGTGCGGCGACACAGATATCTGAGATTGACGTTTCTCTGTACCCATATCCACCGAGCCACGGAAAGTTTCACCACCAAGGGAATCCTTCCGGGTATGCATAAATGCCATGGTACGTGGAGGACCAATAAGAGGATCTTCCATATTCGAGTGTAGTGTCGATGAGCTCATATGCTTTTCATCAACATCAATACAATTGCGGAAGCTTCTCCGGGGACGAGCGGTCAGATTGTCCTCCAGTGGGTTCATATCAGGTGGCAGATGAGAAATTTTGCGGAATACCAGTGCCAAGAAGATTGAAAGGCAGAATGAGATAAGGTGCAGTCCTGTGTTCACGAGGGCACAGATGAATGTAGCCTTGACGATGTCGAGGGTGATTTCACTGTTTTTGAAAAGAGTGCCCCAGTCATAAGCATTAGTAGCGTAGTCACCATGAGCCATGAATGCTGTGAACACGTAGAATGGAATCAATCCGCCATCTAAGGTGCCTGCGAAGACTCCATAACTCGCCTGAGATCCAGCTGGACGTGAGACAGGAGAGCGACACAAATGATAGATGCCGTAGAGTGTGTGTAGAACTGCGGTAATTGGCTATTTAAATCAGTCAACGTCTTTTGTCAACAGGCACAAGCAACTTACTCCGGCTCGCATGATCCAGATGACTGTCGTGTTCGCATTTTTTATAACAATGGCGCAGAACAGTGATGCAAGTGCACCGAGGAGAGTGATAGACCGTAGCCCTAGCTGTGTTCCTCTCGCACCTTTGATCCATTTCTTGACCTTGGGGTTCATGGGCGTTTGAGGTGGCTTTTTGTCCATACTATCCCACTATACATGGATATATTGTTAGCGATTTGATCACGACTGGGCAGCAATGTTCATATGTACCGAGTCGGGATGTCTGTTAAAATTGACTAACGGCCCATCCTGCGTTTGTCTGGGAGACGCAGGAGACTGGCTTGCTTGCGTCACGGCCTTGGGATTAAACCCGGGATCGGTCGGTCCATTGAAGCTGTAAGTAGAAGGTCGATCGTAAAGGAATGGAGGCTCCGATCTGCCCATAGTAGCGACTGAAAAGCCTCCCGTGGCAGCCACGCGAGACGAATAGAATGTGGTAAAGGAATGGAATGAACCGTGGAATGATGCGATCTGACGGAAGGAAACCTATGGCATGCAGCGCGATGTGGGTTGTGCGGAGTAACAGAGGGTCAACACCGATTGTTGGCCCGGCAACGGCAAGATAAAAGGTCACGTGTGCCCCATACTCCGATCTGATGGAACTTATCTACACTCATTATCTCTCTCTCTTACCCCCACACCAACTATGCTTGATCGCGCATTTGTCTGTGCGGGCTGCACAGCACAATTGGCTCGCCCGATTTCACAAGTCAAGGCATTATCATTCTCTACACGACATATATCAAGGCGATTGATCAGCCATGTTGCGTCAAAGAAGCGGCCTACTCGGGTTGCCGTTGTGGGCTCTGGGCCAGCAGGATTCTATGCTGTAGCTCGGCTCTTGGGCAAGCATGAGAATCTCAAGGTTGACATGTATGAGAAGCTGCCGGTGCCATTCGGATTGGCTAGGTACGGTGTCGCCCCGGATCATCCAGAGGTGAAGGTACGTACTACCGGCAATAAAAAGAATACAAAGCAACAAGTTTAATTTACTTTTCAATTGACTTGCAAATATGATTTTACACTTTATCTAAAACTTGCCTCATCAAAAATAGAACTGTGAAGATAAATTCACCGAAGTCGCAGCATCTCCCCGTTTCAACTTTGTCGGTAATATCGAACTCGGAAGCGATCTACCTCTCGCTGCACTTAAACCCCACTACGACGCCATTCTTTTCGCATACGGAGCCTCAAAAGATAAAGAGCTTGGTATTCCTGGAGAAAATGCTCCCCGCAGTGTATACTCGGCCCGCTCCTTTGTTGGGTGGTACAATGGCCTACCCGAACATCGGGATTTGAACCCCGACTTGTCTAGCGGCGAAGATGCGGTGATTGTTGGACAGGGAAATGTAGCACTTGACGTCGCTAGAATTCTGCTTTCGGATGTAGATGCACTCCGAACCACAGACATTGCCGACCATGCTCTAGAAACCCTGTCTCGAAGTCGGATCAAGCGAGTGCAAGTTGTTGGTCGCCGAGGACCGTTACAAGTGAGTATTTGAAAGAGGACGATTTGCTTCAATTACTGATATTTTACCAGGCCTCGTTCACAATTAAGGAAGCCCGTGAATTACTTCAGTTACCTTCCGTCTCTTTCGATCCGATCGGGAAAGACGTCTTCCCCCCAGATTCCATCATAAATGCACTGCCTCGGCCCCAGAAGCGATTGATGCAGCTCCTTGCCAAAGGCTCTGCTAATGACCCCCAGACAGCTACCAAGTCCTGGTCTTTGGACTTCCTTCTCTCTCCTGAATGTCTAGACTGGTCGACAGTACACCCATATCGTCTTTCTCATGTCAAGTTCTCTCGCAATGAACTCGATCCTTCCGATCCCTACACCGCCAGTTCCAAAGTTACCCCGAAACATCTTTCGAATGGAAGCCGCGCCGAAACCAACCTCCCGGCTAGTGTCTTCTTTCGCAGTGTCGGCTACAAGTCACTTCCGCTACCAGGGCTTGAGGATCTCGGTATCGAATTCGACACTCAGCGCGGCGTGATTCCCAATGATGGACTTGGTCGTGTGAAGAGTGCCTTGGGCACGGGAGAAAAACGCGTTTTGCCCGATGGATCGTCAGTTTCCCATCTGCCCGGCTTGTATTGTGCCGGGTGGGTCAAGCGAGGCCCAACGGGAGTCATTGCGTCTACCATGACCGATGCTTTCAGCACTGTGGATACTATCTTACAGGACTTGGCAAGCCACGAAGGCGCCCTCCTACATACATCCGGTCAGGGAACCGGGCTAGGCTGGGAAGGAGTGAAGGCAGAGGTCGAGCAACGTGGACTCCGGGTGACATCCTGGCAAGATTGGCAGCGCATCGACAGCATCGAGCGTGAGTGTGGTCGGCAAAAGGGTAGACCTCGAGAGAAGTTTACTCGAGTCGCAGAAATGTTGGAGGCTCTTGACTGATCTTCCCTCAATTGTATCAATAGTATGTATTATATAACTAACATTCCAACCAACTTCTATCCATGGATTCATGAGCAAATGTGTAGTATATTTTCCGGTCATTTTTCTAAATCCCAATGGGCATCTCTCTTGACATGGAGTCAACATTTGAATCAATCCAAATGTTGATCTCTCAATTCTCCGAGCTGAGACCACAAATGCTGCCATCCACTTCAAAGTAGGTGGCAGTCACACGACCCAGATTCTCAGCCTGGCCATTGGTCAGGCGGTTCATAGCCGTAAGGCCGATGTTGAATCCACCCGTGGCCGCGTCAATAGCAAGAATATTGATGGTCTCGTCAATCTTGCCGGACTGGAAGTGCAGCTGGTAGCATGTGCCGCAGGCTGAACTGTTCCAACCATCGATGGTGGGTGCACCGCCGATCAATGGGAACGTGGGAAGCGAGCCAAAGGTTGTGTAGTCGTCGCTTTCGAGGCCATTGGCACCATCTGAGCAAGCGACCGTATTCAGAGATGATGTCCCGACGTCATATTTTTGATCGTACGAGACTGAGACGGACTGTCCAGTTGTATCATTTGAGTCTACTGGCGTGGTAGCTGCCTGTGGTGCAGGGACGGCGCTGACGAGATGGGCAGCTGTCAGAAGAGTGCAGGTGATGGCGGTGATGGATTTCATGGTGGGTTTCCAAGGTTCAGGACTCAAAATGTTGATTTGGGGTCGAATTGGTGGAATGGTAATTCGAAATCAATTCAATTGCCTTTGATTTCGAGATTCTGGTGTATACTGGTAGTGGTATCAAATACTATACTAGTATGAATCAATGTTTGTTTTTATACTATCTACCTTGACGTTACCACCGCTCCTTTTCATATCCATCATCTACTATGTAACTCGTGACGAGTTAGAATAGTTTCCAAGGCCTGTGCTATTTTTGTACACCTGACATGCACTCATCAAGTCTCATAGGTGCAGGTCTTAGACATTTAGGCAGGCCACCGACCAAGTGAGCCTTGGCCAGTTGCAAAAACGGAGCTTGGAAAGGAATGCGGGCCTGGGTACCGACGGGCGAAGAGTGAGACATGGTAGTAAATCGTAGACTCGTGCCCGAGAAGGGAATGTGTAGATCACCTGCACGATCCCGATGCAGGCTTACAGGTAGCAGATGTTCCATTTCATACTACGGTGTATGTATTACATAGACGGAGGTACAAAGAGTTAGGTAGCATTAGTATTCGGGCGGAATGACCTTGGACACCTGCATATAGATATCAAATGGAAGAATGAGTCAGAATACGACTGAAAGTAGAAACATGTTGGGAATCGACGCTTAGAAGAGATTGAGTAAGATAGTAGAAAAAGAAATAAGACAAAAAAAAGAACGTCCCCGGGAAGGCTCGAACTTCCAACCTCCTGATTAACAGTCAGACGCGCTAGCCAATTGCGCCACGGAGACATGTTCATGTACTGATGTCACTATGATTGAAATATATACTGAATTTTACTTAAGCCCCTGAGACACATGTTACTTTCCCCCAAACAATCACTCAACTTACCCCAATTCCAAACCCACATGCATTTTCTGTTCTTGCTGGAGGTTTTTTTTGATCGGAAAGGAAGTTGTAAGCCTTTGTGCCTGCCTAGCTACATACTAGGCATATATGTAAAATTTCCAAACATAGGCGAACCCATACCAGTTGACGTGCATAGATGCAGCATCCATCCTACCCAGTGGGTAATCTTCGGATATACAAAATATATTTGTGTTTAAAGACCTCAAGCCGAGAACAGCCCCATCCACATGCACATGTGCAACATTCAAATGAATGTTGCTACATGTATAATTACATATACACATGCATAGGTATTTTAAAATTTGAACATAACACCTAGGCAAGATCCATCAGCACTTGACATCTGGAGTATTAGGGCCTTGGAATTGACGAGAGGCAAAAATGGCACCTGGGGGTTTTTTTGTACATGCATGTGTTCAAGCTGCCACTACATGCTGTGATCAATGGTGGTTATACATATTCTAAGGTTCAGGTGTTCAAGCACATGATCACATAGGTCCCGAGGTCAACTACATAGGAGGTCGGCGATCAAATTTGATCAAATTTGATCAACCGCGAACATTGAATTGATTGATAATTCTTTGACTTCCCCCAAAAGTCATCCAGATCCCGTGGACATTTAGGTCAAATGGCGGATATTACAAACAATTTTGAACGAAGCAAGGGACAATAATATGGGATGTGAACAAAACTCAATTTCCGAGACCTGAAGAATTCAATGTTGTCGTGTACTCCGTACTCCGTAGGGTTCGGAGTACTGCCCCGTAGCTACGGGCACTCCGATGTATTCAGTTCCAGAAAACCGATGATTTCTGGGGCTGCTTGAAGGGATTTCCGTACCAAGACCGATCGAGGGGGCTCGGACATGTGCAAGTCGTGGCCTGTGCCTGTGCAGATCTTGATGCCTCGCCAGCAGTGTCCAGAAGTGGCTACAAAAAGACCACCTTATGCTTCGTGCATCTCCGCGATCGACACCCTGATTTATTCGGCAGGCAATAGCGTTGAATTCAAATGCAAGTTAGTCGTTGGAGCAGTTCAGTTTCATCTCATCTGGTTGGATCGTGGGAACGACGCTAAACTTTAGGATCCGAAATTCCTTGTAGTTTCTTTAGTGACACGGGTCAGTGGTGGGTTGTGCATGGCCTCCACACAGGCCCCTGACCAGACTATTGTTTGACGGTGGCGTCTCAGTGCGGACAAAGAACATGAGTGAACTCCTTGTTTTTTTCCGGTAAGTTCATGGTGGATCCCCGGCTTCCATTGTGGCTGGTCGAACACGAGGCACCATCCCCACTTAATCGGATCAGACAGTGGCTTATGTTGACCAAGACTTGAAAAACGATTCCACACCCCATCGCTCATTGCCCCTAATGCAAAGAAGCTGATTGATTGCGCGCTCAGCGGGCTTATGTAGCTTGGGAGATTTTCACGCCGGTGACTAAATCTTATTTGAATAACTAAGTAACTAACCACATACTGGTATGGTATTTTTCGTTGATCAACGCCACAGGTCTCTGGAACTCCCAGCACTGGTTGTACTCCATTTACTCCGTTTTTTTCCCCCGTCAGTTCTATGGGTTGAGGTTGACTCGAACGCGTTGAATACCAGCCATTCAGAAATCACAGCTTCACTCCCGGTGGCCCGCATCGAGTATAATGTCCTTGGATTCATAATCTCCGGAAGCGACTATAGACACGATGGCGATGATGAACCATGGATTGACTCTTGCAGCCCCTATTGATTGACAGATGGAGAAGCTTTGGCCCTAGTTTTTTAGTGTTTGAAAATCATCACTACGGTGTGGTGGAGCATCGGATGCGGTGCAGACCGACATGAAATGATGAGACCCAGGCCCCATTTCTTTTGGATCTCATTCAATTCAATTCAATTCAATCCAATTCAATCCAACTCTTTCTTATACAACCCTGGACCCTCCTTTTAAAAATTGAAGTCTCGAGATCCATCCCAGAGTGCCTTGAGCCCTGAATCATGGTTCTTCTCACCCACGTTCTGCGCTCGCTATACGCCGATGGCGGCGATGGCTCTATCGCCCGCCGCTGGGAATTCCATGATGAAGATCCGCTCAAGGGTAGCGACCGGTCGCTCTTTATTGCTATGGGTGTCATTGCCCTCTGCTCATTAGGTTCTACCCTGGGACTTCTGTCATTCCTTACCTATCGCTTTGTTTACTGGCAACGGTACTACAAGCATCCGCTCGCTAAGAACCAATATGTTGTTTTGATTTATAATCTGCTGCTGGTCGATTTCCAACAGGCAATTGCTTTTACTATCAGTCTATACTGGGTATCCCGAGGAAGTGTTCATTTTGGTGAGGCTGCCTGTTACTTGCAGGGCTGGTGGATTCAAACAGGAGATCCTGGCAGTGGTCTATTCGTCTTGTCGATCGCCTTTCATACTGGCTTCGTCGTTCTACGTGGTCGACAACTACCCTTCAACATCTTTATATACGTGGTCATCTCTCTATGGGCCTTTATCCTTATTTTGGGTTTCATTCCGATCGGCCTATATGGATCCAAGGCGTTTGTTATTTCCGAAGCCAACTGGGTAAGCTTGATCTATGGTTTTTTAAAAAAAAGTCTTGACTTTTGACTAACAATATTCTTAGTGCTGGCTGAGCCCCGAACATGAGAGTGAGCGTCTATGGGGCCACTACTTTTGGATCTTCCTCTCCGAGTTCGGTACCGTTGTTCTATATGCGATCATGTTCATCTACCTCCGACGCCGTATGGCACAAGCAAAGATGCTTCGGCGTGGCCAACAAGAGTCTCTCCACCGATTGAATCGTGTCGTGATATACATGGTCATCTACCCTCTGGTCTACTTGGTTATGTCACTACCCCTCGCTGCCGGTCGCATGGCCAGCGCCCGGGGTGACACGCCCAGCAAGACCTACTTCGGTGTTGCCGGTTGTCTGATGGCCATGTCCGGGGCTATGGATGTAGCTGTGTACACTCTGACCCGTCGCCACTTGCTTATCGACACCGAGCACAGTACCACCGATCCCAACTACGACAATACCGACTCCCAATGGCAGACCAATATCACCACCAATGCTAACCGTTCGCGCAAGGCCTTCAAAATGGGATCAAAGCTGGGATCGAAATTCCGTCGCAGTACTGTGCCCGATAAGGAAAGCTCCACTAGTCCTTTCGAGGGTGGCTCTACCGACGATATTGTCGCAAAGAACGACATGGAACTGTCCAACTTTGGTGGTGTATATCAAGAAACGACCATTGAGATCTCTCATGAGCCTGTTTCTGATATTGAAGCGGAAGAACGAAGCGCGCGTCACAGCGGTTAAGACTGGATGTGCTGTACGACTCTCTCTCTCTCTCTCTCTCTCTCTCTCTCTCTCTCTCTCTCTCTCTCTCTCTCTCTCTATGAGGCGTTTACTGTATATTTGATGATACTCCCTCTTTTGTATTTTATCTCTGCCATGTGCACAACACTCATTTATAATTCTAATGAATCATTTTTTTAATGTCCAGTTTTTTTATTTTTATTTTTTTGGACTTGATTTCAAAGCCACATGTATCTGCTTCCCCGTTATCATACTCCCACCTGTCAATTTCTCTAGCTCAGCCACATGGCGGGGGATCTCAACATTTGAAAACCCGTGCATTCAAATGTTCTTTTTTCCACTCATGTGCATCTTTGCAAGAAGCACATCCGATGGTACAATCGATCGACAGATTCAATACCTTGGGTCCAAGCTCCAGCTGAACCGATAATTCCAACGAACACACCCACTACAACCACGTTGCCACGCGATCCCCGTCGATTTAATTTTTCCCAGTCCCCACTCATGGCGGATTCTGATTGTGGATGCTAGCGCAACAATGGTCTCAGCTTAGCTCCAAGAGCGGAGAATCATTCTATTGTCTGTGCTAAAACTAATTATCGGATCCTGCCGTTCCATCCCAAAATAGGGACTTTTTCGCCGGGGAGGGGTTCCGGGAGGACTTTGGATAATATATTAGACGCCTTCAAATGCTACGGGGCGCGTAGATCGTCATCTCGCTGATAATCGGGATCCACATTCTCTTCAACAGGAAATTGGACGTGACGTGGTGAAGAGATTTCAAATGTTCTGATCTGGATTACACATGCTTACGAGTCGAATTTATTCTGATCACTGAGCGTTAAGGGTTCAAATGTTAAGGGGGTTTTGGGTTGAGAACATTCCAGCTGCTTTTTTTTTTTGACAGTTTATGCAAGATCAAGAGACAAACCACAGTGTCAGGATCGATGATTAACTCTAAAAAAAAAAGAGTTGAAGAGCAAAACCAGTAGATGATCAAAATCATGCACATTGACATCGTTTAGGCGGCTCGGGGAGAAACGATATGCCCATGAGATCTGCGGAGGATGAACAAGCTTGCATAGAGTGGAATTTCAATGTTCCAAGAACTCAGACGATCTGGTTAGAATTCCAAGGTTTGCATGTCCATTGTGTGCTTATCCATGGATCCATGATACTAATTGGAATCTGCTAAAACCCGCAGACGCCAGTTGACTACATCGAACTGCTCCCCACCAAATCGTAGTAAGCTTGGAAGTATGCAAATGACTGCAATTTCAATAAGGGAATGAAGCATGGAAAGTCTAGAGCGACTGCATACAAATTAGAATATTGTTTCAAGGCTAACATTGAAGATACTAAGCTTCTCCAAGCTTCGCCAAGAGTCTGTGGACCTTTTCAAGGTGGGAAAGTGCGGGTAGTTGGATGTCGCTCTACACAAACCACAAACATCAAGCGGATCATGATGTTTAAGACGAAAAATGTTCAAATATTCTCACTATATAAAGCAGTTCAATACCCGGGTATAGATATTTCTGATAAACTGATTTGAGCCACCGAAACAGGGTATATCCAACAAAAGAAAGTCAATCAATGAAAGAAGAATGAGGAAGACAACATCCCGAGGGAAGTTAAAAAAGAAAAGGAGCTAATACTGGCATGGGATACAAGGATAGACGTGTATGATCTCCGAATGGAGAGATTATCCAAAAATCAGTTCAAGAAAAAAAAAATTCATGCAAGAAATGCGGGGGAAAAAAAAAAGAGATAGTGTTTGTAAATGTTAGGAGATAGCGAGAGACTAGGCTTAAAGCTGTTCACTTGCGGTTTTGAAATCCTCTCTGTCGGGCATCTCTGGCCGACGGGAGATTGAGTCCCCGCCGATTTTGCCATTCGAGTGTGCATCGCCATCTGGGAGGTAGGGGCGCAGAGATGAAGTATCAGTAGATGCTCGAGCACTGTCCCCACCATTGAGTACTCCGATGACACCTCTAGCTGAAAGAACAGCGCGTGTGCTGGCAGCATCGTGGGCAACAATACCACTCACTGCATCGCCACCGCCAAGAGTGCTGGTGTCCTCGCCTGCATCAGACAAAAATTCGCTTCGACCAGCTACCGACCCTCCAACGGACGAGGGCCGGCCCCTGAGGTACGGTAGAGAGACATCGGATCTCATGGGAAGAGTCCCTGCTGCATGGAATAGTGCCCTTGTACTTGCGTTTTCTTCGTTGAACTTGCTATTGTCCACCCCTGGAAGGACCAGGATTGGACCACCGTTATTCTCCGATTTGGGCCGAAGAGAAGCCGAATCCCCATCTACATAGGGGCCCCCATTAATTGTCGGCTTCTGTTCATTCGCAGCATCCCAGGTTATCGCAGCAGCACCACTTGACATGGAGTTCGTGGCAACTGACTTTCGGTTCGTGGGATCTGGCCGAGGATTCTTTGCAGGCTCGCTGGACCATTGACCTGCTTGGCCGGCATCCACGCTCGCACGAGTTGACCGCCGACCGGATTTCTCAGCGTCCTTTTCTCGCTCCATGGTACGTTCGTCATGCTTGCTGCCCCAACCACTCCAGAGAATCATGCCATAATTCTTCTTAGCATGACGCTTAGGAAGTACACCCGGAGCAGCGCGGCGGGCTGCCAAGGAACTTGGTGACGGATATTCACCTTCAAAGTCCTGGAAACCATGTGACATCTCTTTAATGCGTCGGCCCTGGACCTTGAGCTTTTCTTTAGAAAATTTCAGATCCCACTCGTGTTTTGCACCCAGCCATTTACGGATAAGCTCTGGGTTGATCGCCCCGACCTGTGCTGGTGGGATGTCCAGAACGGGATAGGATGATGGTGGATTGAGTGGGTAAGTTCGCCCACGCTTGTCGACCCGTTCACGGATCATATGTTCATGAAAGGCTGGTAGCGGATCACCAGCCTTACCAACGAATGACATGCCTGTGTCTGTTCTTGGTTTTCCCGAGCCAGGCATACCCCGGGGACTCTCAGAGCTTTCTGTACCACTGGATGATATTGGAGAGAGCAGTTCTTCATCCACGATCTCAACCTCAGCATTTTGTGCACGAGCGAGTGCCCAGGATCCAAATTGAGAAATTGCCCGAAACATGTACTTTGCGGGCCGGGTGAAACTCAAGGTAGGGGCAACATGACAGAGATTATCCCATACTTGGAACTGCACGTATGTCGGCTCATACTTGTGCAGAATTTCTCGTTCTGGATCATGCTCGTCCAGGTAAACATCGCTGGGTGGGTATGCTGCTGGATTGGCTGCCTTGTGGGCAACATAGAATTGCTCATCACGTAGCATCTCGCCGCCGCCACTTAGAATCTGGAGAGGTGGCAGGCCACCAAGAGAAGGCTGGAGAACTGGCGACACCAGAGGGTGAGAGATCAGTTGATTGGTAGCATACATCTGAATCTGATCTTTGAGTTCAACTGTCTTCCCATCCATAATGACGTGGATGTTATCAGGCTCGCCGTGAAGGGTTTGGGGATCCGAATTCTGCTGCTGCCCGGGATAAGCAGGTCCTGCATCGGGCACTACATCATCATGCAAGGTGTATCCACGGACAGCGGTATCTCCGGACTGGCTGTTTGCCGTTGGGACTGTCTCTTCGATGTCTTTGGCGGTGACAGACTCTTTGCGTGACAGAGCTTTGATTTTGAGCAACTCATCGGCGTTAGGCGGTGGCCATGCGGTGGAAGGCTTGTATCTAAAACCACATGGAGGGATGTAATCGCCCGGGTTATCCTCAACAATGCTTGGGAAAGAGTGAGTCAAGTCAACCCACGGCGAAATAAGAATGGCGCCGGCAGGGAGAGCAATTCCTTGATCGCGCATCATGACCAGCATAGACAAGACCATTCCACCGCCAGCAGAATCACCCGCCAAAATAATCTCTTTGGGGTCATATGTCTCTAAGAGCCATAGATAGGATGCCATGCAGTCCTGCAAGCCACAGGGGAAGGGATACTGTGGGGCAAGGCGATAATCCGGCGCAAAAACACGACCCTTTAATTTGCGCGCATGACGCTGCAGCATGTATCGGTGCGTGTCGACACTTCCGAAGAAGTAGGCTCCACCGTGCACGTACAGCATGATGCGATTGCAGCGTACATTGGCCTTTTTGCTCTCATTGTACTGACTTCGCATCTCAATCCAATCCCCCTGAAGATCCTCCGAAGGACCTCGCCATTGCCACCATTTCTGTCCACCGACACGCACGATACCTTTGGGACCCAATTGCTTTAAAAGCACATCCGCTGCTACGGCCAAGTGCTCCTTTGGGATGGTGACGGTCTCTGATCTTACCCAATGCGGGCTTGGAACGGACTGACGTGTAAAGGCTTGGATATCTTCGACGGGGTGCTTTGAAGAATAGTACAGGAATTGACGAATAATCTGAATTCCTTCATCGTAGGTGATATGAACGGTAGGTTTATTGTGGTGGGATTTGCGATGCAGATACTACGTATTGTGGACGTATGGTTAGCGTTACTTCACGAAGCTTGCTCCAAACCAAGCAACTAATCTTTGACTCACATGAGAAATAAAAGTTTGAATGACTGTTGGGGTTAAAGCCGCCCCGAGTGCGACCGTGTGTAATGGCATTATGTTGCCATTTACAAGGACGAAAGATGGGGAACGAGATTAGGAATAGACTCAGGATTTAAAGTGGCCCGAGCCCGGCCCAGACGTCATTGCCAGGAGTTCAAGCTCAAGCCACTTGAGATTGAATGGATGCTTGTGAGTGGTAGAAGTTGACGAGCACCAATGGATGTGGAGTCCAATGTGGGTCTCAGGGGAAGAACACGTACAGGAGAGAATGTTAAGAAGCAAGAGCCAGGACGGGAAGGCGCGGAAGTACTGAACTCTTTAAGTATAACTCACTGGCACATGCGACATATGAATTTTATACACTGAGACCAGTTGACGCATCCAGATCGGTTTATGTACCTCGGAGGCTCTTTTACCATCTGATTTTTCTTCTACAGCTACAACTTGTATTCTATCTCAAAATAAATGCTTTAAATTGAAATTGGAATTCACGATTTGTATCTACTAAGAGCTCCTGCCTCAGAAATGAGGAATTCCACAGTGACTTCTCAAAATGACGTCATTCAGCTCATTGCGTTCTCCTGACTAAGCACATCCATAGCATTTGAGTACTTCAAGTTCCATAGTACTTACTACTAACTTGGATCTTCTCCTCTTTCCCTCCCCAACTTAACACTCACGATACATTGTCACCTTAACCCACCCCATATAGATACGCCCCATTATGCATCTCGGTCCGCAGTAAATCTGCCTCGCCATACTTCATGAATAGCAAAGGAACTGATAACGCCAAACACAAGATTCTCCCCAACACACTTGCCGCCGGTCCGAGGCCTAAGTTCTCAAACATACTAGGCCGCGCAGCAATGGGCACCGCACATGCAAGAACAGATCGGAGAATCTCCTAGGGCCGCTGGCATATTAAAATGTTACTGATTGGGGCCGACGCGAAAATCCCGCCAAAGAACCGTGTGAGAAAAATGGCTGCGGCATTCTTGCTTCTTGCCGTCTCGATACTAAACAGACCTAGAGCAAAGATGGCAGGTACATAGGGTGACACGGGAGTTTAGACACTTTTTTTTTGACAAATTATCAAGCAATAAAAATCATTATTATATAACCACCAATCTATATAATAATTAATAATAAATATATATATAATAATCAGTATTTGGTATACCATCCCCGCGCTTTTCGGACCGCCTCAACCCGACGTGGCATAGAACGAATAAAATTATCAATTTTGGCCTGATCAATTGCATCCCACGCCGTTGTAACTGCTACTCTGAAATCAGCCCAATCTATTTTGCTTTTCCCTCTCTGAGCAAGCTGTGGATATAATTCAAATAGTTTTTGCTTTAAAAGAAACCAAACATTCTCGATCGGGTTAAGATCAGGGGAATATAGTGGCCAATCTATAACCCAAAATCCATATTCTTTGAACCAATCTTAAATAATAAAAGCAGTATGTATTAATGTATTATCTTATTAAAAAAATATACTAGGTTAATAGAAATTTAAAAATTCTTCTTTAAGCATATCTAAATAAGAATTAGCTAAGTATCCATTTTTTTTGGTGAAAGGATCCTATTCTATAAGCATCAACTTCAAATAACCACCAAGCTATATTACCCCCTAGACTATTTAACTTATATCTTTACCAATATTAATTAAGTTCACAAGATCTTTTCGGTATTATTCATTTTTAAAACTAAACACATATTAATAGATTAAGTTAGATTTTTGTTGAACCGAATATTCGTCTGAAAAGATCATATCTAAAAGTGGTGGAAATGTCGCCCAATTTCGACAGAATTTCCGTCTTTTTTTCGCATCGTCTAATTTCAAAAAGATTCGTTTCTTCGAGATCCATTTTCGAATATTCAACCTTTTTAAAAGTCGTTATAGCGTCCGTTTTGACACTTTCGAATCAACTTCATTCCGGAGTGCTTTATAACTCATTAAGGGATTTCGGCGAACAAGCAAAAAGATATAACGACGCTCAGATGGTGTAAGTTTATATTTCGGCCCTTTGCGAGGTATCGGTTTCACGGTCTTGTGGATTTGGAAATGGTTTTTGATATTGTAGACTGTAGCTCGAGCTACTTCGAAATCTCTCGAAACTTGAGCAGGTGTAATACCCTTTTCAAGGGCATAAAGGATAGAAGTTCTGACGGCATCATTCAAAGGAACCCCTCTACCACGGTTTCCACTCGTTTCTTGACCAAATTTCCGCATCTTGAATTATTGGAATTTTGTGGGGTGGAGGGGGGGGGGGTTGGAAGCGGGAAAAACCAAAAGTGTCTAAACTCCCGTGTCACCCTATGTAGCATACCCAATCGATGACCGTATACTTCACTGATGGGGCCCCATACCATAGGGCTAAAAGGCCAACCCAAAACAAAGAGTGCCACTGTCAAGGGACTCAAGGACGTTAGCTCAGTGCTGATACTTGCGAACTTTGCAATAGATTACGAGCTGAGATATCTGTGAGGTTAATGACAAAAAAAGTCTCTCGGGCTTGGAGGAACCATATCTCAAGGATTCGATCATGAGACAGAAATAATATTATAACATTGAAGTCGTAGTTTCCAACATTGAATACTCAGAATGAAAATGATTTGCACTATTCCCGAATAAGGATAGCGGCGGCCGACGAGTCCCCGCTTGATTCCACTCTCTAACTTGAAATCATACTGCACCCCCCAATTTCACTATTCTTGACTGTTCATCAACTCATCAAGTCATGCCCACACATGTAAAAAACTGTTGCACAAATTGAGCCTAGCCTCAAAATCCCCCTTTGTCTGGTACATATTGCATTTAGCGGCGGCCGCTCGTTGTATCATCGCTGACCGCAAGTTAGATTACGTACGAGGACCGCACCCTGAACCGACTTTGGGAGCTCAAAATCGCCAATGAAAACTTACAATGGATCGCGCACAGAGAGTCTGCGCAGTCTGCAAGTCTCGGAAGAAAGGCTGCGACAAAGCCCTTCCAACCTGCGGCTATTGTACCCAGCGTGGTCTAATATGTCTATATGAGAATCCGGAAGCGCCAGAAAAGCGTAGCATCCTATTGGGGAGCAATGCATTGTGGCCCACCACCAGCCCATCTTTTAGGTCAAGCTCATTTCAAAATTTGACAGTATCAAATCCGCAGACAATTGAATATGCTCTACACCATGAAGTCTCCAGTCTCTTCAAAACCACCGACCGAACCTTTTCGGATGTTTGTGATCAATATTTTCGAAGTTTCCACCGATGGCTGCCGGTGGTTTCATATGATCTATTGATGAAATCCACTGGTACTTATATCGATAAATGTCCACCGGCAGACTTTTCTCTCCTAATACTGGCCATGTATTTGGTTGCCTTGGAACCTTCTGACAACAATAACCCACAATCTCTATATTTGGAGTTACGAATGTCATTTACACGTGTTCAAACTATATTCACTGCATCTACACAACTCATTAAAACAGGCCTACTTCTCGCTGCTTATGAATACGCATGTGGAAGGCCGCGCGCTGCATATATTTCAATCGGGACATGCATACGTATGGCATCAATTATCGGGATTGATAAAGATAGTCAATCCAAGGAGGGAATGGACGGCAAGTTGGCTCTAGAAGCTGAATATCTCGAGGCTCGAAATATTTACTGGGGAATGATTATGCTTGAGAGGTACGTATGCGGCACTGGAAGCAATGGAATACAGCTCTCATTAGGTAACGTTAACATTGAAACTAGGCTTGTCTTGTACGAATGCCCACTCGACAATCTTAAACCGGGACTGGATTTCCCAGCTTCGGAGACACAGTTACCCTCCGACCTTGTTTCGCCAGTCTACGTTAATTTGCCTTCGCACCCTTATGTGAGGGGGATGGCCAGCATGGGCGACCTTCATGCAGCCAACGTGGGATCTTTTGGTCGCCAAATCCAGGCAATTTCATTCCTTATCCAGGTTTTAGAGGCAACACATGATAGCAACGAGACACCATTACCAACGCTCATCAAACTGGACGAGAAACTACGCGGGTTTCTCACAGTTTTAATGAACCAAATACCAGGAAGACATCAATGCGGTGCAAATGGAATCATGATAAGGTAAACATACAGAGGAGAAAAAAAAGTCACTTGCAGGATGCGCGCTAAGATTTGAAAGGTCATTGGTTCGTCTACATCAATATATTCTCAAGCGACCATGTACACCAGGTCAACCGGAAGCACTGGTTCAGGAAAAATCGCATGCCACACTAGACACACTCGCTCGTATGATAGTCGAGGTCGCTCACGATCACTTGAAACACTTTGTGCCAGGTGAAATCAACTCACTACCTCTCTCGTGCTCGTATAATATGCGGTCTATGATGAAGCTAATTGGGGATCGGTGGGGGAAAATTAATAGCGAGGAGCCGCCAGAAGGATTGGAAGCATTTGTGGCGCTTCATGAAGCTGTTTGCAAAAGGTGGAGATCCTCGCTGGAACATTAGAACTCAAAAGACGCAGCCCATATACATATATTATGTTCAAAATTACATCATGCACACCGAACATTGAACGCCAGCACGAAGGCAAATCTTGGAAAAATACTACCCGTAATGTACAATATATATCGTCATAGTCGAGATAGAACCTTGGATGTCATGCAAGGAGGTAGACGATCACTTCCAGTCCAGGCCAATCTTGTGTGCCACTTGCTCCGCAATATTCAGGAAAGCCTGACGCCTGGCACTCCTTTCTGAAGATTCCTCTGCCACGACTGTTGGCATTCCGCGGTCGGCATCTTCACAGACTTTGGCATCGAGGGGAATATCACCGAGGAAATCGACGCCCAATCGTTTGCATTGTGCCAGAACACCACCTTCTTCACCGTGAGAATGGTCCCCGTCACCGTGAGAGAAGATTCGAGTCTCATGGCCACAATTAGGACAGGCGAAATAAGCCATGTTGCGGACCATTCCGAGGACAGGGACTTCCATGCGTTTGAACATACCGAAACCACGAACGGCGTCACGCAGGGCGATATCTTGTGGTGTTGTTACAATCACTGATCCATCGATGATGATTTCTTGATTGATTGTGAGCTGCACATCGCCAGTACCCGGTGGGAGATCGAGTATAAGGACATCGAGTGGACCCCATGAGACTGAGTGAAGAAGTTGGTGCATGGCTTTTGTTACCATCAATCCTCGCCAGGAGATCGGCGTTGTGTCCATTGGCACTTCTCCAGAAGGACCGTCGGCTTGGGTTTGCGGGAGAAGGTATCCCATCGACATAGACTTGAGACCATAGTTTGTGAGAGGAACAAGACAGTTGTCTAATACTGCATTAGAATAATCTGTCGTTGTATCGGGGCATGGTAGATCTCACGTTCATCAAGGCGAGGCTCGCCAGAGAGGTTGAGGAGAGTCGGGATTGACGGGCCAAAGATGTCGGTATCCAGAATACCTGTTCGAATTCCTCGACGGGCGAAAGAAAGGGCGAGATTGACTAGCAATATCAAAATACCTTGTTTAGCTTTCCCTACACTTGGATATCACCTCTTATGCTTTTGATGCTCCGAAAACCTCCATTGGAGATCAGGATGCAGCATGGAGGAATTGTATAGTATTTAGGAGATTAAAACAGTTACCCACCCGCAACAGTCGATTTTCCAACACCTCCCTTTGCTGAAGATACTGCAACCACTTTCTTAACATCCCGGATCTTGCGCTTCTCGGGCATTCCCCGCCGACTTCGGAAAGTTGGTGGTGTACCAGACTTCGGAAGGCCCTATTGTAGAGTAAGTAAACAATTCCACGCAATATCAATAAACATAGCTGAAAGGTCAATGTATATGAAGAGGTGTATTCGGAAATGGATATACCACGAGACAAGGTTTTGATAGAGTTGAACTTACCAAGGGATTATCATGCGAGAGAGCTCGGCTGGATGTTGAGAACAACCTTCGCATTGCAGCCCCGCTGACCGGTATGTGAAACATGTTAACAACCATCAAAAAAACCTCAAGATAAAAATGGAAGCTTAGAGTTGTCGGGTGCAACAGTGCAAGGTCAAGCGCATCACGACGGAATAAATGGTACTGCCGGCAGCTACCTTCGCCGCCCATCAAAAGGACCAGACCGCCCAAGATTCTCCGCAGCGCTAGCTGTAATAGGTCAAATTCCCCGGATAACGGAAAAACAAAAAAAAGTTGCGGCAAGTTGGAAATTCTTCAAGCTGCAACACACAGTATGGCTCCCAGCAAGACACGCTCACTGGCTGATCAGCTTGCTGATCTGGAGGATCCCACTCCAAAAGGTATGTCACAGATGAACATTTTACTTCTGTCAAGTCCGTCCATCGTGATCTGACTGACTATGTAGATTTTGACCCCGAGGATCTTGAACACGATCACCAATCTAGCGATGATGATGATTCAAGCAAACCATCAGATGTGAACGCTGGAAGGGAGCATTACGAGGCCGTTGGGTATGATTCGACCACCGACTCATTGTGGTAATCACGAGTGCTAATTGAACGAAACAGTAAGGGAAAACTTAGAAAGCAAGACCCTGTCACATTAGGAAAGCAATATGCTGGCGCACGTATTAGCCGAGATGCCCTTGAGGCAGATAGCGATGATGACCCATTTGCTGCACGTTCCGACAACGGCCACCTCTCTGGAAATTCCGACTCCGACTCCGACTCCGATGCGCCACAGGAACTTGAGGACTCGGATTCAGACATTGAAGTTGAAGAGGAGGATGATGATGCTGCAGAAGATGACAGCGAAGAAGATGAGGTTGACGAAGAGGACGAAGATAGCGACGAAGAAGAAGAAGAAGCCGATGAGGAGAGCGACCTGGAAGACGACAGTGATGATGGCCATCTCGAGAGCAAGCGCAAAACCAGAGTCGTCGACTCCGGATCAAAGGCCCCTTCGGATGATCGGGACGAACTGAGGAGATTGATGTCTTCGGATCAGAAAACAATCACCGCTTCAATTTCGCAAGCTGCGAAGGCAGATGCTGCCAAGGGAAAGGCTGTCAAGCAGCAACGTACCGCTTTTGACGCACTTTTGAACACACGTATCAAATTGCAGAAAGGCTTGGGAGCGATCAACGAAATTTCAGCAATGAGCTTGGAGGAAGAGAACACTACCGGAGGAAGTGACAACGAGGACGGTGAACCTGCCGATGACGAAGCTATTAAATCGGCCGAGTCAGCGGCCCTCGCTCTCTGGTCTACCTTGGAGGAGTTGCGCACCGCTCTGGCTGACGCCCACTCCAAGGATGGCAGCAACAAGCGCAAGAGGCCATCGCCTATTGCCCCTAATGCTAAATCTGCTTTGCTTTGGGAGCGTATGGCAGACCTAGAATCCGAGTCACTCGCACATCGTCGCTCTACTCTCGACAAATGGTCTTCTAAGGTCAGAGGCACCTCAACCTCACTTCCTAACGCCAGAGGCAAGCTCCTTGGCTCCGCATCTAAGCAATCCATTACTGCTGTCCTTGATGCCCACGTTGCCACCGAAATCGGCGACCGATCATCTAAGCGTGTCCGCCAGCCTAATGGTACCAGTTCGACTGACGGTCCTGAGCCTGTATATGATGATACGGTCTTCTACCAATCACTCCTTCGTGAACTTGTCGAACAACGCATGTCTTCTGATGCTATGACTGGTGGTCTTGACACCCAGTTGCCCTCTCGTCTGCCTATCCATCCGATCACTGGCATGCGCAATGATAAGGTCAAACGCGCTGATGTTGATACCCGTGCCTCCAAGGGCCGCAAGATGCGCTTTAATGTTCACGAGAAGCTGCAAAACTTCATGGCCCCCGAGGACCGTGGCTCATGGACTATTCGAGCCCGAGACGAGTTCTTTGCTTCCTTGCTGGGCAAGACTGCCAGTGGACTGCTGGGAGAAGGAGACGAGAGTGATAGTGATGAGGACAGCGATGTCGACCGTGAAGAAGGTGGGTTGAAACTGTTCCGAAACTAGATTTCAGCCCCCTGTTTCCTTGTAACATAGTACTATGAATCATGTACAGCCTGGCATATCCAAAAAGACCATACAGGTGTTACACCAAAATGCACTTGATCTTGTGAATTCGATCTATCTTTATACCCCAAACCTTTGGCTTTATCTTTATCTGTAGCCTAGCTCGGTTTGTACTTGGTAAATATTCAAAGTTTGTACATTTGAATAAAAAGGGAGAATAGCCGCTTTAAATTTGACATTGAAGCCCTTGTTCTGCATGTGGCTATCCTGCTACCAGTTGACCAGTATATGCCTACGATTCCAGGCTTCAATGAGATACAACCTTGCCCGCCGATCATACGGAAAGACGCCCAAGTATCTCATTCATAGGCATGTACGGTTTGAATCCCAAGAATGCATCGCTCGATTCCGTTGTCGAAAGCTTAGCTTGAGAATCACGAGAGTCCCTCTGAACTATTGAGGCATGTGGTCGACGAATATTATCCCATGTCTCTAGAAGACCTGGGATACTATGACGAGTAAAAGCATCGACAAGTACCACATTTAGACCTTCCACATCTTCAAAGGCCTGATTAGTTGCCTGTGCCTGGTATGGAGCCATGGCATGCGCAGCATCACCAACCAGCACGGTACGGCCCTTGACGTATGTGGGTAGAGGCTCCTGGTCAAGTATTGGAAAGGGTTCGATAAGGGTGGTACGGCTGGCTTGGAGCTAATGTTAGATAAGAGGCGGTTTTTGGGGGGCAAAGTACTAGGATCTGCCACTCACCTGAAAAGCTTCAAAAGCCATTCAGGAAATGATTGAAATTCTTGTGTCATATCATGCACGAGGCTTTCATGACTGCCTGTGGATTTGAGCTGAGCCAAGACCCGAGGGCTCGTATCTGGGACACCGCAGACGAAGTTCATGAGCTCAAGCTCGCGACATGGATAAATTACTATGTTTCGATTGCCCTTGTCACCGGCAGCAATGATGACCACAAAGCTACCTTCGTCAAGAGTCAATACATCTGGCAGTTTTCCATCGCCATCTCGGAGAACATCCATGGGTACGACGAAGCGGTATACACAGAGACCACACAAAGCCGGCTCTGGATGCGAGGCCGGAATGACGAACTCGCGGACCTTGGAATGAATACCATCGGCGCCCGTGGAGGAGGGTGTGTTACTTCTCCTCACACTTGATTGTTGAACATCTTTCACTTACCGATTATCAGATCGGCCTCGATAGATGGGCCATCGGCGAACTTCAAAATCCCAAGCTCAGGGTTAATTTCGACAATATGACTGTCATAGACCACATGAATTGGTTCACCGTCCCCATCCACACTAGTCACTCGTCGCAACAGGGAATCTTTCAAATCCTGTCGATGCACAAACCAAAACCCGGTCTCTCCATCCGGGCGGAAGGAAACTCGGCCTGTGCTCATCAGCTCCTCATGAATATTATAAGTCCGATGACCGATACCCGTGTCTCCGCGAACTTCCTTTCTAGTAATACCTAGTTGTTCGACAATGGATGTGCCATTGGTTTGAAGTCCGAGCGCTGCAGAGGACTCCTGCCAATCTTCACCCCGGAGCTCGTAGACAGTGACGATATACTGGGGGTATTTTCGAAGAAATCCAGCGGCTGCAAGACCGGCGATTCCACCTCCTATGATAGCCACCCGGAGCTTCAAAGGCTTGTGATGGTCCATGTTGATATTGGTGGGGTCGAGCGGGGATGACAAGTCACAAGGGCTATGCGCCTGCCAGTCCCGAATCCTACACTTTAATCTATCTATAGCTACTAGTAGTAGCCAGTAGTAGTTTTTCATGTTTTTCATTGGTCCCTTCACTGTGTTTAGGTCACACTTGATAACTTCTTCGATAAAGTTATAGTGACAAGTGTAATCACCTCGTATGTTTTTCAAAACCAACTATCAATTGATCGATCCATACATGTAAAAGAGGAGGGGTTTTACGTTGTAGTTGATTGATGACGGTTCTTTGAACATTGAAAGTTTGAGAAGAAACGGCAAACAGCGGTCTACTCTTCATTCTCCATCAATAACATCTTCATCTTGCCATTGCTGTCGCAGTGACCGAATCAATTCATCCATATTCCAACCTGTCCTGGTAGACATGTCATGAAGAAGTGCCTCCGCGGCCTTCTGGTCACTGTCATGTCGAAGTACCCAGCCCCCTATAATATAATTTAGCTTTGATTTCGTAGATTGCCAGTTGCACCAAGGGAGCATCGTAGCTTACATGCGACCAGGCTGTGTCTTGCAGTAAATAGTGTATTTTCAGCTCGCGTATTAGACTGAGCCAAGCCAAGAATTGTAAGCAGATTATGACGAACAGATTTCTAGAGAAAGATTCAGACAATCAATAACTAATCTGCAGATTTTTGCGAGAGTTTCTCACTTCAATTATGCGAGAATGCCGCAAACTGTCATATGTGGACGACGATGGTGGAGGTTCGGAAAGCTTTAGGATGATCTTAGCAATATGGTAGTATTGGAGACCAATCACTGAGAGATGTTAGCAACGGCACCGAATAATACCTACTAGCCTTGGAAGGCGGGCCCTGTGAAGTTAACGCTTACCATGCACGGGTAATAACATCCAAATGACTGGAAGCTGTTGACCATCATCTGGCCCACGGGCGACCATTCGAACTGGCTCAAAGGTAAGTGGTTTTGAACTAAACCAAGCCTCTACCTCATCATTTATCTTATGAATCACGGAGCGATCAGAGAACGCGCATTGAAGCAATTTCGCGAGTAAAAAGACTATTCTGCTGGACCATGCGAAATCATCATCTCGTTGAAATACATCCGAATCGTAGAAATTCTCCAGATTGGTTCGAAGGGGCTGCTGGGTGGTCAGCGACACGTATATATCCTGACGTAAACAGAGCCATGCTGCTGCTTCACCCAGACCACCCGACGAGCCAAACGTAGAAACAGTGTTGAGAATACGAGTAGTTCCTGTTAAGTGAAATTGGTTGTCCTCTCCTAGAAGGCCATTAGACTGGATTGGTATCTTCAAATATTTGGGACCACTGATTTAAATAGAGCTCACCATCCATTTCCTCGTGTTGTCGCAATATAGCCACTGCTGCTAGAATATCTTCTGTTATGTGGTGCTCGGGATCCGAAAGTGCCGGAATCAGAATTTGCACACAGAGATTGTGATACTGCAATGCTTCCTCTGCGTTATCTATTTGCCTATTTAAGTGGCGAGATGAAAATGCAAAAATTGCGTATCGTAAAACCGGTTCATTGAAAGCCCTGGTAGGCACGTCAATTTCAAAATGCCGATGTGGGTCTGTGATATCAGCCTGAATAGAAAGCGGTTAGTATACATGCTTTGCAAGCTTGGAGGATAGACGCACCCAAAGAGCCATGTTTTCCACGAAGTTGCGCATCAAAACGGCTTCTCGCTCAGTAAAAGGTAGGAATGGGTTTGAGCTGGTATGTGATGTAGATGCCGAATAGAAGGAGATAATGGATGGCGAAACGTCCACGGGATCATGTGGCAATTGATGTAAAATATGATCAAATTGCCCACTTTGAAAATGAATAGAAGGCTTGGATGTGCATGGATCTACAGTTCGAGGGCTAGGGATCCCTTCTGTGTTGTGAATCCAATGAACGTGGTCATTATCCGTGGACCCCAGATATAGATTGACAATTTCAGGAGTCTCATCGTGGAAGCGAACTGCAAAAAAAAAGAAATTAATATTTGATCTTACCATGCACCAAGGGCAACTGACGTTTCCCATGCACTTGTGGCCAGTTCAGTTGATCTGGGAATGCAACATCCTGGTTCTTGGGCAATACAAGTCCAGAGCGGAATCGAATTGTGGTGCGGTCGCATTCAGCACCGGCACTGCGACAGTGCTGGCAATTCTGCGAGTCAAGATCACCTATGAAATTAGTGTATGAAGAAATAAGAAGAAGAGGACGTAGGAGTTTCGAAAGAGATTGCATACATTTAAGATGTCGGACTAATCAGTAAGAAAGCACGGAGTTTAGCAACTCATATCTGGACAGGCAAAGAGAGGTGCACCTACCTCGACACCGTTGACTGAATAGCTTGATCAACATGTAATCATCCAATTGAAATAAAAAAAAGGATCGTCAAACCTACCATCCTGTCACCAGCCTGCTTCTTTTTGGTGTCGACATTGAATCACGGCAATATGTTGAACGGAGAAAATTACTTCCCGCGTATTTTTGAAGGAATGACAACTAGAAGCGGGGAATCAGTGGGAATCTGGATAATTCCATTCTTACCCCCCACAATTCCAAGATGTACCCTTTTCCCTGGCAGTGAACATGAGGGATAAAGTGCTTAGTGGACACTTGAAGTTCCTGTGGGGAAATGGTTCAACTCTTGCCAGTTTGGGCAGATTAAGTAATTCTTTCCGCTGCATCACTGGGATTCACATCATTTACTTCATTGACTTCCAACCATAGCTGATGCAAAATATTCAAAATGGGAATGCTTTCCTGGATCTACAGGTCAGAGACACGCATATACTGATTACCAGTGGACAGTAGGGCTGCTGGCGGAATTATTTAAACCTCGCCATGGGACTGAGAATTAAGAACAAAATTCAACTTGACTTCACATCTCCTACTTCCACGCAAAGACGTACACACAAAAGCCATGGCAATTCAAAAGCTACAAGTCGGTATGGCCGGCCTCGGCCGAGTTGGCAAGTTCCATGCCATGAACTTCCTGCAGCGGACTCCCCGTGCCGAACTTGTCGCCGCTTTTACCCCGGATCCAACTGAGATTGTTTGGGGAAGAATCAATTTGGAGCCCCATGGAGTCACTTTGTATGACAACTACGATGCGATGCTCAAACACCCTGGTATTCAAGCTGTGGCCATTGGAACGGCGACTTCGGTCCATGCAGATGAAGCTATCAAGGCTATTGATGCTGACTTGCACGTTTTGTGCGAGAAGCCTCTCTCAATCCACATCGACGTGGTATGTATAAATGAATATGCCGAACTTATCCCTAGGTCCTCATATGACTAATGAGTGGATTCAATAACTAGTGCAAAGCTGTTGTAGATGCCGCGAAGAAGAAGCCTCACCTGAAAGTGATGTGTGGCTTTTCTCGGCGCTTCGACGAGTCATACCGCGAGGCACACAACAAGGTCGAACAGGGACTCATCGGTCGACCCTCGATTATCCGCAGCCAGACCTGTGACAAGCTTGATCCATCGGGGTTTTTTGTCGAATATGCCGCTTGGTCCGGCGGTGTCTTTGTCGATATGGCTGTACACGACATTGATCTCACACTCTGGTTCTTCGGCGATGACATTATCCCCAAGAGCATCTCTGCTCACGGAATCACCGCTGTTCAACCCGAGCTGAAGAAGCATAATGATTACGATAATGCTGTTGGAATCGTGGAATTCCAGAATGGCAAGATCGGTTACTACTACTGCTCAAGGATGATGGCCCATGGACAGGAGGATACCACAGAGATTATCGGTACTGAAGGCAAGTTGGCTGTCAACAGCAACCCTCAGCGCAACTTTGTCAACTACTACCATGCTGGTGGTATTACTCGCGAAGTTCCTCCCAACTTCATGGGCCGATTTGGTCCTGCTTTTGTGCAAGAGGCCAATGAGTTCACTGCTGCATGCCTGGACAACACACCGCTTCCCATGAAATTAAGCAACGCTGTCAAGGCCGTTGAGATTGGAGCTTATCTACAAGAGGCGCTAGTCACTGGGAAGCAGCTCCATTTTGACGAAATTGGTCGACGCATTGAGAAAGCCCAGCTATAGAAAGTGCATATGGGCTAACTGAGCACGATAGTACCTCAATTTTTTAATCTCATGTGAGGCGTACATAAAGAAGGCCGGGCAAAGGGTTATTTTAACGATACAATCCAGATGGGAGTTTCTCATATTCAAACAAATGTTCATACCTTCCGAGATTCAAGATTCAGGTCAATATTGAATAATAATATACAATTTGTACTTGAGGAGAGTACATACTGCCTCTGATATCCCAAGCGAAGCACACAAAAACCATTTTGAATTGGCACTAAAGGAATCCATAGATACTACTAGAGCTGCAATGTTAGGGAGTATTGAAAAGGGCGGATTCTGAAGGAAGAGTGTGGAGGATTGATGTGCATCGGCCTTGCCTTGTTTCAGCCCGAGGAGTCTTACGTTGCAAGCCCCGCACAAACGCCAGGCAGATTATCGCAAGCACGAGACTTTGAGCTCGGGTTGGTGCTTTGGGCCCCACCATACTTGTTTAAGTCTAGATGGCCATGTATGGCGATCAGCACCACCGGAATGAGGTGATGACCCGCAACATTGACTGGGAAAGTGTGGGGGACTTTCCCCATTCCCCAATGACGACAGGCCCATGATCGGCAAAGCTCTCTAAGGAGCATTCTTCATTTCAGCTTCCCGAATCTCTCGTAGAGCTTTTCGAAAAGAAAAAAAAATCTTTCACTTGAGGTGGTGGTTTCTTACTTTTTTTCTTTTCTTTCCTTGACCCTTCTTTCACCTTCCTCTTCCTGATCATTCACAGAGTCTCCGTCAACTCTTCAAGTTCCAGCACATGTGGTAAACTATCACAATTGCGAGCCTTGCGAGCTTTAAGCGGTCAACCCGACAAAATGCGATTCGATATACCTAAATCACTGCTCCTGGGCGCAATCTGTGCGTCACTGTTCTGGATTGTCAGTGGCAGTGACCAAAGCCAGATCACTCATCACCCAGTTTTACCGCCGTCCTATCCACTGGCGGTTCGAAACCCCTACTTGTCGGCATGGATGCCCGGTGATCGTGTGCACCGATTGCCTTACTCTAATTCCCAGTTCTGGGCTGGCCAGGAGCTCGGGTGGTCTATCATCGTACGCGTGGATGGCGTGGCGTATAGTCTGATGGGTGTTCCTGACTTGAAAGCCAGTCGGATAAATCCAGCAACTGTGCGCCATACCGAATTCACGGCCACTCATTCGCTCTTTGAGCTCAAGGCGGGGCCCGTCTTGTTCACGCTGGATTTCTTTTCTCCTGTCTCGCCCTCAAACTACTTGCGCCAGTCGGTGCCTTTTAGTAAGTCAAGCAGTGGGCGCACGTTGTGTTTTGCATGATCTAATTTGTACACGACAGGCTACTTGACGGTCCAAGTCAAAGAATCGCGCGGACATGATATCCAGATATACTCTGACATTGATGGAAGATGGACCGGTCGGGAAGGTCACTCGGCGAGAGATTTTCAACAACACGGAGATCTCGCTTTTCACTCGCTTTCGGTGAAAAATGCTGCGACTTATACCGAAGAAAATGATATGGCACTTTGGGGTCAGATAATTTTGGCCTCTCGCCCAGGGAATGTGAGCTCGCTTTCGTCGCTTGCAGGAGAGCCCAGAGCTGTACGAGGCCACTTTTTGAATCGCGGTGATCTATCACAAGGACACTCAGCCTGGTCTCATGGGAGCGTTATTGCTCATGCGCATAATTTGGGGGCCGTTAGCGGTGAAGCTTCGGTAACCTTTGCTGTGGGCTACGAGAGGCAGGAGGCCATCAACTACCTAGGAGAAGCGTACACCGGATTTTATCGGGCAGATTATCCTACCACCCATGAAGCTCTTTCCTTCTTTTTCGATGATTATGAAGATGCCTATTGGGAGTCATTGGAGTTTGATCGAGAACTAGAAGCAATGGCAACTGCTTCAGCTGGCCCAAAGTATGCGGATATCGTTGCTCTGTCGACTCGACAGGCGTACGGAGGAATTGACTTAACCATCCCTAGCAACTCTCTTGACACTGATGATGTGCTGGCGTTTATCAAGGAACTTTCCAGCGATGGGAATATCAATACCATTGATATCATAATGCCAGCTTTCCCTATCTACTGGACTTTAGATCCGGATTGGATTCGATTATTGCTTGAGCCAATAATGAGATATATCGATGCCGGCCGTTGGCATCTTCCATACGCTATCCATGATCTGGGCACTCATTACCCCCACGCTATTGGTCATGATGATCAGAAAGCGGAGGAAATGCCTATTGAGGAGTCTGGGAATCTGCTCATTCTAGCCCTGGCCTACACACGGGCTACTGGTGATACCGAATGGTCTGAGCAATATGCAGACATTTTCCAGAAATATGCCGATTATTTGATTGATAACAGCATCAACATGGCCAATCAACTTTCTTCCAACGATGCTGCAGGACCTCTGCCCAACGAGACTAACCTAGCCATTAAGGCGACTGTGGGAATCAAGGCATTTGGTGAATTGAGTGGAAACACGTACTACTCCCAGACCGGTGATGAATATGCCGATCTATTTTTCACTCAGGGTCTAGGCACAGACGAGAAGCAGACCCACTTTGTGCTCGAATATCCCGATTTCCCACAGTCATGGAAGACACCATACAACATTTACCCCGACGTGCTACTGGAGCTGGAGACCTTCCCCCGTGCGGCTTATGAAATGAGTAACACCTTCTTCTCCACCTCAGTCCGCGGAGAATACGGCGTGCCGCTCGACAATCGGCAGGACTGGGCGAAGTCAGATTGGAATATGTGGTTAGCTGGTACATTTGACGACGATACCCGAGATGAGTTTGTGGATGACTTATGGGCTTTCATGACAAATGGCAAGCATCACTGGCCATTCTCTGATCGCTATATCGCTACATCTGCACATGGTAATGACCCTGGCTTTCCAATCTTGTGTCGGGCGCGACCCACTGTCGGTGGACACTTTGCGATATTAGCTTTGCAGGGACCATCTTCAATACGGTCTCTTTCACCCAGCCACAAACCTGGTCGAAAGATGAGTAAGGTGCAGATGGATAAGGACTATGGTCCTAGTCCACAGCTTCTTATGCAAAGCGAGGAGGTTTGAAACCACCAGTTGACCAGGTCTAGCTTCAAATGTTCTACATTACTAGTATCATACGTACTAGTACTAGTAGGGTGAATATAGTATCTTACAGAGGCATACAAAGTAGTATGTGATAGTGATAAGTAACACCGAGCATTTGAATAACTAAAACCTAGTAGGTAACCCTAAAATCCTTTGCTGGTGCCCAAGTGCCTTCTAAGTAGGGGGTTTTTCGTGGTACCTAGTAGGTAATATTTAGATATTCCTACTAGTAGGCATCTGTGACTCTCAAGTGCTTGGAGAAGCCTCATGAACTACTAAGTCATCTGAACTGACATGCTAGTACTACATAGTCTTCGTTGGATGTTGGGTTTTTAATTCATAAACGAAAATTAACCTTGAAATTTAAATAATGATTAGTATAAGATACTACACCTAGTAGTAATGCTAGCTTAAAAAATGTTGAAGTATTTAAAGTATTTAAATGGACCTCAATATCCAAGCAAGTGTATACTAACTAGTACTATTCTCAAATCATTCAATATGTTCCCAGGGCCAATCTGAACGATTTCCGAAGTACTCTGATTTCATACACACCCCCAAGTGCTATGAAGCGTAATACAGTATAAAGCGGAAATGACTTCACCCCACCAGGCGACAGCAGCAAGCCCCTTTCAAAAAATCACATTTACAAAAGTTGAAAGCTATAAGTCTCATATGAAGCAGCATTCAGTTACAAAAGAAGTAAATTCAAATCAAAGGGGGAAAAAAAAAAACCAGTCAGTTTCGTAGTCAAGTAAGTCTTCTTCCCTAAAAGGGAGAATTGTTGTGAGTCGGCGCCAGGGGTGGCTTACCTAATCTCCCATGTCACGCCTGTTGCTTCATCGATGCGCAGTGAATCTGATCTTTTGTCCTTCGACTGAATCCATCCTCTTTTTCTTTTCTCTTTCTCCCTTTCTTCCTTCCCATCTCACCCACCCCTCTACTTACGCCTTCTTGTTAATTCGCTTTTTTACTCATGGCTTCTGTAAGTTGCTCCTTCCCCCCTCAAATCCATCTCCCCTCTGCCGCGGACTTGCCAGCCCAGCTTCTGATCTCCCGGAGCTCTCAAATTCCGATTATCTGATCTTGAAAATTTTGAACTGACGTCGCGATCTACCTTTCTAGCCCCGCCCTCACAATTTCGGTCCTCAAGGATATCCTCTTGCGAACGGTGCGCCCCAGGCGGGTCCGCCACCTGGAGCGACGCCGCTTCTTCCCAACAATGGACGAGTGATTCAGAATGGGCCCACCCGCATTCTGTGTATTGCGGATGTTCGAGGTATGGATTCATGAAAGCTCATTATTGTAGAAACAAGACTAATTGAGCCTGGTGATGCAGGAAATCTGAAGTCTCTGAATGACCTGGCCAAACAGGCCCGCGCTGACCATATCATTCACACCGGTGACTTTGGTTTTTATGACGACACTTCGCTGGAGCGCATTGCAGACAAGTGAGTGCGACATCAAACACTAGTTAGGGAGTTTTTCTTTTGCTGCCCCGATGGCCCCGACGCCAGACAACGCGTCTTATCATCAACCTCTTACGTCAACTGGGCATGGAAATTGAAATCTAGCAGACTCAGCTAACCTCGTGCCTTACTTGCAGAACCCTCAAACATGTCGCTCAATACTCTCCTCTCTTGCCCGAAGGCGTAAAGCGAACCATTGCACAGGTTCCCCCTCAGCAGTCTATTAAGCAGCGTTTCACTCCGGACCAGCTACCCCTCTCCGAACTGTCTATGCTTCTTGACAAGCGCATTACTCTTGACGTCCCAGTTTACACAGTCTGGGGTGCCTGTGAGGATGTTCGCGTGCTGGAGAAGTTCCGATCCGGAGAATACAAAGTTGATAAGTTGCATATTATTGATGAGGCCAACTCGAGACTGCTGGATATTGGCGGTGTGAAGCTCCGTTTGTTGGGTCTGGGTGGTGCTGTGGTCATGCATAAGCTGTTTGATAATGGTGAAGGCAAGACAACCATTGCTGGTGGTCAGGGTACCATGTGGACTACATTGCTGCAGATGGGTGAATTGATCGATACTGCCAACCGTGTTTATGACCCATCTGAGACCCGTGTCTTTGTCACCCATGCCTCACCCGCTCGTGAGGGTATGTTGAATCAACTTTCCGTTACACTCAAGGCTGATTTCTCGATCTCTGCTGGTCTTCACTTCCGCTACGGATCCTCTTACAACGAGTTCTCCGTCAACCCTTCGCTGGATCACTACCGTGGTAAGCTCGCCGCCTCCAAGGCCTCTTTCAATGATGTCTGGGAGACTGTTCGGGGCGAGGTCGAGTCGGCTATCTCATCCAACGATGCGCAGAAGACGCTGCTTGACAATGCTCTTGATGTGGTGACCAAGATGCCTTCCATCGCCAACGGCGGCAACCCGTTCGGTGGCCCTGTTGCTGCTGGTAATGCTGCTGGCCAGGTGGATGAAAGTGCATTCAAGAATATGTGGAACTTCAACCTGGCGGATGCCGCTTTCGGCTACCTTGTCTTGGAGATTGAAGGAGGACGCATCGCCACTGAGATGCGGGCCCAGGGCTTCAACTTTGCTCACCGCAGTGGCAAGCCAGCTGTCGGTGGTGCCCCTCAGGCTATCTCTGGTGGTCTCCCTGTTACGACCGCGTCTCCTGCCCCTACTGGTGCCGGACGCCCCGTTGTTACCCCCCAATTCGGTCAGGCACCCCCTGCTCGGGCTCCTGCTCCAGGTCAACCCCAGGCCCAAGTCAAGGGTCCGTCTGCTCGTGCGTCCCCCGCTCCCGTCATCCCCAAGGCCCCGAGCCCCCAGCAACCAACTGCGGCTTCGAGCCAACCTGCTAGCGAGGAAAAGGCTGCCGCCGACACCAATGGCACTGCTCAAATTGAAAAGACCGCCGACTCTCCTGTCCCCCGCGGTGAGAAGAAGACAAGTAACATTCTCTTCCTGTCCGGATTTGAAAACGAGCAGGCTGTCCGCGATGCGCTCTCGGAGGAAGATGCCACCAAGGTCGAGAAGATCGAAAAGTACGGCAAATTCAACCACATTGTGACTTTCCCTACAGTTGATGATGCCAAGATTGTGCTCGACCACCAGGCCATCGAGAGCAAGAAGCCCTTGGCTCCCGGGGCCAATCGCAAGAGTTTCAAGTTCTTCGAGCAGCGCAGTGGTGGTCGTGGACAGGGTAACGCCGGTACATGGCAGAGCAGCACCCGAGGTGGTGCCAACACCGGTACCCGTGGCTACACCAGTGCCAGCGATAGCGAAGGGGCTCGTCGTGGTGGATTCGGAGGTCGCGGTCGTGGCCGTGGTGGGCGTGGTGGTGGCCGAGGTGCCTTCAAGGGAGTTGGCTCGAACGACTCCCCTGCTCCTTCAACCCCATCAAACGACAAGCCCGCCCCCTCTGGCGATGCTTAATCGCTCAAACTACCCCCTGGTTACCATCCAAGTCTCGTCATTGACTTGACAGTCTTGCTATCATACCTTTCATGCTTGATTTCATGCCCCAATTCCGTCTCATTTTAATTCTTTTGTGTCTTTTATTTCCACTTCATCGTGAAACATTTTCAAATTCCCCTATTCGAGTTTTATGCCTTATCAGTTTTTGTCTGAACGAGATCTTTATCTCGTTATATTTCTAGAAGCTGCTAGGTTCTTTCACCCAGGCGAGTCAAGTGGGTATTCTTTCGGAGGTCCAAGAACCGCGCGGTTGATAGTAACACGCAGAGACTGGAAGATGCAAGCACCAAAAGAATGAAATTCCCCCCAAAAAAATCTAAAAAATTACTTCATATTCATTCCCCTTTTCATTTCCATAATGGCCTGGCTCTTTTCTCCGTACTCTACTTCTTCCCCAAAGACCACATGCACATCGATATCCTTGTAGCATTGATGTCAGGTGCTTCAACCATTGATCCCAGATCTTGTAAATTCTTTCCAAGGCTCTCTGTTCAATGTTTGAATGTTAAAGGCCACAGTTCCAGTCAGTGATCCGTCGGTTTTTTTTCTCCCCCAGAATGTTTCGTTAAATGAAACCAATGTAGGAGGGTAGGCATTCAAACTCAAGGTTCGGTACTGCTGAATACCTGAGCATGACCGATATTTCCACAGCCAGTGTACTAAGCTCGCAGTAGTTCCGGCTGCGGAACAACCCGCAGCCCGCTGGGAATATGTGTGGGCAGCTGAGTGATAGGGTGGCTGCATATGTGGGGAGCGATCAATGGGGAAGTTTTTGAATGAATGCCCGGCATCTGGATGCAAAGAAGATTCTACGGTTGCGAACAAGGAAGGCCCTCAAGCTTCAATGTTTCAAACATTGAATGTCTACGCCACACATTATATCTGCAATCGAGTGTCAACACTCCCGAAGCTACGCCTAAAATCGATATGTCCTCTGGAAAACAGAGTATTCAAACTAATGAGACTGATATTGTGTACAAAAAGATGTCAAGGGTAAAATAAAAAGAGCGCAAGCCATCCCATGCCAATCCTGTATACCGAGTCCCAGCTTTCGATTATGAACCACCCGTAACGCGATACTCACCAGGCTTGGTGAGATCCACGAGCAAAAAGGAAAAAAGAAAAAAGAACAAAAAGAGACAGGATAAAAAGAATACTAAGAGCCAGAGACTAGAATAAGAATAAGACGAAAAAAAGAGAACGAAGGAAAATAGAATAACTCCAAACAGGAGAGCGAACGGTGCCGCCAGATATATAATTTCAATTTCCAAGCAGTAAATGCAGGTTCGCGAATATTTCCTCTCTTGATTTTCCCCTTGGCCGTATTCATGACGCCGTGTGGGTTTCAAATGACATTTCGATGGTGGGTATGAAGTAGTAACAACGTGGTACAGTTTGTTTGAGCATGAGTCGTGAATGAAAAGTGGGCTCGGCAACGACCGTGATCAATTAGGCCCGGGGTTGAGTGCATTGCAATGGCTACTTGGTGCGGCCCATAATATCATCAACATCTCTCTGATTCACGACCACGCCACCCTCGGAACAGCGAGCCTTGGTGCGGAGTTCAGTGCAGAGATTGTCAACATCGATTTCGCCGTTGCGGAACTTCTCCATCGATTGAAGACGATCCCTAACAAGAAAGTCAGTTTTCGAACGAACCCAAGCTTGGCGGTCATATGGCAGAAGGGTACATACCAGATCTTTGTACATGATAGCATCTGTGCTTTGTCTTCACCCGGAACCACCTCTTCCTCCAGCTTGCGGTCGATCTGGGAGATCAGATCCTTCTTAGGTGGCTGAGTAGCTACCTCGGTCAAATTATGCGATGGACTGCCAAGGTCTGGCAAGGGGAACGCATCATCGAAGAAGGTGCCGAAATCCTGGGAGAGTACTGCGTCCTGCGGCTCACGCCAGTCTCCAAAGAGAGTTGGGTCGAACTGGCCACCATTCTGCTGAGAAAGCCAATCGAGGCCAAGAATGTCCTCGGCGGAGGGTTGGTGGTTGTTTGAGCCACTGTTGGATCTGGTTTGTTGGTCCCGCACAGCTGGGATGGGGTTATTGATATTGCCGCAGGCCATGCCAAGTTTGGCGCAGAAAGATTCCTCACCATTAACGGAGCCGTGAACACTGCAACCAGACTCATTGTTCTTGGTGTCTGGCGGAGAGTTTAAACTCGGCTCGGGTGAGGTTCCGCTGGATGAGAGCATCTGGCTCTGATGCGAATCAGATGACGATGACGGAGAATCTGTTGTCGACTTATCATGAGGCGTTGTGGTCGATGATTTTTGATTGTTGTAGGGAGCCTTGTTGGAGGCATTACTGCTTGATGTTCCCTTGGGGGTATTTTGCTTAGTACTTCCGGTCGGGGTGGGGGTGCTGGAGTTGTAGTTGGGAGAGGCAATAGGGGCACCAATGAGACCATGTAGGTTCTCCCGACTCAGCACACCAGGGACACGAGTCGATCGGTCCTTGGGCTTGGACTGGTCGTTCTTGTTCTGCCCGTTGAAGAGGTGCGAGCCGGGCAGATCACCAAACTTGGGGAAATCAAACGAAAATTCGTTATTCTGCAGACCATACGCTCCCTGTGAGTGTGCATTGGGAATGGCACTCATAGCAGACAGGCCGTTTCCACCACTAGTCATCCATGAGAGTCGCTTGCGGTATTCCCGAAGCTCCGTCTGCAATCTTTCCACTTGAGCACGCAAAACTCCATTTTCCTGATTAGCTGTGTCAGAAGACCTCTGCAAATCGTCCATCTTGATCTCCAAGTCCTTCAAATGTTTTTCCTTGCGTTCACGGAAGGCTCGCTGGGCAGCCCGATTCTGAGCCTTGCGTTTCTGTTAGGTGTTAGTCACTGTGATCGTCCCAACTTCTCCGGTAAAAAGATTGCCTACAGTAGTGGGTTCAGAGGTTAGTGGCTTCCGACCAGGTTTCTTCGCCTCACTCTCCCGACGCTTCTTTCCCGTTTCCTCGGTATCTATTTCCGATTTGCCATCCATCGACTTGCGCTTCTCACCCGATTCATAGTCGTGGGTGGGGGAATCCCCAGGTAGATCCCCGATCAAGTTGGCGGAGCCAGGGAAGTCAAAATCCACCTCTGGGTTGAAATCAAGGAATGGACTATCGTCATCCCCATAGCCAAACGCATTGAAGTGGGACTGGGGGTTTTCGAAATTGCCGGAGTTGGGGCCACTCATACCATTCGAGGAGGCTTGGTCAGGACTGTGCTCAGGATTTTGTTGCGGGGTACGGTTGGGTTGCTTGTTGGCTGGAGTGTTGGAGGAAAGCGCAGCCATGAGAAGATCCTGCTGGTCCGGGGAGAGGTTGTAGAGCCCCTGCGGATACATACGATCGAAATCACCCATGGTGGCGTTGTGGGGGGCGTATGTTGGATAGAAGATGAATATGGCTCAAGGATGCCTAAACTGAATCGATTTGGGCTTGTCGCCCACAAATAATTGAATGGGAAGTAAGAGTGAAGTTTCTGAGAGATCAGAGTAATCACCGATCACCCAGAGATAGGTTGGGAAAGGGAGGTTGTAGCCTGGTGTTGTCTCAGGAGGGGGCGGGGGTGATGGGAATCTGGAGATCTTTTGGAGGTAAAAAAGAAATGACGAATGAATTGAAGGTTGAAACAATGTGGCGGGGCCTGAGGCTCCTACTTTTTTTTTTCTTTTTAAAAAAAAACTCCGCCTTTTTTTGGGGAGTTACTAGCAAGAGGCAAATAGAGATAAGCTAGGCCAAATTGCGAGAATGATCGAGTATTGAAGAAGAGGAAGATGATGAAAGACCTGAGGATCGGCTTTCTGTGGTCAGTGGGCGCGGCGGCTTCATTGGCCCGAAGCCGGATGCAGGTGATCGACGGCCAATCAGAGCGGGGCATGCGGGGACTCGACGTTTGCTTAGAAATCCAGTTCGATCTCCTTCTACCGCCATTTTCACTTATACTAAATCATGCACCTTACATTGATCGAAAAGACAAAAAAAACTTGACATTCTATCAAATTCTCTGGAATGAATTCACTGGTTCCCTTACTTCCAGCATATCTATCAAACCATTGAGAAGAGGGAAGGGAAAGTGCATGAGTCACCTCGTATCGCCATGCGTCCTTTTCACAACCACCTCAGGGTCTGGACCCCACTTGCTTCCCCAAGCAGGATCAGACCATCCTTTATCCTGGTTCCGCGTGGCAAATAGGTAAATTCCACGCCGGATCCCCTCTGTCCAGATGTGTCGAGAAGATACATGGTTTATCTATGTAAAATGGGTATATATCTATGTACCTCTCTCCCACGGAAGTTGAGAGCTGTCTGGAAACCAGCTCAATCATGTACTGGTTTTGAAAACTCGTAGTGAAAACGAAGGTGAAGAAAGTACCAAACTCCCCGGAATGTACATGCACTTTGTATCCCGCCGATCGCTACCATATGCTTATCGCTAATCTCTTATCGGTTCTCCGTGGGTACTCCGTAGATTCTGTACGTCAGCATCGTTTTATACTGTACAACGGTTGCCTCAATTTTAAAAGTGTTCCACTATCCTGCTAGTAGCTGAGGACATATCGTAAGAGATGATATACATTGGTATATAGTAGCTTTTGGTTAGAAAAAAAATTTGCATTTCTTGAAATCTCAGACGAAAATGCTGCCTGGACGCTGCCTAAATCCAAAAATTTTGACATTTGTAGGTGGAAGTCACATGACCGTCTTTCTCACGGAACCTTTCGATTCATCGCAACAATCAACTTTTCTCCGCATTTTATTCCACGTGAGGAGGCAAGCTGTGAGCTTATTTTCTTTTTCTTTTTCTTTTTTCTTTTTACTTTCTCCCTCTTGAACTTGGCATACTCCTTGACAGCTCATCTCTTTTTGGTGCAATTTATCGAAATACTTCAATAACAGCCATGTCGGAAGTCGCGGCCCTGGAGGCGGAGGTCAAAGAATTCAAGCTTCAGGTAAATTCAACCAAAACCCCGCATTTCATTCTCAAGACACAGTCTCACTAACCAGGAATCTCCAATAGCTTGAAACGATCCAGTCTAGCTTGCAGGTAGATCCCGATAACACAGAGCTGCAGAGTCTCAAAACTGAACTCGAAGAACTTATAACCCTCACCGAAACTGCCATCGCCGAACTTGCGCCAACAGCACCCACCGCTTCTAAGCCCCAGAAACCAGCATTCAAAAATACAGGGTATCGAGAACCTGGCCCCGACAAGCCCGTCGTGGACCATGATGAACCAGCACAGGTGCAGGTTTCGTTCGCCGTCAATGATAATGTCCTCGCCCGTTGGGTGTCAGGAGACAACGTGTTCTACCCAGCGCGTATCACCTCCATCACTGGCTCGTCCAGCAACCCTGTCTACCTGGTTTCATTCAAGTCCTACAACACCGTGGAGAACCTGACAGCCAAGGACATCCGGCCTGTCTCTGGCACTGACTCGCGTAAGCGCAAGGCTGATGGGACTCCAGGAAGCTCGGCATCCCCGTCGCCCGCGCCGCAATCACATGTCAACGTGATCTCAGCGGCGGCTGATATCAACCCCGCTCTAGCCAACCAAGCCCGCAATGACCCTAGCAAGGCCACCGATGGGCCCGCTCGACCGGCTAAGGCTGCACGTAAAGTCAAGGCTACCAAGGAACTGGAAGCGGGCAAGAACAAGTGGCAGGATTTTGCAGCCAAAACCAAGGGCAAGAGCAAGATTGGCAAGAAGGAGAGCATGTTCCGCACAGGTGACGGTGTCAATGCCCGGGGTAAGTCTGAACTGCCACTCCCTGTCTTTTTTTTCTTTCTCTAATTCAAGTTCGTATCTCTTAGTGGGATTTACTGGGTCTGGCCAAACAATGCGCAAAGATCCCACTCGAACCCGCCATATTTATCAACAGAACGAGGAAGAGGGCTACTGAACGTGCCCTTTTGATCCGGGGCCCCTTATGCCACCCAAAATAAGATACCCTCTGCATACGGAGCTGAATCAAACGGATATTCAAGGATTCCCTTTTCTGCAAATCTTTTCCTTCTTCCCATTTATTATGGACTGTAATGTTCCTTTTCGCTAATTGTATTGGCGCTGCAGATAAAGCCATGCTTTGTGTCTTTTGGCACATTCGGAGTTTCTGTTCAACAGTCTGGTTTCCGGGGCGCTTTTCATATTTAACGAAGTGATATCACGAGACCTTTTATAATCTACATGCTGATTCAAGATTTTGAACTGTACTGTCTGAAGATAATAAGTAAACTGGAAGTGTTTAATCTCTTTCAAGCCTCGACTCCCACAATTCAATTCTTTGCAGTCGAACCCTTCTGTATCAAGTCCATGGCCCTTTGCACGCCTTCTATGCCCACCAAATCTGGATATAAACCAAGCACAATGTCCAGCTGCGACGCCGCGGCTCTCATATTGTCTTCCGTCCGCGTGCAGTGCATGCCAACAAACTCCCCATGAATTCCTTGGTAGTGAAAGGCAGATTGAAAGAAGAACCTCTTTCCAGAGTCACGTAGTAGCATTGAAACTGTACGAGACATTTGCCGCTCGGTTTCTTTCTGCTTGATCGCATTTTCAAGGAAGCTACGATCATTCTCAAAAGTTTCTCCGTCTTCAACCCCAAAATTGTTCCATCCAGGAATATCGGCTATAAACCACGGATGGTTTATCACCGCTGGCAGCGGAGCTGCATACATCCAATCCCAGTCAATCACTCTTTGGTTTATCCACCGTTAGAGAGAAATCTCAGGTCATTAAGGAGTGGAGTAACTTGATCTTACCCTGTTAAATGGAACTCGTTATCTTTCATGATGTTTCCTGCATTCAAATCGCCATGAGCTAGACCGAGGCCTGTATAGTGGTCAACTTCCGCAGAATAGGCTGGGATCATAGAGCGCATGATCAAATAATCAATAGCGTCGCCCCATCGAGCCGTCCCGATGAGGGTACGTCGTAGGCCTCGGTCTAGGCTCCTCGTAAGCCAAGCGGAGTAGTGTTGATCTTGCTCCACAACATGACCGGGAGGTGGGGTAGTCCATATTTGTAGAAGGAATTCTGCGAAATCGGTAAGAAATACATGTCGTTTCTTCAGAGGAATACGAAGGGTCCAAGACTCGAGTGGATTGCCGCTAACCCATTCTGAGTAGAGAACGGGATGGTCTTTCTTGTAAAAGACTTCCGGGGCCTTGATTCCTGGGTGGCATTGTTTGATGTGTTGAAGGATCCGAGTAGAACGCAAATCATACTCCCAGTCCTCTGCTCGGGTGCAGGTTCTCGCAGCCCACTGAACGGAATCTTGAAAGATGATTCGAAATACTTTGTGTGAGCCACCTTGGAGTGGAGTTTCGTCGACAAGCGTACAGGGAACTCCCATGCGTAGATCACTTGCTGTTGTCACCACATCGATAACTAGCGAGCTTTGATGGAGCATTTCATCGCTGAAAATGAAGGCTAGGAAGTGTAAGGCGAAGTGCAATGTTGAAGGTACTACTAAATTGAGTGAGATGCCTACTAGTAGCTTTACTTCGTTCAGCTAACTATAGCCTATAAGCATGAGTCACTTGACTTTCATGTTTTGTCTTATCTAATCTCATCCACAACAACATTGAAATCTGGAATACCTAGTATGTTTCAAGCGTTTATGAATTTATTTGAAGAATTTCCTGTGCCTAATTAGAAAGTGAGTATTTATTTCTTATTAATTGGAAAGATAGCCACCACTGAAAGTTTCCCAAGTATTTTCAAAAAGGTCAGAAATCCTCATTATTGTGCTCAGTCTAATTTGATGGTCAGATTTCGTGCAAGGCATTGATTATTTTCGGCCATTGGGAAGTTACTATATATGTTCTACCGCTTGAGCATTCCTAACGCTAGTCACTGAATACGAAAAAGCAATTTGACTCTTCACAAAGTCTATGACCATAATTCAAGGCGCAATGATTGCAGCCATGCAGCTTCCGAGACATATGGCGCCAAAATGGTGTCAATACAAACGGGCCAGTCATCATCCCATCTGAGAGCACAAACAGCCAAGCAGTATTCCCAATACACTGGATACCATCCAGACTTTTCCCAATCAATCAACACAACTCGTGTTCTCTTATCATCTTGCTGAGCATTCTCCCGAATGATGATGTTCTTTCTTTGCAAATCGCCGTGGGTGAAAGTCGCTTTGTGGCCTCGAAAAATGAGAGGAAGGCATTTTCGGAGATATTCCACTCGGTAGTGTGGGCCTCCATTATGGGAGTACTTGCGCAACATCCCTTCGTTGAGGCTTTCTTCAGAATCGAACGGTCCATTTACTAACGGATCTGGTTCTTCTGTCCAAAATAGTCCATCCAGAAGCTTTCTTTTGCCGAAATTTCCAAAGTAATTGGGAGATGGGAGCTGACGCATTTCATTGAATTGTATCCGCAGCTCGTTCAGTATATATGTTTTGTCGATTGGTGTAAGATGAGGCCAGGCTGCGAGAAGTGTTTCACCAATAATGCGTTCCATGACGATAAAGCTTTTGCCAGTCTTGGTATCTGAGTAAAGAGCGTAGACCCGTGGAACACAGATATTTGTATTCTCGCGGACAAACAACATGTTCTCGCCTTCAGCGAGATCGACTCCTTGCCCGAATTTCACAACAAAATGATGGCCTATTCCAACGACTCTTCTCCCTCCATATTCCAAGGATATGTCTGGAGCATTTTCGATTTCGGATTCAGTTGGTAGAGGACAGGGCAAATCAGACGCGTAAAAGGGGATGCTAAATGATTCCTTCATTGTCAGCTAATATCAGCTAGTAGAAAGTGTGAAGAGCTGTCCAGAGAGATTGACAAGAGAACGCCTCGCCCGCGGCTCCACAACGGATCTAGTGGCAAATCGTTAGGCGCACCGTTTCATACTTACCCCTAAGCCTGAGTCCTGACTATCTATCTATCTACCCAATCCGGACTAGTCGCACGCTGAAAACTAAGGCATGTCATGTGACTAATGGCGGGGTAATATAACTACCTCGCACCTTGGGAATCCACATGCCCTAACAGAGATCCGTGTTACACAGTGCTCATCAGGATTCCCGTCCATTTTCACCTGGGCACTCTCAGATATTTGTGAATGGAACCTCCTGATGGAATTTTGGAAGTGAGCTCCAGATTCCAATCATCCTCGATCTAACATTTGAACAGTTAAATAGCCACAAACCTTGACTAAATGTCCATACTACGTATTCAAATAAATGTTCTATAGAACACCTAGGTAGAAATGGCTGGTCTCTCCCCCGGGACTAGAAAGAATGACGTTCTAAAGTTCATTTCAGTGCTTCTGTGATTTCAAGTCTTCAAATGTTAGAAATAATAAGGAGATTTGGGAATTCATCCATAAAAATCACTAGAATCGGGAGTCTAGTAGAACCAATCACATCAATACCTATATACCTACCAACATTCGAACATTGAACACCCACAGAGGACAGAGGGAGTTATCTAGGTATAGCTCCATTCCTGGTTAAGTAGAGGACACATGCATATCCGTTGATATATTCTTGGCGCGGTTTAAGACTGCACAGCAAAGGTCTGGTAGTTGGAGTTCATTCAAAAAGTGGCCGGCTTTCCAGCGTATGCAACTGGCCCTGAACCGTTGACGGGAACGTCTCGCCCTTGATAGTGAGAACACATATGATTACGAAAGACAATCTTTGCTGATATCTTCTCCATCCTCAATAGTTGACCTTGACAGCATTCCCGGGAAGATGTTACATGGCAGATTCCACAATGGCATCCCACTTATATCAGGCAGCTGGATTGGTGGTGACGGTACACGAGTTGGAAGGACGAAATAAGAATCCTCAATCGTACCAGATATGGCCGGCTGCATGAACTGTGAGAAGCAAGAAAGGTCGAGAGGGTAGGTTTCATCGAAACGGGAAGCAGCTTCTACAGATCGTGGTAAAGAAGCATACGCTTGATCCTCCTCCAATGTCGTTGTAGGGCAATTTTGTGCCCATTTATGGCCGGCTGAGTGAGACCAATTCATGTATAAGCCATTTCCCGTGGGATATGGTGGGGCTGTCAGGGGACCTCCATCGACAGTGGTGGAGATGACTGGCTCAGAGTTTACCGTATTGGGGTTCTTGTTGGCTGTCGAGGCTTTGGCTTTATCCTTTGCAGACGAACACCCCCGCCGTGGGACCCGAGTTTTGCACGTAAGCTTCTTCAACCTGCACCGCGAGCATGGTACCTAATTCAAAAATGTTAAATTATTTCTGTTCTGTCGTTTCAAGGAAGTCTGAGAAAGGGGCCGTTTTTCACTTTTCTGTCGCACTTAGCTTTGGACTTGGCGCATTGTACACATGCCAGAATTGAAATTACAGGTGTCCATGTGGGGGACCGCAACTTTGACATCGTTGTAAACGAAGTTTTTGTTTGCACTCATCAAGATGCACATGTGAGGTTTGTCTGATCATTTTCTCCGCCTGGGCAAGAGTGATACATACCAACTGTAGTTAAAAGCGGCTTATCTCCGGGCGGGTTTGTATGGCGGACTCGGCCTGACTTCCATCCGACGGACTCCGCACATCTTGAAGCACCAAATAGCAAATAAATCGGACAATAATGGCAGCTATCCATGATTTATCGGCCAGCGGTTCCTCCGTCGGCTTGTTATTTCTTTCATCACTTGGAGATTTTTGAGTATCATGATGTATATAAGGCGTTTAGCCTGGCCATTGCAGCCCTTCACTGAAATGAATAGCATGCAAATCTTTAACCTGTCCCCGAAGGCTACAGGCATACTTAATCCATTCCGAAGTTTCACCCTCTTATCGATATTAAGGACATCAAAAGCGACATGAGTGGTTTGTTCGGCCTTCTGTTCACCAGACTAACTTTACCATCCCCCTCGGCAATTCGAGGGAAGACTATCCTCATCACCGGTGCAAACACTGGCCTTGGTCGAGAAGCGGCCAGACATGCGGTTGCTTTGGGAGCCGGTACGGTAATTCTGGGCGTTCGAACCCTAGTTAAGGGTGAAGATGCTAAAGCCAACATCGAAGCGAGCACCGGCCCCATCAACAAGGGAAAGATTCTTGTTTGGCCGATCGATCTCGAATCATTTGATAGCGTCCAGGCCTTCGCATCTCGAGTTCGAAAGCATGTTTTCACAGAGGGCGGCCGTTTGGATATAGCTATAATGAATGCGGGAATTGCGTCCGTTGAGTATGGTCTTACCCGCGATGGGTGGGAGAAGGGAATCCAGGTCAATGTGTTATCAACCGCACTCCTCAGTTTGGGGCTTTTGCCGCTACTTCTGCGAACCAAAGAGCGAGATCCATCAACAGAGCCACATTTAACCATTCTGACGAGTGATATTCACAAGTCAATCAAGTTTCCCGAGCGGAATGAAGCACGCATTCTTTCCGTCTTGAACGACGAGGGACAGTGGAAGAAGTCTCAGGCTGCAGGTGGAGCTACCGAGCGTTACGGTGTCACTAAGCTCATGGACATTTTTATTGCCATGGAAATAGCCAGAATTGCACCTCGGGATGGGTCTGGAAATCCACTAGTCATTGTGAATGCTGTGACGCCGGGATTCTGTAAATCAGATCTCTTAACAAGGGAAAAGGCACCGTGGATCCTGAAGTTGATCCAGGCTTTGATTGCTAGGACGGTGGAGGAAGGCAGCAAAACATTGCTCCATGCGGTAGAGCAGGGAATGGAGACTCATGGAAAGTGGTTGGAGAATCAGGTCATCGCAGAGTAAGATGTCCATTCTGTTCAGGGCCTGATGGTTCGTGCCGCTGATACATGCTTTCTTAGCCCTGGTAATATTGTTACGAGCCCCGAGGCGGCAGTCGTGAGGCACAAAGTGTGGACGGAAATTGTTACAATCTTGCATAATGTTGACCCCGAGGTTCGGTTGGAGTTTGCACATGTAAATTGATGACTGTAGCAATGATTCATGAACATAGTATGGTATTTACTAGTATGATTTCATGTCTTGATTCCAAGGTATTCGAGTAGAACATCAATTTTGAATAAACTCATCGACCTCCAGAGTCCAGCCCTGGAGAGCTTATTCATCATTCAACCATAGTGGCGCATCATGTTAAGAGATAGTATCTTTCCCTTTACAATTCCATGAATTTTTTTTTTAATTTTTCACTCAGCAAGACCCGGTACATATGGCTCATCTTATTTACCATGGGGGTTGAATTCGGATTCCGTAAACATTGAAGGCTGGAGCTGTAATGTAATGACAGTACAGGGACACCAAAAATGGATCTCAAATGTATTTTGTGGGGTAATTTTTGGGGTAATTTTTTTATTTTGCCTGGAGAGTAAAATACATAATAAAATCCATCAAACGCAGCAAAAATAAGCTGAAATGTCAATAAAATTAGGGGGAGAATTCTGCGGTCTTCGAAGATACATAATATAGTCCTCAGCAGTAGGTTACTTAGTAGGTTACTAGTACATCTAAGGAAGCACTCAAGTGCTTACTAGTAAAACCAGCATGTGTGCCTGACGTTAGCTGTTTCATCAGATCATACTAGAGAAGCTCGGCACAACATACGAGTACTTGTTATGGTGCGGTACCCATGCGGGGCCGAAGTGGTACCCGCCCGGTTCTTCTGTCTCCGTGCACGTCATGCTCCCCCAACTTCTCATTCCTCCTACACAGACCTTCTTCGATCCTTGCGACTGCTTTTACTGACCTACCACTCGCTCTTCTATACGATTTTTTCTTATTCCGTGGACTCCGATATATTTCTGCTATCGGTGTTTCCAATCTAAACTCATTCTGTCATTTGCCTCCTTGCGTCTACAACTCCTGGGCATCGAGCTTGTGTCATCGTCTCCGCACTCAAGAGCGGAGGGCGTATGGCCATCGAACCACGCCCCTAGCTTCCATTCAGAATCGCCACAGAGTATCGAAACAAGGTGAATTCTGAAACCAACCTTGAAATTTGAATTGTCTTCTTACCCTACCGCACGATGCGGATATCGGGGCTCGTGGCCTCGATCCTCGGAGTGGGCTTCCTTGCCTTTCAGCCGTCATTAGTTGGCGCACAGGGTGAAACCGAGATCCACGAGGCAGGCCGATGCGCGATACGAGGGAACTGTGGGAAAAAGTCATTCTTCGGTGGTGAGCTTCCCTGCCCGGACAATGGGCTGGCACATCAACCGGAGGATTCAGTACGGCAGAAACTAGTGAATCTCTGTGGTTCGAAATGGAAGGAGGGCCCGGTTTGCTGTCTTGATGCGCAGGTATAGTGATTCCGACACCCTTGCCCGACAAGCTGGTTGGAAGAACTTCACTGACTGAACATTTTCTTTTCGCGTAGATTGACGCACTTTCAAGCAATTTGAAGCTCGCCGAAGGCATTATCGCGTCCTGTCCCGCCTGTCGAGAGAATTTTTTCAATACATTTTGCACGTTTACCTGCTCACCCGATCAATCACTATTCATAAATGTCACGGAAACTGAAAAGGGCAGCTCTGGCAAGACACTTGTCACTGAAGTTGATAACATTTGGTCGGAAATCTCACAAAGTGGCTTCTTTGATAGCTGCAAGGATGTCAAGAATGGCGCGTCTGGTGGGAAAGCGATTGACTTTATCGGTGGAGGTGCTAAGGACTATCACCAATTCATGAAGTTCTTGGGCGATAAAAAGCTACTCGGCAGCCCATTTCAGATCAATTATCTCACCGAGCCCCGCGGTTCCGATGCACAGGGGATGGAGGCTGTTTCAATCAAGCCTAAGGCTTGTAACGACCCTGACCAGACCTACCGTTGTTCTTGTGTGGACTGTCCTGATGTGTGTCCCGAGTTACCTGCTGTGTCTACACGTGAGGCATGCTATGTGGGACTTCTACCGTGCCTCTCCTTTGCCGTTATCATTGTCTACTCTGCATTCTTACTTTTGGTGATGGGTCTGGCAAGTTATGTCACCTACAAGGAACGTCGCTTCCGCAAACCTGAAAGGGTTCGTCTTCTTCAAGACCCCTCGCCCAGTGATGACGAGGACGAAGGAGAGGTTGTGCATCGCGGGGGCTACATGGAACAGCCGCAAGGCGTATATAAGTTAAACTCCTGGCTATCAGCCATGTTTTACCGTATTGGTGGTGCATGTGCGCGCTTTCCAGGTATCACGATTGGCTCCAGCATTATTGCAGTGCTCTTGTTGAGCCTGGGTTGGCTGCGTTTCACAGTCGAAACTGATCCAGTTCGCCTTTGGGTTAGCCCCTCATCTGCGGCGGCCCAAGAGAAGACATTCTTCGATGACAATTTCGGCCCATTCTACCGAGCTGAGCAAGCCTTTCTGGTGAATGAAACGGGTCCAGTATTGAGTTACGAAACCTTATCGTGGTGGTTCGGTGTTGAGTCACGCGTAAGACGTGTGTTTTCTCTTGAACAGGGCCTACTCTTGGATGATGTTTGTTTCAAGCCCACTGGCGATGCCTGTGTAGTGCAATCTCTCACCGGATATTTCAGTGGTTCTGTCTTTAACCTTGACCCTAACACTTGGAGAGACCGCATCGTTCATTGCACTGATTCGCCTGGTGACGTGAGCTGTCTTCCTGACTTTAAACAGCCTTTGAAGCCAGAAATGATTCTTGGTGGATATGATGAATCAAACAATGTCCTGGATGCCCAGGCTCTGGTTGTCACTTGGGTAGTAAACAACTTTGCCCAAGGCTCCGAGGAGGAGAAAAGGGCCATTGAATGGGAGCAAGTCCTTCAAAGCGTGATGAATGCCGTCCAGGAGGAGGCCGCTGACCGTGGACTTCGGGTCTCCTTCAATACCGAGGTCAGCTTGGAACAAGAGCTTAACAAATCCACCAATACAGATGCCAAGATTGTCGTGATTAGCTACATTATCATGTTCATCTATGCGTCTCTCGCCCTGGGATCGGTTACCGTCACCTGGAAGTCCCTTCTAACCAACCCTGCCAATGCCCTTGTCCAATCTAAGTTTACCCTGGGAATTGCAGGGATTGTGATCGTTTTGATGTCAGTGTCTGCTTCCGTAGGTCTATTCTCAGCTGCGGGCGTGAAGGTGACTTTGATCATCGCCGAAGTCATTCCATTCTTGGTTCTCGCTGTGGGTGTGGACAATATCTTTTTGATTGTACATGAATTTGAGCGAGTCAATTTCAGCCACCCTGATGATGAAATTGATGAGAGAGTTGCCCGTGCAGTGGGAAGAATCGGGCCCAGCATTTTCCTCTCAGCCTTGACCGAGACTGTGGCATTTGGCCTAGGTGCATTTGTCAGCATGCCTGCGGTCAAAAACTTTGCGGCATATGCAGCTGGTGCCGTCTTTATCAATGCCATTCTACAAGTGACCGTGTTCATCTCCGTTTTAGCCCTCAATCAGCGACGGGTTCAAAGTCTGCGAGCCGACTGCTTCCCATGTTTCACCGTGCGGAAGGCGAACTCGAACGGGTTATCTGATGACCAGATCTTTGATGATCAGGAGGCAGAGAGCGCTCTGCAGACTTTTATCCGCCGTGTATATGCTCCCTTCATTCTTGACCGGAGGGTTAAAGCGGCCGTTGTGATTATCTTCTTGGGACTCCTGACCGCAGGTCTGGCCTTGATTCCAAAGGTACCCCTTGGGTTGGACCAACGAATCGCGCTCCCTAGTGACTCATACCTTATCCCCTATTTCAATGACTTGGATTCTTACTTCCGCACCGGTCCACCAGTATACTTCGTGACTCGCGGTGTCAACGTGACGGAGCGGAATCATCAGCAACAACTATGTGGGCGATTCACCTCATGTGAGGAGTTTTCTCTGCCATTTGTGCTGGAGCAGGAATCTAAGAGACCTAATGTCTCCTACATTTCTGGATCCGCTGCCAGCTGGCTCGATGACTTCTTGTACTGGTTGAACCCCCAACAGGACTGCTGTAAGGAAGATGGCAAGCTCTGTTTTGAAGGCCGTGTGCCAGCATGGAATCTCACTCTTCATGGAATGCCAACAGGGCCGGAATTTATCCATTATGCTCAGAAGTGGATCGATGCGCCTACCGACGCTTCATGTCCCCTTGGTGGGAAAGCCCCCTACAGCGCTGCTCTGGTTATTGATGAGGAACATACCATGATCAACGCCAGTCACTTCCGGACAAGTCATATTCCCTTGCGAAGCCAAAATGACTTCATTCAAGCATATATTGCAGCTCGCCGGATCGCTGATGGGCTATCTGAGGAGCACAACATTGACATATTCCCCTACTCAAAGTTTTATATTTTCTTTGATCAGTATGTCTCTATCGTCCAAGTGACTGGTACCCTTTTGGGATCTGCTGTTGCCATAATCTTTGTCCTGACCTCTGTCATCCTGGGTTCGATCGCGACGGGTGCCGTTATCACCACGACGGTGGTCATGACGGTAGTCGACATCATTGGAACCATGGCTATCGCCGGGGTCTCCCTGAATGCCGTCTCCTTGGTAAACTTGGTGATCTGTGTCGGTATTGGCGTGGAGTTCTGCGCTCATATTGCACGAGCATTCATGTTCCCCTCACGCACCCTGCTAGCGAAGGCCCCGGTCAAGTTCCGGGGTAAGGATGCTCGTGCCTGGACCGCTTTAGTCAATGTCGGCGGAAGCGTCTTCAGCGGCATCACTGTTACCAAGCTATTGGGAGTCTGTGTTCTCGCCTTCACTCGAAGTAAGATCTTTGAGATATATTACTTCCGTGTCTGGTTGGCGCTAGTTGTGTTTGCTGCCATCCATGCTCTCATCTTCCTTCCCGTGGCTCTCAGCTATTTTGGCGGCGGAGGTATGTTATCCCCTCCAGTTTCAAAAGGTTACAGGTGAACTAATTTCCACCATAGGATATTTTGACCCGGCCTCCGACGGTGGCCTAGAGGCTAATCTTGCCTCACGGGGTTATCGGTCTTCTCTGATTTATGATGAACATGACGATTACCAGTCTGACGAATACTAAGCACTCATCTTTGGGTTCTATCTGTGGATTTCTTCTTTTCTCAGTCCCGAATGGGTGTTACCACTGTACCTCGTGATCCCGATCGGCGAGGGAACTGGAGTTTGTGGTAAAGGCCATTCAGCCAGCCAAGGAGTTTCGGATTCTGTTTCAAATTTTTCCTTTTTTTTCCCCTTCCTATTTCTACCTCGATCAACCGTCACCTCGAAATGTATCTTGGAATTTCAAATAATTCAGAACCAAAGAATATACATTGTTTTTGGTTAACAACCTTGGAAGAAGAGACAGCAAAGATGCCCTGGTTATCACCCCTTTTCTTTGCCCGTGGAAGAGCTTTGATCCAGTCACTAGCTTGGACCCTGTGACGTGTGTGGCGGGTCTCTATCAGCTCTGAATAAAGCGACAAGACGCGTGATTGGTCTGTTTTGTTGCATCAAATTAATGAATCGTGGATAAAAGTATAAGAAAATTGCTGCCTGAAAGTTACACCTCTCTATCTCCGGGAAGAAACCATTTTCTTCTCTGCATCGCGCACACCTTGCTCTCTGAGGTGAGACTCCAGAAAAAGAATTCCGATACTTGATGCATTGAATTCCAAGATGAAAGCAAAATTTCGACGTTCAAGCTCAAATATTTTGGAGTATGCTGACTCTTTTTTTTAAAAAAAAAATTTAGTTCGTGGTACCGTACTCGGGCCATTCTCCACAATGATCGCCTCCACCTCGATTCCAGCCAACTGGACTCTCCCCTCCAGCAGCCCTGGGAGTTCTGTGAAGAAACCTATCAAATCAGTCTCCAAGCCATGCTTTGGATGCGACTGTGGCGACGAGGAATGTGATTGCTGCATCTGCACTATTATGTGACTTATTGCAAATCAGCATTGGAATTTTCGAATCCTGTTTGATCTAGGGATCAGAGCTTACTATATTCTACCTGGCTACCAACAGGAATTTCACCAGACAACCTCAATGATGGGCTTTCGGACTGAGATCTGGACTATGGAGATCTCAGGGGTAGTAATTTATGGTCAAAATGTTCAATGATTTCAGCAAGATGGTCGATTCGATTGGCATTCTGGACAAGTTGGTCTCAAATTGTGCGTTTCTACTAGTTCTTTGGCGAGTGATGTTTCTCTTTGTGTATGCGTATACCCCCTTTTCCGAAAATTAAACTTGGGAAAGTCTCGAGTTTCTACAGTCTTCAGTACATAGGATATATCCTATCGAAACGTCTTCAAGGTCTACCTGGGGTATTGAATAAACTGTGAAGTGAAAACTAGTTACATATGATATTAGCATGTGCGAATGGAGCCTTGATGCCTTAGGGCCTTATGGCCTCGAGGATCGCCCACTTCCGCTTACTCAGCGCTTGAGTGGCCCTCCGTGGCGATCAATTGATCAATGAGATGTCAATTTACATCTCACAAATCTCCATGAATTCGTCTGATGAGCCCCGCAAGCGCACTGCGCGGGCCTGTGACTCCTGTTATAGGCGCAAGGTACAGAAGTTCCTTGTTTTCTCATTCCTCATACTGATCCTGCGGCCTGCCAGATCAAATGTGACGCGGCGGTCCCACAATGTAATTGGTGTAGCCACCATAACCTGCCCTGCACCTTTAATCGAGTGGTGCAGCGGAAACGAAAGCCGGAAGATGACGGTACCAAGTGAGCTTGTGGTTTCTGCTATTTTGCGGGTCATAGGCACCAAAGAATACTGATTTATGTGGTTGGTAGTATCCACCCTAAGAGCTCGCGGCTTTCGGAGAGAATTAGTCGCATCGAGCAGCTTTTGGCGGAAAATTTGTTGCAAGAGTCTACCTCTCGTATGTTTCTATTATCCCTATAACTAGGATAGTATTGTATCTCATTCAGTCAGAGCCGATGGATTATACCCATATCCTGGATAGTACTGCCAGCACCAACACTGAAAATACCACTGCAAGCAACTCCCCAAGTGGCAGCACCAGCACTAGTATCAGCAATCAGCCCATTTTTCAATCTGCAGTGGGTCTTCACTTTGCGGGTCGCGAGTTGGGTGTCATGAGTCTTCTCACTGGTATCCCATTTCTTTTACCAGAAGGCCAAGAATGGATTCGTTCTCGCACGGGACAGACCATCTCCAGCGAGAAACTCAGTCCAACACGCGCGCCATGGGAGAAAGAAAGGGGCCGTATATCCAATACAATTCTGATGGATTTGCGAAACGATGATCTTTTTGAACTGCCGGATCGGCGAAGCGTACAGGTGTACTTTGATTCTTACAAGCGCTCAACCGTGATGCGCCGCCTCTTTCCTGTTGTGGACGTTGACCTGTTCGCAGAAACTATTGATGAAGCTTACCGACAGTCTCATTCAAGCTTTGAGTTCGGGCAAGCGAGTACTCGAGCATGCATTATTGCCTTTGCTGCGTTTGTCGCACGTCTTCCGCCCGTCGTCAACGATATCAGAGACCCAGCCTGCGTTTCTCTTGAAATCGATCATGAGGTCTTGGCTTCCAAAGCCCAGTTTTTATTATCTCAGGTTATCCAAGAACCTGCGAGCCTAGAGGGTGCACAAGCAGTGACCATGTTGGTGCGTCTTTAATTCCCCTCAAGTGGAAACATAGTCTTCTAAAGATTTCTTTTTTCTTAGAGACAGCGCTAATCTCACCACTGGCTTTTCTTAGACATTGTATGAGGTGTCATCGGGGAATATGCGGGCCACCAACTACTTTGGTGCAATAGCTGCACGTCTAATATTTATGCTTGGGGGTAATTTGACTGGTAGTAAAGTATATTCGAACGGCGAACGAGATATACGAAGACAACAGCAGCTACGCAATCTCTTTTGGATCTGCTACACAATGGACAAAGACGTCGCCCTTCGCACAGGACAACCACCCACAATTGCGGATGAGAATTGTGATCTGACCCTCCCACCAGGTTATGAGGAGCACGCATTCTTGGACCCTGAAGACGTGAACATGTCTTATTCACAGCCAAGTTATCCTTTCGATCTGCGTCTGAGTATTATCAAATCTCGTACGCATAGCGCCCTGTACTCCGTCAGTGCACTTCAAAAGTCCGATGCCGATCTTTTAAAATCCATTCGAGAATTGGATGACGAATTGGAAGCATGGCGATTGTCGATTCCACCTCAATGGCGACCTACCATGTCTTTTTCGGCCGAGGCTTCAGACCCCAATGTCAGCATGCATTCAGTCATGCTTCGTCTCAACTACTACCTTTGCATGTCTATCATCCATTCAGCAAGCAGTAGATGTCAGGCCTGGAGACAAGGTAACGGAATGTTGGATGGGGTCAATTCTAGTCTCGCGCTATCGGTCGAGGCGAGCCGTTCAACCCTTTGTTACTTGGAGGCCGGGGAGCATGTGTTGGTCGAGGGTATCTTTTGGTATTTCACACCGTCATCTGAATCGCGATTATGATATTCCTAACACCACTTACCCCTTAGGATCTTGGTCTTTTACCCGATCTCGGCATTGCTCAGCATATTCTGCAGCATTCTTGCGAATCCATTAGACCCTCGCTCGCGGGACGATCTAGATCGTCTTAAGATAGCGACATTAATGATGGAGCGCATGTTTTACCGAAAACTCTCTCCGAATGAAGTTATTCACTTCAAGCTCGTGGCTGACTTCGTGTCAGAGATGAAGCGCCTCGCCAAGTGTGCTATCGACAAGGCATGGCGTGAGCAGAGTGCTGGCTCGCTTCTGCCGCCATGAAGTTTCAATTTTTCTCTTTGTATATTTTATGGCTTATTCGCTTCTTTCGTCTCAGTGGTAGGGTGGAGCATTTCAGGTGGTTGGCGAATTTTGGTGCGCATGTGCACTGATGCATGTGGCAGAATGTTGAAATAGAGAAGCATAGAATGCGGGCATAGGTACTCGGTACCAATGGATCTAACATAGACATACATAGTAGTCCCGACCTCGAGAGGTCCGGGCATTTTAATCACAGACATCTGGATCCGCTGAAGATATCAGGTATTTCAATGTTCAATGTTGTAATATTTACCTTCTAGAAGATTCAAATGTTGAGGATTTGTTCACGGGTGCAGTCAACAGGACAGACACATTCAAATTTCAATGGTATTCCCAGTTTTGAAATGCCTCTGGATCAGAAAGAACCTTGGAATTGGAACCAACCACCTGGGCATTGATCACTTGGGCATCACTTGGGCGCAGCCTTCAGGGCCGAGTAGATATGTTCAAGGTATCCCTTCCAGGGTTGTGCGACCAAGATAATTTATTACTATTGCTTGCTAGATCTGAAATATAAATATGCCAAAATTGGATTAAATAGTCGTCGGAGAAAGTTGGTTTCCATTTAGATTGTTCTCTCCCGTGCCATAAGGAACAGTCAATCATCATGAGGCCTGTGCCCAGTGGTCAACAATGGTTGTGGGGTGGGCAGCAGTTCGGGTACTTCGTGCTCTTGGTTGAATGCCTCGGGAATGAGTCCGGGTAAGTTTAGAGTCTCGCCATAGGATATTCCTATGGCTTTCTAGTAGACCATCGGGTTGTGGGATAGGGCTTCAGAGGTGGATAAAGCGATTGCTATTCCCAACAAGCGCATCCACCACTGGTGAATTTTGTGAAGCTTATTATGATATCAATAGGCATGGCAGGCAATTTGCATGCGACCCAACAGCGTCGACACTTGGTCCAACATGCGGGCTTTTGATTGCGGCATCGGCGAGAGTTGATATTTATGCATGAGTGTTGCATATCTCAAAAATATTCAGCCTTCTTTCTCAAGGAGATCCCAGATCATTCGCGAATCCTCAGCCTTGCGTGAAGACTCTAGATTACTTAAGTCTGCCGATTCTTCCGTCGAACTGATACGACTGCCCTCAGCTTGAATCTCGGCTAGGGCGCCCTCAATATCGGTCTTCACCTTATCCATGTGTTTGATCTCTTGTTTTGTTCGCTCCAGTTGTTCCTCCATCATCATGATGAGTGACTCACGGGCCTGGTGTGGGCGGTACAAGTTAAGGAGATGGTGAGCGTTGATGAACAAGTTGCGCATATCCTCAATTTTTGGTTCGAATTGCTCCGGCGATACTGATAAGATCCCAACAGTCTCGAGAAAGTTGAGGAGGAGGGATTTGCTGATCTTCAGGAGGTAGTAGGCGTGGCTTAGCGGCTGTTGCGATTGGGACGATTGCGAAGGATCTTGGGTGGTATTCGTGGATGGTTCAGGGTAGAGCTGCTCAATGCCTTGCTCTTGAAGGGAAGGTAAGGTGGTTGATAGCTACGGTTCGGTTAGTGGAAAGGATTGGATGGGGATAACATTCTAGCCAGCCTCACTGTCTGCAATTCACCGAACACTGAGTATTCGCCCGTGGGGATCTCCGGTGGTACTAGAAGACGAAGTTCGGGAGGCAAGTCAAGTGCGCGTAACTCTGCTGATGACCATTGCTTGCTGCGATTGGGCCGTCCATCCTCGTCCTTGGAAGCCTCGGCCTTGACCTCTTTTAACCTGTTTAGGTTCTCCTGTGTGAAGTGCTTCCACAAAGGTGGGGGCGGCGCAAAGGCAGTATTGACAGCGCGTGGCTGATTCGGATCAGCCATGGTTGAAAAATCCGAACAGCCAAGAAAGCACCTGGGCTGGGGTAGTGTTGAAAGAGTAGAGGTTGTAGAGCTCTGAGCGGGAGGTGACTTGTAACTTGTAAGAAACGCGGAAGGGTAAAAAAGTGGGTCTGTGCATTGCGACGACTTTGGCCGCTCCCGATAAACCAAGTCAACTTGACACTGCATATTCCCGTGTAAAGAAGGCCGGGCTTTCTTTCTCCGATTTCCTTCTACACTTCTTTTGTGTAAAATGCCTCGAAATGGCTCAGGGTCAAGGGATTCATCAATTCTACACCAGTCTGGACTCGGGGGAGCTGTAGCTCGTTTTTACCAGCGTACCTATGCGGGTGACTATATCGCATTAGGGTGTCTCATGGCAGGATGGCTAATGGTTGTTTACCAAATCCCCCCCCCCATATCTACTATACAATTGGCTAATATTTTGCTGTTCTTTTAAACCAACAGATCCCAATCTTTATCAATCCTTTCCACCGCATGTTTTCCCTCGATAACAAGTCTATTCAGTATCCAATGGCTGCCCACGAACGAGTGACTCTCAGTAAGATCCTCGACATGGTATCCACGACTCCCTCGCAAATGGAATACTTATTACCCTCCTAGTCTGGTCCATAATTTTCGCCGGCGTGATTCCTCTTGGTATCATACTTTTGTGGTCTGCTCTTTCGCGCCCTGGTGTACAACAAACCCAGGCCACAGTACTCGGATTTCTAGTCTCGCTCATCCTTGGGACATTTTTGACAGATGTCATCAAGAACGTGGTTGGCAGGCCTCGTCCTGATCTGTTGGCGCGATGCAAGCCGGCCCGCGGCACGGCCGACAATGTGCTTCTCTCGTGGACTGTCTGTACAGAGCCTAACCAAAGACTCCTTTTTGAAGGATGGCGCAGCTTCCCAAGTGGACACAGTAGCTTTTCCTTCAGTGGGTTGGGATACTTGACCCTGTGAGTATATGTTTCGCTTCGGTGGGATCCCTCTGTTTACTAATTCGAACCTCATAGCTTTTTTTGCGGTCAGATGCGTGTCTTCCGGCCTCGATCGGATCTTGGTCGATGTTTGATTGCCTTCACCCCCCTCTTTTGTGCTCTTTTGGTCGCATTGTCACGCTTGGCAGATTACCGCCATGACGTTTGGGATGTGACCTGTGGTGGACTTTTGGGAATGGCGGTGGCTTGGTTTTCATACCGTCGCTACTATCCATCATTGTGGTCTGTTCGCTGTGATGTAACCTATGATAAGGCCGACTTTGCAACCCAGGAAAGCTTCGGGAGGTCAGACGATGAAGAACATGGGCTGTCGCGACCTTTTATCTCTCAAGACGAAGAAAACTCTGAAGAATATACCCTTGGAACCATGGAGTCAGGCCGGTGAAGGCTGTTATTCTCTGACATTCCAAACAATTCAATCAGCACATACATAGATGCCCGGATTCTAGCGATGAATTATAATGCGACCCTTGGCTTCCTATCCCTACACATAACATATTTACACGAATTAATGCAGCTCTTGAATCTCACTAAAGGTCATCGGAATCAAGTGCAATGTTGATGCAATCAGATAAGAAGAACAAGTCCATCTAGACATCTGGAGGGTCTAAAGGTTACCACTAGTATCCATACACAGTGTACTATGTACATAGTTCTTGCTCTTTAGCTTCCGGGGATTGCGGGGTGGCCAAATTGCGATAGTGAAATTTCTCTTATCGCCCGCGGGGATCTACCTTTCTTGCATCCTCGGCCTTCCAAACGTTTTAGACGACTACCAGTTGACTGTATCTCGCAAATTTGCCGCAACATACAACCCATCGTGAGTGCTTCGAGCAACTGGGGGCTGTTATCGAGCCGACGGCACTCTTCTCCTGATGTACGTTTGGGCCGTCTGTCAACCGGGCCCATGTAACATTCGCCACACATTGGATGCCGCGCAGGAAAGCCGCCGACCGTACGGGGCCGGTAAAAACCCGGTCTCGTAGCGGCTGTCGAGAATGCCGAGCTAGTCGATTACGGTGTGACACCAAAAAACCCGTCTGCACGCGGTGTTGGCAGAAAGGGCTGCCATGCTCCACGAACATAGAGCTCAAATGGGAGTCCGAGTTTGCCAGCCGGGGCGTTGCCTTTGGCCGAGCGGGAGTCTGGAGTAAAACCCCATCGGACGGAACGACTTCTTCTGTGATCTCTTCCGTGGATGATAATCGCCAGTGGTGTCTATTACCGCAAATCCAGCCATGGGGGTTCGTCAACAGCGGAGTGGGCACATTTGAAACCCCCAATGAGGTGGATGTAGTCTCAAATGAACAGCATGGGGTTTCCCTGACCTATCGCACGGTATCAAAAAATGCCCTCCTTGCATCAAGACTCGATCCCGGCCCTGCGCCAGCTCTGTCACTATTCCCGCAGGCGACGCAACTTGGCCATCGGGAGCTTCTTGACTATTATCTTCAGCAGGTGTGCCCTCGTACAAGCGCGAGTTCCACCATGTCTTCGCCATTTGCCTCTGTAATTTTGCCTTTCAGCGTATCCGCTTCACCGACGCTGTTTAAATCCATCCAAGCGCTAGGTGCATGTCACCTGGCCCGAGTTAATCCTTCATACTCCCCTCTTGGACTTCGCTTGAAGTCTGAAACATTAAGGGATCTTCGACGCCGTTTATCCAGCGAAGGGTCGTTGACATGTTCAGTGGACCCGGAGGTGCTGGTGATCATGATGATGCTATGCCTCTATGAGATTGCAGACAAATGTGACCAGCAATGGACAATTCATCTCAAAGGTGCCAAAGCTTTGATTCGACAGAGGAGACAATGGGCCCTTACACCTCCGGAAACTCCAGATGCGTCCCATCCAGCCTCAGCCTTTGCAGAGCATTTCTTTGCTTTTCAAGATGTTATGGGCCGAACTGCCTGCGCCAAGGAAGTTTTGTTTGGGAGTGACTACTGGAGAGCGGATGATCGCAATATCGATCTGTGGATGGGGTGCAGTCCTGAGTTAGTCTCCATTCTCTCTATCATTACCGACATGAGCCGTGATCGGCGACGGCTTGATTCCGATGATGATCGAAATTCTTTCCACCAACGTGCCGCATCCATTAAATATCAACTGGAGAATTTGATCCAGGAGGTTGGAGATGGTGACGGGGATGATGATGCACTTGCGTCCGCTGCAGAGGCCAAGCGGTTAGCCGCCCTTCTTTATTTGCACTGTGGGCTGTATGGGGCCAGTCCCACTACCCCCCTGGTGATGGACTACGTGCATCAGATTCTCCAATTAATATCTGACCAGTTGAATCGCGGTCCTCTGATCAGTGTAACATGGCCTCTATTTGTCGCAGCCGTCGAACTCGATCCATCAAATGATGAGCTCTGGTCGGCCCCTGATAAGCATAAGCCTGTGTCTGGCCGGTCGATCATACTACAGGCCCTCGCCGCAATGGGTGAATCCACTATCTCCAATATTGCTCGAACCCGGGCAGTTATTGTTCAAGTCTGGCAGGCCCGTGATCAAAATCTGCTAAAGGCGCCGCAGATGAAGGGACTGAACGATTGGGAGTGTTATGTGGTGCCTGTGAGTGATGCTATGAGCCTGGCATAACATCTTGTATAGAATCAACGCCGTGTGTTTTTGTATCATAACTCGAAATGGACAGAGTATACACTATCAAACCATTTTAATTCTTCTTTTTGACAATTAATTGACAAACGAAACTGGCACCTGGGCAATGGATGAATAAAGATTTAACATATAGTACTGTAGTCCCTACCAGTTGACTACTATACGTCCAATAGTTAAAGACTACTAGTAGTAATTGTCCAATGATCGCCACTGCGGGGCGAATGGACTCCGCTTTCAGTTTAGCCGCCCATTAAAGATAACTTCGGCGCGTACTTCACCTTTTCATCTTCAACAATTCCTTATTATGTTGTGAGAATAATAAATAATCTTGCTAGGCACAACTGCAGATTATGGCTCAACCTAGGCCCCCAGGGCCAGAGCGTCGCGTATCAGCCCATTCGTTCGAAAGCAAGCTAAGCCAGCAACTCCAACCAGGATCGTCCTTTTCGCACGAGAGTGTATCGCGCTCGCCCAAATCACGTTCCTTGTCAGACGCTTCCAAACCTACGACGAGTGCACAACCATCTACAGGAGACTTGAACCGTCCACTGAGTAAAGATGATAGTTCGCTCCCCTCGCTACCGGCCACACCAAACCGCTCGAACAGCATTCACCATCCCAACCTATCATTGAATCTCCCCCCCAAGGGATCCGGATCCCCCTCCATATCTCGCGCCCCATTATCGCCTAAACTAGACTCTTCGCAAATTTATGGTTCTCCTGGGTCGGTCCTTCCGCGACGCTCCCGTGGTCTGGACTTCTCACGCGCGTGCACCAACCTCCACCATTCCACCCTCGCTCAGTCCTCCCCCGACTCGTCGCCCACAATCGGAGGTCGTGGAGTGACGATACCACAACGACGTGGCTCTCTTGGCTCCACATCTGTTCCTGTATTCTCGACTTCTGGTCCGGCAGATCGCACCACAATCTCAAGCTCCATGTCGAGCGTGAATATGATGGAATCCGACACCAGCAGCAGCGAAGACGACGATGATGCCATGATGGGCGACCGCGATGATATCATGCTCTCGACACCCCAGGCGACACGCATAGCCGGCGGACCAAGTCCCTACAATACAAATAATATTCAAAGTCCCGGGAATGAATGGATGGGGGGCTATTCACAAGCAGCCGCTAGCCTTATGAGCTTCCAGCGAGCTCGCTTCCGCAAAGTACGAAGCCGCCACAGCTCCAGTAGCGCCAGCGGGAACAGCTCCAAGCCCAGTCCAGGGCCCCACTCACCACCTGTTATGAAGAGTGTGGAGAATCCGACAGCAGGGTACTTTGGTCCGAGGCCGTCTGTCCATGTGCGACGAGAGAGCTTGAGTCTTGGCACCCGAGACCTTCGTCTGTCTGATTTGAGTGACGATGGTGAGGGTCGCGCTGTACGATCGGGGAGCCCTACGGCTGTAACCCATTCAGATAGTGGACCATTGGGTGTCATCCGTCGCGCGGTCACCCGCCGTGGAAGTTTACTGGTAAGAATCCCCTTGAAACCTTGTTAGTCTGGTTTGTTAGTTTGCTATTTTTTTCATTTTTGGAGGAAAGACCAATTTCGACTAACTATGTGCTAGCCTAAAACCAAGACCTTTGCTCGTATCCGTGCGGCGTTGATGGAAGAAGGCCAACCTATTGACAGTGATGTCAAGCGCGAAGCTGAAGTGATTCGGCAAGTTCGCGATACAGAACCCGAGACATCTCCTAAGATTGGTACTTTTCCGTCTCTTGCGCCAGCTGAAACGGTAGAGGAATCACCAGGTGACGACTCTACCCCGGGGAAGACGAACCGGGACTCGAGTAGTTTCAGCAAGCAAGCCAGCCGCAATTCTGGGGGTGTTGATTTCTGGAATTCGTTTGACGAGCGCTACCGCACTCCGCCGCCATCCTTGCGCCAGGCCGCCTCATCTGTCGCAGATGACGATATCGTGATGGATATGACCCCATCTACCACGATCGGATCGACCACTGCTGACTCTAAGTCGCGTTCTCGCTCTTCAACCCCCTATGCCCCTGGGATGACTGTGGTGGGAGAGATTCGTCGAAAGCGACGACGAGAGGATGACTTTGATCCGAACCTCTTTAAACGCCGAGCCGTATCACCTAGCGTGAGCGCTCAAAGCAGCCCGGTGATGACCCATTCCTCTGTCATTGACAATGGGCCCAACATTTGGGGACCTCCATCTAAGCTTGGTGCTCCTTTCTCTGAGCGTGCGAGCACCGATAGTGGCAACCGGACGACGCCGCATACCGGCACCACGAAACGCGTGGGCTTACAAGGAATGACTGAAGCCAGTGATGGATTTATGAACATGAGCATTGAATAGACTCGACGTCACTTAATCGTTTGGATTTTATTTTCGTTTTTGACTGCATCTTTTCTCCATGTCTTCATTTGTTTCCCGGAGAAACTGGATCTTTCTTATGTTTTTTTTTTCTTTTTTTTTCTTTTTTAGCGCTGATCATGGCGTGAGGGCTAGGCGTTGGAGATTTTGAGCGCAAAGACATTCTCTATACCTTTTTTAGCGTCAAGATACCTCAATCTATTATGAATATTATGGACTTTGAATTGACTCTCAACTGCTGGACTCTTTTCAAATAATAATAACGATAATACATACTAGTATAATTTGAGATCACAGAGTTGTTTTATGTGGTTGCTCTTCCTAGTTGCTCTTGTTTTGGTTGGCGGAACCACGTGCGGGTCCCCGCCCTGAGCTCGACTTGACCTCCGCAACCCACAGCTTCTCCTCCTCATCTTTCCCCGATACCAATCTACCTTGATCTGTTTCTTGCAAGCATGACCTCCACTGTTGAAATTGCATCCTCTTTCATTGAGGGAGCCCCACCGGGCGAAGTATGTCAATCCCCATTTCTCATTTGCCCCTACCCCTCCATGCTGCTGTGAAACATGCTGACCATGGAACTGGTAGCTCGCCGATGTTGTTGCTGGTAATCGACTCCCCTATCCTCCCTGAACGCGACTACGCATGCATCCCTTTAATTTCACGTCAACCAAGCCCGCATGTTGATACTGAATCGCCGATAGATGTCCAAGCCCTGACCGAGGGTGACGATATTATTCCCCAGCTCGTACCCGCATTTGAACGATACAACGAGAGCCAGTTGACGACGGTTAAATTACCGGGATCAAGCCAGGAGGTAGGAAATTTGTCGCTTGCGGACAAGAATAGATGCTGATGGTCCATTGCAGGTGATTGTCAGTGAATTCAATAAGCTCGAGGGCAACCGCTACTTTGACTCGGAGAGCCAGACCTCGTTCGAGGTCGATCACACTACACAGGTATGCCGGGACTGTTCACCCATTGAAACCGGTTATAGTGGAGGAAGCTCACTCCCGACCTAGACTGCTTCTGCGGCGCAGTCATCGCCCTTGGAATCCCAGAATGCCGACCTGATGTAAGGAATTGATTCTCCAGTGACTCCGATCCGCCTGTCTGCCTCTGCTCACACTGATATAGTAAATCCCTCCTCAAATCCCTTAGCATTCACGCCCAAGAGCATTACTCCAGTTGTTCCTATGGCGTCTATCCTACTGAAAACGATTCTTCTGTCGCCATTCTCCTGGTCGCAAACCGATACTCACCCAACAACTTCTGGTACTGCTCAAACACTCCCCGTGAATTGGATTTGAGAAATATTTTGCTAACCATCATGGATCTGGTTAGGAACGGTCGATTCCGCGCCATCTATCAAGTCCCCGTCTCCTCCTCTTCAACAACCGTGACTGGCAAGATCCACGTTCATGTGCACTACTATGAGGACGGAAATGTGGCTCTCAGCACCACCAAGCCGGTCAGCGTCTCGGTCCCATCGGTCTCTGCTGAGTCAATTATGTCGCGCATCGCTGCGGCCGAGCGCGACTACCAGGAGGAACTGAACCGGGCATTCGTCAGCGTGGCCGAGGGAGCATTCAAGGGACTGCGGAGACAACTGCCAATCACCCGACAGAAGGTGGAGTGGGAGAAGGTCGGTGGTTATCGTTTGGGACAGGATATCTCTGGCGGCAAAGGCCGGTAAAGTAGTATTTTATGGACCCGATTGATTAGCGTTGAATACTTAGTACATCCTTAGTTGGTGGATACGTTCGAACAACATTGAATAAACATTGTTGTTTCTCCTGTACATACGGAGACATGCACATGTGTGCACGTATATACATATACATACTAAGTAGGGTAAGATATAAACATCAATTACCTTTCAATGTACATAGACATCTACTTGGTTGTTGTCCAAGCAAAGCAACATTGAGGTTGAAAACCGCAACCTTGGATTCCCCGATTTCTATCGAGGGCATGCCCATGTCCACACATGCACTGGCATATCCTGATCTTTGTTTGCACAACGCAGATTGAATCAATCGACCTCGAATATCAACATTAAAGTCAAGTATACAGGGAAATCTGCCCTAAGCAGTTGATTTTGCCTTTGTTTGGATCTTCATCTTACGGTGTAGAAAGCTGAATAAGCAACGACAGTCTAGGGAAGTCCTAGCGACGACTAGCACCACTAGCGGCATAGCCCGATAAACACACAAGTAACAACAACCCTCTCATTTGAACATTCAAAGAATCAAAGAGTTGTAAAAAGGAGGAAGGAAAAATGTCCCAAAAGCTTACCCGCTTCGTCCACAATGGCGCTGGTCTGGAGAAGACTCTGCGCCTGATCCAGTCCGCAGCCCAGATCGCCGCAGTTTTCACTGTCGGCAGCACGGCCGTGAGATTGACGACTGCAAAGTTGCAATTGGCTCTCAGTAAGCAGCAATTGAATACCAAGAACATTTTAAAAGCTATATTGATACCAAGTGCTAATGCCAATGTACTAGCTCGACGATTCTTCCGCTTCTTTGGCTTTCTCCAATCTTTCGAGCGGGTATCTACACTCCTCACAAGCGGGGGAATGGGATCCATCGCTGGGTGGATCGACCTTGCCAAGTGGACATGCTTCAGTTTATATTTTGTACTGGAGGATTTGACGATCGTATGTCTTTCTTTGCTATTACGTAGTAAATGCGCGTGTATACATGGCTAATACAAGATTCCCTACTAGTTACATGCCATGGGTGTTTATGAGGTTCCGTGGGAGGAGCGGGTCATGCGTGAGGCCAACACCTTCTGGTTCTACGCGCTTTCTCTCTCGCTGGTGGGCTCGGTTTATGAACTATTGTTCTCTGGGGCTGCCAATAAGAGTACTCAGTCGAAGCCAAAAAATGACGAGAAGAGTGAAAACTCCGAAAAACTCGCTCTTTCTAGTGGGAAAAAGTCAGTGCTGTTGAAACAGATGGTGGTGGATGGGTGTGATCTGCTGCTGCCCGCGGTATTGTTGGATTGGATTCATCCCGGGGATATTGTCGTGGGCGGAACAATGGTTCTGAGTACTTTATTGACCGGGTCGAGTATTTGGGCTCAGGTGTGAAGCGGCTCAACCAGTGTTGACGCTGGAATACATATACATGGATGATAGACATAGAATATGAATACTACATACTAAATACATACGTACTACGTGCATGCAGAATAGAGATACATATGATTCATGATGAGAATTGATATATGTGCCCACATAGCATCACTGGTGATGATCAATACTAAACAAGTTCTTCCATGAGAAACATTCAAACATTGGGTCCACAAAAGTTGAAAAAAGAAACCCAGCTACTAGTAGTTCTCCATTTTTTTGGCAAAAAGATGGACTCGCGGGGAATCGAACCCCGGACCACTCCCATGCTAAGGGAGTATTATACCACTAAACCACAAGCCCATTTGTTGGATGAGTTTTTTGTTTAAGGTTATATAAGACAAGATGTCATTATTGAGATTCAAAGATGGGTTTGTTGAGAGTAGTCATATCAAATTCCAACTGGAGGCCGGGTTACATATCAACTGATATGTACTAGGTAGTAGGTGGCGATAGGAGTGTTGGGCCATGCACATGTGTCTCGATTGGTGACTGGAGAGGTGTGTAGAATCTCCATCTCCATCTCCATCTTCATTCTTTTCCACCCATATCCCTCCTTTCAACTTTGTTTACAACACTTGAACACGCCAACGTGCCAAGGAAGCTTGGAATTTCTCTTTAAGACTCTCTCTCCCCACCAAATCGTCAAGATGTTCAAGAAAAGCAAGCCCTTCAAAGATATCAAAACATTCAGCGATATCAAGACTGTGCTGACCAAGAAGCGTAACAAGTCGCGTTTGCTCCTCGCGCTTATCGAGCGGCCGAAATACCCCGAATCCCCTCAGTACGCGCTGCTAGTCATCCCAAAAAGCAAACCCGGGCCTACTTTGACCAACGAGCGGCAGCCTATCCCAGCAGCCAAGTACACCATCAAGAATACCATCCTGAAAATGAAAGGTGTGACGCACCAGCCATGGATTTTCGAACATGTTGAGATTCGCGACCTGAACGGGGACCATGGTATACTTGTGTGTGCAATTATTGCTAAGGTTCTATCCAAAACAAAGCTACAGAGTACCATGTCAGAGATCTACATCTACCAAAAGGATGACCCCATCCGTTTCAAAGCGCGCGACTTCGACTCTAAAATGTGGTGTCATGATGCTTATGACGAATTGCAGAAATCGGGGATCGTCGTTGGGTTAGACTGGCGCACGGCCGAAGGTGGTACACGGGCTGCGTGGAACCAGAAACGTGGTTGGCGGTCGACTATGAAGAGTGAGGGTCGTGAGAAGCCCAGGGTTCCAATTGTGGATTTGTTGCATGGGACGATTGTTAAGGGGTTTTAATTCGCATGATTGATTACTGGGCAGAGGTTCCAAGTCGGGCTGAGTTTTCTCATAGCCCGAATCTACACATGGAATGTTCCAATTGGAATACGAGGGTGGAGCGCACTTAACATTTGGAACCCACTGATTCCCATGGATCAACTGATGCATATGAATTTCTATCGTGGATCATCAGTGGCCCGGTTGTTCCCAAAGAGGCAATCTCGTATTCAACCATCAAGATCACCATGAGCCTCATATAAAACCCCCCTTCCAACCAACACCACAAACCCCCCCCCCCCAGTCTCAAAACAAGAACAAAAACAAAAATTATGTCCTCCTCAACCATGACAGCACAACTGGATCATAAAGAGATCCGCACCTCCATCTCTCCAAGCAGTTCCAGCACCCTTTACAGTCTCAATGTGACTAATGACTCGAGCCTATTTTACCCATCTCGTACCTTGACTGTCGATGCCCGAGGTATCAATGCCTTTCGTCTACCACTTCCCCCGAGCCAAACCGAAATCGCAATCACCCTTCCGGACGGCAATATTGGTTATGTTTCCAGCCGCAATCGTCGATGGTCTGGAAATAGTGTCCTATCTCAACCTCAGATTGGAGACTTGATCCGCACCGAGTATTTTTTCGGCCCGAACCGAGACCCCATTCTTTATTTGTTGCAAACTTGCAGCGTCACACCCGAGGAATTGAAAGTGACTGGGAAATGGACTTCACGATCCGCTCGTTTCACAATGCCCACCGGGACTACGTATGAATGGGCATATGCAAAGCAAAAGAGATCTGATGGCCAGAAATTGAAGTTGATTGTTCTTCATGCGATCTCCAAAGAAGACAGCAATGAAAAGGAATTCCAGACTCGGCGTGTTGCGCAGTTAGTACGAAGCTCGGACACTCGGACGCCTGGAACGTCTTCATGTTCTGCAGGTAACGGTGGTGAATTGCAGATCGATGAAGGAGCGTTGCTTACGCTGCAGCTTGATGAGTCAATTGTCGTGGCAACATGCCTAGTCATGCTAAAGCGAGAGATTGACCGACGCCGTGTCATGCAGGCTGCAGCAATCGGGGGCGCAGGTGGCGGTGCTTGAAATGCACAATGTACTTTTTATGCTCTACTTTTTTTTCCTTCTCTCTGGTATTTGAATTCAGAATCCATTTTTCTCTTTGTTATTCTATCATCTCGTTCGTCACTTATCTCTAGTAAAACAACTCTGGTATCACAACAATTAAACATAGGGAAAATCGGGCGCAGTAAGCCAACATGACCCAAATAAAATCCCTCACTGTTCCTGCAACAAGGCCTCAATATGGGGGTTCAACCAGTACTGTCTCAGGACACCGATGGAGGTAGCCTTGGCCCCAGTGATCATTCCCCGACAGGCATCTGCGCCACAAGTACATTGAAACGGTTGATCCATATCCCACTCCGTACTCGGATAAAAGAATGTCAAGGCGTCTCCAGCCTTCAACGCCCGATCATCCACTACCCGCACCTCCAATCGAGACATATCAAACACAAGCGAGGGTGCGCAAGAGTGATTGCAGTAGACCAAATCCGAGTTCAGTTCGATATGGGTATTCGCGCCAGTTTGTACAGTGGTGTAGGCTTTCTTGCCAGGAGTGGCTGTGGTGATTTTGGCAAATAGTGCACCGGCGGGCAGGTCGATGAGCGAGTATGCCCCGCTGCCAAAGGCAATGGCGCTGCGATTGACTTGTAGTCGGTCGGGATGGGTCGGAGTGGGGAATTCATTGCGGAGCGCGGGGGCTGCGGAGATGGGGTTTGCTGTGGCCATTGTGATAGTTCTGATTGATGCGGTGTTTTTCTTTGTGGTAGGTCGAGTGTTATTTATTCAATAAACCAGAGAAGTCAAGAGGTGATCAAGATCGGGTTTTATATTTCCAATTGTTCCTTTCAGCCGAGGGAATGGGATATATCATATGGTGGAGTCATGACGAGTTGGAATGTTTTGGGTGTTTAGCTTTCCCGAGCTTTCCAATTCAACCGAGGCGACACAATGCTGGTTATCCGCGGCCTTTGCCGTACCACTGTAGTTTCCACTCAATTCCACACTAATTCCGCTAGGCTCCACGGAGATCATATTAGGGATCTTTTAGTGGGTGATCAGGCGCTCCCGGTGCGATTTCGGTGAAATTCCAGGCTAGAAAGGGGAGTAGATCCGTGTTTTGCATGTGAGTTGGTGGGGGGGGGGGGGGGGGCTAACGAGAAAAAAAAAAGAATTATTGGGATGAATTGAAAAAAAAACATACTACTAGTACTTGGTGTACAATTCGACAAAGGTAGCAAATCGTAAAGGTATATCAAGAGGTAGAGTCCCGTGTGCTAAAGTGACCTCCTAGAGCAAAGATCGGGCTAGTAATCTTTTTTTAAGGAACTACTAGTAGAATACTATTCCTGCACAAAAATGTAAAAAATAATAATGAAGAACTCTCTGGAGTTTATGTCAGTTCCCAGGCTTGAGCGGTTGGTTTTATGTTATCGTTGCAGTGCTTGCTCAGTTCATCTTTCGTAGTAATGTCTCGCCATTTAACCATCGCTCCAAGTTCTCAGCAACCTCTTTGTACCATCCACGCAATAGATCTTCTTCTCCGTATCCCATGTGCGGGGTAAGAATAACATCGCTACGTCCATCTTCACCCCAAGCTGTGGTGCGCCATGGACTATCCAATGGCAATGGCTCCGGATCAAAGACATCCAAGGCAGCACCGCGGATTTTACCAGCGTTGAGAGCCGCCAGGAGCGCAATCTCATCAATTAATGGGCCCCGTGAGGTATTGATGATGGTAGCACTGGACTTCATAGTCGCCAACTCAGCTGCACCCACGATTCCCCGACTGCGCTCAGAGAGCACGTTGTGTACACTGACGATATCGGCCTGCGCAAAGAACTCGGTCTTGGACGAGGCCACCTTGAAGCTACCCGCCGGGAGACCTTGCGCTTGTGCCTGTTCATCTGCTTTCTCCTGGGTAAGGTTGGCTGACCAGGCAATCACCTCGACGCCGAAGGATTGAATGCCGATCTTCCCCACCTGTGAGCCTAGCTTGCCCAGCCCCAACAAGCCGAGCTTCTTGCCTGAAAGAGTGAACCCCAGAGATCCCTGCCAAGCGCCCCGTTTCACGGCCGCGTCATCCCGCGCGACATTCCTCGCCGCGGCTAGAATCAACGCCCAGGTATGTTGTACTGTACTGTTCACTCCCGGCGGGCGACCTTCAGTACCCGCTACGGGGACGCCTCGGTCGGCAAAGGCCTGTAAGTCGAGAGAGAGATTGCGAGTACCGGTTGTGAGGAGTAATTTCAGATTGGGAAGCGCATTGATTGTTTTGGCGGCAAATGGGGTCCGCTCACGCATGGCGAGGATCACGTCGAAGGATTGGAGGCGTTCGACAAGGGCATCGTGTTGGGTAGGATCACGCGGGTCGAGGGTCTCGGGGAAGCTGGAGATGGAGATGCGCGACTCCAGATGAGCAAAGTAGGAGGGTGCAATACCCTGGTAATCATCTAGGATTGCAAATGTGGGTTTCGACATGATGTACTAGTAGGTTTGTGAGGTGATGCTTTCAATGTTGTGTGTTGGTCCTGTTTTTAAGCAAAGTTGGGAAACGCAACCCCGCCGTTCCCCACACTTGGAGACGGAGATTGATTGTCCGAGCGTAAGACCTTAGCCGATTCAAAGTAACCACTAGTTATCGCGTATCTCTCTCTTCTTTTTTTTTAAAAAAAAAACCCATGATACATATCTAGTAAAACCCTTTATACAGTGTGGATACGCGGGGGCTGAGTCTCCGAGATATTTTGTTCAACCTGAGGCCGGTATTTTCTATTGATCACTCCCCATCGTTATTCCTCTTGGTTGATGCACGGCCTATTTTTGAATATAAATCAATACAAAAGTTTTGGACATTGAATGCAGGAACCATAAGTATAGAGGAATCCGAATTAGTAGTTATTGTGTATCTATCTTCCAAATTTGGGTAACTTATTCTACTGTAGCGAAACAGGATCTCGGATCATAAGAACCAAGTCCTCTTTACCATGACCACCCATCTTCTCATAGTCCAATGTGATCTCCTCCAGCGCCTTAAATCCATATTTGAGATACACTGGATACCCCTCAGGAGTCGATTCCAGATAAATCCGAGCTTGCACTGCATCCGCCTGATTAATGCCCCAGCGAAGAATGGCAGACCCCACGCCCCGTCCTTGATATCCGGGCAAAGTAGCCAACAAGTCAAGGTCTATGGTGGCAAATGATAAGAAAGTTCGATCAGCAAGTGCACAAGATGCGGTTCAATCCAAAAAAAAAAATTAGATTTAAGGCATTGCGGAAGAGACTTACGTATATCCCGATCTGTAGTGTGTTTCTTCTGACCCTCTTGTAACACGGCCCGAAAACCCTGATATACCTCGGGTTTGAAGGGCTGTGGTGCGAATGCAACTGGATCCTTGGCATATATTTGAGCTTCTTCACTTAACTCAGGAACGTTCGGAGGAATTCCTAGAACCGTAGGAATAACCCAGCGTCCGTAGCCAATGATGGTTCCGGTCGTGGGGTCTGTGATTTTCAGCACATGTGTTTCTGGAGCGGTGAGATGCTTCATGATGTGGAAGGACTTGTAAGTCCGTAGAGTTGGTTGGTCTGTTTCGGGGAACATGGCTGATAGCATCAGTCGATCCTGGAAGCTGTCATTGTTGACCCGGCCCAAGCCGAGGGCATCCGCTTCTGTCGCGTATTCGACTTGATATGTCATTTTGCTATGTGTGATATGTTGAATTGAAAGAGAATCAAATGGTGTCAAGGTTGAAACTGGCAAGTTCAAGAATGAGATCGAATGTCATCTTTTTGTAGTGATTTCTCCCCCACTCTTGTCTCATTTGAAAAAACCTCGGGCTCCAGATCGAGACTAGTGAAGGGGTTGATCCAGGTGGCCTGTGATTGGCTGGCAAAATACACTTCTGGAACCGTGACCGGAGTCCGGATGAACGAGAATACTAGTAAATTAGTACTAAAGCAGTAATCAATGAGAGATTGTAAGATTCAACCATCTTGATTCTTGAGACAACCCAAAGGTTAGTAACTTGTAAGCTTACTAAGATTGACCCATGCTGCTGACCGGTGTGGTCAGTGGTCACCCAGTGTTGATGCCTGAGGAATCGATTTACCGGAGAATTTCGTCTCGTCGCGAGGAACCGATCGCTTTCATTCAACACATGTGCAGCAAAAAAAGCTCTCAGGCGAAATGGAGTGGTCCTCCATGCCGCGGGGACCAACACCTTGGGGAAAGATTTTTCTTTTGACAGGGTGGCCAATTCCGAGGCATTCATATACTATTAGTCTATACTACTAGTAGTACTAGGTTCACATGTTCGCATCGTGCTGTGTCAAAATTGAAACCTCGTTACGGGGTTGGCTCTTGTTGTGTAGTTGAATGTTAACATTGTGAGAGAACCACCTCCCCGAGACATTGCCTAGTATCAAGATTCAACATTGCAAATCTTTGATCTAGTTATGTGGAGTTACCCTCGCTTATTGGATGGATTTCGGACTTAATGAGTCTTGTCAGCTGTTACCATTCTACTCGCAAGCTTTCTTCCCGGTAATGTATCTTGGAGCACTGTGAAGCTTTCAATATTTGAAGCTTGAATGCTTCGAGGGTCTATCTATATACACTTCGTGGAATGCCATTGGCTATAGATCACATGCTGTAATTATAGAATTGCAACATTGAAAATCTTGAGCAACCGGTTTGTTTTATCACAGATTCGCAAACTTCACGCCAGCCTTTCTGGCTGTGAATGCGGCAATCGAATCCATCAAAACCGGGGATAGGGCATCGTAGGTCTCTAATCCCTCGGCGTTAAACTTTGCGCGCACCGCATCCATCCCCTCCGGGTTAAATCCCTGCTCGATAATTGAGGAAACAAACCCGGCAAATTGCGGCTCTTGCCATCCCTTCTGATCTGACAACTCTACGTGCACAAAGTCCAAGCCGTGGAAGGGGTGATCACGCTCAATTCGCCCGAACAAATGAGCACCGCATTCCTTGCATGCGTTGCGGAGGATCACGGCAGAGGGATCGATCCTAAATCGACATCAGAACCAGGGCACAAAAATAAATCATGGAGATGATGCACGTACACATGGAGTTTTGATTCGTTCTCCTCCACCTTGACATTGTCTCGGGGCAAGACACCGACAACCGAGAAGAGCGCACCGGATGGCTTCCAGCACTTGGAGCAGCCACAAGCGTGGTTGTGTGCGACGTTGCTCTTCAAAGAGACGACAACCTGCTTGGAGGGGCATCGGCAGCGCAATGTACCACCGGGGAAGGTGGGATCACCCTTGGTGATACCATTGTCAATGGCAGGGTGGAGAGAAGGCGCCATTTTGTTGATTTTATTTTGTCAAGCGGTAAATGTTGAACAACTGTAGTTCCTTAGTACAGTCGAGGTGACTGGATATGGTGATTTATAGAACAGGTGGAATATTCAATGTTGGCAAAGGTGTGCATATCCCCTCACAGCCCCAACTTCTCCTCACGAGGGGGCAAGCAGGAACCGTCGGCTTGACCTCCCGGGAGCCCATGGCGACAGCGGATCTGGTTATAGATCCCGCCTAGTCCCACCAGCCCGCCACCCCCCACCCCCGCCGTCCACGGCTCTCTTGGTGAGCGAGCTCCGTTGTGGGGCCAATCTGGAAGCGGTAAATAGATCCTGCAGCGTCGAAGTGGAAATACACCTTTGTGGTTGGACAAGGAAGACGGATCATCTTGTTCTCCAACGGCAGGGCACCCGAAAGCTCCGTGTTAGTGTTTATTACGCAGTGCCACATTGCTAATAACCATCGCAAGCGTCGAGTATTGAGGCGAAAGTGCTGTAGAAGTTAGCGGACCTGAAGGATTATTTCGGTTTTCTCTGGAAACGAAGCATAGATTTCAACCCGTTGAATTGAATGTTGATCTTGTGACTCTCTCCTTCGATATCATAGTAGTAGGTAGTAACTGACATCTGGAAACTTGGAAAAAAACCATGGTCGCACGCCCATCGTGGGGTTTCATTGTAAAGACCATGGGTTTCAATGTGACCCAAGTCAGCTCCCTTTGATGAAACAGGTCTGATTCCACTATGCTAGCTTGAAATTGAAAATGAGTCAAGCGTATGAAGGACAAGTTTTCCAAGAATCCATCTATACTACTACTATATACAAGTAAAAGCGCTCGCAAGGTCCCCACGACTCACGAGTCACGAGACTCACAACCTTGGAGGAGAGAGAAATCGACGCCTCAGATACAAGGCTAGAAGCCCCTTTATCGGGCTTATCTTATCGGGTTTATCTTATCGGAGACCTCCAAGTTCAACCCTTGGAAAGTGAGTGGGGCTTTTCCCCGAGAATACCATTCTTCAATGTTTCAATTCTCCTGCTTCTTTGAAACGCGATTTGCCCACCCTAGATGAGATTGAGCTTTTATCTTTCGCAAAATTCACATGGTTTCTGCTCACAATGATCCAGACTGAACAGAGCTCTCTCTGGCTACCATCCTCAACCGTAGCCGAACAGACCAACAAGAACATTCTGGATGACGTCACAGCCTACCAGAGTCTTGATGACAAGGCAGCTCGCACGATTCAGGTACAATAAGTTGGAGGAACGATATCAAACCGCATGCTAAGAGGGAATTTATAGAGGGTATATCGCGGTTATCGGACTCGACGCGAAATTCGAGGCATCGGTGTTGCCGCCTCTACGAGAGGCTTAGAGGTAGGTTCCCCTTCACCCAGTCATTAATTGGCCTCAGCTCACCTTGATTCCATTTCTAGACCCCCCAAAATCCACAAGCTGACCCATTTGACGAAGATCAACAAACAAGTCCCGAGATCGATGATACCAGCAAAAGCCCTGCGCGCAAAAACTGGAAACGGGCCGTGAGCGCTGTGATAAGAGATGGCGGGGATGATGATCGAATAGTGGAATCCGCTGCCCGTGCCCGCGTGACGCCGCCGGAAAAGATACAGCCAATGCGTGGAACGACCTCGAAGGCTATGGATTTGCAATATTTTTTGGAGATGGTCGATGCTAAGCACCGACATGGCAGCAATCTACGAGCTTATCACAACGTGTGGAAGAATTCCCCCTCGAAAGAGAATTTCTTCTATTGGCTAGATTATGGGGAAGGGAAAGATGTGGACCTTGAACATCGCCCTCGAGAGCGACTCGAGAAGCAGGAGGTGCGTTATCTGTCGCCTGAGGAGCGTCTGAATTACATGGTCAAGGTAGACGAAAATGGCCTGTTTAGATGGGTGAAAAACGATGAGTTAGTGGAGACCGACAACAAGCGATTCAAGGACAGCATGCATGGCGTGGTACATGTTGATGATTGCACACCCCGATTTCAAGGCAATTCGATTTCCGAGACCCCTCCTTCCGAATCACAGTCGTCTTCGTCTTCGCCTTCCTCTTCTCCCGCACAAAAACTTCCACATGAAGACCGTTCCGAAGAAGTTCAATTTTCCACCAATGAAGACTATGAACTGGGAAAGGCAGTCAAAAAGTTCTCTCATATTAAGCCCGAAGCAATATATGAACACTTTGCGAGCACCTTTTCGAAGAAAGATGAGATGTGGATCTTTGTGAGTAGCCAGAAGCAAAAACTGACACACTGTATTCTGACTGCAGTACTACGTGTAGGTTGCCGACACATCCTTTCGAATCTATATCGGAATCAAGGAGCCTGGAGCCTTTCAACATTCTTCATTCTTGAGAGGGGGTCGTATTGCTGCCGCTGGAATGCTTAGGATCCGTCATGGGCAGTTGAAAAGCTTGGCTCCACTCAGGTAAGTATTTACCTATGCCATTAATTGCACCGGCAGATTATAATTCTAATCTTTACAGCGGCCACTATCGACCACACGTTGCCAATTTTCGAGCTTTCCATCATTCCCTGCAGGAGAGAGGAGTTGATCTATCGCGGGTGTCGATCACAAAAGCGTATGCCATGCTTGCAGGAATTGAAGGTTATGTCTCGACAAAACGCAAAGTTCGCTCTGTGCAGGAAAGGTTAGGCGGAGCGAAGGAAAAGCTTCATCACCCACACCAATCAGAAGAAAAGGTGCCCTGCTAAACTACCCCACGGATGCGCAAAGCTTGTCGTGCAAAAAAGTGACGGGATCTAGACTGTTACGTTACTCAAGGCATGTACTCTTCAGTAATCCGACCCATGAAATGATTCATCGAGTTGTCGAGAGTGAACCTTGGAGGCATATTTATGCAAGTTTTCCTCTACCGGTATAATTGATTACGCAAACATTGAAGACTTCGTGAGACGCTGTGTGTTAATGATAACATTTGAATGATACATGTATAATTTGGGTGCTCAAAAGAGCACTTCCAGAAGCTTGACATCAGGTACTGAAGACTGATGGCTGGACAAAATTGCTTCAATTGATACATACATATTCAATGTTCGGTGCTTGCACATGTGCACGGAGTACTGGATACGGAGTTATATAAAATGATCAGCCAGTATGAGATCCGATAGCCGCTCTGCCATCCCATATAACAACGCGGACGTGTGTGCAGAAATCTGAGTAGGAATAATGGAAGCATCAATGACCCGGAGATTCCGTACACCATACACACGACCAGAGTGATCTACCACTCCACCAAGATCTTTTGCCATCATTGCACATGTCCCGATAGTGTGATAATTTGGGCCAAAATTTTGGGTGGCATGGGATACCCAGTCATCCATAGTAGCATTTTGAGGAACTGCTGACCCGGGAAAAGTCTCTTTGTCAACATAGTCCTGCATCTTGTCGTCCTGTGTAAGACTTCTCGCTAGTAGCGAAGCGGCTGCTTGTGCGTATCGATCTAGATCGTTCTCCATATATCTTGGGTTTCGAGCGGCCTGCCAGAGATAAGGATCTTTGTGCATGATATGAATATACCCTCTAGTAAAAGGGAGAAGAATCCAGCTACTAAAGCCAAGAGTTGTCGAACTTGCATCCATGAAAAGTTCCGCATATGCAATATCGTGATTCAGAATCCAGTCTCGATAAAGCTCCATTTGTAATTTCAATGCCGTGGCGTTTCCAAAGCCACCTTCCGACACGGCATCTTGAGCCCAATGGTCCAGCTGTGAGTCCAAAAGTCCACGAGCAGTTTCTTGAGCAGAGTCCGTGAATATCTCCTTCCAAGTCGCAAAATACACAGCTTGCCCTTGACCTGAACCTTTTGGGTGAATTGTTGTTGAAAGAGAAGTAGTTGTTTGATCCTGCAAGTTTTGCCCAACAGGAAGCTCAACAATCTGTTGAACACCTGCGGTATCCAGGACAGACTTGATTCCTATTCCAGAGTATTCTAGTATGAGTGGACTGACAAGGGCACCAGTCGCCAGGATAACATCATTCTTTGCATATACCTCAAATTTCTCTCCATCCGTGCCGAACTCCACGCCTGTTGCCAATGGAGGTGAGATATGTTGATTGATCAAAACTCGCCCAACACGTTGTCCAACGAGAATTGAGAGATTGGGACGTTGTAAGATAGGCAGAAGTATGTCACGTCCAGCATCTGACCGAGTCTGGTTCTCATGTATCGTATTCAGCAGCATTGACATACCACGAGGGTCTCCGCAATTGAGATCCTTCCGCGTAGGGACCCCGCGCCCAGCAAGCATAGACATCACTGAGCGAATCATTGGCGAGTATCGGGTCCCAATATCGCGTGGACCGACATGTACTGCGCCTTCCATACCGTGACATTTCGGATTGAAGAAATGACCCGCTTCAATCTGCTCCTGGGTAGGATGACGAGCACGTTCCGATTTGTGAATATATGAGGAAACATTTTGCCAGTTCCATCCAGGATTACCAAGGTGAGACTCCCAGGAATCGATTTGAATGCTCGCTGGACTGGTGTAGGAAGCCCCATTGATTAAGGTCGATCCACCGAGACCATTGCCCGAGTGGATTGTTAACGGCCGTCCATTAATATCCAGGGATACGGTTTGAAATCCGTAATCAAGTGTGCTGCCAAAAGCTTGACCGAACGCGCTAACGCTTTCAATAATTGACCTGTCCGATTGGAAGAAACCGCTTTCGATCACCAACACACTAATCTTCTTGTCTTGTGTTAATCGCGCGGCTGCTGTTAGGCCTGTAAGACCCCCACCTGCGATGATGTAGTCATATTGCCTGCTGCGTGCCGTGTTCGGATTGGTCAGAATTATCGCCGAGACGTGAAGCACAGAGACGAGCAGAGCCAGGTAGAATGTGGACTTCATCTCGTCGCGTAGTGGTAGTGACTACTACATGTGGATATTGGTAAGAGGAAAGATTTTTAAAGGTCATATATAGCCATCTATATGTAGTAATCTCCTTTGGCTTAATATCCCTGGATTCCTTGTCACTGTCATCCTGTAGTACTCACTCCATGTTCGGCTTTTCTCCCTCGCGTAAAGAAATGCCGGAGCCTTAGAACATGATTGACTTAGAACATGATTGCAAAGATTGAGTTCCGAGGTCGAATTTTGCTTTCAAATCCCAGGACTGGATCCTACCTCTGTGGTACTAGGTAGGTATTCAATCCGTGATACAGCCTGTACAAAGAATATTTCTTGTCAATGGACATGTCTCAAGTCAAAGATACAAAGGGCGTTTGGAGCAAAATTGAACGGCACCTAGAGGCTTACTTCAGGGCTCGACCTTGGAAGATGGCAAAATACAAATCTGAAGGTTGAAAGGAACCTTGGAAAGAACCTCCTGACGCAGATAGATGGATCAAGTCTCGTATAATGGTGAAATCAAAAAATTTGATTTGAATATTTCAATCTTTGCCAACCACCTGAACAATATGACTTGGCCGGCTACTAATTAGTTTGGGCCCCTCATTAAAGTCGCGATCGAAGCTTTTCCACGGTATCTTGCAGCACGTGTTCATGGCGCATGGCCTTGCTTCGAACGCGTTCTCCATCTTCGGGGGTGATATAACGAGCTTCAACAGCAGGATTGTATCCCACGCCAGAGACTTGCAGAATCTCACCATCAGATACTTCTCGATTGATCTGGCCATCTGCTCTCTTGTAGACAGTTACAACCACCGCTCCTCCTAAGCCCAGATTATGCTGCAACGCAACATCCGTATTAGAAACGAGCCGATTATTAGCCCAACCCCGAAGTTGCCAAGTCAGCTCAGCGCATTGCGCTAGCCCTGTTGCCCCAAGGGGATGTCCCTTGGAGATTAACCCTCCCGAGGGGTTTATAATTGGCCCACATCCGCCGTAAGTGATGTCGCCTCGACGAACCATCTCGTGTGCCTTTCCGGGGGCCGAAAATCCCAGTGCGTCCAGGAGCAAGAGTTCATTTGTTGAGAAACAATCGTGAAGTTCACACACTTTAATATCTTTGGGCTCGACTTTGGCCTCCTTCATCGCGAGGAGAGCGGCTTGACGCGACATGTTAAATCCAACCAAATCGATCGCACTTCGAGAGTAGACCTCGGGTCCATCGGTAAGCAGCTGTTGACCGGCTATGTGTATTGCCTGAGCTTTTAGGTGTGGTCGAGTATCCAAAAAACGTTGCGACACAATGACTGCGGCGCCTGCACCATCGCTCGTCGGAGAACACTGGAGCTTCGTGAGAGGGCCATGGACGGGTGTGGAATTTAATATTTCATCCAATGAGTATGCGGTTTGAAACTGTGCGTAAGGGTTACGCTGGGAATGTTCGTGGGAGATACGCGCGATCTCGGCGAAATCCTCAGCTTTTCCGCCGAATCTATGTTTCAAGGCTCTCAGTTTAGTGGGTGTAACTCTGGTGTCTCGGATGATATCTCACTTCTGCATGTACTCCTCCCCTGCATTCCCAAAATATTGGGCATTTCGAGGTGAGGCATGTTTTCCATATGTATCTTCCATCATTGTGGTCGATGGGCCCAAGGGGCTGGGTCGGTCGTCCCACACGCTTTTAATGGAGCCTGGGCGCATTTGCTCAAAGCCAATGACGAGGATGCAATCCGCAAGACCTCCTCGCACCATACTGCGTGCCAAGTGAAGGCCCGTAGAGCCTGTAGCGCACGCGTTGTTGGTGTTGTATATGGGGATTCCGGTCATGCCAAATTGATAAAATATGCGCTGAGATGACGTTGTATCGCCATAACAATAGCATCCAATCCCAGTCTGAACATCGTCGTAATTGATTTTGGCATCGAGCATTGCTTTCACACCCGCCTCGTACCCTAGCTCGGGGTATTCGCGGGTGCGACGTGGCTTGAGAAACCGAGTCAAGCCTACGCCTAGCACGTAGGCCTCACCCAAAGAAGCGGGAGGTGTCATGCTGACACTCTGTGGGAAAAGATCCAGATGTCAAGTTGACAATACTAGTGACAGTGGTCAAGGTTGATCCTGGAATTATAAGTAAATAGTGTGGTGTGGAAGTATACGAAAATATGAAAATATGCAAATATGAAAATATTTGAAGATGGTACGTACAGTAACGTACTAGTACATAACATTTGAGCCGAGAGGTCCGAGGTAAATATTGTAACCCCCTCACTTCAAATGTTCATGTCGAACAGCCGACTTGCAGGATTTCTAACTTTGGAAAGCGAAAGAAGAAAAAAATCCGTCAGCCATAAGTTGGTCAAATAGGCTATAAGCCAGTGTAAATATTGAAAGGAGAATATGATATGCTAGTTGTACTAGTAGTTATACTACTAGTAGTTAGTCGTAGTAAATCCACACATCAAAATCCAACCAATGCTTATGTCAGCCTGTCTGCTATTTCCTTTATTCCTTCTCTATTCCTTCTCTATTCCTTCTCTATTCTATGTATGCTATCACATACAAAAGACTGACCACCAAGAGACTGGGTGAGATTTACAAATCTGCTGACAATCTACTAGTAACCAACTTTCGCTTTCTTCACACCTCGGCGATTGACTCCGCACTCCAGTGACTCCACTGCACATCATTTCCCCGCATCCGAACAACTATTAGTGACAATAAACACTATGGAGGTCAGATCAAAGCATTCTCCGAAAAAAAAACCAGACATACTCTCATCGAATTTGAGATGGCAACTTTCCTGAAACAGGTATATCAATATCATTCAAAAAAGCAGAATAAACTTTCGCAATTCTTCAGGGTGTAGGAATGCTAACGGGCGTGATATATAGCTTTTTAGAACAAGATTGACTCCGAGTCGACCAAAAGTTCGATGCATGTGCGCGACCGATGCGAATCACTGTCCACAGCGTCTCAGACATTTCCACGCACGCGCTACAGATTTTCTCCAGAGTCAAGACCCAGATTTGTCTGACTCTCAGCGAATGGTTCGAGAATCCATTGCTAAAATTTGTTCAGATTTCTCTGACGAATACTGGGCCCGCGTGGACCAAACAAATACATTTCCCACGGACTTCTGTGATGCGATCGCGCAACAAGGTTGGCTGGGGATCTGTCTACCACAGCGGTATGGGGGCTCTGAGTTAGGCATCTCCGAGGCGGCAGTGATGATGCAGACCATTTCAGAGTCTGGAGCTGGCATGACAGGAGCTTCCTCCGTTCATATGAATATTTTCGGCTTAGAGCCCGTCGCGAAGTTTGGAAAGGATGAGCAGAGGGAAAGGTGGCTGAGACCTTTGATCGCTGGCCGAGAACGAGCATGCTTTGGGGTTACGGAGCCCAACACAGGTCTTGATACATTGAAGCTTCAGGCGACTGCCCGCCGATCAAGCGAGGGATATGTGCTTTCGGGCCAGAAGATTTGGATCTCTACTGCGCAGAAGGCGGACAAGATCTTGATTCTTGTACGCACAACGCCACGCGACCAGGTTCAAAAACCATCTCAAGGGCTATCGCTCTTCTATACAGATCTACAGGTTCCGAACGTAGAGATCACCGAGATATCCAAAATGGGACGGGGAGCTGTTGACACCAACACCTTATTCTTCGATGACTGGCGGGTACCAGTGAATGATCGCGTTGGAGCAGAAGACGAAGGATTTAAAATGATTCTTCATGGAATGAACGCCGAGAGAATTTTAATCGGAGCTGAGGCTCTCGGCCTGGGGTTTGCAGCCTTACGTCGAGCTACCTTATACGCTGGCGGGAGAGAGGTGTTTGGCCGCCCGATTGGTAAAAATCAAGGGATTCAGCATCCACTGGCGGACAGCTGGATGAAGCTGGAGGCGGCGCGGATGATGGTTTACCAGGCGGCTCGTCTTTACGACCAGGGATACGCTGGTGGAGAGTACGCAAATGCCGGTAAGTATCTTGCCGCAGAAGCTGCCTTTGAGGCTTGCGAACGGGCAATCCTAGTCCATGGAGGTATGGGTTATGCGAAGGAATATCACGTCGAGCGCTATCTTCGTGAAGTGTTTATCCCACGCATCGCTCCTGTGAGTCGCGAGATGATTTTGAATTATATTGGAGAGCGAGTTCTTGGTCTTCCCAAATCCTATTAGTTGGAACATACTAGGAGCACATACTGTCAACAGCCATTTGAATATGATAACTGATGAATCACTGTATTTGAATATCTTTAAATTCGATTTATATCCACTCGCAGGAAAGTTTTACTGCACCTTCCAGATGTCCATGCTTCTATTTTACGGAGGTCCGATCAACATTAAATCTCTACCCCTCATCTTCAAAATCCAACAAGTTTTCCACTCGGTAAATCTCGGAGTTTCTAGAGATTGAACTTTTGTGCCGCGGCAATATGAGTTGGAGAAACCAACAGTGGATTATGCGGGGGTTTCACTGGTCGTGAGTTGATTAATGCTCTGTTAGCAATCTTGCAACACAAATATCTCAGTCTCAAAATCATCAGAATGTTCAGACAGTCTGCCGTTGTTCTAAAGAATCGACTTGGATTCCAAAGGTCGGTCTTTTGTAAACAACGGGGGGTGAGTAGTAGTAGGAGCCACACCACTGACGCCCTCGGCCCCTTACACGGGGTTAAGATCCTTGACCTGACTCGCGTTCTGGCTGTAATTTATACCCCAAGACACCATCTTCCAATCATGTACCCCAACCTAACAAGACCAAGGGTCCTTTCTGTACGCAGATTCTTGCTGATTATGGCGCCGATGTCCTGAAAATTGAAAATCCCAAAGGAGGCGTAAGTTCAAAGAAACTTGTATTCTTTTTTCTTCCTCAAATCTAATATTCTCAGGACGACACTCGACTTTGGCGTACAGAAGCAGAGAAGAAAATCTGGAAATCAGATCATGATGACATTTCCGCATATTTTTGTACAATCAATCGAAATAAGCGGTCAGTCACTTTGAATCTGAAGGAGGAACAAGGACGGGAGATTCTGTTGGAGCTTGTGAAGAGTGCGGATGTGATGTGAGTCTTTTTCCCCCCCGAACATAGAGTCATCCTACTAATAACAAGATTCAGCGTGGATAACTTCATACCAGGCAAGATGGATGAGCTTAGAATCGGCTATAAGACTCTTTCTGAAGTCAATTCATCCATTATTCATGCGAGTATTTCTGGTTAGTTGGCCCCGGTATGTCATGAAGGCAATGCTGAATCTCATAGGCTATGGTTCAAGTGGCCCGTATGCTCACCGTGCAGGCTATGATGCCATTGCAGCAGCAGAGGCGGGCTTACTTCATATCACTGGCGAAAAAGATGGCCCCCCAACACGTCCTGGTCTGGGCCTCACGGATATGAGCACAGGGCTATTTCTTCATGGAGCTATTCTTGCCGCCCTGGTTTCTCGCCAGAGGACGGGAAAGGGCCAGAAGATCGATGGCTCGTTATTTGAAAGCCAGGTGGCACTGCTCTCCAACGTTGCGATGTCTTGGCTCAACACTGGAGAGATCGCTGAGCGCTGGGGTACCGCGCATCCAAGTATTGTCCCTTATCAAGCATTTAAGACGCAAGACTCCTATCTTGTACTTGGAGCAACCAATAATCGTCAGTTCCGGTCATTGTGCCAGCTAATCGACCGTTTAGACCTGGTGTATGATCCCCGTTTCTCGCAAAATGATGCTAGAGTCGAGAACCGGAAAGAATTGGGCGGTATCCTGGAGGATATTATACTGAAAAAATCTACCAAGGAATGGATCTCCAAATTGGAAGGAAGTGGATTACCTTATGGCCCTATCAACTCGATTGACCGTGTGTTCTCTCATCCACAGACAGCAGCAAGACATATGGTACACACTCTGCCTTATGAGCCTGCTGTATCTGGGCAACTGAAAGTCCTTGGTTGGTTTGAATGATTTTCGAATAATAATTTCACTCCATGCTGATATTGAATCTACATCTAGGCAGCGCAATTAAATTTGACGAAGATTCCTATCGAATTCGCTTGAAACCGCCCAGATTAGGTGAGCATACCGAGAAGACACTACAGGAACTTGGATTCACAAGCCAAGAGTTGAAGAAAATGAAAGAGGAAGGGATTGTATAAGAAAATGAATATTCATGGATATAGAAAGGGATTTAATCTAAACACGTTACACGGGTCAGTTAATGCCTACTATTAGTTGATCTTCAAGCTACAACGTCAAAAAATTGGCACTGAAAAAATGATATATAGATCGTAATTCGAAGAAACCAGGCAGAAATACTGGCTATTTAATCCCCTCTCAAGTCCCTTCCCAAGTCCCTTCTCAAGTCCACCTCTTATATCTAATCTAGACTGGTCTATACATTACTAAACCTATAGTTTGTATATACTTGTTTCTCAACAATAATATCAATACCCTACTGGTAGTTATAAAGATACAGCACTTGAGGGCTAGTAGTCAGATGACCTGTGTTAGAATGACATTATGAGAGTGAGTCAGTGACCTGAGTTTAGATTAAAGCCCTATCGAATCGAAACACCATATTCATATGTATGAATCTCAAACATTTGAATGTCATAAAACCTGCACATGTGCAATAGAACATTGCAAATTAATCTAGGCACAATTTCAGTTTTCAAGAATGTTTGCAACTGTCTGGGCGACCTGAACGAGCTCCTCGTCACGCATATGTCTTCCAGCAATTTGGATACAGCAAGGCGCCCCTTCAAATGTTTCATGTGAAACTGCATTACTCCGTTAGAACAACATCTGACTTAACTTAAGAGACAACTCAAATTCACAATACTCACAAGGTGGCTTGTACTGAACATCACGAGTAAAAGCTAAATCTGCGGTCTTCTCTGCTTTCCCGAATGGGATGATACACGCGGGATACTATATTTCAGTATCAGGATACTTCGATCGCGTCAATAAGCAGACAAATTTTTACTTACGTCCAACACATTCAAAAGAACTGTATAGAGAGGAAATCCATAAAGATCATGGATTTGAGCAGTGCCTTGATAGCCTGGCAGAATAATTGCGTCGACATTGTTCTGTGTAATGAGAGCGCGAAATTGGTCTTTCAGATTGTTCCGCTGCTGAGTCAAGTCATAAAGACCATCAAGCGTTAACGGGGCATACTCATATGGCATATACTCATGAGGGAGGTCTGTTGAGCTTAGTGCTGGTATAGTTGGCTCTCCGCTTCTGGCGATATGTTGAAACGCGGTTTTGGCCGGGTCCATAGCAAACATACGGAAGGCCAATGCACAAGCATCCCGGATTGAAGGTGTAGACAAGGGAACGATCTCATGTCCAGCTTGGCGGACACGTTCGGCAGCTTGGGTTAAAGTCCGAAGAATGGGTGGGTGCAGTGGGAAATTGGGATCCTCTTGAATGAGCCCAAGCCGAAGGGTCGACTTGGGTGTCACAGCACGCCAAGGTGAGAAGATTGCAGTTGAGTCAACCTGCCAAGGGTCTTCGTGGGTCACAACCCGCATAAGTAGTTCCAGATCTCGCACCGAAGTTGCCAAGGGGCCAGCACACGCTTTAATTCCCGCTAAGCCGTCCCGCCCAGATCCAGTCTGACCACCATTAGGAATGCGATCGGCAGAGGGCCTCAGAGCGAAAGTGCCATTGCAAATAGCCGGAATTCGGATTGAGCCAGCGATATCAGTGCCAATCCCCAATACGGAGCCACGCATCGCAATCAAAGCACCTTCACCCCCAGACGATCCGCCAGCTGTGAGGCTTGACCGATGGGGGTTGAGGGTTCGACCAAAAATGTAGTTGTGAGAGTCGGCCGCCTGTCACGTACATATCGAATCAGAAATATGTAAAAGCTAGTACACGGGTGTCGATTGACTTAAGCCTACCATCATGGTTTGCGGAATATTCGTTTTCACGTATGGAATAGCTCCGAGCTTTTTCAGAATTTGGACGACACTCGAGTTATACTTCATGGGCCCATTTTCGATAAAAGATGTGAATCCGATGGTAGAAGGGACACCTTCGATGTTGAAACAGTCCTAGAAAACGGAAGGTCAATTGAATACCCAGGCGATACAGCTGGAGATAATTGTCCTGGTACTTTGAAACTGATTGGTAGACCATGAAGCGGCCCAATTGGTTTACCAGTGCTCTTCAAGTGCTCATCCAGCTCTTTGGCGTGCTCCAGAGCTTTATCGAAGAGAGTCTCTGTGAGGCAGTTTGTCTAGACAATATGATCAGACACTTCACGTGGCAAATATTGTAGGGACGTAGTATTTACCACCTGCTGCGCAATGGCTGCACGTATACAGAAGGCCTCGGTAACTTCATAAGCGGAGAGCTTCTGGTTGTGGATCATCTCCAAAAGATCCGTGGCATCATAGTTTTCGGTGATCTCTATCTGCTGAGGGGACAGTATGCCACAGCGACGTGGTACATCGAGCACGTTAGTGTTGGCTGTCTCTGAGATGTTGGTGTACTCAGCAGAGAGACGCCAGGCAGCCGGAATCCTAGCAGCGACATCAGCTTGCTTTTTCTGAACCAAATCCTGCCATATTTCAAGTGTCATATTTATAGAGAAGATTGAGAACAATTGAATAAATGATCTGGATGCGTGATGAGGGCCCGAGGGGATAAGAGAGGGGTATTTATGCAGAAAGGGGGTTTCAAGGTCGCAGTGATTGTTGATTGCGAGAATTAGTCAGAATCAGATAATCAACTAGTATACTTGAAAAAGGAAGTCCAACCTCAGTCATTTGATTTGATCTACATTGTAAAATGCACTGTATCCTGTCGTGTAACTTGTTGTGCCCACTAGTATACTTTGATTTCATGCATTTAATCCAATCACAGACAATAGCGCGCCTTCTCTAGCCCCACTCGCCATTTTCTATGAGGTTCGACTGGTTCGACTGTTTCCCTTTCTCCACCTCCAAGCTTTCAAATACAGGTCACACCCAATCTTTTCCCGATGCCCCCCCCCCCCCCCTCTAGTTCATGATATCTGAAATTTGTCGAAAAGAGGAGAAGCTTTCACATGTAGGCTAGCAGAACACGCAAAGCCGAATCGGGAAGTTCTATGAGCTGTCACACTAAAATCCGCAGGGAGGCCTTCGTATTCCAAATTAAAACGGGAGATGGATGCTCCTGAAGGTGGCTGTGGAGCTTTCAAATCTGGACATTGGGGAAAATGATTTAGATCCACTGAGAGTCAAGCATGATAAGATAACATTGGGGGGAGCAAGAAGAGTGGAGGGTTAAGTGTACGTAGCAAGGTTGAATTGATACATCCATGGATATCCTATCTCAAAGATACTATCAGACACTAGTACAAGGAGTACGTTTACAGTTCTCAAAACAGAAGTGAATGACCACCCGTGGGCCCCGACAAAAAAATTCCATCCAGATGACCAAGGTGCGGTACATCCATTTAGCCGGATGGGAATCCAGCTACCATGTTGGCGTATTTAGAGCCATTGTAGCTGAGTTGGTTCGGGCTCTGATCTAAACTGCTGAAACCCCCGAACTCCGTAACAACCTGCTAAAAAGTGAGTCTTTTGAGAGTTACAGTCATCAATGAGAAAGTAGAAACCAACCGTAGTAATCAAGCTGTCAGTGCCGTTTTTGTCAGCACTACTCTCCCACCACATGCCGCCGCCCAGTCCCTTGGATTGGATATATTGGGCCTTCAGTTGAGCGATCGCAGGGGTATCGTAGCTAATAAGGATACTAGCAGAGGAGTCGTAGCTGTAACTCGCAATGGGCTGGTCGAGTTCAAATACTGTCGCACCGGCTTGAGGCAAGGCCTTATAATCCCACACACCATCTTCCCAGCTGCCGCTACCTACACCGCTGAAGCTCTGACCAAGTCCAGCTGTATTGGTGAACGAGCGCCCATAAAGTGGCATTCCCATAACAATCTTGTCTGCAGCTACACCGTTCGAGGTGTAGTAATTTATGGCCTGGTCCGTGTTAAATGGCGTGCTTGCTGGGTTGTCAGTGGAAGCATAGACGTTTGCATCATCACCAGAGATCGTATCCCAGCTACCAGCGTAATCATATGCCATGAGATTCCAAAAGTCAAGATATTGGTCCATCTCGGCCAGAAGAAGTTGGTCATAATTGGTCGGGCCTATGGTTGTCAGCTCACCCCTCCTGGTAACTATCGAATGGGTTATTCTCACCAGCTGGGGATGCAACAGTCAATAACATATGATAGCCGCTAGCCCAAGTCTCACTATATGTGTCCAGAGCCTGAAGAATATTAGCATCCTATTTAGTCAATATCGAACAGAAGCATTCATACAGAGCGCACGACTTGAAGCAAAGACACCATATTTGCAGCTTCGGTTGCATTGGAAGGGTACTGTTAGAGTGGATATTAACACGACAAAGTATTTGAAACACACAACACTTAGATAGATGTACCTCCCAATCAATATCCAGCCCATCGAAACCGAGATCCTGCACAAGCTGTACGGCGGATGAGGCAAAGAGTGCCCTTCCAGCATCGGTAGCAAGTGGCCCCGCAAAATTGGAAGAATATGTCCAGCCGCCAATTGACAAAAGAACCTTCAGTTGTCTGTTCGCTTTCTTGAGCAGGTAGAGCTGTTTCACACACCCGTAAACATTAGTGCCGACATCGTTCCAGGAGTCGGTGGCGTAGTGTTTTTCAATATCCGCATAAGTATCTGACAGATAAACCTCTCCAGTATCGGCATGTACATTGGCAAAGGCATAGAGAACATGGGTCAGCTTGTCGGCTGGAAGACTCTGAGGCTGGAAGTCACGGCCATAGATAGCCTGTTTTTATAAGTTAGTGGACCAGGTTGAATGCGGACTGTTTAAACAAATATAACAAGATCAAGACGCACCCAGTTCACGTAGTAGGCCACCGAACGATATCCAGTAACAGGGTTATTCCTGGTTTCCAGATTGTTTCCCAGTGAAGGGATGGCTACAGCATTAGAAAGCCATGGCAGGCCCAGCATAAAAAGAGGGACAAACTTCATTGCGAAAGTGGCGTCAGCGTTTAGCCAACCTTGAGAAGTAGTGGTTGTTGTTTTTCCAGCGACAGATGATGGAAATAACCAAAGGGGGTTTGCTTCACTATTTATAGTTTGAACAAACGATTGGGAATCGTTTGCCCCATCTGAATCGTTATCAAGTTTGTCCTCGAAAGACTGGAATGGTCAGGGAAGTTTGGAAGCTCCCCCTAATACCTACTGATCCGTGATACTCCGTACGCCCGGGCGAGAAAATGCAGGGTGACTGTATCAACGAAGGGTCCTTTTCAATTTCCGAGGCACATATTGCGCGCTAGTGGGGTGTGATCAATCGACGGTAGCTGCCGGCCCTCACGATCTCTGAAAATTATGGCGCACATGGTTGGGGGGGAATAGAAGGTTCTTTCATCACGGGAATGTCCGCGGAGAGCTAAGATGCGCCACATTCTTTTTCTGGGCACAGAGATATGTGACTCCTTCCCATCCATTGGAGCAACTGAAGCTCGGAGTGTGCCATCACAATCATGGTCGATGGAATGTGTAGCAGTGCATAGAAAACGTGTTCCGTTGGCAGGCATGCGAGACTTTGTGTCGATTCGAGGCAAACCAGTGGTGGAATTTGTGTCCGTCCATTCGGTCCTTCAAAAACGCAGGAATGCCGGAGATGAGTGACATTGTCATCTGCAATTCTATCTCCGTCTCCTAATTAAAACCCAATTTTCGGAGATATCATTTTCTTTTTTGTGATCGAAAAGCCTCGAGGGAGGTGCTTTTGTGTTGCATCAACCAGATTCAACCTCAACAGATTAGACTTGATCTGCAATGGCACCCAGACTGGACGGATGTAACTTGGACGACGGTGGTACTGAGGAAGATAGAAGCTTTAAGATTAAGAAATTGGCAACGGGAAGGGCATCAGCCGCCTGAGGATGAAGTGGGTGAAGCAGACGAATTGAACATGAAAGGGTCCTTAGCGCGGCGGCAACTGCACGAACCATCACATATCACCCAATCAAATAAACCCGCGATGTAACACATCAATATATGTCCATGCGACCGGGCCATGTGCCATGCCACCCAAGACGGACGAGAGGCCAGATCTTGCAGGGTGACCATAGCTCGCATGATCCAGGCTCACATATGAGGCAGACGATAAGGCAAAAAAAAAAAAAAAAATCAACGGCGGGATCTAAACCCATTCGTGGGGATATGCTCAAGAGGAAGCTGGCAGGGACCAATACGTCACGGTATCACAAACCTTTTTTTTTTTTTTTTTTTCATCTCTGCTGCCGCTCAGTTTGCTTCGAGTGCTCTCATCTTACCTTATACCTGCCGATTATTTCCCAATGTGTCAGTGCGCGTGGGAAATCCATGTCATTTTCCCCCTTGATCGGGAAATTGGTCGTGGAGAGGCCATACCCCAAATGGAAAAATCAAAAGACAAAAACGCAGGTGGGTTCATAGGGGGGGCATTGATATGATTGAAAATGCCTGGAACACATGGAATACCCGTGTAGTCCGTCATCGAATGGCTTTTTCTTTTCTTTGATGTTTATATGACTGGTTCCTCTGATCTCTCCTTATACAACGCAGAGTCCAGAGTCCAGAGTCCAGACCCAAGGCTTGTACGCCAAACAATCTCAGTATTATCACGTGCTCTAGGCTTGTGGTTTAGCATGGGAGTGGTCCGGGGTTCGATTCCTCGCGAGTCCATTGTTTTTCTTTTTCGTTTCTTCTTCACTTCCTCCAACTTCTTATACCATCTCAGCTTTGAATGAATAGACATCAAGTAGTACATAGTAAATAAATACAAGTATCAACAAGCAACTAGGTCTATTAGTGATGAGAGGTTCCTATTACATGCATTTCTGGTGCAAATATGAGCAAGCTTCCAAGCTTCACGTCGGGGATCAATTTCTTAAATCTATTTCAGCCAACTCATTCCACTGGCGTTCGAGCTGTTCCTTAATCCACGCTGTTCGCCACCCTAAGACCTTTTCCACCTGATTGAGAAAGTCCAATGATCCCCGTTGCTCGGCTGGATGGCGGAGACAGTAACCAACTGCAGTTTTTGGAAATCCGCAAGAATCAGCATGTGTAAACAATAGGAATCGGGATGAAGAATAAGAGAACTGACAGCAATGAAGCAGATGACAGGCCATAAAAAACCCATTTTCCACACTCTCATTTGATAATGAAAGCCCAACAACGGTTAGGATATGAGTAGCAATTGTTCGCTAAAATGTTTCCCGTTAGCCACAAGGCCTCGGAAGTGGGAGCAAGCCACATGTGCATACCTCTGCCATACGCCGGCCACAAGCTAGCTCATAGTCACTGATAGGTTGTAACGAAGGATCTGAAAGAGTCATGAAGATTCTTGCGGTATGATAGTACTGCATCCCGACCACTAGGCAACAATCAGTAAGTGTCTTTCATTAGTGTCATGCATTTGGGATAAAGAACACAGACTAGCAGGGCCTGACATCATCCATATTTCAGGAAACGGTCGGTTGGCAGTCGCATCTGGAGGTTGATATCGGAGTGGCTGCCAGGTCAGGGGCTTTGAACGATACCACTCATCAACAGAATCCGAAATACGATACCAAGTTGCTTCATCGACTGGAAGCCTAGGTTTGTCCCGACACAGTTGAATGATATGAGCGCAATGGAAGATAATCATGCTCGCAATGGCCGTATCATCCTTGCGTTGAAACATGGTTGAACACTCATAATTATGCAAGTTCAGCTGTAGAGGCTGGTATTGTACGACAGATGAATAGATGGCCTGTCGCAAAAATTGCCAACTTACAGCTTCCGCCAGTCCCCCAGACGATGCTGAGCGGGACATTAGATTGATCAAGCGATTTGACCCGAGGAGATGAAATTTCTCATCGGTAGTGTTTTCTAACTCTTCACAAATTCGGAGAATCACTACCGTAATTAAGAGACTCTCATCGTATGTGTGCTCGGGCTTATCAAGTGCGGGAATCAGCAACTCTAGGCACTCTCCGAGATAGGAGGAGGCCTCCAGGTCACTTTTTGCCGTCATAATGGCATCATGTCGAGCAGCCAGAGCCAGTACGGCTTTCAGAACCATTGGGACCTGGAGGGCTCGCTGAGGCACTAGCGTGCTGAAGTGAGATTGGGGGTCACAGATGTCCGCCTAGTTTGAACTGATTAGATCACGTTTTCCAGAACTTGGAAATTTCAAAGCCTCACCCAAGGGGCAATCTTTTGAATGAAGCAACGCATCAGAGAAGCCTCTCGAAGGGACAAAGTAGATCCTTGATATTGCAGTGTTGAATTCGGTCTGCTATTGGTGGACTGTTGTGGCAGCGTACTAGCTTCCTGTGATTGAGGATGCATGGCTCGCTCGTCTTCCAACATCATTTCATTTTCTATTACCTGCAGTTCTTGTTGCGATGGCCAAGAAGGGATCAAAATTGCTTCTCTGGCCCTTGCAATATTTGTTTCATCATTTGATTCATCAGTCTCCAGGGTGAAGGTCACTGTTGCGAATTAGGTTCTGCAGGCAATTCCAATTTATACATAGTGAGAGCAACTCCTACCGGGATTTGAGACCTCCACCCATACCTGCTCATCATCCCAAATCAAATCAAAACGAGCAGCTGAGCCCCGGATCTTTTGAAAAACATGATCAACAGCTTTGAATTGAAAACGGGGGTCTAGTTGGCAGTCGCGACCGAGACGAGTACAGGGAGCACAAGCTGAGGCTCCCGAGGGTATCACGCAGCGAATGTGGCGATGACGACACCGTGCACAGCCTTTCCCCACTCTCATGAAGGTGACATGAAGAGGAATATCCAAAGAAGATTTAAAGGTGGTTGCTCTGAATCTACTACTACTAGTAGGAGGCTACTAGGGATGATTCCAATTCCCAATATTCAAAGATGATTTCCCCCGCATGCTGACTCATCCCCACATTACTCCACGGTTCAAAGCCCTCCCTTTCTCCAATTATCCATAATCCATTCAACAATTCAAAACCCACACCGGACTTTTGTTTTTGTTTTGTTTTTTATGTCAAAACATTTAGCATTGACGAGGAGAGTTGTCGATCTATGACATTATAATCATTCTACCTGATTTGATGGAGGCAATGACCTTGGCAGCTTGTAAGCGGTCGATCCAATTCTGCTGCCTACGATGCAAAAAATAGAACTGCTAGTACAACCTAGTGGAGCTAATGTGCGAGATAAGTGCATAACCAAACGATCGATCATCATGTTGCCACAAATAGCACGCACGCTAGCTGTGCTGGACTGGTTGAATCAAGATTGACCCATGACAGCCGAGAAGCCAAGGCTCAACCAAGTAACCAAGTCCGATTTTGAGTGGGTCTTCAACATGGCGCTGGACTGTCTGGTTGGATCATGCGTTTGCTTTTTCAATGAAATCAACTCCACCAGTCACTTCGGCGCCGGCCATCCGTGTACACGGTGGGCCAACGCGGAGATTTTTAGTGCCAAACGCAAGAAATTAATTAAAATCATGGGGAAAAAAAAGTCAGCTGCACCGAGATGACTTTGCTGTTCAACTTATACCTCTGTGATGGAACTTGTTCCCCCGAATTGAATCAAATCAAATCAAATCAAAGTTGCGAAAACAACACAGACAAGCGGGTATAGAGTACCGCATCAATGCTTTTTCCATCCCTCCTGCTGCTTGCCAGCTCGTGGCAAATGGTCATTGCAGATTCAGATTCTTGTACAGTCGCACAAGCCTCCTCAAAGCCCTTCAAATATCATGGTTGCTGACCACATACTATACATCTCACAGGTTCAAGTAGTGCGACCATCTCTAGCCAAAGTGATGCTGATACATACGCCAGCTGTGACCAAATCGACGGCAGCGTCACTATTTCCTCTTCAGTCAGCGGCTCGATCATCATTTACAATGTCACCCAAATCAAAGGGTCATTCACAGCAGAGAGCGCTTCGGGACTTACGACTCTGTCTGTACCGGATCTCGAGAAATTGCAAGGAGCTTTGACGATAGACGAAAATGCTTCCCTCAACAATCTCTCGATGAATGCTTTAACCGAAGTGTCTTCTGGAATCACCATCTCGGGAAACACAAAGCTCAAACAACTCGAATTTGAGAATTTAGAGCAAGTCGATGGGACGCTCAAATTGACGGGATCATTTAACTCGTGAGTATCATGATGCTAAATTCTATCATTCAGACCCAAATGGGAGACTGACAAATTCAATTGAAGCGTCTCTTTGCCATCGATCGACCAGGTGAAAGGGCAAACGACCATTCGAGGTGGCAATTCCATGTCCTGCACCGTATTAAATAACTTGGAAAATGTATTTCAGGGTGGGTACTCATGCTCTGCTAGCGGTGAGTCTTCTCTCAGCACTGGAGCCAAGGCAGGCATCGCCGTGGCTGTCATTATTGTGGTCCTGCTTCTTCTCCTTGTTATGTGGTGGATCATTAGGCAACGTCGAGCCCGTCGACAGCGCCGCCGGGGCTCCAAAACGCCTGCCACATTACCTCCACCTATATTGAAAGAAGAGAAGCAAATCCAACCACAGTATCAATCTGTCCCAACGAGTGATGTATCACCGACTGTTCCCCGCAAGCCAGTCGGACCGCCACCAGCGATGTTAGATGGCCGTTCGATATACGAAGCAGCGTATCCCGCCAGCCCGATTCCTGTTTACCATGAGCTGGATGCCGGGCCTGTCTTCAGCACACACCAGCGACCGATTAATTCTGAGGATTAAGGGAAATGCTTAAATACCCTACAAAAACTTCTTATGAAATCATGTGCTTTGATATCTGGCCGTCAATTTCATGATTGCACGCTTTGTTGGCATTATTCTGCTTTCTCTTTTGCCATGCACACATATACATACCCAGTTCTATTTGAAATACGACCATAGTTGCTGTCTACCTGCGTGGAGGATGTAAGTTCGGGGGCTGCCTGGTCAAATGCTAGGAGATCATTATTTGGATCCTTGGGACTTTAGAAGCACTAGGCGGTATTTTTTTAGCCCAGGACTACATATGCGAGCGTCTGTTACATAGCCAAGGTTTATTTAGTCGCTCGAAGATGCCAATAATTCGGTTAACTGGTGGCTTAACATTGAATGAAAACCAACGGGGAGGCGCATCAATTGTGGTTGAATTTTACAATCTTGGACGCATAAAACAGGTTTTGTGTGCACATGTTGACAGTGCTGAAATGAGCAGCGTCATGAGCTGAAGATGTTGACTACATACGGTCTACTGCCTTGTCTGGTTTTGAATCTTAATGAAGAACTTTGATAACAAAGGTCTACGAGTGTGTAATCATTCAAAAAAAAACCGATTTCAAAATAGTCCATATCAATGTAGATAACACTGATGAGACCTGCTACGTATGACGTAGAAACGTGATGTAAATGGGCTCAATTCTCCTAGCCTATAAGTACAGGGTTCCTTTCCTGAGGAAGTGTACCCTCTAGGTCACATGGGGGTCATGTGACCTAGGGGTTCCTTCCTCAGACGTCTACCCTCTATCTAGCAGCTATCGATGTCCTAACAAACACTGCGACAAAGACCTCGGTAGTCATGCCAAGGTCCATAAACCCCAACCTTGCAGTCACTGAATTGACATGATCTTTCTACGCGAGTTATGTGACCCATCACTGACCCATAAAGACATTCAACAAAGCCGGGTAGTTGGGGGAGCCGAGACCCGTCACCGGGTCCCAGCCCTCAGCAGCGTAAAAGCCAGGGGTACCACAGCCAGAGTTATTACCGGAGGTGATGTCGAAAAATGCACCTGGGTTTGCATAGAGAGTGGGGTTCACAAAACCGACCGTGGATTTGCCGGCGGCCAATCTCTCTTCGTTGATTCGGGTGAGAATCGAGGCAAAGACAGGCGCCGAGGCACTTGTGCCACCAATCGAGGTAGGCACGCCTTTGTTGTATATGATCACATGATCACCCACGGCAGAGACATCGGGGTACCCACGACCAATTCGATTGTAGATACCGCCGTTTGCACCGAAGCTGTTATTGTTGACACTCTCGTAGTATGGATATGTAGGCTTGGCTTTGGAGAAATAGTCTGCCACGGCCTGAGACTGCCAGCTAGGTCGCTCGTAAATGTTGCTGAAGCCACCACCCGAGGGGAAGCGGGAGACTGCCACCTCTCCGTGGTCTTGAATCTTGGCGCCGGAAGGAAGGTAGGTCGCACCGACAGCTGTCATGTAGGGACAAGACGCTGGGAAATCGGGAGCAAACACCTTGCCTGTATCTTCAAGACAGTTGCTCGGTGTGGGGTCACCATTGCGCCCTGCTACTCCAGAGTCACCAGATGCGACAACCACGGAGACACCTCGCATGCCGAGCTTCATAAACTCGTTACACTGGCGGCGTTGATAAGGGATGGGGAGATCAGATTCTGCCATTCCATAAGAGATTGAAACGACGTTTGGGGGGTCATAAACTCCGCACTGCAGGGATCCCTTGTAGCCACCTTCTTGGGGATCGGGATAAGAAGGGTCCAATGGGGATATATCATCGCAGTACGAGCCATCGATGGCATCCAGGAAAGTGTTAAGGAAGCCCTTGAATATGTAATTTCCCTCATAGACCATATCGTCTGTCTGGAAAAGAATTGAGTTTTGAGGCCAGATGATTGGGTAGGAGATTTGGAAGTCGAGATCGGATTCAGCGCCTGCATTCTCCAGTGAAGTTGGTGCTTCGGCCCCGTCAACAGCCTTCAAGTTTGGGTGAGTCCCACTTGGAATCTCGCTGCAATTATTCAATTGGTATCTATGCTTCAAAGAATGAAAGAAAAGAAGACTCCGGTAGACACATACCTGGCAAGTGTGGCGAAAAACAGGTTCAAATCTTCCTGCGCGTAGACATCACCAACGCCTTCAAAAATTCCTAGCTCATTTCCCTTTGTAGCTGTCGTTCCGGTAGTGACATTGTACATTTCTGCCGTTGTCAGTGTATGCGAGAAAAAATAATCAAAAATCGTGGCTTGGCCTTACCCTTAATGCATTGAGGTGTGATGGCAACATCACAGAATTGCAAAACATCGTTCAGAATCTCCTCAATGGGCATAAGAATAGGTTCGAGAATAGGGAGCAGACCATTGGAACGCTTTCGGATATTTTTGCCAGATTTTCCAACAGTCGTCACCTCTCGCAGGGTTATACCGGGGGTGATGTAGTCGATATCCTCACGCACCGAGTGAGGGACATGATATCTAATTTAATTGTTAGTTTCCAGTTGACCACTCCGTTAAAAAAACAACATTGAACTGCTTCATGAGTCAGTCATGACTTACTCATGACACGCCACGTGCGACCGGCCCGTCTCAGTATGAGAATAGATGTAGTATTCAGTGTGAAGTAGCTTTTCCAGCTCATCGGCATCGGCATCAAACTGAATCCATTGTTTGTTCACGGATTGCGAAATTCGGTTCTTGTTAATACCGAATGACTCCAACCACGAACGAACGTTATTCACGCTCTCGCCGCTGGGTGCAAATAAATCACGCACGTCGGATTCCGTCATGTGCTTTCCATAACGACTTGAAGACGGGTTAGACCTGGTAAGGGATAAGAATGTCAGTTTTTTATCACTATAATTTCCATGCAAGATACGTACATCTCCATTAAAAGCTCATGACCATATTCGAGGTTTGACTGGGTTAGTCCAATTCGAACGGGGAGAGTGGCTGATGCATCTAAGCGTTTCCCCTCATTCCAGGAAGTTGGAACGAAGTCACGTCGTTCATGCACAGCATGGCCATAAGGCGCAGGGACAGCCAGGGCACCGAGTACAGCGGCTCCCAGGAAGAGAATTGATGATTTCATGGTGTATCTGGGGTTGAGTAGGGGGAACAGAGGGAACAGAGGGAACAGAGGGAACAGAGGGAACAGAGGGAACAGAGGGAACAGAGGGAACAGAGGGAACAGAGGGAACAGAGGGAACAGAGGGAACAGAGATCTCACTCTATACTACTACTAGTACTGAACAATAGGAGCACGGGGGGACTGAATACCCTCGACTTTATACGGTACTGCAAAGCCCCACTATTCCGAGCTGGAGGAGCTTCCCAGATAAAATCCAATAGTAGAGCTTCATGGGCCCTCCATCCCCCCTCTCAACAAGGCCCGTGATGGAACCGGGATCGCCGTGGGGTGTGGGCCTGAAATGGGGGTTTTACTCCGAGGGCAGCTAAGCCGGTGGGTTTAGATGGGAACGAGGGAAGATTGAAGGTAGATCGAGGATCGCTTGGACCTCTGAAGAGGAGAAGCGGGATAAGCAGCAAATGGGCGCATTTTCGCCTATCACGATGGATTTTAATACTTGCAAGGTTTTCAATGTTGATACTTTCGGAAAGAGCCTGGTGAATTGCACCTTCCTCATTTCGTCTGTGATAACATATCACTTGAAATATCACTTGAAATATCACTTGAAATATCACTCCGATGACCAACTTGTGAGGAAGTTTTCCAAACTTCTTAATTTGCTGTTCCTTTTCCTAGTACCTTGGGTAACTCTCAGATGTTAAAATAACGAGCTTCAAACGTTATTGGCACTCCGTACTCCGGGAATCATCTCGCAATGCTACCTGCCTAGATTTTGCGTGATCTTCGGCGGGGGCCTGATAGCATCAATTTGAATGGGGGTAGGAATGGCATCAACATTGACTGTGATTCCTACGAGTCTTTTTTTTTTCTTTTTCTGACACCTACTGCATTGAAATGTTGGCTTAAAAGATGAGCCCCAGTGAGCCTCGGGAGGCACCTGGGCACCTGAGCACCAATTCACCATGTGAATGCAACCGAGAAGACATGAACCAACATGTCACAAATGAACTGTTATTGTACTGGATTAAGCCTCGGGATGATTCTTGCCCAGAAAGCCAAATCCATAGGCCAAAAGACGCCAAGATTCCGACTTTCTTAACTCCACTTTATGAGCCAAGTGGAGAAACTGCTTTGTACTATGCTTGATTAGGCATGCGACTAGGAGTTCAATGGATTTCCCCCTGTAATCTTCCAAGGTTAGGGTTCAAGAGCCGTTCAATCTAACCAATGGCCATCTTTCAATGACGATCCTATTAAGCCCCTGAGCCTTGAACCCTTTCCCCCGCGCCTACGGAGTACGGAGTACGGAGCACGTCAGGAACAACCAGAGACACACGGCAGAATGACCAATTCCAAGAAATGGACTAATATTTGAACTTTGTCCTGGATCTTTTTTTTTTTTTTTTTGGCTGATTTCTAGCTAAATACAGAGAACCTGGGAACACACTTTGTTCTTCCTGAAGTCATCTGAGAATGTTGATACCTTACAGATAGGTGTGTTGGTTTACAAGATCAAGCCCACATGCATGTGGGGCCGGGTAGCAGCCCTGGAGGCTCTTGGTAGGTAATGTCATATAATATCTCATATTAATCAATTGACGCAGTTTGTAGAGTATATTTTAATGGTCGCTCATAGGAGCACTTTGTAGGATTAGAATAGGCAATTTCAATTGCCGCTCATAGCGCTCCAGGCATCTCGTAGAGTTAGGTACAAGACGCAGTCCAAGGGACTTGGCATGTTGAGTCCCGGGGGATACAAATGAGCGCGTGGAATTGCGCGATGTTGATTATCATTGTGAGGAAAGCAACGCCCGCTTTTCCGGGGTTGTAGTAAATACCTTCCGTAACAAGTATTAAACTCTTGTCATGAGGAGATATGGGGTAAGTTGATTGGCCCGGTCGCTGTAGTCATGCATTAGTCGCACATCCATGCAGGGCAGGGAGCTCGAATCTCAACTGTCCAGGATGAGGGTGCGCTGTCCTCGTGGAAGAGTCGGGTTTGAAAAAGGCGGCCATGGGACTTTGAAGTAAGTCATAGGCTTGGGAGTAATCATTGGAATTTTTCGTTAAATTCCACACCTCCGGAAGCTCGCATGCTCCGACTATCAAGTGGGCTTGTGGTTGGGGCTAGTGGGTTCATAAATCCCACATGCTATATGTATATTTGGTGGCATTTAGGCACCAGCCTCGGGGCAAATTATTTTAAGATCCACACCACTTCCAGAGCATGTCCACCAATTGCTGCCGATGGAGCGGCTTCGCAAGGTAATCGTTCATGCCCTTGGCAAGATACATCTCAGCATCTCCCTTAAGAGCATTTCCGGTGAGTGCAATGATTGGGACATCGATCATCATCTGCCGAATCTGCCCCGTAGCCGCCAAACCGTCCATGACCGGCATATTGATGTCCATCAGGATGATATTGTAGGCAAGGGGCTTTTGCTTCACCATACGTACGGCTTCAGCGCCATCCCAGGCTGCATCCACACGTTCAAAGCCCAGCGTGCCCAGCAGCTTGAGCATGATTGTTTGATTGACTTTATTATCTTCCACGAGCAGAATTTGCCTTTGTGGCGCGATAGCTTTGAGTTGCTCTGTCGGATCGAATTTGAACGGTTTCAATGTAGTCGACAAACCTCTGATCTGAGTAACGGGCGAATTGATGCAGGCCATCTTTGTGGATATCCAAAACACACTACCAGGACCGTCTGGGTTCGGATGAAATCCGATTGCACCATTCATCAGTTCAGCGAGGCTTTTGGAGATGGAAAGCCCCAACCCAGTGCCTTGGTATCGCTTGACAGCCGAATCTGCAAATCGTGTGAACGGTGTGAAAAGGGTGTTGGTCGCATCCTCTGGAATTCCTATCCCCGAGTCTACTACCTCAACAGAGATCGTGTAAAACCGAGGATCAACTGGATCCTTTGCATGCGAGGCTTTGATACGGACATAGCCCTGTTCGGTGAATTTCACGGCGTTACCAACAAGATTCTGAAGAACCTGACGAAAGCGTAGCGGGTCGCCCTGAATACTCTGCGGAAAGTTTGGGGCGATCGAGATGTCTAAGGTGACGCCGGCCTTGACCGACGGCTGGCAGTTTCGGGCGACCGTATTGATCACGCTGGGGACATTGAGAGTGTCGGCGATGAGAGAGAAGGACCCGGAAGATAACTTCGAGTAGTCTAGAACATCGTTGATGACTTGCAGAAGCAAGCCAGTTGAGTCCTCCAAAATGGACGCAAACTCTAGCTGGTCTTCCGCCAGGGGAGTCCTCATGAGCATTGTCAAAGCCAAGAACATACCATTCATCGGGGTGCGTAGCTCATGGGACATATTTGCCAAAAAATCAGTTTTCATTTTCGACGACTCTTCAAAGGCGTCAATGACGCGGGCTTCCGCGGCTTTACGCTCGGTCAGATCCCGAGTCACTTTCACGAAGCCGACATGTCGGCCAAACTGGTATATGGGGGTGATCATGACATTGGCCCAGAAACGTTCACCATCTTTCTTATAACGCCAGCCTTCATCCTCCACCTTACCATCACGTAGACATACCTCCAACTCTCGGGCTGGTTTATTGGCCTTGCAGTCGTCTGGTCCGTAGAAGATGGAAAAGTGCTTGCCGATAATTTCCTGGGCGGAATATTGTTTAAGAATGGATGCTCCAGAATTCCAGGTGGCGATATGACCACGGGTATCCAACATGAAAATTGCATAATCCTTAACAGTGTCAATCAAGATTTTGTAGGTCTCATTGAGGTAAGTCTGTTCACTAATCTTGGATGCGCGCTGCTGCCGCTTCTCTTTGTGGGATTCAAGGAGAACGTTGATCAACACGTCACCGTTGAAGATGGGTGTTACTCTCAAAGAGTAAAAAACCTCTGAATCTGGAATGTGGACATGATCGATGACTTTGGCTTCTTTTGTAGCGATCGCCGCATTCAAGGCACCACTCAGCGAAGCAATATCAGTGGCCGGGACAATACCCGGGGCCAGTTCGTAGATGCTCGTTCCCTGTAATTGGTCCCGGGTGTGCTTGAAGGTGGTCTGATGGCTTTCGGAGGTGCTCACGACCCGAAGAGAACCGTCTAAAATCAAGGTGGGAGTCGGGGTGTATCGAAAAATTTGCGCCCAGCGATCATCGGTATCGGTCCCCACGGATTGTTTCTGATTGTAGGGTTGTGAGTCTTTGTCGTGCAAAATATTTAGGTCGCGCTCGGCAGGCGGGGTCATGATCATCGCGTAGTTAACGGGCCGGCGATCATCAAGGTTCAGGTGGAGCATCTGTTGGTCTAATACCATCGTGCCTTAACTGTATCCTGCCACCGGGGCAGGAACCGCAAGGGAGGAGATTAACGACCTCAACGAGGCGAGGGACTCATTCACGTTTTGGAGTTTCAAGTACGGAGTAAGGTGATGTGGAGAAAGACGAAGTGGGATGTCAACTCTGGGTTTTTTTTTTTTTGTTTTCAGGCGAGATGGAAGAGAAGAGGGAAAGGACACCCAGGTCGCAGGGAGTCTGTATTTTCAAGGGTCACATCCAAAAGTTCAGGCTGACAGAAAAATGCACAGAGGAAGGAAAAGCGAGAGCGGCGAACTCTGCACGGTCGGGGTTTGCAAAAACCTGAAAGAATCGGAGTCGTCGAAACAAGCGGCGAAGCCAGCCGATGAAGATGGATTGTTCTACTGGCCGGCAAATTTCGCCGGCGGGGACGCAGAGCCGCTAATCCGGTTTCAGGTACAAACGCGATTTAGTATAAAATATCCACGTACGTAGGTGAATGGTCTAGGTCGCACAAGGGTGGCGAATTTGACAAGAAAACATGATTCAAGACGAATCAGATCCAAAATTCTCTCCAGGGTCTTCCATGGGTCATGGGATTCTCACGAGAGATGTTGATGTTCCCGACTGGGGGGTAGTAATTAGTACTGTCGAGTATAAGTACTGTACTTGAGTACTTAAATGTGTAGAGAATTTCAAGCCACCGAACATCGATGACGTTAAATTCTCCACATTAGTCGCAGGGCTGGGACAGATAAGAGATTTTCGAACTAGAAGCAGTCAGCTAAAAAAAAAAAAAAAAACAACCAAAAAAATAAAAATAAAAGGATAGGACATAAAATAATTTAGAAGAAAAAAAAGGTGAGACAGAAGGGAGCATGAGAGGGAAATGGAGGAAAATAGGAAAATAGGACAATAGGACAATAGGACAATTGAGGATCAGAACACATGAGATTGGACACTACAGGGGATTGAAGTCAAACCAGTTGACTGGACTCGAACCCTGCGAACGGCCAGCTGGCTCCACTCTCACTTTCTCTAATCAAAACAAATCGATCAATCAATTGCAATCAAACATCGGGATCAGCACGTCGTCGGCTTCTTAACAAATTCATTTAAACCACAAAAATCATAGAATCACATTCTCACATTCCACCTTCTCCACCATCTTCACCACTGCATTGGCGATTCCATAGGAGAAGGCGTATCCGCCACCACCAAATCCATAAGCTGATATGATAGTCCGATTGCCTTTTTGCTCCGAGTCCAAACGAAACCCGCCTTTCCGGGAGGGTCGAATTCCAATAATATGGGTGATATCCTCGTCTGCAGGGTGTTCAGGCACGACGTCGGGGGCGAGTCGATGGGTCCGTGCGATTTCATCTCGCGCGATATCTAGATCAACATCCGGGCATCTGAAATGGTAAGAAAAAAGTATTTTGAGAGGAGTCAAAAGCCACGGATGAAGCAGCAAGACAGCACTTGAGAGAGAAAGGGATAAAGAGAGGGAGACAGAACAACTCACAGATTATCTTGTTGTTTTACACCGCCCAGAACCACACCATGTGATAAAGGTCGTGGAATGATATAAGTGTATTCCTTACCATTGCGAAAGTACATGGTATCACATTTTTTTGTCCGGAGAAAGACTGTCTGCCCTCGCTCGGGAAAGCAACGATCATCCAGTACGTCCGTGAGGGTCCTACTACCGATCCCGCTGGCATTGATGAATATCTTGGATTCTGGGAAAATCCCAAACAACTCTTGCAGGGACTGGATTCGCTGCCGGATGAATTTTCCACCCAAACTCGTGATTTGTTTCCCGAGATAAGGCATATGGATTGAGGGATCCGTGACCAAAGTCTCATAGGACCACGCACAATAGAAGTTGTTGGGAAACTCATCGCGATTCATCTCCCGAAACTGCTCAAGCTGATCAGTTAGCGGATGAGCCCAGTATATATACCATCAACAAGTGGGGTGGGTTCAAGTGCCTTTGCAACAACAGTTTTACCCCAGATGGCGGAATCAGGAGCTGGCCTTTCTTCTAAATATTCGCGAGCATTGACAAGACTAACACCGGATTCGGGATTCTGGGCCATCTTGAGTAGGACACGGTGCGACACAGCTTGAAAATACCGTTGTTCAGGCGTGATGCCCCCAGCAGCGTGCCAGGCTGCTCCTGCCCAAGCAGATGCATAGTTGATATCTTGATCTCCAGGCAAATATTCGGCCACCAAGACCACGGGAAAGCCGGACTGGAGTAGTTGACGGGCTGTTGCACATCCAATGATCCCCGCACCCAAGATCACAATTGGTTGTTGTGAGAAGGGCACTAGTGCAGTGGCATGATCGCAAGTGTCCATGATGAGTAAAAAAGGTTCTGCAAAGGATCAAATGCAACTTGAGAGTGTGTTGATTCAATCAGTTGATGCTGCCTTGTTGCCTCGTGTATACTAAGAACTAAGAATCTAAGATGAGAAACCACGTGGTAGATCCGATCCGATATGCATCAGCGTAGAGAGAAAGATCCGGGGGTTTTTGGGGGGATTTTGTTTCGGTAGCATCAAGAAAATGGAATTGATTGTGTGAAACTGATTTTCGAAGTCTTTTATCCTTTTGATCCTATTCCATGATTTTTTTTTCTCTGGGTAAGTTTGGCCCTGTTTTCGTGAATCCCCGTTTTCTAAGGCGCTCCGAGCCGAAGAAGTGGAGTTTGGCAAATCAAAGGCGGTTCATTCCGACTGTACAGCATTTCCCAAGCGCTTTTCTTTCTTTCTTCTATTAAATTGTGTGTGTATATATGTTAAAAAAAGAAAGATGTTATTTTGTTATCAATTCGAGATTTTATTTGAAATTTACATATCTGTTAGTAGTCAAGTATTTGCTGGATTAAAGGGGAAATCCCATTGAAATGATGTGGAACAAGAAGTCGTCAATCTAACTAAAAATTTTTCCCTCTTCCATCATCCCTGTACGATCAATCGGGCCAAAGGCGCATCTGTCCGATCACTTCCCCAATCCATGCCGTCTATACCGCCCGTTATCCTCTTTCCATCCCTTTGCATTGGCACGGCTAGGCGCCTAGAAAACTAGTTCCTGATTGGGTTCTCTGATTCTTCATTCCTGCAACAAATCCTCTGATCGGGGGCCCGCCTTGGCCGGATCGCCCCGGGACCGCCAGGATGGAAGGGGAAGAGGAGAAACGTCGGCGACATTTGTGGTCCCAGGTGGGTTATAATGGATTCCCTTGCATATTGAAAACAAAAGAAGAAAAAAAGACAAAAAAAGAAAAAAAAACAAAAAAAAAAACAAAAAAAAGGGGAATGCACCTTTTTGTGGATCATTCTTGTCCACCGTGATTGAGGCCTCCAGCCTTCGCGCCTCGTGGCGGTCTCGTCCCGGGGCTCCACGAGCTTTAGTTTCAAGTCTGCCCGACTCCTGAGTGGTCGGTCCTTATCTGTCACCCGCAGGGCAAAACTGTGACGATCAATATGCCAAGCGATGTTATGAGTAAATGATTAATCAAAAAATGTTTCTAGGAACCTACTGCCGATGTGGAAGATGAGATCTCTATCCTACGCGATCGCGATGCCGAGGAAATCCTACCCTATGATGCCGACGATTCCCCCTTTCCCGAGGTGCGCGCAGTCGTCCAACCGGTAGATGACGTTGCCCTCCCTGTGAGCACTGTTCGCATGTGGACAATCGGTATCATCTTCACCATTGTGAGGCCCCTGGTTTGACAAAAGCGAACCCCCCTCCCCTGGAACGCGGGGCTAATATGCATTGTACAGGTGGGAAGCGGGTTAAACCAATTCTTTAGTTTGCGACAACCCAGTGTCACCATCAGCGCATTAGTAGCCCAGTTACTGGCTTTCCCGTTGGGGTGTGCTTGGGCCAAATGGATCCCAATCGGAGTGTTAAACCCCAACCGTCACTTCAATATCAAGGAGCATGGTCTGATCACCATAATGGCCAATGTTTCCATTGGATCTGCCCAGGCGACACAGATCATTGAAGCGGTAGTCAAATTCTACAACATGCCCTCGAATGGGGGATTTGATGTGCTGCTGTGCATCACTACCCAATTATTCGGGTTTGGCCTGGCGGGCATGGCAAGTATTTGGCTCGTCATACCGGCTTCAATGTTGTGGCCACAAGTCCTATCCAATGCCGCGCTCCTCACTACCCTGCATTCCAGGGAGAACATGATTGCAGATAAGTGGCGAATCACTCGATTGAGGTTCTTCCTCTTCGTTTTCATTGGCGGGGCTATCTGGTATTTTGCACCCGGGTATCTATTTACCGGCCTCAGTACCTTTAGTTTCATCTGCTGGATTGTGCCATCCAATGTGGTGGTCAACCAATTATTTGGCCAGACAACGGGGCTGGGAATGTCTATCTTGACATTCGATTGGGCACAGGTAGTCTATGCCAACCAGAGTCCCCTCCTGGTCCCTTTTTGGGCCGGGTTGAACGTAATGGGGTCATTTGCCTTGTTCTTCTGGTTAATCTGCCCGATCCTTTACTATACTAATACCTGGTATTCCGCCTATATGCCGCTACTCAACTCAAATACCTTTGATAACACTGGGCAAGACTATCAGCCTTCACGCATCATGAATACAAACGGGACAGTAAATCAAGCTGCCTACAGGGACTACTCCCCCATGTTTTTGCCCGCAGGTTACGCAGTCACATTTGGAGTGGCCTTTGCCAATTTGACTGGAATTTTCTTCCATGTTGGGCTTTACCATGGCAAAGATCTGTGGAGGCAGTGGAAGGGCACAAGTAAGCTTGATGTGCACGGACGGCTGATGTCCAGTTATCGTCCCGTTCCCTGGTGGTGGTTTGCTGCAGTCACGGTCCTCATGTTTGTGCTGAGCATTGTGACAAATGAGGTGTGGCATACTGGCTTGCCGGCCTGGGCTGTTCTGGTGGCATTTATGCTACCTTTGTTTTACATCATTCCCGTGGGCATCATCAAGGCCACGACCAACATTAGCAGTAATCAGTTGAACCTGATCACGGAATTCATTGGAGGCTATGCCTTCCTTGGGAGACCCGTAGCAAATATGGTTTTCAAATTCTATGGCTACGTTGCCATACAACAGGGACTCGAGTATGTTCATCCTCTCCGCTCCAATGCGACACGAAGTTGAATTAACCCAGTTTAGGTTTGTCGCGGATATGAAGTTGGCATACTATCTTCATATTGCCCCGCGCACTCTCTTTGTCGCGCAGGGCCTTGCCACTTTAGTTGGAGCCGTTGTTCAATGTGGCGTGACCGTGTTCATGATCACCCGCATTGATGGGGTCTGCTCATCCGATGCTGAGGGCAACTTTAGTTGTCCTCATGGTCGAGTGACTTACTCTTCATCTCTCATTTGGGGTAAAGCGGCCCTCTTCCCTATCACTTCCATATCTGCATTGTTCTGGGTTGCTAACTATTCGCCAGGTGTCATTGGCCCCGGTCGGTTGTTCTCTCCGGGTCAAACGTACAGCAACCTGCTTTGGTTCTTCCTTGTGGGCCCTGTCGTAGTAATTATCACCTACTTGCTGGGTCTTCGCTGGAAATCAGTCAATTATCTTTCCTGGCCGGTGGCATTTGGAGCGATGAGTCTAGTTCCTCCAGCTACCGGCGTCAGCTTCTCTTCCTGGTGGCTGATCAACGCTATCTTCAACGGTCTTATAAAACGTCGCAAACCCGCGTGGTGGTCAAAATATAGTGCGTACACCTCTATCTTTCCTAGTAATCTTCTTATAAAGCTGACTCGTTTTAGATTACATCTTGTCTGCCGCGCTGGACTGTGGAGTGGCTGTGTCTACAGTGATTATATTCTTCTGCATCACTCTACCAGCTGGTTCATTGAGTTGGTGGGGCAATACCGTATACTCTCATACTGCCGATGGTGAAGGCACTCCATACAAGTCTCTTCCTGCCAGAGGCTATTTCGGCCCACCAAAGGGTTCGTGGAGTTGAACAACAATCTTTTTAGTCTTTCAGTTAGAATTTGGCGTATTGAGCTGGCGTAATTTTGCACATATTGGCTTGAGAGCTGGGACACGGCTGTCAACACATACCATTCACATACATCTATTTATGTACAAAACAGGTGTGCATAGTAGACCTAACGTTTGAAGGGTAAAAGGTACCTAGCACTTGAGCACTTGAGTACTCAAGTGCTGCTACTAATATAATGTCGGAGATCAATTTGAGCTTGCACATGTGAATTTTGAATTCCAAGGTTGATCATTATTTGGAGAAAAAAACCACAGCTGGGCATCTCGTCCCTAGATAAGTATTTCCAAGTGCCATACTTTTACAGAGCGCCCGCATACATAGACCTTGGTGATATTCCTGTCGTCCCCAGTCATGACCCATTTTTCGAAAATAATGGATATGGGATCTTCTTCTTCCACTGGAGTCATAACCCCAAGACCGTCCTCGTCACAATGGATCTCAAGGGCATCAAATTCTTTACCAACGGCAAAGTTTCCAATCTTGTCATCCAAGCCACACACTTGGGCCCCACCTAGCGTCGCCAGGAAAAAACCTTCCGCCATGGATAACGCAGGGTCCTGGCCCTGGGTGGCGTCTTGTCTTGCGATGGAAACCACGAATGCCTGCCTCATTGTCTCAAGCATGGAGCTAGAGTGACCACCTCCAGAGTCGGTCCCGAGTCCAACCTTGATGCCTCGTCGTAGGTATTCGCGTATTGGGGCAACCATGAAAAAGTCCATGATGGTGTTTGAACTTGGACAGTGTGATACACCGCAACGGAGTTCACGAAGGGTTTCAATCTCCTCCTCCTCTAGATAGATACAGTGCGCGAGGATTGTACGATCGTTCAATAGTCCATATGAGTTGTAGAGTTCTGCTTCTGTGCGAAATTCAGGAAACAGCTCTTTCGTAAAGAGCATTTCCCCCTTGGCCTCATTGAAGTGGGTTTGGATCGGTAGGTTGGGGTGCTCCTTTGCGATTATTCCCAGGCCAGTCAAAAGATCCGGTTCACATGATATGGCGAATCGGGGAGTAATGATTGGGCGCACAAGCTTGTTATCCGGATCAATATTGTGAATATGTTGAATCAACGCTCGGGTTTGGTGAAGGGAATCTTCAACCGAGGAATCGGTATACCAGTCAGGCGAATTGCGATTCATATTGCACTTTCCAACCAGTGCCCGTTGACCTTTCTCCAGACAAATATCGGCCAAAATCTGCGTTGCCTTCCCGTGAAGCGATCCATAGTATGATGCCGTGGTGATACCTTGTCGAAGAAACCCCGACACACAAGAGTTATACATGCGCTTCGCATAATCGGGATCAGCGAATTTAGCCTCGTGGGCAAAAGTCACGTCATTTAGCCAGTCCAGTAGTGTTTTTCCACGACCGACCCCGCGTTGGGCCCACTGGGGTGCATGGTTGTGGGTGTCCACAAAACCGGGACATAGGAACTGACCACGCTTCAAGTATTTGACGGGGAAGACTTCTGGGGCGTAGCCAAGGTCGGAAATGATGTCGTTGATCTCGTTAGGTTTCACTCCTGTCCGTAGTGCTTGGATCTTGCCGGCTTTGTCAACAAGCAGAAAGCAGTTCTCCAAAATTTCGAGGTCGGTTTGACTATTGGAATGAATTATCGTACCATGAAAGGCCAAGGGTAAACCCAATGCAGGGGAGCCTTTGTCAAGCTTGTCCATTTTGGAAGGGGTTGAAGAGAGGAGAATGTTGAAGAGAGCGCGAGACCGCGCCTTGTGTTTTTATGGTGGGTTATTATACTATCTTATCATGTTAGCAGTGAGGGGTTTGCATCAAATGTCACGACCAATGGAAATGGAGAAAGTGACAAATAACAAGTGTTATCGTAATGAACATTTTACAAGTAAAGGAAGCCCATATCTCTTTTTCAATTGGCAATGCTGATTGTGTTGCCAATTCAAGGTTGTTTATAGTATACTAGTATTGTTTCCACACTAAAACACGGGGAATGATTAGTATAATGCGGAGATACACATGCATCTAATATGTCCTATACCATTTACACTATTTACACTGAATCGAGGCAAAAACTAAAGCCTTTGAAATCATGAAAATACTACTAGTATACATACACTTTGGTTGTAAATTCAGTGTTGATCGGCAAATCGGCTTCCCGGTGTAAGCGAACGGGAAAAAGAGAGAAGAGTCAGAGTGTGAGTGAGAGAGGGAGAAATGGGATTTCCCCAGAAATTGCAACTCCAAACTCCAACATCACACCCTTTTTCCCTCCCACTTCTCTTCCCCCCCCCCCACCCCACAATCACCAATTTTCCAGTCTTTAGTAACAAGCTACTTACCCCTTGCATGTGTCTTGGTGGCTGAGATGGACGGAGCTAGCCGCCTTTATGAACAACTCGGGTAACAAGGACTTTCGAGACCAGCTGGGCAAGTTCCGGCTGGAATCGATGGGCGGACCTGCTCCGACAGCTTGGTCGCAACCCACTGTGCAACCAACTGCCGACCCCGTTTCTGCAGCGCTTGCCTCCACCCCGGCTTCACGCAGCAAACGCGTCTCCACGGCATGCGACTTTTGTCGCAAACGAAAAAAGAAATGCGACTTTAGATACCCCAACTGTTCCGCCTGCACCCGTGCCGGAGTCCGCTGCACCATTCCCCCACCCGGCCCACAAGTCACAAACACCTCGGTGCCCCGAGATCAGTTGGAGAACCTCCAGAAAAGAGTACAATGGCTGGAGGAGGTGGTGCGTCGGAAGTCAGGCATCGCCGTCGCCGAACTACCCACGGGGACACCTGTGGATGGGGAGGGTGACCCCGATTGGTGGTATCAGGTGCCGGCCATGATCGCGACCGGGAGTCGTGCCGCGGCCGTCTCGATTCCCAGTCCAGCGGGGAGCGGAGGCTCATCGGCGACCGTTGCGCCGCCTGGTTCAGAGTCATCCACGGGTGTGGGAACCGAGCTGCCCAACGTGGGAGAGATCTTTCGCGATCAGCTGGAGCATCGGCGGCCTTCAGTGGCACGTCCTTCTACTGCCCCACGCGTCTTACGCTTGTCATCACTAGATGAAGCCATGAAAGTGACTGGGCAGTATTTCGATAGCATGGGCTATCAATACCCGTTCATCTCGCGACCCGAGTTTATCGCCCACCTGCGACACATTTATAGCGGCGGCGTGCCGTCGCCTGAAGTCCACAACACCTACCATATAATCATCGCCATCTCTTTATTGATCGGATCTGCCGATCCAACAGAGGCGGCCGAGTTCTATCATGCCAGCCAGGAGACTCTTCCCCTGGCATTGCAGAACGAGGACTTGCCCGCCGTTCGGGCCTTATTGGGGTTAGCGCTATACACTATGTTTGCGACAGCAGGGCCCAGTATCTGGCATGTTCTGGGAACGACCATGCGCCTGGCGATTAGTCTCGGTCTTCACAAGGCCCGATCCTACGAGAGTGTGGCAGAAGAAGAGATGGCCAAGCGCGCGTTCTGGAGTTTGTACAACCTGGATCGTCTGATTGCCAGTACGCTTGGCCGACCGCTGGGGATCCCCGATGACGATATTAGCGTGAGTCTTCCACGGGAGCTTAACGACGACGGAACTGAAGCCCCAGGCGCCAGTGCGATGACGATCCCGCTGCAAGTGATTCGTCTTCGCCGGATATTTTCACGCATCTATCGATACTGTAAGCTCTTTTACTCTCATTTCCCTCTTTTTGAATGCCCCAGCGCGCTCAAACGCTAATGGTTCACAGTACACAGCAGCCTTCCACGGCCTCCCCCACAAGAAGTTGCCGCAACGCTGGGGCAATTCCGGCGCGAAGTAGATGACTGGCGCATGACGGCTCCAGTATATCCTTCGGCACTTCTTTATTCCACATCCTACTACGATTACCTGTACTATACCACCCTTCTTCTCATGTACCGTCCGAGTCCACGAAATCCTACTCCCGATGTGACTAGCATTGTCAGCTGTGGCGATTCTAGCGTCCAAGTGATCCGCTCCTACTGGGATAGCTTTTCCGTCGGCAAATTGAAATGGATCTGGTTAACGCTCAGTCAAGTCTACTTCGCAGGCATCACCATTCTATGGTGTCTCGAACAAAATGCTCGGTCATTGCGCGAAGGTCGGCCCACTCCATGGAATCCAGAGGAACAGATGATGCGCCGTGGAATACAGGCAGTCATCGTTCTTCTGGAGGAGTTTGGCAAGCGGCGACCGGGGGTTGATCGACTTGCGGAGACGTTCCGGCATCAAAGCACCATGATTTTTAGCCAGATGGCTTATCAACAGCAACAATTGGAAGAACAACAAAGACACCAACAGCAACAGCAGCAACAGCAGCAACAGCAACAACAGACACAGCGTCTAATGCCACCCCAATCCTCAATATCCTTAGCCCCACCACCAGCGCCCCCCATACCATTGGCTCCAGTTCTGGACGATGTTCTCTTGGTCGATTCCAGTGGAGCCATGCCTATGATTGATCCACAAATGGCGGAACAATTGTATTATTCTTACAATTGGTTCCAGGAGGAGATGGCGACTTATTATACCCTTTGATCAACCTTTTTTATTATAGATGATTATGGAGTTTTTGTCAAATCATACTAGGTATCCCTTGTACAAATATCATGAACAATTGGAGCAAACGACAAAGAACAGAAAAAGAAAAAGAGGTCTACATGGGCCTGCGAAGAGATTTATTGCTCGATTTTAACGTGCAGATTAATCCATGCATCCGATGATATCTGACCGCAGACATATTTACATGCCTGCACGCGGTCTCGCATTCTGGGTAGTAACAATTGATTTGAACCTTGCAACGTTTGGAATCATTGGAGCGTCCAATGCCTGGTTTTGCGTGACAGTCAACATTTGAAGGCTTGTATTTTCAAAACCAACATGATTCACATGCTGATCTTCTCAACTCACTCTGCCAATTATCTTACCCACATGCATTGGCATTGGATTCCAGTCGTTTATATGCCTCTGACAAACTTCATTTCTGGTCCTCAGTGAGGTTACACATGTGCCATCATCCATATCCGTTTATTAAGCAAGGCACGATGATCAAAGTCATCTACTTTGCTGCCATTCAAAGCAGCCACGAGGACTATTCGAGAGTCCATGGCTGGAGAATTCATATTTTGGTGAAAATGATTCCGTCCCACGACATCCACAATGAGATCCACGCCCTTTTCAACAACTTGAGCAAAATCCTCGCTCGATCTATAATTAGTCGCAAAATGGGCCCCAATGGATTTGAACAGATTGCACTTCTTGTCACTTCCCGCCGTTGTGATTTTTGAGGCGCCTCCTAGCTTGGCTAGTTGGATCGCAGATTGGCCAACCCCTGATGGTCCTCCGCGAATGAGAATGGTTTGACCTGGCTGGAGATTTCCAACTAGAAATATTCAAATGTTGCCTGGATAGCGGTGAAAGACGTCTAAACGAAAACATTGAAAGATAAAAATTATTCATAAAGCACAAGAGTCGGATCTTGCTGTCAACAAAGCATTGGCGTCAATAAACATAGCATCAGCATCTTGTTTCCCAGTCCTGACCGAGACTACTCCCATAGTAGCTTTGGATTCGGGACTTCTATCTCGTTGCTTGACGGAAAAGATGTCATGAAACAAGCTTTGAAATATGTATAAGCTCCAGGGCTTCCAACTTGAAGGTTGCAGGGTAGAAGGGATGTATGTAAATTCAAAATAATCATGTCCACATGCACACAATCGGAACATTTGAAACTAAGAAAACCTGGGAATTTCGACTCGAAATTGCTTCTGCGCTAACGATTTCGAAAGTCACCACCTGGTTACGGTCATCAAGGCGGCTCTCTTGGGGAGTTTCAATCGCAACGGAGTGGGATAATCCGTCACATACGTAACTAGTAGCTTCAAATGGGTGAAGGGACGGAAACTAGTGGTCCGCTGTGGGGCAGAGCGGAGGAAGTGCGTCACTCCGACCTTCCAGATGTCAATACGTTGAACGGTTGAAGCTGTATCTATTTCTCGGAACTGTGATATTTGTTGATGGATTTATGAAGACCTGGGAACAAAGTCCCGAGTTAATTTGTGTCCGACCTCTAATTTGACGACGGTGGCAATGCTGACTTGGTGCTGGCATTATTGAGTTCAGGAAGCACTGTAGAAGGAGATTCCACAGGTTCATTCATAAACCCGAACAATAAATCCATGTCTTGCGTAAATTCTGGAAAAATCGAGAATTGACTGTCATCATCTGCAAGCCCTGGAGGTAACTCTAGGGTGCTGAAAGACTGGAAGTCCAAGTTCACCTCCATCTCGTGGAGACTCTCGATGTCACGCTCTGTCGATATAGACAATTATTAGCAATGATAGGGGAGGGAGGGGGATAAGAGACATGTTTACCTGGCTCTGGTGGAATATTATTTGCTTCCATTAGTCGTCGTATGATTCTAGCGGGAGCAGACACGCCACAATTCGGTATGGCGAGTTCGTCTAAACAGCGCAAGCATATCTTCAATGGAGATGTGACATCTCCACGTCTAGTTATATCTTTAATCGAGGGGTTGCGGGCATGAATCGTACATGCAACATAAACTGCGTAGCTAAGCATATAGTTCGCCCTACGCAAAGAATAGGCGGAGCGATATGCCAATGCGAGGCTGGTGATATTTCGAGCAGCAGTAATGCAGCGTTCCCATGAATAGGCTGGGCTTTCCGTTGACTGTAAATGGCCAGTGATGATAAATGGTCGATGCAGCAGGATTATCAGGGCGTTGAATGTGGTGAGAAGAATGATATTGTTTGGGGCAGCTACCGTAAGACCCTCCTGCTCATTCTCTACCCATGGCTCGAAGCGCAGATTGGATGGGAGTTTTCGATACCAGGTAGTCAGGCGCTGGTCAATAATATCAAGGTGCTTTCTTGCCACATCTCCGCTCGCTCCAACAACATAGAAGCGATCAATGATGATGGTCATGATTTTGGAAAGAGAGCATAGTTGTTGGAAAACGGAGACGGAATAGATCCTTGTCGGGTATGAGGGATAGACCTGATCATTATTTGGAACTTGTGGGTCAATGTAGGGTGTCCACAACTCGTTTTCCTCAAAGGTGTCTATAAAATCACGGGAAACACGAGCATCTCGCAGCTGGAGCGTGAAAGGACGACCAAAGTACAAACTCTGCAGCTTGTCGCAAATAAAAGCTCCCCAAAACAGACGGCGCCGAATTTCAACATCTTCAACACTCCCAGCAACCTCTTTACAGTCTAGATGCAATCCCAGATCGTAGACCATTCTTAGCGCATATCCTGTATAGAGCCATCCTTTAGATATCTGGCCACGAGCATTGAAGGTGCTTCCTAGCATGAGCAGACCAGCGACAGTGGGAATGCTTGAATGAGTAAGAAGAGACTGCTCGGCAAGGAGCTGATCACAACGATCAAAGAACAGCTTCCCTGCTGTCTCAGGATGGTTCGGGTCCGACCGAACGTCCAGACGCTCTGAGAATTTACTCGAACATGCAAATACTGCATTCACTAGAAAATCTGAACAGTAAGGGCCCCCTTGAGCCAGGTCTCTCATGAACGCAGGGCGGTAGGTAAGAAGAAATGTGTGATGTTGACGATTCCAGTGCAAGTCAAGTAAATGGATTGCTAGATCCGACGGTAGACCTGCAATCAAAGGCCTATGAAGCAGATCAAATTCCCTTTGACGCTGAAGTGCCGCGTTTGCAATCAGTCGATGCCGATCCGTTTCCGATCTGTTTTTTTGTTCCGAAGATTCCGCTTGACTAATAGGACTGCCAACATGAAATGTGGACGATGGTCCAAAGGCACCCAGTGCACCGCAGTCATCTCGTGCCAAAAATGGCGTGGGGTCGTAATCTTCATCTTCGGAGCTTGAGTCGGGAGGCTCGTCGCTTCCAGCGGTTGCAGAATTGACGGGTTGCCATCGCTCCGGATGCTGAACATTGGCAAGATCCAAACCTCCGTTCTTGACAGCCATGGAGTTCAAGATTTCATCGCGCTCTTTGGAGTCCGCATTTTTAAGCGCCATAAGAACATTCTCCAACGCGTTTTTGTGTTGATTTGCCTCATTTATCAAGGCGCGTGAAGGTCTGATGGGTTTGCATAGTTAGGAGAATGTTCGTATCAGGTTGAAGTGTTGGACTATTGCACACATGAAATATCTTACCTCTGCTTGGGGGGCTCAATGACATAAACACAGCGGCGTCCATGCGACTGACATGAGCCACAGCTGGGCTTTACGGCGTCACACCTGATCTTCCGGGTTCGACAGAATTGACATGCACGATTGGTCTTGGACTGAGTGCCATTTAACGGGGATCGATGTGTTAAAACCATAATTGAATAAACAAGTCTCTCCTCATAATAATCCTGGTTACCTAGAGTATATCCGCCCAGGCAAGTTTATCTGGGGAAAGGCTCCAGGGTTGAGCGCCAACATTGAAATAGCTAACTGCAGTTAGTTAGCCTGGAGCCACATGTGCAAGAGGGGCTACGATCGACACCTCAAGTTCCAGGCCACAAAATCATGATGCGATTTCTTTTGTTTTCGTAGTTTGGACTCTACTAGTATGGAGTAAATAGTAACATTTGAATGATTGTTGGCAAAATTACAAATAGAACTTCATTCCCATCTAAATATCATAACACACTGGTATCGTATTAAACATATGCCTTAGTTGACTACCGCCCAGAACTTGAGACCTCGTTGCTCGCGAACTTGAATTGGAGGTGAGTTTCCCTTGGCACCTCTGGCAGAATATTGTCCACCACCTTGCTGGAACAGAATCATGTCTTCCGACTTTTGACCTGTAGCAAGAGGGTATTCGAGGTGGCAATATGGTGCAAAATCCGCTCCAGAAATCTGGATTCCCAATCTCTCACCAGCAGTCACATGTGCATCGACATGGACGGTGGCATTGTTAAATACCCAGGTCAAATTGCTGGGGAGAAAAGAACGCTGGCCCAATGTGTTGAAAGTATATCTAAATATTACAATCGCTGTTAGAAAAAAAAAACTCCTGCTGTGTAGCGGACATTGAATGAGGATAACTTACCCTGGCTCAAGTAGTGCATTGATTGAAGAGAAGTTGAACACGGTGACCTCCAAGGCCGTAGTTTGCGTCGTGGCTGCAATGTTGACGGAAACCGACTCAAGGAGTCCGGTGCGCTCGGCGGTCCAAGTTTGATAAAGAATGTACTGGTCGGAGTCACAGACAGTGGTGTACTGAAAAATGTTAGGTATTGCTTTTCTCCCATTGGGGATTGGCCGAAGAGGACTTACAGAAGCAAGGTCAGGGCTCTTATCAGTTGACTGGCTTGCTAGACCTGATGCAGTGGCTCCTTCACCAGGGGTGAAGTCCACCTCAAATGTGGCCTCTGGGCTACAATTGAGATCCTGGATGCTACCATCTTTGTTAAAGACCAAAGGCTGGAAGATATGTCCACCAAAGCCGGTCCTTGGGCCGCCGGCTATGGAAAAAGTTAGTTTGAGCCACAGAGGTCAGAAGTAATTGATAATGAACCAACTTACGAACTGATGTACCGTGCCACACGTATGTCGTCTCCTTTGTCTTTGGGTTGACCAGGGGAAGGACACCCTCCAGTTGAGAATTGCATGAATCTCCGCTCAAAATCTGGCGTTTCCAGGGTCCTTGAATAGACGACGACCGGTAGACGACGGCCAATGTTCCGCTGCAGTATCCGCAGGTATTTGAAGCAAAGACGTCTAAATGTAAATGGTTAGCGATCAAATTATCCATCATGATTCGGAATGTGCCGTTCTTACACCACATTCCGTCCCGGTAGATTACATCGGGTGATTCTGCTTGGTTGTCGACTATGTCATTAGCCGGTGACTTGACATCATATGCCACTGTGGTAGTGTTTTCCTTTAAACAATGTTAATGATTTTTCGAGAGCGGGGGATTTTCATCGGGGGGGGGGGGGAAACGAACCAAGTCGGAGGTCAGGTGGCCAATGTACAAGGATTGGGAGATTTGAGGCCATAAACTGCCTGCACCAGCATAGGTAAAATTCAAGCCACTGTAGACAATATATCCCTCATTGTCTGCAACGAGTTAGATAAGCGGAACAAGGAGGAATTCTGCAAGGCATGAAACATACTGATGAGCTCAACAGTAAAGTCGGCTGGATTCAATTTCGCAACCACGGGATCCAGAGCAGGCTGAGTGGTAAGGAATTTGTATCCTGTAGCGGGGTGGTCGGATGTTGCCACCACATAACCATCATTGTTGGCCCAGAGAATGTATTTCTTGGTTTTGGTGTTGTAGACGATATGAGGGCGACCGCAGCCTCCGGATCCCGAGCAAGCATCGGTGGTGGTGGGATCATAGAGGAAACCTTCGTAATTCCTGATTTTCTTTCTTAGCAATGTGACTTGGAGAAGTAGAGATGGCAGCTGAGAGAGGGCCTTACCAATTGACCAGGTCTACCGAGGAGTAGCTCTTGATACCGTATGCCGAGCTACCCTCGATCGACCAACTGTTTCCATACAAGTAGTACTTTCCGTCTATGATTGAGTTGTTAGAAAGATGAAGACAAATTTTTGGACTATTTTTTGGCTATTTTTTGGTTTTTCTTTTTCGTTAAAAGGTCGGATAGGGAGTGTCTTACTCAAATCTAAGGATTCATTCAAGTCAGCAGGTTGAAAAGGTATGGAAGCAACAAGGGTGTTACCATTCATTACTCACAGTTGATTTTACTTCCGTACGCGTCAATGAAATTCCCATCAACATCAAACATGAAGCGTCGTGCATTGCTAAATTGGGTGGTCGCTCCAGCAGCCAGTTGCGAGAGCAAGCCCGCTGATAGAAGGGCAATCCTTGAGAAGAGCATGGTTGTAAAGCTTTGAAAAAGAAAATCAAGATCTTCCACGCTTTTTTCCGTTTTTGTTTCTCCAGCACTGGCAACTTATAGATTCTTCATTTGCGGAAGTGCCGAGCGCAGCTTCGGATTTTCCTGGAGGGTTCTCCATAGTTTAGCCGGGAAATGCGGAGTGAGTTGTGGGGAAGTGGAAATTTGCCGACTCTTTTCTCACCAATAGAAAGAAATCGGAATTGGTTCAGAAAGAGTCAAAGCCTGACAGAACCAAGGCCCAAGGGAGCTAAAGGAGCTAAAGGAGCTAAACGAGGTAAAGGAAGCTAAGTGAGCCCCACTAGCGCCAACACCACATGACCTTGACCTTAGCGAAGGAATTTCACTACAATGGGGGGTTGACTCATCGTGGGCTAGTTATTTGCACATTTGGAGTACAAGTTAGATTAGTTTTTTTTTTTTTTTTTTTTTTTGTTCTATTTTATTCATAAACTTGCCTCGAATACCTTTTCCCCCGCACTGAACTCCCCCGGATTAAATGGTGCAGTTAATATCGGACGATTGGTTGAAACAGGTTCCCGGTCATCAAGTGGGGAAATTTCTCAGTCTTTTTTTTGCCTTTGGAAATCCCAAGCTTTGAATGGATCCATTGGTCACTTGACATATTTCGAGGCAAAAGATTCTCAAATGTTAAATGTTTAACCCCGGAAATCCCGCAAACCTCGGCCGTACGCAACTTGAGCTTTGGTCCACTTAATTTCTAGTTATGGGCTTCCAAGACCTTCAAGGGAATAACTCTTGAGATCGAGAAAAATAAAGTAACCAATGCTTCAAGTGCTAGTAGGAACCGCTAGACTTTCGCGCCATACTTTTCCCAAAAACAATCGCACCACTCTTCAAGAACACTCGGTAGTGAGGTGGGCTTGTTTGCATGGACTGTGCATGATTACATCCGTCTTTACTCATCTGACAATTTCCCAAGATACTATTATCTTTGGTGACCTTCAAGTAAAGTTTTGCTGCAAGTCTCGGCTTCCCAGTAACCCCTCCGTGTTTTTCAGAAAGCATGTTGACGTACTCCGCACTTGCCATGAGATAATTGTCTCGGGGAAGGGGACACCACGCTTTGCAAACAGTCTTTGCATCTGGCCTAATTGCGTCGGTCATTCCCTTACAGAACAACACTATCATGTCGGGATTTTCGCGAGGTATGTTATGCCATGAATCGCTCGAGCTGAGTGGTAACTTGATTCTCTTCTCCCATGACGGCTTACTGGTTGCAATATCGTAGATTTCCCACCCTCGAATCGATCTTGTCTCTAGTATCCGAGTCGAGTTTTCATTCACCAGTCTTTGCTGTTCTTTTCTCTTCTCCAGCGCGCGGAATACATCCTTGAGTTTGGTCATGAAAAACAACTTTTTTTCCTCGGCGTATCCTTCTCGTAATATGAGGTTTTTGTTTGCTGTGATGACTTCGAGTGCAATCTTGCCTCCTTCTTTGCTGGGGGGAATGAAGGGTACTTTGGATAAAAGGTCGGCGCTGTCTACTTGTCTTGAAGCCCAGATATGAACAATCTGAAGAACAGAATTCAACTCTGGGACCAGAAATCCGGTTTTCTGGTCCACATCGTAGATGATAGTTGCATTGTCTTTCGAGTTGAGCAGTCTATCCTCTAGACAGGCTTCTTCTGCCTCGATTGGTGCGAAGAGACCCTTGGCAAAGATTACTTTGGCTCCGATGCCACCGCCAAAGATGCTCATGCCGCCTGTTCCCATGGTTGGAGTTATCTCGCGACCAATACGCACATTTGTGGGATTGCATTCCGCATTTGACAAGGTAATGCTATCAAATCCCGAATCCCGTGCACCCACGTGAATACACGCCTGGCTGCAATAACCAACAAAAGATCGCCGATTGTATAGTGTATTGAGCTCCAGATCAGGTATGTTGGATCTCAAGGATTCTGGTATGGAATAGGCGGATATGTATTCTCCTGGCTGGGAAGATCCAATGAAATGCCACTGAATTGAGTCACCTATCAGTCCCATTGATGGAATGAGCATTGTGGAATAGCCTTTGAGAACCATTCCCCGTGGTAGTTCGAGAGAATAAGATATTCTGCTGAGTCGAATCAATATCTCAAAGGGTATTTCCACCCCAAGCTCCTCTGCACGTTCTGGCACCGGATATCCTTCGGCAATAAAACAATTTGGAAATAAAGGAATCCAACAAGAACCTGGTTCCGACCTGACAATTGAGGGCCTGTCTTGTGTTACGATGAATGCAGCCTGACCAGAAACCCGTGTACGGTTCCTTGTTTGAAGTGCGTATTCTGACAATAAACTATTGTCTTGCAACATCGATGGCTTTGAATAAAGCAAGGTGGATGGGTTTAACGTATTGGACGCGGGCTCGTGAAATACTGCGACCATCCAGGTTACTAGGGTTGCAAGTAGGTAAACGTCTTTTCCTTTGCCGCTCGTTATGACGACTGGGTTGATGCCTATAGATGCGATCTTGACCTCATATATTAGGCTGTGGTATGTCCCTGTCTGCGTCGCTTCTATACGCCGTTAGGAGGTAAGCAAAATGTAAATGACAAACTTTATCCTTCATAGTCCACGGAGGACTCGAACAAAGCGGTGGCCAAAATGACTGGTTCAACTTCTCGACCACCCGGATTCTTTCTCCATTGACAGGGTCTGAGGTATTGATGGAGTGAAGGTCTTACCAGAGGATTGCAGTTGACAGATGTGCACAATAGATTCAAACACCCTCAGTCCTTCCACTCCCCATGCAAACTGTATGTATTCTTCGCAAGTGGTCGCGTAAGCTGTTTTTGCTGTTCCGCTTAGAACAAGAACATCTCTCAAATTCCAAGAGCCACCGAGTTGCGATTGGACAAAACTCGATATGTTCCAATCTAGGTAGAAAGCCACTAAGCATTCTTCCTGGTACAACCCGAAGATCACCCCAATGTCGTTGGCAACTCTCTCAAAAGCAACGCAGTTTTTGAACCTCTCTGTGTAGGTGAGAGGCAAATCCTTCCATAAAATTTGAATCAGCGCGTCTCATTCCAAAGCTCTCAAACGCATGGCTTCAATAAAAGTATCGCATTTGTTTACCTCATCGGAGTCCTGGGTGAAATATCGGCTTTCTGGATCGTCACCACAGCTACTGCATCGCCCATGAGCACAACAGCTGCATTGTTCTGGTGATAATGATTCATTTTGCATCTGCCCACACCCACAACAAACCCAGAAACCCGATGCCGGCATTATGATTCTCGTGCCAAATCAATCAAGAGGGTTTAATCGAAGCTTTTCAGCGAGCAAAGTAACTTGGGTTCTAATGAGCGGAGTCATCTTCATGAATCATGTGCACAGCCGTACACAGCCCCCACAAAATCATCCAGATTCTCTCAATTGAGGAACCCCTCATTCAACCTACGTTCCAAACGTTGGGCACTCATGCATGTACATCAAATTACCTAGTACAAATCTCTAAATCTACCTTGGCAGTCAAGAAGTACTAAGATATGCAAGTAGATAACTTTGCTTATTATAAGTTCATAAAATCGCTATTTACATTCAAATGTTCAAGAGTTCAATGGCTACTTCACTCTTCTGTCGCGCGGATAACAAGACCCTTCTCGTTCTGTTCCTCTGGAATCCAAGACTCGTCAACAAGATCCGCGACATAAGTCTCATTGTCAAGATGTCTGAATCTCCACCAGAAAATGATAGTCTGCAGTACCAAAGCGACGGTAGGAGCCCCCCAGATCCAGGTCAAGTAGGGATCGACGGTGACTGGAACCAAAATCTCACCAATAGCACTCGACAGCGCATTTGTGAACAGGAAAATGGCCATGACTAGGCCTTTCATACTCTTAGGAGATCTTGCATAGGCGAGTTCGTAAGCGGTGACATTACAGAAGCACTCGCTCAGAGCTCCAAGAGCAAGATTGGGAATCTGCCACCAAATGCTGATATTTGCGACTTCGGAGCAGGTGGATGCATAAGATCCACAGGGTGACAGGCTGTACACCTTCCATTGAACGAGAGTACCAGCAAGTCCCGAGATCGCGGCCAGAATGAATCCAAAAGTGATACGGCTGATTGGTCCAATTCGAATGTTGCGACGGTCCAAAGCTGGGTAGATTACATATGTCAAAATGGGGATGGCGACAATAATAGTGATAGCGTTGAAGTTGCTGAGGAGATCGTTAGGTGCACCATTGGTAACCATGGAAGCGCCTTGGTTTGTGGAGACGGAACCGATGCCCCCGTCGTTCAAAATCCAGATAGGCATAAAGCAAAATATATCACATGCAGCTAGATAGGAAAAGTCAGAACCAGTAATTTTAAAAGGAATCGATCTATTGTAGATCTGAGATGAACATACCCATAGTCTTGGAAACTTTATCCACAGCAGCATCAGTCCATCCAACGGTGATGCCTTTGGCCTGGAGGTTCGACGGCCTTACTGTATCCCAAAAGCCCTTGCGCCACACTTGGAACTTGTTATGGCGAAGGGCGGACCCCATTATTTTGAAGGCTTCGTTAATTTCTTTCCCTCCGTTAGGGGGCTCCTTGTGTGTCTTCTTATAGACAGCAAACAGAAGAATCGGGAGCATGAAGTAGATAATTCCCGACAACAGGAATGCAAGCCAGTATCCAACATACTTCTCAGCGTATGTAGTGGCCAGCATGTAGAAAGCACCGACATTGATGAAGCCATAGAATAATAGCATAGTTCGGGTAGCAGTTGCCTCTGGATCGACAATGACTTTCTCCCCGGATTTCAATGTCTTCACATAAGGTGTTTTGTGTCGGTTTTGATCTAGAATTGTGGGTGCAATGTTGGGCTTGAAGACTCCAGCACCGAACGCCAAAACCAAAAGTCCAATAATGAATGGCGGCGCGGAGTGACTTGTTCCCGCCTGGAGAACAGATGGAATAGCACCAACGATCTGAATGATATGTGCGACACCACAGATCAGAACGCCAACAACGATGGCCTTGTAACGGCCAACGTAGACATCTGCCCACCAGCCTCCAAAGATCGGCACAATGTATGCAAGGAAGACGAATAATAAGACCAGGGCGTCACTTGCTTGGAGGCCCATATTCAAAGCTCCGGCTGTCTCTTGTGATCCTCTTGGAGGTGCACCGGCACCATTACCGCCTGAGAGGTTGTATATCAGTCTTTGCTCATAGGGTCAAACGGTAAACCTTAGGGGGGGAGTATACTAGACATACCCTTTGGCAGTGGGAACTCGACAAAGTTTGAGTAGACAGTGTAAGCACCATAGTAGGATGCACGCTCGGCAAGTTCAACTAAACAAAGGGAAAAGGAGACTAGGGGCATGGATCCTGCCACCTTGCGTAACGTTGTACTCTCTTCCTCTGTGGGTGCGGGATAATCATCCTCTGACGCATCGAATATGACTTCCCCTTGAGCTACCTGGGCTTCTTTGGCTTTGTCAGAGGAAGAAGCTGACAGGTCAAAGCTCTCAGAGCTGACTTCAACCACGCCAGCTCCTTCCGCAATGTGGTCTTCGGCGACCTCTCGGGATGCTAAAGCCATTCCAATTCCAGTTAGTTGATAAAGAACTTTGGTTCATCCTGGGAACGATAATTGACACTCACACATGTTTGCTAGTTCTAATTCACCAGGAGAAAACAAGATGAAAGATTTCAGCAATCCAAAACGTGAATCTTCACCATATTGAGGGTCCCTAGGCTAGCATCTTATAATTCCGCAACGAACAGGCAAGACATACGCACGGACTGAATGATGGAAAGACGACACTTACGCGTCAATGTCGACAATCTAGAGCCAATCTCCACTCTTCAAAGTGTTTTTATCTGAGTGGGTGGAGCAAGTGTATGTGGGGAGGAAATGATAAGCTAAAACGGTCTGGGACACTAGTTTGCCCCCCCCCTCACGCTATAGAGATAAGGTATGGCGAATGTTGCGCATCCAATCTCAGCCCAAACACTTTGTACAGCAACAATTTAAGCGAGCTAAGTAGTCCCGATTACCTTGATTACCCTGCACCACCCAAAGCCAAAAGAAAAAAAAATCTCATGCAATGTAACATTCCCGAATCACGATAGGACTAGATTTTCTTGCCAGTGGAATGTTCATCTTTCCACCCCGCCACCTCAAGATTAGTAGCTGATAGAGGATTTTAGCCTCTTTTTACTCTTTTTTGCTTTCTTAGCCCGCCGGAGTTCCGCCTCCAGACCCCCTGTTGGTTTCAAAGTTGGGTGTTGATAGGTGGTTTCTGACAAGGGAAAGTATACTTTCCCGCCACGAGAGCAACATGCCAAGCTTTTTTCCCCCGATACGATACCTACAGGCTACGGTCCTACCCCCCGAGCCCCCCGAGCCCGAGTTCCCCCCAATAGCAACTTTAATCCGGTCATCCCCCTATTCTTAAATGTACCTTTCCTACCTTGGAAGGTTGTTCCTTTGTTCTTGTCTCTGCCAGGGTCCCTTACCCGATATCTGGATATATCCCCTAAGAATGTGCGTCGCAGCGTCGGCACCTGGACCCTGCTGCCCATGTGCCGAGGGTTGCAATATCAATCGATCCAAAACAAAAGCCCCATAATTTTCAAGTTAGTCTACATAGGTGGTGGGGTTCGCCTTTCACACCATCCAAACACTCGATTGCGTTGACCCTTTAACATTTGAATTTTGCCACTGGCACCTTCCAAGGTTGGATTTCAGCTTTTAGTACGTATACATGTAGATTCCAGAATTCCGAAACCAAAAGGAAAAGGAAAAATTCCAAAGGAAAAGAGGCCAAGAGGCAAAGAAAACCTTGATTTCAACTTCGCGATGTCCATATAGGTAGAGCACTTTGAGGGGATACGAAAATTCAAATACCAAAAGAGAGAACCTCAAAAGCAGCGCAACGCTTACCTGGTTCAGCAACTTTACAATTGATATTCAAATGTTGGAAGGTTGCGAAATATCTACTAGTAACATTGAACAGGGTTTACGGGGATGTCCGCCATAATAGCCCCGGGGTCCGACCTTGAAATTTACCCGTCAACACATTGATTCCAAGGTCATTCAGTCTAAATTCCCAGGGTTAATCCTTGAAACACTTGGATGATAAAAGAAGTACCAAGTTCGTATCTGGATTGTACCTAAAACATCAATGTACTCAAGTGCTCAAGGGAAGTATCTGTTGACCTGAGTAGGTACATATTATGTATGTATATGCATGTGTAGATGAACATCAATTGGTTTGAATGTACACATGTATATATATCTAAGTCACTATACGTGCATGTGCGTCAACTGCATGTGGCATATGCACATGCACATGCATGTGTGTATAAGTAGTAAGATTTTGAACGTGGCTTACATGTATCTAACAGACATCTGGGTCAAACTACCCTAGCCTTGACAACATTTGAATAGCAAATTCAATCAATTCAATGAATATTTGGTTAAAGCAATACTCTGGTTAAAAGACTCCAAAGAAGTCTGCCGCCCAAGTGCTTGTATAGACGCCTAGTGAGAGACTCTTCATGTGGGACCCAGTACACATCACTGCGTGTATCTAGTCGCATAACCTTTTTGTATCGCTGGTTTTTGAGATAAGCGAGGTTATGAGATTGCAAGTCCTTGTATGTTTGAGGTGCAGTTTCTTCATAACATTGGCGGGGATTTGTAAAGAGGTGTGCTGGAATGTCGAAGTATGTCTGTAAACCCCGAACCGTCCCCATGTTATGGAACTGCAGGGTATGAGCCATCCACAATATATCGTCGGCGCTAAGGCAAGGGCCTAGATTGATCCATCTTGTCATGAGGAAAGTGACCTTGCTGTCGATCAGCGTAATGTCAAGACAGCACTCTGTGTTGCACCTTCCGCACATCAATGACTCAAAAATCGATTTTTGCCCTCCTGCTTGAAATTCACCCACCATAGGGTCGAGGAAATCGGAAAAGTGGGCATGCGCACATATCTCAAAATCACCCAAAAAATCATTCAACACGTACCTCGGGTCAGGCCCCTTTGGTTTGACGACTATTATATCCTGCATCCTGATATAAAGACCAAGTGGCTCAGGACATATCTGTGCCTCAATTGAGAATAGCGATGTTGTAAACAGTGGTGAGTGGCGGACTTGTGTGTAGCCTAGAGAGCGAGTACTGACCCCGGATGTTGGGCCATAGTGATACCTCTTCATAGCAAGCTTGGCCTGTATGAATACAAGCTGCTGGGCTACATGTTTATGGGAACTATGGGTTCTTAAGCCCAGAAAGGGAAGAAACCATAGATGGTCTTCTGGGCACGGAACTGGACAAGTTCTTTGGTGATACAACTTATGGAGTCCGAAGCTGTCAGATCCATCGAACCGATGAAGAGTTTCGCAGAAGTCGCAAGCAAAGTATTTTGGTTGATCTCGTTCCAACCGCCTCAAGACAGTAATCTTGTCGTCTTGTGTTGTTTCAAGCCGGCTCATTTGTCTTCGGCATAACATATAGAGTCGAATGTTGCGGCTGAAGGCAACACAAAGAATGTCAACAACCGGAAGGAAATCTAATATCGAAAGTAACAGTTCAGGAGGAAGTCCAGCGAGTGTAGTTCTCGAGATGCTTTCAGGACCGGGATTAATCTGCTCGTCTAGACAGACCACCTTGTCAGGACGTACAAGGCAGGATCTGACAGGATAACGTAGAGCTTCCATCGAGTTGACAGCCAATGGTGGTATTGAATTCAACATTAAAGGAAATGACAGAGCTCTGGGGAGGAAGATGATTGATATTTGAAATCAAAGTCGATAGCTGGCGGTTTGGTTTAGAAAAGAAAGAATGATTGGAGGAATAAGTGTTTAGATTCATATTGAGAACGAGAACTAAACCAAAATGAGTAATGAAAAAACTAAAACATGCGTTACTAGTAGTAAGTTTAACTATCTGCATGTCCGCATCCGAAAGTGGCAAAGAAAGGAAGCCAAAATCCAACAACAGAAAAGTCGGATAAGGCAAATTTGGGGGGACATGCCACTACGCTCGGGTCCGTGTAAATAGTAGTAATTTACCATAATTTATTAATAATTTATTATATACCCTAACTACTAGGTCATTTAAGGACATGTTACGTAGGAAAATCACATGACCTCTCTTTCTGCCAAAGCGGACTGGCAGATAAAAAAGTGCGTCCCGATCTGGGCTTAGTGCGTCATATGACCCGTGTAACGTGTTAGCATGAATAATGATGAGAGTGACCTAGTTAGTAGTTAGTAGTTGTTTATGTTTGAATTAAAGCCCTTGAAATAACATCAGTACGCAATCATCCAAATTCCGTCAAAGTTCATCCCAATGCAAATACTCCGCGCTGGAAATTGAAACAAGATTGAATTGAATAGAGGAACTTCCATGTCTTTCCTGTAACGGATGCACCTTTCTTGACCACCGGCCCGGTACTGCTGCGTACTGCGGGGGAAATACGTCGTGAATAAGGCTGCACAATACGAGTAGCCTGATTCCACAAGATATCTTCTGGTGCTCAATGGTCAAACACTCAATGGCCCACTGTTCCTTTCGCGCGCAGTTTCTCTTTCGGTCGCAGCTGTGGATCATGGACGATCCTTGGAATCACTCCCCGGCCCGGCGAAATGCGGAGTTTCCTGGGGCCCCGGAAATGTGGAAGAACACCCCGCAGAGAGAGCATAGCTTATGATATTGAATATAATACATAACTAGCTTCAATTCGGGGAGATTGCTCATCTTCTCTTACCGCGATTGATCGTTTTCTCTACGTACTATTCCTTGGAACATTGTTGAAAAAATGATTAATGAGATCTCCCCCGACCATGCCGATTTACCAAAAAAGAACCACGATGACTGCATTTCCAGAGATAATGAAGGGGAGCAATATGACATTAATGCTGAAGAAAAAGGTGTGACGGGTGAAATGAATCAACTGCCCGAGCTGCAGCGAAGATTGAAAAGTCGTCATCTATCGATGATAGCCATTGGTAAGATTGCCCTGGTCTATTCTCCCCGATTCTACTCACAGGACCTAGATCTAATCAAGATATACACATACACAGGTGGCACTATAGGAACTGGTCTCTTCATTGGCAGTGGAACGGCAATCGCCTATGCCGGCCCCGTTGGTGCTCTACTCGCCTACATCTTTGTGGGAACAATCGTATATTCCGTCATGACTTCGCTCGGAGAAGTCGCGACTTTTCTCCCTATACCCGGTGCATTTGCTTCATATGCAGCACGTCTGGTGGATCCCAGTCTTGGATTCGCCATGGGGTGGATATACTGGTTTTCCTGGGCATCCACTTTTGCTTTGGAGTTGACTGCCACTGGAATGATCATTCAATACTGGGAGAAGTCTGTTCCTATCGCAGTATTTATTGCAGTCTTTTGGGTTTTGATTATTGTTTTGAATTTGATGCCTGTTAGTTATTATGGTGAAACTGAGTTTTGGCTATCTAGTGTTAAGGTAAGTCATGGCCCTCTGATCTTGAAAAAGTTGAGATATTTCAAGATTTGCTTTCTAGGTCACTAACTTTGGATTGATTGTTTATATAGGTAATCACTGTTATTGGATTTATGATATTTGCTATCTGTATGAATGCCGGAGTCGGCAAGGAAGGATATATTGGATTTCGGTATTGGGTAAACCCAGGTCCATTCAATCCATACCTACTAAGCAACCCTGATCAAGACGCCCTTGCAAAGTTCATCGGCTTCTGGGCCGTTTTAATCAAAGCCGGATTCTCCTATCAGGGAACCGAGCTGGTGGGAATTGCAGCGGGCGAAACTGAAAACCCACGGAAGACGATTCCATCTGCTATTCGCAAGTCATTCTTTCGCATTATCTTTTTCTTCATTTTAACGATTTTCTTCATTGGCATTGTCGTTCCATCCACCGATACACGTTTGACTGGTAGTGAAGGAACCGGCGCCAGTGCCAATAACGCGAATTCAGCACCTTTTGTCATTGCGGCCAAACGCGCCGGCGTGAATATTCTACCGTCGATCATTAATGCTGTCTTATTGACTGTGGTGCTCTCTGCTGCAAACTCCAATGTTTACAGTGGTAGTCGAATCTTGGTTGGCCTGTCCTATGAGGGGTTTGCGCCGCGTTGTTTCGCGCGAACAACTAAGTGGGGAGTGCCTTATATTAGCGTTGGATTTACGGCTCTTTTTGGCTTACTGGGCTTTTTGAATGTGTCCAATGCAGGCAGCACGGTCTTCAATTGGCTACTGCAAATTGCCGGCTTAGCAGGGTTCATTACCTGGACATCTCTTATTGTCTGTCACCTTGGCTTCATGCGTGCATTGAAGGCACGTGGAATTTCGCGAGACACTTTACCTTACAAAGCGACTTGGCAACCATACTTGTCTTGGTACGGACTCTTTTTCAATGTCTTGATCATTATTACGCAGGGATTTACTTCCTTTATGCCGAGTTTCAGTGTGACGAACTTCTTTATCAACTACCTGAGCTTGATATTATTTTTGCTGTTGTATATTGGGCACAAGGTCATCAAGAGACCTTCATTTGTACACCCTCTTGAGGCAGACATTGACACTGGCAGATCAGAGTTTGATGAAGTGTGATATATGCGCAGGTATATAACTATGAATGTTGGAATAGGAGAATGGCTACCTACTAGTACTAAGTGCTTAGTACATAGTAAATATTGGAGTGTGATCGTGCAACTTTTGTTTTTATGTCGGAATAATCAATTAATCTGAAGTTCTGAACTGATTACAGAGACTCAAGAATGGACTTAAGAGTGGACTTAGGAAGAGACTTGAGAAGGGATTATATAGCAGCTACTAGTAGTGTTTTTGCCTGGTTTCTTTAACTTAGGATATGTATATTATTTTAGTGCCAATTTTTTTGATGTTGTAGCTTGAGGATCTACTAGTAGGTTACTGTATTAACTGTTAGAAGGAGGTGAGATCTTTGGTAAGCGGTGGTAGAAAGCGGTCTAGATAGTAGTAGAGCTGATGCTGCCCGAGGCAGATTAAGGCATATACAGGCATCAATGTGTCCCGATTAGGCTTTATGCATCATGCGACCCGTGTTAGCATGAGAGTGACCCGTGTAACGTGTTTACAAGATTAAACCCGGACCCCGGTCATGCCTCTTGATGCGTGAACAGCAATTTTCTCTTCAAATTCCCGGGTGTTGGATTTCTTTTAAAATTTGGATAAACAGGAAAGCGAAGATATGTAACATTGATCTTACTCCAATTTTCTCTCTTTCTTGACGAAACGGTCTCGCAGAGCAACGAATTTCCCAAGTAGCCGACTTTTCAAGGTCTGTGCCTGGAGAGCGGTCGCTTCTTCCACGGAAACAACCCTTCGCACTAGGATATTGAAAACAGTGCCAAATGCAAGTGCAATCACTGTACTAGTAAGAATAATCACATTATACGGCATGCTGAAGTCCGGTGTTGGGAGGGGAAGGAGAAGACTAGTAGTCCGAATGTATAATGGTCGGGAATCCGCTCCATCTAAGACTCGAATGACCGCCGGGGCCACATTGAAACCTCGATTAGCATCCGGTGGGTACTCTGTATAGCGCAACACAGCTTTCTCAAAGTCATAGGTCAACGTGACGGTCGAAGCGGCAGGTACGGAGAGAGCAAGTTCTAATTGAGTTCCTCGTTCGCGATCAATAGCCGGTCGATAGAAGGTCTCGGTCACGAGATCAGACGCAGGAATCTCCCGACGAACTCCATCGCGTCCGGTAATAGTGGCCTGCAAGGTGTGAATGTATGGTCGCAGAAACCAGGGAAGCGATTCGAAGTAGATAAAGTCAACTGCATCGGTGTCGGACGGATTGCCGAAAATGATGCGCATGCCACCACGCTCTTGCCCATGACCGACAATGGTTCGTTCGGCGTGAAGAACCGGGTTTTGAAGAGGTACCTCGGTCTGTAGTTGTTGCTCTGGGATCGAGAGATCGAAGGGCTCGGAGGATGCCAACGCAAAACAGCGAGTGAAACCGTCATTCTTCTTCAGCTCCGAGACTCCTCCTGTTGTAAAAACATCCATCTCGTGGGGTACCCGGAGACAGACAGACTGTTCGCTGGAGTCTGTCAGAGGGCATATGCCATTTAAAGTTCTCCCAAAGACTTCGTTCAGACTCCAGGCCTTATCAGTCACTTTTTCCACGGGGTAGCACGTGTCATCAGCATTGTAAGGCTTGGAGGTATCGCAGACCAGCTGATCATTTGGAACCGGTCGCGGGATGGGATTATCTGAAAAATCGAATCAATCAATCCATCCGAGATAGCACATGAGTGGAGACAACTAACCTCGCGGTCGTTTCGACCGTTCAATATCCAAAACCATATCGACGGTTTGTTCGATCTGAATAGTGCATTCCCCGTCAGATGAGCAGATAGGTTGCACATCAACGGACATGCTTTGCCATGCCGCATCAAAGAGTTTGTGCCCATCGAAAAGAGTCGAAATTCCGGTCTTTCCCTTGCATGGTAGCAACTTCAAGAATGGGGTGAGGTTCTCTGTGCAAACCACCTCTCCAGGCAGTGTTCCATGCAAGAGGTGTAATGAATTGGCATCTGAGTGATGTCCAGTGGGCTCAAAAGAGACCACAGGTCGTGTTGTTCGAGTCGAATCAACAAAGTTCAAGGATGCACAGAATAACCCCGATAGGGATTGAGTTAAGGTGATCCATTTGGCAAAAGCTCTGAGAGAAAAAAAAAAAAAAAAAAAAAAAATTAGCATGGGAGTTGTGGGATATTTGTTCAATCAACGCACTCCTCGTCATTTGCAGCATCAATCCATGCCCACAGCTCCACGCCAGTGCCTCCTTCCTTGCTGCCATTCCATGGCCGTGGACCCCAACTATCTGCGTCCCATCTTCCGGTAGTAAATCGCAAGTGAAGCTCTTTGGTATGCGCGTGCTGGAGGATCTGGCCAAGAGCCCTTGGAACGTATCTGAAATGCTGATTATCGAACGATTGTTGTGAGGTATTACCCCGGAAATTGAACGAAGCTAGTAGGGAGGATTGTGGGAGAGGTTGTAGGAAGAGTTGTTCATGGTAGTCGGATGAGGCTGAGACAGGTAAGCTCCATAGTGTAACAGAAAGTGCCAACAGCAAAGAAAGGAGTGAGGAGGCCGTCATCACTTCATGCCGGAGCTCGGTTTGCGCTTCCCCTAGTCCATGCGAGATTCAGCAGGATGTAAACTCCGCGGGGGGTGGCGAATCGCGATCAAAGGTGCAACCGGGCAATAAGATACCCAATTGAAGATCCTTGGATTTTTCCGTTCAACTTATACAAGCGAGGGAAATGGGGGGAAAACAGGGTATAGTAGTCGGTCACGAACCAGTCCATCTGGTCTGTTGATCGCGCCCTCACCGCCTTCCTTACCTACCGGTCCCGCTGTCTCATTCAAGCTTCCATGTAGCTACTAGTACTAGTTACTACTATACTTCTTGTAATCAACAAAGTCATCAATTCCATCGAATAAAAATCCCCTTCATTATGGTCATGTTACTAATCATCTCCCCGTCAACTAATTCTTTTCTAGTAGCACAAAATTATGTCTATTCATATATCCCTTCAAAATTGGTATTTCGGTGCAAATTCCATCTCCCCCTACAAAGATATCAGGAAGTCAAAAATGATCCGGGGACATCTCACAAGTCATACCCATTAAAAAGCGACCACAACTTGGATCTCATTCCTCAATTTTCCCATAACCTTCAGGCTTGCCACACTTCCCCCTGGATTTTACCTCACGTTGCCTTACTCACAGCTTTCCCCTCACTCTTTACCTAACTGCCACCAACGATGCGTTTCAACCTTCCCCAGCTCCTCTTTGGAGTCTTTATGCTACTCTTCGCTGTCTATGCCACTGATGAACTCGCCGAGAAATCCAATCTGGCTCACCATGGGTTTCCCCAAGGCTTGCTGACCAGCCTCAAAATGAACTTTCATGATACACTGCATGCACTTTCCAACAAATTGACAAATGGCGTTTTCCTGACGGACATCGATGACCTTGAGGCCGCTCAAGGGGATGAAAGACCGATTTTCAAGTTCCCGGTTATGGTGAAGCGGAATGCTAGTGAGACACATTCCCTTGTATCTACTACATCCACCACTTCTGTCAATCCCACGGACAGCAAGGCCGTCGCTACTCAAAGTCTGACCACAATCGAGACCACGTCCTCTCAGTCGAACACCACCCCTTCTGAGCTGAGAACCACAACTGGGCCAACCAGTCAAACTCAGACTCCTACCTCTAGATCTACCACTTCTGTTGAGGACTATACCACTGGTGCAAGTGGTAGCCATGTCATCTCTGCGAGCTATACTTCTACCACTGCCAGTAGCGAATCATCCACAGACTCTACCCTCAACACAAAGCCAGCGGAATCTTCCGCTTCGATGACTCACACCACAAAGAATGCAGCTGGTGAGATTTCCACGTCAACCTACACCAGGATCAGTGTCCTACCCAACGGCAGTCTAAGCACCATGACCTCAGTTACAGTGGTACGTGTCACTCCTACTGGATCTTTTGCCGAAAAATCTGCCGGATCTACTACGACTGTTGCCAAGGAACATTCTACACAGAAAGGTGTAGCCGCTTTGCCGACAGCTGATCTCACTCGAGAGGTCATCCTTATTCTTGGTGGAGCGGCTCTTGCCGCAATGGCTCTTTAATCAAGTGTTAGGAGTGATGACTTCAACTGCTTCTGCTAAGGCCCATTTGTTGTCAAGAGCCCCTTGGTTTTGCCAGATACGGCACCTTTATGTGCATTTGGTCCCATTAGGATGTTACAAATTCAATCGATATTTTCATTGTCTCCCGCTTAGAATATTGAAGATCAAAAGAGTAGCAATTGGTATAGATCATGACGCATCTCGATATGTAGACATGGAAAAAAAAAATTGACAACAATAAAAATAGAAATAGAAAATCCAAGTACAAAGTATATACTGTTCCTGAGAATATACGATCGGGGTATGTATGGGCCACATTTGTGACTGGAATGTGCGCAGAATAAGATCCTAGTAGACCGTGCCTCTGTGGACTAGACTCGGCTTGTACTTGATCGGTTGAACGGTTTGCTTCGAGCTGCATTGCAGGCCTGACTCTCACACTCGAGCCCTTGGCATAGATCATTGCGCTAAATTCCCAGCCCCCTGCCATCGTTCCTCACTGGTCCAATAACGAACCACGCTCTCCCAAGCAGGTAAATCACCATCTCGGAGTAGCGCCGCGACATCCACATTGAGCGGGGAATCGGGCTGCGGGTCCGTCAACAGCTGTTGAATGGCGGTCAAGGTTGACGAAAGGGTGTAAACAGGGCTCCAATGCTCGCTGGTCAGAAGGGTAAGGCAGATTTCGCCGGTAGTGAAGGAGATATTGGGATGAGAAATGCGGGTAGTGAAGTTAATAGTGGGTGGCGCGAGGGGGTAATTATGTGGTATGGCGATGCGGAGATGCCATAGGCCGCCTAGGAAACATTCATGATGGGTAAGCTTGGAACAGGAATGCGCCATAGAAATGAAGGTCGACGGTGTTCATTTTCTGTTTAGGATATACTAGTAGAAGATTTAGGAGTAATTCAGGCTTACCAGCGTAGGGAGACCCATTCACACCCTTTAAAACTGCTTCCCAGCGAAGCAGGTCTTCCTCATCAATAGGGCCGAGATGGAGGAGCGCTTCATTTGGTGACTTGACATAGTCTTTCAGTTCCCGAAGAAGGCGCTGGGTTGTTTGACTTGACGGTGTTGCCATGATGCAATACAAGTGTGGTCAATGAATTAAAAGGAGAGAAATGGCCGATTAGCTCGCAAAGTTGGGGTTTGGAGAATCAAGATTCAAGATCCACGTGTGGGACCGAGGTTGGAAGTTGGAGGAGTTGGAGGTGGAAAGCAGAACGTCTTGCTCTGATTGGTTCAACTCGGGAGTTGCTTTCCAGTTTGATTACTAGTAGTTTGATCATGTGAAAAAGACGGCTCCACCTCCACTTTTCCTGATCTCCAGTAATTTTGTACTCTACCTCAATTGACATAATCAATTCTCCTTGTTTTCTTTTCTCTTTTTTTTTCTTCAGGATGCGCACTTCTCGGGCCTCAAAAGACACTTCAAGGGTTTTGCAGGCGCTTTCTTCCCCTGCCCGCCGCCAGACACGAAGCAAAACATCTCTCAATGCTAGTGCCTTGCACACCTTTACCTATAAAGCCGATTCGTCTATTCAACCTGAGCTGATTCCAACGATCGCTAGCATTCCACGTGCTGAAGAAGAAGAAGATGACGATCGTGATGAATCCCCACTATCGTCCGCTAACACCACTGACATCGAAGACCTCCTTTCTCCGCCAACGAAACGCCGGAGACCGAACACAAACACCACTCCTCTGTCTGTCTCGCGGCGCATCCCCAATAGGCAACCTCAACAGGTGATTGTGAAAGATGAGCCAGATGAAAGGAAATTACCACCCCATCCGACCACCCCACCTCCCACTACACGACGTTCCTCAGCCCGAAGCACTCGCAATGCTGACTATATCATGGACCCACCGTCGATTAAATCCGAAGATGCAATCGTCAAACACGAGCCAGATGAAAAGAAAATACGCCCACAGCCCAGAGCGCGGCGTATGCCAGCACGTAAGACTCGTGATGCCGAGGGATCCATCGTTGTGGAGCCGCCATCCAATTGGGAGATCATTTACGACACCATAAAGAAGATGCGTGCAGACAACCCGACAGCGCCAGTTGATACCATGGGATGTGCAGAGCTCCATTGGCGTGCATCCTCACCTAGGGATCGCCGCTTTCAAACTTTAATTGCACTGATGCTATCATCACAAACCAAGGATACGGTAACTGCCGTCGCGATGCAACGCCTGCACACCGAGCTTGGGGACTTCAAGGAAGAACCTGTCGACGTTGTGAAAGTTGAAGCAGATGAAATTCAGATAAAGGCCGAAGATGACGATCAAAACATGCCTCAGTCGGTAGAACCAGACAGCACCCTTAACCTGGAAAGCATCCTCGCCGTCTCGCCTGAAAAGCTCAACGAGCTCATCCATACAATTGGTTTCCACAATAACAAAACAAAATACATCAAAGCTGCTGCTTTGATCCTCCGCGATAAATACAATGGTGACATTCCATCTACGCCAGAGGGGTTGATGGCTCTTCCTGGCGTGGGGCCCAAGATGGCATACCTCTGCATGAGTGCCGCATGGGGCAAACACTTGGGCATCGGTGTAGACGTGCACGTTCACCGAATTACGAATTTGTGGGGTTGGCATCAGACAAAAAACCCCGAGGAAACACGCATGGCTCTGCAGTCTTGGTTACCGCGGGACAAATGGCATGAGATCAATAAATTACTCGTTGGGCTGGGGCAGACGGTATGTCTACCCATAAAGCGGAGATGTGGGGAGTGTTACCTTGCTGGCACGAAGCTTTGCAAGAGCGAGGTTAAAGGCTCGGGGGCTCCTCTCCGGCGGGATCCTAAACGTGAGGATCCAAAAATCAAGATTGAGACAGTTGTCGAGGCGGTTGCTACTTCCGATGGACCGAGGATAAAGACTGAGGCGGTTGTTAAGGCGGATCCCACGTTTGATGAGCAGAAGATCAAGCTTGAAAGTATCTGATCTTGCTCCAACACGTGGAATGCGTAGTTCCATCTAACTTATATTTGCTTGAATTGATGGGGTTATTTTCAAGGACTATACTGCTGCACAAACTACTACTTCCCACAGGCAAGCACAGTAAGCACATACTGTGTGATAAATCAAAAGGGTATATATACCATGATCACTATTGAACTATTAAATGCCAACCTTGAAAGTAAATTTTACAGATAAAAAAGAGAGACCAGCTCTGTCATGTGCGAAGAAAAAACCGATCCCACAGAATATGAAACGCCATGCAAATTCACGTCGCCCATCGGGGGGTCAAGTCTCATAAATGGTGACGACCACCCCGCATTTAAAGTCGCGTTTTATGCTTATTTGAGACTCAACCACGAGTTGTTCTAATTTCACTGGTCAGCAAATGAGAATACCAACACAGCCTTGAGGAAAATCAAGAGGGAACCAACGCTTCCTTGGAGATTTCCACAACCAGGTGATCATGATCCGAGTCATCGGCCTGCCCATCGTTACGGGTTGTAGCGTGGTCGTTGTTGCTCTCGGAATCTTTCTCGCTGTCCTCTTCCCCGTCGGCACAGCCACAATCGTAGAAAGAGCCTAGGTTGTTGCAGTCAAACTCGGGTTTGCCGAGCATCTCATTGACCTCATTGTGAACGAAGCAAGCCCACCCAGCCGCGGCCTTTCGTGATGAAACCTGCGGCGGGTATTTATTAATATGTTGCTGGAAATGTTCGGCGCATTCACCACTATCATCATATTAGCCCCTCATTCTTATGTTATACGGATGTGGCTGTGACGCCGAAAAGCTTCTCCCAACTTCGCGTGAAAAGGGTGACAGGGAATATGTATCGCACCAGGGGTATAATCTCGCAAATAGGTGGATATATGTGCGCAGTGCATCCTGCTCGTCTTGCGTAGGCTTTTCGGGGAATCGTGCCATAACAGTGTGGAAATACTTCCATGTTGCACGGCCTAGTTCGGCTCTATAAAAACAAATGGCCGGAGGCCCGCCAGTCAGCACGACCTGTTTTCTTGATCAAAGAAATATGGTGGAAGTCGTTGTTTCCTCCTTACTTCACTGTTTCATTTCCAAGCTTCGGCATCACGACAGACCCTTTGAGCAAGTCCTCCTGTATGGTGACACCCCCAGCGGGCGCAGATTCATGGGTAATATGTCCCGGAGCGCGAACCGCGGGGCTCGGAGGGCCCGAAGGTTGAAGTAAAACGAAAAGGATGAGGCATATCGAAAGGGTGAAGCTAATAAAGAAGCGGTTTTTGGTTTTCTGACTGATCATGGTGGTTGGTTTGTGGGGGCGCAAGAAGTCGCCAGGCGTCACGACATTCGAAGTGAAGGTGATTATTGGGAACTTCGGTTGTCGCAGATCAGAAGGCAGCTTCGACATAAGAATTTCAAGGTAGAGAGTATTCAGAATGAGGTGAAAGACTCCAAGGAGGAAATGCACGTGTCGCGTTGGGGGGCTTAGTCATGATCCGCTGCTTGTCGCCGTTTACTACTATCTAGTAGTAGTACATAGTAGTATATCTATTAGTCCAGGGCTGTCATATCCATATGGAATTCGAAAAGTGAGATAGATTCATACTGTACGTGCATGATCTCTCCGTTGAATTGGAAACCACACACTTCCTGCTACATATGCCCCTGTCAGATTTCTGCCGATCCTTCGTTCTCGAACTGCGAGCCAAATTCATACTCCATACTTACGCCCGTGCCCCACCTCGGATACTATACTATACATATAGTACTACTGGCAGTATGTAGCGTGCTCCATACTCCTCCGCATCGGATAATGCTGGACACTTCATACCAGCAGACTTGAAAGAGCAGCCTATCGGAAAAAAGCTCGTTTTTCTTGAAAATTGATTATTGGCACTTCAAGAATAAACGAACATTGAAACATGAGATGGATGCATGACTAACAAATTAAATGGTGCCACATAATACCCAACTGAGCCCATCGGAAACAAAATAAAGTAGATACACACATCAGGTCTACTTGAAAATCCGGTTAAAGTCGTATATTGAAAAAAAAAAAATCTCAATTCATCACACATACAAACATCATCTTCAATGATACCCTGAGTAATCGGTGCCGACCAGCGGCAATCCGACAGGAGGGGATTGAGAGTAAGAGCCCCGGGTCGGCATCTCCATATAGCCTATGGAGCTATTCATAAGCAAATCTTCCAGGGATGCAGACTCGCGCTCAAATTCGTCGAGCGGGTCTCGAAGACCCCATTTCCGATCAGAATAGGCAAGTAAGTCTCGGATATAGGAAAGACAGCGAATTGCACGGGGGCGGCAGTTTATTCGGTCTTCTTCATCCAGCATTGGAGGATCGGGAGTTCCGGCGGGGACTGTAGGTAGGCTGGGAACAGTTGTGCTGAGAAGTAGATCATAATTTTGGGAGAGGACCTCGACGAAGCGACGCGCTACTTGTTGCACACGTTTGATGTCGAGGAAGTTGAGGAAGGGGAGGTGGCTAGGGCTCTCAAGTACTTGATGGATTTGGCTGATATAGTCCATGCATCTGTCAAAGAAAAGAGCGTTGTTATAATCGCAAAGGGTTGGGTATTGGTGAGAGGGTGATAGAAGAACAATTATAGTATAAAGCAATTCAAGTCGATATAGGAGAGAGAAGTGGTTAGGGGCGTTTGGAGGACATTCGTTGAGCCATTGTTGGGCCCGGTAGCAGAGGGTCCAAATTTGCACAATGGGTTGCGGCGATGGCTCGCGTGAGCTGTAATGCATATCTGAGTACCCGGCAGATAGGATTTGTCGGATCTTGACAATATGAAGAGCTGGTGCTGGACTTCGGAGAAATACGTTGCTTTGTTCGCTGGTCGAAGACTTGCTTGAGTTGCCGGTAGAAGGCATTTCAACGCTGACGGAATCGTCGGAAAACGAGAATGTCCTTTGAAATGCAGTACTTGTTCCTCTAAAGTAAGGTTAGCAAGATTATCGGCAGAAGAAGGGGCTATAAATTCGTACCTGTCCAGCGCGTAAAGACAATGGAAAACACGCCGACGAATGTCAAGTCGACTTGAGTTTGACAAGACCTCGGCTGGTGGATCCTGATGGAGTCCCAAATCCACCGCTACCCTGATCGCCATTCCTACCAAAAACCAGCTACGGAACCGCCCCGGGTCCACCAAGGAATACTGGGCCAGTAGAAGGATTGCCTGGATACACGTGATAGAACCCGGACGGAGGACCTCTCCTGCGTACGACAGTGCCTCTGCTACAAGGCCCAACGCTCGTTGATGACTTTTGTCATTTTTCTGGTATGAGACCGAGGCCGAGGCAATAGCTAAGACCATACTGAGCATCCAGTGGTCAAATGGTTTAGCAAAGCGGCCTTGGGATTGATAGACCGCATCGACGGATGTCCAGAAGCTGGTTTCCACAAAGAAGGGTAGCTGGACAAAGATATTATCGAAGTAGTGTTGCAGTAACGGGGTAGCCTCGTGTCGTGCGGGTAGTGAATTCGGGATTCGCGGCGGGGGAGATCCGACGGTGGTAACCGATAAGAGTAGATTGGCAAAACTGGTCGTGGAGGTGATGCCATGGAAATCGCGTGAAGTCGCATTGACTGATAAGAATCCAAAATCGCCCACTAGATCATCAATATCGGAAACCTCTCGACGATGAGCTGGGCCGGGGGGGGCAGCCGAGGAAGTGGCAGTGATGGACACCTCCCGATTCCCTTCAACGGATAGGGAATTTTGACGATCTCGCAACTGAGCAAGTTTCTTTTCTAGTTTTTCACAGTAACCTTCGAGGGACGCGACATAACTCCGCTCTTTGCCCTTGGCAAACTCATCACTGGCACCTGAACAAGTGCTCGCTTTGCCAACCTTTTCGCATGCTGAGCAGGCAGGAAGCTTCCCATCACATTTGATTTTGGCGGTGCGACAACGCGAGCATGCGGCGACAGGCCGGCTAACCTTCAGCAAGGGGTTATCCAGAAATGTGGTGGCCGTGGGCATGGTCACCGATATCCCACACACAAGGGAAAGTTGAAGTCTCAAGTTTCTGTTTTGTTTTTTGCTCCCCTTCAAGTCAAGTTAGTTGGTGGGATTTGTCCCGGGGTTTACAAGTTTACATTCCCCGCCGGTGATCGCGTTTATCAAATGTTTGGCACAATAACGGGATTCTGACCGCCTGAGCCACTAAAAAGCCCTTTAATGATTAATCTCCTCAAGTGCTCCAGCTTCGTTTTTAGAATAGTATGAATTGCAATATTATTGGGTCAATGCAGCTTCAAATTTTATCAATGTGTTTCCAAGTTCCAAAGTTGGACAGGGTTGAGTAATTTAATTCTGTCATACAAAGTACTATTGTTGCACGATAGCCCCGCTAAGTTTTGGATCTAGTATACTAGTCCACCCGGGCGGCACCTAGTAGAGATGCAAGTACATACTATACTACACAGTATCATTACGAAACATAACATCAACTACCAGTACATACTACTAGTAACATTTGAATATGTAAATGCACATGCTACTCGTGAATGTAAACCTCCGAGCATTGCCTCAACCGTCATTGCATGTGTGCAATCAATCAACTTTGTAATATCCAGTCTATAACGCACAGGCCAAAAGCAATTGATCAATCAATCTGTTTTCAAGGTTGTGCTCCCAAGGTAAGGTTCCAATGTCGAATTGGAAGGTCAGAGCGCGGCACTAACAAGTGCTGGTAGGATTGGGAACTGAATCCATACTACTACTAGTAGTATGTGCATCCACGGATGAATACACAATCCATCCTATTTATTGAGATTAACCAAGCATTATTGCTTACTAGTAGGCACTCCGGTGTGGAGATATTTGCTAGCCTTCAAATGTTGGAAGTAGAATCATTTTGTATATTGTACAATTGATACTGCCCGAAGCCAGCTTCGTTGGGTTCTTCCTTCACTCTTTCCTTGGTAGGTATCATACATCCTAGTAGGTAAGATCACCGTGATTCCAAGGTATCCATGACCTCCTCGCGCTGCATAGTCATCTGGGTCAAGAGGTCCCGCGCCGCAACCTTAGCTTGACGCATTTCTTCCTCCGTAGCCACAGAAATTTCAACACCGACGCTGCTATTAGTCTCCTCATCCCTATTCGTCACCTGGTATTCCTCTGAAATCGTTGGCTCGCCGTTGGTTTTTTCTTTCGTAGGACCTTCGGCGGAGAGGGGAGTCTCAGGTGGCGCTGTCTGATGGAATTCTGCCGGGCCCATTGATCGTGATCGTGTAACGCGCCGAGGGCGACCTCGGTGGGATTGCCTTTGTGGGCTTGAAAGAGAAACGGGGACTTGAACAGACGAGCTAGACTCAATACCTGCTTCCGAGCCACCCGGGGAATAATCTGGTGTTTGGGGAACACTGGGTTTAAAGATCTCGGTTATGGACTTCCTTGGCCGGCCTCGCCGTCGTTTCTCAGAACAATCCTGTGAGCGAGATAGGTCCGCAGAGGATTGAGTGACCCTAAGTCGTTTGGTTGGACTCTGCTCTGAAACGTCCGGTCCTTGATTGTCGACAATGGTCCTTGGGCGTTGGTCATGATTCGCATCGTGGACGTTTGGAGGCCAACCAGGCGGCTGATCCCGACTTTCGCCATTGGTAATCATATGCGAATTCTTGATCGGAATTCTCACCATGTACGATGGCCGAGGCTCCGACGCCAGATCTTCAACCATGTCTTCTTCACCGAACGAGTCTGCGACCGTGCGAGAGACGCTATTAGAGAAGGCGTCAGGCCAGGCACGTTTTCTTCCTGCCTGTAGCAGACCAGGACTTTGAACTTGAGGCAGCGAATCATTTCCTGTACCCAAGTAATCTACATTATTACTTGGTCTGCGCTCCTCCATGAACCGGTTTCTCAGCTTCAATGCTTCAATCTCGAGCTTCAATTTCTCGATTTCGTCTGACTTTGATTTCAACTCCTTCAGTACCGTCGCAACCATGTCGAAGCCCTGGCTGTTGAGGTTTCCGTGTTCTGCCACATGGCGATTAGGCCCTTGAAGTTCTATGCGGAGCGAGGTAAACGAATGCTTCAAGTCTGTCATAGTGTCCTGCAGGTGATTCACCGAGCTTGAGATCTGATCAATACTTCGTCCCTGGTTTTGCATCTGCCGTTGCAAGATTGGTTCTTTTGATGAGCCGGAAAGGCCAGTGGGGATCAACGCGGCGTCGTTGGCAGAGGAGCGATCTCGTCGAGCTGGTTCTGGAGGAGTTGGATGGAGGAATCTTTCAAGAGCGCCGTCTTTGAAAATCGGCTCAGCGGTTCGCATAGTCACAACTTCCCTGTAGGCGACCCTTGACATCTTCCAAAAGATGTTGGGTCTAAGAAATAGTTAGCATCGTTTTGCGGTGATCACAAAGAAGGGTCATTATACCTACCCATTGTCCAGAGTACATAGAGCGCCAAGTTTTTGTTGACAAAGTTTGCAGCACACCTCTTGAGTAGTACGACCGCGCAAAAGATGAAACTCTGGCGTCCGCGGGATTTGTTTCCTCTCTGAAGAGATGGAGATGCGGTTGAAGTTGACACTCAGCCAGGCTGTCGCAATAGAGTAGGCAGATGATAAAGTTGCCCACTCATTCTCGAGGACGGCTAATGAACTGGAGCATCGAGAGCACTGAGCCAAGATTGCGGGCCGTGATAGATTGACAAGATCCGACATTGGGCAAGGAGCAAGCTCTTTGTCGCAAAGCGTAGCGAACAGGATTCGACTTGCACGCAAGATGCCTCGATATTGACTTGCTTACTCAGCGGTCCAGACTCCGGCCCCTTATCGATAAGCGCAAGGCCAGAAAACAAGAGGAAAAAAAATAAGAGCTGCTGTCGGAGCTACTACGGAGTAACATTTACACCACACCAAAAGCGATAAGATGCTTCGCTTTATTATACGCCCGGCTGCTAGCAGCCGTGTGCTTCTTACCACCCAAAACTGCTCATTGACAACGATTCGACAAGCCTCACTCAATTCAGCGATTGGTCGGGGTATTCGCAGGTCTGGTCCTCGGCCGTCGTTCCCAAGAGATTCAGAAGATGGAGACCGCCGTCCAAGGGCGCACCGCGATGGAGGACGCAACGATTCACATTTTCCACCAAGATACCCACGCCGTGATGATACTATGCAGGAAAGGCGGCCGTCTAGAGAGAGCCGATTCCGATCGAATGGCTCCGACGAGCAGCGACAGACTCCGCGCCGTTTCCCACGCCGAGATGACAAACAAGAGCACACATTCAAGGAGAACCGGTTCCGATCAAATGACTCTAATGAGCGGCAGGCTCCGCGCGGTTATCCACGTCGGGAAGACAGACAGGAAAGGTCGCTCAGCGAGAAGCGATCTGGATCACCCGCATTCGACCAGAAGGAATTTATCCGCAGCGGCAACTTCCAAGCCCTACCCCGTGAACACCAGGCCAGTGAAACATCAAGATGGAATCAGGATATGCCGAGCCCAAGACCGAGACGAGGAAACCCAAAGTCTTCAATAAGACCACGTTCTGAATGGGTATCAGAGACAATGCCAGAGCGCGTGAAGGACAACGTGAAAGTTCCGGATTCCATCCCCTATACCACTCCTGCCTCTGAATTCATTTACGGTACTAGTGCAGTGGAAGCTGCCCTCCGTTGTGGTCGCCGTCAACTCTACAAACTCTATCTTTATCAAGCAGCTGAAGAGGAGCTCAGTCCAGCAAAGGCAGCTCTACGTAAATTGGCTTTAACGAAGAACGTAAACACCAAGTTGGCCTTTGCTGGCTGGGATCGATTGATGGACAAGATGAGCGCTGGTCGACCACACAACGGTTGCATTTTGGAGGCATCCCCTTTGCCTAAGCTCCCCGTGCGTGGCCTTCATGCTGTTCCCACAACGACTGAGACACACTTCCGCGTGGAGTTGGCTCCCCAAACACGGGAGGAAGCTGTAGTAAACGGTACGAATGACTGCCTTCCAGTTGTCCAGTCACCTGTTTCGCAAGAGGGGGTAAAATCCCACCGTTTCCCCGTGGCTTTACTTCTTGACGGGGTTGTCGATCCCGGCAACATGGGTGCTATCATCCGATCTGCTTATTACCTTGGAATTGATGCAATCATTTTCGCTGGTCGCAACTCTGCGCCTTTGTCGCCTGTGACTATCAAGGCATCTGCTGGTGCAGCGGAGAACATGTCTCTTCTTCAAGTCAAGAATGAAGTTGATTTTATGCAACGGTCCCAGGCTAATGGTTGGCGGTTCTATGCCGCCGATGCGCCAGGCCCCGGTGCCACATATCTTGATCGGGCTGGCACAGACGGCGATTCGAATAGCGGGCTCCTCGCTACACAAGCCCCGAGTGTGCTCATGATGGGTAGTGAAGGGTCCGGACTCAGCGGACACATCAAATCGCACGCAGATGCCATTGTCAGCATTCCTGGTGCGCGGCACAGCGTCGAGATGGGTGTCAAATCCGACCCAGCGCGGATCGACAGTTTGAACGTCAGTGTAGCTGCCGCAATCCTGATGGAAATGTTCTTGCGGACACCTTTGGCTTTATCTGGAGGTCCCAAGAAGTCCAAGGATAAAATGTGGTGAACGTGAACGTGGCTGTGCATGTAATAGTATAAATTTTCTCATCTCTAATACATAAATCAACATTGTAATAATAGGCACTTGGTTCACCATTCCTTCCACTTGTGCACTCAAGCAAAGCGTCATTCGGACTGTTCAGCCATTGAAGAACGATCAATGATCCGTGTACCTGGGTACTATATCTGCTACTGATGACCTCGGGAGCAATGGACTCCGACATGGTAGTCTAGTTACTACTACTAGTAGTTAGTTAACTATTGAACCACGAAGGTGCTGAATAAGCATTCAATGTTGGCAAAATCCTCCTGCTCCAAGGGCGGTGGGCCTCTGCCAATCAAAGGCGCTGTTTGTTTGAAGCTTCTCAGTACATAGCGCGTCCTGTCTATGTACGCACGATCTCGTTATGGATGCTATCGATCGTGCACTTGAAGCCTTGGCAATGGATGCCATCGATGCCCTACGTGGATTCTTTCTTCTAGCCGCTGCCACTGTATGTAATACATTATTCAACATTGAACTGTTGATTTGATCGTTGATCGTTGATCGTTGATCTTGAAAGGCTATCACTAACAAAAGATATCCAATTGCAGACTATCACGATTAGCATCCCCTCATCCTTGCGATCTCGATTCCTGGTATACGGTCCCCGCGCGGTACCAGCATCTGCCACAGAATCTTCAACATCAAAAGCCCCCGCCTCCTCGGGCTTGCTTGACTACTTGGCTACCTGGCAGGTGCCACATAGCTATTTCGCCCAGTTCTACATTGCCTCCGTTCTTTCTTCCACATTCTGGGCAATCCAGCTAGTCTTCCGGGGTCGAGTATTTCAGCTTATTGCCACACGAATCAGCGAAGAGCATGCAAGACAATCCATATCCCTCACACAGGTCCTGATCTGTTGGATTCTGCTGGCCATCCAAGGCTCCCGTCGATTATGGGAAAGCTATAAGTTCGCCAAGCCTTCATCGTCACAGATCTCGGTCGCACACTGGGCGCTAGGGTTGGGATTCTACCTAGCTGCAGGCGTGGCCATCTGGATTGAAGGATCAAGTGCCATCTTATCACACAGGCTTACAGTGGACGACGTGAAAATGACCAACGCCCCAACCATGCGTACTTTCCTCTGCGTACCGCTATTTTTGATGGCATCAGGCTTGCAACACGACTGCCATCACTTCCTCTTTTCTTTGAAAAAGTACACGCTCCCAGACCACCCAATTTTCCGAGGGGCTGTTTGTCCTCATTATGGGGCCGAATGCATTATATATTTATCGCTTGCACTTCTGGCAGCACCACCAGGTCAAATGGTCAACAAGACTCTGTTGGCCTGCTTCGCCTTTGTGGCCGTGAACCTCGGTCTGACGGCACGTACAACAAAGGAATGGTATGTGCAGAAGTTTGGTAGAGAGGCAGTACAGGATCGATGGCTTATGGTTCCGTGGATCTATTAAATGATGATCTTAGTTGTTTATCAAATACTAAAGGGGTCGGGAACAGTGGGTATACATTCTCGCCAATTACAAAGCTTAGAAGCACAACAGCTCGCCACTCCAGGGCTGCTACCTACCATTGTTTTGTTCTGCACGGGCTTGGTATCCAACATTGGACGGTCGGCATCTTGTTCCAGAAGTTTTTCTCTAGGTGTGTCCTAGTAGTAACCATACATAAGTACTACTAACCTTGAAAGTTCATTTCCGACCTCGGCAAAGTGCTTATTGCTTAGCTTTCCAGCACCTATCTCCTTGGAAGGTTAGAGTAACTCTGCCACTGGTTACCAGCTTCCTACTGAGTCACTTTCAAGATTCGGTGGAGGATTTCGAACAACATTGAATACGACCCCACCCCGTAAAATCACCCCTGTGTTTTCTTCGGCTGTTTTTCTTCGGCACTTGCGACTCCACGTGAGAGGATAAAAGAGCATAAATTGGCGATGCAGGTAAATGCAGGCTTATCCATGCTTATCAAGATATCGAGATAGGCTATGCTGCATGTTATCTTTGCCGATTCAGATAAGCACAAGGCCGCCCCTAACCGCGTGCAGGACATGGCCCCGCTTTTCTATGTTGGCGCAAGTTCCAGGTGTATGCGCGTCTGAGACCGTTGACCAGGCCGCGGCCAACTTGCGGTATGAAGGAGGTCTTGCACTGCATAGCCGTGAGCTCCGGGAAGGGACCAATCATACTTTCCCGTGAGTCTGTGTGGGCGATTTGCAACGTGTGACTGTTAACATTTGAACACTGGCCTATAGTGAATTGATAGCCCTAGAGCAATGCTGCCGAGGACTTTTCTAGCCACTTCCAATTACCCACGGGAAGGCTGCCCATGACGGGTAAGAGACAAGTTGGAGGTTCCAATTACTTGACAACCAGTCTCGGATTTGATCTTTAGGCTGCATCGGGGCTCTCATAGCCTGGCAGCCTTTGCCTGGTGACATGCTTTACGCGGCAAGTTGCGCTCCATTCGGGCAAACAAGTCAACCAATCAGCCCAGCCCAGCAAAAAATAATAAGACGATATCTGCATCCTACGGCTACAGATTAATCTCCTCCATCCGAGAGAGCTCATGCCCTTGTTCTGAGCCTGACTGGTTGAATGTCCTGATTGTGTCCGCCTCCGCCCGTGAGAGTGTCTGGATCTTGGGTAGTATCATTACACCCCGCAACCGAAGCCATATTGAGAGTCTGATTTTCATATTATATTGACTTCCAGGAAAGCCAAAAGGGTAAATGTACGTGTGGTTTCCTCTACACACTGCTTTCTTGCTCTGGCCTGGCCTTGCTACTCCCCACTCTATTGTTAGACCGTCTGCGTATAATATCGATTCTCTGTAGCTCCTGCATGCATCGCATTCGTGAACTGTGGACCAAATGACTTCACCGGATATCTTGTAAGTGACTAAAATCCCCGTGGTCGCCAGGACTCAGGGCCCAATGATTGGCGCGGCGGACGGTTTCGAGGTTTCTGTTGGTCACAGATGCATCATGTGCCTATACCCGCTCGACTACATCTGGAAGACTATTTGGAGAAGGTGGGGACGCCCAAACCGGATCCAGTGGTATCAATTAGCTAAGATAAAGCTGTATGGAGTAGTAGAGGTCTCATGGACACATCCAGCCTACTGTTTAGGTTGTCCAATCCTCGGTCGCTTGGAGGCCCTATCTCTGCGGAACGGGAAACCAGCGTTTTCCATCGGAAAACGGGCCATGTTGCCCGTCGGAAAACCCAACCGGCCTGGAAACTAGGGCTTCCCTGTTGATAAGTATATCAAATGTCTTATTTGTATACTGGTAGATCTTGAATATTGCTGAATTTCTGTGTTCTTGGTCATAGTATTCCTGCTCCTTTTTTCTATATCTTGGTGGTTTGGTTCACATATCTTTTTTTGCAATCTTCGATCTTTTCAAACCTTTGTGCTGTTCTTGTTTTGAAAGTCGTTGTTATACCTGATTTGGGAACTTTCCTACCTCCTTACCTTGAGGCAATTCATCTCTTTTTTTTTAATCCTTCGAACACACAACGGACCTCATCATGCCCTCCGCCGAATACCATATACCAACCTTGAAAACACCATGGATCGAAACACCGCTTGTCGAATCGGCTGCTCTATCTCGGGCCGCAGGGTGTAGGATCTTCTTGAAGCTGGAGAATGTCCAGCCAAGTGGCTCATTCAAATCTCGGGCCATGGGCAACCAGATTCTGTCTCATCTTCGCAAGCCGGAATATGCGAACCGCCGAATTCATTTCTACGCGTCGTCCGGTGGAAACGCCGGATTGGCTGCTGTATGTGCTGCCCGAACTCTGGGGTATCCCTGCACTGTTGTGGTGCCCCTCTCCACGAAGCCCTTGATGCTGGAGAAACTGCAGGCAGCCGGTGCAGCGGATGTCATCCGCCATGGTGAAACATTCTTCGAGGCCGGTTCCTACATGAAGGAAGTTGTTATGACGACAAGCTCCGGTGAGGACGAGGATGTAGCCAAGATTGCACTACACCCATTTGACAATGAGCCCATCTGGGAGGGCAATGGCACTATTGTTGACGAATTGCAAAAGCAACTTCCGCCTGCCGCTAATGCCGAGGAAGAGCAGGTTTACCGGGGACGTGCACTCCCTCTTGATGCCATTCTCTGTAGTGTTGGCGGCGGTGGGCTACTCAACGGCCTCGTTATGGGAATCGAAAAGCGACGGTCTAAGAAGCAGAGGGACAATGGATTTTCCAGCACCAGCCACTCCTACTTGGACACCTCTTTAGAAACCACCACAACGGAAATAACAACCACTTCCTCCATTCCAATCTCCAGTACTCCCAGTCCCATCAACCTTGTCGCCATCGAAACAGACGGCACCGATTCATTGGCCGCGGCTATCGCTCATAAATCGCTTGTCTCTCTCCCCAAGATCACCTCTCAGGCCACTTCCCTCGGCGCCATCCGTGTCTCAGAAACCACATTCCGATATGCTGTTTCCCCTCCGCCTGGTATCAAGGTTCACAGCACAGTTCTCACAGATGCCGAGGCAGCACGAGGCGTTCTCCGCCTGGCGGATGATGAGCGACTTCTTGTCGAACTTGCATGTGGGGTCTGTGTCGAAGCGGCCATTGGCGATGCTGCGACTGCCGCGGCTGCGGAGTCGGCGACTCCTGTCACTGAGGGTCAAAGCTCCAAGAAGCGCAAGAGAGACCTTGATGACTCTGCCTCCCGGGATGAGGGCTACGGCGATGACCGGTCGTCCTTGGCCGATAATGAGGCGGATCCTGAGTCTAGGCCGGAAGCCCGCGAGACTAAGCAGGCTATCCCGGCAAAGACCCCCGAGCTCACATCCAAGTTGAAGCAACTCCTGCCTGATCTCACCCCCCAGAGCAGGGTTGTGATCATTGTCTGTGGCGGTAGTAATGTAACCATCGGGATGGCTGGCGAATATCGGAAGATGTTATCTGAGGGATGGGTTTGATTTTGACGACGAAGATGTTTTAATTTGCCTTTCGGCTGCTTTCCAACGGTTTGGTGTTCATAATGATGATGATATTGCTCGTTTAACTTGATATACCTATACTACATATTACCCAAATATTTCTACAATGCCAATGCATACTATTCTTTTATACCTCTTATCATATGGAGCCATAAAAGCAATGTTTTTAAATTCATGGGTGATGATGTAGACGGAAATCCTGGAAGATTCAAATGTTTGAAGAATCCGATCATTGATCAATCATCTAGGATTTGAGACTGTATGAGTTCATGCTGTAGAGCTTCGTGGACTCCAAGCGGCCGCTAACAAAACTTCAAGCAGTTCCATCTCAATCTTGATCATTGCTTCAACAAGAGATCTGGTGAGAAGTTTGAAAGCAGGTCGAAAACTCGACATAAATTCCATGGAATCTTGAATTGGTGACTCAAACACCCTCTAGCACACAGTTACAGAGAATGTAATCCGCCGTGGATGACGGCAACGGGATAGAAGTAATGAATGCTTCGATGAATGATGTATTGGATTCACGAGCGTTCCTTCTAAGATTGCGTTCCGACATGCTAACTCTAGCATCTCCTACTGATTTTCAACCAAAAAAAGAAAAATTCAATTGATGAAACCAGCCCAGATCAAGCCAAAGCATGAGCATCAGAACGTTTGAATGTCACAACCACCTGCAGCTGGGCAAGCCTGAGTTATGTATAAACTTGTAACATTGAAACTTGTACACTTCCAATATTGAACATTCGAACATTGAAGAATGCTTGCAAGGTTCAAAGCGACCCGGGTATCAATCTAATTGGTTCATTCGCTTCAATTTTCCAAGAAATCTTCGATTAACCAGTCAATTGATCAATGTCAACCTTGGAATCAGTTGATAAAATAACACAAGCATATTTATATGCACATGCAGTCTTTCAAACGCTACATGTATAGACATTCTCTGAAAAGTGCAAACATAAATATACATGAACAAGAGCTTTGGAAAGACTTGAAATCTTTAATTTTGGTCAAAATTCACACTTTTACCGACCCATCCAGCCGCCATCAACAGTAATGACGTCGCCCGAGACATAGCTGCTAGCGGCACTGGCCAGGAAAACCACCACGCCCTTGAAATCTTCGGGCTTACCCCAACGGCCAGCTGGAATTCGAGCCATGATGCCAGCATTTCGTTCGGCATCGTTGATCAAAGCCACGTTCATATCGGTGTCAATATATCCGGGGGCTATGGCATTGACGTTAATGCCCTTGCTGATCCATTCATTCGAGAGTGCCTTGGTGAGTTGTCCAATACCACCCTTTGAGGCTGCATATGCGGGGACGGTAATACCACCCTGGAATGTTAGGAGAGAGGCAACGTTGATGATGGAGCCCCGGCGGCCTGAGGGAAACTCGGACTGATCACGCGACAGTAGGTAGGCACCAAATTCACGACAGAGTACAAATACAGAGGTGAGGTTAATCTCGAGAACCTTTGGCAGTTACTGTGTCAATACATTATCAGAAACTAGAGGGGGGATGGGTGTATTTGCTTACCTCGTCCCAGTCCTCATCGGGAAACTGGTGACTGGGGTGTCTCCGCTGGATACCGGCACAGTTCAAAAGAATATCAGGCTTAGATCCTTGAGCTACCACGGCCGGAACAATTCCCTTGACTGCCTGTCTATCGGAAAGCTCAGCAACATGAATAAAGGCTTTGCGACCAAGGCGGTTGATAATCTCGTCCCTGGTGGCTGTGTTGGATTCATCACGCTAAGAGGTCTTGTTAGATAAGTTCTCTCTTGTTGGTTTTCAGAGTCATCTACCGGATGACTTACCTGAACTAGAATAATATCGGCGCCTGCTTCGGCCAATGCAAAGGCCATTGCCTGGCCAATACCTCGTGTGCCGCCGGTGACGAGGGCGGTCCTGCCGCTTAAAGAGAAGAGAGATCCCACAGTTGCAGCCATTGTGATTTTTAGTTGAGACCAACGAAATAGAAATATGACAGTCAAGGTAATGGAAGTTGTAGGAAAAAGGAAAAGGGAGAAAGCAAAAAGATGTACAAGTTGGTAATTGCGGGACAAATGACTTATAAGTTATGTCCGACACTTGAGTCTCTGCCCACTTCCCCACGCGCGGGGGGGGGTGCCTAATACGGAAGAAGCCGTTGCCGAGTCAAAGGCCGACGGCAATTGATAAATCCACGGCTAAACTCTTTTCTCTCTTTTCCCTCTTCTCTTCTCTTCTCTTTCCCACTTACTAGTATCGATACATAGTAGAGTCATACACTAGCAGAGATCAAGAGTGTTCGTTTTCTTGCTATTAAGCATCCTTCTAAATAACTCGTGAGAGATCAGCATTGCCTGGATTAACGGAAAAGTGCAGTTATTAACAATAACTCTTCACGTCTGAAATTTTTCTATGCCTTTCCCCCCAAATCAGTCCGATTTGAGCAATAGAAGCTTGAGGTTTTAAATCACAGCCCAATTGATGCTGTACTGAACAAAGATGAATTATGGGAAGGTCACGAAGGTGTGGGCACGTGAGATAAGCAACTAGTGTCAAAATTTGACCCTTGACCTTGACCTTGACCCCTGTTTCACTTCCTATTGTGGAACTACTAGTGAGCCTGGCAATCGGAACCTCCGGAATTGTTTCTTCCTGTTCTACTACAGTCGTAAACTTATGAAAATGTCGCAATCCCCGCCATTGATGAGATTCGCGAGTGAGTCAGAGTTACTGATTCCAAAGAACGATGGAATCTGCCATGTTAACTCAAGATTAGGTCCCAATGAACGCCGCACAATTAGTCGCGAGGACCTCGGCTTTTACAATGCCCTCATTGTAGGAGCAGTGTACGAGGTTGCGAGTTCGGAGATAGACCTACAGTTGCCAGAGGCATTCATTGCTCCTCTGAAAGCCTGTATCTTCAAGTACCCCTTCTTGTCTGTCATCGTCAAGAATAAGCATACCGAAAAGCCGGCCTATCATGAGGTCCCCACCCTAGATCTTCAGGAACATATCTCCATCATCCAGAATGATAATCTTGACAGTGACGACACCACAAACTTTGAAAGAGTCTTACCTCAAATCCTCGACCGCCCATGGCCTGCTGATATACCCCCCTGGAGGATTGTCATTCTGCCTCTAGCATCAACTGTAAAATCTACAGCAAGTCGCTGCTTGATCATATTCTCCTTCTCCCACACGATTGGGGACGGGATGGTCGGTGTTGCCTTTCACCGTACATTCCTGGAAGCTTGGCGACAAAACGTTGGTTCCGATGGAGAACAGTCTTGCCTAGTCAGCCTATCTGGCCGAACTCTTCCAGCACCCTTCGACACGCCCGAAAGACTTACCATCTCATGGAAGTTCCTCCTTGGACCTTTGATAGCAGTTTATCTGCCAAACTTCCTTGCTGAGATGCTAGGACTTCACGCTCATGCTAGCACGGTTGACGCTGGCACTTGGACTGGATCGCGTGCCTTTTTCGACCCCGCCGTCACCAACCCCAGTAGAGTCAAAATGCTTGAAATCGAGACTCCGCTGTTACAAAACTCTTTACAGATCTCTAGAAAGCATGACACCAAATTTACCGCAACATTTCACCAGATGATCGTCCGAGCATTGAGTAAGGCCATTTCTAATCCCAGTGTCACCAATTTTGTATCTGGGACGGCTGTTGATATGCGGCGATCGATTGGCCTGGCAAGCCTTTCATGGGGTCTCTATGTATCTGGTCATTACGACGTTCATAAACGCCCCGGTAATGTTGAGTCTTCTGCAGTGCTCGATGAAATGTGGACACATGCTAGCTCGATGACAAAGAAACTTGCTGAATGCTCGACGAGGCTGCATGACCAAGCTATTGGGCTGCTCAGATACGCCCCCAGTATTCGGAATTGGACATTGGGTAAATTGGGAGGAGAGCGAGATTGCTCGTACGAAGTCAGCAATTTGCTTGCTTTTGATGACGCACGCAGTGAGAAGGACCAGAATTATAACATCAGTAAGATGATCTTCTCCCAGCCGGCCAATGTCCCCAGTGCGCCCCTTGTGTTCAATCTCATCAGTGTCAAGGGCGGTAGCTTGATCTGCACTGTAAGCTGGCAGTCTGGGGCTTTGGGCGTGCCAACGGAGGAGGAGATGCCGTTTGTTGACGGAATATGCTCATCGATTCGAGCAGATTTTGAGTCGCTACAGGATTAATGCCCTAAATATTTCTAGTATTGGATAAAATTTGTAATTATTCTGAACTCTTTACAGCGAGGCCTCCTGGTCATCCACAATCAATATTTTAATGCTGCCATTCCGGGGATCAGCACACAAATTGAGAGCCTCCTGAGCTCTCTCCAAGGGGAAGACATGAGAGACTAGTTTCTTTAGATCGAGAATCCCGCCACTAAGGCATGCAATGGCTGGTGGCCATGTATCACGGTAGCGATTAATGAATCGTAGATCGATCTAGACGGGTCAGTAAAAACACCATGGAGAAACTTTGGATGTTTCGAGAACGTACCTCTGCGAGAGAAAGATGCATAAAGGGTAGGTTGTTCATTATGGCCTTTCCTACCCCAATGACCATCACGGTCCCACCGCGCCGCGCAGTATATGCAGCTGTGCAGACGCTACTTTCCACACCCGTGCACTCAAGTACGGTCTCCGGTGCCACGTACTCGGATGTTCCAAACAGGGCTCGGATAGCCTGGGCATTACCATGGGCATCCTTTGTTCGGTCTACTTGGTATGTGATGCAAGAAGGAACGAAATCCTTCGCAAAGGCCAGGCGTGTGGGTTCCAAGTCAGTGATGACAATAGGATGAGCACCAGAAGCACGGGCTGCAGCCAATGCAATCAGCCCAATTGGCCCAGCACCACAAACAACAACACCCCGACCAAGACTTAATTCTGCGGTCTTGATGCCATTCATAACAACGGAGAGGGGTTCAAGAAGGGCACCTTCTGCAAAGCTAACATTGTCTGGGAGTTTGTGCAGCCATTTTGCGGGGTGCACTTTGTATCGTTGCATTGTACCAGCATATGGATAAACACCTGCGAACTGAACGTCTTCGCATAAATTGTATCTTCCGTCGCCACAGAGGAAACATTCTTCACATGGAACACCAGGTTCAACGGCCACATGGTCACCTGATCAGCATCAGTATTGAAGGAGATTCGGATGTTTTCTCATTGTATTTGACTACATAATCTCTTACCTGGCTTCAAGTTGGTGACACCATCACCACACTGCAGTACAATTCCCGAGGCTTCATGGCCAATAATACAGTCTCCTTCAAACACCAAAGATCCGATGCGTCCGGTCTTCCAGAAATGAATATCTGATCCACAGATACCGGTCGCTTTGATATGGACCAGTGCTTCTCCCGGACACGGCGCATACACAGGTGCATCCACAGATTTTAGCTTGTGGTCTGCAGTCACTTGTAAGGAGGGGTTGGGATGTGAGGGTGTGATGACGGTACGGTCCAACGACTTGGTCGCGGGCACCGCAACAGTTTGATCCACCAGAATTGAGGGTGTCATTTGGTTCGTTCAAATGTTTAAACAGCGGATAGCATTGACGGACACGGTTATTTCTTAAGTAAACATACGTCGGCGGCAAAGCTACCTCAATAGTAATTATGGGGGGTAACTTAGGTGGTTCAACCTTCCACATTGAGGATTCTGAGGAAGGTGGTTAGAGTTACCCTTTTAGTCCAGCTGCCTGAACGGGTTATGTTTGTCGACACATCCATCACGCGCCTATTTGAAGCCACCGGTTCGGCCTAAACAATAATGTAATTTATTGAGATATTCCTCTCTCTTTTTTTTTTTTTTCTTCTTGCTTTCTTAGTTTTAAATTTCAAGATGACTGTCACAACAAGCTTGAATGGCGTTCATAAGACTCTACCATCGGCATTGCCAGTGGTGCAGAAACTCTCCAGGGATCATGATGAAGTCCTAAAGACCTTTCGTCTGTTAATCGCCGATCTATGTCAGCAGTTTGGCGGTGGTCACCCTGGGTAAGTCATAACCATCCGAGTCTTTAACCTTCCTATCGACATTTTTCACCAAGACTTACCCTTTTCTTTATAGTGGTGCCATCGGTATGGCCGCCATTGGTGTTTCGTTGTGGAAGTATACAATGCGCTACGCCCCGCATACTCCGGATTTCTTCAATCGGGATCGTTTTGTTCTTTCAAATGGTAAGAGACTCCGAGTGGATGCACTCAGCACGACTCATGAAAATATGTATTATTGAAATGCGGCTATCCTAACATCCGATGGGTTTTCTCTTTTTAGGCCATACTTGCCTGTTCCAATACTCATTCTTGCACCTTACCGGATACAAAGCCATGACTTTCGACCAACTCAAGTCTTACCACTCAGATCGAGTGGACGCACTCTGCCCCGGACATCCTGAGATTGAACATGAGGGAATTGAAGTCACCACTGGGCCCTTGGGTCAGGGTATTGCAAATGCCGTTGGCCTTGCCATGGCGACTAAGAACCTCGCAACCACTTACAATCGCCCCGGGTACGATGTCGTTTCCAACCACACTTGGTGTATGATCGGCGACGCTTGTCTGCAGGAGGGAGTGGCCCTAGAGGCCATTTCATTAGCGGGACACTTCCGCTTAAACAATCTTACGGTGATTTATGATAACAACCAGATTACCTGCGATGGATCGGTTGATCTTACCAACACAGAGGATATCAACAAGAAAATGATTGCTAGTGGTTGGGATGTGATTGACGTTGAGGATGGCTGTTATGATATTGAAGGCATTGTCAGTGCCATGGAGAAAGCTCGAGAGTCGCAGGATAAGCCCACTTTGATTAACGTCAAGACGATTATCGGGTTGGATAGCCATGTGGCTGGCACCGCTACTGCTCACGGAGCCGCCTTTGGCCCGCAAAGCGTTGCTAACTTGAAGACCCTGTATGGCTTCAACCCGGATGAGCACTTTATCATTGGTGATGTAGTCCGCCAATTTTTCCAGGACGTTCCTGCTCGTGGTGAGCAGTGGGTACAGGAGTGGAAGCAGTTGGTTAATGACTACACAGCTGCACACCCAGATCTTGGTGAAGAATTTCAAGCGCGCGTCCGCGGTGAACTACCTGCAAACTGGGAGCATCATATCCCCTCTAGCTTCCCCGAGAGAGCAACTGCCTCCCGTGCCTCGTCTGGTCTTGTCTTCAATCCAATTGCTAAGGAGGTCAAGACGTTCATGGTCGGAACAGCTGATCTGTCGCCGTCTGTGAATATGATTTGGCCCGGTAAGGTTGACTTCCAACATGTGAGTATCATTGATTATTGATTCCTATCCTCCTCTGATTTGCCTTCTGACTTCATGATAAGCCTGATCTACGTACTACATGTGGTATCAACGGAGACTACTCTGGTCGTTACATTCACTATGGTATCCGTGAGCACGCGATGTGTGCCATTTCCAACGGCCTCGCAGCATATTCTCCTAATACCATCATCCCTGTCACTTCAACCTTTTTCATGTTCTATCTATATGCTGCTCCAGCAGTGCGCATGGGTGCTCTACAGCACCTCCAGGGAATCCATGTCGCCACTCATGATTCTATTGGAATGGGTGAAGACGGACCCACCCACCAGCCCATTGAACTTGCTGCCTTGTACCGCGCCATGCCCAATATTCTCTACATCCGTCCTGGTGATAGTGAAGAGGTTGCCGGGGCCTGGATCGCTGCAATTGGCGCAAAGAAAACCCCTACCATCATATCCACATCCCGTCAGGCTCTGCCTCAACTGAAGCAAACACGCCGCGAAGGCGTGGCTCACGGAGCCTATGTACTCGAGGAAGACGAGTCGGCCAGTGTGACTCTTCTTGGGGTTGGTGCTGAATTGTCTTTTGCCTTGGAGGTCTCCGCTCAGCTAAAGGCTCAGAAGGGTATCATTGCGCGGGTGGTCAGCTTCCCTTGCCAGCGACTATTCGAACAACAGTCAGTGGAGTATAAGCGTGACACTCTCCGCCGTCACCGTGATATTCCTGCCATCGTCATCGAGCCTTATACTCCAAACGGCTGGGAACGTTACGCAGATGCGGGCATCAATGTGAACCGTTTCGGGCACAGTCTGCCTGGCAAGGCTGCGTATAAGTTCTTTGGGTACGAGATTAATACATTAACAACCAAAGTGGCTGGCTACCTTGATCAGCTGAAGGCAGACGAGCATCTTCGGCATGAATTTGTCGAGCTGTGAGTTAATTGATGGTATAAAATGATTGGTATTGCGGTTTGCATATAGATTTCCCGTTCCTCGAAGTTCCCAGTATTGAACCATGTGCATAATATTCCAAAGTTTCTACTGGGCCTCTTTTTGCATATTTTGACTACTACGTCCACGGGTATACCCATCAACCGCGTGAGAACATTTAAATGATCAGGTTTTTCTTGCAGGCAGCACTCGTGAATCTGTAATTTTCCTTTGTTCAGGATCAACCTCGGAACTAAGGAGAACCAAGGGGCAACATTCTTTCCGAATCTAGGAGCTCCAAATGTTTGATTCAGCCCCCTTGGAATGCATATTGAAGTCATGACTTTGTATACCAGTCTCTGTAAGCCTTAAGATCTCGGTAGTACTTGTGGTTTAACCAAGGGTTGTTTGTAGCTATTTAATGATGTGCAGAGATCCACAAGACATGAATCATACATACTGTACATATTGGATGCTCACTCAGCATGACTACAAATAGCATCCCTTCCTCCAGATGAAGAGTAATCTGAAAACTCCAGGTAGACTTTTACATTGTTTTGGCTGATCATCTAGGACTTGATGGGAAACTAGGGTCAACAAGGGCAGTGAGTTATCTGCAGGACTGGTATCTTGCACTCAGTGCTGCTATAAACATTAAATCTGCTCTACCAGTCGCCTGTTGTCTCAACTTCCCAGAGCTTTTATCAAATATTTGAACTTTTCAAGTTGTGAGCCAGTTGAGCATCTTCTGGTTTTCTTAAGCTCAATTTTTTTTTCTTTCAACAATATCAAAGCTTGGGGAAGTTCTGTGCATCACAATGAAGATTTCGATTGTCCTTATCATGGCCTCTGCCGGCGTCGCTCTAGCGCATCCTACGTTCCTCGACAAGCACAAAAGTCCAGCCTCCACCGATGAGCAGAAGAGCAGTGCCTGCCCTAACAAGCTCTACAGCGTTCCTTCATGCTGCTCCAATAAGATTCTGGATATCTCACAGGGAGGCTGCAGTAACCGTAAGTTATATTTATCCCCCTTTTCCTCTGAGAATCAAGTTCAATCGACCTTTTTGACTGATCCATATTTGGAACAACAGCATCTGGTGCACATAATGGGACTGTCTTAAAGAGCAGCTGCGGCGCCCAGATGCCTCTATGCTGTGGTATACATGGTGCCCTTACGGGTGCGCTCTGTGTCGATCCCATTGGTGTTTAGAATGGCTTATGAGTTGAGATTCATGTATTAAAGCAATTATCACCTGTGGCATGCGATCATATAGGAAAGGGGGCCAGTGTACATATAACAACTTGAATGTATGGAAGATGGATGCAGAATAGTAATAGTACTTGATTAACTAGATTAAGTACTGCTTAGTGGTCACTGATGCCGCTTTCTCCAGGCAACCGACGGTTAACGACGGAAGCAAATGGAGCCTCAAATAGAGTCAAAAAGTGAGAAAATCGAGTGATTGAGTGGATTGAGGGGTTTACCTTGTGGTTCCAAAGAAAAAAAAATCATTCCTTTTCTTTTCTTCAACTTCTATACTTTTTGATCTCCACCATGTCCGTCACCACACATCCTGTTGTCCCGCCAGTGGCGCTGGATACTATCACCCAGCACATTGGCAACACTCCTCTCGTCCGATTGAATCGCCTACCTCAAAGCTTGGGTATCGATGCCACCGTCTATGCCAAATTGGAGTATTTCAATGCGGGCGGCTCCGTCAAGGATCGCATTGCCTTGCGCATGGTGGAGGAAGCTGAGCGATCCGGTCGCATCAAGCCGGGTGATACCCTGATTGAGCCCACCAGTGGTAATACGTTAGTGATGCATTTTCTTTTTTTTTCTCTTTCATTCGTTGAAAGGGAATAGCTGACCCTGATTGATTTAGTGGTATCGGTCTGGCCCTGGTTGGCGCTGTTAAGGGTAAGTGCACTGCTACGAAGGGGTGGGGGGGAAAGAGGGAAAGAGAGGACCTCGGACATGGCTAATAATGACCACGCAGGCTACAAGACTATCATTACCTTGCCCGAGAAAATGTCTGCTGAGAAAGTTTCTGTCCTCCGCGCCTTGAATGCGACAATCATCCGAACCCCCAACGAGGCCGCCTTCGATTCCCCCGAATCCCACATCGGAGTTGCCAGGCGCCTGGAGAAAGAATTGCCCAACGCCCACATCCTCGATCAGTATTGCAACCTGAACAACCCCCTGGCCCATGAGTTGGGTACTGCCCAAGAGATCTGGACCCAGACTAAGGGCGAGATCAACGCCATCGTCGCTGGTGCCGGAACTGGTGGCACCATCACCGGTCTGGCTCGCGGTCTGAAGAAACACAACTCCAACATTGAGGTTATTGCCGCCGATCCTTTCGGTTCTATCCTAGCCTTGCCCACTTCTCTGAACGACGCCCGTGTCAATGAGCCCTACAAGGTGGAGGGAATCGGATACGATTTCATTCCCGATGTGCTGGACCAGAAGATTGTCGATCGATGGTACAAGACCGAAGACAGAGAATCATTCCAGTACTCGCGCCGTTTAATCGCCGAGGAGGGCTTGCTGGTCGGTGGTAGCAGTGGTAGTGCCATCGCAGCTTTGGTGAAGGCTAATCAGGAGAAGAAGTTCTCCAAGGACGACGTTGTGGTCGTTGTTCTCCCCGACAGCATCCGCAGCTACCTGAGCAAGTTCGCTGATGATGATTGGCTCGCCGCCAACGATCTTTTCCCCGCCGCCGTGCCTGTCGAGACAGCTAACCCCCAAACGGCACAGCCAGCTGCCACCGAGGACCCCCTGGCGGGCGTCAAGGTCAGCGCCCTCCGCTTGAAGCCAATCACCACCGTGACCTCCAGCTTCTCCTGTGAAGCCGCTATTGAGATTATGCGTGAGAAGGGCTTTGATCAGCTTCCCGTGCTCGCTCCCTCGGGTCGCAAGCTCGTGGGTCTTTTGACTCTGGGTAACGTCCTGAGCAGACTGACCCACGGTCGTGTCTCGGGCAAGACTCCTGTTTCCGAGGTGATGTTTGATTTCTCAAAGATCCCCGAGGTTGTCACCGACCCCCGTGATATGGGAGCCACTACGCACTCGAAGCCCCAACACAAGCGCCAGTTCATCGAGATCACTTTGGACACCCCGCTTAGCGTCCTGAACCGCTTCTTTGAATGGAACAGTGCCGCCGTGGTGACTGAAAAGGACGCAAATGGCAGCATGAAGCCGCTGGCGGTTGTTACCAAGGTGGATCTGCTCACCTGGTTGCTGCACCGCAACAAGAAGAACGGCAATTAGATGATTCACGATTCCCTATGTCCCCCTTACGTATTGGGCCCCAAACACTTGCGTCGGGACCAATACAAATGATTTACTTGATTACAAACAAGATAGATGAATAAATACAATAATACAGCTGGGATAAATCTCGAGAGGCAACAACACCTACAAGAGACCCTAGCCAGATTCAACTCGCAAAAAACATATGGCTTCTTGTGTTTATACGTAGTACTAGTATGCATACTATCTACTACTAGGCATGGGTTCAAAGCAGAATAATTCAATGTAAATCCCCAAGGTCCTCAGCCTTGGAAGACCACATACTACTAGTATGCACACCAAGGTCCTCTTCAGGGCTTGCTTCAAACCCATCCATGTATTTCTCAGGCTGGGCATTTTCATTACTTCTGGGCAGCTACTACTTTCCACATCCCCAAACTTCCAGGCCTAACCCAATTTCCACTCTTCAATGTTCAAATATTGCATTATTACTTGTGAGTTGCATTGCACGAAACATAGGAAATTCATTTCGTCTCTAACGAGGCTAGGCCATTCTAAATACATATCATTCGGGTAATTCGTCAACGCCATCCTTGCTCATTCCACATTTAAAAGCCTTTACCAGCTTCGGCCGCCTTGACGTCCTCCTCAGAGCTCATGATCTGCACTTTGATTGCGCCAGTCTTGGGGTTAGCGGCGGTCTCAAAGGCCTTGAGGGCATCCTCGATGGCGAAGCGGTGAGTCACCAGCTTGCGTAGGTCAATGACGCCGTTCTGAACCAAGCGGATGGCCCGAGGCCAGGTGTTGCAGTAACGGTACTGGTACTGGAGATCAATCTCTTGGGTGCTGAGACGCATGAAGGGGATGGTCATCTCGTTCTTGCCCACACCGATGATGAAGACCTTGCCACCGAACTTCATACTCCAGATGGCCGAGTTGACACTGCTCTCGACACCGGTACACTCCAAGGCCAGCTTGGGGCGCAGGGCATCGGGACCAGAACCGTTGCCGTCATTCATGGCATTGATGATACCCTCGGCACACTCCTCGGCTGACTTTCCAATCTCCACCTTGTAGGTGCGTACCTCCGGTACCAGACTCTTGGCAAAGGCCAGACGACCCTCATCAATATCAGTAATGACAATGGGGCAGGCACCTGCTGCTTTGGCACTGAGCAAGCTAATCAAACCGATCGGACCAGCGCCGGTGATGAGCAAGGCGTCACCGAGGCGCAGACCGCTGCGCTCAATGGCGGCCAAGGTGACACTCAATGGTTCCAGGAGGGCACCATCCTCATAGCTCATGTCGTCGCCGATCTTGTGGCACCAGATGGCGGGGTGGTTCACGTACCGACGGAGCAGGCCGTCGACGGGTGGGGTGGACAGGAAGTCGACTTTTTCACATCCATTGTAGCGACCAGTCAGGCAGGGCTCGCAAGCGTTACAGATAATGTTGGGCTCAATGGCGACGCGGTCGCCAACCTTTAGGGAGGTGACATCGGGGGCTACGGAGACAATCTGACCGGCAGATTCGTGACCGAGAACGTGATCGCCGGTGACGATCATGGGACCAATGCAGCCAGCGTGCCAAAAGTGAACATCGGATCTGAAACGTGGGGGAAAAGAGGGGAACAAAAGTCAGTGGCCTGTGGAAATTGAGCTCCCCTCCGTTATAATTGACATACCCGCAAATACCGGTGCTGCGCACCTCAATGATGACCTCGCCGGGCTTCAGACCCTTGCCTGATTGAACATCCTCTAATTTCGGAGTGGTCTCGGCAATCCATAGGTCATGATTGGGGTTGGTGTAGACACCAATGTTGGGTTTGGTGATAGTTGTTGCGGAAGACATTGTGAATATGGGGAAGTGGGGAGAAGGGGAAGGAAACGGGAGATTAATTGAAGAAAAGGATTAATGAGAGGGAATCTACAAGCTCTTACGGGGGACTGGAGAAGGTCTTTATTTAAGAAATTTTTAATTTTTTTTTAATTTTGGAGATTTTGGCCAGGTGATCATCTGCATGCTCCGTCATACAGGAAAGCAATTGTAAGTCCAAGTGTACAAGTGTTACAAGTGTTCAGGCAAAAAAAGGAAAGCAGAGTGGAGTTTGGAGGGGCAAAGTGGACCTCCAAAGGCCTCGATCCAACCAAATTGCAGCAAATGGCATTATACTGGGGAATTCCAGAGCAGAAAGATGGAGCAAAGATCAAATGGAAAAAGTCTTGCATTTAACCGCGGGGTTAACTTGCTATGTTTTCCCAAGCAGGAAACCAACTTCGAACATCAATTGATCGGGCCGAAACCCGACAAAGAAGGCATCGGCTGTCGGTTAAAATGCACCATGCGCAGCCATTTTCGGTTTTCTATTTTCTGTTTTCCTTTCAATGTTGAATTAAGAAATTCTTATACAAAGTACACCTCATGATTCAGAATGTGTTTTCTATTTCCCCTTATTTCCTCCATTTCCCCTGGTCATCAATTCATTCCGAGATACGCATGACCAGTAATCCCGGCAGAAATCTTATTTAAACCACGAATCTGATGCTACAGCTTGAAAGCTCCGAAAATGGCAATTCTCCGGTGGGAAAGTGTGGAGTAAAAAACAGTGGTGGTTTCTAGAATCCAGACTATATTGTTCCAGATGTCTGAGAATGTTCCATAATCATGGAACAGGTTGTACATATACTACTAGGACACATGGTAGTACCATGCACACATGCACATACTACATCAATTCAATGTTCAATGCTGATGGATGGTAATGTTTTTAAGTTCCCTTGTCAGCACTTAGTAATCTCAACTACACATGTGCATTACATCGAATCTATCGGCAAAATCAGTAAAAAAGAAATAAGAAAATAAAATAAGAACAATACTCTCGCTCTACTGTATGGTAAATCTTTGATTCTACCATATCAATTGATGGCCATGAATTGGTCAACATTTGAATGCTTCCAACATTTGACATCTGGAAGGTTGAAGCACTTGAGATCTACCTGGTAATATATATACATGTAGGCGGATGGGTTCGCTCAACTAAGCACTTGAGCACCTAAAACCCTGCACACATGCATGTGGGGAACATTCATTTTCAAATCAATTGATGTTTCAAAGTTGGTATTCCTAATCCTAAAAGCACTTGAGTTAAATCATTCAGAGATATTTTGGACCTTTAATTTATATAATCCAAATGTTTGAACCTTCCAATTGAACATTTGAAAACATTTGAAGTATGATGGTTCAACGTTGTGTATAGACTCTACACAGCGGCGGTGTGTTGAGCCCCACGCAAAATTGGGAAATTTTTCTTGTTCCGAAACCTCCCACGTATAGACGAAAATCAACTAAAAAATCCTGGAACGCCTGGGAAACAGTCCCGAAATAGTGATACAATCAACATCAGAAAATAAGAGAGCTGCTGTCAACCGCCTGAGCGAGAAAAAAAAAAAACAAAAAACGGCCGCAAGCCCCCGCCTCGTGATCACATCTCACGGCCTTATCATCGGGCAAGCTTGGAAGTAGCCTTGATCTGCCGACCAGATCTATCCGCCACGATGTTCACATTGAAAGAAACAGCTGCCTCATCACTGTCACTACCCACGGACAATTATATTTACTCTCTTGTGCCGTCCACAGCTGGTACTTTTGCCGCCATCTCCTCCGATGATTCCTTGCGCGTCTTTGATGCCGCTAACCTTGATCGCGTCGCGGTGATCTCACAAAAGGCTCATGAAGGAGGTGTCACGTCGCTGCGGAGCTATACTGCAGGCGATTCTCACCTGTTGGCTACTGGTGGCCGGGAAGGAAAGCTAAAGTTGTGGGATGTTCGAGCTGGGAACTCAGTCCTAGAAGTAGAAACAAGTGAGTCTTAGATCCAGCTATCTTGTACACTCTTGTTTTTCATCTTTCCCTTCGCATCCCCCTTTCTTTTTAGTCTCCCCTTGTCCCAACCTTGACTAATCCATCTTCTATTCTAGCGAGGCATGCACCAGTTCTCTCTGTAGCATGTAACCCGGACACCAACACCATTGTTGCGGGTACAGAGCTTCTTTCCTCACAGGCAGTTGTCGCGTTTTGGTAGGTTACTCATGGGTGTTTCAATCCCAAACGTTGCCCGCGTAGAATGTTTCACTTGGATGGCACTTACAATCATTAGGGACATCAGATCTCCACAGGCACCCCGTCTGCAATACGTGGAGAGCCACAATGACGACGTCACAGAGGTCAGTCACTATTCCATGTCTCCGCCGGATCGCTTCCATTCTATAAACTACAACATCTTGCTTCCCACGGAAAATGACTATACAGACAATATCAAAACTAATGTTTGTATAGCTTCAATATCACCCCACCCGTAACAACATCTTACTCTCTGGCAGCACGGACGGACTTGTGAATATCTATGACACAACTGTGACAGATGAGGACGACGCTCTGGTCCAGGTCATCAATCATGGCTCGGTTCATCATGCGGGTTTCTTGTCCGACAGTACCATCTTTGCCCTGAGCCATGACGAGCAGTTCTCTATTCACCCGGCTACCAACCCGGATGAACCTGGACAGGCACCCGAACCAGTGGAATTTGATGACGTGCGCGAGCCTTTAGACATTGAATATGTGGTGCAGGTTTGCGTGGCTGGACAAGGCGCTTATATCGCGGCTGGTAATAAAATGTGCGTTTTTTTCAATCTTGTTCATTCAACGTACTTTGCTTTGGCTACTAACTTCTCTTCTTTGTCACAGTGATAAGCGACTTGATTTGGTTCCACTGGTCTCTAGCCCTAGCTGGCAGTTTGACCAAGATAACCTGTGGCGCCTGCCTGGTGCGCACGGCGATGACGTTGTGCGCTCAGTATACTTGGATGATAAGGTGGGTCCTGTTCTTTTTTTCTTTTTTCTTTTTTCCATCGACTAAATATGCAACTTACAAAACCTTCTGTCAATTTTGCTAACGCTGGTTTACAGAGTCAATCAGTGCTTACTTGTGGCGAGGATGGGTTTGTGCGAGTGTGGAAACCGGATGGAGATGCTTCGCAGGGCCAGGCTGGATCGACAAAGACTTCACGGAAGGACAAGAAGCAGAAAGATCGGTTCCGGCCGTATTAGATGTGGGATGAACTTGCCTCATAGCAGTTCATACTAGACGAGATAAAGCTGGGAGCAATCTCGGAATAAAATGAAATCATACTATTTTTCTTTCCCCCTTAAAACACCACGATTTAAATCTCCATTAAATCTCCAAACATTGATCAGAACCTCCGAGGAATCCCCCACATTCAGATGAAGCTTCAAGTTCTTACATGTACTACTAACTAGTATGGTTTAAATATATGATATACGGGAGTGGGGCTGACTTGCCTTTACCGCCATCGTCACCGATCTACAACTTAGTCTCTTACAACATTCTCTTCAAATCTTTCCCACAGCGCAACAATGGATTCGACTCGCTCCCTCTACAAGAATGAGATTGACTTTCAAGCACTCGCATTTCAATCATCTGATTTTGCCAAATTGTATTTTACGTCTCTTGGTTGTTTGAAAACCCCAGATGCTAAAGAACTATCAGCCTCAAATCGAATAAACAAGTGGATTTCAATGACCCAGCCACTGTCAGGTATGGTTGCCGGTTCCACAAGCTTGTCAACGTGAGGGAAACTGACCAAGCTACAGACAATTGACCATCAGCTTACTGAAGCGTGACTTTGGCCTCGAAGTCGACCTTTCCGAGGATCGATTATGTCCCCCAGTCAGTACAGAAACTTCCTTCAAATTATTTTCTTACTAACGCTAAAAATCCAGGTCCCCAACAGGTATATAACCCAGCCCTACGTGATATCTTGAATACTAAGAAAACAGACTTAATTATATCCTCTGGCTGCAAGATCTCCTCGATTCCACGGCGGGAACAATCCAAAGAGGATATGACCCGGATCGGAAGGTTTTGGGCTTAGACATGTATGTCATCAATTAGAACATGCCATCTTAGTGGAACGAGCTAAGAAATCCTAGTGGAACGGGATGTTGTAGCATTTACCCGTTACTGGGTTGTACGGCTCGCCCCCAATGGGATTTTATAGCGACTGGTACGGGTTCTCACTCACCGGGGCAACAGGAGGGGAAAAAAGGCTGAGCAAGTTTTAGATATTGACGAAAACAACATACGAACGGCCAAACGGAATGTTGAAAGAAACAGACTGGAGTCACGGATTCGGATTTTTCAAACCGATCCCAGCGATTCCTTCTTCAATCTGGAGAAATTGGGTCATGGCAGGTAAAGAAAAAAGTGCCCAGAAGATGCGAAACATGACTGATAACAACCTAGCCTGGACTTTACAATGTGCAATCCTCCATTTTATGCCTCACATGAGGAAATGATCGCATCTGCCGCGGCCAAATCACAGGTGCCCTCTTCGGTAGCCTACTATCTTTCCTTTTTGATTGACAGAGCTGGCCACTGATATATTCTTCTAGATATGCACAGGAGCGGATGTGGAGATGGTCACCTCCGGCGGCGAGATAGCTTTCGTTAAGCGCATGATTGATGAGAGTCTACAGTTGCGCGACCGGGTCAAGTGGTATACATCTATGTTAGGCAAGTTGAGTAGTGTGACGCTCCTCGTTGATATCCTGATGAAACGGAAAAACCACAACTATGCTGTGACCGAGCTCGTGCAGGGTAACAAAACTAAGCGCTGGGTTTTGGCTTGGTCGTGGACGGATATGCGACCTGAAATGGTAAGAAAATCCTGCTCCATGGGGATAGCTTGTTCTAATGATCATGCAGAGCGTGGCCCGAGGAATCCCGGGTTTCCCAAAACACCTCTTACCTTTCCCCGCAGACTATGTCTTTGTTCTTCCGTCAACAATGACTATTGATACAGCCAGTGCTCATATGAATACTGAGCTAAAATCATTGTCGTGGCGCTGGACCTGGGATGGATTTCGTTGTGCTGGCGTTGGGTTTGCAGCTGAGAATGTTTGGTCTCGCCAGGCACGTCGCAAATTGAAGCTCACTGGGCAAGGGAGACCACCAGTTGAATTATCTGAAATCCCCGGAGAAGTAGAATTGGGAGTTCGAGTTCAGTTGACCGTGGTTCGAGGAAAGGAGGCCGAAACACATCAAGTCCAAGTCTTGATCAGTTGGATCCGAGGAACAGATACTGTATTGTTCGAGAGTTTTTGCGGTATGCTGAAGAGGAAACTCGAACTTCAATAGTATTGAATCAAGGATATCGGAGAGTTGCTAAGCAAATCAGCAACCTGCTTGACTTGGAACTTGCTTATTGCAGACTTCAGTACTTTTTTTACCCGCAGCTCGGGTGTTCGGATAGCATGTGGGGTCTCGGCGTTCACTTCTGGATGCCGCATAGTCATACTAGTGACCTCGGGATTGCAGGGCCCTTCGAATTCAATGCTCTTCGCAACTCTCACACAAATACAACTTCCACCATGTCAAGACTGTCCAGTAGCCTCAAAGCATTAATCAATGCACCGGCTGCCAGGCCACATACCGTGCCTGCGCCCGCCAACATTGCCTCCGTCTACTCCAAGATCCAGCAAACTGCCCAGGCCCAGCAAGTTTCACAGCCATCATGGATCGCGCTGTCGGTCAGTATCACCATAGCCGTACGAATGAAGAGCGTTACTTATATACTGACTTATCCAGACCGCTGCCACCATGACTATGAACTCCCCCGAATCTCTCGCCGTCCTCTATCAGCTCGCTGCCTCCACTTCGAACACCGTTGAGACTGCCGAGCTCATGCGCGAAGTGGGATTGAAGTGTATTAGCTTCAATGGAATTCCACGAACTATCAACTGCTTAAATGCGTTCCGGGCCAGTCTTCCAGAAGTTGTCGGCGATCAGCTCTCGCGCATCCCTACGCGAGCCCCAACACCAGCAAACATCACTCAGATTAGCGAGCGCGGCCGAGCATTATGGGACTCAATCTACCGGCCCTTTGAAAAGAAGCTATACAGTAAACTTGCTGACTCACACCCTGATCTACCTGTCCATATCCTGCACAGTAACTACGGTGCCCTACTTTCCGACCCTACGCGGGAAACTGGTGCCTCGGCCGGTCGCGTGTTGACCTCTATCGTGGCCGTAGCCTGTCTGCGCGCGCAGACGGGCGTCGGCCCTCAAGTTCTTTCCCATGTATTTGGACTCCGAAAGGCCTTGGAAGATGGAAGTTGGGCCAGTGATGTTGAAACCGAACAAGGCGCACGCTGGCTGGCCAGCGATGAAGGCAATACCTGGATTCTGAGCAGCGTGGATGCGATCGTTGAGGCCATTAGCCAGGGCACTGGCTCAAACTTTGCGCCCGGCAAGGCCAAGCTATAAACTAGAATACTTGGGAGGTATATATCATCCACCACAACTTGTATATAGTAGATCATAAATGAATTGCAGCATTCTCACGTATAATCATAAAACAAAGCCATTGCGTCCAATACACATACTTGTAGGTCCAAGTACATGGATGGTGCTGCTTCTTATCTGCTTCGCCTGCCCGGGTATCGGGGTATGGCTCGGATCGGGGAGTTCGCAATTTCCCATGAGAGCATTCGAACCTAAAGGCCGGACGAGAGTTTTTGTTTGTAATAAGTTAAATAGTAACTAGTACTAGTAACTTGTGGTGGAGGTTTGAGTTGAAACTTGGAAGAAAACTACGAGAAAGACATCATTTCGATAAGTGATAAGATAAGCGTGTCCTCATGGACCTCATCTAATTCAGCCTAAACAACTTCTTACAACCGACTGTATCACTACGTCCGCCACTTCGCTTTTCTTACTTTTGCAATCGGATTGGACTCGTGATACTATTGATATACGAGTCCAATGAGATAGACCATTCCCTTTCCTCCAGTTTCGCAATCATGGCTGGAGTCGGCATCTCCTGGGGAACGTAAGACTCTCCGCCAAAAACCCTCCTTACGCGCGCTTCCCTTCTAATCGTGAATAGCATCAAATCTCTCCTGGTCTTCTTTGGTCCGATTCTTGTCCCAAGATTGATTGGAGGCTACCGGGCCCTTCGAGTCTCTATCGCCAGCCGCCCACCCCCACGTCCTCTCCCTGCCGCTGCAAATCGGGCTCTGAACCTCTTATTCGCGAGTATCGTCTTCTTCCTCATCCTGAGCTTACCTTTCAATCCCCATGCGCCCGAGGTCAACATCTTCGCCCTCACCCGCTCCCGAATCAATACCCCCTCCGATGTGATCTTTAACCGGCTCACTCGGCTTCGGCCCGATGGACTATTGACCGATGCCGACACCCTGCTTCGAGAGAAGCTTACCTCCCTCGGCGCTCGCAAGGTTTACCTTACTTTTGGCCCCGATGCCTTGACTTTCTGCCAGTATTGCTCGTTCGATAATCTCTACACCTATCTCCTATACTACCTCCCCGCAAATGTGTTACGACCTCATCTCCTCCATCTCCTCATCCTCGCTATTGCCACATCCGCACCATTTGGAGGACGGGAGTCTAGCCGCTGGCGTACCAAGTTCACCCTCGCCGGTCTATCGCTAGCCATGCTGGACCTCTATGTTGTTGCCACATACGACGCCGTTAGCTCGGCATCCCCCGCAGTGCGGGCGGGTCAGACCCCTCCAACTGGTCTCTACAACATCATGGCACTCATGCGGCCATTCGCATTCACCATTTGCGATATCCTATGCGCCATCATCATCTACCTCTCATCTACAAACCGCTTTTTCTTTAAGCCGCCTTCTACGGTGGAACATCTCGATCAAGCAGTGTCGGTCGCACTGGCTGCAGTCACCGGCGCCAATTCAAAACTACACGCGGCCAGCGTAGCTCGTAATGCAGTTGTTCGGGACAAAGCGCTAAAGTCGCGAGATGATCTGTACTGGCAAACCGTGGTGGCTGTGGAAAATAACGGGGCCGAAGGCGGCGCTTCAGCCGAACGAGGCACAGTTATGAATAACATCTGGGAGGAAGAAGAAGTGGCTCGAGCCATGTCACGGACAATGGCGGGCCAGGGAGGTGTGGATCTGGCGCAACTCGGAGTGAGTGCCATTGATTTTGTACGCGGAGTAACCGACGGTTTGGACTAGATTGATGCACATAACATACTAGACAAATACATACATAAATTACAATCTTCACACATATCAACATGATGAATGAAGATGAGTAAAGCTGTACCAATTTTTATTCAATTTCCGCCTTCATCGCGATCACGCCTCCCAATCCCACGATTTGTACTCTCGACCGATCTCCATTATCCTCCAACTTGATCGAGTACTCATCGCCTGCATATAACGGACTGGTTGCGCGGTATGAGATATGCCGAGGGAACGCTAAGCTGGAATCTATCTTTTTACCTTGAGTATCCCTCCAGAGGTCCATGATCGAGATCAAGTTCAATGGCCCATGAACGACAATATCCTTATGACCTTCAACATCACGCGCCCAGGGAAGTGAGTAATGAATCTTATGTGGATTGAATGTCAACGCAGAAAATCGAAAAAGAGTCACCGGAGTCTGCACAAATGTCCGCGAATGGATATTGCCTTCAGTAGAGATCGCGGTCTGTTTCGGTAGCGAGGCATGAGATGTTGATGCAGGGAAACGATCACCCAAGAGAGAGGATGTGGATGGTGTAGGTAAGGCCTTGCGGAAAACCCAGTTACTATCAAATTTGAGTTAATATTGTTATTCTGTACGCATGCTCTTGATTGTGAGCCATAGGAGTGAAGGAACACTCACCGTCGATCCACTATAGACACACCCTGTTCATTAGAGAACACCTTCTCGATACCAACCACAATCATATCTTCACCAGTTTTCTTGACAACCTTATGCTCAGCGCTCAAGACGTATGTTGTCTCACTCACCTCCTGCCCAACGCGCAGGAGGTTTGGCTTTCCATCCAAATCCCTCGGCCAAAGTACCTCGCCGCCAGCCCACATACGTCGAGTGAAGGGCGCATCGGGGTTGTATGATGTATCTGTGCCATCTGCGCCGAGTTCGGTCTCTAGAAAGCTTGGTGTAAAATACACAAGATGGTAACCGGGTGGGACAGGTGTTTCGGCTGGTGGGGCGCTCGGAGCATTGGATAGTGAGGGCGAGCCGGGAAACAGGGAGGGGCGGTTTAAAGTGAGGGTTAGAAGCTGGAGCTGATTGGCATCTAGGGTCTGGGTGCGGGTTTGAGGTCCTAATGATTGGAACCGCGAAAGGAACGAGGTCACAACATCGGCAACGGCCGGGGCATGTAGATGGTGGGAAATGGTGAAGCTCCGAGTTGTATGTAATTTCAGAGCTGCTGATTGTAGATATGGCCGAAGCTTCGGTGGAATTGTCGACATTTTGCACCAAGCGCTTAGAGGATTGAGAAATACGGTGAATTGAGGAATGTGCATGCAGCACTGTATTCTCCAAATTCTTATACGCGGGGAAAGCATCGAAACCCACAAGTTGCCGCAAGTCGGCTTTATGCCCGGACCCACCGTATACTTGACAACATTAGTTGAAAAAAACTTGTACATTCAACTTTGGATAATACAATGATATAAAAAGCATTCAAGTTCCAAGAAACAAAGCATGATCTAGAAAGTGCTCACCTTCAAATTCAAATATTAGTAGTGTCTGGATGTTGGTTTCTTTCAATGTTCTTTTCATCATTCAAAATAGCCATGTAGAAGGCTACTGACTATGTTTAGTACTATCATACTATATACACTAGTACCTAGGAGTAGATAATCTTTTAATCAATGCTATACAACCCCATCATCTTCACAAAGAGAGAGAGAGAGAGAGAGAGAGAGAGAGAGAGAGAGAGAGGGAAAGAGAGAGAAAGCCCATATTTACACTATGTTATATGCTGCTGCATCATGCTTCTTAGCCACTCACAAGGTGATCAGGTGTCAAGGTTGCAGAGGAATCAGTGACGCCATCGGCAGGAGTGGAAGCATCTTCAGAGCTTGGGGTTTTGATCTCAAACGTCTTCGGTTTCTCGACATCTTCTGTTTTTCCCTCTGTCTTGTGCTCCTTGTTGCCTTTGAGTTTTAACGCTCCTGATTCGAGGGCTTCTTCAGGCAAGGGTCGAATATGCGGCTGGCAAATCCACCATGGGCGTCCGTACTCTGCGATCGTAGCCTTTGACCCGGTCAAGGTGGGATCATGAGCCTTTTCAAATTTCTCAGGGGTTAGTTCGTACTCCTTCAATCCTCCCTTGATTGCTTGTTCCACAAGAGTCAAGACCCGCTCAAATGCGGGCATGTCACCGGGTCGAGATTGGGCAAGGGCATCGCGGACATTAGTGTGAGTAGCAACCATCGGTCGGAGAACTTGGAAAAGATGAGCTTGCATGACACCCAAGCTGGGGGAGTTTGACTTCTTGATTTTGTCTCGCTTCTGTTTCTTTTTTGGTGGGCCATCTTCTTCTCCTTCAAGGTCTTCCATCTTGAATTCATCTGCCTTGTCTACCGGGTCTGAAGGGAGGAAAAGTGGCTTTCTCTCGGGGACAGGTTGCTCCAGAACATATTGGTAGATGATGTCGAGGTAACGCCGGAGGATCGCATCGATTCGATAGCCACCTTTTCCATTGCGGTCCCACCAGTATTCTCGTCCTCCGCTGCCGGGGGATGGTGGTTTACTGAAGATAGTCGGGTCAGATAGATTTCCCTCGGCGCTCATGACACCGTCAGCGCCGGTTGCTTCAAGGCACCTCTCAATATCGTCATAGTTGAGAATGTTTCCATTCGCAAAGATCACAGTGTCCGGTGGCAGATTATCTCGAAGGTAGCGAATGTAGCTCCAATCCGCTATGCCTGTCTCATGGCCCTTTTGTTCTCGCCTGCGTCCGTGTACCGCGATAATGTTTGCTCCCGCGGAAAGAATCATTTTCGCATATTCTAGTGTTTTTTCCTTGGTCTCCTGAATACGGAACTTGGCTGTAACCGGCACGTCGAGTTCCGTGTGTAGTTTGTTGATAAGTTTGTGGATCAAATCCCAATCTTCCTGTAGGAAAGCACCGTAGTGGCCTTTCCGTGCGATACCTTGGGGGCAGCCCAAGTTCAGATCGACGGCATCGCAATAGGGGGCGGCGTGGCGTGCTGCCGTTAAAAACTCGTCCGGGTTGTTCGCGCAGAATTGAACGAAAAGAGGTCGATCAAAAGCTGGGTTGCCGTCGAGAAACAGTTCATCTTGCTCATCTTGCTTCGTCGTATTGCCCGCGGCTCCTCTGGTCGGTTGGAAATGCTTGAGGCGCATACCAGGGTTCTCACCAAAGAGGCGTGCATGAAACATTGGGGAGTAGGCGAGTAGAGATTTCTGCTCTTCCAAGGGCAAAAAGGATCGAGAGAGCATGCGCCAGGCCTAGTGAAATTGGGATCTGTTAGTACTCTACTAGGTACAAAATGTAGTAGGACAATTGAATTGAAACTCAGATGGGCACTCACAAACTCCGACCTATCGACCATAGGGGCCACAATATACTTGGGACTTCCAATGCTCTCATAGAATTGCCTGCCCTGTAATTTCTTGGGTGCGGCCGAGGCCGTCACGGCGCTGTTCTGCACAGCTTCGGACATTTTGAGGGATAATTGAGACGCTGTCTGGAAGGAACGACCCAACCACGGGACAAGCGGAACAATCTTCCTCAAAGGAGCTATTTTGACTGGTGAGCTGCAAAGAAAAAGGGAAAGAAAACAAAGACTTGGAGATTCTGAAGCGGGCAGTTGGAGACTTTTTTTCCCGCGCTTTTGCCATCTCTGTTATCTCGGAGCGGAAATACATTTTTACTCTTATCAGAAACTTATCAGAACCCCCCTTATCGTCATATCCGGGGAACAAGTAACACTAACTACTAGTAGTTACTAACGAGTAACAACCTCCCACTTGGAAATCAGGAACCAACGTCACCATCGCCCCCATTCATCATGGCTTCGGGTGAGTCGACCCCGTTGAAAGTCACACCATACTTGATATGTACTGTACTCGTCGCGACCCTGGGTCCATTCCAGTTTGGTTACCACCTGGTATGTACATAGCTGTATATAGCTCAAATCGCGCATGCGCGGCCCCTGTGTCTCCATTTCCCGCTAACAACAAACCATCAACAATCGACAGGCTGAACTGAATGCCCCACAGGAAGTTATAAGTTGCGAAAAGAAGAGTATTGGTGCCAATACTGCGTCTTACGGTCTTCCACAATGTATACCAATGAACCCTTCACAGTTCGGTCTGATCTCCTCGATATACACTCTTGGTGGTTTCATTGGGGCTTTGCTGGCTGGACCTGTCTCGACCAAATATGGGCGCCGAATCACACTTCAGGCCACGACAATCTTTTTTGTCCTGGGGCCTATCACTGAAGCTCTAGCATCTTCGATTCCTCTTCTAGCCCTAGGGCGGTTTGTGTCTGGCATCGGCTGCGGTGCAGCCCTCGTGGTGAGCCCGATATATGTCTCGGAGGTTGCTCCTCCCGCCTCCCGCGGTCTTTTTGGGGCAGTCACGCAAGTCATGATCAACGTGGGAATTCTCTCCTCACAGGTGCTAGGATTCTTCTGGAGTCATGACAGCATGTGGAGATTGATCCTTGCGGCGGCGAGTATCGTGGGGGTACTAGAATTCGTGGGCCTATTCTTGTTGCCTGAAAGCCCGGTCTGGCTGGCAGACAATCATCAAAGAAGCCAAGCGCGCCGTGTCTTGCAACGTCTACGGGGATCTGATGCAGATATCGAAGCCGAAATCGCAGCTTGGGGAGATACCAGCCCTGCCCCCACGTCCGGCGAGCAAGAGTCTCTCCTTTCTCCCCCGTCTGACAACACAGTATCAAAGCAAACGGCAGTGACTATGCTTCGGGCTGTCCAGGACCCCTACTATCGGCCTGCAATCCTCGCCATTGTTGCCTCCATGCTCGCGCAACAATTTACCGGGATCAACAGTATCGTGATGTACAGTGTGTCTCTACTGCAAAGTATTCTGCCCACCGGGGCTGCCCTTCTCACCATTATAACTTCCGTGATTAATCTCATAGCTACACTCGCATGCATGCCTTTGCCCGATCGCATTGGCCGTAGGACTTGTCTACTGCTCAGTATCAGTTGCATTGGTTCATGTTCGGTTCTCTTGGCGCTAGGGTTCGCGTTTCAGCAGAAGATTGTCTCGGCAATCGCCTTCCTACTCTTTGTGACCAGCTTTGCAATGGGGCTAGGGCCAGTTCCCTTCATGCTGTCATCTGAGCTAGTTGGACCGGAGGCAGTTGGCGCAACTCAGAGCTGGGGGCTATCCGTCAACTGGATGGCTACATTCGTGGTCGCACAATTCTTCCCTGTGATCAATAATACCCTGGGTGGCCAGGGCAGGGTGTACTGGATCTTTGCAGCTATGGCAGGAGTTCTGGGGGTCGTTCTTTATCGGATCCTTCCAGAGACCCGTGGCAAAGCTAATGCTGATGAAGTCTGGGGCCGAGTAGAGCGTCGGGAGGATTAGACTAGAGTTTTTCGGACAACCTCTTTTAAGAGTCTTATCTATTTAACATGTTTGGATAAAGTCGGTCGAAATAAATCGATTGTGGAAATCAAAGTAGTTATTTGAAAGTTTAGGAAAGTTCAGGAAATTCCATGGAATGGTTGAATCTTTGACTCTTTGAGTACATGTAACATGAGCATATTTTTAGTGCCTGAGGCACCAACACATCACCTGGTCTGATCTTGCCCTTACCCTAGAATACATTTTGGGTTTGGCAAATGAGGCTTAAACCTCGGTCCTCTTTAACTGAGGCCTCGGGAATAAGACTGGAGGAAACAACGCTGGAGACTCCCCTCTTCCCTATATATCACGAGAGATTGCTTCTACTGGTATCAGAAACTTGTTTCTTGATTTACTTCCTCGCCCCTCCGCAGCCTTCTATCTAACAAGATGGCCATGAATCGCATTCCTGGTCATAATATCTATGTCGGAGGGTTGGTCTTTTAATACTTCTACATTTTGGCGTTCCGAGTGGAACCTCTTTGCGCATCATTCCGCTGACAGTTGGCAATAGGATACTATCCTTGAAGAACAAAGCTGCTCTCGAAAGAGAAAATATTACTCATGTCGTTTCTGTGCTACGTCTCAGTCCTTCTGAAGAAATGTTTTCATTCTATCAGCATCACAAAATAGATGTTGATGATGTTGATTATGAAAATCTCCTGGAGCATTTCCCGGCTGCAGTGAGGTTTATTCAATCTGGCTTAGATTCCAATGGAGGTGTCCTTATCCACTGGTAAGTTGTCTTCCTCTTCTCTCTTCCTTTTTGATTTCCAACGACACCTGTGCAGGAGAGTTTTCCTTCACTTCACGAGGCTTTTCTTTCTTATTTCACGCTTCGTGCTCCCGGCTGGCTTCATCATACATCGTGTCACCTGCCATCTACATGTGAATGGGAGTTTAATGGAATTCCTTGTCTCTTTTCTCTCCCCCTCTGCTGTTATAGAATATTCTAGCTAACCTCTCTGTAGTGCAATGGGCAAGTCCCGATCTGCCGCAGTCTGTATTGCTTATCTACTCCATCAGCAGCGGAGCGCACTCACACCGCAATCTGCCTTGGAGGTCGTCAGGCAAGGACGGCCGCTCTGTGAACCTAATGATGGATTCATGCAACAGTTAGAGCTGTACCACGAGATGGGATGCCCGGATGATGTCACTACCCACCCAGTCTACCAACGGTGGCTATATCGTCGGGAAGTTGAGGATAGTGTGGCCTGTGGTCGTGCTCCTGAGATAGGATCAGTGCGATTTGAAGACGAGCAACCACTGAAGCCACAAGTAGAGGATAAGGGTGAAGTGGAGATTAAATGTCGCAAGTGCCGGTTCGTATCCCTTTCAGAGATTAAATAGAAAACACTTCCTGAAACCTCATCAAGAGAACGAAGAAGCTGATATTGTTCTTTTGCAGACGGGGCATCGCATCAACACCATACATTCTTTCTCACGAGCAAGAAAAGCGCACCAATGCCAGAGCAAATTCAAACGTAGATTGCGCACATATCTTTTTACACCCTATGAAATGGATGAGCTCAAGTCTGTTCCCATCAGCAAGTGCTAATGACCCGAACGGACAATATTCTGGAGATGCACCCTTATCTGGTCGCTTGGCTTGCCCTAACCCGACCTGTGGAGCCAATATCGGTAAATTTGCATGGCAAGGCATGCAATGCAGCTGTAACAGCTGGGTGGTACCTGCTCTGTGCCTGACTAAAGCTCGCGTGGACATCGCCAGCAAGCCGAAGGCACGAGGATCAGGGAATCCCACCCCGGGCGTCCTGGGCATTCGCCTTCCCCCGGGGATACGACCTGCTGAAAATAGCGCGTCTGGCTCTGGGCGTGGTAACCTGTGATATATTTTTCAGTCGTGAAATACGACCTCGGAGAAACCTCTCAGGCTTGCTACAAGGAGTCTGGCGTGTTGTTCTCTTTGAACCGAGGCGGTCTCAAGTATATCAATTTCCTGCCTAAGAAAAGAGTCGGAACACTGGTTTTCATTTGTTCACAAGTTCAAACTTCCATCATTCATTTCATCTCTCTCTCTCTCTCTCTCTCTCTCTTTTTTTTGACACCACGACAAGAAGCACTGACCGGGAGAATGCCGGGTCCGCACACAGAACACCCGTATTGGACGATTTCCACCTATGTCGCTCCACCCGTGGATGGATCTTCCTCTCTCTCGCCTCAGGCGGACGCAACATAACCCGGGGACTCCAATGTCGTTCTATACGAAAGATTTCTGTATACAGACAAGCTCAGCTTGACCCAAGGGTAGAAGTGGCACGAGAAAAACCTTGGAATTGGTTGGTGGTATTTCAGTGGAAGTGAGGATCCAGATGTCCGTAACCTGTCATATTGTAGTTCTACCTGTTCCAAGGTTGGTTAGGTATATACCTTGCAACCTTCGGACGAAGGTTGAGCACATCTACGGGTACCTAGTAGGTATGTAGTATGTACATACTAGGTAGGCGGTTCATGCATCACCTGCACGGCAGTGTCGACTACTTGGAATCTCAGATAGAAGACGTCAACAGGCAATTCTCTCTGCAAAGTGATCCACGCTCAGGGCCGTGGAAACGGAGGTTGCCCAGATGGCTTCTTTATGTATCCATTAAAACTCAGCTATTACAAAATATACATGAATATAAAGGCGTTAGATCGGTGGCACAGGAATACTCTCGAAACCTTTCTGTCCAGGCTTTCGGTCTTCGACAATTACCTGCAAGCCTCGACGGCCGCAATACCCGTCATTGCCAGCGATGCGGTCAATCACTTGGAAAGACCCGCCGCCGACCTGGGCAACATCAGGGACCCAAACGGTCTCTTGCACACTTTGCCCTGGCCCCTCGATTCGCCGAGGATTATACCAGGGAAGGCCAACCAAATGATTACCCAGGTTGTGTAGGAAGGTATAGAGTTTCTCAAACCTCCTCGTCACACCAAGCCAAGAGAGTGTCCGGGAATCGTACGCGACCCGAACAAAAGGATTCATGTAGATGCCCGTCTCTGTAATCGCATCTACATTGGTCTGAGGGTCTTGAATGTCCGCATGTATCAAGCAGCATTCAGATGCTTCCCAAAACATATCCGCGCCTGATCGGAAGCGTGCTGGAGAGGTGCTTTCGGGAAGTGGACTTTGGAAGTATTTTGCATCGAAGGCAACCATGCCACCCCAGCAGCTACGGACACGCACAGCGTCCTTTCCTTGAAGAACGTCCCTTCGGCTGTCACCGTTACCAGCCGTTGAAAACCAGGGGTAGAATGGAAGGCCCATGCTGTATCCTTGGAGGTCCCGGGTAGCATATGTATCGTAAAACTTAAAAGGATTATCAAAGTCAACGGCGCAGGCGGCACGGTAGTTAGCCACGCCATCTTCATTGACATTGGTTGAGAATAATAGCTGAAGGGCGTCGACTGGATCGAAGAGGATGTCGTTCAAGTAGAGGAGTTTGTCGTAATGAGTGTTAGGATCGTCGGTAAGAGGCTTTAAAGCTTTGTTTCGGACTTGCGCTAGATACTCGATGCGCTTGACTCGTTGATCGCCGCCCGGGATGGTAATGGTTGGTAGACTTTTGGGATCCAGATGCTCCTGGAAGACAATCTCTTTGCGGCTAGAAATCTGCTTCTCCAGTTCGCGTAGTGCGCTTTCCCCTTCCGCTCCGCTATCGTTCTCGTAGATGCTCACGAACACATTCTGATCGCCGAGCATATCAACTAACTGGAGTAGCTGAATTCCCCACTGACCTCCAGCGAGCTCGCCACCCCGATCATATAAGCTGGCTGCGATAAAGACTTTTTCGTTGCGAGGGTTTCCGCGACCAGCATGATTCGTACCCCGTGCAGATGCACGAAGAGTGGCGTAATGCGCAGGTGGGTTTGTATAGGACGGGCGAAAGATGGAGGTCAAAAGAACGAGGGCGAGAATGATTCCAAAAATGACGTGAAGGTAACAGCATCGGCGACGAAAAAAGATGCGCGGAAGGCATGGGCGCGACGAGGATCTCAAGGTGGGTCGTGAATTGGTTTTCAGGCGGCGATAGCGATTTAAGGGAGTTGAAAAGATGCCACGCAGCCATGAGAATCGGCCCGCTGCGGCTCTATGGATGCGGGAGAAAGAAGGCACCTGAGCTTCGAAATCGGCATCATCTAGGTTGAAGGTCCCATCAGAGTCACTCGAAGAGCGGGACGCGAGCTCGTACTCGTCAGGGTGTAGAAGGCGAGAAGACATGACTGCTTGGGGAAGATCACAACCCAGCCCATGATTTCCACTGGGAGGTGATTAGGAAAAGGCCAAGTTAACAGCATTCATTTTCGAAGCTATCAATTCAATGTTGCGAAGTTGACATTGAGCTTAAGAGGAGAAGCCTGGAAGCCTCGGGTGTCACTGGTCAGTTCAGGGTCTGCTTATGTCACAGGGGCTAGGCCCCCACAAAACACCAGTTGACAAAGTCCATGAGGGCTAGCTAGCATTGACTGTACTAGTAGTATATAAACATTTGAAGTGCGTGTGTACTAGTACCTTAGTATATATTTCTGAGTACCGGAGACATCAATTGATACCATATCTTATGTATTAAGATATGATTCCTAAACTTCCTAGAATTCAAGCCAGATTGTTTTCTGAATACCGTATAGTACTAGTATCGATGGGTGTTTGAAACTCATACACTGCCGGCAAGCGTACTAGTAGTTACTAGCGATAATGACAAAAAAAAAGTGAGAGATAGTACTATATGATCACTATATGGAACACGCTATGCAGGAACAATAGAAATATGAGAGTCAAGAGGGGGGCTGAAACTACGAAACATTAAAATGAAGCAATCAATGAGCAACATCAATACGGCGCCAGAAGGACTCTTATAGTCGACTCTCGACCATATTGACATGCTGTTGGCCAGGCCAATGAGCGTCTGGCCAAATCTTTCCGAGCGCTTCCCAGATATGTCTGCAAAAGGGTTAGAAATTTTGACCCCAAAAAAGGGATTAGCGACATCCCAGGACACTTACTGAACAAATATAATCTCCAGGCCATCGTGGACCTCCTGAGGGACCTCCTTGACGTCCTTGCGATTGGCTTGGGGGAGCAGTACGGTCTTGACGCCTGAGCGCAGAGCACCAATGAGCTTCTCCTTGATTCCACCAACAGGCATCACACGGCCCCGTAGGGAGATCTCTCCAGTCATAGCGATCTGTGGGGGAACAGCTTTATTGCTGAAGAGAGAGATCAGTGCTACAGTGTGGGCAAGACCAGCCGAGGGTCCATCCTTGGGTATGGCGCCTGACGGGCAGTGGACATGCAGGCTACGGCTCTTCATGACATCCTCGTTGGGGTCATGGGTGAGTCCTAGCTCAAAAGAATGGGCTTTCACCCATGTGAGAGCCACCTCGACGGACTCCTTCAGAACATCACCAAGCTTACCGGTCAGTTGGACGCGGCCATTGCCAGGCATGTCTGCTACCTCAATAAACAGAATGCTTCCCTGGCCGCCTGTAGAGTACGCAACCAGGCCTGTGACCACACCAGGACGACCGTGCTTCTCAGCAATTTCCTCCTCAAAGCGCTCGATACCTAAGATATCTTCCAAATCTTCCACGCTGACAACTGGATTATAGTCCTCAGGACGCTCAGAGTCACCAGCATCGGCGAATTGAACCGCCTTGTGACGACAAATTGAACCAAGCTCGCGCTCCAGGTTCCGGACACCTGACTCACGAGTGTATGAGGTGACTGTCTTATCAATGACCTCGTCAGATAGGAGGACCTGCCCATCAGACAGCCCATTGGATCGGATCTGCTTGGGGATCAGGTGGCGCTTGGCGATATGCCTCTTCTCAACGGTCGTGTATCCCGAAAGCGAGATCGTCTCCATGCGGTCCAACAGAGGTGCCGGGATCGTATCTAACGAGTTGGCAGTCGCAATGAACAGAACCTTGCTAAGATCAATAGGAATGTTGATATAATGATCTGTGAATGAGTTGTTCTGCTCCGGGTCCAAGACTTCAAGCATGGCGGCGGATGGGTCTCCCTGGAAGTTTGCACCGCCAACCTTGTCGATTTCGTCAAGGAGGAACACCGGGTTGGCCACACCGACCTTCTTTAGACCATTGACGACTAGACCGGGCATAGCCGCAACATAGGTACGTCGGTGACCACGGATTTCAGCCTCGTCACGCACACCGCCAAGAGAGATCCGGTGGAACTTGCGACCAAGAGAAGCGGCTACGGACCGGGCGAGGCTAGTCTTGCCAGTGCCGGGAGGTCCCACAAGAAGTAAGATTGGAGATTTATCAGTCATGCGCTTCGACTTCAAGGTTTCCAATCGGGCCTCGATAGCAACCCGATCGCTTTCCGACAGCAACGGTACATCCTTCTCTAGGTCTCCTGATGAAGCGACCTCAAGATCCTTGGTCATACCGATGATCTCCCGTTCCATTTCCTTGTTGGTTGACTGCTTCAGCCGGAGGACAGCCAGATATTCAAGCAGTCTCTTCTTGATCCGCTCTAATCCGTAATGATCCTCATCCAGCTGCTTCCGAGCTAGCTTCAAAGTTTCTGCACCGAGCTGATCTTGGGTCACCTTGGTCCAAGGAATCTCTGAGAGATTCTCTAGGTAGGTGCGGCAAACCCCATATTCGGCATTAGCGGGGTTCATCTTACGAAGACGATTCAACTCCTTATCAGCAATTTTCTGGGCCTCGGGGGTGAGTTGCGCATCTTTCAGCTTCTGTTGTAGTTCGTCCACCTCATTTGGTTCTTTCTCTTCAGGGTCGTTGTTGCCACCGCGTGCGCCTGCGGGTCCTGGCGGCATGAGACCTGACAGACCTGCCATAGCACGACGTGCCAACAACCGGTCCCGAGGGTCAACCTTGCCAATGTCAATCCCCGAATTGGATGGGAAAGATGTGGTGCTGAGGGTAGTGACCTTCACACTACTCTTGATATGCTGTGCCTGACGAGTCAAGATCTCGACTACTCTCTGAAGTCTAATCTTCACGTCGAATGATGACAAGATCCTTAGTTTTTCCTCAAAACTAGCATCCGACACGTCGGCCATAAAATCTGCAAGTTTTCCTGCCTGACCTAACTCGGTCTTGGCGATATAGAGTTCGAATTTGCGTGCCACAAGTGGCGACAGGCGGGTTGAGGCGGCCGATAGTAGCGAGGACAAACGCAATAGAGTGAGAAGCTCACGGGAGAGTTGTCTCAACTGTTGGAATAATTCGGCAGCTTCCAAGTCACCGTGGATGGATGTGGCTATCGGTGGATGATGACTGGTCAGCCGGAACTGTTTCACACGCTCGGCACCCATGATGTTCGAATACACTTACTATTCTCGTCATGGAGAGTAACCTCCGCTTCAAAGTATGGCCGATCCCGCAAGAATTTCTTGACCGTAAATCTTTGGGTTCCTTGGACAAGCAGGAACGGCTCGGAGTAGGCACGGCGCTGAACACCAATAACCTTGGCCACGGTACCATACGAAAAGATATCTTCCTTGCGGGCTTGACCCGCATCGATTGCATCGTATTCTTCCTTCTGAGCCTCATCTGAATCATCACCCTCGATGAGTTGCAGACCGTCGCGGCTCAAGAATGGCGAGTTGAAGGGGATGCATCCAAAGGTAATCTGGTTGTTCTCGCGTTTAGATGGTTTGTCCACTAGCGACGACAACAGATTGGTCAAGTCGGGGCGATTTGACACGGGAATCCGAAGCTGCACACCGGGAAGCAAAACAGTGCCTTTGGCCAAGGGCACGAGGGGAAGTTTGGTGGTTCTACCGCTGGAACCCATGCTGGAATTGACCGCGGAGAATCAGGTGGGTTTGGGGGAAGGGAAAACCGCGATAGAACGCCGAGGTGGAGAGGGAGATCTAGAGATCGAAAGATAAGATACAAGAGATGAAGGGAGGAATGGGAAGGAGTCAATGCGTTTTTCGGGGAAGTTCAGTTGATGGGGTGTGAGAGGAGTTTAGTAGGTGTTGTCGCGTTGGGGTCAAAGGGCAAAAGGGCAAAAAGAGGAGAAGTGGAAACCGGGGTTGCCGAGGTCCCACTGAGATAAGAAACCCAAGGAATCCAATACTGTCATACATATGAGAGAGAGAGAGAACCGGGGGAAACACATCAATATTACCCCGGTCGCACAGACCAACATCACGCCACAATAGTACTCATCACATGATGCTTCTTTGTCAGGAATTACGAGTAGTTAACTAACTAGTAGCTAACTAACAAGTAGCAGTACCAAGTCTTCCTTTGATTCACGTGGATCTACGGTCGATCATCTCCACATGAGGAATCGCTTATGGATTCATGGTACTTGAGTATTTAGTACTTACAAGTAAATACCAGATAGACCTGCATCATTAGGTTGAAAGATAAGAAAAAGATACTTTGCGTTCAATAGATTTGGATAACCTCAACATACTAGTATACAGTATAGTACCTTTCGAATATCTAAATCTCCTCACTTCAGCTCGGCAACTAATTGATCAACGCTCTTCATCTCGCGATCATTGTTTTCCCCCACGTCGAGGGCCACCAAAACCCGACTCACACAGTTATATCCAGCAATCCCGGTGGTCAGCTCCACAATCTCCCGATCATTATACCCCACAGTCTGGAGCTGTGCGAAAACTTCATCCTGAACCTTGACTGTTAAAGTCATCTGGTCGGTATAACGTAAAACGGCTCTCTGTTGTGGGGTGAGGGGGCTGCTCTCGAATTGAACGAGATCGCCATCCACGGTCGATGGGAGCGTGCGGCAAGCATGAAGCTCCTCGGGTTTAATACCACCCTTGAGTGCAAGTGGCGCATGGGCGTTCCATTCGTATATGGCGTCGGTCAACACAGCGACTCGGCACACAGCCAATTCGAGGGTTCCCGGGTCGACGATGGTACGGGTACGGATGGCGCCAATGAAGCTATTCCAGCCATCCGCCACGGGTGGGCTATGGAGCAAGGATAGATCCAACGGGATAAGAGGGCGGGGATTGCGACGTTCGGCGATGCGGGCGTAAATGTCGGCTGTATCAGCCGGGGCATCGCTTGGTGGGGTATTGGGGGCGTAGGGAAGGCGCATTGTGCGTTTAGTGTAGCCGAAGGATGGGAGTCTTGGAAGGGTGATTCGGCGCGGGTATGACAGTGGTAGGTGGTACATTCGGCTTCTGTTCAGGCGTGATTTCCACGGTGTAAGGTATTTATTGCCAATTGCAATACAACTTCAACCTTGGAAGGGACCGACATCGGGCTTCCTAATTAAATGGAGACAAAAACGGAGATAAAGGGGGCTCTTCAGTCTTGGACTGTATGGGGGTTAAAGGTACCGGGCATGCCGCGGGTAAGCTCTTTTCCCGTGGATCATCACCATTTGGAAATTCCGGGGTAGCTTCATGTAGCTTCATTATGGGTGTTTCTCTATATCAGGCATGGCCATGGTAACTTTGAATTGATCCCTGCGCAGTAGAATCTTCTATTGAGGTCATAATAAACCTTGGAATTTGACACTTTGGTCAAGATTTGGAAGCCAATACATGTAGACTAAAGAGACAAGTCCTCTCTCAATCCTTGTGAGGGTCATTCAAGAATAAAGGTCTGTTTTGAACATGAAAGAGAGATAGTAGTGTACAATCCATGCAGATCAAGATTAGGAAAAGAAAAAAGCCATACCACCGACCGAAGTCATCAGAACCCCCAACCACCACCATCGATCAGGACTCAGAAGCTCTTCCTTAATGATCGTATTAAATCGAGTATGTAGCCCAGATCCAGATAGTTCTCTCTTTTTGTGCGAGCCAGTTGGATTTGGATTCAATGTATTGGTAGGAAGCATTCTTGGGGGTCGGTAGGCCAAGTACATGGGGTGCATGATTTTTCCATCGGCCTGGGTGAGATCGAGTCGCTGAACGCCATGGTATCGATCCATCGAAGTCGCAAAGCCCTGCGCGAGGAACGATAGGGTTAGAGAGGGGGAATGCAATAGCGGAGAGGGTGTTAAGAGAATAGCCTACCTTGAAATACTCGGTGTTATTGTAACGAGTATATTGGCCTGTATCACGCTTGCATGGTTCCGACAGTAATTGACGACCGTCGACTGCGATTGGGGTCAAAGTCAATCTCCCATCGCTAGACATGACATAGGACCCATGTTGCCATTGCATGATCCCAGCGGGGCAAGACGGATCAACCGCTATATGAGATTAAATCAGTTTTGATCCTATTTATCTCGCAATGGTTGTGTATGTATGGTCTTACGGTTGGCTATTGCCCGATAAAACGCCTCTTCATAGTGTCCATCCGCATCGAATGAGTAGGAGATACCGGTCAGATTTGGTTCGAGAAATCTGTCCTTCAACGGATCATAAAATCCCTAAATTTTGTCAGTGATTGCCCCAAGAAGTTCACAGATAAACCAATGGAAAAAGGTGGGGGGCGCGTTACTGGACCAGTTAACACATCGTGGGACTTGGTCGTCCAAGTACCAACCAAGTCCTCCACACTGGCAACCGCGACCGATACGAAAAGTGCCCAAATCCAAATCATGGTGGCTTCCCAAAGAAAAGTAAAAAGAATCTTGAACGTAGAAAGACCATTGTCAACAAGTTAATATTCGACAATCCCTAGATTCGAGCCAACAAGGCAAAGCGCATACCGGGAATCCAGGGAGCGCTTGTTATCATTTGATCATTTTACTCGGGTGGAATGCAACAACCACCTCCTTACCTTTTTTGGATCCCTTGAACCTTTCCATGTACACCCTTGCCCGCCATGAAGGCCTTTCAAACCGCAAAACGCGACCTGCGTAAACGTATGCGCGAGACCTGTCAACAGATGTCGGTCTCGCTCATCAATAAACAATGTTAGCTTGGTGTTTTGAGCATGAAATCTCCCCGTTCCTCCAACCCCCCCACACTAACAACCACAGCCGGTGTCGCGACCAGTAAATTCCTGTCGCTGCCCGAATACCAGAATGCCCACAATATCGCCGTCTACCTCTCGATGCCAACCGGAGAGCTCTCCACTAGCAGCATCGTTCGGGATGCATTTGCAAGCGGGAAAAACGTGTATATCCCGTACATTCACACCGTGGAAAAAACCTCCGTCATGGATATGCTTGCCCTCGAATCAATGACGGAATATGAGTCACTACAGCCTGACAAATGGGGAATTCCTTCGCTGCAACCTACCCAAGTACTGGGTCGCCGTAATGGCTTGACAGAGAATGGGTTGGATTTGATCGTGATGCCAGGTATGGCATTCGATCGGGAGTTTCGGCGACTAGGACATGGTAAAGGATATTATGATCATTTTCTCACTCGTTATGCCGAGTTAAGCAAGAAGATGCCATTTCTCGGTAACGAAAAAAAAAATTTCATTCTATTCATCCTTTTGTTGGAAAATGCCTCCTGAATTACTAACTGGTTCCAGTGGCCTTGTCGCTCGAGGAGCAGATGGTGGAGGAAATACCAGTGATGGCGCATGACTGGCGAGTTGACGCTCTCGTCATGGGTGATGGACAGTATCTAGATCGCCAAGATGAAATGGAGAAAAAAGAAGCTTAGAATTTAGAAAATTGAGGAGATTCAATCAATTGTTCCACACTTCAATTCTGGAACCACCGAGTAGGCATGCTGGCAGTTTATATGTGAGTTTCAAATAGTGTCGTAGCGACGGTATGTATTCAAACAGAAGATAGTACCTAGCACTTGAGTCAACTGGTAACTGGTAGTAACATTCAAAACATTGAATGTGCCACCTCCAGTGATATTGAACACTACTGTAGACTGGTACATACTAGTAGGCACTAAATATGTATTAAATATTCAAATGTTGATTTGTATACATATATAAATGCACATGTGCATATTGGAGGTCTAATGTTATTCGCTAAATTTCAAATGCAATCAATGATTCCAGCCCTCGAGTGCTCTTTCCAATCCAAACATATAGTATGTACTATCGCCTCTATTGGTCAGAGACGCCGGATAAGTATCATTATTGATTCATGCGAGCAGCTCTGAACTTGCTCATCCGCTTTGGTTGTTCTTCAGTGTCGATTGGAATCATTTCAGGTTCTTCGTTGTTCACAAAGCCACCATTCTGCTGAATCATCTGGTTCCGCATTTTGTAAAATTCACTGGCAATCTCACGGCGATGGATTTCCTCGTCTAATTCATCGAGTTCGGGAGCCGGGGCATTTCCCGGAGATATTTCTCGCTCAAAAAGTGTGTCTGCCAAAGTCTTCCCTTGCGGTGGTTGAGGGGCAGACGGCCTTTCAAAGATTTCTTGGATCGGAGTGGAGAATGGTTTGGGTGCCTGGGGGGTGGCAGGGAAGAGGGCAGGTGTAGATATCGATGGAACAGCATTGGCTTGCTTTCGGTGGGAATGGGAGTCTGTGAAGTGCGGTTCGTTCACATGCGAAGGTACGGGTTTAGCTGTGGGCTCCGCAGCCAGAGTGCTTGAGCGGGTACTCTTGAAACGAGAAGCCTTTCGAGAGCGGGCGCCAGCCTGAGTATCCAGTTGAGAATCCTTGCCACGGTCTGCGCTAGTACGTTCAACAATGGCGTCTGACAGTACGGTCACATCGGACTTTGGTGGGAGAATTCGCCTTTCTGCAGTTGGAATCTGCTCGATCTGCGGAGCCTTGGGTGCAGGAGCGATGTCGAGGTCGTCGGCGAATGCGACTCGCTTTTTCGGCTTTGTTGGTGCCTTGGAAGTCTCAGCGACATTGTCGAGAGGTGCTGGCTCTACCGCGATTGTCGCTTGGACTTCCTCTTGCACTTCGCTCGCGAAGGTCTGCGAGTCCTTGCCCACATTCCACATGCCGCGAGCATTCAGCTTTGTCTCCAGCTCCCGCATTTGTTTGTGATATTCCTCGCTTAATTCAGTCCGCGACCGACCAAACTCATCTTCCGCCTCGCCCTCTTCATCTGTAGCCCATGCGTAGTCTTCGTCATAGGATACATCGCTTCCGTCTTCGTCCAACTCCAACTCAGCAACGATCGCACCCACTTCGTCAATGCCATACTGGAACATTTCCCGGCGCAATTGAGCTTCTTCCAACGACTCATCAATGTCGGTAACTGGCGGTTGTTTGCGATCCTCGTCTGTCACAATAGACACCGGCTCTGGGATGTCAAGTTCCTCTGCCCGAGTAGAATCGTTGGCTTTTGGTTCGGGGGTGGGACTGTTCGAGGCTCCCATAGACTGGGATTTGGCGATTCTTGTATTGGTATTGCCCAGCTTCATTTGGGGTGCAGGTGAGGTACCCTCGCTGGTATCTTTGCCTGATCCTGACTGATTGGGAATATTTTCCACGCCAGCCTTCTTCAAAACCTCCAAAAGTTGTGGGGCCTGATCGCCAGGGGTGTTCACCGAACCAGAAATAACCCCTCCATCCTCATCCAACTCTTCCATGATCTCTCTCATGGGAAAGTCGGAGTTATTTTCAACCGACGGTTTCTCGCTCGTATCCAGCGTCACGAGCTCGTCCTCCGTGGCACGAAGCCTCTTCTCCATGGTCGTCACGTTCTGCTTCACATAATCGATGCGCCGTCCAAGAAGGCTCACGACTTGTTGGTTTGACCGAGTTGCGCCTTGAGTCCCAAAAATGGTCTGCATTTCCTCCTCGGTCACCAAGGAGCCATGAAAGTCGTGTCCCACGGCCAGGAAGTCATCGGTGGTGGCGTCATCGGGAAGGTTTTTGATTTCGTCGCGTAATCCATCATATTCTGCTTCCCAGGTGCGCCAGTGGTACAGCGATTTTTGAAGTTGGAAGATGTTTTCTTTGAGCGCGAGGCGACGCTGCTCGAGCACATCGAGATTGTGCCCAGTAGGAATAGGAAGGGCCATTTTGAGAGGAGGAGGGCCCGGACGTGAAAAAGTGTATAGGAAATTGTCTCTCCGCCTTCAATGTAAATTCCTATGAACAAATATGGAACATATTTAATCCGAAAAGCCACTCGATCCGGGTGGAATTTCAATGTTGCAACCAATCGGAGCAGACTGCGAAGTAAACCAAATGTACATTGATATATGCCCCACGTTAAATCTAGTCCTGTACTCCTACATGCCTAGTACGTAGTAATCCCCGCCATACTTCAACTTTCAAAGTTGAAGGTCTACATAGTGTATCGCTGTGGAAAAATTTGAACCCTGGGCTGACTAGTTGGCAATGGGCAGTACCCTAGTAGATCGTAGCTAAATTAAATTTGTAAATGCCTATGTATTTAAATTCATAATTGCCAAAGATGCCAAGAAATATGCTCAATGTACTTCATACAGAGTCAAAACACTCCAACTCACTCTGCATCCAGTGGACAGTAAGGAGGTTGATCGTTGACTTGGATACCACCACGTTTCTTCTCAAGGGAGTCATGGAAAGGGAGTTTCCAGCCACCCTCAGATTCGGGTGCAGAGAGCCAGAGTCTCATCAAATGACGTGCACGAATAAGACGACCGCTCTCATCCACGGCCCCGGGAGCATGGTCCTCGTAGGCCGTGCGCGCATGAAAGACATGTGAGTTGCTAACAAACTGGATATCACCGGGCGAAAGCACCATGTGAAGCGCCAGCTCGGCACAAGTCTCCTCCCAAGTCTTGAGAGCATACTTTTGCTTATCAGACAGGGGAGGAATCTTGGCATCTGGACCACAGTTGTACCGTGAGAGTGAGGTCAGATTGTTTGGATCAAACTTGGCGTAGACACGTGGGTTAGCCCCAGCGCGCTCATTCTCCATGTATAAGATAGCTCCCCGGATCCACTCCTCCTCACCCTCGGAGACCTCGCCCTTACGGTCAAAGTACCAATTAGGGGTGGACATGGTCTCAATAACATCAGGGTGTCTTTTCTGAAGCACGTTGATAACGTGATGTGTGGATGCAATGTCTGATTCGCCTCCAATCTTAGATTTGGCAATGCACAGAAGACCGACAATGTCTGATCCATCCGTATGGAAGTATTGGCTAAGGAAATTGTCAGCTCCGCTCAGTTATCTATGGTAAGTTTTGATCTTAAATGACATACCGGGCATTCGTGCGATAAATGCGTACTCTTTCGGTCTTAGTTGGGTCCTCGCCAAGATCCTTCACATGACCAAGGACATGGCCACGGCCATTTTGGCTAGTGAAGTATCCTAGGTAAGTTCCAAGACCCATGTACGCAGTAGCACATTTTTGGAGATCCCATTCATCGACGGGGATTCCCCGGAATAGCCAAAAACCAGTCCCATCAATTAAAACCGTCCGAAGCTCCTCGAGGCGCTTCGAAAGCTTGGGGAGAGGGAAGTTGCTCTGTAACCCGAATCAGAGGCTGCTCGTTTTATTTGAATTGAAACTCATCTTCAAATGTTTAGAAGGAAACCTTGGAAACTTACTTTGGAGATTCCCTCCAAGGGCGTTTTGTCTCTAATAAAATTATCTGCAGCATTGCCGATCTCTTGAATCTCTTCATCAGTGAACCGATGGGTCCACTTCTCTGGTGCTTGGGAGTAGTTCTCGGCCTGCCACACTGTAGGGCCCTCGATCTTCTTTGGAAAGTCAGAATAAGGGCGAACTTGAGAATAGACCGGAGGATGTTGCCCTGAAGTCTTAAAGCCATCTGGAAATTTGGTAAGGTCCACCACACTGGTGGAGACCGTTGCCGGTATGGTCTCTGTAATGGTAGACATAATGGACATCTGGAGGCGAAAGCTCGAAGACTTGAAAGAAGTTTTTTGGTTTCAGAAAATTAACTTCCTAGGTAGTATGCGCAGATCTCTAGCGTTGCCAGAGATGATATGGGT